TTTAATACTATCGATTCTTTAGTATTTATTAATATTTTTATCGAATTATATTGATTCATGATAAATCGTTAATATTATACTTGATGTATCAGAAAACAGTGATATTTTCAGAGCCGGGCAAGTAGAGCTGTTAACTCTGTTACGTTTTGTAGTCTCCAGGCACTGCTTTCTGATTGATATTAATAAATTGTGAGGTAGAGAAAAGTGGGTAGAATTTACATGTGATATGAGACTATTTATATTCAACAAGTGGGCTAATTATGGGCACCAAAACTGTGGTTCGTCAGCCTTTGTGGCGGAACAGGCGTTAAGGCGTGATACGGCGTGATACGGCAAGTGACGCCTGTACACGTGTCAGGCGTACCGTATACGTCATATCCCAACACATATATCAGCATATATCAATCTCTCTTTCCCGCTTATATCAGCGAATCACGTTTACTTACTAATCGAATACCTTCAAATACACTTTCAGGTCTATCAATCACTAAAATATATATTTCTGATCAGACAGATGGGTATGAAAGACTGATTATTTTAGCCTTAAACTCAATGATATGGTACAGCGACATCGAAATCTCAGATTGTGCACGTGATCACACTTTCAGTTGTTCCACTCTGGCCGTGCACACGCCTGGGGATCATTCTTCCCCTTCTGTGTTACATCTTCCCAACCTTCATCCTCAAAAAGGATGCTTTTGCAGCCCATAGCGGGGCCAATATAGTTCCAAATGCCAGCAGCACCAATCGCAGGAACAAGGGATCTTCCCTTAAGTTTTACGTCATTCTTTGCACCTCCTCCAATAAACGCAAAAAATGTTGCATCACAATATGCACGAACAGATCAACAAAGTTGGATGGCAAGGAATGGGGCAACAGAATCAATAATGAATGAAACTGCGGCTGCGCTGGCGATGAAGAAGAATAAAAAACGAAAGAGAGTAGCAAATCAGGGAAATGAAAATGATGCAGATGCAATGGTAGAAAGTGATGTAGACGATGAAGAGGAAGATGGAGAAGAAGAAGCAGCAGAGGCATCAACATCTTCCAACACGATTGTCATATATCCCGGATCTCACTATCTTCGGATAGGACTATCGTCCGATTTGGCGCCTATAGAAGTACCGCATGTACTGGCGAGAAGAGACGGACTAAAAGTAGCGAAAGAACAACAAAGCACAGATGGAGGCGAAGAGGCAGCAGCCGATTCAGGTAATAATGCTGCTCTTATCGCAGGGACAGATGCTTTACGTGCTGATTTGAAGTCGATCTTGCGGAATATGAAGCTGAGGCCGGTCGCAAATGGACGTCAACAAACAGCCAACTATAATGCCAGTGTCAAACCGGAGAAGCTAGCAGAGCATCAAGACGTCTTCGCCGTAGATTGGACACAATCCAAGAGCGTGAAGGAGAACGTCATCCTCGGAGAAAAGGCTGAGAGACTTGATTGCTTCTCTTCTGGCAAGCAACAGGAAGACGAAAAGACATGGAAGCTGTTCTATCCATTTAAGGGTGGGCATCTCAACTACGAAGAATATGCAAAGCATTACGGAACATATGCATGTCATGCTGCAATGATGAATGACGTGATAACGGTGTGGTCACATGCTATCTCAGCACCAAAAGATGTGGAAAAAGAGACCGCAAGTCAAGTTATCGACCAAGGACTTGGGATACCTTCAAGTGATTGGCAGTACTACAAGGTTGTTCTCGTACTCCCTGACCTTTTCCTACCAGCAGAAGTGGAAAGTTTGGTCAATATGCTTATCCAAGATATGGGATTTGCGGCTGTCCTGGTTCAACAAGAGAGTGTATGCGCAACTTTTGGTGCAGGCTTGAGTTCTGGCTGTGTCATTCACGTTGGAAGCGAGCAGACTCAAATTTGCTGCGTGGATGAAGGACTTGTGATTCCTGATTCTCGCATCATGCTTGATTACGGAGGAGATCATATCAGCACATACTTTATGCATCTTTTGCAGCGCGCCAATTTCCCATACCAGGAGTGCGATTTAAGCAAACGACTGGCAGATCGGTGGTTAGCGGACGAATTGAAGGAACGATTGTCTACGATGGATCCCACACAGCTAGGATTGGTCATCAATGACTTCCATGTTCGTTTGCCGGACAAACAAACACAAAAGTTCTCGTTGCGTACATATGATGAGATCATTGTTGGACCGATGTGTTTATTCAATCCTAGGGTGATCACATTCCCGACATCAAGGAGGAAGCTACTACCCACTTCACCGACATCGCTTGTGTCTGATGATGAGAATGCGGAAACAGAATCAGGATGTTTGCCTACCACTGTAGCAATGACAAATTGTGTTCGTCATCTCCTTCCTGCACCACCACCAACAGCGGTTGCTGTACCGGCTATTGAAGGATCAAAACAAACCACGCCTGTACCTCCTGCCAGTTCCAAACCGGAAGAACCGAGTAAGATGGCTGAGAATCAAGATGGTGAAGCATCCGCTGCACCGTCTGCAAGAACTTCTCCGGTACCTGCAACAAATGGCGGAGCGAGTGAAGCAAAGTCCGTCAAGCCGATCAACGCCTCCGATGCAATGGACGTGGACAAGGGAGAAAAGCCGACGATTGACATTCCCTATGAAGCCAGTAAAGTAGCATTAGATTGGGCAGTATGGAATTCAATTTTAGCAAGTGTTGTATCATGCAGTACGCAAAGTGCGATTGATGAACGTATGAAACGGATGGTGACAAACATGTTTTGTGTTGGAGGAACGGCATTAATGCCTGGATTAGGAATGGCAATCGAAGCAAGAATTCAAAATTATCTTAGCCAATGGTTTACTCAACAAAATAAAGATTCTAGTACGATTCCAAATGTTACAGTCGTTCCGCCTCCGCGTGATATGGATCCAAGGATTGTTACATGGAAAGGCATGGCAGTCTTAGCACGTTTGGACAGTACGCAAGATATGTGGGTAACGCGAAACGAATGGAGAATGTTTCAAATGAGAGCTTTGAGGGAGAAGGCCTACTTTATGAGCTGATCACGCACATACAAGATGTATTATAATTTACAAGCCTGAGAAATGTTGATAATTAAAACTGAGCTACCAAGTCCAACCATGATGCCCTGTCATGAGAATTGGTGCAATCGATCGGATTCGGACCGTTTAAGGTTATGAACGTCAATGCATGCATGCAATTGGCGTAAAGCGGGGTGTACTTTTACAATGAATTCATCATCTATAAATAAAGATTAAGATATCTTGGCAGTCTCGTCTTTCCTTCCTTGGGGAAAGCCGGTTTACGTTAATCTTGTGTTTTGATTTCATTTGCCCTTTGTTTGGCGCAAGACGATTGTTCCTTAATTGCATGTGGCTAGCGCAGCGCAGCGCAAGCTCAGTGATTAATTTACTGATCGCGGAGGCCGTCTTTTTTTCTTTTCTTTTTCTTTTGCCGCCATAAAGTACATGTCTCGATCAATAATCAGACAAAAGGAGCGGACAAACTCGATATCAGGATTAATTTCAGAGTCATGAACGCCAATCCAGTAAATGCACACAATGAGAGAATAGGGGGGGGACTGCTTCCTTTCTTCTCTCGCGTGTCAAATTCCGTGAATTTATCATGAAGGATTGGTAATCAGTGCGGCCCGAATGAAAAGTATATAAGGTCACCTGTTCTCATTCGAATACTAACCTTTTTCTAGCCGCAATTCTCTCAATCTCAACCAAACATCCTCCCACAGTCTTTCTCACACTTTCTTTTGAACCAGCTCGACTTTTCATCCTTTTTGTCTTTCTCTCCACGGCTTTCTCCTATTTGGGCATTCCACTCGCTTATCGCTCGACAATTTAGAGCATTTCAGTGATCGTCGCTGTGATCAAGCACTTCGACCATGCATTTCTCCCACGTTTTCGCAGCCATCACTCTTTCGTTCGCTCTGCAAACGTTGGTGTATGCTGGTGATGGTGACTACTCAAATCCTTCTGATAATTTCAAATCATGTTCATCAAATGTGAAAGTGAAACCAGGCGAATTTGTTGACCTTCACAATCAAGCACGTAAAAGTGTTGGCGCAGGATCTGTTTCATGGGATCAAGGTTTAGCAAACGTTGCACAATGTTGGGCAAACAGATGCGTTTTTGAACATTCACATACACAAGGTTTAGGTGAAAATATCGCTGCTGGCAGCGGTCCTTATACCGATCAAAATGCATTCGTTGATTGGTGGGAAGAATTTAAACTTTATCATAAAGGAGATGATTATTCAGAAGATACTGGTCATTTTACTCAAGTTGCATGGAAAGGTACCAAGAAGATTGGTTGTGGTAGCACTCTTTGTCCTTCAAGTCAATTAGGCTTAGGAGGTACTTATGGACAAGCCCGATTCATCGTTTGTGAATACTTTCCACCGGGTAACGTTCTTGGCACATTTTATGGACAAGTCAATACGCCAACATATGATCCAATGGCAAAGATGGGTGATTATGGTCAAGATGATTATTCCGACAAATACAATGATGATACGCCTCCTCCAATCAGTCCAAAGAAGAACAACACATCGACTAGCACACCAAAGACAAAAACACCCGCCACCACACCTGGCAAAGGCACAGGAGTTACGGTAGGCACTGGTTCTGGCAGTGGGAAGAATACAACAACCACTGGTGGAGGCACAGGCACACCCACTCCAAGTAACGGTTCTGGCTCTGGCTCTTCATCTGGTGGAAGCGGATCTTGTGGTCAAAGTGGTAACAGTGATTACTCTTCCGGCGGCGATTGTACCCCAGAAAAGCCTGGCCGTAAGCACATCAAAAATCATCATGGACACAAAGGTGGCAATCATAAGCCAAAGTCCAATTCTCGTTATTCTACCAATAACGGTTCTGGTGGAAGTGCTCCTCCACCAACAACACAGAACGTTCCACAAGGCTCATCGCAGGGCACTAGTGATTACCAGCAACCACCTTCGCAAAATACTGACAGTCAACCACCAGCGACTGGTAATGGCAGTGACAATGGTTCTCAATCATCAACGCCCGTGAGCAATACTGATGGTGATAACACTCAGAATTCAGACGATTATCAAGCACCTCCCAGTCAAAATGATGATGGTGACGACGATGATTACACCCCGCCAACTCAAGATGACGACGATGATAGCAATGATGATGATGATAATTCCTTCGGCGGCCCAATTTCCATCAGTCTTGGCGGTCTTAACCTTTAAGAACTTTTGCACAAAGAACACCTCATCCGACTTCAAGCTGACTGGTTCAGCTTCACTACAGTACACAACGTTCATGAAGATCCTAGATGGAATTGTACATGTTTTTTCTTCTTTCGTATTATTTGAATCGATTGATAAAAGTTTAAAATTTCCTTTTCACATGCAAGCGGATTTAAAGGTGTTGCCCCAGATTTCCTGATTGTGTGAAAAAGAAGACGCGTCCTTTTACTCAGCTCAACGCTCAGCCTTAAGGCACTGCATGTAAGAAAAAAGGCTCATTTTCTCCACATCCAGAAAACATACACGCATACATTCAATGAGAACGAACCCTTATGATGGAACATGTCTATCAGAAGCAGACAAAGACAAGATCTCAAAGGTCCGTTCTTGATTTGATTCATGTCTGATAAAGAGTGAATACAAACACTTCCCGGCTTTCCTTCTCGCCCTCATTCCTTCCATAAGAACACAAGATGGTGGAAAAGATACCTTTGACATCAGATGGTGATCAACCTTCACAATATCGCACTCAGAATGAAGACCAAGTTCCAGGTGGATTTGACTTCATTGCAACCATGCCACAACACCAACAACAAAGATCGGATGGACTAGATGGAGAAATGGAAGATGCTTCCCTACAAGATGCAGCAATGGCAATTCCAGACATGGATGCATTATCGGTTTCAAGTTTGCATACCACTTCTACAGACCGTGCAGCAGATGAGGAAGCAAATGCAAGTATAGATGAAGATCTAATAGCCGCAACATCAACAGCAGATGCAGAACGAGCTGCTTTGGACGATACAACGCACGATATGGATTGGAATCATTTACTCGGTTTATCAGGACAAGGATTAAATGCTGCAAATGCGGCCACTTCGATGGGCTTCGCAGCCGCACGTCAAACGACCGCATTCAGTCTTTCGGTCGCAAAACGATTCACACAAGGATTATTGGCTTTGCCTGCGATGGCATTGGACGGTACAATAATGGGCAACGCACCCAATACGCATAACTATAGAGCTGATGGCGGTCCAAATTCATCTTCAATTGCTGGAATAACACATGCTGCAGTTGGTGGAATATTTGACGTGATCAGTACGTTGGCCGTTGGTGGAATTGATATCGGAACGGCAATCACTGGTGCTGGCTTGGGTGCCGCTGCAAGTGGTGTAGAAGGCGTTCGAAGAGCACTTGGAAGTGAAGTTTTACGTAGTTTAGGCGCTTTTTCTAGACTCGTTCGAAGAGAATGGCATTCTGCTTCTGATACACTTCCGCCAGGAGGTATTCCTGCTTATTCCATCTTGGGCATCACACAGGCCATGACGGCTTGGGTCAGTATTCAAATGGTGACACGAGAGTACTATGAGAAAAAGATGTTGAGGAATTTAGAGGTTGTGAATCTGGAACAAATTCATGCTTCCATCAAAGCGGCGAAAGAAAAGAAAGAACAAGAGGAAGCCGAACTTCTCAATCGTGCACGAATCGAGCCTGCTCCTCAAGAGACAGAACTTGCAGTATCTTCCATCATCAAGGAGGAAAAGCAAAAAGAAGAGCCAGCTAAAAAGAAGAAAAAGCAAGTGCGCATCCTTGATGATGAAGAATTACCAGGTGACGAAGGAGACGTTATTGATGCAGAGATTGGCAGTGCGGCTGATGCTGCAATCTCGACCGCATTAGAGGAGGAAAAGCCCATCAAGCCTGAGACAGCGACAGATGCTCCATCGGTTACTTCTCAGCCCCTGTCTCCTCCTACCGGATTGAACAATGAAGAGGCAGTATTTGGATTGAAGCGTTATTCGAGATTGGTTTTGGGTGTATACGGTGGTGTTGCTCTTGCTTGGCTTGGAAGTTTGCCTCCCGATTTGATGCAAGCTGCCGGAACAGTAGTAGACGGCGAAGGGGCAACGATCAGACAACCAAACAGCACTTTACCCAATCCCAACACTTCTTCCAACGAATCAAGCGCAGATGAGCCTCTCATCAGCGGTCGTCCACGTGGTCGTTCAGCTGCACAAGATGATGCAGCTGAATTCTTGCGTGCTGCCGCTTCGTTAGATTTGGAAGATGAGGAATTGATCGATGATGAGGCAGGAAGCGTTCTACAAGCCGAGACTACATCAACACCAGCAAGTGCATCTCTTACACCACGTCAAAGCATTTCAATCCCACCAACGGGTGAGGTCTTATTCTCAACTGATGACGACGATTCTGTGATTGTTGATACCGCACGCTCTTCAACTCAAGCAACAACATCTGTCGATCGCACTCAAGCAACAACATCTGTCGATCGCACTCAAGCCACACCTTCATTCGCCGGTGCGGGAGCATCACAACAGCAGCCCGGTCGTTCATACAGTTACTATGACATTTTGATGGGCACTGCGGATGGAGATATTTTCCATAGATTGGGAGGATTGGAACAAGGATTGGCCAAAGAGGGTGATTATCAAGAAACATCTTCTCAAGCAGGAAGTGCTGCTCAGCGGTTACGTCGATTGAACAACCGAGTGGCCCGGCCATCCAAGCCAAGGTATTATGTAGTCACAGATCATACACAACGAAAAATCGTCCTTGTGCTTCGTGGAAGTTTGACACTTGGCGATATCGCAATCGATCTTACGTGTGAATCAGCAAATTTTGACGAACAGTGGTCGGATGATGCTAAAGACAGGAGCGGACAAGGTGAAGAGACTGCAAGTGTTGCCGATAGCGACAGTGAAGCACCTGCAGCAGCAGAAGATTTCTCACCTGAAGCGATCCGTGAACGAGCCGAACAAAGAAAGACGGAAGCAGAAGAAAGAAGAAGTAAACCTCAAGCACGCGAACATGAACGTGGGGAGTTCATCGTTCATGAAGGAATGTATGAAACGGCAAAAGAGATTGGTGAAATTGGAAGACCTGTTCATCGTGCAGTCCGAAGGGCTATGTTGGCTCATCCAGGCTATGCGCTTGATATCACAGGTCACTCTTTAGGTGCAGGTGTTGCGGCCCTTTTGGCAATCATGTGGGCTTCGCCTGATACTGGTTTGACAACCAAGAGCAGTGGCTTACCAACAGGCAGAAAGACACATGCATACTGTTTTGCCGTACCTTGCGTGATGGGCGTCAAATTGGGAAAGCGTGCAGAACCTTTGGTGACAAGTTATTGTTATAGCTATGATTTGGTTTGTCGTTTGAGTTTAGGTGCAATCTTGGACATTCGAAATGCATGTGCTTGGTTAGCATATGAAAATTCTCAACCTTCAACGAATTCACCCGCAAGCAATTCAAACGAATCTACTTCTGGTCTCGCACATCCGATTCGATTGACAAACATTATGCAACGAGCCTTTGTTCATCAATCCGGCCGTCTAAGCGGGCAAAATAAAGCAGATTTAGAAGCTGACTTTTTGGCGTTGAGGAAAACGTTGGAAGCCAACATGAAACACGTCGAATTGTATCCACCAGGAGTAGTTTTGTATAGTCTACCACCAGATGATATCGCTGATGGAATTGAACCTGAACAAGCAAAAGTCCAAGTACGAGATCGATTGCAAAGTGGACGTTTGGTCGGAGGTTTAGGCGCAAATTCTTCCTATTCTGCTGCGCAAAAAGCAGTCTTGTATCGATTGCGCGCCGATGGACATCGTGAAGAAGTATTTGATCAAATCATTCACAGCCGTGGCATGTTATCGAAGCACATGCCGGATATTTATCATTTGGCAATCGATGCTTTGTAGTGGAACTATACCCATCTTTACCTTATGTACGCAGATTATAATGGAATGAAATTCTTTATGCCAGTCTCAACTGCAGTATGTAGATTTGTGAGCGGAAGTGGTGGTGAGGTAGATTGAGAGCAACTGTCAATGACGGGAATGTAGCATCTACTTCAATTATCCGCCTCTCTCCTATTTTGTCTTTCACGATAGGCAGCGCTGTTCTTCTTTGAATTTTCTCTACGCGCAGCCAACCTCTTGGGATCTTTTTTCAAAGCTGCATACCAAGCTCTGCCTATTTCCTTGGTCTTTCTTTTCAGAATGGCATACGCTTTTGGGTCATCCTTTTGAGCTTTTCTATATCGATTCTTTCTTTCCCGATTCTTTCTCTTTTCTTCTTCCTGAGCTTCAGCGCCCTGGATGATTTATCTAATCAGCACCCTTACCGAAAAAGAAGACATCAAGTGGTACTCACCCTTTCTTTGATACGCATTCGATAAATTTGATGTCTGCTCAGACCTTTTGCGTTTTCTGGTCCTTTTCTGCTCTTGCTCAGATCGTCATCTTTAGAAGTCATAGCATTCCTCTTGCGTTTAATAGGCAGCTTACTGCGCACTGAAGCCACTGAAGCCTCATTTTGACTCCTTGCATTGTCCGAAACATCATACTCAATTGGTGTTATGACCTCATGTCTATCAGCTTCTTCTATCGTATTGATCCTCTCAACTTCCACTGAAACTGAAATTGTGATGCGTAAAAGTAAGCAAAGGATTTGAGTGTAGATCTTCAAATTCATCTTCCGAGTTCATAAGCTGGAGTAGAGTTATAAATATGAAGTCATGCTTCACAGGCTGAAGTAGAGTTATAAATGTGAATTCATATAATGCGAAAGTTTCTCAAGTCACTAAGCGGTGCAAAGTATACGAACCCCGCAGTCACGCAACTGAAGATTGCATATGAACGCAAAAGCAAGCTTCTATTGGCTGTTACGTGGTTTCTTGAGCCTCCTTTTCGTCTGCTTTCCGATTGCCTTTTCTTGCTTTCTGTATTCTTTTCCTGCTTCTGCTCTCATTTTCAAGAAAACAGCATGTCTTTCCGGGTCTTTTTTGATGTTTGCTACATATCGTCTTTGGTTTTCTCTTTTTCGCTTCAATTCCATCGCAACGAATTCCAGTCCCTGTAGCAGATTCAAGTTAGGTGTTAGTCAGATGCATATCTAAGGAATACATGATTGTTACAACTCACCATCTCTTCAATCTTTCTCTGCTTCTCACGCATGTACAATCGTTTCTTTTCCAATCGAACTTCTCTCTTTTCTGATGCAGTCAATGGACGATTTTCTTGCATTGCTTTTTGGACTATATCTTTATTGGTACTCATTGTCAATTGGGTTGCATTATACCTTTTCCGCTTCGTACCTACTTTCGGTACGGCTTTTGCTTGAAGATTGTGTCCATCAGGCTCTGGGATAGGCGAGGCATTCGAAGCATCATATGGCCCTAGCTTTAAACTTAAGTCTGGGCCAGGATCTTGCCCCTCATCCATAGCATTGATGAAACAATTGTTCAAGATAAGGAAGACAAGGATGTAATTGCGATAAGACATATTCGTAAAAAGTTGCTGATGAAGGATTGATAGATGGTATAATAGACACTATCAACAATTCAAACTATTTGCGTGCTTTGAAACGAGCCAGGATGGGCAAACGCCCCGTTGTTCGTATGCTATGCAATAAACGTTGCCACAATGTTCGTATCTAAGTATTTCGAAGTTGTGGCTGACCCTCATTGTTGCTTTGAATTGCGTTTTCTCTCTCCAATCTTTTCTTTTCTCTTCTAGTTCTAAACCATTCTCTCCTTCTTGCTTTAAACGCAGAATGCTTCTTTGGGTCCGCGTACAATTTCGCCATGAAGGTATCATCATACTTCTTTTGCTGTTTCTTCGCTGTCAAAAGTGCTTCTCCTCCCTTAGCTCGGGGTTAAGAGGATAAGAAAATAAGAAATTTGAGTCTTTAATCAAGCTCAATACCTTCTTCCCTCACATACCTTTTCCTTGACCTCCCGCCTTCTTCGTTTTTGTCCTATTCGTTTCATTTCTCTTTTATTCTTTGCTGCTCTAGCTGCACTCTCATCAAATTGATCTTGTGTGAATCTGTGATTGTGAACGGTGCTCACTTCTTCTACATTGTGCTTGATTCCTTCCTTATGACTTTGAGGGGGAGCTAGTCGGAGCTGTAAATCGATACCGTCTGTTTCATAGATGGAACTAGTAGCTGTAATTGAGATCGGGATACATATCAACACTATTGACAAAATGACGATAAGTAGCCTTAGATTTAACAGCCTCATTTTAAAGTAAGGTGAAGGTAAAAAGGAACAGGAAAATCAAATTAAAGAAAGAACAAGTTGTCGTAATGGTAAAACAATTCGGATGCCCCGAAGTACAAAAAGCAGTGCACGCACACAATGCGCTGTCATGATAAGTCATGGTACTTTGTGTCATTACGAGAAGGCGGCAGTGGCGTATGAGCAGCGCGCAATCCTAGGGAGTTTCAAGATGCTTAGTTTGCTGATTTTCCTTTGCAGGTGCCTTCGTTCTTCGTTCGTTTTTAGGCAAAGAAGTTCCATCTGCTGTCTTTGCTGTTTTTATTGGCTGCCCATGTCTGACCCTTTTAAGGTTTCTCCTTTTGGACTCAAGTTTAGAAATCTTTCGTTTCTCAGCCAACGTTTTAGCATTCTCTCGATTGTATTGAATAATCTCTTCAGACCTAGAAGGTAGCTATAGCATGTGAAGCAATGGAAAGTGAGTAATGCAGAACAATGAAGAAGAAAACTTGTACGTACACCAAGAATTTTTCTCCTTTGAACATCAAGGCGATATTTCCGCTTATACAACTTTCTTTCTTCCCTTGTTTCCTCAGCGGTCTTGATGCGATGCTGCTTTTTCTTTATTCCTGTATTTATACTGTTTTGCTCTTGAAGCAGAGGTGAGGCTTGTCTCGATGGACTTTTAGAAGCAGCACTAGTTTCTGGATGGTCCGGATAAAGTTGGAGGATAGAATGATATGCGTTAAAATAATCATCGATCTTACGTTGAAAAGACTTTGGGCTGAAATCTTCATCTGAACCATTCGTCTGTGGACGAGGATACGCAGATGTATACGTCTTAGTCATCAACAGTATTGATATCAAGCAAAGAAGAATCATAACGCTACTATGAAGAGGGATTGAGGTATATCGTTGAGATACTCTTTCAACAAAGCTTCTTTAGACAGATAAGAACAGCCTTTAGGTGCGAGTAAAATTTGTGTACTACTATATGTATTATGCCAGCCCCGTATGGCACAGGAAGTTCTGTCGTTATTGTGAAACGAGGTTCCTTGTACACAGAAACTTTTCTACTGTGTACCTACGCCGACATAGAATAAACAATATTCCATAAGAGATTTGATGGATGATCAAATGCTTCAAGCTTATTTTACTTGGAATATTTCGACTTATCAGCTTTAGGATTTTTCCTATATTGTTTCTTCTTCATTCGAAATTCTGTAAGCTTATCTTTGTCTTTCCGGATACGCTCATAGTATGATCGCGAATTGAACTTGTGTCTTGTGTTATACTCTTCATAGCTTTCAGGGTTGTCCTTTTTTCTTTTGAGATAACGTAGCATCGCTTCTCTATTCAACTTTCGCTTTCGTTCGAGCTGCTGTGGAGTCTAAGGTACGGTAATTTTCTAATGAGAGAGAGCAACATTGCAACAATACACCTTATACACTAACCAAGTCTTCATTTCTCCTACTCCGACGCTTACCATCTAGCTTTGGGGGCCTACCACTCTTCTTTCGGACAGTTTTTGCTTCGTGTTGTATTTTGTCTTCTGTCGGATTCGATAGGTCTTGAAAAGGAATGGCTTGTGCAGAAGAATGATGTTCAATCGTGCTTCTGCCGCTGGCTGCCGGATTGTCTGCTACCTCAAGGTTTAGCTCAGGAATGACGGTGGAAATTCCAGGCTGTGCAAGGCTAAGCTGTAGGTCTATACGAGGAGGATGATGACCATTAGTACAGTTTGCATGGCTGACATATAGCAAGATCGTTACTATAGTAAAATTTGTCCATTATGAAAAGTAGATCAGAAACATTGACACTGTCATTAATGGAGGGAAGGTAAGCTAGAGAGGTTACGGATTTTGAGAGGATGAAAAGTGTATAAATCATTAAAGAAACACAAAGGCTGATCAAAAATACACAATTACACAAGAACAAAACAAATTATAAAGTTTTCCTCGGACCTTCGGGTTTGTTGGGCAATCGCTTGAACCTCAAATTAAGGCTGCTTCTTACTTAAGTTTTCCATTCTTTACTTCTTCTTCCGCTCGAGGTATACTTTTGAACTTCGTTGACTTCTTGCCCTTCTGCGAGCAAGTTTTTGAGGGTCCGCTGATACGCTATCATACCATCTTTTATTTCTCAAACGTTTTCTAAGTAGATACAGCTCATGAAGTTTGGGATCCTTTTTCATCTTTGCTACGTAGCGATCACTTACTTCGCGCCGTATCCTATGCTTCTTTGCTTTCGGATCCTCGCTCTGAATAAGTCAGTATAACAAAGCCTCTCTAAGCACATCGTTGTGATACTCACTTGGTAATCTATCCCAGTGATAGCCTCTCGTCCCCTTTTCGATGATTTCTTTTAGGTCACTTCATCATTGTCAACTGTGGCAGAATCATTCCTCTCGGATGAGGCTTGCCTTGAAGATTGAAGGTTCCGATCAATTCCCGGTTGAGCAATGCGTAGCGTCAAATCAATGCCGTGGGATTCGCTACTAGAAACGGCTACTGTCGACTGAAAAAGGTGAAAGAATGCAATGAGCATGTATGAGAGACAAGCACGGTTCTTCATCATAGTATCGTACAACTTGGTTATTTGGAAGTACTCTTCATTCATCCTGAAGTTAAATCCTTTTTAATTGAGGCTTTGTGTATCATTGTAAGCTGCGTGTGTACTACACAGCAAGTGTATTACGTTTTCTAAATGTTGGTATTCCGTCTGGTGGCGTACGCAAGTAGCACAGGAACATCATCATTTCTTTTATTCGGCAATTATTTGATCATTTTTGAGTATTTTTCTATGATAATAATTTCTACTGTTTTTTCGCCATCTTTCTTTTTCTTTAAATAACCGTTTCGGATCTTTTCGAATCCTTAATGATGCGTTTGATTTGTATTCTCGTAGCTTTTCATGACGAGCTTTGGATCGTTCTGGATCAGCGGCATTTCTTGCTTTGTAATTCTTCCAATTGTTTTGACTCTTAAGTTTGAAAGCTGCTACAGCTTCTGGCCCCTAAAAGTATGGAGAAGAAGTTAGATAGTTGTGTTAAGATTGATGGATTTAACATACCTTCTCTATAAGAGCCTGTTTCGCACGTTGGTTGCTTATTCTCTTTCCTAGAAGATACTTTTCACGCTTTTCCCGCGCTATGATGTCAGTAGCAGATATGCGTGTTGCTTCATTTGTGTTTATGTGACTACCCGAGTCTGCTGCTTGAGGGGTGCTGGGAAGACCTAGTCTCAAAGTTAGGTCGATCTTGCCGTTCTCACTATCAGATCCCGCAAAGATCAGATAAAAGTGAAAGAGAAATGGAAGTAAAGTCTGATACAATGAAGCGTACACCATTGCCTTCTCGCAGGATGAGTATCATTTGGGATTGAAGATGGTGTACACACTTTTTGTCAAATGGTTTTCATTGAAGTAAAGAATCCGCGTAAGACTTTGGCCCCGCAAATTCTTCACAGCTTTTGCGTTCACGGTCAATTTAGTACAGGGAGGACACATATCGCTTCGCGACGCCCAAAGGCAGTACAAATACGGTGCAGGTCTTTAAAACTCACACTTAGGACGTAGAGTCTTTTAAGGTGGATAAAACTTTTGCTGCTTCTTTTTCCGATTTTTTCTTTGCGCGAAAACGTCTATTGTACTCATTACGCTTTAACCTTTCTTTTGCTAAAGCTATTGGATCACGATGAATACGTAAAAGCCTTTCTTTCTTGTCCTTAGATCTCTTTTGTCTGTATTCAGATTCCCGTTTGGGGTCCGCAATTCTGATCTTTCGGTAGAAGAGCATTTGTTCCCTATGACTCTGTAGTTGTTTCTCATTACGCTGAAGCAATATTTGGTCAAAGAAAAGCCTCGTCAACAAAGGGTAAAGTTGGGAAAATTCCTCTTTTACTTACCAATCTCTTTCTGGGAGGTTGCTGCTCCAACACATCTGCCTTCTTCTCCTGCATGCTTTCGTCGTTTTCAGTTGAAATTTTCACGAAAGAATCATACCTTCGAGGCTTGAACCGAGCTCGTTGGGTTCTAAGATAAGTCTTCATTTTAATTATCTGATCCCCTCCATCTTTTTCAGACCCGAATTGAGGCTGTCCTGCCTTCATACTGTGTATATCGAGCTCTTCGGATTCTGCTAGTTGAGTTTTGTAGTGTTTTTTGGTTGCCATACTTTGATGAATTACAAAAGTTAATATGATGACACGGGACCAAAGCATTTTTACCATAGTATGTTGAGATGTAATGAAAGTTAGAGAATGAAGTCAAGCTTTTTGTATGTCTAGCAAAACGCTTTGCATATTGAAATGAAGGCTGTGTCTTGCTGAAAGGTGGATTTGTACAGCCTAGACGTATGGAAACACAGTTCGTGCATTGTATGATCAGCAATTCATCGCTTTGCTGACAGCGTAGCCGGCCAGCTGTAGTAGAGTAACACTAACGTAGTATGTTATCTGTTGCACGAATCATAACAGGATGGTTTCGTGTTGCATCATTTCTTGGAAGAGTCTTTAGCTTCTCTAGCAGACTTTTGAGGATTATTCAGCAGCTTCCTGTAATAAGATGCTTTTGAACTTCTCCTCTTACGTTCTTTGAATTTCGAAAGCCTTTCTGGGTCTAGCCTGAGCTTAGCTTCAGATCTTCTTCTATTCTCATCAACATTTTGACGTCGACTTTCGAGCTTTTTAGGATCAGAAGTAAGACTCTCGACATACGTCTTCCAATAGCCTTTTTGTCTTTTCCTATTTCGCTCTCTTTCTTTTGGATCCTGAGGTATGAGAGATAAAGTTGTATTTGTGATGTCTGTAAGCTTACTGCAAAAAGTCAAAGTAATAGACACATACCGTTTCCAGGGGAAATTGTTGGTTTTTCTTAAGCCTTTTTCGCTTCTTTGTAACGGACTGAGCTTTCAGCTCAACTTCTTTTGAAGCAACAGTTTCAAGAAGTTCTGGTGCTCTTCTGGAGGTTGCGGTATCTTCAACGAAGTTTTGAGCGTTACTGTTGTGTACCGATCCTGATCTTTCGTAAGAGGATAGGTTCAGCCATATATCTGGGTTGACTTCCTCGCTATCCGTGTAACAAAAAGTTACTGATTGAAAGAGAATACAAGCTAAGTAAGAAGTCACGAACAAGTAGTTATACCAAACCTTCATTTTTGGACTTATAGGTGGTTCTATGATGCGAAGGAAGGTTAGGGGACTACACAATGAACAAAATAATCAAGCAGCAAGATTCCTTCAAGACGGACTAATGCAAGATGACGCCCCACGCAAACAAGTTGTGAGTCGGACGCATCACTTTGTCACTTTACCCATCCTGCTTGAAATTTTGTGAATGTCTTACTCTTTCCTTCTTCTTATGTCTGTAAATTCTACTATTCTTTCGACCAAGTTCCCCTCAATGAAAATAATTGTTGTGGATCTTGCTTTGTTTTGAGACGATATCTCTTCCTGTACTCCTTTAGCTTTGCACGACGCTCTGCAAGAAGTTTCGGATCAGATGCAATCTTTGCTGAATATTTTGCCCACCTTGCCCTTTGCTGAGCTCTTGCAGCTTCTACCGCTTCAGGACCCTGTAATATGGTTAAAGATCAGCAGTAGTAATTCAGATCGGACCATTGGATTGTTCATACACACCTTTTCTATCAGAGCTTGTTTGTGTTTTGCTTCAGTTCGACGGTTCGACAAGCGCTTTCTTTCTCGCTTCTCCTCCTCAGTGAATTTAGCACGAACTATTCGACTTTGGCCTTTTTTTAGTTCTTGCTTGTCAGTAGGTGCCATGATCTTGGATGTTGCCGTATCATTTAGTTCCTTTTGAGGTTTTTCGGGGTAATTTCTTTCCTTTGGTGGTCTACTATGATTCACTGAATCTTGTTTGGAATACGAAGAAAGATTGAGCCAGATATCTGGATTGATTTCTTCGCTCTCTGTATGGGTATTGGCATACTCCAATAGGAATAAATAAATAAGGATAGTAAGTGCAAACACGGAAGAATCGAAATTCATCTCAAAACATGGCAAAGAAGAGAGAGAAGCTGAAAAACTCAATGTGATCGATGATAAACATTTAATGAAAAGATTCATTACGCCCCACTTGAAAAGGCTGCGCCCATGAATGCACAAACATTACTAACTCTTACAGATGATTTTACCGTAAAGAAGCTGGGCAGAAAACGGGGGATCGTTTTCTGAGTATTAGTCCGACTTTTTCAAATCGAAGGCCATTCGTTGATGTTCAACTTTTTTCCTTTGTGTATATTCGCGGTAGTAAGTACGTGACTTGATCAATGCTAACTCTTTTGCTTTTGGATCTTTTTCTTGTTCGTCTTTTCTCTTTTGGCGATGTTCTCTTTGCTTTTCCAAATGTGCAGCGTAAGCTTCAGGATTGGATTTTCTTCTCATTCGGAATACTTTACAATATCCACGTTCTTTTTTCAGGTACTGTTGAAGAACGTCTGGTTCCTGTTATTCAAGGATGAACTTATAATTTTTGAGCAACTTTAAGCAGACCTTTACATAACAATACTTATACTTACACTCTCTTTCATAGCTTTTCTAAGACGCCGTTTTCTGTCTCGATCGCGTGTTCTTCTGATTGCCTTTCTTGCTTGAATTTGAGCATTTTCATTCAATCCGTTATTCGATCCCTGTTGGTCCTGTACAAACTCATTCCCCACTTGTGTTTGATCTGTTCTGACCCTTGCAGAGCTAATAAGAGTAGGTTGACTAAGTCTTAATTGCAGATCGATGCCGTTCGAGTCTGTAGAATCACCAGCACCGTCTGTCTGAGGAATGAATGTCTGAATCAGGAAAAGAGCATAAGTGAAGCATACAGCTTTGCGCAACATGTCTGTTAAGATACTTTTCATGGTATGAGTACTAAATTAGTGTTCTCGTCAAGCAAGAGATAAGGATATGGAGCAAGAGTAATCCTAGTAAAATGCTGGGCCGGTACGAATAGTTATTTGCGTATTCTTATGTGCATTTGCGTGGATTGAAAAGCATATACGCACTCGTTTTGTAGAGATTGCGAAAAGTGTAACTTTGCGGCTTTCAACCTGTGCAGCTGTGTAAGCACTACTGAACTTTTCCCCATTCATCTTAAGCTCAATCAGAATTATACTCCTCCATTACCACGGACAAATAGTGCTAATGAAGGATTAGGAAAACACTTTAATCCCAACAGCCAATTGCTCAGGCTGCACCAGATATTGCTAAAACTCAGAGATGAAAATAAATAATGATGGAAAATACGATCATCAATGTTGCTCCAATTGCGTATGAAGAGGTCTGTTTGAATTATGAATATGCAATCAAGAAGGACAAAATGCAAAAGTGTCACGCTTAAGCCCCGCCATGAGATGTCGTCTTCTAGCCTCATGCTAATACAGCGAGACCGAGCTCTCGTCGATACCTTTCACATTTGAAGTTATATCAGAGGACAACTAAAAGGCTGACTACTTTCATCCATTCATCCCTGTTGCTGCTGTTTTTGTTGCTCTTTCTGCAATTTGACCATCTTTCTACGTGCCCGTTGGGCAACCCTTTTCTTATATAATCGTCTCTCTTGAGCTTCAGGACGGCTAGAAAGCCCTTGCCGATATCTTCGATGTTGTGCAGATATTTGATCAATATACTCTTTACGTGTTGCTGGATTGTTCATCTTTCTCGTTCTGTAAGCTCTCATGTAAGCTGCTTTGTCCTCTTTATGCCTCTTCAAAGTTTCCCCACCCTATCAAGAAAGATAAAATATTGAGATGAACGATCTCATAGACTGCCCATGCTGAAGTACTTACCGCATCCTCAATCTTTTGACGCCTTTCTCGCATCCGGATTCGATCACGCATGGTCTTATCACTTGGTTTGCCACGTCCAAATCTTGTCTCTTCTTCTGTCAGGAGCTTGATACCGTAACGCCTAGACACTGATTGAGGTGATTGCAGAGGGGTACTTTCTGTTGACTGTTGACCAGCAGTTGAAGACGGCTTAGGTGCAGCAATTGGGCTGCTAAGAGTTTGAGGTGGTCTGAGTCTCAATTCCAAATCAATTTCAGAACTGGGTGATGTACTTTCTCCTTTGTTATTGACACATACAACCATCAACGGAAAGAAAGGGAATAAAAAGCAGGCTACCGTGCATAGCATAATGACCATTCTGGTTGTAATGAAAGGCGTAACGAAGGAACAATAGAGGTCAACTTTCGAATTGAGACAAATCAGATAGCCCCGATCGACTGAGGCCATGCCTGAACAAACGTGCTACACGAAACTTTGAGTATGAAAGTAGCCAGTGTTGCGTACGAATGAGATTCATACAAATCTTTGAACTTCGATATTCTCGAGCGTTTATTGGGTCGCTTCACCGGAGTCCTCTTTATTTGTTCGCCTTCCTTTAGCTGCTTGCTCTTTCTTTGACTGTAAGTACTTTTCGTACTCATCTGGATCTTTCCGTAATACCACATAACGTTCTCTTTGCTTTTGTGCCTTCTTCGCCTTGTGTGAAGCATGCCATTCGGGATTTTGATAAATCTTATTCAAATAATTCCTAGTCCATCGGGTTTCTTTTTCACGTAAGGCTTGATAAGCCTCACCACCCTTTTAGATAGAATGATGGAAGAAATTCAGTTTATCTTCTTTTTCACCCTATGAGGCATACTCTCACCTTTGCCTTTATTCTGTCTCGACGTTGTTTCATTCTATTTCGATTATGTTCTCGTGATGCTGCACTTCTTGAATACTGTCTGCGACCTGAAACGGCCGTATCGCCTGCATCCAATACAGTAGCTTTTTGCTTTCTACTCGATTGCGATGGAGCACGAGTGTAGGATTGATCAAGTGGGATTTTTTGTAATTCAACTGGGCTTCCAGTCCTGCTTGGGTTTCTCATCTGTGAATATGTAGGCAAACCTAATCGAAGCTCCAGATCCACTTCTTCTGAATCACTGGTCTCGCCTGAGAGTGCAACCCGAAAGAGAAAAGAACACAACAACAAACGGAAAGCGCAATACATTCTTGGTGAGAGATGGTCTCCACCTTGGACAGATTAGATGAAGGTGGAGTATATGAGAATGATAAAGGTGCATGTAGACAAGAAATGGGTTATTGTGTTTCGTATTTGCCCCGACAGCAAATCAGACCTAATCACCTGGCGTTCCTTCACTGGTTTTTTGCCTCTTTGTCTCATTTCTTCTTCTCCTTCCAGCATTCTTGGATTGTATAATCTTCTCGTAAGCTACAGGGTCTTTCTTCAATCGAGCTGTGCGATTCCTTTGATAACGTGCCATATTGGCTTTGAAAACTGAATGTCTGACAGGATCCGAATAAATTTTTTTCACATATGTTTTCGACCACTCTACATTATTTTTCCGCTGTTGTTTGAGTGCTTCTCCGCCCTTGTGTTTGAAAAAAATAGGAATAAGTGATCTATGTCGGACTTTTAATCTGCAGAACTTACTTTTAATTTTACCTTCTCTCGAAACCTTTGCATAGAAAGTCGATTCTGTTCTCTCACTTTATCTCTTTTTGCTTTATCTACATCTGTTACAGTCGCTTCATTTACATCAAGCGCAGACGTCTTTCGTTTGTGTCCAGATAAACCAGTATTTTGATGGTGTTGATCTGGTATGACAGGTTGAGAAATTTGTGTCTGCGATGTAGGTACAACAGCATCATTAATCATTTTGCTTGAGTCCGTATGTGCATAGAAGGGGAATCCTAAATGAAGGTCTAAATCCAAATCATCTCCTGCAAAAGTCTCTTTATAGGGAAGAAGGAAGCAAGATAGAAAGAACACTGCACGAAGCATTCTCAAAAGCTTTTCGTATGGTGGTTCACAAGCAAAAGTCATTTTTCGGAATTGTCGAAAAGGTATGAAGCTTTCAGCTCGGGGCTTTTCCAGCATGAATGAGAAATACTTCAGAGCTAGTCTGCTTATTATTGAAAGTCTTTCTTTTGTACATCGATGAGGACAACTTGATACTTGAGAGAGGAGATGCTTGTACGTCTTTTTCATGCACTTAAACGATTAGCTAGCTTCACAGTTTTCGCCTTCTTGGTTCTTTCAGCGTACGCATACCTTTTCATGCTGCTTTTCAAGGAATGCAAGGGAGCGGGATTGAGCGATTCAGCCAACTTCAATATAGACTCCTGGCTGAATATTCCCTCTGACAGCGAATCGGAAGAGGTTAACCAACCAATCCTTACAAACTCTGCACATTCGAATGACGGAAGAGACCACCATTCACTCATTCAGCCCAAGAGCACAGATGGACACGCATCTGTCCCTCCTGATAATTCAGCATATGAACAAAGTAAAGCAGGCTTGCAATTGGATAAGAAGCGTAAGGTAAATTAGTGTAAAGAGTTTTCATGAAGATACAAAACTAACATATCCGATCCCACAGAGAGGTGAGACTCTAGAAGAGTTCAAAGAAAAGAAACGCATTTGGAACAAAATTTACAGAGAAAGGGTCCGAAAGGATCCAAAAGCTCATGCTAAATGCAAAGCAAAAAAGCGCTTAGCATCACAATCTTTATGGTCTCAGATCAAATCAGATCCTATACGACATGAAAAACACAAAAAAGATTATGCAGAATACAGAAAGAAACTGAACGCCAGAAAGAATGCCGGCCAATAGATGTTGATAGTCATTACGACTGGAATTGAGAGCTCGTCACCAATTAGATTCTATGGTAGCGAGCAATGTGTGCACAGCATTGCACAAGAAGGCTGAACGCAACTCATGTACGCAAAGTTCATGATATGGTATAAACGCCCATCTCAGTAATCAACTGCCACCTTGTTTTCCAGCTCATTCAATCGACTGGCAGAGGTAAAGTTCGATTCAACCTCAAAATGAAGTTTTACTTAATCCTAAATCTTGCCGTTCTGAGTCTTTTTGTATGCGGCAGACCAGCGGATGAAGAAATCGATCTGACTCTACGAATTGCCCCACCTGGAAGCCCGACAAGTTCATCTTTATACCCCCTCACTATTTATGATAAGGCTTCTGAGCATGATACTACTGTTTCGCTCAGTCTTACTCCTGCGAAGCCTCAGGGCAGCGGAAGGAAGCGTAAAATTACTGCATTTGAAATAAAGGTAAGATGAATGTCGAATTGTTTAGATGCCAGCATGAGAGGCTAAGTCTACATGCCTTTTGCATTACAGGATCCAGTTCAGATAAAGAGGAGAAGAAAGCAAATTTCGGATAGTACGAACCGCTACATAGCCAGGTTAAAAAGCGATCCTGAAACACATGAACAATTTCGCGAAAGGCGTAAAGTAATAAATGCAAAATATAGGCAGAATCAGAAGTCCAATGAAGAATATCGCAAAGGACGTAAAGTAGCAAATGCGAAGTACAAGCAGACTAAAAAGCTTAAGATACAGCCAAATCAGCAATGAAAAAGTTCTCTAGATAGCTTCAAAGAGAACATAAAAAGTAAGTTAATTCGATGAGGAGCAGGTGTACAGTCATCGAGGTGACACATTTTTGAACTGCAGTCAGCATCTTTACATGCAAAATTCACGCCTAAAAGCAATGCTAAAGTATTCCAGTCAAACGTATGCAGCCTACTCGAATAGGCTCTTTTCTTCCAAGATTACGATCGTGTAATTGGCTCTTCCCGGGGCTCTCGTCACTCAATGCAAACAGTGAAAAAAGAAAATCTTATACTCTGTGTACTCTGTCTACCACTGCGACTTACACCCTCAAAAGTATGTTCGCAATGTCTTTTCAAATTGCACGGTACATTGTCTTCTTTTCCATCATCCTAAGCTCGCTTGCCCAGCCTCAACCTGTGAACGAAAAGGAAAGGATAGACTTGGAGCTCAGGCTGGGACCGCCCGTCACGAAGCTCAGAGAGCAACATACTATCGAAAGTGCCCAACAAGCAACTCACTCGCCTCAAGAAGATCAAACCAATAACAATCTAGACGCTAATTCTAGTCTTAATATCATAAATAGATCTGGTGCTCAAGGAGTAGCTCAAGCAAATAAGCCAAAAGTAGGAAGACCACGACTTGAAGTCCAGGTGAGTCTAATCTAAGCTGTTTAACATAGTTTCTCCTGCCTAAATGCGTATCATCCATCGTAGGACGAAGCAACAGATCGTAGACGGGAGCAATATCGTACAGGTGTTCAGCGACATGTGCAAAAGCTGAAATTGGATCCCAAAGCGTATGCAGAATATCTTAAGGCTAAGAGACAAGCCAATGCAAAAAATCGTGAAAAGGTACTCAAAAATCCGACCAAACTTGCTCATTTGAGAGAAAGGGAAAAGCGAAACAGGCTGGCAAGAAAGCTTAACAAATCAAATGCGGGAAAAAAGACTAACAACAGCTGATATAGGACTTTGTATGAGCCAGATTGCCTCTTCCTCTTATGTTACTTAATATGAGCTTCATTTATCTTTCTTGCTTGTTTCGTTTTCCGGGGCTGATTTTGGTCTTGAAAGGCGCAATTTTTTGTAAAAAGAGGCTCTGTTTGATCGTAAAGCCTCCTTTCACTATATGATGCACCGCCTCAGGCTGGCTAAAGCTTACCTTGAAACGCAAACAGTATTATATTACTTGCGTATTAGACAGGCTTGTTCTCTTTCTACGCAATATGACTGCCCCGGCCTCCTTTGGATTCTGAAATCCAATCTTGAATACATGTCATCATCAAGCCAACATGAGAGCCTTCAATGCCTTTAGAAAAAGAGCAACTGAATTCAGACTTATGACAATTATAGGAATATCTTTTTCGTTTATATGTAATTCTTCATTCACCTATTCAACAAGTAACTCCTCAAGTGAGAATGAATTCAACGTAGATTCTTTTTTAGACTTACTCGCATATAGCGATACTGAAGCTGAACAGAGACCACCTCAACTGCAACCTGACCAGCATGGCAATCACAACAAAGCAGATGCTAAGCATAATATTATGATGAATAAGCACACTACAAACAAAATGACAGGAAGCAAGATACGAACAAAAGTTGCTGAAGACGGCTTGAGTAGATGGCAAAGATACCGTCTAGAGCACAAAGATAGGAAAGGTCCAGCAATAATTGGTGAAGATGGTTTGAACAGATGGCAACGATACCGTCTTAAACGAAAGAGTAGAGTAAGTACAACAAAAAGAATATGTGTTCTCTACATTAACGCCACCTGTCGCTTGCGCTTCTTTTGCTTCCTTAGGGGCTTGATGAAAAAGAGAAACATAGAGAAAGGGATATAAAGTATAGAAAAAGTGTTCAAGAAAAAATGATGCAGGATTCAAGTTTTGCTCAAGAATATAAAAAACAACGAAGTAAAAGGAACAAAAGCAATTACGAAAGAACTAAAAATGATCCACAAAGGCATGCTAGACGAAAAAAGCAATCCCGTTTAGCAGCAGCAAGATATCGCGCGAAAAAAAAGGAACAAAAAGAGGCAAGTAAGCCCCCTCAATCGCTATAGGGTTGTGTATTGCATGTGGTCAAAATGAGGCACTATTCCTCCGTATAATGTTGCAACGGAATCCTTGTGTAACATATCTACCATGCAGCACTGCATAGTGTATTGATCTTGTGGCGTTCCGAACTGTTTCGAAATTTCTCATATTTCTTGCCTCCGTCCTTTCGAAATCTTAAGATGATCCTACTGGGATCAATACAGATTTTGCATTCTTTATATCTTGCAGCTAAGAACTTTGTGAGAACGACAATGATAGCAGCCGTTTATACAGCCTTCTACGTCCCGGTGTTGCGATTTTGCTTCGTATACCTGTGCTTTTTGGCAAGCGTGATAAAAAGTACCTCCTCTGACCAATCCGACTTCAACGTAGATTCCTTACTCAATCTATCACCCTCTGACGACTCAGTCACGAATGAAAGCAACCGTGCAATCACCCGCATGGATTGTGTCCACGTCCCACAAGAATCCTTGCCTGGAAAGAAGGCGGCTCAAATATCAACCAAGTGTATCGTTAGCCAGACAGAAAACAAAGTACCACACAAACGAAAGAGAAAAAATCCACCGATCACAGAAGAATCCCGAATGAAGCGTCGTGAAAGAAGGAAGCGATATGAGGAAAGATTACAAAACAGACCTGAAGCTTTAGCCATGCAGAAAAAGCGAAAGCGTGATAATAATATCAAACATTATCAAAAAATCAAGAGTGATCCCAAGGAGTATGAACAGCTTAGAATTAGGATGAATAAGAATACACAAGCTTGGCGTGCAAGACAAAAAGATCAAGATAAATAATATCCACGCTTATCCGCCATATGCAATTTCATAGCCATAACGCCAATGCTATGAATCTTCACGGGGCATAAGAGTAGTGCTGTGGTTTCATTTGCATTGCAGAGAAGAAAACAAATCGCATGCCTCGTACCTTTTCTCAAAACCCATCATCCATCTCAAAATCCCCAAGAAGGATGCCAAGTTCCCCTCGGAGATGTGTGTTTTTGATTTTGCTCTTTGTTTGTAGCACGACCTTTCCCGCCAATAGAGCAACTGAGAATGAAGGCATAGATCTGCGGCTTACTCTGGCCACTCCCAGTCAGAATGCATCAAATCAGTTGAGTGTACAGCCAACTAATGCTCAGCAAGAAGAACAGCTAAATGCAGATAAACACATCGAAGGAGATCAGCCCCAGAATGTTGAACCTAGGCGTCTGCAGAGGAAAAAACGAACAAAAGCAGAAATGGCGGTAGGTATAGCAACTTATTCCAAAAATGATTCTGCATGCTGACTGGCGTCTTTCATCTTTATCGCAGTGCTTAGATAGAGCAGAGTTGAGGAAAAAACAGTATCGTGCAGCAAATGAACGTTTTATGGAAAGAGTAAAGAACGACCCAAAACTTCTTGCTTACTTCAACAGTCGAAAAAGGCGCAATGCTGCCAATCGATTAGAGATGATTAAAAAAGATCCTCAAAAGTCAGCTGCCCTTAGAGCAAAGTATAAAAGTGTCTATGATAAGCGCAAGAAGAGAAAACTTATGAAGGAGAAGTCACAAGAAGGAGATGCATAGACTTAATACTAGAAATCTGCGACCCAGTCCCGCATCCCTGCAAGTTATTTATAAGATAATGGACCGATCGTATATGGATCAAAAAAAGGCTGTGTTAGTTTATCTCATGATACTATCTTCGAGTACTGCATGAGCATTACATCATCTTATTTCTCTTCAGACTCACGTAAGTAAGATAAGTTTGCAGCCGCAATTGCGGTGCTCTAGCGAATCTTGCTGAATTCACAATGTTTATGAACACAAAAAAATAAGTGACCAAAGTCTGATCTCAGAACGAATTTGTATTGCTCTTTGTAATCATCTTCTGCTCTACCGTCTCTTCCAGAAATGGTCTTTTGTCTTCCGTTGATCACGGTACACTTACTCTTTTATCTCCTTCTCAAATCTATTTCACATTCTCGTGCCACAGTTGTAGAGCCTGCTCTGGATTTAGAGTTAAAGTTGGCACCTCCAGGGACGTCAAATGTATATCAAGAAGCGACACAAGCTAGCAATATCCCTGTAGACCTTTCTACCCAGAGGTCAGAGCGTCAAGACGCCTTGATTAACAATGTCAAAGCTTCTCAAGAGGACAAGTCACTGAAAAGAAGGCGCGGAAGGCCAACAATAGACATGTCGGTAAGTATCAAGTAATATAAACTGTATTGTTGTATTGTGGCGGAGCTCGTGTTTGAGGTACTGATCGTATGCTACCACAAAAGCAAGAAGAAAGGATAAAGAGAAGGAGAATGCAATATCGCATAGCAAACCACAAAGCCAAAGTAAAGTTACACAGTGATCCTGAACGTTTACAAGAATTCCTCCAACGAAGAAAGACGATGGGAAAAGAAAGTCGAAAGAAACAACTTGAAGATCCTGAACGAAAAGCTCACATTATACTAATGAGGAAAGTATATAGAAGAAGGCATTATGAAAAGAAGAAGCTCGAGAAAGTGAACGGAAATCCGAAGATGCAAAGATAAATGAGTCCTTACTTTGAATACTGAGTAGATCTCAGAAAGCCCTTGCGGCTGACTAGTTTTTTTAATAATGACAGCATTCTCCTTCCTTTAATAAATGTCGTATCAGACCAAGTAAGAGTTGATGTGGCCGTAATGACGCTTTTCATTTCATGGGGCGTTATTTGTTCATGAATGCAAAGAACTTATTTACCAGCGTTCAGCTTCAAATTGTGTGAAAATTGCTCCTGATGACCATCTACTGCACAATCTTCTTGATGAAAAGATGATCTTTCTTCCTTCGTTGATTATGATAGATTTCCTTTTATCTTTCCTCCTCAGAGCTTCATCACTTTCTCATGCCGCAGGGATAGAGCCTCCTCTAGACTTAGAGCTGAAATTAGCACCTCCTGGAGTACCAAGTGTATATCAAGAAGAATCTGGACAAGATACCAATATACCTATAGTAGACACATCCGCTCAGATTTTACAGCTTCAGGACGTCTCGCACGGCAGGATCGAAGCTTCTCAAAAGAGCAAGTCCCTGAAAAGGAAGCGCGGAAGGCCTAAAAGCGATATGACTGTGAGTTTGAACTTAAATAGATAGATCTATGGTATGTAAGGCACTGATCGGTACAATAACTACAGGAAGAGGAAAGAAAAGAAAGAAGGAGGAAACAATTTCGTGAAGTAAAAAGCAGAGCTAGAGAAAAGTTACTAAGTGATCCTAAAGCTCTACAGGAGTTCCGCAAACAAAGAGCAATAAGGGAGAGAGAAAATCGAAAAAAGCAACTTGCGGACCCTGAACGAAGAGCGCACATTATCAAAATGCGAAAAGTACATAAGAAAACATATCATGACAAGAAAAAGCTCAAGGAGTGGGACGCAAAGTTGGACATATAATATTGAATAAGGTACAATTCTTATATTCTGATGGACCCAAGGAAGCCCTTACGGCTAATTGAATGAATAAGTATACTATCTTCTCTTCGTTTTCTCTTCATTGATGGTGTGTTAAGTGGATGAGACCAAGTGAGAGTCGATGTGGCTGTAATGACGCTTTCGTTTATTTCACGGGGCGTGCTTTTTCTATGTTGACTGGAAAGTGTTGAGAAAAATCTCTCGCAGTTTAATTATCTCCTCCTCTTACCATTCATCTGTAGTACCATTTCTACGAGAATGGCCTTCCTTCGATCGCGTCTGGTGATCTTTATCCGCCTCTATTTTCTTTTAGGAAGTTCATATCTTCGAGCTACAAATGAAGACAAGAAGCTTGATTTAGAGCTAAGATTAGCACCTCCAGGGATGAATCTATCAAGCGAAGAACCTACACAGATAAATGATGAAGTTCTTTCCGGTTCTAAGCAGGCTTTACCGCGGTCTCAAAAGGAATTAGTGCATCAATCTAGTAAACGTAAGCGTGGAAGGCCCGAATTGAACTTAACGGAAGAACAAAAAGCAGAACGAAAGAGGAAGATAACTAAAATCTACAATCAGAAATATGACGAAAATTTGAAAAAAGACCCAAAACGTTACGGAAAGTTTTTAAAGCGAAGAAGAGAACGTACAGCATGCCTGCGAAAGAAACAACTTCAAGATCCGAAAAGAAAGGCAGAGATTATTGAAATGAGAAAAAAACACAAAAGAACTTATCATGCAAAGAGGAAGCTCAAGAAATTGAATGCACATTTGGACACGCAAGAATGAGTAACGACTTTTATAGTCTCATAGATCTCGCAATCCCTTGCTATTAGTTCTTTAAATGACTCCAGCTTTTCTTCTTTTGATGGTGTATTGTGAAACTTTGTATCAGATGAATGTGTTGTTGTAAGACTTAATGTGGCTGCAATGACGCTTTATGTGTTTTACGGGGCGTACTTTTCTTACGTTTACAGGAAACTGACGAGAAAAATCACTCCCAAACTAGGATTTCTTTCTTTTATTGTTCATCTAGAGTGTCGTCTCAACCGCCATGGTATACCTTCGATCTTATCTCTCGATTTTCTTCCCCCTCCTATTCCTTTTAGGAACTAGTACATATCTTCGAGCTACAAATGAAGACAGCAATCTTGATTTAGAGCTAAGGCTAGCACCTCCGGTGGCGAATGAAAAACCAACTCCTAATGCTGATAATACCATTATCAGCTCTGTCCAAGTTTTGCAGCCGGGGAAAGAATCTCAAGATCAATATAGAGCATCTCAAAATAATCGCAGATCAAAACGTAAGCGTGAAAGACCGGTAGTAGACTTAACAGAGGAAGAGAGAATAGAACGAAAAAAGAAGCGCAATAAAACCAAAAATCAAAGATACGAAGCAAACGTAAAAAAAGATCCCGAACGTTATCGGAAAATGCTACAGAAAAAGAATGAAAATCTGGTAAAAAATAGAAAAAAGAAATTTGAAGATCCTAAAACAAAGGCAGAATATCTTGAAAGGAGAAAAGAATATAATAAAGCTTATAGCGCAAAGAGGAAGCTCAAAAGGTTGAATGCGAAAGCAAGATTGCAAGAATGAAGCTGTACTTATTTCATTGCTTTGCGTTACGTATCATAGGTCACAGCCTATTGTTATTGCGGGGCTGAGTTTGTTTTCAGCAAAGTTTGTGTTATATTTATTCTAAGTATCCTAAAGTTTCAGCAGATTTCGTCCATTCATCTTTAAGAAAGACGACGCCAACATAGCATCAGCCTGTTCAAGTATGAGAAAGTATTTAGTTATTCTGCTTCTTTTAAACGCTGCTTCTTATGGTCAACCTGCTCACGATAATGATGAGCTAGATTTGGATCTGAAACTTGCACCTCCAGGCCAATCACATGCGGTGCGATTTAACAAAGTGAACCAGCAAAGCACGTCACTTAACATTATTTCACCCTCAGAACAAAATCAACATGTTGTTCCGTCAAAGACCATGACTGGCACAAAGGATAAAAACATCAACAGCCCAGCAAGGAAGATTCATGTCAGATTAAGAAGGACGAAAGCTGAAATGATGGTAAGTCGAGGATAATGAATATGTATAGTACAAATTGCAAAAGCTGAATAAACGCCTACAGCTTGTTGACAGAGCTGCTGAAAGACGTAAACAAACACGAGAAGCTGGAAGAAGACATACACAAAAAAGAAAAGGAAACCCTGAATTGGAGGAAGATTATCGCAAACGTAAACAGGGATATAATCGTAATTATCAGAACAAAGTGATGCACAGTGCTTATAAAGTACGACAAGAACGACAAAGTACCGAACGAGCAGAGAAAGTACAGAAGCAAAGGTTGATGATGGATCAAAGTAACTTATGAGGCTGCACTCTCATTAAGGCGTATTTCCTCACTGTACGCGTATAATCTAGTAAGCGTGCGTGTTTCTTTTATGCATGCAATACTCCACACGATGACATAAATTCATTCTTCTCTTGCTCACCATCAACTCAATAATCATGTGGTATTCTTCAACTCAAAAATCAAATGAGTCGGTACCTGAACTGAGTTCATCCAGAGCGGTTGTATCTGGGGGTTCGCAAGGGATAGGAGCTGGTATCGCATTGCGATTCGCATTAGCGGGTGCATCCGTTTGGGTGGTCGGAAGATCGGAAGAACGTGGTGCAGAAGTGGTGAAGAAATTACAACAAGCTGCATTAGAAGGTGCAAGACGAAGATCAATAAATACAAAAGAGGCTGAAGAAATATCCAAAACTGGTGGAACGACAAATAAAGATTTCACATTCTTCAAAGCGGATCTAAGTGATGTTCAAGAGATCAATCGTGTTGCAGCAGAAATTGCAAAAAGAGCTGGAAAGGGAGGTGTAGACTGGCTGTTTGAAAGTCAGGGTGGTCCTCCTACAGGAAATTCACCAGATACACCAGCAGGAATTGATTCAGCTTTTGCCGTTCAATGTCTCTCGAGGTATGGGTTGGCAAAAGGTCTTTTGACATCGGGTACGATCAAGCAAGGTGTATGCTTTATTGCGGTTCCAGGTCAAGGCGGCAAAAAGCCAATTGAGTTGGACGATATCGAATTGAAGAGCAAAAGGAGCAAGTGGGGTCTGAACATACCAAGAAGCGGAGCAAGAGATTCGGCTGTTCTTGATGCAGTCACCCTAGTAAGTAACGTATGGCGAAAAGAGAAAGAGAGTATCCCACTGACCATCAATAAATTCTCTCTAGTCATTTGCCCAACAGTATCCCAATCTCACATTCAGCCACATCTTCCCTGGTCTAATAGGAACCAATGCAGCTGCAAATCAAGGTTTCCCTTTCCCCATCCCTCAAGCATATAAAGCAGCAGGCCTCTTTTTACCTTCCGCTGAACAGTTTGCTGAACTTCCTTTCTATCTACATGCAAATCCTGAGGGTAAACGTTATTTACGTAGCGGAGAGGCAAACTTGTTCTGGCCATGGCTATCGAGAATGTCCATCTCTCCCAATGTGGAGGATCAAGCGCATCGATCTGCCATCATTGCCAGGCTTGATAAGTATGGATTTTAAATTGTATTTAAAGTGAACTCTAAGCAGAAAATATACTAATCTATTGACAAAAGGACAGGTTATTGTTCAATTGACGTTATCTCTCATGTAGATGAAAGATGAAAGGGTGAAATTTTTACAAAAACTGTGAGATACATTATACAGCTCAAGGGATCAAATGAGCTATCTTTCATTCTTGCAAGTTTGATTTCTCGTTCAACTTTTTAAGCTTCTTCCTTGCAATGTATGCTCTTTTATTTCTTCTTCTTCTTTCGCGAATTTCTGCACTTCTTTTAGGATCTTGCATTTGTATTTTAATGGCTTTTGCTTGGTGTTCCCTTTTCCTTTTCAAGTGTTTTTCACGAAGTTCGGGATTTTGATTTACACTTTCCCTGTATTTTCGATTTTTGACTTGAATTCGTTTCTTCTTTCGTTCTGTCCTCTCTTCTTCTGTTAAGTCTAATCTTGGTCGTCCCCCTTTACGTTTCATTCCACGATCCAGCGTTTGAAAATGACCTTGTAGCTGTTTCAGAGATTGATCAGCTATCTGTGTTGCTTCTTTACTCGATTTATCCGTTCTAGGAGGTGCTAATCTTAGCTCTAAATCGAGACTGTTATCTTCGTTTGTAGCACAAAGAAGTGGCCTAATTCCTAAGAGGAGGTAGAGGGGAAAGCAAAGAATGAGTTGCGGTTGAACGAAGAACATCTTCGAAAAGATGGTATTCGAAGTGAACAAGAAGAGAAGGAAAACTCTCTATGGCTTGGATTAAGTCATGGTAATCAGTTGTCAACAGACATAAACAAAGTACGCCCCGTGAAACGCACTCAAATCCGCCATTATATCTATATCAAGTGTTATTTGGCGATATTCTTCTGATGCTCAACTAACTTTATCCCTTGTGTAGATGAAAGGATGTAAGTACGGTTGCGTACACTAAATCGCAGAAATTGCTAAAAACAAAGTCAGCCCCAGGAGGACAAAAATTGTGAGATATCTTACACAAAAAAAGGATCAACAAAGCCAAACTTCATTCTTGCAAGTTTGATTTTTCATTTAACTTTTTTTAAGTTTCTGTTTAGCACGATAATTTCTTTTACGTGTTCTTCTCATTTCACGGATCTCTTCCCTCTTTTTAGGATCTTGCATATTCACTTTCATCCTTTTTGCCTCATTTTCATACCTTTTTTTACGATAATTTTCAAGACGTTGGGAATCTTTTCTCAAATTTGCTTGATAAGTTTTATTATTGGCGCTAAGTTGCTTCTTCCTTCGTTCTATCCTCTCTTCTTTGGTAAGATTTAACCTTGGTCTTCCTATCTTACGTTTCATACCATGATCAAGCGTTCTGGATTGATCTTGTCTTGGAGGAGCCTGTGAGGAGTTAACAAGAGATGGCGTAGCTACCTGTGTTGCTTGTTTACTGGATTCATTAGTTCCTGGAAGTGCTAATCTTAGCTCTAAATCGAGATTGCTGTCTTCATTCGTAGCCCGAAGAAGTGGACTAAATCCTAGAAGGAGATATAGAGACAAGCATATAATGGCGAGCGATCGAAGGAAGATCATACTTCTTAGAGATGGTTATGTAGTTGGGGAGAGAGAAGGAAAGTGTTCTTGAGTTTGAGTAAATCTGATGAGATATTTGCAGCAGTATTAAGCAGAGGGAGCCCCGTGAAACACATTCAGAGCCGCATTTATATCCACTTCGAGCCTTGGCTGGGTATACTTATTGTTATGAAATCTGATGTAAGACAGCAGCACGATACACCACATTCATACTGAAAAAGAGATTGTGGTCAGACGCTTTACCTAACGAAGCGTCCTGACTCTTTACTTCCTGAGCTTTAGTGTCTATGTGTATACTGATTGCTTGTGTCGGCTCTTCTTGATATGCTGTTAGTTGTCTGGAAGAGGTGTTAGATAAGCTCTAAGTCAAGAGCAGGCTTTACATTGACGATATTATTACGCCACATGGTTGTGTGTGAACGAAGAGGTTGATTGATTGACATATCTGAACACCCTTGACGTAATCACTGAGCCGCAACCGGTAAGGTTCTCTTCCCTTAGCGCCGCGTTAAAGTGCCAAGCGTGCCCGCGAGAATTCTTCCGCAAATGCATGTGTGAACATGTACACCCCCTTACCCCCTTCCATCACAATCATCATCAATAGGCAAGCTATATTAGATACATCAACATCCATGACAGATCAATAAGGACCGCTTTCAGATCATCTCAATTTCGACTCGCCAGACATGGTCACTTCTCCGCTTGTCGTATTGGCATTACAATGTGCGGGAATGTTGACAGGCACGTTTATTTGTGGAATAATTCCATTATACCTTTCACTTTCCAAAACCAAGCTGCGCATGTTAGAAGTGATTGGTGCTGGACTATTGGTTGGTGCCAGTATGACTGTCGTTTTACCAGAAGGCGTTCAAGCTCTGTATTCTGCTGGGGAAGGACATCATTCGCATGAACATGGTATCATGGCACAATCGACATCTCACCTCTCACAGATACCGTCTACACTCGCATCCGGTCAAGCACAATCATCATGGGCATGGAGCAAATTGTCAAAACGAACAACACGGGAACGGGATTTTGATCCAGAGAATACTGTTGGCATAGCATTATTGGCTGGTTTTCTAGTGATGTTTCTGTGAGTGCTTAACATTCATGCTCCTTTGATGCAGTCTTCTTACACATCTCTCTCTCTCTCTCTGACTTTCCTTCCTACAGAATCGATCAAATCGCATCACCTGGAGCACACGTTCATGCAGGGCCAAGCGGACCGGATCGAGAAGCACATAGCCACTGGCATGGACCTTCGCATCGACCAGAAGCTCTTCGATTGACTAGGGCATCATCTTTGATGATCTCAAAAGACGATCCTTCACAAAGCTTGAATTCTTCATCAGGTAGGCATTTCCGAGTCGATCCTTCTAGCACGGAAAGTAGCCCGGAACAAATGCCCGCTGATCATGATTACGTTCCTCATTCTCAAGCTCATCTTCTTGATGATTCCCATCATACAGGAACTTCAACAACTTCACGCGATGATTCAAGACCAGCAAATAGACCTAGAAAATCTTCGGATGCACAGAATAGAGGAACAAGTGCAAATGGTGGTCATTCGGATTCATCGCATAGCCGATCAATTCGACAAGCATTTGCATCGATTGCAGGTCTGATCATTCATGCTGCAGCGGATGGAATCGCAATGGGCGCAAGCGCTGGCAGTGATGATGATAGTTTGAAATTGGTTGTTCTGCTGGCGATAATGATTCACAAAGCTCCAGCAGCTTTTGGATTATGTACACTGTTGATGGGACAACGATTACACAAAAGTCAAATTCGTAAAGCGATTGCAATTTTCAGTCTATCAACTCCGGTTGGCGCAATTTTCACCTATCTATTCCTTTCTCTTGTTCTTAAATCAAGTCCTGATTCCAACTCCAACGGAATCGGGTCAGAGCATATTGGCGGTGCACTTACATTTAGTGCTGGAACGTTTATGTTTGTTGCCATGCATGCTGTACAGGAATTAACATCAGCCGCCGCTGATATCGATCTGGATGCAAGCACGCATCATCACCATCATGGTCATGCTCATCATTACGAAGGCGTTTCAACATCCCCGCATGGAGCTCCAGCTGAGGCTCTCCCTCGTCAAATCTTGGGTAGGACAGGAAGGCTTTCCTGCTTTTTATTAGGCACAATCTTACCTAAAATCCTGCAAGGCTTGGTCGGACATCATCATTAAAGCTGTGCATAATCTGCTGCATCATTCATCATTATCGTGTTTTGTACTGTATTATATCATTTTTTTTTCGCTATCAAACGAAGATCAGCCAGTAAAAGAGAGTGTTGAGGTTATGTCACATGCGTCCTTGAAAGCCAAAATGCGTGAAATTGCACTTGACAGGGTATCGGAATATCAAGAAAAAGACAAAATTTTGGGGGATAGCAGTCAAAAGGGAACGGGGTAGGTATAAAAAATTGAGGAAGCTTACAATTCCTCCAACGGGGCAATTACGAGTAGTCAAAGAAACAGATCAACTTTCTTCCTCGGCATTGTTATTGTTACCCAAACTTGCCTTTCCGCGAATCTTTTTCCATAGACTACGTCTGCGAACTTTGCCATTTTCTCTTGCACGTTGTAAACGATCACGAGCATCTTCTTTTCCTTGTTTACGATCAGAAGGTACGTCAACGATATCACTCGGTGTAAGGTCTCCTGCGGTATTTTGAGCACTTGTTGCGCTCGTGCTTGCATTACGTTGAGTATCCAAAGATGCATCACCTGCACGTTTTGTTTCATCATGAGAAGCTGGATCGACAAAAGTTTGTCCTTCAGAACTAGGTGCAGCAGCATGAGATGAAGTATTGATGGTTGTAGAATCGATTGATGATTGACCTTCAGCTTCAGCCGATTCGCTTGGTTGAGCTGATTGAGATAAAGCGCCATAGTCCTTCTTCTTGTTTGCTTGCGCTGTTAATTCTTGAACGGATGTGGTTCCTTGAATTGCTGGAGCAGCGGCATTCCTTTGCGCAGGAGCGGCAGCGGTAGGATTGACGAGCGAACGATTTGTGCCCATAAACAGAACAAACAAGATCCACTCCAATGCACTGACGAGCAATTGTTCAGCAGCCAAAGAGCTTGAATTGAGTTGACTGATGATGCCGTATACGCTTGTGTCTACATTTGAATGACGAGTGTAATGATGAGTTTGGAAGAGTAAATTCAAGATTGACAAATTCACCAACATTGAGATTATACAAATTGCTGAATAACCAATCGCTTGACCGGAGAAGTCGACCGAAGTATCACCAGATCGAACACGGGAAACACCTGCAGTGATCGATCGCCAAACGGTAAAGATTGCACTGCATCTTGCCAAACAAACAGCCAAGATGATGAACAGCAAACCTCTACGAGGAGTTGTAGATTGTGAGAGTGATGCAGCAGCATTTAATACTTTTGCTGAAGCACTCTTTCCTCGAATTCGATCCAAAAAGCTTACATCCGCGCCTACAGTTGACAAAACGGATTGAATTGCGGAAGGTGTTTGATCGAAAGGTAAGACGCCTAGATGAATGGCAGCAGTGATTGTTGTGATTACGTCCAAAAGAGCCGTAACGGGCATGAATTGTGATGGGAAACCCATTTTGAATTAAAGAAGAGAGAGAGATGGATGACAGTTTGAAATCAAAAGTGATAAGCCGCTTATTTTAAAAAGCAATGTCGATCTTTAAAAATCAAACTTTTTTTTATTTCCTCTGGCTTTATACCTGCATGCCCAATGTCATAAGCTGATCCGATTTAAATCGCGTCTTAATACCACGCGTGAGATTACGCTAAGGGAAAAAGAAAGACGCACAGCCGGAATTGAACTGCATCCAAATTAAGGGCGTACAAATAAGGCGGACCGCGTTGCGTGCGTTGCCGCGCTTATCTTTCACAGTTGACAACAACTTTTACACAGGCCTGTGTCACTCTTGAGCATAAATTTCGGACTTTGGCCCGTGCGATAATAAGCAATGAATTGATGATCACAGCATGTTGACCTCATACCATACCCACACGCTCAAGACCACCATTCAATCCTTCCAAACAACAACAACGACGAAAGATGGCATCTACAACAATTACAGAATCACTTTATGTCATCTTAGGCGTGAATGAAGATGCAAGTACACAAGAGATAAAACAAGCATACAAGAAAGCCGCATTACGAACACATCCCGATAGAGCATTACCGGAGAAAAAACAAGAAGCTGAAACGAATTTTAAACGAGTGGCAGAAGCATATGAAATCTTATCAAAACCAGAAAGTAGACATCGATACGATATGTTCGGTACGCCAGGATCGCCTCCTCCACCTCGATCAAGCGGCAGAGCAAGACCTTATAACACTACAAACGACAATCCATCAAATACATACTTTGGCACTTCTCCCGATTCGAAACCGTTCACATTCCAATGGGAATCATCACACGATTCAGCCAGAAGAGCACAAGCACAAAGAGGTGCCGGTTTCCGTACTGCTTGGGGAGGTAGTGCTTGGGGAGCGGATCCGTTTGAATTATTCAATCAAATGTTTGAACAAGAACTTCGTAATTCTCGTCCTTCAAGAGAATTTTTTAACAATCACAATCATCCTTTTCAACAAGATCCCTTCTTTTCCACTCATAGACCAATGATGCCAGATCTTTTTGCCGGTTTTGGACCTCCTGGACCTTCCATGCACGATGAAATGGATACTGGTTTTCCCGCCACTAGAACTAGACCGTTTGGAGGATTTGGCATGTCTAATGTGAGCTCTATGATGGGCTCAATGTCATCTGGCACGCATAGCTCGGGTGGCGGTGGAGGACATTTCGTTAGCGAAAGTCGTGAAACACGTACTGTCAATGGACGTACGGAGACGATTATTCGAAAAACTGACGGTCAAGGCAATGAAACGGTGGAGAGAATCACACCTGAAGGCAGAAGATCCACGCTCAATGGTGTTGATCTGCCGATGCTTTCACAAGGTAATTCAACCAATGCAGGAATGCTTCCTCAACAGGGTTTTCCTAATTGGCGAGGTTTTTGAAGTCGTCTAATTTCGGATCTAATCTTATATTTTCTTGGTATAGCAACGTCATCTAATCATTATATTTCTCAAATGTACACCACTCAATTTCATCATGTATTTTAATTTCTCCATTCCTCGACGAATATTAATGTGATCTTGTCCCCTGTATTCGTCTGTAGTAGAAAGTGACGCCCAAATCATACAACACCCAGCAATTGGCTGTGGTTACCTTTGTGTTGGTCATAAGCGGTACCGAATCGGATTAGGTAAACTGTCCAACGGCTCTTTACGCGTGAGAATCTTTAACGCGTTTAAAGAGCATGCAGGTAAGATTGTTTAATGAGGGTGTTGTCTTTTACTCATTACAAATCTCTTATGGTCAATTGAGATCTTACTTTTCAACAAACAAGTAGTCAGACTGATCAAGATGATAATCCAGTAAAAGCCAACATGGCTCCTGAACATAGCGGGTTCATAGAAGAATATCCGCTCATACGAGTGGATAAGTTTACTGGAACGCTTTCCAAATTACCGGAATGGTTAAGTACTTCAGCAAGAGAAGATCTACCGTCTTTTGCAAGTCATTATTCACCTCCTCACATTCAATTACTATCTCATCCACATACGGATCATTTGGTTGGACTATCTTCTTTATCACAACATAGTGCGCCAATTTATTGTTCGGAAACAACAAAACGTTTACTTTTAGCATTAGAACGTAAAGAAGATCGAATTCGATTTGATGAAGGAAAGATAACGACTCGCAAAAGACCTTATAGACATTTACGTAGAACGGAAAAAGAATGCAATGCACTCAATGCACAAACTGGCATTCATGCCTTGACACCTTGGGACCTTTTGATTCCTTTACCGTTTGATAAACCAATTCAAATTCAATATAATGCAAACACAAAGATTCGTTTAACGCTATTACCGGCTAATCATATGCCTGGAAGTACAATGTTCTTGATCGAAGGTCCAAGAGGTGCTGTTTTGCATACCGGTGACTTGCGTGCCGAACAAAACTTCGTTCAAGATTTAATCGCTAAAACTCATCTTGGTCGACTTTCGATTGTGCCAAGCCCTTTTATGAGTTCTCCTACATGGCCGATGAATGTCATTTCACCAAGCATACAATCTCAAGGGATTGCTAAATCACCTTCTGATTGTGGATCTGATTCAAAGCTTGAATCTGTTTATTTGGATACAGAACGAATAATGGATAGTCAAGAACCACTTCCACGTTCAAAAGCGATCAATGATGTCTTAGAACTCATTAAGCTTTATCCAACTTCAACATCTTTTCATATCGATCTTTGGACTTCAGGTTATGAACAATTTTGTGTAGGCCTTTATAAAGCTTTTGCGGCTGAAGAAGAAGGTTTGATTCATATCGATCGTTATAAAGCTGAATTGTTTGAAATCATGGCAAATGGAGAAGCAGAATTTGCGTCTCTGGCTGACATGGTTCATCAAGATAAACAAAAGTGCGGTCGATTTTGCATATCCGACAATCCAAGTTGCATACAACGAGAAGGTGTGATCCGCATTAAACCGCATGAAAGTATATGCGTGGAGAAATGGCAAGAGAAGCGTTTAGAGCTTATCGAACAAATCAAACAAGCAAGAAAAGGGAAAATTGAGTTTCCAACAGAACTACCATTACCAATTCAACGTCACTCACCGCTGCCAGAACTGTACAAGATGATCGCATCGCTGAGACCACGTCATTTGATCGCAAATACAGCCACGCCTACTGCTCGATTTATATCTGCTCGAATGAGTGAGAACATTGGACTAGCCGGAGCAGGCGAAGCTGAGGAAAGACAACGCAATTCTACTCGAAAGTCGAATGCTGAAGATGCAGAAGAAGATGATCGTAAGTGGCAAGAATTCAGTAAAGTTTGGCAAAGTACTGAAGTCGAAGATCCAACTTCTATTGAATCAAGAAAGCTAACTCAAGCAGAAGCATTCTTTGAGCGAGTTTCGCGCTTTCGAACGATCTTGTATGGCCAGAAAAAGATGGACTCAGAAAGACTGCTATTGGAATGTCTCGACGCAGCCAGTGATGAATTTCCACATGATCCTCTACCGCCTGCGTCTGCTTCTGTGTTATGTCCATCGTCCAGTCGGGATAACGTCCAGCAAAATCCACTTTCCACAAGAAAGGCCAAGATTTGGGAAGCACCCGGAAAGTATGCCTCTGTCAACGCATCACCTTTTATGACCGCTGCAATGCGTGAAGCAAGAAGCTCTTCTACCACCACGTCAAATACACCAATTCGAGTATCTTCAGCTGATCAAAACAATGTGCCAACCCTGACCACTGAACTTGCATCTCGTTACTTAGCATATGCTGCCATGTATCTTGGATGGAAAATTCGTAATCCGTCTCATTATCGTCAAGAGATGGCATGGAGAGCGATACGCAAGGTAAAGCCAGTATTGGCAAAACAGACGGAAGAAGCCCTACAAAAAGAATTAGGATGGGCAATCCCACCGTGGGATGAAGTATCCTTCTCGTCAATATCGATTCAGCCAAATGTGACTGAAACCAGTATTGCAACTCAAGCACCGCCCACACCTTCTACACCTTGTCCATTGCCATCGCATACCATTGCTCAGTCGATCTCACCTCTGGAATTGGGCAGAGGCGCAAAAGCACTTCAAAGTCAATTAGCTCGCGAAGCTGAAAGTCAGCAAAGCTTATTCAGCGACGATCTTGAAAGTAGTCAAGGAGACGGGATGAATGATAATCAAGAAGAAATTCAGCTCGAAAGGCTAGAATCTCCTCCTTGTGCACAACGCTACCAAAGAACACAACATACGATTCATCTCACTTTGTCACAGCTTCGCGAGACTGTTCAATGTCTTCGAACAGGGAATGTCTTGCCAGCTTTTCGTGCGATTGGTCATTCTTGCTTTGATTCGATCATCGATGAATGGCTCACCGCCAACAAAGCACCTTCTTTTTCCCAATCTAGGAGAGGTAGAAGCCCATCAATTGACGGCGAAAGGATGCGATGTCAATTGGATCTAATCGGTGTTGCAGCTAAAAGTCAACGTGCTCGAAGATTGCTCGGATGGGATAGTGTTGATTTGCGAAAAGCACACTATGCCCTTAGAGCAATATTTGAAGAGCACCCAGGTATTTCATCACCTTCCCTTCATATCGCTGTTCCACATGCCAAAAGGGCAAAGATCGTATTGCGCTATCTCCAGCCCCATCTCACGTAATGGCCACTTTGTACAATACCCCACCATTGCTCCATCTACCACTTGTAGTTTACCATCAACTGTATTTTTATGCATATATTTTGTGTATCATCCTTGTAGTATACAATGCGAAACCTTTTCCATTGCTAGGTATCGCGTGTGGGTTGGTCAGCCAAGATGATTATGAGCCGACAAACAATTCAGGGAAATGTGGTTGAAGTTGAACACATTGTTCGACAAGGTTCATGTCTGTTGATGAGAGGGAATTCATAAATCAGCATTTGTTCATCCGAGCTCGAAAAAGTACTTTTTACTCACCTAGCTTATCACCTAAATCGATCGAACGATATTCACGAATACGTTCACCTTCATCATCCACTTTCCCAAAGATCATTGCGTAATTACCTTGTGGAATAACCTGCGAATCGGTCATGATCACTTCCACCATTCCTTGATCGGATGTACGTAGCATACATGCATTTCCCGTAGACTGTACACAAGAACACAAAAGAGACAATCATCGGTCAGCTTCCTGAAGGCATGCATCATCATCAGCAGCCCGTCCAACTGACCTTTTCAATCTTACCGACCACTTGCACGGTTTGTGATTTATGTCCTTGCAATGAGGACGAATTGATTAGTGGTGTTGACTTTTCCATTATGTACTGACAAAAGTGATTGCTGATGAAGTTGAGAAGACAAGTAGGATATATGCTGCATGTTCCTTTGCTGTTGTTCTTCTTTTCCCTCAAAAGTCGCGCTCAGCAGTTCGCGTAAATTAGGTGTTGGTTAAAGTTTCACTGGTAGTAAATCGCGTTAAGTGACAGTACGCGTAAATCATTTTCGCTGATGACATAATCATGTTCTAAGAATTGCATGGTATTACTTCTAGTAAAGAGAAAAAGGATGATTAAATGAGTATATACAGTTTTCATAGGTAAGTCTCCAAGTATAAATTAGATTGAAATGCATCCAAGCTAAGCTTGTCCATCATTTTGCCATTCAGCAACAACGGCTTTGTACATCTTTGATTCATGCTTCTTTGTACGTTCTCCTCTACGTACTCTTCGAATAAATCTTTGTAAAGCTTTGATGGCTGATGTTAGCCAAGCAGTTGCAAATGCTTCGAATAACAAACATAAAGCCCAATTTGCCGTAACGATAATCAAAAGTGCCCAATGGAACGATCTTGGCATTTCAACCAATTCCAAAACGTCAAAGATTGGTCCTGAAGGAACAAATAAGAAATAAAGCGATAAAACGGTCAAAGAACCCAAAGATAACATCAACATCGGGTTGGTGTACATAGGTTGACGATATGGCGGTCCAACGCTGAATGCGGCTGCAACGATTAGGTATTGGAATGAAGAGACTAAGAATAAAGCCGAATTTTCTGGATTGGATACGTTGAGTTCATCAGGATTGACCACTGGAGGCTCGTACCATGGTTGTGCACGAGTGTAGAAGAAGACAAACATTTGAACCAATGCACAGATGATCACTTGACCCAGCATTGAGGTCAGAACCTTCTTACTGACCAGATTTGCAGTTGGTCTCTTGGGATGAATCTGAGGATAAGGAAGTGTACGTGCCATAGCAACGGCTACAGGCAAGACGCAGAACAGATCAACGTATAAGAATTGACCGTCGGATAAAGAACTTGCGAAACTGTAGAGCAATGAAATGCTGGTGAATTGAATAAGACTGTAAAGTGCCATATACTTGAAGCAAGAGAAAGAAGTAACCAATGCAGCCCTTCCTTCTTTGATCACCTCGATCACACATGAGATATCGGGAGATCTAGATGTGAAAGGAGCAGCAACGGAAGCTTCTGCTTCTGAAAGCGAAATACCGACGTCGGCAGCCTTTAAAGCACCACAATCGTTTGCACCATCACCACACATTCCAACAGTGTATCCAAGTGCTTGTAAACGTTCGACCAGTTCATGCTTTTCATCCGGTGACATACGTGCAAACACGGTACCTTTGATCAACATTCTACGTAATGTTTCAACTGGCGCGAAATCGATCATCCATCTGAAAACATCTCCCGTCAATGCCAATTGATAATCTTGGAAATCCAATTCTTCAATGTCCAAAACGTGTGGATCGATATCGAGTGGCTTAAGTTTGTAATTATCCAACTTGATCCTTTCGTCATCAACGCTGGCCCATTCCAATATAGCTTCAGGTGACTTTTGATTGCCTTGTATAAACGTGGGCACAAACACATGAGCAGATTGACCGACCATTCCACATTCACGTGCAACACTGATTGCCGTTCGAGGATTGTCACCTGTTGCCATCTTCGTAATAATTCCTGCGCCCATAAGTGTGGCCATAGCAGGTCCAGTGCCTTCTTTGATCTTATTCTCAAAGATGATCAAACCAAGGAATTTCAATCCACTTTCTGCTTGTTCTCTTCGCATACGTTGAGCTTTGATCCAGCTCATTCCTGGCATACTTTTACCGGCACATGCGATAACACGATATCCATGTTTGGTATAATAGCTGAGCAAATCATCATAATCGCTTGGGAATGAATCTTCATCGCAAATGTCCGACATGACTTCAGGTGCTCCTTTCACAAAGATTTCCATCGAGTTTGATTTCAATTGTTTGGTAATCACGCTCATTCTGCGTAATTGTGAAACGAATTCAAACGTTCTCAACACTCCTACTTCTAGGAAATGAGCGTGTTTGCCTGGACGCATTGCATCATCAACGTCAAACGCTTGTCCTCCGGGAGGCCTGACTACAGTTTGCACAAGAGCAGGAGCACGTTCTGTCAATCTGCTCTTGCCATCTTTGGCTGTTCCACTTTTCGTCGTTGCTTTGGCGCTTGCATCTTTTCCTTCATCCAGTGTCCATCCGGTATATTCAAACATTTTCACATCCAAAGGATCGCCGATCACTTCGCCATCTACTACCTTGAGACTGTGACATGTAGCCAGTGCATGCAAGAGGGGCATCTTGCGTGAATCAGTTTCACCTGCACGTAAAGAGACTGGCATCTCGTCAACAGATTCGTGCAATTCACTGAATCGATTGGCTTTCTTGTCTACGGTACGACTGCCCAAGACGTCCAATCCATCAGCAGTGAGTGTACCGGTTTTGTCGAAGCAAAACACGTTGACTTTTCCTCCAATATTGACACGATTTGGTGAGATACAGAAGACACCGGCAGCACGTAAACGAGAGATTGCGAAGGATGTACCAATACTCATCGTAGCAGGCAAAGCGGGCGGAACAACAACTGTGATTAAATCCAAAGCACGAACGAGAATCGTATGCCAAGCAATACCCAATTTGACAAAGTTGAAACTGCTGAAAATGAAACCAACACCTGCGATCGACGCCAAGAAACCAATGAAACGGAACGAATCACGATAAAATTTGAATCCCATAGGCTTTGGGAATAACATACTTCGCACCAAAGCTCCTTTTGTAGTATCAAATCCAGTACGAACGACCATTGCTTTTGCACCTGCTTGATAGCCACCTTCGTCTTCAACGACTGTAGGACGGATACGAATGATGCGTGTTCCAGCAAACAAGAAATGACGAGCCAAGTCGGATGGAATTTGTGAGGAGGTCGAATGTAGCATGCTGATACTGTCGTCGGTGAGAGGAATTTTGGATACAGGAACCGATTCACCTGTTAACATACTTTCGTTTACGATCGCATCTCCACTTAGCAAAACGCTATCAGCAGGGAACAAGAGCAGGCCAGCCTCTGCAACATCATAGATATCACCAGGGACGAGGTCGGTACTTTCCTTCGTTGTCCATTTGCCTTCGCGTAGAACATTAACTTGACAGCTGAATCGACTCATCTCTCGCATTCGTCGAACGGTGTTGCTTGTTTCGATCAAAGTGGTGATGATACTGGCGCACGAAATGATGACGATGCAGATTGCATAGTAGTAGTAATCATCCAAGCTCCACAAGATTACTGATGCGATTTGGAAAATGTAGAAAGGATGTAAGACTTCATCCACCAACAAAGTCATGGTAGACTTCTTTTCGATTTCGATCACATTTTGACCAAACAAAGTTGTTCGATCCTTCTCTGCATCCCAGCTGATACCTTTTGCAAGAGCGTCTGTTGATGTCCAGAGTGGGTCACGCCAGTCTTTGATCATTCTCCATCTGCACGAAGGTGGGTGTAATGCGAAACGCATGTAACGATAGTCGATGTATGTCAAATCCATCAATTGCTCTGTTTCAACGCTGGAGAGAATTGGCACATCTTGTGCTGGGTGACCATTGCTTTGGTCTTTTTGATGTGCTGAATTGACTTTCTTTTGTGGCTTCTGCAGTGCTGGAGGTAATTTGGTACTTTGAACGCTTTTTGTCTGATGTTCTGCCTGTGTGCTTGCTGGATCAGTTGAGGAAAGCGGGAAAACGGTTCCCAACGGACGTGCGAAAGGAACAGTTGCCGGCTTTGCCTCGACAAGATCACCCCACTGATTCTGCACAACAATAAACTCTGCCTTGTCAAACGAAGTCTCTTTGCAGACCCACTTCAAGTAAGACTTTGGTAGCCATCTTCCAAGCAAATAGACGATACCGAAGGAAAGGATGGAAACGATGATAAACATAAGCTTACGAACAGCTTTTGTTTCATAACCTGTAAATCGAATCAGACAGTCATCATCTGCTAGGTAAATCTGTTGTCTAGAGGTGGAGTCTTTGTCAATGTAGGTTGCCTCCTCACGAGCAGCATTAATCACATCAGCAGATGAATCGATGCGTGAGCTCATTGGGTCAACGTCTGAGAAAGGAGCTGCTGGCTCGTGTGTTTCGTCATATCCGCCTAGCTCGACGTCTAGTTCATCATTAGGTGCTTGAGCTCTGCGTGAATCACCAAAGACTGGGTCAACAGCACCACTCAAGGGGCCAAAAGCGGAAGGCATGAAACCATCTCGATTACGTGCATCATCGTCACTGCTGGAATTGGAACCATCCTCCTCTTCGTCAAATGTTTCTTCTTCTTCTGATCCTGAAAATTCTTCTTCTCCTTCTTCTGCTGCTTCTTCATCATCCACGCTGCGGGCCATCAAAGAAGTTCTGGATGTGACAGAACCTCCCGATCTGGTACGACCAAAAGATGGCCTTGAAGGTGACTCATGTGCATCACCCCGCAAGCTTGCCATGATAGAGCCAAGCATTCCTCGTGGTTCATTCTCTCCTCTTTCCGGTACCTTTCGTCTGCTGCCGATACGACGAGAACTTGCAGCGCCGCTTGCTATACTACGATCATCGCCTCCAATAGAGACAGCTTCTTCATCAAAGCTTGTTCGTGAGCGAGCTGAAACGTTACTTATCTTACGCGATCGTCCAAGGGTGCCGGAATCCATTGAGATCCTTCTACGTGAACGACCGGAAGATCGTAATTGAATATCTCTGTAATTGTGATGCATGCTGCTCACCGAAGAAGGAACAGCGCCTGCTGAAGGACCATCAAAGATGCTAGCCATATCATCGTAGCTTCCAACTTGACTATCCCTTCTGCGTCTTCCATGTCGCATAGAAATAGCGCCATTCTCGGCGTCATTTTCATGTTTTCCATTTGTTTCTTGTCTTTGTTCATCATTGGCACTTGTTGAAGACCCTTCACCTTCTTCTTTCTTTGCTTGTTCACGAGCCCATGCGATTGCTTCTATGTTTTCTTTATCACTAAAGAATGGAGAGTGAGATAGAGGAACGTCCTGAGTTCCATCTCCGTTTCCTTGGTTCTTTTGTGATTTTGTTGCAATTGCTCTACCAAACGAGGGTGCTTGATATTCATCCGCAGCGGGTGTATCCCGATTTCGAGATGGCATTGTGATTATTTGAGCTCACAATGAAAGCAAGGGAAGGGAGGGTATGATGATGATAATGTGGGAGCGATCTAGAGTCTATCAAGATTGAAAAAAAGCAAAGACCCCAGGCTGAGAGAAAATTAGTTCATAAGCGGGTTCAGTGCGCCCTGGCGTAAGAGAGTGGAGCAATTTTTACGCTTTTTAGCCTTGAGCCCCTTTGAGGTACTAAACGGTCAACAGCTTCAATGCGCACACAAGATCGATCGAGTAAAATGAACACCGTAAGCGCAGCGCATTAAAAGTTGAATGTTGCCGTGGCATAGATTGAGGAGGACTAGAAGGCCAACTCGTCTGACAGATGATTGACACAAGAGCTATAGATGATGTATTATCGCAAACCTTCATTTCTCAACATAGCTGCTCCGTTCAGAAGAAGCTACTTTAGGAAGTCGAGCATATCTAGCAGATATGTGTTCATTAATCTGTAATTTGAGCAAGCCAAACGATGATGGAGGATCAGAGAAAGAGGATCAACTAACTCACAGTCCAGCTCGTGTCAAGGTAGAGCAACTTGAATTGGAATCCTGACGATAGAATCAAGTTAGATACATAATCGAGAGTGGAATGACAGACTAATTCTCCAGATGGATGACATAGACATTCAAGTATATATGAAGAGAAAAGGTTGTCGCCCTTTCTTTTATGATTTGAAATTCATTGGATGGTTGCCTTTACTTTCTACTCATTGGTTATATCTATTGTAAGTCCAGTGTTGCCCTTTCAATCTTAATTTAATTGCGAAAGAGACAAAACGATTAGCCGTTAGCCAAGACTGCGAAAGAGCAAAAAGGAGCACTGCGTTGAATGAATGCTGTTGCTGCCTTACATGAATGCATGCTCGCTACCGCGTGTCAGCTCTTGTTAGTGCCTTTTCCGAATCACTTGTTTTAGCGACCGCATGGTCAAAATGTCAACTCTAATTTTGTGTGAGTGGGCAGCGCAGTGCAGTGCAGCGTGGGCTGGCCTGGCGCGTGTTTATAAAGAAAGGCTGAGCAGCTTTCTTCTTCTGAAACCCAAGTCAAAGTCTGAGTCTAAAAAAAAGGCATCTGTGCACAATCCTTTATCCTACAGCGGCCAACGCGTAGCCGCCACATTGATTGCCGCACAAAACAATAATAAAAAAACCATGCTGTTGTGTATATTATGCAGAACCGCATGGCTTTTGGCTCTTGGATCGTCAATCAAAGACAGCCTTAAAACGGTTAATTGCCGCATTGAGAGCTTAAAAAGGTCAATGTAAATGTTGTGTATCTGATAGAAGAGAATAGAGAGACGCGTGGTCTGAATTCTGATGCAGCCTTTTGACAAGGATAATTAAAGGCGGTGAGCAGTGCAGTGCAGTGTAAGGCACAATATCAGCTTAATTCACTAATTCACAATTACAAAAAGTCAATCTTAGCATTCTAAAATCATAATTCCGATTCAACTCCTAATTCCATATTCATTACCATCACGAACAACAACAACAACAAATCTATCACACGTATGCTTCCTCTTTGAGCACCCGCGAAAACCAATCGTGTGTTAAAGCCAAAACGAAAGGTCATGAAATAATGGCCGATCGCGGGAGCTGGAGAAATCGTATAGAGGAAAGCAGTGGTAGTGGTGGAGGGGGAGGTGGAAATGAATTGGGAAAGGATGGAATGGGTCAAAATGCATCAATCAAGGTTGGACCGGATATACCAAGTATGACAGGATCATCACAACTACCACACAATAGACAATCAAACTTGCACGCCATAAGAAGAGGCAGAGCAGAAGAAAATGGTCCTGCTTCCCCTTTACAACCTCTTCATATATCCGCCGGTAGACCTTTACCACATCCTTCATCCTATGCCGGTACAGACAACTGGGCATTCACTCCCAGCGATACCCTGCCAAGCTTACCAGCGACGCCTTCTCGAGCTATGCATGCTATGGGATGGAATCGCACTTCAACACCTGCAGCTGGAAATGATATGGGGAATAATGCTGGTCCATCTGGTGGACAAAGCTCAGACTTGCATAATAGATACCCTCAATCCACTCCATCAAGAGACAAAAGTGCAGCACTAGGAGCCAGAGCTGTACTGAATAAACGAATGGAAGATCAACGCAATTACAGTCCTAGCCCAGTACGAAACCAAAGGCCTTCCCCTCGAGTAGGAATGAATTCTTTGGGATCCCCCTCACAGGTCACTTCAAAATCTAGCAATTTTGGTATTGTAACCTCCTCGACGGATGGAGCAGCAACAAACTCCACCTCATCCGGTCAAGCACAGAGCATCACAGCAGTTCTCAACCAAGCAAATTCGTCGAATGAGACAGGATCGCCCGCCATGATGCCTGCTTTGCGCCATCGCGATTCGATACAATCTATCGCATCTTCCACCAATCAATCTCTTGGTCAGCATATGCTTGCACACTCACGTAGACCTTCACAAGTCTTTACCGCTTCTCCGGCAATGTCCAATGTGACCAGCTCAAGTAATGTTCGGCCAAATGCGCCATATAGGGTATACCGACCTCCTCATTTACGTACAGATAGCTATTTTAGCTTACAGCCCAAAGTAGCACACTACGATCGTGTAAGCGCTCCCATGTTACGTGGTCAAAGTCGCAGCCCTTCCGTTTCACGATCACGATCCGACAGTGTTTCTATCAGTCGAACACCTTCAGAGAGCAATTTTTCCGGTATCTCACCACGAATGGGACATAGGCGTCTATCGAACTTGTCCAGTCAAGAACCTTCACAAGCAACTCAAAATCAAACTTTGCCTGCCTATGGCACCGGATTCGACAGCAATTCCTTGATCGCTAAATTGGCCAATGCAAAGCTAGATCTTAGCGGACGCACGTCAGGAAACAGTCCATCCGCGGCCGATGATCGAAATCAAGAAGTACTTGATGATGTCGATTTGAGTGTGGAGGATATGATGATGTCCGGCACATTGACCGATCAGTATTATCAAAGTCGAACGGCGAGCATCAGTAGTACACAAGGTGCTTTGATTGACATTTTCGAGATTGGAGATCGATTAGGTCCAAAGATGATGCATGATGGACATGAAATCACAATCGCTCAAACCAGTGATGGGTTCAACGAACAAAGTGCTGATTGGTCTGGAACACAATTGGAAATTGTAAGCAAATTAGGAGAAGGAAGTTATGCGGTCGTTTATCTTGTCAAAGAAGTGCCCAGGATGGAAGGCTTACATCAAATTTCCGTCACGCCTGTCACATCATCCTCTGGAGAGCGTTCTAGAGATGTTTTCTTGGATGAGGGTGATCAAACTTTTGCTGATGAGACTGTTTTGCAAAACGGAGATTTGTACGGAACGACACTCAAAGCGTCGGCTTCTGGCAAATTGGCCGATGATCAGCAAGATGGAAAGAAGGCTGAGGGCAAGTATTTCGCTTTGAAATGCTTGTGCAAACGTGATCTGTCTGATGATATGCTAGAGGTTCAAAGACTGGAGTCGACCATCCATCAATCTATTCCACATCATCCGAATATCGTCACCTTATATCGTACCTACGAGACACCCGAATGGCTATTCTTGGTTTTGGAATACTGTCCTGGACAAGATTTGTTCTATTGGCTTGAACAAGCACATGATACGGAGAACCTTGGAGCAGCAACACCTGGTGGAAATAGCGATGAAGCAGATGCTGATTTGACCACGATGGAATCGACGCCTCCTTCACCTAGTTTGCTGGCTTCCACCAATTCTAGGTTCTTGTTGTCTCGACGTAGATTGAAGTTGATCAGTAGGATGTTTCAGCAAATTTGCGAGGCTGTTGGGTTTTGTCATGATCGTGGAATATCACATCGAGACATCAAACCGGAAAATTTCATCGTTGAAGATACCCGTGGATCCGAATTTGCTGGCAGTACCGATCAAATTCATGTCAAGTTGACCGATTTTGGTTTAGCAGTTGCGCAAACGAGATGTATCGATTTCGATTGTGGATCCAAACCATACATGTCGTACGAATGTCGAAATAACACGCTCAGATGGTATAATCCAATCGAATCGGATATTTGGTCTTTGGGAATCGTTTTGCTCAATTTGATCTTCCATAGAAATCCGTTCATGGAACCCAATGTGGAACGTTGTCCAAGCTTTGCAAGTTACGTACAGGATCCCGTTCGGTTTTTGACAACAGCTTTTCGTGGTTTGAAATACGAAGCTGCTCAGTTCCTTGCAGAAAAGGTTTTCTGTGACGTTACGGAAGGCGAGGATGAAAGTCAAAGAAGACATCGAATCTCTGCCCGTGAATTTGGGGAATGGGCGAGCAACTTAGCAGATCATTTGGAACCGCATCAAAATAAGCAAAAGCTACAAAATGACTATTCGGCAAACTTCTTGAGTCCCAATATGGATACTATTTCAGCAGGCGCAGATATTGGGATCACTTCCCCTCTTTGGCATTCTCGCAGTCCAACTTCCAGTATGGTTAATTCGTTGATGGCAAGTCCCGCATCAAATACCATATCGATTAATATTTACCAGGAATTAGCAACTATGGGAATATCCGAAGAGGAGATCGATAGTTTCACGCCTCTGTTCACCGATTCAATCACTACAACGTCAGACAATAGACAGAGAGAATCTTCGACAATGACGGAGACGAGCTTAGAGCCCATTGCTGAAACGATTGGTTCTGCTCCGAGCTCTTCGGAACGTAGATCGACAGATATCGAACAACGAAGCGTCAACGATCTTTCTATCGAATCACCGATTAGCAGTAAAAGCAAGGATTTTGAAGACAATGAACATTCGACCGTTGAAACGAGCGTGGAGAATGAAGGTAACGCAAAAGCAGAAGAAGTGAGCGAAAGGGATGATCAATCCATCTTTCCACCCGCTTCGGTAACAAGTACATCTGCCAATTCCAAAAGGCGTAAACGTGGTGCACGCAAAGGACGTACCTTAGCAAAGCAACAACTCAAACGAAGCCATTCGGCGGAGAACTTGCATACAGAGGAAGATCAGAATTCTAAACCGACCGAATCAGCACGCGATCGAATGATTCGTGAATTGGCAGAAGCTTCACAATCTTTGGCACGAGAGATGAGCAAAGCGATCCAAAGTCGTGGAGAGGTAGCAGCTACTTCTGAGCTGAACCCAGCCACTGCAATGGACATGCCTCCCCCTGCGCCTCGTCATACAATCTCACCGCAAACAGCCATGGAATTGAAGGAATTGCAGAGTCGCCTTGCCGTACCCGAATTTGATGCTGCAACAACGACAGTGAGCTCATTGAATAGTGTCAGCAGAGGTAGCACCACCAGTCGTGCAAGTTCTCATTTCACCAATTACGGTTGGGGCGATTCACGTAGAGTAGGGGCAAATGTTTACGATGAAAGCCCAAATGCACAACAATCCAATGTTTCCCTTTTGATGAAGAACAAAGTGCCTGGAAGTACACCACAAGCTGTAGCTGGCGGAGCAAGACATGTTTTACAAGATTCAGGTCGAGGTCGACTTGTTCATCCCTCTTCAACAGCAGCAGATTGGCGTGAGAGAAATACGTCGAACGCAAGTTTGGCAAGTGTTAGCAGTATCAATACCCTCAACTCTTACGCATCCGATTACGGAAGTATCCACAGTACTGCATCCGCGCCTCCTGCAATGATGACTCAACATCATCGTCGTGGAGGTGGCAGTGGACTTTCTTCTTTGCACAGCGTTCCACAAACGAATTCATCCGCCTCTTCGGCTAGAAGTGTTGGTCTTTCAGGAATGCGAACAGGCGGAGGCAGTTCGAGTGCAAGCTTGTCAAGTCGAAATATCATGGTGCCTGGAAGTAGAAATTTGGGCACGATCAATGAAAGAGGTAGTAATGCAACAGCTCAAAGCAATTTAGATGCCAGCTATTTGGCAGGCATTTTCGGCGGAAAAGGTCCGCAACCTTCCAGTTCGAAAAACAAAAAAGCAGAAGTTCGTGGCGCTCCATCTCATTCAGGAAAAGGATTCGTGGGAGGCGTATTGGATAATTCGTCTGCTCGCGGCTCATTCACATCTCAAAGAAGCTTGAACGATAATCGATCCAATCTTCACAGCATTGGGGGCGGCAAGGGAAATGAATCAAATGCTTCGCTTGATCAATCGTATCAATCCGAATCTTCTGAAAGTTTTGCAAATCATGAAAATATCTCTGCTCCACGTAAGAAGATGTTGGGAAAATTCTTGCAAGGTGTAAAGAACTATAACAAAGGTGTAAAAGCAGCTCCTGCGATGCCATCAGACGATCAAGAAGGTTCAGATACAGGAACAGGGACGGAAACTTCTGCAGGCGCATCTTCGGGAACACCCGGCAAATCAACACCTACTTCTTCAGCATCGAAAGCCGGGGTTAAACAAGGAAGTGGATTCGGTGGAAGTGGAATGCATATTCAAATGCAGTAACCATCAACAGAAATAAAAAACAAACTCATGTATTCTCTTAAAGGGTGGTTTTATGTGTAATTTTAATATTCATTGTTTGTATAAGATAGTACGTACGAGTAAAAGTTTTGAGATGCTTAAGATACAATATAGTAAAATTTTACTCCGTTTATGGGCTTGAATAGTGCTTTGCTTTGTGTGATTGATGTACAATTTATACAAACCTTGCTTCGTTTTCCTCTAAATCTTGCTGTCTCTCTTCATCGTTGAAAGCGTTGACTTCCTTTGAAATCTCTTTGACTGTTTGTAGAAGCTCAGTCAATGAACCATTCTTTTCCCATTCGCTTCTTCGGTTCCAGATAATGCTGAACAGAGAAGCGCGCAATTGTTCCAATTGTTCGACCGAAAAGGTAGAAGTAGATTCGAGCAATTCCTTCTGAAGTGCCTGTAGCTTTGATTCATCGTAGGAAAGAGGTGGATGAGGCGTGTTTGCTGATGGCGGAGTTGCAACAGCTTTGACGATTGGCGATAAAACACTCTCATTACTGCCTGCAGGTGCGGGTATGTAATGAGCATGGTTCAATTGTGCAGCAGCAGCGACCGCGTGACCAGAGAGAACTGTCTCTTGAGAAGAGGAGGAACTGTTGGGGTAGCCGTTCATATGAGCAGGTAGAGAAGAGATCACATGCTGTGGCTGAGAAGGGCCTTGAGTCCGATCGAGACCGGAAAGTTGGCCTGAAGCTAAAGCAGCATCAGGTACGTGCATATTGGTGTCGCTTCCATTGAGACGTCCTTCATCAAGTTTTGCCTTCTTACGAGCATCTTCATCAATGGCATGAGAAGAAGAGGCAGCATTGTTGGCATCATGCATTATCTCATCACTCGGTCTACTTCTCTTGCGTTCCAGAGCAGCCAATTCGGCTAATGAGCTTACTTGTGGTGCTTCTCCGTGCAATCTAGAGGAGTGCCTCTCGCCTTTTGGCATCTTTGCCGCTTCCTCCTTCTGTTTCTTTTCCTTTTCTGCTTCTCTCTTAGCCTCTTCTTCCCGTTGCAACATTCGTGCTGCCATTCTTTCACAACTTGCACGGAATTCGGCATCAATGTGTGAATCGATCAGGATGACTGCCAAATTGCGTAATTGTTGTGCTCTTGTCAATCGTTCTTCATCAACTTCTTGTGCTTCTTCTGCATTTGAAACGATTCTTCCGAGATCTTCGATAAAGTCTTCCACCGTTAGATAGCCGTTGTAATACAATCTCTTTTGCATCTTTTCCAAGTTAACAGTCCAAATTGGTAAATCACGAACAAAGAATCCAGACTCATCTCTTCTGAAATGTTCCAATCCAGAAGGAATTGTGGAAACTACGGGTGGATTTGAAGAAGAAAAGTCGCCAGTCATTGCAGCAGCAAGACCTCCAAGTGCGACCGGATCAACTGCTTCACCAGCATTGGTAGCAACGGCAGAAGTGCTTGGATCCACCATTAATTGAGCCTGGGCTTGTGCTTGTTCTTGAGCGGGATGTTCCCCGAATCCGTTAGTAGCAACGGCTGTCGAGACGCTTTCCACCTCTTGTGCTGGTACTGCAGGTGCAGCTTCACGATGATTGGGATCCACGCTCACTCCACGACTGCCACTAGCTCCATTTCGGTAGCCATTCGCATCCCCGTCAGCTGCTGCTTGTGCTTGTAGTCGTTGTAAAAGTTGACTATCAGGTTCGTACAGCAAAGTGACAATAATTCGATTCTTTTCCTTTTTCCATTCAAATTGCTGGGTAAGATCATACAAATTGTATTCTTGCCAGACGTCACGTTTGAATCGAGGAAATTTCTTCTTCAATTCTGCCAATACTGGGCCCAATCGGAACTTCAGATGTTCCAATAGTCTTGCATCATCGGCTTGTTGTTGACGTAATTCGGCCACAGTTGGCTTACGAGGTTCACGAGGTGGTGCGATAGGTAATTCTTCCAACACACGTCTCTTTCTTGGCATTCCATCTGGAAATTCACTTGGCGGCTTGATGGCGTATTGGAGCAATTCTTCAAAATATCCTCTTCTCTTGTGCACATCTGGCATTTCAACCTGAACTCGATTCTCTTTGGTGAAACCGAACCAAGATCGGATATCGCGCGGCAAATGCTCGAATAAGCCCTCACAGACTGATACAAGCAAGATTGGATCCGATGCGGATAGACCATCCAACAATGCTTTGAAAGTTGCACGAGCACTCTCCGTTACTGTATCTGCCCATTGAGCCAGGTTTGGGATGTACAATACGCTAGGCTTGTGACGTTTGGCCTCATTGAACATCTGAACGACTGCAGCTTCCAATGTGGTCGAGCTATCACCCAACAAAGTTCCCGGATCAAGTGTTTGAACGTGGAAGCCCTCCAAATGATGCAAGAGAGCAGATCCAACATACCTCTGACCCATTCCTTTGCGGCCATGTAGAACTAACCTAGGCCTGAAGATTCGCAATTGCTCAAACGATTGTAGTAGCAATTCCCTTCCAAATCCACCGTCAGCAGTCAAAGTAGGTGCATCATCTTCCCATTGAGCTTCTTCTAGTGGATTACGTTTAGATGTTGGTGGCATCACCCTATCTAAAGCATTGGTTGATACGTGCACTGTTTGCTCAAGCAATGGCTTCAAGTGCTCTTTTAGCGGAGCTGCTGCCGAGCCAGAAGAGCGAGCTGAAGATGGTACTACCTTGTTGACGGACATCATGAAATCTCTAGCATCCACATGGATCGATTCAGGTTGCAATTGAAGCCTTTCTGTAGTTTGATAAATTTGAGGATATCTGCGTTGGATCGCATTCAGAGCAGCTTCTGTGCACAAAGCACGTAGATCCGCACCTCCATAGCCCTTTGTGACTTCTGCTAGTTGATCTTTGAATGCTTCGTCTAGTGGGGGATCCCATTCTTTCGTGTTGATGTTAATGATACTCTTCCGCGCTTCTCGGTTAGGAAGTGGGAAGTAAAACTCTCTGTCAAAGCGTCCAGGTCTTCGTAAAGCTGGATCAACGCTATCAGGCCTGTTTGTCGCACCAATTACGACCACTTGTCCTCTTCCATCCATTCCGTCCATTAAAGCTAATAGTGTGCTGACGATACTTGCATGAATTTGATCTTGCTTGCTACTTCGCACTGGTGCCAGACCATCAATTTCATCGAAGAAGATGATAGAAGGTTGAGCATTCTTTGCTTCTTCGAATAGCAATCTAAGTTGCCTTTCTGCTTCTCCTACCCATTTGGACAGACAATCTGCACCTTTGCGCATGAAGAAGCTGATCTGTTGCCCGGAAGAGCTACAACTGGCAGCGAGAGCTCGAGCAACCAACGTCTTACCCGTACCCGGTGGACCATGGAAGAGGACACCTCTCGGTGGCGTGACTTTGAAACGTTGGAATACTTCCGGATACAGCAATGGCAAGCTGACCATCTCTTTGAGCTGTTGGATGTGGTTGTCTAAACCTCCCACGCTATTGAAATCGACTTGCATGTTCACACCCAAAGGATCAACGTCGGCCAGTTCTGTAGTACCCTTCATCCTTCCGACTGCATCACGACCTGCTCCTAGATCTGGTCCTAACCCACTACCAGCACCACCGGAAACCCCTCCGGCACCAAGTAAGCCGCCCGATGCAGAACCACCTAACAGATTTGGAGGTGCAGCACCAGCTTTTCTCGAATTAGGTATATCGTCATCGGAAGAATCATCATTCTCGATACCAAAGAATTTATCGTAATCCTTTCCAGACATCGACAAAGGAAGACCGTTCCAATTCTGCCTTGCTTTGCCGCCTGGCTGCAAAGCTCCTCCAGGTACACGAGGTAGACTTTCCATGCCATCCAATTCGTAAGAGGGTGTATTTCCTTGCCCGGATCTTTGTCTGCTTCGAATCTTTTTGCCAAATCCATCTCGGAGTGGTTCTTGTGGAGGCACGAGTCGATAATCAACCTTTTTCGTTCTTCTACGAAGACTGTAGCTGCGTGGGCCGGCTTCATCACTATCCTCTTCTTCCTCCGGATCACCTTCCTCTTCGTCATCATCATCGTCAGACAAAGATGCATCTCCATTATCTTCGTAATCGGATGAGAGCTGAGATCTCCTTCTTTGCTTCTTTTGTCTCTTTTCTGCTAGATGTTTGACCTTTTGATCTGCCCTTTTTAGACGCGAAGATGTCCGTCTTCGACTAGAGCCAAATGCGGCATCGCCATCATCGTCTTCGTCTTCTACCACAAAGCCGTCCATGGCTTTACCTACAGGCCTTCGTCTTCTTGGAGCTACATCATCATCCTCGTCGTCATCATCATCTTCTTTATACGTTGTTGCGACCCTTCGACCGCTTCGCGATCTTCTATCGCTGGCATGGCCTGCGTCATCAGAGCCCTCTGCATCTTCTTCATCGTTGTACTCCTCATGTTCGCCATCCTCATCGGGTCCACTGCCAGCCTGTTTGGGAGAAATAAGAAGAAAGGGGTGTCAGCAGACTGATCGATGAAAGGAAGGTGAAAGGTCCAGAAGAGAGAATAAAGAAGGAGAGGGAACATTTTCCTTACTTCTGACTCAATCGTATCCGTAAACCTGGTTCGTTTCTTCACAGGCGAATGGTTTTCATCGCTGCTGGCAAGAGTACGATCTGAAGAGGAAACCCGTGCACTTCGTCGAAGTTTGGTAATTTGTGGCTGCTGCTGCACTGGATCATGTCTCTTTCCATATTGGCTCGTGCTAGCTGTCCGTAATGCAGATGTAGAAGGCGAAGCATGAAGTCTAGCTGATGATCGTGTAGGACGTGCTTCTTTCCCCTCCTCCTCCTCATGACCTGCTGATCGAGAGCTGATTCTGATTCTCTGCCTGCTCTTTCCCAATCTCTCTTCTGGCTCTGCTGAATCTGCTGAATCTATCGTTTGGCTCATCCCTCTCAAACTTCGACGGGTCGATGGTTGTCGATTTTGGGTAGTGAAGTCGGTTTGATGTTTCGTAGATTCGCTGCTGCTGCTGGAATTCTTTCGACTTACGTTATCATCTGTTTCTCTGCCATTCGTTTTTAATTTTATTCGAAGTGCTCTTTTACTGTGAGCAGGACCTTGATCTTCATCATCGAAATCATCTCCATCGTCCATTTGGTAATCTTCTGCATAGGATATTTGACCACGGTTCCGCGTTGAGCGTCCGGACATCTTTATCCGAAATGAGTAGGAATCTTTGTTTGTACTTTATTGCAAGCAATTCCCAATTGCAGCTTTGGCACTGTTGGTGAAATGAGCGATTCTCGAACAATCAATTTGAGTGTGAGTGAATGATATGTTGAACTAGCACTGAAATCGAAACCGGCCTGCTCGATGCCATCCACCGGAAAGAATCAGTTGAGTCGAAAGAAAGTGCAATCTTTGAGCTTGGAACAAACTAATCCACCTTGTGAACACCTTTGATAAGCCAGATGATTTGCTGGGATGGTAAACTTGGAAGATGTAATTGTTCTCCAAGTTATAATAATGATTACCTTAATATCCCTTTTGCATGCGTGTAATGTAAACGCGTCCTATGTCCGAACAGTTGGCTGGGCTGTACTACGTTCAAACACAGCAATTGTGCCCACTTTCTTTCTATTCTTACGCGAATATTATACGCGACTTTGAGCCCTGCAATACTCACTCAGCTTAAAAGAGTGTTGGACTCTTCTTGATGGCATTCATTCAAATCAATCATCATCTTCCAAGCAAATGCGAACACGATTGAGCACAATATGAGCTAAGACGAATGCTTTGATCGCCTAACCTGATGAAGTAAAGGTCAAGCAAGTGTCAAAATGCCGGTCCCACATCAGACGCCAAACAATCTTCCGTTGGCATCATCATTGCCAAAAGTTTCATTTCGCAAAATTCCCGATGATGAAGCTCAAATCTTGTCTATTCCAGCTGGTGTTCAGGACCAGCATCACGTAAACTTTGGTTTCAATGATGGCAGCGAATTTGAAAAGCCAGATCATTATCTGCGCCACGTTGAACCGATCGAAAGTGAATTGAATAAACAGGTGGAGTATGATATGGACGAACAAGATCAAGAATGGTTAGATGCTCTCAATCTAGACAGAAGAAGGGAACAGTTGGATGCAGTTCCATATGAAGTATTCGAGATCATCATCGATCGATTGGAAAAAGAATGGTTTGATCTGATGAAACTCGTTCCACAGAAGCCCCTTCCTATTACAGTTGGACCTGACGGCGAAGCGTTGGGAGATGGCAACGAAGATATTGAATGTGCAATCTGTGATGACGGAGAATGTGAAAACTCAAATGCGATTGTATTCTGCGATGGCTGCAATCTTGCCGTTCATCAAGACTGCTACGGAATCCCATATATCCCCGAAGGTCAGTGGTTGTGTAGGAAATGTACAGTCTCTCCCGACCGTGCTGTATCATGTGTATTGTGTCCACACGAAGGTGGTGCATTCAAGCAGACCACGCAAGGTAAATGGGCACATCTCCTTTGTGCAATGTGGATACCCGAAACGGGTGTAAGCAATCCCGTTTACATGGAACCGATCGATAGCGTCGAACGAATCCCGAAAGCTCGATGGAGACTGCAATGCTACATTTGCCGCAATCGACATGGTGCATGCATTCAATGTGATAACAAGAGCTGTTTTACCGCCTTTCACGTCACATGCGGCAGAAAGGCTGGACTGCTGCTCAAAACAGAGAGACAGCGTACTGCACACACACCTCCCGATGAAGGAGAGGATGAAAATGATGGTCACCTTCGAGCATGGTGTCACAAACATTTGCCTCGGTCTATTCGAGCAAAAAGGGCACGAGAGGAAGAATTTCAGGATGCACATAGCCAGCCTCCATCACCTGAACCATTTGATAGAAATCAAAGTGCTATCGCCACCCCTGCCCGCAAGAAAAGCGCAAGAGCGTACAGAAAATCTTATCGGATGCACATTTCCTTGGTGCCAGCATACGTGGTGAACAGGGTGAACGAGTATATCTCCAGAGTTCCCGTTCGTAAAAAGGCACAGCTTATCGTTCAAATTGCCAAATTTTGGAGCTTGAAACGAGAAGCTAGAAGAGGTGCACCTTTACTAAAACGGTTGCATCTTGAGCCTTGGACTGCTACATCAATGAAGAAAGAGCAATCGGATATGGAGAGGCTGAAGAAGCTCCGCTTTCTTTTGCATTTGCGGGAAGATCTGGAGAAGGTACGAATGTTGGCAGAGATGGTTCGCAAGCGAGAGAGGGAAAAGCAGAAGCAAGCGCAGGCAATACGAACGACATTGATTGAGGAAATCTTATTCCCATACAATAGCCTCTTACGTGCTGCATTAGAAAGGATTGCAGCCATCGATCGATCATCTCTATTTCTCAATCCCGTGTCGACACAAATTGTACCGGACTATTACGATGTGATCAAACATCCCATGGATTGGACGACTATCTCACACAAACTTGATGCATACGCCTACACGGATGTTCAGCAATTCAAGAACGATGTCGTGCTTGTGTTGGAGAACGCAATGCTTTACAATAAAATCGACACACCCTATCACCGAACCGCAGCGAGAATTTTACATGTTGCCGGTCAAATTTTTGTCGATCTGGAGAAAGCCATTGCCGTGCATGGAGACGAGGAAAGCTTGCAACTGGAACCCGAGAATGCGATTCTGCACCTACTGGGAGAAGGGCACGAAGAGTCAGACGATGCAGATACCGGCTTGCCAAGCGATGTTCTCGAAGAACTTACAAGTCATTCATATGTTTTGGATGAAGAGACGCAACCAAAGCGTATCATGAATAATCACCGCAAAGGCAAATCTGGTAAGGCAAAGAAAGGGCGTGAAACAAATGTGAAAGAAGGACATGCCAGTAAGAGCACGGATAAGACACCTGATGCCGAATCATCTTCCCGTACTCGAAGAAGTTCTCGCTCTCATTTTGTACGTTCGGCCTCTCTCGAGAAGGAAGAAGTAGAGAAAACGCAAGCAAGACCTGATCCAAATGATCTAGAAGTGAAAGAAGTGGACAATCATGATTCATTTACACGTTTCAATGTTGGTTGGGTTCTGCCAGAAGGACAAAAAAGATCAAGATCGAAGCCAAGAGCGGATTCGGTAGGTAAATCTCAGTCTGATTCGATTACAAAGTCGCAGAGTATGTCAAGTGGATTAGATTCAAATGGATCAAGTCGAAACCGCAAACGGACTTTAAGCTCATCCAGCGATGCAGATGGAGGTCGGATGAAGAGATCAAAGAGTACCTCAAATGTTTCCACCGCAGAGGCTGGCTCGGCAGAGATTGAGGAAGTGCCGCGCAGAAGAGGGCATCCCCGTCACTCAAGAGCAATTAATAAAACAGAAGAGGTCCCAACTAATCGTACAAGCAAAGCTCGTCGTAGGTCGAATGCTAGAAACAAAACTGCTTACGAGCCTGGAACATTATGCTGGGCAAAGATGGACGGATATCCATTCTTTCCTTCTGAAGTGATAGATGAGAATGATGAAGATGAAGTCCCTAAAAACGTCACTCGACAAAAACCTTTGCTGGAAGATCTTCCTCTTCTCGAAAATGGAAAGGAAGATCCTATTCGTCTGGTTCGATTCTATGATCAAACGCGATCGTTTGGTTGGGTTCAAGAGAGCAAATTGAAATTGCTATTTGAAGATGATGAGTTGGATCAAAAGATGATGAAAGATCCACGTCAACCTCGTCAAAGGAATCAAGTTCGAGCTTCTTACGATCGTGCTTGGGAACAGACTGAGCGTGAATGAATTACAATTATAATGTAAAACAAAATGTACATCACTTGTATACTAAGATATCACTTCAATCTCACACTAAATTTTCACTTTTATGATAATAATCACAGAAGGGTATGGTTTTTACACGAATGATAAATGTAGTGAAACAGATAAAGGAAGATCTATAATTAAGCCCAGTAACCCAACAATGCCATCAAGCCGGCACCCAATAACATTTCGAAAACGCTCAAAAGAACTTTGAACAAAGGAGCGGTTCGCATCTTTTCGTTAAAGATGAATTCGTGAGCCAATAATTCCACCAAACCGGTATACAATAAAATACCCGAAGAGACGGAATCAAAAGTACCCGTGACGTAATTTGCGGTAGTGCTATTTCCGTTGTACGTTGAACGAATGCCCAAACCGATTGCGATTCCGATCGGAGTGACCCAAGCGTATGCCAATCCACCAATGAATGGAATCCAAGATTTTTTGGGTAAAGGCAAAACGGCCAAACGAGTACCCAAACCAAGACCTTCGAATGCTTGATGGAAAATTAAAACGATGAACAATGTTGTAAATTGGTCATTTTGTGTTGTTCCTAAAGTGATACCAATAATAACCGAATGGAAAATTACACCGAATTCCAAAATCATCACACCTAAGATTTCACTTGCTGCTGCTGAAAGACCTTCTTGGGTTGGTTCGATAACGCCTACTTCTTCATCTGAAGCTGATTTTTCCATCGTACGTGGTGAATCGGCACTTTGTTCAATGATTTCTTCTTCGTCCTTTGCTGATGGAACAGGGCCGCCACGTGGGATTGCATGTTCGTTTGCGTGATGGTGACCGCCAACGTGAGGATCATAGGCTAATTTGCTTGCCAAGCCTGCACCTATTCTGAAAGAGATTAATTCGACAAAGAATAACACAAACATTGCAATCATACTAAATGCAAGTGCGAAAGGATAATTTTGAAAATTTTTGTTTAAACATGGACTTCCTAATTCTTCAACCCCGGGTCCTAAAAGGTGAATAAAAGCAGTTGCAATAATTACACCACTACCGAAATATTTTGCAAAATTGAAAACTGCTTCAGGAATTGCTAGCTTGGGTACCCTTTTTGTAACTACTGGAAATAAAGTTGTTGCCAATGAACTGAAACCGATGATGAAAATTGCTCCAATTCGCAATCCAACCATTCCTGCTACTTCATCTGGACCACCAGTGCATGATGATGAATCTGACATCTTGTTTGTTTTCTTTGTAGAAGATGAAACTTGGTTGATAGATGGAAAAGGATTTGTTTATAAGTTTCAAGAAGCCAGTTCTTAAATATGATACAATTGTAAAAGAAAGATGAAGATGAAAAAAAAGTTTTAAACGAATATAATTGTGCAGGTACTCATTCCGATCAAATTAAAAATGCCATATGTTCGGACGTCAAAGTGGGCGAATGAACAGCTGCCCCGTCGGGGATTCTAACAACCTCTGCAGGTCCTTAAACATGCACACACATGGCAATTGCATGAGAATCAAAAAGATCAATGGCGTACGATCAATATTTAAAATGATTAAAACTCAAAAATTCTTAAACAACGGAAAAGAAAACGAAAGAAGACGGGCCAAACGCCTAAAGTCAATATGCGGAATAAAGATTGTATTTTAGTGTAAAAATAAAAATGAGAAGAAATTTGATCGAGACAGAAGCAGTACTGGGACATGCAATGATAAAAAATTGTATTAACGCGAATCTTCCAAATTAAAGTAACACAGTGGTCATTTGCCATTAGTATTTGTGTACCTCATCAGTTATCCATGCATCAATTACATCCGCAAAGGTTCTCATCAATGCAAGGCGGACGCAAAGAAGAAAACTGTTGGACAGCAATCGGGAGAGACACCGAGAGACATTACCGAGAAGGCCACATGATTGATTTCGAGGTACAGAATGATGAAAAGTCTGAATGACTTCCAACAAACAATCCTGCAAAAGCAATGGCGTAAAGGACCTTAATTGGTCACTTCTTCATCTTGCCGCCGCCGCCCCTCTTACCATAGGAAAGGTACCGTAGGCGAAGGCGAATTCATATGCAGGCACATCGCTTCGGGCCTTGTACCTGGATTCACAATGAGGGTAAAGTGAGGCGGCAATAACTGTGAAGGTCCTCACGGCAGTGGAAATTAAAAAAAAATTGCTGGTGATCTTTGCCCTATCCGCCGGACAACGGCAATGTGTACGGCATCCCAATCTTATCGCTGCCAATCTTCTTCGATTGCTTTTCGAACGGCTTCTTCTACATCATCAACCAGGATTGTAGGCTTGTGTTTCGGAGGTCCATCTTGATCACGATAAACACCTGTACGTACTAATGCCGATTTCCAGCCGAATCCATTAGCCCCTGCAATATCTGAAGCTGGATTATCGCCAATCATCCAAACCGACATTTCTCCATCAGCTTGTGTATTTTCATCTTTCAATGACATCCTTTCCCTTAGTAGAGCATCAGCGTATTCGTACGTCAATCTTTGCGGTTTGCCAAACGTGACTGCTTCCAATGGTCTTCCGCTCGTAACTTCATAAACTGCCTTTACTGCCTCTTGGAATGCACCTTGACCGAACCTTGGTGCAGTGAAATCATTACCCCATATCAGATCGCCATGAGAGAAAGCCAAAAATGGTTGTTCATGCGTATCATCGCCTACGACTCCAATCCTACCATCGGGAGAACGTAAAACATCACAGATGTACTGCAAATCCCTACCCCAATCGCGACTATCATGAAATACCAAAACAGCAGCAAAATGAACTTTGGAAAAGTCACCTTTGCGTATTGATGATTCCTGATCTTTTGAAGGTCTGGAGAATGGCCAAGAAGATTGTTGCCAAGCATGTATGTCATGAGAAGTATACACATTATTGAAACCATAATCTTCCATCACTTTTCTTGATGCGCCTGGCGGCCGATCTGGTCCTCCTATCATTAGTACGGGCAGGTCAGCAAATCGTTTGGTAAGGGATTGCAAGACTGTATGCGCTTGAATGACTTGATCAGGCTTGATGTCCAATTCGAATTCTTTGCTTAGCTTTTTCGCTCGTTCGGTTTCAGATGGTCCTCCGCCATTTGTGATGAATATGTATGGAATCTTTGCATTTTTGGCATTCTTTCCTTCTAGCATGGCCAACGCTCGCCTTGCTTGAGGTAAGACATGTTCTCCTGCTTTTAGCACACCATCAATATCAAATGCAAACGCTATCCGCTTATTATGAACCGGGTATGTTGATGAGAAATGTCGAACGGCATTGGGTATATGCTTGGCTGAGCAGGTGAGATGTTGCGATGAAAGTAGAGATAAAGCTTTGCCAAGCCTATATCCTCTGATTGGCATCGTCATCTTGTCTATCCTTCTTACGCCCGATGAGAAGCTGGTAAAGGCCGATCGATCACAGTGTAAGGAAAATAAACTTCAACACAAGGCGCTAAATTCAGACAACAGCAACACGCGTTTATACCCGATTTTCTTGTTGGAATTTGACCTCTTTTGCTTTGGTGACTTATCTCCTTTTTTTTGGCAAAATGATGGATAGACATCATCAACAGCTTTCCAGTCGAGACTCTAGCTAGAATGATGTCATCTGAATATTTGTTGAACAAGATGGTCACGTGAAACTGCGCTTCCTGGAGGGACCGAGTAAATGCTGATGTGGAGAGATTTCCGTGTTAAAGCGGTGCTTAGGGGGCGCGAGTAATACATTAATAAACAAGGCACACCGATCTCCACCTTTCTTTGGGGAAAAGACGCGATTTACGCCCTGGGCTGACGTTTTGCTTGCTTAGTTGTATCGATAATCTCGAGTAATCAATCAATCGAAAATTTCCGGGAAACCAAAAAAAGAAAAAAAGAAAAAACATAATCTTACAAATACACCGCGCATCCGCCCTAGTTCAGTCACTGCACAAAAATGAATGATCGACGGCTTATCGGGGTCCAATCCGGCCTTAAAATACAAAAGACATTGAACACATGCACATTTCACAACATCAACATCACCACATCTCTAGATGAAGATCACTCTACAAAATGACATCGACATCATATGACAAAGGCAAATCAGTCGATAGATCCAACGGTCAAGGATCTTCTACCACCATGATGTCACGCTTAATGGCTGCTTATGATGCTAAACATGGTACAAACAATGACGCATACTATGAAGTACCAGCAACTCACTTCTTAGCAAGACCAGCAGGATCATCCGCCACACCATCTTCTGTAAATCAAAACACAAACATAGGATCTACATCATCGATCTCTCACTTAGCTCTCTCTGGTGCTGCCTCAGAAGTCGCATACGCTTCAGCACCAAAATCGAGAAAGATTTCTGATGGCGAAAGAAGTGATGCTTCTTTTGTTACTGTATTAGAAGCTCCTATCACGACCACGAGTAGATCTCAAGAACGTCAAACCAACACATCCGATGATCTCAAATCCACATTCTCATACCCTTCATTGGCCGAAGATAGAGATTTACTATCGGGCACAACACCATTCACGGATCAAGGTACCTCAACTGATGGAGCTCCTTCTTTCTTTGGAGGTCAAAGACCTCATATGCCTGATACATCCACTTTGGCAGCTGCAGATTACGATGTTGACGTTCGAAGTGGATTCTTACCTCCACAAGAACCTGTATATCGATTACAAGGGATCGAAGAAGAATTATGGGAAACTGCTTTAGATCGCGCAAGAAGCTTGCCTCTAAGGATTGGCGGTGGTGGAATTGCAACTACCAAAGAAGCTCGTAAACAAGCACGTCAATGGAGAAGAGATATTCGACAAATGCTAATCTTACATCCTTCTCCACAATTGACAAGCGATATCCGATTCGCAAGAAGGGCGCATTTAGTGCTGGCATTCTTGGTTCACTTTTATATGCACAGTCAACCTGAAGCACAATCTGATATTCCAACTTCTCTCATTGCCCAATCACAAGATGAACAAGATCAAATCGATGAAGCAAAAGGACTTTACCATGGACTCGTTCCTGCATCACTTGCTATTCCTTGGGTTGCTCTTTCTAATTTGATCGACATTCCTCCCGTTTTGACATATGCCACAACGGTGATGTGGAATTGGTCATTGAAAGATACCGAGAAAGGTTTCACAGATGATAACCTACGCATGACGACAACGTTCAGTGGTACAAGATCAGAAGAACACTTTTACATGACTTCAGTCTTGATCGAAAAAAGAGGTGTTGAAGCACTCACATTGATGAGAAGATCTTTGGATGAAGCTTTTGTTGGTGATACTTTGGCATTAAGAAGGATGCGTTCTTATATTCGTAAATTGGCAAAAGTTCTGAAAGATCTTCAACAGCTTTTGCATGACGTTCGAACAGACTGCGATCCAACGACATTTTATTGGGGCATCCGACCTTGGTTCAACGGTGCAGATTCATACATCGATAAAGATACTGGAGAGAAAGGATGGATATACGAAGGTGTAGAAGAATATAACGGAAAGCGAATGTTGTTCATGGGTCCAAGTGCAGGTCAAAGTTCGTTAATTCATGTGATCGATGTGTTTATGGGCGTCGATCATTCGGGCAAAGCTTCAGCTCCTTCTGAGAATGGAACATTTATGGAACGTATGCAGACATATATGCCAGGCCATCATCGTAATTTTTTGAATCATTTGCGAAATATCTCTTTTGTCGATGATGAAGATCATGTGATGGAGGACATGGAGACTGATGCCGGTTCAATATCCGCACACTCTGAGGAGGACATGGATGTTGAACAAGAAGAGGAAGATCGGCCACCTAAAAAAGAGACGCATCCTCTGCGTTCCTTACTCAACCTCACGAAAGAAGATGAAGAAGATGATTCCAGAGAAGGTATTGCCCATCGACATGCGGTAGAACGTTTACGTGAAGCATACAATGAAGCTTTGAATTCGCTCAAACATCTACGTGATGAACACATGCGTATTGCAACTCTGTACATCGTTTCACAAATGCGCAAATCTCCGCCAGCCGAATTTGCAAAGTTGAGCGAAGCTTTGACGTTGACAAGAACAACAAATGTTGGACAACGTGCGGCTGGTGAGGAAGTGGGAGAAGATGCGAGTCCTGCACAGAGTGGTGGTGCAAAAGGAACGGGCGGTACAGATCTGGTGAGCTTTTTACGGGATTGCAGAAAGAATACGGTCAATGCTCTGTTTGCCGATTCCAAACCATAGACACATAGAATTAAAGATAGATTGTAACGAATATGTATGAAATGGTGTGCAATAATGATAAAAGGCTAAAAGTAGAGTGGAATAGGTATCTGAGTGGCGTAGATTCGGTATTAAGAGGTGTTTTCTGCAATCTCCTCTTGTCCTTTTGCCAAGAGTAGAGAAGCGGTCAAGCGCATAGGGAAACTTGGTTGACGTGGCCTGTTGATCGTCTTTTGCAATGGAAAGAGTGAAGAGAGACTATCGTTTTGTTCGTTTTCAACGTTACTATCGCCTGTATCACAATCGGATTGTTGTTGTGCATGTTGACGTTCTTTTGGCGTTGAAGAATCATTTGGCATGCTCAATGAAAAATTTCGCGGGAAAGGTAAACCAAAAGTATCGGAAGTTGTCAAAAAAGCCGAAGTTGAAGTGTCAAATTGACTTTCATCCTCTCCTTCTTGTTGTTGTTCTTCATAAAAGTCATTTCTACGATGACCAATTCCGATTTGACCGCCATTATAACCGGCAATGAATGATTTTTGATTATTCTTTTCATCGTATGGCGTACCGGGAGGAACGCGAAAAGAAGTTTTTGGAGAAGAGAATAAATCTTCGTTTACACTGTTTGGAGAATTGTCAGATTCCGTTGTTCCTATAAAATCATTTTGTTCATCATTTTCATCGTCTGTGACAACGTCTTTTGGTACATCGTCATCTTGACAATCATAGCGTAAAGAGCCAACACCTCCTTGTGTAGTGCCAGAGTGTTTTTCCACAAACGGATTTATTTCCTCCAAATTGGATGAAGTCGGACATTGGTCCATCGAGATTTGTCTAACCATTGAAGAGCGGGTTTGTGTTTGAATCTTGTCTAATGAAAGTTCAGATTTAGGAGGAGTTCGTAATCCTTCATTGTCATCTTGATCAACGGTATCAATTCGAAGCATGACCGATTGATTTTCGTTTTCAGCTTGATTCGACATTATGTTGGGGAGCACTTGTGTTTTGCAAAAGGGATGGTAGAGCTTTAGGAATGTGTGTGATGAGTGTTAAGGGATTTGATTGACCCTATCAAATCCATTGAATGATCAGAACTTCTTTAGGGGTGATAAATATGTACTTAAGGGGCTTTCATACGAGATAAAAATGGTAGACATGTCACAATCCAAAGAAATGATAAGCAGATGTGAGCTATCACATGCAGTCGTATGTATAACGTGCCGAATGAGCGCGGTTACATAGACCGTTCGATGTATTTGCACACGTACGCACGCATCCAGCTTATTCATATGGACCGTCAATGAACTCAAGAAAGGTATCCAATTAGAGTGTAAGGAGGAAAGAAATGTCTACTGAGAGAGACGACTGATCGTTGTCATCGAAAGGGATTTCAAATCAACTAAGATTGATGGCATTTTCGGGAGCACCAGCATTCTTTCTAGAAGTAATAAGTGCTGGAGGGCTGGTGTTTGATAAGAAAATATCAAGTGGAATGAAAGGCATGTCTCCGCTTGTTGCTTTTATGAGTGGATTGGCGGTGTTGTACATGTCTTGGAAATACCAAAATTGTCTTGCTTGAGTTGCATCATCATCGTTCGAACATTCTTCAACGGTAATATGTGTACTCTTGTTAGGATCTGAGGATGGTAAAGTTTCATGACGTTGTAGACACTTGCTATTGTCTTCTGCTAAGAAGATTTTGCCGAATGAAACGTATCCGTAAGGGTTCATGAATACGGCCTCATCGTTTGTGTTACTATAGAGGCCAAGGTAAGTAGAATTGCAACCACGAATATTGACATTCAATGTTTCAGCGCCATCTTCTAATTGTGTAACTTGCCATTGTCCATGTTCATCAACCTTTTTACCAAGTGTGAATCTTGGATAACCACCGGTTGAGTCACCATAGCCTAACTTATCTGTAGTTTGAAGTACTGGTCCGCAAGACAGACCACTAGAACGTTCTTCCAAAGAGATAGGTCCAGCAAATGCAATGCCAAAAATGGTTGCAATAGCAACGAGAGGGAAAACTGTAAATCGCATCATTGTAGATAATGAGATAATGGTTGGGATCGGGTTTGTTCTTTGCGAATCTAACATATCATCTTTTTTCTCTTCCTTTTATAATCCTCAACAACAATTGTCTCCGTTTATGTCATGGTCATACAAAGTTTAATACGTCTGCGGAGTAGCGAGGTCCAAAGATGCCCTAAAGCGCTAAAGTCCGCATAAAGCGTGCCGTCGGCAAAGGCACCAAGCACAGGCGCAGATCACAGGCACTATCACTTCCAGGCACACCTACTAAGAAACTGTCAACCCCATAGATGATGCACGCTTTCATGCAGACTCGAAGCTTAATTTGTGAATAGGACGCGAGATCATGACGTAAATAAAAGCCGTTCCGTGGGGGTATATCCGCCCGTTGTATTTTGCAAATGCGATGATAGAGTCACAGGATTGTTTAGTATCGAATCACCAGTTCTGCTGTGTTACAGATGAATCACAAAGAACAAATATGTCACAATACTCAAAACATAAGCATGTGAGAATACCGCATGCAGACACATGTGAAAATGCCGGATGAGCGCGATTATATAGACCGGTCGATGTACATGCATCTAGGTACGCTTCTTCCCTACTCATATGCATTGTCAACGCAATCAAAAAAGATATCTAATTAGAGTGTAGTAAGAAGGAAACCATTCCCTACAAAGGAGAGAGAGACTACTAATCGTTGTCATCGTAAATAATTTTACACAATCGATCAAATACTGATGGCATTTCTGGGATTTCCAGCATTCGTTCTGGATGTAATGAGTGCTGGCGGTGTGGAATTTGATAAGAAAATATCAAGTGGAATATAAGCCCTGTTTCCGCTTGATGATTTTATGAGTGGGCTGGCGGTGTAGTACTGGTCTTGGAAGTACCAAAATTGTCTTGCTTGATCTGCGTCATCTTCGTTCGAACATTCTTCGACGGTAATATGTGTTTTCTTGGTATACTCTGAGAATGGTAAATCTTCATGACGCTGTAAACACTTGTTATTATCTTCTGCTAGAAATATTCTACCAAATGAAACGTAACCGTAAGGGTACATATATACTGACTTATCGTTCGTGTTGCTATAGAGGCCAAGGTAAGTAGAATTGCAACCACGAACAGTCACATCCAATGTTTCAGCTCCATCTTCTAATTGCGTAACTTGTAATTGACCCTGTTCATCATACTTTTTACCAAGTATGAATTTTGGATAACCACCGGTTGAGGCACCATAGCCTAACTTGCTCGTAATTTGAATTACATCACCGCAAGATACACCACTTGAACGGTTTTCCAAATTGATAGGTCCAGCAAAAGCAAAGCCGAAAATGGTTGCAATAGCAACAAGAGTGAAGGCCGTGAGTCGCATCATTGTAGAGGATAAGGATTGGGGATGTGTTTGTGCTTTTCAGGTCACTACGATCCATTTTCTCCTACCTTTCATAGCCTTTAGGAATAATTGTCTCCGCTTTTATCATGACGATACGAAGCTAAATATGTCTGCGGAGGAGCGAGGTCCGTAGGTTCGAGAGCGCTAGTGTCCGCACGAAGCGTGCCGTCGGCAAAGGAACAAAGCAGAAAACAGAAGCTAACTTCATCCAGGCACAAATGCCAAGCATCTGCATATACGCTTCCATGCAAATAGAAGACGAGATTATGACGTAAAAAGTCGCCGTTCCGTGGGGATCCTTCGTGCTTGTGTTTTGCAAATGCGATGGTAGAGTCACAGTACTGTGGAGAATGAATGTCACAGAATATAACAAACTTATGAATTCATTGAATTACCATTCCTTCTGTGTTGAACGTGATTACATAGAACGTACAATGTGATGGACTCAAGCATGTAAGCTTTCGTCCAGCATACTCGTTCAAAGATTCAACAAAATCATAGCAACCAAAAATAAAATTAAGATTAAAACATAAGAATGGTCAATTTATGAGAAAGATAAAGATTGCCTATTGAAGACATACCTGCCTTGACAAAAATTCATTGGGGAAAGAAAAGGCTATTTTCCTGACCGCTTCTGGTTCTAGAAGTAAGAACTGCTGGCGGGGTGGAATCTGATAAGAATACTGGCATCGGTTGATACGGAGTATTTTTGTTTGATGTTTTCATCAATGGATTAAAGGCACTTCTTATCGTATCAAAGTACCAAAATTGTTTCAATTGACTTGAGTCATCTACGTTTGAGCAATCTTCGATAGTAATATGTGTATGTCTGTTTGGTTCTGAGGATGGTAAAGTTTCGTGACGTTGTAAACACTTCCTGTCATCTTCTGCTAAGAACACCTTGCCAAAATTAACATAACCGTAATTATGACTATATCCTGCATCACTGATATTGAGGTAGGCAGAACTGCAGTATCGAATGTTCACACTTAAAAATTCGGCGCCATCTTCTAATTGTGTAACTTGCCATTGTCCATGTTCATCGTACTTTTTACCGAGTGTGATGTTTGCTCCATCAAAAAAGTTACCGTAGCCTAATTCATTCGTATTTTCATTCACCGGTTTGCAAGAAAGACCACTTGATCGTTCTACCAAATTGATAGGTCCAGCAAGTGCAAAGCCAAAAATGCTTGCAATAATAACGAGAGAAAAGTGTGCGAAAAGCATACTGTAGAGATTATGTTGAAAATTGGGATGTGTCGTCTTTTGTAGCTTCAAGAAATCATCATCCTCATCATCTTATATAGCCTTCACCAGAAAGTTGCCACTGCTCTTCTTATGACCTCATACTATTTAATATGAATACGGAATAGCGAGGTACGAATGTTCTAAAGCGCTAAAGACCGTACGATGCGTGCCGTCGGCAAAAGCCATATGGCTGAAGACGGGAAACTCTCACATGAACCAACGAGACCAATACAGAAAACTTTCAGGCAGAGCTACAAGGATCCTGTCAAGTAGACTCGATCAAACTATGCAAAGTCTACGGCTAAATAGATAGAAATGAGATCATGACGTGAAAAGAAGCCGTTGCTTGAGGGTCTCATATGATTGTTTTTTTTGTAAAAGAGATAGTGGAATCATAAAATTGCGTACTACGAATGCTATAGATTTTAATAGCGATGAAGCCGTCAAAACTCATCAATCTACACACGAACGCTTTCTGCTTAAAAATATGTATATAAGAAATGATAGTATAAGATCAAGTCAATTGACATAAAGAAGGAAGATTGCTCAGCAAAAATGGAGTTCATCTTGCATGAAGATCATAGACAGTGATTTAATAAGTGATGGCAGACAATCCTGCATCTGGATCAGGATTGGTTCTGGAAGCAAGAAGTGCTGGCGGGCTGGTTTTTGACAAAATCAGGTCAAGTACCACAAACTCTCCGTTTGTTTTTACAATTGGACTGATAGTTTGGTTATTCGTGCCATTTTCCGTAAAGAAGGACCAGAATTGTCTTATTTGCGTTGCATCATCGACGTTTGAGCAATCTTCGATGGTAATATGCGTCGTTGCATTTGGATTTGAGGATGGTAAAGAATCATGACGTTGTAAGCACTTATTGTTGTCTTCTGCTAAGAATATTTTCACAAAAGTTCTACTTGTGTCAGAAGTGGTTTTGAGGTAGCTTGAATGGCAGTGACGGATATCTACGTTCAAAGTTTCAGCGCCATCCTCTAATTGTGTAACTTGCCATTGTCCTTTTTCGGAAAACTTCTTTCCAAGTAGAGCATTTGGGTTTCCATGAGAATTAGAATAACCTAGACCGTTTGTATTATCAAACACTTTACCACATGAAAGGCCACTCCAGCGTTTACTGATTGGGCCAGCAAGTGCAACTTTGAAAATTATAGCAGTGACAACGAGAGGGGAGACTGTGAAGCGCATTTTCGTAGGAAGTAGGGAAGGGCTTTGGAGTTTGTCTATGCTTTGCAAAACATCATGTTTTACCTTTCCTCCTTTTATATCTTTTCCTAAGTATTTCTTCTTGTTGTGACCGCACAAATTTCAATATATTCGGAGTAGCGAGGTCCTAATAGGTATTATAAAGCGCTAATGTTCGCACTAAACATGCCGCCGGCAAAGGTACAAAGCATGATACAGGGAGCTAACTTCATCCAGGCACAACCGCTAACGAATCTGCCAATACGCTTCTATGCAGATAGAAGACGAGATTATGACGTAAAAAGACGCCGTTCCGTGGAGATTTTCCGCGGTTGTGCTTTGCAAATTCAACGGTAGAATCACAGGAACATTCCGTCTTCATGGACACTAATCGACTCTATCAAATCTTGCAAAAAGCCACAATCTTCTTTCCATGTAGCAAATACATTTTGAAGGGGCTTTCAAATGACACAATCTATGCTCATTCGTATGAACAACATTTAAGATATATAATGTGATTAAATTAAAAAATATACTGAAGTGTTTCAACAGGCCTATTTATAAAAGAAAAAAAAAAAAGCTCTTCAAGCCTAGATATGGAAACAGGATCTTTCCGCCGACTGACTTAGAGGACAATGGCATTGTTTCCTGCGTTTGGATTTGGATTGGTCCTAGTAGCAAGAAGTGCAGGCGGGGTGGAATTCGAAAAGATCATGTCAAGTGGATCAAACATTCCGTTTGACTTTACGATTGGATTTGCGGTATTATACTTTGTTTGAAAATACCAAAATTGTCTTGCTTGCGTTGCATCATCAACGGTTGAGCAATCTTGAACAGTGATATGCGTCTTTGCAGTTGGATTAGAAGATGGTAAAGTTTCATGACGTTGTACACATAAACCTTCATCACTACTTCCTAAAAACACCTTACCAAAAGATACATAACCATAATCTTGTCTAAATGCAGCTCCATCTGTATCGCCAGAAATACCAAGGTAAGTGGAATTGCAATAACGAATTTTCACATGTAAAGGCACAGCCGTATCTTCTAATGGTACAACTTGTGTTTGTCCTTCTTCAGTATCTTTTACGCCGATAGTGAATTGTCGATCACCGCATGAATCACCATAACCTAATTCATCCGTACTGAGAATCACTGGTCCGCAAGAAAGACCACTTGAACGTTGTTCCAAATTGACAGGTCCAGCATGCGCAATGCCAAAAAGGGTTGCAATAGCAACGAGAGGGAAAATGATGAATTGCATAATTGTGGAAGTGTGAAAAGGTTTGGAATAGGGGATTTGTTGTATGTTCTCAAAATCAAGTATCATTTTTTGTTCTTCTTTATATAGCCTTGACCAAAGATAGTCCGCTCTTTTGGGAACTGCACAAAATTTAATCTATTTTTCGGATCAGCGAGGACCGAAGATTGTAAAGCGCTAACGTCCGCCCATTGTGTGCCGTGAGCAACGGCATCTAATCAAGACGCCGATACTATCAAAATAGCATCTATGCACAACTGCAAGGAAACTGCCAAGCAAATATGTGAGCACATGCCTCCTCGCGAATCTACGGGCTTTAAATGTACATGGAAGCAGATCAGGCCATGAAAAAGATAAATGACGTAGGGTGTGTTTCAATCACATGAAAGAGTCCCGTTTGAGAAGATGACCCATAAATGTATCCGAATGTATGACCGTATCAAAAAATCAATGACGGAATTGTACAGAACGAGAGGCTAATAGGTAACAGTTTGTGAAGAGCACACTTATTGAAAACGGTCTCGACGGAATCAATCTTTTTCTCAACGGTATGATTGTAATTTATATTGAAATGCACGAGAAAAGTACAGTAGTTTAGACAAATTTCGGAACGCATTTTAGAAAAGGAGACCTTGGTAAGCTTGGCCATTGTTAGCAGCGAGAACGGCTTGAGGTTTGGTGTCTGATAAAGCAAGGTTAATAGTATTAATCTGTCCGTCGCTTGATTTTGTGATCGGTTGGGCTTGACCGAATTTTGTTTGAAAGTACCAAAATTGTCTTGCTTGAGTGGCATCATCAACATTTGAACAATCTTCAACGGTTATATGCGTTCTTGCATTTGGATCAGAAGATGGTAAGGTTGCATGACGTTGCAAGCATTTACTTTCGTCATCGGCCAAGAAAATTTTTCCAAATGAAACGTAACCACCGTATTTCTGATTGTATGAGAAGCCTTCCGTTTGTCCAGAGATGCCAAGATGGGTTGAATTACAAAAACGGATGTTTACGTTTAACTTTTCAGCTCCGTCTGTCAAACGTGTTAATTGAACTTGTCCGCCTTGGGATGTATGTTTACCAAGTGCTTCTCTGGTGTACCCGGTGATATCGTTACCGTATCCTAAATCATTTTCAGTCTTGTAGATTTCTTTGGAACATGAGAGTCCACTTGAACGTTCACTGATTGGACCGGCAAGTGCAACGCCAAAGACAGTAGCAATGGCAACGAGAGGGAAAGCCGTGAAGCGCATGTTGAAATAGGGCAGAAGGTGTTTTGTGTGGGAAGTGATGGGGATTAATTGATGGGTAGATGTAGATCAATTTCCATTCAATCAGCCATGCTTTTATATCCTTCCTTCTTTCCACTTTTTGAATGCTATTGTTTATGAGCGTGGACGCTAGTGTTGATTCTAGATTGTCTTTACGCGCGGTCTTAATGCAAGTGGACCGTATAAGACGTGTTTCTAGAAGACGGCCTTTAACTCCAGACTGTGTGTATGATGATTGATGTTCAGGCACAAACGATTCAATGACGGTATATGCACGAACACGCGGTTCCGACGTAAAAGGAGCTTTGAGTAAAAATTGAATTCTGCGCTTGTATGCCTGGTACATCAAAGTCCGAAAGTGACAATCTATTTTACTTTGCGGACAGATCCGAGTTACTTGAAATGTTTCACGATATCGGATTAAAGGAGAAAGCATATCCGAATAGAAGGAAAGTTAGAAACCTGTCATCAATGCATAAATTGATGACAAGAAGTGCCCGCTAAGCTGCTGAGCAACATGTAAGCAACCTCCGAAAGCTGCATCATGACAAGCATATCACCATATATACTGTAGAAGATGTCATCACGTCACATTTAGGAGAGTTATGATCTTGGTTGTGGCAATTTAGTCAGCTGCCTAGGTGAAGATACGATCTGAGAGGAATCGGCTTTAGGCAGAGCGATCCAGACCTCGTGATTTTGTTGATCATATTCATATTCATGGGCCATCAATTCCACGTGAATCACACCTCCTTTTTCTGGTCCCCACATGGAAGGCGCAGCGCAGCGCACTCACGCACGCACGCTAACGATTAAAGTTGTCTTAAAAGAGAAATAGGCACAATAAATTAAATATTGTACAGGCTAACATGATAAGGCTTATGCCATGCCGAAGTACATTAATGGCTTCACTTTAATAAAATCAAATCATCTCTCCATGTAGTTGTCAGCATCAATGATCAATTCAGGAACGGCATGACATCAATGTCAATTTGGTGATTAATATAGAATTTAATCAAGCCTACACAGTAATTGATTTGAGTTGGCCTGCAATGCCCTATTTGTCGCTGCTTGGTGGCAGTGCATAAGGGCCGGCATTCATTTCAAAACATTATTGCATGCACACACTGAGTCAATGCATATGCATGCGAGGAGCATAGTGTGGGTTCGTGCTCTGCGTATTTCAACGGAAGGCTTGTCTTTTTTTGCCAAGACGCAGAAATCCAGCAAGAAATTATAATTTCAAAGGCACTGATTTTGTGTGTTCCTGGTAAGTAAGGTACACGTACGAAACAAGTAAAGCCCTGTGTTGCTTAATCGTTGTTGTGTACGGCAGAGCCTTTTCCTCTTTGATCATTTAATTTGTTCATGCATAAACGAACCTGACACAAATTTGTTAAAGAGGCCGATGGTAAATTACCCCGAAGAAATGAGACACAAACACAACTCAATTCTTATCCTTTCACCCCCTTACAATAAACAACTTGAACCCTTTTTTACTCACACCATCATCATCATTGCTCTGTAATGCTTCATCTTTCTACACATCAACTCGTACGTCAGATTTGATTTGATCGCTTATTTCTCCGCTTTTGAAAGAGGAAAGCGGAGTAGGAACATCATTTGACGGCGCATTAATCCGTCTCAAAGGCCGATCAGGCCGGTCGTAAAAGAAAACAAGAGCATCTCTTTCATTCGCTCCGATGCTAATCATGCCAAAAAGACCACGTTCAGGCGATAGTGCATTACATGCAAACAATGCATCATCGTCTGACAATAAACAATCTAGATGGTCTTTTGGTCGTTTGGGTAGAATTGGTTCGGGTAGCGGAGGCAGTACTTCCGGACGGTCAATTTCATCACCTATTCAATCAAAATCTCCGCTTTCAACGCCAGCTAAAGCAATACCCACGCAAACAACAACAGCAACAACAAGCTCCACAGCCCCTTGTTCGTCATTCGTGAATACGACACAGCATTGGCCAGGTTATCAGATCGAGGATCCGTCATTTTCGCCTTTTATCAATGGTCAATTCCAAATTCCGTCTGTGACAGGATCTGACTATATGAGCAGCAGTCAATACGCACAAATGCAAAATGGACATATGATCACTTCAAATCAACAAAACACGCCAGATCTATCAAGAAATGATGCTTTACCCAATAAAGTACATCATCCTTCAATGCATATTCCTGTAGAACGTTCAACAGATTACATCGGATCAGAATTCATCAGATCCACTTTACCGCCCGTACAATCACAGGAATATATGGTCAAGCAGCCAATGGAAGCACACTCGATGTATTCTGAAGCTCCTTCTCCTTCTCAAATCACCGTTTGCGAATCAGGTCCAACGACACCTTCTGTCATGGCATCCTACAATTCTGCACCTTGGATTCGATCTGCATACGATGTTCATTCTGATTGGTCACAAACAGTATCGTCCAATGCTGGATACTCTACGCCAGTCGCTCATGTCGCTCATCCAATGCAAAATGCTGGCTATCCAGTAGCACATCTTCCATTGGTTGAGCAAGACACTCTGCATGACAGCAGGAATAGCAACGCACCAAGCGCAACAATGTGGACGAATGCTGCACAATCCTATCATGCTAATGCACATTCCATCTCTGTCAACACGCCCCAAAGCTCTGAATCAAACAATCCAACCAGTCATGAATCCGATGGTTATTACAGAAACGAAGAAAGACAAAGCAGTCATGACAGTCAACCATCACGACAAGCATCAACGCATACTTCCTGTTCCAGTGATAGTATAGCGGCTGAAGATGAAATGTTTGCAGGAAAGAACTCTGAAGGTGTGGATTACAAGACAACACATGCATCTAACATGCAAGGCGAACAGAGACAATATTCGAGCATCTTTCAAGCGCAGCCATTGCATTCTTTAAGTCAGTATGAACCTTTAGAAACCTTGGGAACGGGTACGTTTGGTCGAGTGCTGCTTGTTCGCTTACGGTCAGGATCAAAATCAGATCCAAAGAATTATTACGCCTTGAAGGTGTTGAACAAGCTGGACGTCATTCGATTGAAACAAATCACGCATACAAACAACGAACGTGATATTTTGAGCAAAGTGCATCATCCTTTTATCGTTGATCTTCATTGCACATATCAAGATGAAAAGAATTGCTATATGCTGATGGAGTATGTCGTAGGAGGGGAAGTCTTTTCACATTTACGTAAAGCACGTCGGTTTACGGTAGATGTAACGAGATTCTACATCTCTTGCTTAATCTTGGCCCTTGCGCATCTTCATTCGGAAAAAATCTTATACCGTGATCTCAAACCTGAGAATTTGCTTTTGGACCGTCAAGGATACATCAAGATTACCGATTTTGGATTTGCCAAGAGTTTACATAAAACGGGAAGAACTTGGACCTTGTGCGGTACGCCAGAATATCTAAGTCCTGAAGTTATTCAAAGTCAAGGTCAATCTTTCGCATCAGATTATTGGGCTTTGGGGATTCTGATGTATGAGATGTTGTGTGGCTTCCCACCTTTCTACGACAAAACACCATTTGGGACATACGAAAAGATTTTACAGGCAAACATTGTTTTCCCAAAACATGTCGATGCTTGTTCGAGAGATCTAATCCAGTCCTTCTTGAAACGCGATGTAACCAAACGATTGGGCAATTTGAGCGGAGGCGTGAATGATGTAATTCGTCATCCTTGGTTCGAAGGTGTTGATTGGCAAGCTTTATTGGCTAAAAGAATTCCGGCTCCTATTATTCCTGTTCAATCTCATGCGGGAGATTGTGCGAATTTCCAAAAATATGATGCTTTCGATATTGCAAAGATGCCCGCTTTGCAACAACAACAACAAAACACAAAAAGCCGAAGAACCTCTTCTTCCGAAGATTATATTCAATCTCAATTCCGTGACTTTTGAAAAATTTTCTCTCTAAACATATGCTCTTGTCTCTGCCACATTTACGTTATTCACGCTCTCGATGACAATTTTACTGTGTACTATCTGTATTTTCTAGCTTTTGTGATAATTTAAGACAATCTACTCATAACCATCAGACCAAATTTCTGCTATGTGACAATGAACTGTATTATATCTGTTTGACATAGGTACTTGGTACAATGCCCTCCCTTCCATCGCTCGAACGCCCTTTCCACCAATCTTCGCTAATCTTTTCTACAAGGTCAATAATGTCATATCTTTTGACCGATAAATCTTCAGCTTCCGTTCCATTATAATCGTACAATACCTCTGCTTGTCCCAAAGAGGCTGGTTCTGCTTTCACACGTGGAGCCGGAGCAGGAGGAGGTGCGGTTCTACTTGTGGTAGCAGGCATTGCTTTTGGCAACACTCCACTGATTGCTTCTCCAACCGATGCAGGTGCTTCTGGACGTGGTTTTCCCATTATCATCGATCCGAAAGCAGATCCTTTGTTTGCCATATCTATCCGTCCAACAGATTTCCCCGAACTTAATCCGGCTGGTGGTGTGGGTGCGGCATGCATTGAGCTTGTTGCTGGCTTACGGGCTGCTGGTGCTGGTGGCTGTGATCGTGCGGCAGGGGTAGGATTGTATTGCTGTTGTGGTGCGTATTCTGCCTCTTGTTCTTCTGCTGCTGCTCCTGCTCCTCCGGGTAGCAGATGTGGTCTCGATTGAAAGTATTCATCTAACAGAGAGAAGAATGCTTGTCTCTCATGAGCAGGCAGAGATGCAAATGAGGTCGGCATGTTGAAAAGCTATTTGATGACGATGGTATGGAAGGAGGAACATTGAACGGGTGTCTTGTGGAGCGGTCTGAACTATGCACACGCTAAATTGATGCATGCACTTCTAAGATTTAAGGCTGTGCGGTGGAAATAATCAATCTAATTAGAATTCACACGTGTTTACGAAGAATTGACGACCATCACAACTCTTCTTCTAACAACCAAATCGTATTATCGACTTGGTGTGGTCGATGATCAGATTCACTCTAAATCACCAATAATGTCGGACGTGAAAGCAGTAGCTGTTAATGGAACATCACAGCCTGCTGCACTTAGCAAAAACGCAAAAAGACGACAAAAGAAAAAAGAACAAAAAACTACAAATGGAACTCAACCAGCTTCGATTCCATCAGTGGATGCCGACAAAGAGAGCACGCAGCCAATAGTGACAGTTGCACCATCTACAATCGATTTCAGCGCTTCAACAGAAGAAGACCAAACCGCTCTGGCCACTTTCTCTGACGTTTTCAAACGATTTCAAAGTGACCCATCCTCCAGCAAAGGCGGCTACGATCCATCCGACGAAAAAGGTCAAGTGATTTACTCGGACGATGAGCAACTCTCTGAATCGGACGAGGAAGAAGCACGGGAGCGAGAGCAGCTCTCAAAGCGCAAACAGAGAAAGCTACAGAGACTGACTGTTGCTGAGCTAAAACAGATTGTCAAACGACCGGAACTGGTGGACTGGGAAGATGTAACAGCGACAGATCCTGCATTTCTCGTACAAATCAAGAGTACTCGAAATACTATACCCATCCCGCCCCACTGGAATCTAAAGCGTGAATATCTGCAAAACAAGAAAGGAATAGAGAAGCCGCCTTTTCAGCTTCCGTCCTACATCGCTGCTACAGGTATTGCAGAGATCAAAGATGCATTGAAGGAAAAGGAGGCAGAACAAACGTTGAAAGCAAAGACACGAGAGAGAGTACAACCAAAGATGGGAAAAGTGATGATCGATTACCAGAAGCTACATGATGCATTCTTTCGATTTCAAACAAAGCCAGAGAGTCTGACAAGGTTCGGAGAGGTATATTATGAAGGAAAAGAGTTCGAAACAAAGTTCAAAGAGCGCAAACCAGGAGAATTGAGCGATGCCCTTAAAGATGCATTAAGTATACCACCTCTTGCACCACCACCTTGGCTCATCGCTATGCAGAGATTTGGTCCCCCACCAAGCTACCCGCAATTACGCATTCCTGGTCTCAATGCACCTATTCCCGACGGCGCACAATGGGGTTTCCATCCAGGTGGCTGGGGTCGTCCTCCGATGGACGAATATGGCAATCCTCTATTCAGTGATGTTCTTGGTCATGCAGAAGATACATCATTGCGTCAAGTTACAATCTTTGGTGAAGAACCTGAAAAGGAACATTTCGGCGATCTGGATCCCGAAGAAGAGGAAGAGGAGGACGAGGATGACAGTGAAGATGAGGAGGAAGATGAAGCAGAGGATGAAGAGGAAGAACCTGCATACGATCGAAGAGGTCTTGAAACGCCTGCCGAAGGTCTACAGACACCCAGTGGCCTACAGAGCGTTGCAAGCACAGTTCCTGGTGGTCTGGAGACGCCTGGCTTCCTGGAACTACGTAAAGGAGGCAGGCGTGGTCAGCAAGCGGATGAAGATGATGCAGGACCCAAACAACTCTTCCACGTTTTACCTGAACGAGATGTTTCAGGAGCAAATGGATTCCTTACTGCAGATCATGGCTATGATCTTGCTAGTATCCGTCAAGCTAGCTCAACCAATGGAATTGCTTCTGGCCCAGTCTTAGGCGAGGAAGACTCGAGAGGAACCAAACGAAAGGCAGATTCGGGCGCCATTGAGTTATCAATCGATGCTTCAGAATTGGAGGGTTTGTCGGAAGCTCAATTGGCAGAAAAGTACGATCAAGCCAGAAGAACGACGGCAGCGAAATCAGGTGACGGCCGAGATGATGGGGATTTGGCATTATTGAGAGAAGAATTGCAAAGGAAAAGATCTGTGAAAGAGGCAAAGAGGTCTGCCCGTTGATTTTGTATTATATGTGAGATCTATTGTACTGTAGCCCATGGTCTGGGAAATAATCAAAAATGTACGATGACATTGGTATATAATCTATTAAGAGTACATGCTCATGGCTGCGATTGTCCTAACTGTTGAGCGCCAAAAAGTCCTTTTGAGAACATACTTGCCACAACATCAAATCCGTCTTCAGCTTCTTCGACTTCATTGATAAACAGATCGTGTCGTTGTCCGAATTGAATGTTATTCTTTCGGATTTCCAAAATGACTCCATGACTTTGAGCACAAAGTGGACATTCATTTTCACCTTCGCCCAAACAACGACTATGGAAAGAATGTTTACACATGAAGTGAACACTCGGCAGATCCAGATTACCGCCGCAAGAGCTGCATTTGCTTTGTTGGAATATTCTTGGTTGATCAAGATTTTGCAAAGCATCAATGTCTTCTTGTTTCTCCCGTGTCTCCTCGCGGTATGTTTGTGTAAGTTTTGCGTTTGTATTGATATCATTTCTTTGAGCATCAAGAGCACGCATCAAATGATCACGTAAAAGACCAACACTTGCCACGCCCTTTTTACTGAGCAATTGAACCATTTCAAGCGGTGACAAAAGACCTTCATCGAACACATGCGTCAAAATCTTTTCAACGTCAGATTTATGACGTTCCAATCGCTTTTCATCAGATACCAAGTGACGTAAAACAAGTGGATATAGAGATGGCTCAATACTTCCATACCTCTTGAGCGTATTCAAGATTTTGTCACTGGTACTCTGCGCCGCTCCATCTTCTTGTCCATCTTCTCTTTCCATGTAAAGTCGTAGGATATCCTCATACATTCCTAGCCTTTCGTACAGGTACACAAGACCTTCATCAAAGTCATGTTGTGTACACAAAACAATTGCATGGCCAATATCGTAAGGCAAAGAGTCATATTGGTGCAAGAGTGCTAATGCTCTCTTCCGTTGCGCTTCTTCTGTACCATTCTGCTCGTGCGAAGAGAGGTACAGCTCCAACAAAGTGTTCCAAATCGTTTCTTGATCTCTCTTCTCGTCTTCTTCCAATTCGTCCTCTGCGTCGATCTCGATCGGATCAGGTATTCCTCTAGCATCTTTAATGACATCCAAGTCAACTGCTTCGTCCCATCTTGCTAGAGCGACAGTTTCCAGAAATCGGATGAATTGCGCCCTATGGTTCAAAAAGTGGGCGAAGAACGGACGAGGAGAAGGAGGTGGTAGAGCGTTTGCTCCATTGTCCTGCACTTTTTCTTCTGCCTCTTTGCCTTCCGTTGCAACAGTATCCTTCCCTAGCTTTCCTCCGCCAGTGCCACCTAACCTTCCAACTTTCAAATATGCCAAGTAATTCTTGTTCTCCGCCTTGCTTGCATCGATTCCACTTCCTTCAGCAATTGGAACAGGATGAAAAGCGCCAGAACATAGCTCGATGAGAAGATCGGTAGTTGCCTCTGCATCATGATCTAGCATCCTTCTGCCATATCTGTATAGGTTACGCTGAGCGTCAGGCAGCGGGAGACTGCGCACATACCGCATTGCGTCAACGTAATCTCCCACATCTTCGATCTGAATACGGATATACTCATCCGGTTGATGATATCGTTGTGCTAGATATGCTGCATGTTGGAAATAGCCTGCTTGTCTGCAAACGCGAATTGCGGTATCGAGATCGAATGGTAATTGTTCTACTCCGCCTTCTTCATCACCTCCTTCATCATCACTGTCATCCAAATCTTCTCCAGATCTGTTTCGCTTCTCTCCGTCTTTTTCGATTGGTCTCTTGATAAATTTGTCAAGTGAGTTGACATCTTTGAGCTTTGCAAAACAATTGAGCAGTAGTGTAGTGTGATCAGCATTGGCAAATCCTCTAGCATGCAACTCTTGCAAATATGTGGTAAGATTTGTGATCCTTTGAGCATCCAAAAATTTACGAATCACATAACTTGGTTGTGTGACTCCAATCGATTTGACAAATTGACCGATTGCACCTTCGAAATCTCCTTTTTCGTATAGGTAATCTCCATACTTTCTATGAATGTCGCCAAGTAAAGGTCCAACATTACTTTGTTCGGATGATACAATAGCACCATTCTTCTTTCGACTTCTGGCAGCATGCGACTGTGCCACACTGATGGCAAGCAAGTAAAGTGATTTACGCAGCAAAATGTCCAATTTCTGCCGCAACGATTTCTCATCAAGTCTTGTGACCGACCCATCATCACCCAAAACACAGATCTCGCCTTCAGGACCGGACCATGCATCCCGGATGCCTCCTTCCAACGTGCTTGAATGTGCGACTAGCTTGCTGTCCAGATCAAAAATAGTCACTTTTGACACATCGTTCGATTTCGATAGATTGCTGGAAGACTTATCCCTTTCGGCTACATAATGTCGAACTGTTGGTGAAGCTGAAGCAGCAGTAGCAGGCATAGGCGGGGAAATGATGATCAATTGAGTACTCGAAAGTCGAATGACTGATTTCCTTCCTTCGAATGCCAGTGACATCTCTCTGCCTTCAGCTCCGATCACATAGATAGCTTCATCACGCGCTACTACCATCTTGCCCGCCAATCTCTCCTTTTCCACACCTACGCCATTCCATTCACCTACATTTGCAGGTACCATGACCGCACATTCAAGAGCACAGCCAACATCATCCACAGACGAAGCTGGCGATCCAGCTCCTTTCCCAAGAACGGTGTAGCGCAATATCTTTGAGATTGTGGCAATGAAAAGATGTACTGTTGTACCTGATTGACGATTTGCAATTGCCTCGCCGGCATCAGGCTCTGCTGCGATAAAGTTGTTTGTTTCCAGCCTTTTCCTTTGCTTGTTGATTCGAGGTGCAGGTCCAGCAGGGTGCGTATTGCTTGGTGGATCTTGTTGTACTGTAGCAGGACGGTGTTCTGAGAAACCAAGGCCAGTTACAGAATCCATTCCTATAGCTTCGCCGGATTTTGATATCGATGTTTGATGCACTACCTTGAATTTCGGTAGAGTAACAGCGGGAGCATTACTTGTCTCAATTTGCGATTTTATTCTGGGAGCATTATCTAGAGTTTCCGATACATTTCGTAAAAGTAAAACTGTTCCATCCGCAAGCCCGATTGCAATGAATGAGGAGGAAGGCGTGTGAGCAATTGCTGCAACTGGAAATGGTTTACTGCCATGCTGCACTTTTGCTTCGGCTAACAAACGGGGTGACTGTGCTCCATCAGGTGATTTGATGGAAATGTTCAGATCCCATATCCGTAATATTGGAAATCGAACACCTTCATCTTCACCTAATGTTATCGCCCTTCCTTTGTCATCACAAACGATATGTGTCACACGACCAGAAGATATAGCTTCTTTACTGTTTGCACTCGTTCCTCTAAATGCCATCCATGATCCCAGTATATCATAGCTCTCTGGATCGCATGCTATTATTGTTCCCGATTGTGTTCCTATGAGTATACTGCCTGCTTCATTTTGACGTTTTGATTCTTTCTTGGTTTGTGTATTGGCTTGATCTACAGCATTTGCTACCACATTTGATCGAACGAATGCTGGTACGATTGAGGCTTGTGCGATTGCGGCAATCGTACTAGGTGTTTTGAAAACAGCGGGCGATCGTGCAAAATCTGAAGCATCACGTACAGTGCTCACGTCATAAAATGGTAATTGTCTCCAAGCTGGTGTTTGAGTATCTGTGATTTGATCATTCTTCGCCTCTGCTTTTGTTCCATTTTTCTTTTCATTTGTTGTCCTAGCCGACATCTTACCAATCCAAAGTGATCGAAATGTCAAAGCATGAGGAGATATTCAACTCCTGATAGAAGATGGACGTTAACTTCTAAAATAGCCTTTCATACGCACGGACTTTCTCTAAGCTAAGCCAGCAAAAGAATGAGCGTAACGCGGTGCGGACATACAAGGGGAAATCTTTGGCGTAAAATCTTAAAGTGAGACTCCTGTTGTGTGCAGTGCATGTAAGAAAGGACACCCTACTCCGACAAAAAGACGCGTTATGCACACAAGCAATAAGAAGTCGGCGAATTTGATGTTGCATTCCAGTGTAATAAGGCTAAAGTGCCCAAAAAAAGTTAAGTTTAATCGGATTCAATTTTAGTGGACTTGGTTTGAAAAAGGAAAATGAGTAGTACTTTTCATATCATCAACCTTCACCTTGATCATAACGAAATAGCAAATGACTAAAGGATCATTTTACATATAAAGACTTGAAAGTCATTCTCACAAGAGAAAGAAATGATCGCATACATATGAAAAATACACGAAATTCACACTCTCACATCTTACGACAATGTCACGAAGATCTTCTATATCAGGATCACGTTCGCAATCGCCAACACCTGCCAATCCTCAACAAGGATCGGATAATAGAACAACAAGGTCTACGTCACAGGCAGTACCTTCGCTACTCCTACCCTCACTTCACAACAGCGTTGATCAAGCAGTCTCATCCGCCGGTCCGCATGCTTCCCAATTCAGCATAGCCTCTTACTATTATGATTCGGCTCAATGGGGATCAGATTCACAAGACTCGCAAGCTGCAAGACATGCAAGCAGATATCCGCCTTCTCTTTCAGTAAGAGAATCACCCCCAAGGGTAAGAACTGCTCAACCAAACACAGCCAGCACATCAAATTACCCCTCACAGCATGATGGCGATGATAATCCAGAAAGACCATTTTCCGACTGGGCAGCAGGACTTGATTACGATCATTCGTTTGATGAAGGCGAACTTGTAACCTCAAGAGCTACACTGGAAAATTCAATGCTTGCCTCTACCCCACAACCAAAGTCAGCCACAGGAAAAAGTCCCTTGCGATACGACTTGGATGACGATGATATGATCTCAGCTGGTCCATCTCGACACTTCTTCGGAGGAAGACATGGTCGCGAGTTCAGTTCGGCCACAGAAGGTGATGTTGGTGTTCATCCTTACATTCAAGTTGACAACATTGACAATCAAGGAAGTTTCACTGATCTGCCATTAGATCATGAGCATCTAGGGCCAAAGCCTCAAGACTCGGTGAGCTTCTTGGGAGCCACCTCTTCACGCAATAGTTCTTTCATTCAAATGGGAACAGAAGTACCGCATCAGTCAGCATCTGAAGTCGCTGCTCTGACAGCGTTCAAAGCACCTTCTGGTAAGGTTAGGCACCCTGGAGGATATTCTGACGAACGTGCGGGTGACCGAACGGATATGGAGCCGAGACGATTGGATAATTTCTTTGGTGATGAGGAAGAAGGCGTACGACGGGTCGAATCTCCTTCTTCTCTCGAAGAAATGGCAGATACAGAAATGAATACGACTCGAGATACTCATCGATCCAGTGCTGATTTGTATGCTCGGATGGGAATCTCTTCTAGGAGCGCAGATGGAAATGGCGTTGAACGTGCAAAACAAGGATTGACGCGAGTCGGTAAGTCGATTCGACGCTTAAGTCGTAGAGTTATCAATCTCGATGGCGAAGAAAGACCAAACACGGAAGGAGTGATTCGCTTACCAGATCATCAAGAAGTCGATGAGAGTAGCAGTGATGACGAAGATGGTATTTATGCTGTTGATCAAGTGCATACTGTGCCCTCAAAAGCCTCCTGGGAGCTACGTGGTAAAAGTTTGGGTATCTTTGGACCCGAAAATCCTTTCCGCCGTTCTTTGGCTACTTTAATGTCACAATGGTGGATCGAACCTATCATCTTAATGATGATCATTCTTAACGTGGTCCTTCTCGTCCTTCAATCTGCTCGTGATGTTTTCTTACAGCCCCGTAAGCCAGGCTATTTTGACTACTGGCCTGATTATGGATTACTTGCTGTGTTTGTGTTTTACACTATCGAGCTTGTTGCACGCATCGTTGTCTCGGGATTGATAATCAATCCACCGGTGGCATATGAAGCTCCTCAAGAGCAAAGGAAAGCGGATGATGGCGTCATTTCACCTCCCATCGAAACACCATTCTCGCAACATGTACGAGCAAAGGCAATGCGATCCAACACTTTGGACACGTTTGCAGCAATGGCAGGTACTATTAAAGTTCGAGCAACAGAAGCTGTTCGACCGCATAACCATCTCGGACAATTGAATGAACATGGCAAGGCTCCTTTGAGTCCAAATCGAGCTCATGCACCACGTACAGTCACATCAGATGTGTTGGACACCGAGCACACTTTTCCGCCTCATCAGCATGACCGAAGCCAGAACAGTAGCGCGACAAAAAGTCAATTCGATCGAAGACAGCCAAGTTCAGCCACATCATCAAGTGGACAATTGCGGGAAAAGACATCGACCTTTTTACAAAAGAGCAAATTAGCTCCGTTTGCCGAAGCAATAAGCAAACAACGTGCACAAGCCGCCGATTATGCTTTCCTTCGTCATAGTTGGAATCGAGTCGATTTGGTCGCTGTGGTGTCTTTCTGGGTGATGTTCTTCTTGGCGGTAGCCAGAGAAGAGATGACTGATAGTCATCACATTTTCATCTTTCGTGCTTTGAGCGTTCTTCGTTGCGCCCGTCTTTTGACGGTTACACGGGGTACTTCGGTCATCTTACGAAGTTTAAAGACTGCCGGACCGCTTTTGGTCAATGTGTCTTTCTTTACGTTGTTTTCGATGTTGTTATTCAGCATCATTGGTGTTCAATCATTTGAAGGAAATTATCGAAGAAGTTGTCTCTGGGTCGGCGATTTGCAAACAGACCCAAATGCACCGAGAGGACAAAATTATTCAACACAACAAATTTGCGGCGGTCATCGTGATGCTGTAACTGGAGCAAAGACGAAAGCAGTTGATTTGAACGGTCGTCCTTTATCGATCAGTATCAAAGGCTTCATTTGTCCCGCCGGACAATTATGCGTAGAAAATGCTGAAAATCCAGAAAATGATACAGAGAGCTTTGACAACATTTTCCTTGCCTTGTTACAAGTGATCATTGTTATCTCCTCAAACGGTTGGTCAACGATTATGTACAACATGATGGATGCCGATTATTACGCATCATGTTTGTATTTCATCATTGGAATTATCGTTATGAACTTTTGGATGGCAAACTTATTCGTCGCAGTGATCACAAATACCTTTGCTACAATATCTGCTGAAACGAAGCAATCTGCTTTTGCTGCTGAAGGGATTGAACCAGCAAAACCATCTGCAATTGTAGAGGAAACCGCAGCTGCTCAACGTCGTAAAAGGGTGGCGAACGTCTTTAAACGCTTTTGGGGTTATACGAAATGGTTCTGGCTGGCTTTGATTGTGGCCGACTTGGGTGTTCAAGCAAGTCAAGCAAGTTACCATGAAACGTCATCAAATCATCGACTTAGCTTGACGGAGCTCTATTTGACAATCGCATTTGACTTTGAAATCTTGGTCAGATTTTTGTCCTATTTACTCGATAACGATTGGCGATCGTTCTTTTCCATCAAGAGAAACCGATTCGATTTATTCCTCGCTGTGATCACTACTATAATTCAAATACCTGGTATCAAGAATTCAGACGTGTTTCCTTGGTTAACAGTATTTCAATTGGCCCGTTTCTATCGTGTCATCATCGCCGTGCCTCGAATGGAAGCTCTCTTATTCCGCGTTTTCGGTTCGCTTTCCGGTTTGTTTAACATGATCGTTTTCCTTTTGCTCATGGTCGGTCTGGCTTCCCTCGTGGCCGTTCAGCTGTTCAGGGGTGACATTCCCGAAGTTTCTGAAGGTCAAACAAATGAGATCAATTTTAAGCAAATGTGGAACTCATTCTTGGGTATGTATCAAATTTTCTCATCTGAAAATTGGACAACGCCTCTCTACAGCGCATTGACAAGTGAAGGTGAATACAAACAAGCCGTCATTTCAGGAATCTTTATGTGTGGATGGTTCTTGTTTGCCAACTTTATCGTCTTGCAAATGTTTATCGGTGTGATTGCGGAAAATTTTGGCATTGCTGAAAGTCAAAAACGAGCGCAGCAATTGGAAGTCTACCTTCGCAATCTCGAAAAGCCCAAAACAGCTCTGATCGTTCGAATTTTGCAGCGTCTTAGCCCTTATAGATGGCTTCGAGAACACAATGCTGCGAAGATGGGAGAAAAGTTGCCAGATGACCATCCGGAAACACGATTACAAGCCGAAAGAGAATTGGACAAGATCGATGAAAAGATATTGAATCGAAGAAGCATTCGGAATATCGTCAGTCCCAGTAAAGCGCAAGGAGTTCTCAAAGTAGTAAGAAAGATTGCACGCTTGGATAGACCTGAAGAACAAATGCCGCTTGACACAATACGTGCACGACAAATTCGTCAATCCTTTTCAGGCACTTCAATGTTGAATGATCGAAGACGGCAGATGAGCATGTACGATACTGCTGCTGCTGCTGGAGTTGCAGCCACGCATGCAGCTGTTGCCGCTTCTCAAGAACCTTCCACTTTCCTTTCGCCATCTGAAACTATGCAAAGCGGGCCTCAAGATACAGCACGCTTGTTTGCTCGAGATCGACAATTACGCAGGATGAGAAGCGATCTCGGTTTATTATCTGAAGAGCCGCCAAGTCAAGCAGAGGTGAACGCATTACACGAAAACAGATGGAAGGATGATCCACGTATTGCACAAGCACGATTGATCAACACACATCCTTCTTACGAAAAATCTCTTTGGCTCTTTTCCAATATGAACCGATTCAGACGTATCTGTCAAAGTATCGTACCATGCTCTCATGGTGAACGGCTTTTCGGAAGACGAACATCACCTTTCCGTTTACGCATTTATCAACTCGCAATTTTTGCAACCATTGCAGCTAGCGTCATTATTGCTGGAATTGCGACGCCTGCTTATCGTCGTCAGTGGTATCAAGATCATGGTATTCGTCGCGATAGTTGGTTCTCACTCACAGAGGTTACCTTGAGTTTGATCTTTATTGCAGAATTCTTCATCAAAGTGATCGCAGATGGATTCGCGTTCACGCCAAACGCTTACCTCTTATCGCCATGGAATGCTTTGGATTTGTTCGTCTTATTGACTTTGCTTATCAATGTTACAACCGAGTTGGCCGTGATTGGAGGTGTTAGTCGTTTTACCCGTGCACTTAAAGCATTCAGAGCTTTACGATTGATCAACTTGTCCGATCTCATGAGACGCACCTTCTCTGCTCTGGTAGCCGTTGGAGGTCGTTTTGTAGATGCATCTGTGTTGGCAATTCTTTACATCGTTCCGTTTGCAATTTGGGGTCAAAATTTGTTCTCTGGTTTGCTCTACTCTTGCACGGATGGCAGCGCAGGTATCATAAATAAAGCAAATTGCATAGGTGAATATGGTGCAAGTCCCGCTGAATGGACATTCCTTGCTCCACGTGCATGGCAAAATCCAACGGTAGGATCGGTGTATAGCTTTGATGATTTCCGAAGCAGTTTGTTGATTCTTTTCGAAATTGTGAGTTTGGAAGGATGGACGAACGTAATGGCAACTGCAATGAGTGTTGCAGGGTTCAATCAGCAACTTCAAACCGATCAAAGACAAATCAATGCCCTTTTCTTCGTCATTTACAATCTCATCGGTGCCGTCTTTGTTTTGACACTTTTCGTTGCTGTCATTATTGAAAGCTTCCAAACGTTCTCTGGTGCAGCTTATTTGACTACTGCGCAAAGGCAATGGATCGATCTCAAGAGGCTGATTGCCAGACAAAGACCATCAAAACGACCAAAAGTTCGACCTACTGACAGAGTACGTTCGTGGTGCTATGATCGCGCTGTACACAAACATGGCTGGTGGTCACGAATGATGACGGTATTTTATTTGGTCAGCTTGATCACATTGGCAACAGAAATGTATAGAGATTCGAGGGGAAGGGAACAAGTACGCGATTTGATTTATATTTCACTGGCCTCTGTCTTCGCCATCGACATTACTATTCGATTGTCAGGGTTGGGTTGGAGATCATACAGACAGGATATGTGGAATCTGTTTGATTTGATCGTCGTCCTGGGTCTCTTTACAACCTCGATTCCTCTTTTGTCTCCCAATTCCAACAATGCGGCGAACACTCAATTGCAGAAGTTCTTCTTGGTCGCTGTGGCATTCAAATTGGTTCAAAAGAATAATGCACTCAATCAGTTATTCAAAACGGCCATCTCAAGTCTGCCAAGCATTGTCAGCTTGTTCTTACTTTGGATTACCTTTTTCTTGGTTTGGGGTATCATGCTCGTCGAGGTCTTTGGATTGACAAAATGGAATATCAATGAGACATACAACAAAAACTTTTCAACCTTGCTCGGAAGTTTGGTATTCTTGGCCATGATGTCAACAGGAGAGGGTTGGAATTCGTATATGCATGATTACACACTTACAGAACCGTATTGCACTTCTTCTGAGAATTATCTCAACACAGATTGTGGTAGTGAAGGTTGGGCATACGCTTTATTCATCGGCTGGAACGTGATTTCCATGTACATTTTCTTAAACATGTTTACAGCCACGGTGGTGGAAAATTTCTCATACGTGTTTCAACTTGGAGGAAAACCAACGCTATCAAGAGAGCAAGTACGAAATTTCAAGAAAGCATGGGCAGAATTCGATACGACTCGCTCTGGAGTGTTGCGAAAAGACCAATTTGTTCCTTTCTTTAATCGATTAGACGGCTCTTTGGAAGTACGTATCTATCCTGCCAAAGCGACGATCAAAGCGCTCAAAGACAAAGCAATTACAAGCAGAGAAGGGCGACCAAGATCATTTGATGCATCTTCTCGTGGTTCACGCAGTCCTACAAGACATAATGCTGCAGCTAAATTATTGAGTCCCTTGATGGGCGGTTCACACAAAGCCAACAATGAAGAGCAGAAAGGAGCCTTTTTGTGGCCACCTTCTCCGAACGAGCTGGTCGTTGATGGCGTCAATGTTACTGTACTGAACCGTCAATTAGGAAAACTCGATCATGAAGAGATCAAAAGACGAAAGATGCGTTTTGAGCGTCTGTATCATGAAGCATGCTTATTGCACGAGCAAAAAGACAAGCGTAACAAAGGAGGTCTTTCATTCACGGATATGCTCTTGCTTTTGGCGCATTACAAGTTGATCGATGATGAACAGGCTTTGGGCCTGGACGAGCTCGTGGATAGAAGGGACCTAATGCAACTTGTTGAGGATAGAATTGAAACGGAAAGAATTCGTGGTATTCTTCGTCAAATTTGGCTGCGCAGACGCTTTTTGGCCATTCGAGAAGCTAAACATAGACTGAGCGGCGATCGCTCCTATGCAAGCTTACAAAACATTCCAGGCTCTCCAACTACGCAAGATATTCCATCTATCAACATTCAAGATTCTTATCTGGATTCAGACGACGATCAATATGCTAATGGTAAACAAAAAGCACATCAAAAGCCAGCACTACGCCTAGACATTGGCAATCTGAACGATCCCACTTCATCAGGTAGACAGATTGTCAGTCGATTTGATGATGATACTCCTTCTCCTGGCAAGACAAAAACATTGCGTCAAGCAGGTTTAGCAGGCGAACATCCAAGTATCCTATTGACAACATCTGGAGACGAGGATATGTACGACGATGATTCAATTAAACAGATGAGTAGTGATGGCCTTTCGCCCCAATCGGCCACGCCAAGATCTTACATGAACGAATTGGCTGTTGGTGAAACATCTATGACGCAATTGTCACCTTCGCCTAGCTTGCAAGAATTGGAGAGACAAGCGTCTCCCATCATTCAAGAGATCGATACATCTGCTTGGGGATCTGTGGCAAGAAGACTTTCGTCAGATCATTCCAGCGCTGATCGGGCTAGGGAAAGTCCAAGCAAAAACGCAAGTGCAGCAACATCCTCTTCTTCGCATCGTCAAAGTGCTTTGAGCAGAATGAACCCTTTCAAATCACGTAAAAGGTCTGATGCAGATCAACAAGAGCCGCAATCATTATTAAGACAGCGATCACGAGATGATGACGGTTCTGCAATCCGCAAAGTTCAATCAAATACTTCTTTCGGTTCTCGCGATACCAACGAAATGCGTGAAAGTGATCATAGCTCCACCGCATCTATCTCAATACGAAGTGCTCAAGGGCCTAGCCAACCACGTAAATCAGCCGAACGAGAAGGCGATTGGATCTGAACAAGTACAAAACCTACAAGCATATTTTATGGACAATCTTTCTCTTTCTTCTCTTTTTTCTCACTGTATATTCACATCGCAACAACACAGCACACCTTTTCACATTCAAATACACAAGCAATTTCATATATACCGCATCGGACTAGAATTGAGAACATTATGTTCTCTCATCTCAATACAATGGATTCTTTTGTTTCATATTAAATAGCAAAGACAGAAAGCGTGACTAGAATTAAACTTGAACAATAGAAGTAAAAGTTGAACGAATTTTGAGTGGCAACATTCGTGGCCGGAACTGCAGGCATAAGAATTCCCACCGAACTGCCATTTGGATTAACAACCATAACCGGAGCAGTATCGTTTATCTTTCCAATCTTTGGCATCACAACCGGAACGATGGGTTGAGCAGAAGAAGAATTGAGAAACATTGGTGTGTTGAATTTCGCAATTACCGTTCCATTAACGATCAGTGCAGGTACCTGTTTTGGTAAAGAAGTAATCAATCTTGGAGGTTCAACGCCGACAGGTCCTTTGACTGTGAGGGTGTGAAAATAGAGTGTCAATTGGATTTGTTTTTCCTACACATTGAATACTGCGTTTACTCACATGACATTTGTTGAAATAGAGAAGGAACGATGTGATTGTTTTTACATGGAGGTTCACTTGCCACACTACGAACGATTGTTGTAGGAGGAGAATCGACCAAACGACCTGCAGAATCGGTTAGACGTACGATCACATTCTGATTGCTGGGCAAATCTATACGCCAAAGATATGAGCCTGTTTCTGCATCTAAATTGCTAAACCTTCTCGCTGGTTCTACATTGAGCGTACTTTGATTTGTCAATGTGAAAACCGATATGTTAGCAGTTGGACCGATTGCATTGTTCCATTGAATTTGAATAGGCATACATGTCGAAAGAGAAGGCGGAAGAAAGAGTTGCATTTGACCTTGTGGCGCAGCAATGCATCCTGTATTGAGAAAGAACAAGAGAAGCGAAATAATAAAGATGCGTACTGTGATCGTCATCTTATCGCCTCATATACTATTGTGATTTGGAGATCCTCCCCGTGGAATGGTTGGTAGCAGTGAAAGATGCTTTGCTACAAGGCTTGCCCAAATTGCGAGAGATAGGAGGCGGAAACCGTTGAATAGCTGGCTGACTGAAAAAGAGCCGGCTCGTATTTCTTCCGTAGAAGTAGGGGTATCCCTGTCAAATGACACTTGAGCTCCTAATCACACGATTCATTACTAGAAGACGGTGCCGCAGGAAAGAGCGGAAGGCGCAAGATATTTCGTGAGCATTTTGCGTGTGGGTTTAATGAGCACGAGCAATTTGATTGCCACCCTTCTTTGCAGAATACTTTGGGCTTGCTTCAATCGAATAATCAATATAAGGCGGAGGAGTGTCATCGGTGACGACTACATCTTCCGTAAATGCACTTTGGTTTGCTTTTGCCAATAAGCGTGCTTCTCTTTTGGTGATTCGTTTGCCACCTTTTTTATTGAGTGGTCTCCATAAAGTATCGTGTTCCAATATTGTATCATAGCCATGCTTCTTTGCCTGACGTTTATTATACTGCCTTACTCCTACGTGAATGGCTCCGCCTACGACAAAGATGAGTACTGCGATCACCATATTTGATAGAATATTTTTGTGAATGGTAGATGTAAAGGTACTACTGAGAAGGAGGTCCAACCTTGATTAGGCCTCCACAAGTTTGTATCACTTATTTAATCAAAATTGACTGTGTCAGCATGTCACTTTAGCGTGTAGTAGCATCACCTTTAAATGCAAACACTGACGCTGCAGCCTAATGCGTTGGGTCGTTTTTCACTCCATGGCTATTAAGGTGATACAGAAATGACAATTGAAAACTAAGGAATTTACAATCTCAACGACGTTTACCGCCTCCTTTTTTACGTCCTTTGCGATCTTCATCACTACTGGCATCATCGCGCTTTTTGTCATCAGCTCTCTTTGCTTTACGTTCAAGTTCATCCCAATCTTCTCCTTCACTTTCATCTTCATCGAAATCACTTCCGCTTCCTTCATCCGATTCTTCGTCAAAGTCACTCTCTTCATCTTCGCTACTTTCATCATCGAAAACGTCTGATTCGCCAACTTCATTGCCGAAATCACTTCCGCTTGCCGATGCATCTTCGTCATTATCTTCAGAATCACTTTCTGTCGATAAGAAGCTCCATCCACCATCTTCAAAGAATCCGTATGGATCTTGTTTGATTTGTGTTAAGATTTGAGGCCAATTCAAGTTGACAGGTCCTTCAGAAACGCAAATATCGCAAGAATCCAAGTACTCTTTAATGGCGTCCAAATTCTTTACATCGATCGAATTGATGTGAACTGGTGCTTGTGAGAAATCGCTATTAATGATCACCATGTCGAAATTCTTCAGTCCATAAGAAACACGTTCCAAATGAACAATCTCGATCTCTGAAAGTGTTGTAACAAAGAATGGTGGATCAGTCAAGTGAACCAAGCATTCAGTTGTCGGTTGCAAAAGAACATTGTTACGATGCGGTACACCGTTGAATCCCAATTCGCGGAAAGGAGTGTCGACGGTCAAACGACCTTCAGAAGCGTCAGAAATCTTACTTGCAAAGCTCTTGAATTCTTTGTTCAAGATGTGTCTTTGCCTTCTTTCTTCTTGTTCTAGTTCGATTTCGTCTTCATCTCCTCCTCTGTATTTTCTTTTACGGTTACCGGTTTCATCGAATTGAACGTCACTGGCTTCTCGGTAGAATTGCACATCCTTTGTCTTCTTCTTTCCAACCATGATAGGTGCTTTGAGATGCACATGAATGAGCACGATCAATTCATTGTCGCAAGGCTGGTAAAACAGATGTTTGACATTGTTGAAAAGAACGTCAATCTTCTGATCTGGGCGGATAGGTGATGCAAATCTGAGACCGTTTTGATGAATTTCAAGTCCACCGGGCACACGTTTGCCTTCCAATGCAGGACGTGGGAAGACATCGGATAATGTCTGTACACGACCTTTGTTGAGAACGATTTTATCTTGCTCTACAACATCTGCCAATTCCTTCTTTTCAGCTTCTTCTTTTGTTTTCAATTTCTTCAATTCAGAAATATCATGATAAAGTTCGCTAAAGTGAGAAGTCTCACTGGATCGGAATGACATTGATCGAACAAATGTCGCATCTGGATTCTCGAATGGGACATCTTCCTTCTTCCCGGCAATCTGTCCAGGTGCGATAAAGTTGAATCGAAGGTAAGTGTAATCGCCCTCATCGCTTTTGGAAACATTTTTGAGAGTGTTGATGTGGAATGGCACTGAGAATCCGTAAATGGGCAGGAAGATCGTTTGAGCTTTGTGATCAATAAAGATGCGCAAATCTGCAGTCTTATTAGGGACCATATGATCCTTCTTATAACTTTCAAACTTCTTGAAAGTCTTTCCGCGCTCTTCCGATCCTTCACCATCTTGATCAGCGAATCGGCTAAGGCCATCCTCTTGCTTCTGTATAGCGAGTTCTTTTTGATGTTTTGCAAATTTGTCAGCTGAATTTGTGTCCATCGCATCAGTGCGAGTTCGATTTCGTAGCACTTTGCCGCCTGCCTCTAAACCATCAACATGTGCCTGCTTCTTCTTCGTCGATGACTTGGCATCTGCTTTCTCGTCCTCATCACTGTCATCTTTCAAAAAGATCGATTCACTTGCTGCTGCAACGCGATCTGTCAGGAAAACGGCAGCACCATTGGTCACTCGCACGGTGTCAATCACAAGAAGAGAGTACTTTTTGCCGGGGTGTGCAGGATCGTCTAGACCGTCAAAGCCAACGACAAGGTTGAACACCATATCTTGTTTGATCTTGCGGGTATTCTTGGGCCAAAGGACAAATGTGCTGTCGCGAAATTCCAAGCCTGTTGCAAAACCAATGTTCTTTGTAAGGTGATCGACCAAGCTGGAATTCTTTGCTCGCAGTGATTCCACAGCCTGATCATAGACTGATTTACATGTCTCACCAGCTCGCAAGAACTTTTCTGCGATCTCGTGCTGTAGTTCAATGAGCGTTGTGTAAGTCTTTTGTTGGGTTTTGTGTGGGTCGATCAACCAGGTACGTCCGATGTTGCTGCAATAACTTTTGTACTTCAATCCCATACTGGCAAGGATTACTCCTCCACCATTGGCACCCTCTAATCGGTTTGAATTCGACTGCGCTGAAGTGCGTAAATCGTACACACCGCCTGATTGAATGATTGGGGTATAACACCAATCTGCAAGACTCAAATCAGCAGACTCCAAGTTTCGTACCTTCTTCCATAGAGCCTTGTCTTCCAATTTGTCTTCAACTCTTGCAGCCAGCTTTTCATGGGAGACCTTTTTGTCATCATCCAGGGTCGTTGACATTTCATCGACGAAATATTTGGACATGATACCACTGGACATTCTAGAGGCAGTCTTTAAGTATTTCTGCTCTTCTTCATCTTTCGAAGCCCAAATTGCGCTGAAAGCTGCACCTACATCGACCTCTTCCAGGCCTTCTTTGGCTCTGGCCTCCTCCAGTGCTGCTTTCCATTCATCTGCTACTTTTCCGATTTGTGTTTCTTTGGTGAAACTGCCGATTCGCTTTCCTTGGTCTGTAATCTTTTTTATAACATCGTTCCAAATTGCTTTGTTTTCATCATCATTTTTTGATCTTTTCAAGATTTCAACTTTGATACCTTCTTTGTTGGATACGAAAGGCTCAAGATATTTTGCTTTAGTGGCGCTTGTGACAAAGATGATGCTCTCCTTCGTAAAGACGATCAAAGTGGAAGGGAATTCGTATCCGAGCAACCATGTATGCAGTGAAAGTGTTTTTGAGTATGTAACTTCTTCATTCTGTCCACCCATAAGGACAGAAACTGCATCGCATCGATTTAATCGTTCATCCTCCGGTGATCCTGCATCCTTGAAACTTGCCAAGATTGATGAAGCACGTTTGAAGAATGCTTTTGAGTCTATTTTGATCTCTTCTGCCATCTTGAGCGATCAGTCCAGCAGACAAGTGACGATGGCAAAAAAAAGGAAGAAAAGATTGAGTGTGAATGCACGTCCTTCGTTTGCTGTTGTTGCTCTTTAATTCAAAGACGCGCTCACTTTTTCTCACTCACCCGTACACTCAGAGCGTGCATTGAACGCGAGGTGTCACTCAGCACTCAAAGGGCTCAGAGGTCGCGTAGATTCATACGCGTGCGCTCTACGCGTAAGCAAAACAACATAATCGAGGTTGGCCGTGGACTACACCTACAGACACTACTACCATGGTCATCTTCACTGTTTTAAGAACTCTCAATAAACTTGTAACGTCTATCTAGCTCATCGATTTGATGGATTTATCATCATTAGAACCTTAAAGTAAGCTTTAACTATTATCATTCCCTGTAATTTGATTTATAGTCACCTTCATCAGTCACGGTACTCACTCAACAGAGATTACGTAATGCGATACCAAGCCTTCTTGGCGTGACTTAAAAATCTTTCTTTCGCGTTCGGAAATAAAAATGTGTATAACTCTTGCCGGCCATGTGCATATGTGTGCCGATTGACTGACAAACTATTCGGATTTATGATTGATCGTTAAGCCCGCAATGTCTATTATTGAGAGCCAAATAATTATTATAATATTACCGTATGGATATTCATTGATAGCTTTTTGTTAAACTGGCAATCAAAGATATATGATAAGATATTAATTTATAAGATATAGCATTTCCTAGAGCATCTACCTAGCAGCCACCTTCAACTTCTTCTGACAAGGTAAAGGCGGGAAGGAATGTTTGATGCAGTTTTTCGCTTGAGTTAGTCCAATAAACATACACAAGCACGTACATACAAAGACGCGAAAGAAAAAAAGAATACAAACGCCAATACAACTTCCCAACACTGTTTTAACGCCATTCCCGCTAAATCTATCCGTTCTAGGGGTTGCCTTTTGCTTGATCGACAACCGCGGGCGCGGCGCATGTGGTAAGCGTAAGACAAAATCATGGACGGCACGCACAGAATCTCTTACTGTGCGCGCAAACACACGGCGAATAGAACCAGTTTCCCAAAAATGGTACTCTGGTCTATCGAATGCGTTTTTACACTTGTTGTTGGACAAGCTGTAGCCCTGCATCGTAACCCTGACTGAGAACAGGCCTCTGTCTCTCTCGAATGCAAGAGAAAGTCATGCTACATGTTTTATTCTTTTATCCAATAGCGCGCCGGCGCATATATTCCGTCTAATGTCTTTCCACTTTTTGTTTTGTTTTGCATGAATGTAAATACGCAACTTATCAGTCAACACACTGTGTGTACGTACCTATGTATAACGTCTGATTATCCAAGTCTGTTAAAAAGAATTTGATTCTCGTTCCTATCTTTCATCGTCATCCCATCAAACACATCCCATCTCTTCCTAATACCCCTTTTACCCAACCCATCGACCCCCCTCTCTTATCAATTAAATTCAAGATGAAGTTCGCATTCAGCTCAGCCCTTTTGTTGGCCACTTTGACCGCCGTCTTGGCACAAGATTCATCAAGTGCAGCACCATCTTCTTCCTCTTCAGCCGCACCCGCTTCTTCATCCATGATGTCTTCTCAATCTTCAAGCGGTGGTGATGCTCAAGCAACATCTCGTCCTACTTGCACTTTGGTCAGCGGAAACCCCAAAAATCAACCATTCGGATGCATTGAAGGAGCGTGAGTATTGAGAAAAACAACAACAACAACATTGTTGATCTTTCATTCAGTTTATCGATTCTAACTCTTTCTCTTTTTTCTTCTTTCTTTCAGTTCCACCGTCACACCTCCTTACAACTCTGAATCTTTGCAAAGCTTCTTGATCGGTGGATACAACCCCGGTGTAGAAGGTCACTTTGTCTCTTCAGTCGCTTCAAACTTTGCAAACAGCGTTACAAAATTGTATCCAACTTTGACAGAATCTTACGGAGCAATCGTCACCCAATACGTCAACGCTCTCGAACAATCAATTTCTGATTACAAGCCTGACTCTGCTCCTGCTAACCTCAACGTTCCATCCAAGTTGGGCGCTGCCGCTTTGGTTGCCGCTGCCGTTGTTGCCGGTGGTGCTTTTGTTCTTTAAACATACAAACAAAACAAAACAAACAAATTAACCCACACATCATCATCAACTTGTTGTTCTCTTTTCGTTCTGCTGTACGTGTACATGTTTCTCGCGTGACTGTCGTTCAAACAAAACGCTATGTTTATCATCAACTATCATCCTTTTTTTTAAATAATTGCAGTTGATCATCATCTTTCTCATCTGGAAAACTGATCATACTTTTCGTCTTTATAACCGTATATAGAATTTTAAATACATTACCTACTCTCATTTGACAAAATTCACATGGCTGTTTTGCTCAAAAGAGAATTGCATAAGATCATATTGTTGTTGTTGATGAGGAATATATGAATGCTGAAGAAATGATAAAGGTTGTACAATGGATGATTAACAAACACAATTGCAAAAGGAATGATTGAATGCAAGAAAAAAGAAAAGAGTGGAATGGAATAAGTAAAATACGGAAAGCGTTAGCATCATTTTGCAACGCCCGCTTTCTTTTGTGCAGTTCTAGAAGCACCTGGAACAACCGGTGGCGGACCTGCCATTGCTGCTTCTGCCATTCTTCGAACAGAAATTGGCGGTAATGTGTTATCGACTGCTTGATTTGTTGAGGCAGCTTTATGTGCTTTTCCGTTTTGCGGCCCTGTACGATCGTCTTGTTTGCCCACGATTGCATCTTCGCGAACATAGAATAAGAGGTAGGCAGAACCACCATCGTTAAACGTGAGACTTTGACTATTTGCTGATAAATGACCTTTATTGGACATTCTAGGAGAAGACATAACCGGACTTGAGCTTGCGCCGGTTCCGTTTGGCAGATGTGATGCTTTAGCTTGTGGCGTTGATGCGATCGACCAGGTTGTATCATCGATATGAATCCATTCGCTACGGTCTTGACGCAAGACATCAACAGTGTAATGTCCTCCGCTTGCAAATCGACCGTGATGATAAACAACGCCAAAGAGCTTGTAACGACGTTGTGCTTCTCCACGCCGAGCGGGGCTAATGACACTTTCGGAAATCTCCAAACTAGATCCATATCCTAACACTTTTGAACTCTTTTGTACCCCTCCTACGTCGTCATAATAAAATCTCTTCAAATGAAGAACCAGGATAGGAGGAAGTGTTTCGATGAACACTTGCTTGGTAGCATCCACCAGCGTTCGCGTTGAAGACAATACACCCGAAATCGTTTCCGGTCTGGTAAGGTTCTCCAAAGCCTCTTCCACCGTGGAAACATGCGAAGGCTGGATATCCAGTTGCAAAGGTTGATAAGGCTCGAGTGTTACACTGTCCTTTGAACCCGGCGTCCTTAGCACACTTCTCAACTTTCCTCCAAAGATGCGTGTGATAGGAGAATGAGAGGTAGAGGTCGTTCTTGTGAAACTAGTCTTACCCTTTTGTCCAACCTCAAGCCATCCATCTCCTTCGCTTGGACTGACTGGACGATTTACCACCCTCTCTTCCTCTTCTTCAAGTCCTCCATTGGTTTGCTCGGCCACTTGACCTTCTTTGTCAGTCTTGCCTTGTGCCTTTCGCTCTCTTGCTTCAGCTTTTTGAATCGTACTTTGTAATTCTTCGTGCAGAGTATCAAGGATGAAGCCAAGGAATTCTTCCGCATCTTCTTGATGTCCTCTTCTCATTGTGTCAAAGCGCTTATTCAACTTCATCGCTTCATACAATTGTTCAGGAACAAATGGTTCAGAAGCTGCTTGAATATCACGTAAAGCATCAACGGCCAAAGAAGGTGATTCACCGAAATTCTTTTGCACTTCCGCAGGTATGATTTTAAATTCGGATAAGAATTGAATCACAGCTTCCATCAGAGGGGTGCTGTTGTGCAAATCGTGCGGAACAGTTTGTCCTAATACACGAAATAAGTTGTAGAATGGCGCACAGTAGACCAAAGTTTGCAAGATTGCGTTTGCGAAGCACAAATTACCTTTGTTGATCATTCCGCGAGGATAAGTGAGCGGTGCAGTGAATTGGGTCTCAGCCTCGCCGATAAGAGTTGCAAGGCTTACGGGTGCACTGTTGCCTTTTCCACCTTTGCCTTTTCGTGAAGGATTTAAAGGACTGGAAGCCGATCGATTGTGGGTGTGTTGTTTTGCTTTTTCCGTTGGTTCCGTTCCGTTGATACTCTCTGAAAATATAGCAGATCCGCTCAAAGGCACGGCTGGTCCCATTCGTGTTGCCAGATCTGCCCATGATCGTGGCTTTGTCCATGCTGCAGCCGTCCTTCTTATGGGAGCAGGAGAACTGCTGGCGCTCATACTATTATTTGCCGTGCTTTCCGGATCTACAATCAGACTGCTTTCTGGTGTAGCCAGAACTGGAAGTGGGCCTGTACTTGAAGTAGGAGATGAGAATGAAGCGCTTTCAGAGTTGGATCTTGTTGTGGTATTTTGGTGTGGTAGACTTCCGTTTGCCATGCTGCTTTGTCCTCCAAGCGAACCTCTCCTTATATAATCTGTCGAAGTACTACTCATAGTTGATGTTCTGGTTAGATTATTCTGCCGCCGTCTAAATCTGTCTTGATCAAAGACCACTTTTGGATCAGGCTTGCATCGATCGGATAATGTCACCTTTGGGGCTGCATTGGGATCAGGTCGTATCGAAGAAACGCCTAATGAGGTCAGCTTGAGTGTATTCTCCAGCAGTATTGGTGATTCAGAAAGTTCATCATATGTATGCAGTCTTGCGTGGTTCCTTTGCGAAGAAGAATTTGACACAGCACGTTGAGTTTGATAAGGAGATCTTGTGGACGAAGCTTGACGAAATGGAGAAGATGTAGAAGGGGATCCTTGATTGCGTTGTGAGAATGTAAGACCAGGACTCAGTATTGAAGGTGCATCTAGGCTCCAACTTTGAATTGCTGCAGGTAAATTTGCTCTTTGCGAAAGCAAGACAGGAGGTATTGATGCTGAGTTTTGTGTTGCTGTTGAAGAGGATGGTATTGATGGTCCTCCAGCATGATTGTTGTATGTTAATGAATCGTCTGTATTTATTGATAGGCTTGCTTGAGAGGCAGCCATCTTGCCAATTGGTATGGTTGGAGATCCACAGCTGTGATGATGAGACTTATATTCCTGTGGACCTCTGTTGAGATGTTGGTTGGGCGAAATAAGTCCTTGAGATTCGTAATGACTTCAAGAGTTGAGTACAAAGGCTGGAATGTTGAATGTTATTATCAATGTCGTCCGCCACTAGAGGAACGGCTGCGGTCAATTATCGAGAGTGACTTTTGTGTGACTTTTCGTGCCAACTTGTATAATAACTCTGTGAACTTGCTCCAATGTTTGAATTCCTGCTAATGATCTTCAATAAAGCCTGAAAAGTTCCAAATTGCGTCGTAATCCCAATCGATGTTACCTCACGCGAGCAAAAGAAGAATGGAGAGAATGAATGTTCGGTCGGTCTAGCGTTTTAAAGATGATTATTATCCAGTGAGCTGTTGTTGTTTGTTGCACAAGGGCCTGTTCCCAGGCTTATGCTCTCTGTAGGCTTAAACGCGAAAATGTTGTTTCTTTTGCGCGGCGCCGCTAAAGCATTTTTGTTGTGCTGCTGCTGCGCGCTTATGTACGGTAGTGCATCATTGTTGTCTGAAGATTAAAAGACTAGCTCATGATTATATAAATTCATGTTCCATAAATTCGGTCACTTCTAGAAGAGACATCTTTTCATGATGTATTATCGGGAATACGGTTTCTAAGGGCAACATCCCATGAGACAAGTCTGTACGACATTTCATAAACAGCTCTGTGAGAATCTTGTTCCGTAGTGGGTTATAATTAAGATCCGTCACAAATAAAATAATTGAAATATTTTTAGGATAATATGATTTTAATATTATTTAGAAAAAGGCTTTTCATCATAAATGCAAAACAGCTTACAACTTATTGCATATATGTATGACGTAAATACCAAACTGATAATATATAAAAAAGAATTCATTGGATAAACTTATAGTACAGGGCATTGACGTAGCTAAAGTGGATTGGTGCATAACTCAAGATGTTGAAGGCAGTGCATACGATGGCGGCGGAAGACCTCCGTTGGCAGTCAATTCTATCCACTTTTCTGCCGTACATCGACGATCTTGATGAGATATACTGTTAGTTTCTGTTGTGGCGGTAGTTCGACTCTTTAGTGCCGACAATAACCAGTTTGTTGAAGCTTGAGTCTCTTTTGGTGTTTCTTGTACGATCATCGATTGTGGATGAGGGTCATGATAGGTAAGTATACCTCCTTCACTCCTTTCTTCCCGTGCTTCGTATGGATGTGATTTGAAGCAAGCGCACCAATAGCATGGTAATTGCGAATAAGGATCTGTTAAGTAGATTGAACGAACGATGTATGGCATAGACGTTTTCACTTCAAATATTTCTCGTTCATCGTCTTTCTGAAATTGTAAAATCATGTTAAGCATATGAAACACTCTCACGGGACTGCAAGGATGATTTACCGTTGACTGACACCTCGTCTTTGCACAAACCGGTAATTGAACATCCCAGCCGAGCGACCATGGTCCATCTGGATTAGACAGATTATGTTCAGCATGGCTTGACTCAGCAGTGGACTGACTATAAAGAGCCTTCTCCGCTCGAATATCTGTATTATTTGCTCTTTGAGCTGCAGCTATCAGATCTTGTCCAAATTTCGTGTTCGACTGCAAGGGCAATAAAGTCTCTTCCTTTTCTCCCATCGCGAGTAGATTCCATGAACGTCGAACGACAGTAGGAGAAGTAACACTTGCAGAAGTAACTTCCGTTTGTTCCGTAAGTGAGATTCTGATAGACTTCACCCAAACATTCTTGCTTGTCTGTTTGTTAACTTTAGCCAGACATATTTGTAAGGGTACATATCCTCCGGTGGTTGATACATTTGTCATACAAGTCCACTTCCAGTGCAAACATTCTTGCCAATCACCCTCAAAGGTATGCATTCTTCCGATATGAGAAGTTTCTTCCTCTCTATGATTCGGATTGGCAGCGTCGTATACTACTCGAACATCTTTATTAACCGCACTCTTTGCAATGGTGTTCCCTTCACCTTCTCCGCCATATACCGTGGCAGAAACCTGATAATCCACTCTACCGAATTCTGTATCGATTGTTGGTGGTAAATTTGATGGAACAGAAATCGAGAAAGGTGCTGTATAGGAGTACGGAAAGAGATCTCTATCATTCTGTTGTTCAATTGGTAAAATCAGGTTGATGGATTGATCATGAAGCCTCAATTCTTCTTCACGTGCGACGCCATTCTCCCAATTCATACTGCGTGATTTGCCAATGAAAGATACTTGAATTCGCTTAAGCTGGTCAAGACTCTTTTTTGATTCAACCCTAACCACTCCACGTAATTGACATGATCCGATCTGATCAAGTGTGGACGATGAAGTACTGGCATATGCACTCCAACTTGGTGGCTTTCTTAGGAATATCAACGGTTCCACCAAGTCCACATGGACAACAGGTTTATTGAACCCTAACATCTTGGTCATCAGCTCAGAAGAGAAATGATGACGATTAGAATAAGATAAGAACACTCTCCCGCCAAATTCATAGCAACCCATAAAAGGCTCAGCAATTGTGAGAAGGCGCTAAATATCATGAAATGACAATGGAGAGAATTGAGTGATTTTCCGCCTTTATTGTTTGTTACCGGCTTTATTTCTATCTTATCATTCTAATCTCCGCATGGCCCGTTGAGAGAACAAGGTTTAAAGAAGAAGAAGAACGCGTTCCCGATCAGGTGGAGTCATGTTCAAATAGGATATATGCATGCAACTCTTCTTGTCTTTCTTCTTCGATCGACAAGATGGCAGGCATACTTCAAGATATGTCTACGCAACAGCTAGCAATATACTCTGCTATAGCAGCTGTATTCATCTCTTCAATACTACTATTCTCCAAACAATGGCTATCCAACCTGTTCTCACCTAGATATGCTCAATCGATCAAAAAGGAAATTCGAATTCAGAAACTATTCATTCACCCAATAAAGAGTTGTCGTGGTACTTCTGTTCCTGAAGCTTATTTCGATGAAGGTGGGCTGCGTTATGATCGTTCTTGGTTAATCATTGATGGACAAACGAAGAAATTTCAAACGGCCAGAGAATTACCAAAGATGGTCGTAATCAGTCCACGAATGGATCTTGCGAATAATTCACTGGAGATCACCATACCATTACCAGAGAAAGGTGACGTTCTCGTAAAGACACCTTTAGATCCTTCAAAAGAACAACTATCAGAGATGGAAATCGTCAAAGGGATAATTATCTGGGGCGAAGAAGCTGATGGATATGCTGTTTCCAAAGAAGCAGACGAAGCACTTTCACAATTTTTCGAAAGACCCGTTCAACTCGTACGTAAGGGACCTGGGCTTAGAAATGCAGGACCTGATGATCCGAGAAAAGAAAAGTCTGTAATGCATTTCCAAGACTTTTATCCGATTTTAATCGCCTCTAAAGCTTCAATTCAACACGTTCGCGATACACTTGTTGCTTCCATTTATCCCAATCTAAGATCATCAACCAAATACGATCAAGCCCTACCAGCAAATCATGCAGGTGTAGTACAGGCATTCAAAGTGAGCGATAAGATCTCAAAAGATCGTTGGACGCCCGAAGCGTTGGAATCTTTCCCGATCGAACGTTTTCGTCCGAATATCGTTGTAGAGAGCTTTAATGATGATCATGGTCGAGATCTCAACAAGGCTCTCGTTCCTTGGGAAGAAGATGCTTGGACACACATCGAGGTTTTTGATGGAAGAACGTCTGCTGCAAGCGGAAAAGAAGCAGGAGGGATCGGTTTCGGATCTAGTATCAATGGAAAAGGTACTTCGATCGATTGTGTTGCCCGTTGTGGTAGATGTCTTGTGCCAAACGTTGACCCTCAGCAAGGCGTGCGGGATAGTTATGTGCCTTATACAATCTTACAACGCTTTAGACAAGTGCAACCCGAATATGCAAAAAAGGGAAAACCTTGCTTTGGCGTTCTGGCATCTCCTGCTCAACCTTCAGGGTTACTCAAAGTTGGCGATATCGTTCGTGTGACAAGCGTGATGGATCCACAAAAGCGAAAATTAGGTAAATAGATTGATCGCTACACAAATAAAAGAGATCCGATTCATAGGTATCATGAAATAGTATACAATGATGATGATGGAATTAAAGGGGTATATCGATGCTGTTCGCTGTTAATTATGTGCGTCGGAATAATTTGCTCAATCTGTTCATATGCTCTTTTGGCGGCTTTTGCAGATTGGGTAGTGCTGCAGTCGCTTGCTCGACCGAAAAAAGGTCTTCCTTAGATACGGCATGAGTATCAACTGAATTGGCTTTGCTTGAAGTAGCAGATCCATCTGTTAGAGAAGGAGTGGCATCCGTCGTGGTGTCTCCTTCCGTGTTACCTTTTTGCTCGTTTATAGACTCTAATTCTTTATCTTCTACGTGACTCTTACCCGTATCTCCAATTTTGTCTAATTGGGCATTCTCGTCGACCATTTGTAACTCATGTGGATCATCAAATTGAAATGATACCGACATTCTCTGAGCGCGTGATTGTCTTTTGCCGAATGCTCCTGCTGATAAAGGAGGTGCTCCGGCCATATCCGTCGAAGGAGGTCGATTTTTGCGCAAACTTGAATAATCTGCATCAGTACTTTTCACAAGGTTTGATCGTACTGAACCATGTGGGGAAGAGACAACACCACTAAAGTTGCCAAAAGGATCGCCCATCTCGAATGCGGGCGTTGCCAAGCGACTATTATAGCCGTTTGTACCGAAATCCCAGGATGCTTGATTTTGCAAAGATGCAATTGACATCGCTCTTTGCTTCTCTTGTCGTTCGGATAGGGGTGGTAATCCTGCCAAGAGTGAATTGACGAGATGCTTCTTCGTTTTTGCTTGTTTGAAAAAGCCGTGTTGCAAGAGCTTATCCGCCGAGGGTCTCTTTGATGGATCTTTTTGCAAGCATTGCTTGATAAAGTCATCGAACAGCTTGGAATATTTGTACGCCCCATTTTCGCGATCTAACTTTGGAGGATCATCTTGAAGTGTTCTCATCAAGATTTTGATAGCTGGTAAGCGAGAATGCGGTGCTCTTCCCGATGAGAGTTCCAAGGCTGTGATTCCGAAAGACCAAATGTCTGCTTTTGTGTCGTATCCTTTTCGTTCAACCACCTCAGGGGCCATCCAACAAGGCGTGCCCACAAAGCTCTTTCGACCGGCTTGGCTGATACTATCGGCTTTGTTGCTTTCATCCGCTCCACTCGAGGGAGGATTACTTCCGTGTTTGCCTGCTTCGGTCAAGTAGACGCCCACTCCAAAATCGCCAAGAAGGACGGTGCCGTCATCGTCAACGAGTAAATTTGCCGCTTTCATATCACGATGTAACCAACCGTTGATGTGCAAATAATTGAGACCTTCCAATGCTTGCTTCAAAGCGGTTGCAATCACCACTTCCTCCAATCCATCTGGAAAGCTGAAACGCATAATGTCCAACATACTTCCTGCGTTCATCAAACGTGTGGCGATGTGTAGCTTAGCTCCTTCAACCCAACAACCACGAACACGAAGGACGTTCGGATGTTTTGACAAAGACATCAATTGTGTCTCTCTTCTTAATTCGGCTAAATCTCTACCAAACACTTCCAAATCGATCACCTTGACTGCACATGCACGTCCGTTTAAAGGTTGAAAAGAAGCTTCAAAAACGACTGAAGAAGCACCAAATCCGATTGGTGAACCTAAGATATAATCTTCTGGTTGACTTGAATACATTGGCCAATCGTCCACAACTGAACCAATATGACTTGCAGCTCTCCAGCCTCCCACTTTGTTTACCTTTGAAGGTGCTCCGCTACCCAAACGTGGGGAATTCCTACCACTTCCACCACTATCGTTTCCGCCATCATCTCCATTTCTTGAACCACTTCTACTCATTGTTGTGATCTTTTTCTTGTTTGATGGAGGTGATGAGTATAAATCTCAACGACAGCATCTAATCATCTCTCTATCTAATTTAAGCTATTTCTTGACCTGCATGAAATTTAGGAGACATGCTGCTGATTGAACGGAGTATTTAACCGCACTAAGACAAACCAATCTCTAATCTCAGGGCGGCTACCGAATTATATTTATGCAGCATGCAAGCAGTGTAACAAATATAATGACGCGTCTATTAACGCCGCCGCCTGGATATATCACACTGTATTGCGAAGAATGAAAAGTGTTGTTCTCAACCCCAACGTCATTCTCACAGAAAAAAGAAGGATGAAAAGGGTAATCAAGATATAAACAAACGATCGATCACATTGACGTCAATGAAAAAATGAAACTCAAAGCTATATTTCGAGATCCGGTGACATTTTTACGGATTATGCAATCTATGGCAAAATTGTCAAACAGATGTATACTTCGTTGTTCGCCTGAAGAAATTCATGTCGTTATCCCTAGAGGAACAGGACCGGTAGAAGCTTTTGCTGTTTTGGATAATATCAACTTCTTCTTTCGTGAATACAAAGTGGAGTCTAATTATAACAATCAAGTCAATATCGAAATCGTATCTGAACATCTCTGTCAGGCATTGAAACAAATCACACCTGCCAGTCAAGTCACATTCAAATTAGCAAAGCAAAACAATCAACCGATCTTGAACGTTGAGATCATCACACGATCAAAATCGGGACAAGAGCTAACAGTACTTCATGACGTTCTCATAGCGATAAAAAAGCCAAGGGATATGGAAATCATTCGTACGCCCGAAAAAGCAGTTGGAGAACAGGGAAGATACTATAAAGTCATTACTTCATTTCCCGATTTAGCCGAAGTCAGAGTGGTTGCAGAAAGGATGCGTTCGGTAGAATCAACGCATGATCGAATCATGATCTTGGCAAACCTTGTAGGGGAAGTGAAAATCGCCGTTCAAAGTGATACGACAAAAGTAGAAACACATTGGACTGGCATGCAAACCAATGCCGGTCAAGACAATACAGATGTAACCCTTGCTCAAAGACAAAAATTCAGACAAGTCAATCTGGATGCACGTTCGTTTGTTCGATTGTTGGGATGTACCTTGATCGATTATGTTCCGGAACTTTGGATCGCTCCAAAGCGATTTGCAACATTCGTCATCCACGTTCGTAAACCTGGGCCCGCGAATGAAAGCTATATTGCCCATCTGCAAGTCACTCTGAATGCTATGCAAGAAGCTTACGATGAATAGTGCTTCCAATGTCGTCTCATTATACCTGTACAGTAGTGTATCATACCTCATCTGTAAAATCAATGCAAAGTCCCTTCACCTTGTTAAAAGTCTAGCATTTCATTCTTATTTTTTAGGGAATTGCTACAGTACAAAAAGAGATGAAAGGAGAGACGCAATGCCATAGTGATGCTCAATTGGCACCCGTTCGTGCGGCGTATAATTGAACGGCAGAAAGTGCACTGATCTCTGCAAGTTTCTTGGATGAATCGTCCAATTGACCCAATAACATTGTACTGTCCAATCTGCTGGGCTCTGGAGGAAGTTTGAACATCTTGTTGATATCTTCGATCGGCAAAGGTGCCAAACCTTGTGCTTCCCGTGCTGCATTTTCTGCTTTACGTCTGGCCAAAAAGGCTTCTGCTCTTCCACGTTCACGAGCCAATTGACGGGATTGATAACCAACAATACCTGATTCGTTGGCATAGTCATCCAATGCATCTAATGATGTCTCCAATGCGGATGAAAGAACAGGTGTATGTGCCAATGTGAGCAAGGAGTGTGGTGCGGTGATCGGTGCAGTTGGTGGATTGGCCAAAAGTTCGGATGTGCTTGGAGCCAAGAGTGAAGGTCCGCGAGGCTCAGGTGTTGCGAGTGTGGCCAAGAATGCATCGAGCAAAGCTGTGTTGTGCAACGAAACAGGGATCTCGATCAGAATGTTGGAGAATGTGAGTTTATGATCGATGAGGTTTTGAGCAGTGAATTTGGTCTTGCGGTATGCCTCAACGAAGGAGGGCGATAGACGGTATGCTTTCACGATTGTGTTTCCTTGAGCTGATTGTGCCAAGTCGTGGATCAATAGAATTCCACGACTTTGGTCTTTGGAACCATCACGATCAACAAGGCTAGAGATTGCACTCAAGCTGTCGACGACTGAACTTGAAAGGAAGGAGCCCAAGAAGCAAGATTTATACAAACCGACTGGGTTTGCGTCTGCGTTCACATCACCGAGCAATTGTACCATTTGTTGAGTGTAACGAGCAGCTGCTCTTGGTCCGCGTTCGTTGTCTTCAGCATCATCTGAGTTACCGCTACCCAAAACACCTCTTGGCAAAGCGAAAACGTTGCTGACCTCTAATGCTGATCCGATTTCCAAACCTAGTAGGACACCGGCTGCGATATGAGGATGTGCGTCACGAGAATGTTTAACAATTTTGCTTAAGGCCAATCCATCCAAACGAAGAGAAGTGATTGTATCCGAGTCTAATTCCAATGCGGCGGCATCTAATTCAGAGAGAGCGGCTTGAGCTGCTGCTTTACTGTTTTGCATCGATGTTGTCGATTGTTTGTTTACGGCTGCTGCTTCTCCGCCTTGAGCAGCGACAGCGGCAGCTGCCATACGATTATAAGTTGTCATAATGATTGCTGATCGTGGTTTTGTCTGAGATCGTTACCGTCAATCGACGTCAATGGCACGCACCTAACGCAAGCTGGCTTTGAGTTTTGCTGCTGCTGCTTGAGAAGAAAGGTGCGGTTGTCTTTTTCTTCTTACCTGCCTGCCTTTAACGCGCGCGGCGCCTGCCAATCTTAAAAGACCGCGCGTGACGATAGACTCAAAGTGGGCTTGGAGAGTATCTTGAGAAGACACTGTCCGATTGCCGAGAGATTTTTTTCGTGTACTTTTTTGAAATTTTTTGGATGAAGGGGATTCTTAAATTCTTATTTTACAGAGTGTGAGTATTACCAAGAAAGCTTGCCATTCTCCCTCTTTACAGTCACTGACTCAAAATCTGGAACTTCAAGATACCATCATGGCTAGCACAAGTACCTCAAATCCTCATTTGGCATTCGATGCTGGTCTATTGATGTCAGTTGATTCATCAGACCTAGATGTCAAACACTTCAAAGATGAGAAGAAACGGGAAGAATTGATTCAATCCAGGGTACTGGCTTCTACAAGATCATTCATCTCAATACTACAAACATTACCCATCACTCAACATCCTGATCTTGGTCCTCTTGCTGCTTTACCAGCACCTGCATACCCTATCTTACCAAGAGAGAAGCCTTTACCAAAACCACGTGCAGAGACGAAATGGGAAGCATTCGCTAAACGCAAGGGAATTGCAAACAAGAAGAAGGACAAGATGGTTTGGGATGATGAAACCAAGGAATGGGTACCAAGATGGGGATTCAAAGGAAAGAACAAGAAGGAGGAAGAACAATGGATTCATGAATTGCCCAACAATGTCGATGATGATTACAACCCTGTTTCCGCTTTGAAGAAACAAAGGAAGGAAAGAAGTTTGCATAATAAAGGACAACAGTTGAAGAATGCCACAAGAGCAAACGCCGAAGTACAAAAGAAGGAAGGCAAATCCTCCAGTGATTTGCAGAGCAAACCTTTGGTTCGCGCAAATGGAGAAAAGAAGCGTGCCGATCGGGAACAACAAATGGCAAAATTGGACGTTGACGTTCTACGTAGTAGAGGAAGTACCGCAAGTATGGGAAGATTTGACAAAACTCTGGAAGGAGAACAAAAGGAGAAAGGAATCAAACGTAAATTCGAAGCTAACGAGGTTGATGCATCCAAAGAAAGAGCTTCGCATATGGCTCTTTTGAACAAGATGACAAATGGTACACTTGCCGCTAGCAAACGTAATGGCGATAAAGATTTGGTCAATGTACGTAAAGCTGTTCGATTTGCCAGCGATGGAAAAGGAAGTCGAGTCTTGGCAGGCGATAAAGGAAAGCCAAAAGGCAAAGGCAAACCTAGAAAGTAGAATTTTTATCCTTCTTATGAGATCTACATCACGTCATTTGTATTTTCTATTCATGCAATTCCGATATATGATTTTAGTATACATACTTTAATGCTACAGACTCTAATTCTACATCTTCGCATTCAGTCAGACCATAAGCTGTCAACGGAGTTTGACGACAGGTGCGCCTGCTTGCGTCGTGATGCGATCCTTCCAACGTGAAAGTCCTTCCTGCTCAGTATCATTTGAGGTCGGTAAGCCAAAAACCTCGAAGACCTTGGCCAAGCGCTGCGTTCGTACAGTCGACAAGACGGATGGGTTTGACAGCGATGACGATTGCATAGCGTTTGTAAGATCGTCCACACTATCGTCCCACATGTCAGGTGTTGCAGACCGCTGTTGAGGATTTGTTGCCCTTTCTTTATCTCCGCATTGCTCCCTCTCTTCTTTGCTCAGCGGCATAACATCTAGATCAATCAATAGCATTCGCTCTACCCATTCACCGTTCCCGGCCAAAGCTGCAGCATGAGGCCAACTTGCTTGAGATCCAACCAGAGCTGGATCTATGGCCAAATGCATATATGCTTTCTTGAAAGTGTTCCACACCCGTGTACGCATTTCGTTTACAGTTCTGCTCAGAAGTGCAAATTGCCAGATACGTTTCTGATGATGCTCTGAATCATGTTGCAATTCGATCAAAACCCGTCTCAGAACGAGAATGTTGTCTCTAGCAAGTGCTGCACTTACCCGCTCGATCAGCTTCACCGATTCTCCGAAAGGTGCACGCAACTTCTGCTTATGCTCGTAAAATGCCAGTGTACTGCCTGCGAGATGCTGTCTCTGTTGTCCGCCCAATCGTTCAACCTGACCGCCAGAAATGGAAAGCCATAATAGGTACAAAGACCGTAATGCATCTTTGTCCAAACTGCTTGATGGCATTTTGTCTTTGTTACCGTACAAAATTGAATTAATATCCTTCGAGGCTTCTAGTCCAAATGCAGTGCCTTCCTCAACACTTCCCACCGATTCGCAAAGATCGACCGTCCTGGGCAAAGAAGAACTCAGCTGGATATTGTCACCCACCAATAAGCTTAGCAACGAGGACAAAATGTAAACGTCCAGAGTAAATAAGTCTACCCGATTGGCAGCTACGCAACCTTCGCGTAATCTTCGTACGAACAAGAGTATGTCCTGTAATGATTGCAATTGATCTTTTCCAACGTCGAAAGTAGAAGGGCTGTTTTCCATAACAGAAGGTGCAGGCATCCGGATGAGTGGATCAGCCTTGTTCTTTTGTATTGGTCCATGTTTGATTACATGCCCTTGAATTCTCTCCGAGATGAATGCACGGAATCGCTGTTGGGTTTCCGCATTTGTCAGATCTTGAGATGCATCAGTGCCACTGTCTAACCCTCTGGAAGGGCTGCTTAACAATTCAAGCGAATTAGATGATATCGAAGATGGCGAAGGTTTTAGCCGTGCTTGACGCATAGGCGAAGAGGAGATAGATGAAGGAGCTTGTTTTGCATGATTTTGTTTCCCTTTCCAGCCATTCTTAGTTTGTCCATTGTTCTGCCTCACTCCTTCCTCTCTACCTTTCTTATCCTCTACTCTACCTGATCGCCATGGCTGCATCGGGGAAACAAAGAAGATGCGATATGATCGTGTTTTGTTAGAAGATTGATTCCTAAGCACAGGTTTCTTAGAACAACACCAAAGACATTTACACTAAACGCGATAAGCCGAGTAGGCCCACTCTTCTCCACACTTTGTTAGCGCCAGTGAAATCTGACCAAAAGTACGGAATTGTGATGCTGAGCAATCTTCTCAGCATACCGATACATGCCACAAAAAGCTGAGTCTTATTAGGTACTCAGTCCAGCTTGGTATCGATGTCAAGGTCACCTCTCTCATGATATCACTTCAACCAAACAATGCTCGATATTCTCTGTGCTACTTTTTTGGAAACGCTTTCTTTTGCTTGTCTTTCTTGTGGTCAAGAATGCCGCTCTGCTCGTGAGTATGGTGTAGGGAGTGGTAATTCCAGACGGTATACTTAACTCATGATGTCTCTCTTGACAGGTGATTCTTCCGGCTGCTGTCAGACGTGCTGCTCGCCATGCGCTTCTTGCTGTTGTAAGTCTTCAATGGAATCGCAAGAAGGTCGCTTGAGGCTGGAGGAAGATGCAACCGAGAACAATAATCCAACCATCACCCAACAGCCAAGATGGAGCGCACAAGAGGCATTAAGGAATTGGAAATGAATTGAACATTGATTGTTTGAAAAATGATACACTGTATAGTACAAAAGAGGGAATCTCCAACAAAAGATAGTTACCAAAATCCATCATCTTCATCACCTTTTCCTCCTCCATGATGAGTAACAGCTTGTTTACGATACATTTCGGCAATTTGATCAGGAGCAGTTGAATCTTCTGGATCTTTGTCATCACGAATACGAACATAACGTGGAAAACGAAGTGAGATACCACGATGATCAACCAATCCTTTCGCTGCTGAATAGACTGGACTGAGTGAAAGATCTGCTGCCAAAACTTCCCAAACAATCTTTGCTTCAAAATACACATCAGGCTTGGCTTCTCCTACATCGTAATATCCTTTCTTTGTCGTGATTTCAAGAGCAGAAAGAGTCTTGTGATGCGCTTCCAAGGCTTCTTCTGAGAATCCGGTACCCAATTTGCATACAGCCTGATATGATTCACTATCGGCATCATAACAAGCCAACAAAAATGCACCATACCAATTGGTTCTTTTACCTTTACCGTAATAAGCTCCAATTACGACCAAATCCAGACTATCACCCGTTCCGGCTAAGTAATCCTTCTTGAGTTTAAGCCAATTCATCGATCTTCTACTTGGTTCATACGTTGCATCATTTCCTTCTAACATTTTTACCATCAATCCTTCACATCCTTCTTTTACACTTTCGTCCAAGAAAGATTGAATATCTTCGCTTGATGTTAAATCTTTACTGATTGCAAAATCAAATTCATCTTGAACGGGTTCGAAACTCTTTTGAAGCAATGCACGCCGTGATGCCAGGTCAAGATGTAACAAAGGCTTTCCGTTGAGATAGAGAATATCAAATGCGAATAGCTTGACTTTTACTTTGATATCTTCCACTTTGATATCCTTCCGTTTCCTTCTGCTCAATTCTTGGAAGGGTAACAAACGTGCAGGCAATCCCTTTTCCGGGTCTGCTTTTTGCCATGCAGTGCATTCTGCATCCAACACAAAACTCTCCGTTCCTTCTTTAATGCATCTAGGTAGCTGTTCAACGATATCCGGATATTTGACACTCATATTTTCCGAATTACGACTGAAAACTTGAATTGTTGATTTTGCTTTATCACCTGTTCCGGATTTGTAGTAATGCACTTGTGCTCTTTCACCATCATACTTGTACTCGCAAACGAACGGCTTTCCTTCAAATCGATCAAGAACTTCTCCAATGGCTTTTGTGGGTTTGGCCAACATGGGTTTCAATGGCACACCGGGCGTAAGGTTGCACTCCTTTCGTAGACCTTGAACACCTGCACGTAGAAGTGTGGGGACGACGAGATCGTATGTTGGCAATTCACTGAAAACGGCTTTGACGATTTCTACACCCTTTTCTAGTTCTTGTGTAAGCGATTCAGAGGCCAATTCTTTACCCTTTTTACCCGCCAAGACAACACTTTGAGCGAGTGCAACAAGCACAGTCTTCTCAGCCAAACCGATCCGTAATTTGCCTTCCAAACTTCGGATGATGTATTTCGGCTCTTCTGCGTTAGAGGAAGCCAATAGCTTCTTGATCACTCCAATCTTTCGTTCTTGTGATTTGTTACCGGTCATTGCTGCAATCTCTTTCAAATTCTTAAACACACCACGAATCGTCAATGCGGCAGATTTGAACATAGTTGGTTGTTTCTGCTTAGATCCGATTGCGACCAGTCCCAAATCACCTTTTGCCTCTAAATCCTTCTTGATTCGGGCAACATCACGTCCCGTGCTTTGTGCGATACTCTTGACCAACAAGCCTTCTCCAATACCCAACTCTAGACCTTCATAATCCGGGCATAGTCTGTTGATACAGAGATACACGCACGGGAGCAGGTCTTGAGGAGTGAGTTGGATCACCTTTACGAACAGCTTGGTAGTGGCCTCCAACTTTTCCAATCTTTTAGTCGTTGCTTCAATTTTGGTAAACGCTTCTGCCAAAGCGGAGTAAGGAACTGCTTCACCTTCCTTCCAGCTAGCTTTATCTTCTGTAGGTGCTTGTTTGACGAAAATTGCGGCTAGTTTTTTCACTGCTTCACCATCCCTCTTTTTCTCTGCACTTTGATTTGCAGCTTCTTGTTCTTCTTCTTCGTACTCTTCATCTGTTTCATTTTCTGTCTTATCTTCCATACTTTCATCTTCATCCTTTTTGCTTGGCTTTTTCAATTCCTCGGGCTTTGTGGTGACTTTGGTTGCCTTTGCTGCTGGCTGAGGTTTAGCTTCCTCCTCTTCTTCATCTGAATCGTCAATGATTACTCTTGATCGTTTCTTGGAAGCAGGTTCCTGACCTTGTGTGTTTAGTTTGCCATTCTGGACTTCTTTCAATCCGTTGTTGGATTTAGCCTCATCTTTCTCTTTTCCTGGCTCTTTGGCGAAACCGCCCATCAATGTCTGTTGACGAGCCATATCGCTAACGTCTTTTCTGATGACATCGGGAAGGAAGAGATTTACTCACTCTCCACAGAGAATCTTGACAAAGAACAACACGACGCATACTATACGCGCTCAGCAGGCGCGTTACACACACGCGTGTGATTAGACTGTGAAGACTTCTCGCACCACTGTTATGAAGTTTGGCTTGCGTAAGGTGTATGGCACGTGTAAAGTAACCCTTTCTTTTTTTTCCATTATGAGAAGATAGCGTTTAAATAAAAAATGAATTTTAAGAAGATTGTCAATCAGAAAGGAATACAGAGGCAAAGTGCACTCACACTCGCTTACTCACAATTAAAAGCGCCGAAAAGATCCGATCTTCCCTTTATCTTCTCAATCACAACGGGAAGCAAAGATGATGGCGAGTAGGAGAGTGGCATCTATAGCAAGGAGCAATGGCGCTCGATTGCTTAGAAATGAGCCCACATCAACCCTAAGACATATATCACAACATCGAGCATTGTCATCACTCATGAACGATAACAAGAGAAAAGCATTCACCTATTCCACACCTACCATTGCCTCACAACAAGTTCGTTTTGCAGCAGTTGCAGCAGCTACAAATGCAAACATTACAGAACCTGGAGCCGTTCCAAACGCGACTCAGGATAAGATCAATTCGTTCCCTCTAACAGATCTCGACTTACGTAAATTAGGACGTCAGAGAAACATTGGTATTGCTGCACATATTGACAGTGGAAAGACAACAGTAACAGAACGAGTTTTATTCTACACTGGAAGAATCAAAGATATCCATGAAGTTCGTGGTAGAGATGAAGTGGGAGCAAAGATGGACCATATGGAATTGGAACGTGAAAAAGGTATCACAATTCAAAGTGCTGCAACCCATTGTTCATGGAAAGCAACACCACCAACGGAAACCAGAAGTGTAGGTGGAGATGTAGCAGAAGACAAAGTTGGCGCAAAAGAAGATTTCCATATCAACATCATCGATACACCCGGACACGTTGACTTCACAATCGAAGTTGAACGTGCTTTGCGTGTCTTGGATGGTGCTGTCTTGGTTCTTTGTGCCACTTCTGGAGTTCAATCACAAACTATTACAGTCGACAGACAAATGAGAAGATACAATGTCCCTCGTGTTTCATTTATCAACAAGATGGACAGAGCAGGTGCAAATCCATGGCGTGTGATCGATCAAGTACGCAGTAAGCTCAAAATGCCTGCTGCTGCCGTTCAAGTACCAATTGGAGCAGAAGATGCATTTGAAGGATTGATCGATTTGATAAGATGGAAGACAATCTACAATGAAGGAGAGAAAGGAAGCGTCATTCGGGAGTCTGATGAAATTCCCGCTAACATGCTGGAATTTGCCAAACAGAAACGTGCTGAATTGGTTGAGCAGGTCGCAGAGGTAGACGATGAGATGACAGAAATCTTCTTGGAAGAAAGAGACCCAACAAATGAAGAGCTAGCAAAAGCCATTCGACGTGCAACGATCAAATGTGCGTTCTCTCCCGTCTTTTTGGGATCAGCAATGAAGAATAAAGGTGTTCAATCAATGTTGGACGGTGTTTGTGCCTACCTGCCAAATCCTTCCGAAGTTCCAACGGTTGCCCTAGATGTCAGCAAGGCTGCTAAAGAACAAGCTGTGGAAGCTGCAGCAAAGGCAGTAGAAGCAGAAGGCGAAGAAGCAGTGTCAGAGGCCAAGCAAAATGCTCCGACCCCATCAGTCAATCTATTACCTGCTTCAGAAGCACCTTTGGTCGGATTAGCATTCAAATTGGAAGAAGGTCGTTATGGTCAATTAACATACATGCGCATGTATTCCGGAACGTTGAAAAGAGGAAATGTGATCTTCAACGCTCGTACAGGAAAGAAGGTAAAAGTACCCAGATTGGTTCGTATGCATTCAAATGATATGGAAGACGTCGACAGTATCGGACCTGGAGAAATCTGTGCCATGTTCGGTGTGGATTGTTCAAGTGGTGATACATTTACAGATGGTGCTCTTTCGCTAAGTATGAGTAACATGTTCGTTCCTGAACCCGTCATTTCGCTTGCCTTGCATCCTAAATCAAAGGAAGCCAGTGCTTCTACCAACTTCAGTCGAGCATTGAACAGATTCCAGCGAGAAGACCCAACTTTCCGCGTTCATATTGATTCAGAAAGTGGAGAAACGATCATCAGTGGAATGGGAGAATTACACTTGGAAATCTACGTTGAACGTATGCGTAGAGAATACAACGTCGCATGCGATACCGGTAAGCCTCGAGTTGCATTCCGCGAAACAATCACTCAATCTAGTTCGTTCTCGTACACACACAAGAAACAAACTGGTGGAGCAGGTCAATTTGGTCGTGTGATGGGATACATTGAGCCGATGAAGATGGACGAAGAAACAGGAAAAGATACTGCTTTCGAGAATCGTGTTATGGGTGGATCAATTCCAACAGGTTATATTCCTGCTTGTGAAAAAGGATTCTTTGAAGCAATTGACAAGGGAGCACTATCTGGACATTCAGTCACAGGTACTCGATTCGTGCTTGAAGATGGTTTGGCACACAGCGTCGATTCATCCGAATTGGCTTTCAGATTGGCAGTGATCGGTGCATTCAGAGAAGCATATGCAAAAGCCCAACCCGTGATTCTAGAACCAAAGATGACTGTAGAAGTCGTTGCGCCCGTTGAATTCCAAGGTGCAGTCATTGGAGCGTTGAACCAACGTAAGGGTACAATCGAAGATACCGAAGTACGTGAAGATGAATTCACATTGACAGCAGAAGTGAGCTTGAACGATATGTTTGGCTATTCAAGTCAATTGCGTGGATTGACACAAGGAAAAGGTGAATATTCTATGGAGTTGAAGACGTATGCACCCGTAATGCCAAACATTCAAAAGGATATGGAAGATGCCTACAAAAAGCAACAACAGCAGAAGAAGTGAGCAGGACAGGCTTAGAGAAGCTTTCCACATTTTGTATAACATAGAGATCATTTATTGCACAATAGATCACATTCACCCTTCTCACATCTAATTGACTGATCGATATTTTATTGCTACTGTACATGTTTTGTTAGTCAGATGACCAGCTCTCTAATCGGAATAGATAAAGTTATACCTAGATAGAAGATGCGGAATTGCTGATAGTTGTGGTCCATATCTGCAAGTGAGGAGAGATTTGGTTTTAGTTATTTGCATACTTTGTGTTATATCCAGAAAAAGGTACTCACCTCTGTGAATTGTCATATAGCTCGAACAAAGGAACAGCCAATAATTTCATATTCTTTGGAACGGCCAAAATCTTTGTCGGAGGCATTTGTACCAAGAACAACTTTTTGCACTCTTTTGGCTTCGTGATATGTGGTGGAACATAAGGGTACATAAACGTTTCAAAAGCCGGTCTCCACCATTGAGCCAAACAATCTCCAACTTCCCATTCTCCACCACTACCTGCGCTCATTCCACCAGGTCCATAACTGTTTGGATCATCTTCTTCGGGTGCCAAGCGTTCGTCTAATCTACGTGCTAAACCACTTGTTTCTTCTTCTGCTGGACGTAAATAATCTCCTGGAAGCTTAAAAAATGCATTAGCAATTTGGATCATCAAAACGTGTGGATGTCCATGATCATGAACGACTAAAACTGCTTCAACTGTATGTCGCATTCCTAAATCTTCATATTGATTTTGTAACCTTTGTAAACGTGCTGCAACTGATGGATCTTCTTCTGGTTGAGCGGCTTTGGTTGTGAATGTATAAGATGAAAGCGGGAATAACGTTAATGTCTGTTGAGTGGACATCTTTGCTGGTTCTTCTGTTGATGATCGTGATCAGTAGTGAACATCATCAGGAATGCATGGACAATCTTCGCATCCAAGAAAATCAATTTCACGTGTTGTATGTCTGTGTACCCGCTTAAGCGGGGAGTAAGCGTCAGTTATTGCAGCGTTTCAACACTTGTGTGCATTAGCGACGTGGAAAGCACGGCAGCCGCTTGCCAATTGTTAACATCATTCATGCTACTTCTCCTTCTCTTACCACAATCACAACCACCAAAAATATACCACTCTTTCTCGCAGGTCGAGCGGAGCAAAGCAGAAAGAGTCAAGAAAACATACAATACACAATTTAACGATGGTACTCTCTACACAAATTTCACGTCTTTCCGATGGATTGCCACTTGCACAATCAGTCGATGATAGTTCTACAGAAGCAGCCTTGTCAGAATACAAACAACAGGCAAAATTGCTATTACGCAGAATAACACCTACTTCAGCACCAACATGTACGATCGATAGTGGACCGAGTTATTCCTTACATTATCTCATCAGTCCACCTCCTAATGCGGCCGGTAATTTGAACACCACAAGTGTCGTCTTTTTGACAATTGCACAAAGAAGTTATCCACGCAAATTAGCATTCGCATATCTTGATGAACTTGCAAAAGAATTTGTCATGAATTATGGAAGTCAAATCGGTCAAAGAAATCTAAGGCCTTATGCATTTGTTGGATTTGATACATTTATGCAAAGGACAAAGAGACTATATGCTGATTCCAGAACAGCAACAACTGCCTTGGAAGAGAAACAAGCAAATGCAGCAGCAGCAGGATCGGTTGGTGGAGAAGGTTCAGCACAAGCGGGTGGAACCAAGGATCACCTGGGCAGACTGAATGAAGATTTGCAAGATGTGACCAGAATTATGACCAAGAATATGGAAGATCTTTTGTGGAGAGGAGATTCGCTTGATCAAATGTCTTCAATGTCTTCATCTTTGCGTGATGAAAGTTTGAAATATCGTAAAGCTGCTCGTCAAATCAATATTGACGCCATGATTCGCAAATATGCACCTATTGGAGCGATTGCATTTTTGTTCATTTTCATTATTTGGATCCGATTTTTCTGATCCTATTGTATATGTACTCGTACCATCACGATGAGAATAATTCACACTCTATCTTTCAATGATGGGAAGATAAGGATAAGAAGTAGAATGTGAGAATAGCATGTAATGGTCATGCGGGGGATACTCTAATCCACATTCCTCATTTCACGTGGCTGCGCTAAATTAAAAGTCGTGTTTGTTGTTGTTGGTGTGATGCACACAATCCCTCATGCACGGCCCAGAGACACGGATCCTTTTTGTACATACATACTCCTGCTGCACCAGCACGGGGACCGTCAATAACACCATTCATTGCACCATGACTAAAAGAGTGCGGGGCTGAATTGCCCGTTGATTACAATTTGATGTGGCAGCATTTATCATGATTCGATGAAAAAGTATCATTTCATTTTCAATCTCCATCATGATTTCAGCTTTTTGATAAAAATATACCCCCTTTCTCCTACCGCTTCACAATGGATACCTCCTCTACCAATCAATCAAGTCCTTCTCGTACGGCAACACGTACATTGGCCATCTTGACCCATTCAGCCTGCTCAGAACATCGTTCAGCCATTCAAGCAGAAATCACATCAAAAGGTTTTGCTATCTTGAGTGAACGAAAAGAACAATGGTCAAGTCAAGATGATGTCGACTTTTTACACGAATTCTTGAGGGATCCTTTAGCCTCGCCTACTTCCAATGATACACAAAATAGGACATGGATGAAAGCCTTGACCGATCATCCGATCTATGTAATGGTGCTTGAACGCAATCGTGCTGCTGAATTATGGCAAGAGATGTGTGGAACAAGCAAAGATAATTCCGGTTTACGATCTCAATACGGAGAAGATGCAGTATATGCGCCTTCTGCACGTCTTGCAAGCCGTCAGATTGCGATTTGCTTTCCTGAATTGGCAACATCGGAAGCCTTGGCCGCTTTACAGCTTGATATAGAAGATCCACCAAACACAATTATGGCGACAGACAGCAATGGTGCGTTCTTGGTGCGCGAAGATGATGATATAGTGTATGACGAAAAAGGCCAAGCATTTGATGCTCACAACGGTGAACCGCTAGAACTGCAGGAAGAACTGGTCATTTCAAAAGAAGCTCTTCCCAGTACTTCCTCAGACGATCATACTAGACCTCTCGAGCCACAACGTGTATTCAAAGCTAGACCTTTGCCTGCCTCACACAAGCAAGCAACCAGTCAACCTCGTCTTTCGCGTGCTGCAGCTTTGAGGATGGGTGTCGCACTTCCTGAAGCACCAAAGAAGGCCGTCAGTAATGTATCTTCTGGTGATATGTCCAATAGAGGTATTTCTGGCTTACCAAAGGCCAATGTTGCCATTCCAAAATCCCTACAAGCACCAACTATTGCACCACGAATGAATCGTAGTGCAGCTGCTAGAACGAACAAAGGTGGAAGTGTGAGCAATAATGCTCAATCTGCACCTTCTGAATCAGGATCTTCGGTAAAAGAACGTAAACCGGTGGATTTTAGCAATACACCCGGTCATAAAAGAGTCTCAACTGGTGGCTTTAAATTGGCAAGCCTGGCAGCTCCTGCCGTAGCACCACGATTAAATAAAGCAGCAGCAGCAAGGACTGGCGGTCATTCAGGATCCGCATCTACACAGTCGCCCGAGCGGATCCGTGTCCAACGTCCTGCATCTGTCTCTTACGGGTCCGAAACAAACAAAAGTGATTCTCCAATCGTACGTAAACAGATTGACTTTAGCAATACGCCAGGACACAAACGGGCAAGCATGTCAACCAGTACATTAAAGAGCCTTCAAGCGCCTTCAATTGTACCAAGAGGTAATCGGGCTTCTTTGGCCCGTGTTGGTGGTAACGCAAACGACGCATCCTCTTCACCAGAAAGAAGAAGCGGTACAAACGGAAAGACAACAATCACAGCCGCAGATACGACGGGAAAGGAAAATAGATCAGGGCGTACGTCTGTTACATCTACTCAAACCAATAAGCTACCTTCTGGACGTCTTTCAGTAGCGTCTACGACTACAAGGGACGTTCGTACGATCTCAGGACGTGCTTCTGTTGCTTCTACACGAGATGCACGGGAAAGGAAGCCAATCGATTTCAGTAACACGCCTGGGCACAAACGTGCAAGTCAATCGATTTCCATAGCTTCATTAGCACAGCCAACGATCGCTCCTCGCAGTAATTCAGCCGCTCAAAAACGCCTAAGTGTTGGAGCAGCCCCTTCGAAGGCGTCAACGGGAACTTCTGGGCGAATGGCTATTCGAAATGGCGCACCTCCTTCTTCTTTTCGCGTTTGATTAACATGGCAAAGAGTTTTGTCAAACTTTGTGTTCATATGATATTCTATAAGCCCCATTTTGTGGCTTTTTTGAATTGCCGTAATCCTGTATCTCGGATTGATATTCGCTTGGTCGACTTATATCCGATCTGTAATTTCTATGACAAATTTACGCCGGTGTCAATTTGATGGTTGTGTTTAGAAGATATGCAGAAATGACAGAGCCTGACCGAACAGGCATCATGTGTATGCTCAAACGGCGGGTGTCTGACCGGTTTCTGAGCCGGAGATGTTTGTTGATCACTCTATTGATGATCCTAAATTCGCCAAAGTAGTTGGCTAAAGCCGATAAAGTCATGGTTGCTGACTCATTGCAAAACAGGATGATTTTGAAAAAGATATATAATGAGTTATGGTCAAGAAAGTAAGTTCACATATGCCATTCACGCAAATCGTACGATCAAGATAATTTTCCATGTGTATCGTATGATCCGTAAATCTACAACTTGCCAGAGTATTCTTCTCAAATTCGATCTGAACGACAAAGTTGGCCACCGAACACATACCGGATCACATAGCATTTCTACTCTACATTGGATCACCGGTTACCGTTCGATTTGCTGTGATCTTATTTGAACAGAAGGGTTCACGGAGGCCGCCATTTTTTACATAGCCGAACATAGCATATACCATCGTATGAATCATTAGCGGATAGAATATTTTCTCTTGGGATCGAGCTGGAATTTAGTAAAATTCAAGATGGAAGAATCAATATTTAAGCAACTGTATATTTCTGATCAAAATGGAGAATGCCTGCAATTGTCAAATCACAGGATGAATGCGAGTTCTTTTAAAACCTCCAGAAATGATTACAAAATTTATGAGAATAAGCAAGAAAACCAAACGTTGGATATTCTTATTATTGGAGCAGGAGGTATGTGCTATTTTTATCATTGCAAATGCATATCGGTTGACCTTGTTTTATTTTCTTTAGTGATTGGCATCACGATTGCTTGTGCTTTATTGTCAAAGGGTCATCGAGTAAAAATTGTTACTCGTGACCTTCCTTTCGAAGAACGTTCGGAACAATGTGCATCTCCGTGGGCAGGAGCGATTTGGTATCCGTTTGAAGATGAATGGAATGAAACGTGTAAACAATCGTACTTCGAAAAACAAACATTTGAAGTTATGCAAAGGATGAAAGGCGATACAAATGTGAAATTGGATTATTTGTCTCAACGTTTCCAGGATAATTTACCCATTTTCAGTGATGACATTTTAGCATACTCACGTACAAGAAGAGTTCTGGACCAAGATCGTATCTCTGAAACGCTCAAAATACCTTGGTGGAAAGACGTAGTTGTAAACTTTTGCGAAATTGATGAACGTGTTCAAGATTTCACTACATTTTCCTTGCAACCGACGGAGTATTTGAAGCGTCTTTTGGATCATTATAAATGTGATCGATTGACTTTTCACCGTGGAACAGCTTCTTCTTTAGCTCGTGCAAAAGAACAATTTTTACCAAATGCCGATTTGATCATCAACGCATCAGGTTTGGGCGCACGTTATTTAGCCGACGTAAACGACAAGCTCGTAATGCCCATTCGCGGACAAACAATCGTAATCAAGAAACAATCAGCCCTAGAAGTCAATCAAGGTGATGATCAAATTCAGTCTTTGTTCGTTGAAGGTACAAGAGATGGTCACGATATGATTTATGTCATTTCAAGAGCGGATTCCGATGAAATCCTTCTAGGGGGTTCAGCCGAGCCGGATTCTTTTAGTACATTACCCGATAAAGATCAAATTCAACGTATCATTCAAGGCACGAAACAATATTCACATCATCTTTGTGCTGATCTGCAAAAGTCGATAACCGATCCATCAATCATTCATACCGGCGTTGGTTTGCGTCCGGGACGAAAAGGAGGGCCCCGATTAGATTGGCAAGAGGAAAAGAAGGATATTAACGGGAAGCAAATCTTGCCACCTGTGATACATGCATATGGTTCCGGCAAGACTGGCTTTCAAGTGAGCTGGGGAGTAGCAATAGAGGTTATGCGAATGGTTGAAGAACATACAATGGTTTCATAATTAATTTATAATATATAGACGCAATTGTACATAATATACAAAATAATTCATCACCTTAATCTTACTCCACGCAGAACAGTCCGCGGAGACGATGCTCAGGGTTGAATTGAAGCAATTTCAGCAAAGAATCGTGCATTTTGATGGCAATGACCCATTTTTGTCCATACCGCTTCAAGGTTAGCAAGACTACTTCTAGATCTGCTTGTAATAAAGAGACACTTTCCGTAAATTCATCCGAGTTCCATACGCTTTCCGTCTTGGGTAAACCGTCACCATTTTCACTCTGTTGGGCTAATTCTTGAGCGATATATTTGGAATAAAGAGACTCTAATTGTCGGATCAAACTTCTTCCCACCAGCATGACAACGATTGTCATGACAACATCAAGCCTTTGCATATCATCTTGTGCATGCAATGCACACAATCGTAAAACGTTGATCGCACCTCTTGTTGCTGCTTTACAGCGTTCTTCGCTTTCCGAACTCAAGGCTGCCAAAGGTTCATGTAGAGTCAATGTGCAAGCGTATGGCAGCAAGGCCGGCGTGACAACCATATTTTTGGACATTGTTTGATTTCCCGATGAATTCAAAAGGTATGCAGTTAAAGCACTCGAATCTGCTTTACGTGCTGACCAGGAAGCAGCAGAAGGGCTCGTTGTACTTGCCTTTAAAGCCTGGTTTGCTACTTCATACGATTCTAAATGCATTGCAGCAATCCAATTTTCGAGCTGTTGAAAGCGTGGAGCAGAAACGATCTGAGTTGGAGTTGCAGTACGGGAAATGCGAGAAACGTATTGAGCACATCTTCCAAGCAAAACTGTCAATTTGAAAAAGAATTGTTCTGCATCCATCGTCCTACGGGAGAAGAAATCATGACTATGGATGGACAGCGTATTTCGTCTACCCATCCATTCTTGCGTATGCATATTGTTAGTCGTTGTCGAAATGAATTCTTGGAATGTTGCACGGGGAAGTTCGGCCGTATAATCTTCTTCGGTAAGATTACCAGGCCACAACGTCCCAGCGATAGACGTTCGATCGATTGCAAACATTAACAGCATCGTCCGACGTAGCTCTTCCGCTTCAATTTCATCGCTTGGTTCGGGTCGAATGATGGATGTATCCGTAATGCGTGGTTGCATCAAGAGGTACTGCAATTGCTGTAATTGCTGTTCAGCTCGAGTAGGAACATCACGATTCAGATTGAGCGCAACACATAATCTTGCGGCCTGAGCACTGGCGAGATAGGACTCCAGTTGATCTCCCTGCCCGTAAAGTTTTGAAACGAGTAACAAACTTGCTCGAACCAAGTCCAAAGGCGTTTTCAATTTGTCACAATGGAAAGAATGCAGCAAACTCTGTGAAGCAGCAGCAAAATGTCTGTAATGAGCACCCGAACGTTCCGTTGGCTTGCTACCACCGCTTGTCTCTTCATCAATCTCTGGTCTAGAAGCATAGGCTAAGGCAACGATGATGTGTAAAGCAGCAGTTTGTGGATAATTTTGATGATCGGGTCCTAATGCAATCCGCTCGCGTAAACGACCAGGATGAAAGATGTATGCACAATCGTGATCCTCAAAGAATACATCCACTAATCGATTCAACAGCGGTTGTTCAGGCAGTGCAACCTCGCTATCGTTGAGCCAATAAGAAGTGGCGATTGACGATTGAGGGTCCAAGTTTGATTTGGTTGGCATGTTCCCCACATTGCCCAGAAATGAGAATTGATTGGGTTGTTGGTTTTGTTGTGATTGCATCGGATCTGTCTGTCCGTTTCCGAATCCGTCACCGCTAGAAGATCGGGAAGCGTCAAGTGGTAAATGAGACGAAAGGATCTCGGCGAAGAATAAATCGTTTTGATTCGTATCTGGCTTATTGGTCTGAATAGCAGCGTTTCTTGAGCCAGACATGAGAATGCTTTCTTGTCCGTTCATACCTGTCGTTCGCTGTACTTTGTTTGGCCTCCTATCCTCGGGCGTAAGTGGATCGCTGGACATCGATCGACCTGTACTGCTGGCAGAAGGCGCATTGAAAGGCAATGAGCGTGGATCACTGCTGCCCGAAGCAACGGTAGAGGCATTCGAAGGCCCGGCAAGAATGCCTTTGTTATCATTTGTAAATGAGAATGAATTATCTCCTTCTGTATTACCATCTTCTTCCGAGTAGCAAGGCGGAAATCGGACGGATTGAATCTCTTCTTCCGTTTTCCCTCTTTTTCGCATTGCTTCTAATTTACGATTTCTTGCTTCTAAGCAACGATTGCATGATGGCTTTCCGCCATCGCATCGTAGTTTGCGACGACGACAAGCGTTACATGCTTTTCCTCGCCCTAAATTTCGCGAATAGGGATCTGTTGTGTCCATCTTGTCACTACCTAGAACGCTGTCAATTTTCGGGATGATGCAGTGGACTTGAGGATACCGATAATAAGCACGATCCCAGCTCAAGATTGCTTAATGAGACTTTTGCTTTGCCCCTATAGTTGTATTTGTTCACTCTCTTTGTATCTAGTCAGAATGATGACTCTTTGAGGTGATGGAGATGGAATGGTAAAGAGTACTCAACGGCCCCGACTTCCGTTCCGGGTAAATAAGCATACACACACGCACAATCACTTGTCCGCGCGTCTAATGCTCTGGGGAAATTGTAAGCCGTCATTTTAAGCTCATGCATTTGCTTTTGATCTTTAACCTCAAAACATGTGAAAGAAGTGATATATGATATGCTTTTGTTCATCTTCATGCAGGTTACTAGATATACAGATGATACACTTCTTCAAACGGGCGTATTACAGATTACATACTCTACCATCTTGCGTACATCATCTGCTCGTAATTTGCCTACCTCGAGAACCTCCTCGTGATTAGCGGCTTCTTTTGAGTCTTCTGTCGTGATTCTCTCCACTTCTTCCAGTGAAATATCTTGCTCAGCAGCAGCCTTTGCGTCAAAGTAGTCTTTGATGACCACTTGATTCGTTATCAAACTGATTGCTAATACTCTCATTCCACTTTGACGAGCAGCAATCACTTCTGGAACGGTAGACATTCCAACCGCATCTGCTCCGATTTGTCGTAAAAACTTTGATTCTGCTCTTGATTCATATGTTGGTCCTGTCAAGAATACATATATTCCCGATTGTACTCTATGTGAAATTCCAAGTGACTTTGCAGCTTTAAACATCTGTACCCGGAATAGCGGATCGTATGCATCAGACATAGAAGGAAACCGTGGTCCAAGTGCGAATGATGGTCCAATCAACGGGTTCAATGCAGTCAAAGAAGGTAAACCGATATGATCGTGCATTCCCATAATCGTTCCCACCTCCCAGTCATGTCGTAATCCTCCTGCTGCATTTGTTACTACTACTGCTTTCGCGCCTAAGCATCGCATCACGCGAACTGGGAATACTGCCGTCTGCGGTGAATGACCTTCGTAAAGATGAAATCGACCCAATGCAGCAACAATTGGCACTCTCTTTTGATCTGATACTAGATATCCAAAAGCCAAAGACGATTTGTGTCCTTGAACCGTTGAATTTGAGAATCCCTACATGACATGATGAATGGGCAGAATTTGTCAATGAATTACTCCGTTAGCCTGTTTGATTCACTTTACTCACCGGTATAGAATCATAGTCAATTGCGACTTTGTCCACGATATGATCTCCTAATCCTGACAACCCAGAACCACAAACAATTCCCCAATCAGGCTTGCTGAGTTCAGCAGGTAATCGTTTCCGGATGGAATCAACTGCATCGCCATACTCTCTTGGTAGCTGTGAGAGCTGCTCTTCCGTGATGTAATTTGACATTATTCTGCTTATCGAGAAAGGTGGAAGGAAGTAAGACAGGTTGAGCATGTGTACGGAAAATCGGGGTTTCGATAATAAAGCTTCTTTCCGCGGCTTTTTCGCGGGGAAATAAAATTATGGAGCCGTGCACTAGAGCAGCAAGCACGCTAAGAAAAAAGTCAGAGATCTTCTTGCACGCATACCATCATCCTTCCCGTCACAGCATGCAAAGATGGCAACCGACATCATAGGGAGTAGCTCACGACAAGCACCTATTGTGAAATTGATGGAAGATGAACAAAAATCACAATTGATCAAACAAGGTGCAGAAGCAAAAGTGTACATTACAACTTTATTCACAAAACCTCAACTTCTTTCACCTATTACAGGTCAGAGCTCTGTTCCGGTCAAAACTTCATCTAGATCAGACAAGGTATTGCTCAAGTATCGATTTCCTAAAACGTACAGACATCCCACCCTTTCTACACAATTGACCGCTTCGAGAACGACTGCAGAGGCTCGGGCTTTGATAAGGTGTGCCCGGGTTGGTGTCAATACCCCCAAGATTGTATGTGTGGACGAAGAGCAGGGTGTGTTGGGACTGGAGATCGTTGATGGATACAGCGTTCGGGAGCTGCTAGGAGGCGGTAGTGAAGGGGAAGATGAATACGAGGAAGAAGAGGAAGTCCAACCATCTAATCAGATTGCATCAGAAGAGCTGATTCTTTTGACAAACGAAGAAGGTTTAGTGATCATGCGGAAGATTGGTATCCAACTAGCACGTATGCATCAAGCACACATCATTCATGGTGATCTGACAACCAGTAATATGATGGTCAGAAGGCAAAAGGGAGCCGCTTCAATTCAATCAGCAGAAGTGGTATTAATAGATTTCGGTCTAAGTCTCAATTCCACTTCCGCAGAAGATAAAGCAGTGGATCTGTATGTTTTGCAAAGAGCATTCGCTTCCACGCATCCCGACAGCGAGCATCTGTTTGATGAGATATTGAAAGCGTATCAAGACATTATTGAGAATAAGCCAGTACTTTATGATCCAAAGGTAAAGGCAGAAAAGGGTACAGTCGCTGGACCAACACATTGGAAGGAGATCAAGAGGAAATTAGACGACGTTCGATTGAGAGGCAGAAAGCGCAGCATGGTAGGATGAAAATTGCATCAAAAATGTATCAATAAGAACATCAATGTACAATAAAATGATAACCCTGAAAGCCTCATTGTGACGGATCTTCGGACGAGATTAAGCTCTAATCTAAGCATATTACCCCGTTTTCAAACTCTTTTCTTCCTGTCGGACAATGCTAAGCCGTTTGTGTTAAGACCATAAACAAGCAATCTTCTTAGTACGAATCAAAGAAGTTCACATTGTAAGATAACGACTTCAATTCCTGCAAGCACCTTAACTTCCCTTATCTATCTTCCGGCCCCACTCTGAGAATGCAAAAGTTTAAATTGTATACAAAAAGCGCCACTAGCCGGGGTGGCAAAGATAAGAAAGGAAGGACTCGACGCGTTCCTGCAATTGAAGAAAGGCACAGGAACCTACTCAAAACTTTTCACTTTACGCGTACGAGAATTGTTACTGTACATACTCAGTTTTCTTCTTGATGCGGGAATTCAGTCATTGAGTACTCACATACGGATAAATTTGAAAACAGAGAGTGCAGGTGCAGATCTAGACTTTTTTTCTTCTCTCTTTTTCCTAAAAGCGATAAAGATTAGGGAAGATTAAAATACAGCCTATAAAATATAGCACTCTATCTTCTTCCTAATTTCCATCTTGTGTTCTTCTTGGAACTTTTCCTCCTCTTCGCCTATTGGCACGGTCATCATGGCTTCAATCATGCAAAAATGGCGTGAAACTCGTGATTCGATCAATCATACAGTCGCACGCTCTTTCGTTGGACGTTATTTTCGTTTAGAAGGATGTGGTCACCCTTTAGCCAGAGAAGGTGCAGTGTTCACCCGTGAATTACGTTCTGGCTTGGTTACATTTGCTGCAATGGCATACATTATCTCCGTTAATGCATCAATCCTTTCTTCTACCGGTGGTCCATGTGTTCAAAATCCAGGTTTGGCAGATGAAGCTGCATATGAACAATGCAAAGAACTCGTTCGTCAAGATTATGTAACTGCAACAAGTGCAATCTCTTTCATCGCTTCTTTTCTCATGGGCTTACTTGCAAACCTTCCTCTTGGTCTCGCTCCCGGTCTTGGTGTTAATGCATACTTTGCATTCACTGTCGTTGGTGCTGATGGAAAAGGTTTGATCCCGTACGGTCAAGCATTGGCTGCTGTTTTCTTGGAAGGTTGGATCTTCTTTGCTTTGTCCGTCGTTGGATTGAGACAATGGATGGGAAGAATTATGCCTCGTTCACTCACTTTGGCAACGGGTGCAGGTATCGGAATGTACTTGGCTTTAATCGGTTTAGGTCCAAACGGTTTGAGCGTTGTGGGACCAAATGCTTCTGATATTATCGGACTAGGCGGTTGTCCAGCGCAATTCAAAGATGAGTCAGGAATTTGTCTTTCTCACGTTCTGCAAGATCCTCGAGTTTGGCTTGGTGTCTTCTTGGGAGGTGTCTTTACCGCATTGCTCTTCATGTACCGCGTCCGTGGTGCATTCTTATGGCCAATTCTCTTGGTTGCTGTGGCTTCCTGGCCAAGATCTGGTTCCGTTACCGAATTCCCTCACGACGGCTCAACGGGTGATCAAGGCTTTGATTTCTTCAAACAAGTCGCAACTTGGCACAATTTCAGTAAACTTGGTCCATCAAACATCATCTGGAATTATGCCTCAGGTCACACTTGGTTGGCATTGATAACATTCTTATACGTTGACATCCTCGACACCACAGGTACTTTATACTCAATGAGTCGTGCTGCCGGCTTGCTTGATGAGGCATTGACCAGCGATTTTGAAGGAAGCAGCATTGCTTACCTTACGGACGCATTCTGTATCTCAATGGGCTCACTAATGGGCTTGAGTCCAAGCACGGCATTCATCGAGAGCGCAACGGGTATCGCGGAAGGTGGTAAAACCGGCCTTACGGGTATGACAGTTGGCTTCTTCTTTTTCCTTTCGCTATTCTTTGCGCCAATTTTTGCAAGTATTCCTTCTTGGGCCACAGGTGCAACTTTGGTTATCGTTGGATCTTTGATGATGAAGAGTGCTGCTAGTATTAACTTTGGATTTATCGGAGATGCGCTCCCTGCCTTCTTGGTCATCGCTGGAATTCCGTTCATGTTCAATATCAGTTATGGTATCATTGCTGGTGTTTTGAGCTGGATCATTCTTCACAATGTTCCTCTTCTTCTGGGAAAGATTCATCCTTCCCTCTTACCTCCCGGATGGCATACCGAAAAAGAACCTTACAACATCGCTGGAACATTGAGACGCGGTGGAAAAGCAGCTTCGTTCAAGACTTTACTACCTCCTTGGCTCATAAAGTTAACATCTGGAAATATGAAATTCTGGAAAGCCACAGATGCGGAAATCGAACAAGTTCTCGAAGGTAGAAGAATAACACAAAGACAATACCGTTTGCGCGAAGAACAAGTTCAACGGGAAAGAGAAGAAATGAGAAGAATGCAAGCAGGAGATGATGTTAATAACGGTTTTCGTGAAACAATGCACGTTAGAGGTGCAATGGATGAAGAAAATGAAAAGAGTGCTTCGGGAAGCAGTGATCAAATTCCCGATACAAAGCATATCGAAGAAGCCTGAGAGAAGGCTTGTAAAAAGTTGTTGTACAATATAGTCTGTAATCTGGAATGCAATCTCAGTTTCTGTTGGAATCCGTCTGAATTAGCCATTACACCACAAGTACACAGAAAAGGCACCCTTTCTATTTCCATAGCATGATTTCATTGACACGAAGATGATAAGCTGATGCAAGCTATCGTTAATAGCAACAGGATCCCTTGTGAGTCTCCTGACGCGTATTTCTTAGCTTGCTTTTATTATTAACGCGGCCTCCGCGTTTTTGTTAACTGCATTTTTGTGTCTGCAAGGCGTAAACGCCAAGTACGACTAACAAAGTGCCCAACTTACGCCCAAGTACACCTAACAACCTCTGTGCATCGAATTAAACTTCTTGACATTCTCAGCTTCATTCTCCTACCTAATAGTCAAAGTGATGACCTCTTCAACCTTGTAAATCGTATCGAAAGAAAGGAGAACATTCACTCCATACCTACAACTCTCAAACAATGAAGCCAACTTCAGCCCATATACCCTTCTCAATACCGCCTCAGACTCGTCGTGATAGCTCGATGAGCACGGCTTCTACAGTCAGTGAAGCATCTTCAAGCTCAAGTAACGATCAAAAGGATGTCGCTTACAAAGATGAGTTGGACAATGATCCGGACGGACATGCATATCCACCCAAAAATGGCAGAAAGACAGGCAAAGCCAACGGGAAGACAGATGACCTTTCAGACGAGGAAGGCGATGAGGAATTACTAGACGAAGAAGAACGTGTTGGTCTGATGATGGAAGATAGGAACAGGCCACCACGCATAAGTGATGCAAAATGGAGTCCTCTCTCCTCAAAGTTCTCAAGAAAAGGAGATTCTTTCGTACAAAAATACAAGCCTTTCATTATTGCTATAGGAACAGCTTTGACGATCTTGCTACTTATCCCCTTGTTGAGCTGGCTAGCATCTTCGACGAATAAGATGAGAAGTGAATCTATTCTGAAAAACGAAAAACATTTGACAGAAGTCATCATTCCTAATTATTGGCGATTACCCGAAGCAATGCATCCTTCTGCAAGCGGAATACGAAAGCACAAGCGACCATTACCGCCCGGAACAACGAAATTGTCTTCATTCGGAGGGCCATTCTCATTGGAAACGACCGTTGATTCGATGCCATCGACGAAAACGGAGAAGGAGAAGAAGCCGGTCACAATAGAAGAGGCTGTTGGAGGATCGTTCTTGCCTCAATTGAATGGTGTGATCTGGAGCGCAGAGGACCCCGATGAAGGCGTCTTCGTCTACAGGGAGCCCTTCTCGGGCAATTTAGTCGTTGAAGACGTAACGCACCGCAAGAAAGAGATCACAGGGCAAGGCGAAGTAGCAAAAGGAGGTGGAAAAGTCACCTTCGTTAAAGGAGCGGATGTGAAAGATGAAAATGGAAAACAAATCAATTTCCATAATTTCAAAATCAGCCCGGATATGCGATTTGTTCTCTTTTTCAGTGACAAGAAGCAACAATGGCGTCATTCTACTTTCAGTAAGGTATGGTTACACGATGTCAGTACGCACTCTACCCAGCAGCTTGGGAAAAATATCACAGAGCCAACAATTGCAACTGCAGAATGGTCAAAGAGATCATACGTCTCCTTCGTTGAGAATAACGATCTTTTCCTCATCAAAGACGTGCACAACGTCAAAAATCAAATCAGCATCACAAACGATGGAAATAAGAACATTTTTAATGCAGTTCCAGATTGGGTGTATGAAGAAGAAGTCTTTTCCGGCGACACAGCACATTGGTGGTCACCCGATGGAAACAGGTTGGTCTTCTTGCGCTTCGATGAAGCTGCTGTGATGACGTATTCGTTTCCGATTTACAACCCAACTGAAAAGAATGGAAAAGCACTCCTTTATCCTGATACGGTTGATATGAAATATCCAAAACCTGGAACGCCCAATCCAAAAGTTAGTGTTCATGTGTACGATGCGGTGACTGGTCTTAAATCTTCGCTCAAAGCACCAAGTAAAAGAGCGTCAGCTGAAGCGGATGGAAGTGATGCGGTCACAATCGATGTGGCTATGGCACAGGCAAGAGAAGAAAAGTTGGTGACAGAAGTGAAATGGTTGAGCGATAGCAAGCTGATTATACGTGAAACAAACAGAGTCAGCGATGTGGGCAGACATGTCGTCTACGATTCAAATAATGCCAAGAAAGATGCTAGTGGAAGTGCAGGAACGATTGAAGGAAAAGTGTCGCGGCGTGAAATGACAAGTAAGACAGGAGGCTGGATCACAGTGGACCAAGATATCCACACTTTACTCGACTCAGGTTCTGGTGGATCAACGGAATATGTTGATATTGTCGCTGTACCAAATGGATATAGACACATTGCCTATTACCGCAACGCCGAACAGGCTCAACCCATCTTCCTCACAACAGGAGAATGGGAAGTCGAGAAGATCGTGTTTGTACACAACCGACGAGTCTACTTCTCAGCGGCCTATCCGAGGCCTGCAGTGCGTCATATTCTGTATGTTGACGTGCCAAAGAATGGCGAAAAGGTCACGCCTGAGGAGCGACCCAAATCATTGACGAATATCCACGAAACGGCTTGGTATGAAGTTGAATTTGATCCAAAAGGCAATTATTATCAGCTAACATACAAAGGACCACATCTTCCATGGGTAAAAGTCTTTTCTTTACGTGATCCCAAATTTGAATTGGTTTTGCAGGAAAACAATGGTTTGCAAAAGATCGTTGCTGATTATCATCAACCTCAAAGATTGTTCTACAATATCACACTATCCGATAAAACTATTGTGTCCGCGCAAGATTTTAGACCCCACGATTTTGACGGCAGTGGAGCGATACGATATCCCGTCTTGATCAAAGTGTACGGAGGACCAAATTCTCAAATGGTAGATGCCAAATGGAGTATGGCAGATTGGGCAACCTATTTGACGTGCACGCTGGGTTATATTGTCATCGTTCTTGATGGACGTGGAACTGGTTTACGAGGTCGTGCATATCGTGATGTGGTTTCATGGGAATTGGGAGCGTACGAATCGCACGATGTTGTACATGCTGCAGAAGCCATTCGAAGGCTTCCATACGTAGCACAAAGCAAAGTGGGTATTTGGGGATGGTCATTTGGCGGATACCTAACAGCAAAGGCGCTTGAACGTGATTCTGGCACGTTTGATCTGGGAATGTCCGTTGCTCCAGTTGCTCGATGGGAATTTTACGATACAATCTATACGGAAAGATATATGAAAACGCCTCATTTGAACAAAGAAGGATATGAGAACAGTTCTGTTCATATCAATAAAGGTTTTCAAAATTCACAATTCTTACTCGCTCAAGGATCGGCTGATGATAATGTACACTTTCAAGGTAGTGCCCAATTGTTGGACCAATTAACTGGCCATCAGATTCGAGGATTTTGGTTCAGGATGTTTCCTGATTCTGCACATAGTATCGATAAGCGTGGTGCATATCTGGAGCTTTATCAATTCATGACGAGGTTCTTGGTTTATAATTGGGGCGCAGGCGGAAAGCGTTTGTTCAGGTACAAAGACACAAAGGAGACGATTGAATGAATGATATGAGCCCACACTGTATTTTTACGATTATGTTGTCAATATAAGTACAATATCTCTATATTTGAAAGTCTGACTTTAATCGGCTGATTCATCGATGTGATCTAGAATTGCACGACAAATATCAGCTGTCAGAGCATTTTGTGGCTTTTCCATCTCATTGCTTTCCCCTTCGTCCAAGGGAGCGAGTCCAACGGAAGCTTCATACCCTCTAATGAGGGCCACATCGGAAATCGGTCGATGATTGTGTGATAGTATTGCAACGATCTCCAACATTCGACCGATTCGACGACGAACAGAGTTGGATACGATGTCGTTTGCGTCAGAGTAAATTGCTTCGATATCACGACCTGTTCCGGTGGTGATATTGACTTTTCCTGTGTCAAGCATGGAGATCCACAAGACGCCATTCAAGCCGATGATTATTTCCAGTCCTAGTTCTTCCAATCGTACGAAATGGCTCTTCAACCTTCGAATCAAGCATGGGTTCACAATCGCAAGCTGTCCGTTACGTAATTTACCATAATTCAGACTACGAGTGTGTAAGCTTGTGGATCCGTCATGAAAGAGCGATTGAACTTCACAAACGAGTAAATCGCCTTCTTTGAAATAATTGCGCATTTCCAGTTCATCAGACTCAAGCTTTCTTCTTTGAATACCACCGGGTAAATTGATACTACTCAAAAGAAGATTGGCTTCTTGACGTGAACGAACGTCTACTCTCCATCTTCGATTACCCGGTTGCAAATCAGTGATTCGTCCGACGACAAGATCACCAACTTCTGGTGCATATCTTGTTTTGAGTGAATTGACGCTGATTAGCTTGTTTGTCTTTCGTACTACGCCGCACAACGATGATCGAATCAGAGGTGCTGCACCATCCGAGACGGAAGCAGAAGAAAGGTAAGCACCATGTCCACGCATGAACGTGACAGAAGAAGCGATCGCTTGACCAGCGGTTGCTAGTCTTGTCGAAGATTCGCTTTCACCCATCATATCTTCATCCATTTCACCATCTTCTTCTGTTTCGAACATCTGTTGATCTCCATCTTGATCTGCTCTGCTTTTTGAGCTTTGTCCATGTCCTGATAAATGCAGATATGATGTTGATGCACCATTATTGGATGAGAATTGTGATGATGCTGGCGTATGGGATATTTGAAAGGTGGCCATATTTTCACTTCAGTATGATCAAGGCAATAAGTTAAGATTTGAGAAGAAATGTTTTTTAGCGTTTGGATGATCAAAATTTATTAAACGCGTGAACAAGGCTGAATGCAGATCTTAAGCAGAAGTGAGCACGCAATCAGTCTGACGGAAAAACGCACAGACGGTTGAGAGGATTCAAAGTATCGAGAAGAACGTAGGAGAAGAAGATCTTCCCGTTTGCAATCAGAACATTCCTTCCTATCATATCCAACTACACAAAAATGTCTACATCTCGTATCAACGTTGCAATCATCGGCGTCGGCTTGGTCGGCAGTGAGGTAATCTCACAATTGGTAACAGCAGCCAACTTGAAGAAAACATTCGCAATCGTTGCTTTGCAAAACAGCAAAAAGACTCTTTTGATCGATCCAAAATCAGACGGTGCTAATGCTTTGTCTGATTGGAAGACAAAATTAACCAACAGCTCTCAATCTGCTTTGCCTTTGCCGGAACTCACAAGCCATCTGGCTAAATTGGGAAACCATACAGTCGTCGTTGATAATACCTCTAATGATGATGTTGCTTCATTTTACCCAAACTTCCTCAAAGCTGGCTTGAGTGTTGTAACCCCCAACAAAAAGGCATTCTCATCTTCTTTGGAATTATACAAGCAAATCTTACAGGCAGCTGCAACACCTTCGACTTCAACCGGCAAGACACCTTTGTTGTACGGAGAAAGTACAGTTGGTGCCGGTTTGCCAATTCTATCAACATTGAAGGACATCGTTGAAACTGGTGACGAAGTCGTAAAAATTGAAGGTATCTTGAGTGGTACTCTCAGCTACATCTTCAATGAATGGTCAACACCAAAAGGAAGCACTAAGAAATTCTCTGATATCGTCAAAATTGCCAAGGAGCAAGGTTACACTGAACCACATCCAGGAGATGATTTATCGGGTAGTGATGTAGCACGTAAGCTTGCAATTCTTTCCAGATTGATCCCAAGCTTGCGTGACGAACTTCCTCAAGGATACCAGTCCGTAGCCACTCGCAGCCTCACACCCGCTCCTTTGGCTGACGTGAAGGATGGTCAAGAATTCGTGGATAAATTACCACAATTCGATGCAGATTTCGATGCATTGAACTCGGAAGCACAAAAAAACGGAAACGTGTTACGTTACGTTGGTGTGATTGATGTACAAAAGAAGGAGATCAAAGCAAGTTTGGAACAATACCCTGCCACACATCCATTCGCAACCTCATTGCAAGATTCCACTTCAACAGTCGCATTTACCACTAAAAGATTTAATAAATTCCCAATGAGCGTTACTGGAGCAGGTGCAGGTGCTGCCGTTACCGCACATGGTGTCATCTCTGATTTGATCAAAGTTGCTGAAAGACGTTCAACGGAATCTGATCGACCTCTTTGATCGGTATTTGTACCTGCATAGCAAATTTATTGTCGCTGCTAATTGTAAATGCAATGAGTCAAAAAGCAAAGAGATGAATTATCAATAAGCAATACAGTGATGAACGAGAATACAGAGAAAGAATTATTAGGGGCGAATAAAATAATAGTAGGCACCGTACACCGCTTCCCGAAATCCCTGCCATGATCACTTGAATGAGGGGCTTCCATTGTATGAGGTCGTGTTACCGGCAGCGAGAAAATTTTGAAGCATATCCATCTCTGGCATCTGTTGAGCACGTTGATTGGTGGTTGTTGGATGCAATTGAAGATGTTGATGGACATCTGGAGAAATACTAGTATAACCATTAGTAGATTGAGAAGGAGAAATTTTTCGAAAACCACCATCATAAAGTTGTGAAGGTGGATGAGAGTGAGAGAGTGGAACGAGCATTGGTTGATCGGAAGAATATGATGTTGTTGTTGTGATTGTTTGTTGTTGAAGATGCATAGCTGCAAGATTGTCCGAATATGATCTACATGCACCTCCTTCTGGAACTTGTGTATTGATTGGTACTTGTGTTGGGACATATGCAGGTTGAATAGGATACTGTTGTGGTTGCATTGATACTTGCATCATCGGATTCGATCTTCCGGCATGTGTCGTTGGAGGCAATAAAGCCGGACTCTGCATTCCAGTACTTGTTGGCAATGAGGCATACTTCGGCTCACTTTGAGGCATTAAAGGATGACTATAAATGCCATCACTTTGACTACGTTTCTCGTGTGGTTGACTGCCGCCTCCTCGGAACGTCGGTCTTGCGCTTGAACTATACCCAATCTGTTGTAAAGTCAAGGGGGACTCGTACGCATTATGACCTTGTCCACCGTTCCATGGGTTTTGCCATGAAGGCCATGAAGCATTATGCCAATCACGTTTAGTCATTCCTCTGAGCGAGTCATAATGTCCGTCAATATGATGTGCTGATTTTAAGAAGGGGGAGATAAAGTGTGTCAGCGTCTTCAAGTTCTTTTTTTCAATTTTCATCCTGTACTCACAATCCATACGTCTGTAATCAGTCGGGTGCTGAAAATGCTGATGTGTATCATGCGCAGGTAAAGACATTCTACTTCTTCGTTTTGGCTGATAACGATAATTCGGATATTGTTTTTGATGTTCAAGTTTATGTTTAGCTGCCAATTTTGCATAATGTTCTTTTACCTCTTCAGATTCATTTTTCCACATTTGCGAAACCATTCTTGATATTTGTGCTTGTAAGCAATTTGCTCCTCCTCCAGTTTCATCGATTCGATCCACATTTGTAGGTGAAAGAGATTTAACGCATTCTTGCGTGGATGTTGGATGGAGTTCATCTTTCATGAAAGGTCCACCTTGTACAGAAGGGCAATCATAACTTGAAGTACTTGACGAACTTGAAGAAAGATTTCTTGGCTTTTGATGTTTTGAAAGCATGGAAGATTTGCGTTCACGTTGGATTTCACGCATTTTATCCGATCTGTACAAGATCCATGCATTGGGTGGCCTTGGAGGCAAGGCAGAGCGATTTCCCCTCCTTCGTTTGCTGATGTCAAAACTCAATAACGGTTCGGCCATCATTGCGAATAAGTTTCAAGGATTTGTGATTGTAAGAACGATATCAATTGTTTGTTTCTTATGATTGACGATGATTGTGATTGTAGTAAAGAAGAAAGCCAAAAAAGGATGGAGTTGATTGTTTAATCAGGTTCTAGAATATTTTCGAATGCCTTGAATGGGAAATTGTGCATTTCCAAACGATTGATCTTGAAGAGATGACTAAACTGTAAAGAAGGCTCACTTGCATCCATTCGGCATTACTTTGATTAAGTTTTCTGTCCCAGAAACCTCAAGCCGATGAAGGTCCCACTTTGATCATTGTCATGCTTCGTTCGGTGAGTTCTTTATGGTGAAAAGAGGTTGAACTATCAAGCCATGAAATGGATGCAAACAGAGACAACAAGACAATATACACACTTACTTTAACACAATGAACTTGGAATGACAATAGATCTTCGACTTTTGCGGTTCAACGTTTTAGTGTATTCCACATGGATGTTCGGAAAGTAGGGGAGAAATAACAAAAAAAGAGAAAGAAAGTTAACATCACAGTGAAAATGTGCCTTGATACCTTAATTAAGATTTGAACGGTAGAGGTGCACTTCTACGTACATGGCAGACATCACCTTGCATATTTTTACACTTTTATTTTCTCTCTTCTTTTCGGCATCAATCGGGTCCATGTGTTCATGTGCGGTTAAAAGCTTGGCTATTGTGCAACAGTGAGAGGATCACAAGGCCTAGACCTTTAAATCGATTCCTCGGCAATTTAATTCAGTGGCATTGATGTGTTGCATGAAGTCCTACTCATCCATCATTGTGTGTAGAGGAAATGTTAAAGACAGTCATGGAAGAGGTACCAGAAGGTAAGAAATAGAGGAGGGTCAATCGGGAATGATTACACGGTTCATATGCTCGGACGAACTGTTGGATGAAGAAGCTACTTCAACGTTTACTTTAGTTATGAGAAAAAAGGGTTTCATCAATTCGATCGTGGCGGCGGATGAGGGGAAACTGTTGAGATTCACAAAAGGGGCGAACTTTTTGTTGTTTTCGGTAAATCGGGAGTACCGCATATTCTTTTTGACAGGTAAAGTACATCACTTCGTTCGAAAAAGAGAGAATTCACAGTCAATTACCATGACATACATTCAAAACGCTAAAATAGAATCTTGATTTCAGAGTTGCACAGCTCATTCGCACTTTGAGCTTCAAAAAGAAATCAATGAAGCTTTTCCACTGTTCGGATTATTATTTTATATTTTAAGCTTAAGATGCATGATGCAAGTCTAAACCTTATGGTCATTCATCGTGCCGTTAATGTTGAATGTGTATGTGGGGGAGTGATCAAGTGACACTGGCTTCCGATCATCTTCCTCGGAACGTACGTACGGTACACAAGATAAAAAGGTCTAGACCCGATATGTGGGTCGAATTTGTAGGAAGTACGAGACATGCATGCATGGTGAAAAGCAGTGTTCTTTAGTTTTGACTTACCGAGCTTGACAAGGGCGTCAAACGTTCGCGCTAACAAAAAACGTTGAGGCTTTTTCTTACTCAATGACAGTTAAAAGTAAGAATCACAAGGTACTATGCTCTTCACTTCGGCCTTCACTTTTTCCAAACGCACATGAACGCCCACGCACATCTAACGTCTTTTTGCACCTTGAAATCAAGATAGGCAATCTCTTCTTACCGATTCACGATCCGATCGGCAGGGAAAAGGGAGTGTTGTTCTTGTGCAAATGTGCGCATATATGCACATACTTTGGTCATCGTAGAATGTTACTGCAAGTGAGAAACCTGAGAGGAACTTCATATAACATTTTAGTCATAAATTTGCCCAATTTAATGGTAGTCCATCCATCTTTCGCTTCCGCTTCGTCTGAAGATGACTGGACTACCGATCACTAGAGGGCAATAAAGAGATACATTTGAGAAGTATACTGCTCAATCGAAACCGAATAAAGTATCGTTTAGAGTGATAATATCATGACCTTTAAACAGGAGAAGAAGGAGTGGAAAGTGTAAAATTGTCTGATAGCAATAATTCTGTGTTTGATGTCGGTATATCGGGAAACTCTTACAGTCGTTTGGTTGCAAGATTGAAAGACAGAGAAGAAGAGCCATTTCAGTAGTTAAAAGAGATGAAACCTTGCACATTTTCACGCTAATCTCTGTCAAAGTAGCGCGCCAGTCATCGTTGTTGAAATTCTTTTTGAGGCAAATGCTGATTTTCCCATGGATGTACCATGCACACTGCATAAAGGGTCATCATAAGCTCTCTTTTTTGACCGATCATTTCCACGGACATTACTGCAACAGGAAATCACCGGAAACATTATCTTCCGAGGTCATTCTAGGAATAGAAGATGATCATTACATAAGTTCTCCCACGTGAGATTCAAACAATGGTGCAGATATTCTCGTAGAGCAGTAGACTTGGTAATTAGGCTTTTCCTGCTCTCGTCGTTGTGGGCAAGGATGATTGAACAAACCTTGAAGTAATAAGCTTATTGTTGATTGCACTGACTTTCAGGAACAAAAACGCGGAAATCGGGAAATTGAAACGCTAGTGGAGTCATTCATTTTGACTTCCAGAAAAAATGTTTAAATGATTTGACTCTTTCCACATCTGTTCATCTCGCAACCTCCATCTTTCCACAAGATGTCCTTCTCCGACGTTCAACCGATCAAAGATGGTCAGAACCTTCTTTCGATCATGCGAGAAAATTGCAAAAAAGCAAGAATCGCATCTCACATTGAATTAAAAGAAGATGCAATCGATAGCTTCCTACTCAACGTTTTACCTGCAGACCCATCTCCCTCTGAGCTGGGATCTTGGCTTGCTTCTGGATTTAAGCTTCCACTTGCTTATCCATCCTTACATGCAGAAGTGAATGTTCTATGTCATTTGTGCATGTTGAATTCTTTGAGTGGTTATCGAACCGCATTTCATAAAGCATTAGGACAAGGAGCACACAAGACAATCGTACAAATCGTAATGTCACTCTATATTGCCGATCCGGCAGGAGATTCAAGTCGTCCGTTAAGTGCAGAAACATTAGTCTGTCTAACACCAATGATCTTGTTGGACTTACTCGGTTTGCCAACACACGAAGAAAAGAAACATGAATCCTCGCCGGCTGTCGTCATGGGCGTACGCAGAAGGGATGAGATTTATGAAGCATTGGAAACACTATGCATTGCAGCAAACGATACAGGAAAACGATTGATGGAAATGAAATGTCCTGACTTGGGTGTATTTGTGGAAAGAACGATCAAAGAATCGGCTCGGTTAGGAAAAACGGATGAGGAACGTGCCTCTTTGGCTGCCAATACTTTGATCACCGCTTTGCCAGTCTTTAATGACGCATACAATCTACCTCTGAAAAACGGAGAGACGATCCCCGTACACATTCACAAGCGTGCCCTTTTGCTTTTATCTTGGTTGCATTCCGCTTTCTTGTCTGGGGATCAAGGTAAAGCCAACTTCGAGAAACTACCTCTTCCCGATCCGGCCGTCTTGCCAGCTTTCGTTGATAATGTCATTCCATCTTTGTTAGTTCATTTTGGCATAATCGATTTACGAAACGCAAAGCAGAAAGGCTTACAGGAATGGAACGCAACTCTTTCCAACAAACAAAGTCAACCTGTCGAATCAGATTCAGTTCAAGCCGGTACCACACTTACACGGGAAGAAGCATACCTGATCAGAGCATGCAGTGTAGATGCATGTCATGCTATCATGCTTCGTGGCCGTCAACTCGGAAAAGAGAAGAATCGACTATGGTTGGAAGGAATCACTGAAGCATTGATCGACGGCTTCTTATGGACTCAAGCTAAACGACCTGATCTAACAATCGTTCCTCGAATGGTGGAGAAGAAGACATTCATGTACTGAAATGATAAAGTCTATGAAAAATTGTATACTATTGTACAAAAGTGCTACACATGCAATCAAACTATTTTCCAAACTTTTTCAAAGGATCTCCCTTCTTTTTAGGTCCTTGAGGTTTGCCGTTCAAGCGACCACCTCTACCTCTCGTACTAGAACCACCTCTTCCGCCTCTGCCTCCTCTACCACCCCTCTTGTGGAATGTTACATGACTCAATCCTTCCTGGCCATCTTCACGTTTACGTTTCTCCCCGCTATTTTCATCATCTGCAGCATCGCTGTCCAATCTCTTTGCTTGCTGACCTGCACGGATCCGAGGCATAAGATAATGTGGAATATGTTTCAGATGTGATTGAACACGAGTTGGATGTAAGATTTTATCATGACGCAAATAATCCAAATCGGTTGGATTATCTTCAAAATGTGCTTTTAGACGATCAGAATTTAGCATTTCTTGTTTCAATTCTCTTATTCTTGCTTCGCGAATTGCATGTTTTGTAACACTTCTTAATGCATCTTCCATACGATATCGGAATGCTTCAACTTGCTTTCGATCAAAGTGCCAATCTTTTATAGATTGATGTCGTGTTGATTCTTGTTTGACGATTGATTGCCATACTTTTGAATCATTCTCCGTCGTTGGACAAACAAGATGCTTTGAATGCGAAGCTCCCCGCATATCTTGTTCAAACACTTCCTCAGGCACAACAAATGAAAGCGAGGTTCCCGTCTTACCCGCTCTTGCTGTTCGTCCGACTCGATGGGTATATCCTTTTGCTGAAACAGGAAGATCAAAATTTAACACACAAGAAACCGACACGAAATCCACACCACGAGAGACACCATATTCGTTATTCTTCACTTTGCTCCCCGACTTCTTTTTCGCATTCTTTGCCTCGGCGTTGGCATCTTGCTCATCTTCTATTGCTGCTGCGTCTGCACCGAAACGACTTTCATCTGTCGCAATGATATAATCATATACTCCTTTATTGAACTCTTGCACGATGTGATATCTGCTGTTGACCGGAAGCTCTTCGTTCAAAACTGTACTCTTAACACCAAACTGTTCCAAAAACAGCTTCAACCTGTAACATCTGTCGATATCGTTGACGAAGATGATACATTTTCCCCGAATTAGACGCAATCGTAAGATAACATATGTCAATAAGAACTTGTCCGTTGCCGATTGAACTTGAACACAGTATTGTGTTAATGTTGATACCTCTGGATCGGGAATATCCAAGACTGCAGGCTTTTTCAAAACGAGGCCTTTTAATGCTTTCACGTCTTGTGTCATTGTTGCGCTCATACATAGACACTGTATTGATGAACTCAATTTTCCACTCGCCAGCAAAGCTCGTAAAGACTCGTTGTGTCCATAAGACAAGATCAAATCCGCTTCATCAATCGCCAGAGTTTCAACATGTTGCACGTCCAACGATCCGCTATCGACGTGACTGAACGCTTTTGATGGGGTAGAGACAACGATATCAGGTCTTTCAGCGAGGAGGACCTTGTGTACACTTTTTGATGCATCTCGTGCTACATTGACAACCTTGATCTCTTTATCCAAAAACGGTAGCAAAGCGCCTAGCTGTGCAGTCACTTGCTCACTCAACTCTCTTGTAGGAACCAATACAATCGCTCTTGTTACCTGATAGCTCATCTCACTAGGTGAAATAGCTTTCTTTGCCAACAAAATCTTTTGAAGTATTGGCAATCCGTACGAAAGCGTCTTACCACTTCCGGTCCTTGCTCGTGCCAAAATATCCGATCCAGCCAAAGCTAAAGGTAAAACGCTTGCTTGAACAGGTGTCGGATGAGAGAATCCTAGCTTTGCAAGAGCTCGTAGAAGTCGTACATCCAAAAGGTGGGCAACATCCTGGAAACTGGTAGCTGATTTACCCCCATTAGTCGAGCTTCCTTCTCCAACTTTAACCTCATCTTCTACATTGGCGGGTTGAGGGGCGATCGGAACAGCATTTTCGCTTGCTGCAACGATCGAGTCCTCTTCTCCGTTTGTCGACATCTTCGATAGTGCGATTGACTCGAAGGATGTGTTGTTATTCAAGAACAGAAGAAAGTGTTCCTGCAATAAGAACAAATTAAACTCACATTTCCAAAAATTTTGGAAGAGTGTTTGCACGTGAGCATTAAAGCTTAACGCGCTATTCATATTCATTAGGATGTTAGAAAAGCTTCCCATAGAAATGCACGGGGCATAAGAGTTCCAAAAAGATGGTTCCTTTTGCATGATCATGTATCTTGATTGATGGTCAAGATCGAGATGGCAATCAACAGTGCAGAGGTCGCATTGCAATCGATACGAACGGGAATATTGACAAACTTCGAAAGACAGAGCGAATTGCTCATATCGACACGAAAGGATCATTCTCATTCGGATGATTTATTACCTCCCGATCTGGTAGTGGATGTTTTGGCAGAGGGAACTTCAAATATCAAAGCTTACATCGAAGGCGAAATTGGAAAACAGGCAGAAGGAAGTCAAGATGCTATTAGAGATATTGTCAAACGTGATCTTCTATCTGTGGAATGCAAGAGATTCATCTTTGAAGTTTTATCCACTCTATCAACATTAGACGAAGATGAGGTACGACATGGCATTCGACGTCTTTTTGACCGATTCGATATCGTACTAAACCTCGACATTGAAGATGTAATAGAACCAACGTTGATGATGAGCATCCACGAAGATATTCTGGAGCGTTTACCAATCGAATCATGCTCACTACACTTCACATACATCGAGTCTAGAAAAGACCTATTAACCAAAGGTCTCTTGCCGACAAAAGGAAAAGGTCTCACACTCCTACGGATATGCAACGAACTCTTACGACGTCTGTCAAAGCCTATACGGCAGCATACAGTCTTTGCAGGTCGTGTATTGAGTTTGTTGAGTAGCGTCTTACCATCAGGCGAAAGAAGTGGTGTCAACTTTCGAGGTGATTTCAATGTAGACAACAAGACTACAATAGATGATGTCGCGATTGAAGAGAACGAAGACGAAGATGCAGCCCAAACAAAGGCAGGCGAGAATGAGGAAGATCAAGAGGATACTACACTGCCAAGCAAGGGCAAAAAATCGGAAAGTAAGCAAAGCAAAGAAGAACGTAAAGCTGCCGAAGCCAAAGCGCAGCGGGAAGCTGATGAAATTTTAGCCCAGTCACATTCTGATCCACGATTCTATGCAATGTTCTGGTCAGCGCAAAAATGGTTTGCCAATCCCACTTTACTCTTCCATGCTCTAACGGCAGATCAGGCGGCTGAAGAGGATGACATCGTATTACCCCGAAATGTCAAAGATCCAGCTCCAGAAGGCAGCAAGGGTCCGGTGAAGAACTTTCGTATCGTTACAAGGGCCATATTGAACGTATTCGCTGCTGTTGGGCGTATAGAGAAAGAACTGTCGGGAAAATCGATAATAGAAGAACGGAAACGAGTGTTAGATCAAGCCACAGCTGATGCAGCTCAAGCCCCTGATGCAGGACATAACGTCAGTGTCAGACAATCAAAGAAAGAAGACGCTGTCGATCCAGCAAACGATGATGGCTTTTTCCCGAAATATCTGACAGGTCAGAACCTTTTCGAGTATGAGATCCGAGATGCAAGTTTCAGAAGGCACATTCTGGTCCAATTCCTCATTCTTCTGCAGTTCATGTTGGGCTTCACCACCCAGAATAAGGAAAAGATGGAAAAGTACAAGAACAAACCGCTTCTCAATATGCTCAATTCTTCAAACTTCACCTTGGACGAAACCGATGAGCGATGGATTCACGAGATATGGAAAGATATCATTTCAACCCTGAATAGCATTCCACCGAATGGAAAAGCATACAGCGATGCTATTGTATTGGTATTGACCCGAGAGGTAAATTGGTTGAGATGGAAAGCGGAAGATTGTCGTCCAATCGATCGTGCTTCACTAACGAAAGAAGAATTGCAAGCATACACAAAAGCGTTCAAGACCTTTTCTCAACCTTTGAGACCTTATCCGCATTCTGTTGGAACAGCAGCTCTGTCCCGCCTTTGGGAAGATGGAGTGAGTAAACCTGAACCACAAATTCGAAAGATGGAGAATGCTGAGGGATTCGAAGTGGAAGTTAAAACCGATGGTTTGGATGAGCTTGAGATGGGACCTAGAATTCCTTCTCTCGAGCAATATGCATCACAAATCGCACAAAACGAACAAAAGGCAAAACGCAGAAGGGAAGATCTGGGCTACGAGCAACCGTTGCATTATGTTCTTTCTGTCTCCGTCCCGGCCGAGCAAAGAAAGAAGGAGGGTGAGAGAATCATAAAGGAAGAGAATGATTCCACTTTGGCAGATTTGGAACAAAGACGTAGTGTGCTTGCGTGGCGTGCGATGAGGATGGCAAGAACAACCAATTTAGGCTCATTGGGAAAGATGCGTTGTGAGATGCCAGATGGTTCTACAACTATTGGACCTCGTGTTGATGACGTTACTCGATTGATGCAAGCCATTTCGGATAAGGAAAACGGCATACCCGCATTGCCAACGCCTGCACCGAAAAAGGAAGAAGATGAGACTATGAAAGTTGATGAAAAGGCTGAACAATCAGCTGAACAAACAGTTGAAAATGTTGCAGCGGCGGAAGGAGAAGAAAAAGCAAACGAAGCTGAAGGAGAAGAGAAGGCAAAGGAAGAGGAAGGAGAAGAGGCTACAGCTGACTCGCCAGAGTATGAACCTGAAGAGAATGCAACCTTTCCGCTCGAAGGGGAGACATCCTTGGAAGTTACCGCGACCGAGACTGCAGACACAGCAATGAAAGGTGAAGAAACACCGAAAGCAGCGGTAGATGACCAAGAACAAGCATCAGACGCCCAGGAACAAGATACAAACACCGGCGAACAGGAAGGCGAAGATACCAAGATGGAGGAATGAAGAGAGATCTATTAGCATATGTATATTATTCAAGTAGCATTTTGCGATACTAGAAAATATGAAATTGCATCCGTCAGGACAAGCTGAAGTAAAATGAAAGCAACAGATATACAGACGAAGATGTATGAATGAAAGCAGGTAAAGCCTGCTAAAAATCGATATGCTCTCTTGCAGAATTGATGGCTTTCTCTAGAGCTTCTGCTGGTTGTTGCAATGCGCCGCCAGCAGATGAAGCCGAATTGGCAGAAGGGTTGAGCGAATCGAAAGCTTGACGTAGGAAATTATACTTTTGTCCTCCAACCAATAAGATGATCCAATATACCGCAACAAAGATTGCCAAGCTGACCGTTCCAGGTGAATTTGCCAATGCTTCGCTTAAGCCGAAACTCTTTGCTGATTCTCCTTTCTTCCACCTTGACCATGTTTCATCTCTTTGATCTCTGTGTAAACGTGCCATTCTCACGTTCCAATCCAACATCTTTTGCTTTTCAATATGGTAGATACACACCGTTGGAGCAGCGATGATGTTGAGCTTACTTGCTAAGTGGACACGAGAGAATGGGCGTAAGTAAGCTTCTCCAGATGTATCGGTCTTTGATAGTGATTCATCGATATCGAACTCTTGTGCCAATAAGAAGTTCTCATTATTGAACAAAGGCGGTAAAGGCTCATCGTCCGTTCCTGCAGAAGGTGATGTTGAATTTGCTGTACTGGGAGAAGGCAAAGAACTTCCATCGTTCCAAACCATCGAAACCCATGGTTGTCCCTTCACTCCAGCTTTATACCATTGTTCATCCACATCCACACTAACGTAAATCACCTTGAATTCTCGTTGATGTTCTCTTGCAAATTCGCTAATGGTATTATGGTATTCCTTGAGCGGTTGTCCGGCCCATTGACTACTGAAATAAAAAGCTACGATCTTGACGCCATCAAAGAATTCTTTCAGATTGATCGCATGTCCCTTGTCGTCTACCAATCTTAATCTTCTTAGAAGTGGATCGGGATGTTGATAGTGAGATTGAGGTGGTAGTTTCTTATGATTTGTATCTGCCTTCAATGCAGGTTTCAATATACCGCTCGTATTTCCAACTGCACCGGTCGATGAGCCTGAAGGTGTCATGCTTACTGAGCCCGGGGGCAAACCTTCCACTGCTTCTCCTGCACCTGTCGAAGAACCAGAAGCCACTCTTCTTGATGAACCTGATGCATTGTTCTGACTTTGTATCTGTGATGATGATGAACTTTCTCCACCTTTTGCTGTTTGATCTAAAATCGTTGGAACGTTTCCGTTTGGCGGTGATGAAATTGAAGGAGGTCCAAATGAAACACTTCTCCGAGCAGCAGGTGCAGTATTTGTGGAAGGTTTTAGTAATTCTCCTTCCTGTGACATTTTTGACTTGATTGATTATGATGGTAATAATGATGACAATCAATCAATCAATGTTACATTCATATTCAACGGCAAGATACGAGTTTCGATTGGCAACAAACGCGCTGCCTTGCCTTTCTGCGCACGGAGCGCAAACAAGTTTTTGCCGCATCAGAGCTGGACTCTTAGGCCCGTTGTTGGACATGCAAATTGTTTCAGCTCAAGAGAAGATCCGAGAAATAGAGAAAAGATCATCAATTGCTCAGAATGGCTTGGATATCAGAGAGGTACATTCATTTCTACATTGGAGTGTATAAAGCAGTTCCGTTGTTGGTTTGCTTTTTAAGGAAAAGATTAGGATTTTTAAGAAGGTATTGATTGTTTTGAGTGTGTAGTGCTTTATGGCTTGGGAACACGTAGCGTTTTACTGATCATCAAAATAGCCCAAACACCAAACAATAAGCTCAACGTATGAACTTCCAAATTTGCAAAAGATGCAATCGTATCAACAACATCCTTGTGTTGTCGTAGGAAGCTAAAGCCGTTCAAATAATTTGTAACGTATTGTGTACCATCAACTCCCAATGTTCCCAACGGAACACCTCGTCCCAAATTCGCACCGGGAATCACTTCTCTCAAACTGGCGGTGAAAGTCAAGCCTTTCCCTGCCAATGCACCACGCTCTTTGGCTAACACGATCGGCAAACCTCCTGGTTCAACACGACCGGCAAGTAAGCAGATTGCCATTCCACCGACCAAAACCAAGGAAGAAGGAATGGGTAATCCTTCGAAATATTGTGCTTTTCCTTTTGCATCGTGTGGAACGGAAGCCGTTGTGACGTTGAATCTGGCTAATCTTGCAATTCCGGCACAGACAAACAAAGTCAACAACAGAGTATCCAGCGGTAAGCGCAATCCAAGAGCGAATGCAGCAAATGCGGGTGCAGCACCAAAAGATAACGAATCAGCCAAACTGTCTAATTCTTGTCCTAACATACTGCTACTGTTGCGCCATCTAGCCACTTTTCCGTCTAATAGATCAAAAATTGCTCCAAATAGAGGGAACCACAAAGCCGACCACGCATGACGAGGATCAGATGATGTCAAATAACGACCAGAAGCAAACAAAGATTGAGCGCCACAAAAGCCGTTCATCAGCGTGAAAGCATCAGCCAAATGGAAATTTCTTACCAAGCTAAAATGACCATTTGTTTCGATAAATTTGATCAATTCGGCATGATTTCCTTCTTGTCCATCATTTGCAGTCTTGCCGCCGCCAGAAGATGATTTGCCTTTGGACTTTTTAGATGCACCGCTCACGTTTGCGGGATTTGTTTTTGGTTGAGCCATTGCTTTTGCAGGACTGTTACTGGGTGCTAAACTTGAAGTTTGTGCTCCAGATGCGGTTAATTGAGCAGCTCCAGGAGATGCGACGCCGGCAGTAGGATGACCGGCAGGAACGGAAGTTACGAGTAATGAATGTTTTGAAAGATCAGAGCTTAAAGCTGCTTTACTATTTGATTCTTGTGGTTGTGGTTGAGAAGCAGAAGAAGCGATTGGTGATTGTGCAGAAAGTGGAGCAGGTGCGTTTGCAATTGAAGTAACAAGGATTGGATCTGTTGCTTTTGGCACTGTTCCTGGCATACTATGTTTGAACGTAATAAAATGAGAAAAAGACGATACTTTTTTCTATGATCAAGTCAAGAATGATCAATTTACCGTCGATCGATTCAAAACTTAATGCTACTTGATAATGATGGTCACAAAGTTCAAAAAGCGTCACAGACAAAAAGAAGATTTACCTCTCACGCACGTACAATACAATACACTACATCTCAACTAAAAAATACTACGCGTTTCCATCCTAAAACATCATGGCGCACAAAGCAAGTCTCCTGATTCGTCAAGTGAAGTTGAAGTGCACGGAGCACAGCCTGGCACTCACACGCTGCTGGTTCAGCGATGCTCTTAGCTTCTTCTGCTTTTTTTCTCCTCTCAACACCGCCTCGCGCTTTTACCACTCACTGACAGGAGATGTCATACTTAATTAAAGTGGAGTCCAAAAGAAACACTTTTCTCCGCACGTGTCTTCATCAAGCAAACGTGCTTTTCCTTCTTGGCCAAAAAATGATAGCGCTCATTAATGATCATGAAATGAATTGATGTCTGAATGTGTGTATACAAAAAGTGAGGTGTACATGAATGGAGAGTGTTGTTCGTCAAATTGCTTGAATGCTTTACACATGAACGGGGAGGAGAAGAGAATAAGAGGTGAAATCTAGAATAGTATAGTTATAAAATCATAGCATGGATTTGTGCGTGTATCGATCATGATAAATGGAAACTTGCTTGACCTTCACGCATGGCCAATGATAGACGTTCTTTCATAATCGATCGTGTACTGAATGGAGGCATTTTGCAGAAATTGACACAAGTCATCACACTTGGCAATGTTTGATCGGCAATTTGATTGGAATCAGGTGTACGCTTGACGATTGTCAAATGAGGATGAAGACCGGCAAATCCACCGATGGGCAATTTTGGTGATCCTGTTAACCATTGTAAGAAATCACGTCTTTCAACCGGAGTGAATGTCGACATGACTGAAATCACATCTCTGAACGTTTGACTGTCAACGTTGTATCCATGATCTGGCTTCACGCTGCTCAACAATGTTGATTCGCTCCAGTCTTCTTCTTGATTTCCAAACAACATAACAACCTCTTCTGGGGTGAACGTAGACATAGCATTGATCGGGAAGATCAAATTGAATCCTTCGCGGAAAGCACGTACCAAAGGCTTGACTCCAGTATTGAGCGTGTGAGTAATCACTTCTTCGATGTATGATGAAACATTTGTAGAATCAACTTGCTCATCTTTACCGCCTGCGTGCAATTCGTAATCAGCATATCCTGGAAGTGTGAAATCCAAAGATAGACTTTCCAATTCATCAGCTTGCATTGATTGAATCTTATCCAACGATTGAGCCAATGTTGGGTCAACCTGTCGTAACATATCCAACGTATTTGGCACGCATTCGTTCAAGACAAGACGCATAAACATCGTTGACAAGTTCAAATCAACGATGCGAGAATCAAACAAGGCCTTTGCAACGAATTGACCCATGATCTTGAACGCATGTGCTCTTGATTTACCCACTGGTCCGCTGCTTTCGGCATTGACGTCATCTTGGCCACATGGTGCAGGGAATAGACCAGTTGTAGAGTAAACGTATTCGCTTTCGCCACTTCTTCCTTCGTCCGATCGCCACATGTGCGTTGACTTTTTAGCGAATTCTCTGCTAACCATTGCGTAGAATTCTAGAGTAGGTCCTAATCCTGTTCCCACTTCATCAAAGTACTCAACCTCGAGCAGAGATGAATTGGTCCCGTACAGCTCAAACACCTTGAAAGCAGATGCTAGGATGTTGCTACGTGAAATTCGAACCTTTTGACGAGTAAGTCTACCCAACAAAGCCAAAGAGTCATCGTGACGAGCAGAAGAAGAATTTGAACCATCTTGATTACGCGATTGCTGTGTTTGCCAGCGATTGATCAAACGATGATAACCGAAAGAAGTGCTTTGTAAGAATGCGTAGCGAGCTTCGAACGGGAACAAGAATGGGAACGCTCTAGGCAGATCCAATGACCATTGTGGCATGCAGTTGCTTGCAACGATCATCGGTTCTTCCAACTGCCTATTCAACTTCGCAGTCAATTTGTTGTTCACAAATGCAGCTTCATTCAATGCATTTATTGCTCGATGATTGTTGAGTCTTCTCCATTCGCTCGTCTCTTTCCAACGACGATTCAAGTTGTACAGTACTCTCAACAAGAGCAAAATAGAAGCATAGGTTGCTTTTGGCGAGATGGAATCGGGCAAGGTTGTGAGCTCTAAAGGATCCACTGATGGATCTGGGGTAGCACGTTCCTTCTCTTCTTCATCCGGAGAAGGACCTGACACTTTGCGGTATTTGACTGTGTACGTATTTGCCCAAATATGCCTGCCAGCAGAAGCAGCTGCATTGGCTGGTTTGTTTCGCATCTCATGCTTGTGAATTGCACTATAGATCGTTGATGCTAGAGAAACCTTTTCTCCGTCCATTTCAAACTGCAAGTGCCAGTCGACAGGTTTCTTCTGCAAAGCATTGGCGTATGAAATCTTCCCGGAAGACGAAGAGGCTGCAGCTTTGGAAGGTGACGAACTGTTGTCCGATGATGGAGCAGACTTGGACAGGATCGCACTTGAATCGGCTTTGCTTGACTTCTTTGTCTCACCGTCTTGTGCAACCTCAAGCTGAACTGTTTCATCTCCGTTTCCGGCATTGATCGAAGTAGGGTCAAGACCAGACATATCCTCATCTTCCACAAGTTCCTCATCATATTCATCGTCGGAAAATGCCTCACCTCCTTCTAGGCCTTCCATATCGCCTAGAATATCTTCAACAAACTTCCTTGTCATAGTCTCTTCCGGTGATTCTTCAGTCTCGCCTTCTTTTTCTTCTACTTTCGAATCTTCGTCCTTGGCTTTTGACTTTTCATCATCGGCAGAGGATTTGCCACTAAGTCTTGAGCTTCGACGTCTTGAACTTTTATTTGCTTCCTTGCCAGTAGCGTTACTTGTGCTGCCTGAACTTTCGCCTTCCCCGATTTCCAATCGCGCACGGGAAGTAGAAGAAGGTCTGCCAGTGGAAGAGGCCGTTGCAGCAGCTCGCAAACTTTCTCGGAACGCTTCCGTGAGTTCAATACCAGCGTTGGAGGCCAAAGATTCCAGCATTGTCGATAAGCCTGACGAAGGACCAGGCGCTGAGCTACTACTTGCTCCAAACATAGACTGTGAAGCAGCAATCTTTGGTCGTAGATGATCGTGCAAAGATTGGAAAGATGTGATTGCATGGATGGAGACCACAATATTTGTGCACGTCCGTGGTATGTCACCAGCATCAGATCCTTCCGCAATCAATTTCAATCGAACTTGTCTTGCCACATTTGCCGTTGGACTTCTCTTCATCTCTTCGCTATTGTAGATCGCCGTCGTGATCTCCATATCTTCTAGTCTGCTTAATGTTTCTTGTAGTTTACGTACAAGCACAGCAGCTGCAGATGGCTTCGACGGATCGATAGGATTTTGCATAATTGCCTCCGTGAGCAGTCTTTCCCGAACATTTTTGGGCATTGCGTTTTGATCGCCATTCACAAAAGCGCACAAGCCATCGACCAAACCAGATCGTAGCAGCTCAAAGCTAGAAATTGGATTTTCAGACTTGCAAAAGAGATCCGTGATGCTTTTGAGCGTAGACTTTGCATTGTCTTCATCCTCCTCCTGTTTAAGAGTTTCGACCAAGTCTGTGATATCGTTCAAAGCACGTCCTGCTTCATCAGCGCCACCAGCACTAGCTTTTGAAGCTTGAGGTGATAATGAATCACACAATACTCGAGCTCTCCAGATGTTAGAATCTGCAGCGTCTGTTGCTGACATCAATTGTCCGCCTACTGTAGCCATGCCTGGTGGAGCGGTCGAGACAGTTGAACGTGATTGATTGGATGGAATGATTCGAGATGAAATCGTACCAGCTTGCATACTGTTTGAGATTGCCAAAAGACGTGACAAGTTAGAAGAGGGTAAAGCGATGGACGGTAAACGGGATTCACCGTCACGTGTGGTGGAGATCTCGAGTGGTGCTGCTGGATCACTGGCGTGACCGCTCGTTTCAGCGCTTTGCTCGCCATTTTGCTCCTTGCTCTTCTCTCTTCCTTCTTTGCCTTTACCGGTTGGCTCTTTGGAGGCAATATCCTCAATCTCCCACATCACACCTTCACGTCGTAACAGGGAACTGTAAACGTTGGGAAGCTTGGTTGTTAGAAGCTCAACGAGTTGCAATGCACCTTGGACGAGCATCGCGTGGTCTCTGCTGGAAAGGATAGAAGCAACAAAGCTTGCAAGAGGTACATTATCGAGTGCTTGCAACAATGGCTCATTTTCCACAAAGCTTACGATCTTGAGAATACCATACAATGCCTTACTTCTCACGCTCCATCCAACACTTGCAGCATAAACCTCTACCAATGTTGGTAGAACGAGTTGGGTGAAACGTTTGACCAATGCTTGCTTCTCTCGTAATGCCGCAATTCTTCTTGATTGAGCCTTCTCTCTGCTCAACTCTCGCTCTGATTTCACTCTCTCAGGTTTTACAACAGCTTGGGAGGGAGAATTTTGTGCATTCGAACGATCGCCACTTTCGTCGGCCGCGGCGGCCGATTGAGACTTGCTTCGCGATTCTGGAGAAGATGTTGAGCTGAAATCACTGTTGCGCTTTTCCAGCTTTTGTGCTTTCGCTTTGCGTCGATTGTAAGCCTTTTCGGTGTATTGCCTCGAATCGAAAACACCATCCCGTGGCAAAGGTGGCAAAAGTTCAGCGACCAAAGAGAGTGCTTCTTGTACTTGCTCTTTGGGTCTTTGTGCTAAATTTTGCAAGATTGCAACATCTGCAATTGCCACATTTTCCGAACCATCAGAATTGACAACAGCAAAAGCTGCGCCCGCATTGTCCTCCACAGACTCAGATTCCTTCTTGGCATTCATGTTGGCAGCAGGTCCGCGGCCATCACCTCCATCTTCCGATGGTGCTGAAGAGCCAGTCAAGAGCACGTAAAGTGTTTCGACGATGTTGTTCTCGAGTAAAGTGACAGCCACAGACGGACTGACACGAGCTGCGGTTCCAAGGCCTTTCAAGATATCAGTGTAGATAGTCGTACTGATTGTCGTACTGCTGGACGATGTAGTTGACCCTGGCAATAAGACAGCATTGATAGAACCAACGACGCCGTCATCCAGTAGTTGCTCAAGCAGGTCTGTATGATGACGGTAGCTGTCAATCAAACGCACTACACATCTGCATGCTGATTCAACCAAGCGTTGATCGCTGTAAGACAAGACGTTCTTGATGATTGGCATCACATCTTTGGCTTTATCAAATTGCTCAGGACTTAGACGCCTGCAACAATTAGAAGCGGCATTCATGGCAGTACGTTGAACGTGAATGTTGAAAAAGTCCAGATATTGAAGCATAGCAGAAAGACCACCTTCTCGGACGATAGCAGATGGGAATTCGTTGGAAATCTTTTCCATCGTTTGTAAAACTTGCTCAGCCAAGTCAATGAACTCGATTTGAACCAATTTTGCATTTAGGACTGGAACAGCTCCATGAGAGACGACACTATGTGCAGCATAAGGCATGGCCTCGATCAAGTTAGCCAAACACCTGCATGCCAACAGCATCGTTTCACTGTTGTCTTCCAATGCGAGAGCAGCTGCCAAAGAATCTTCCTCTTCTTCTCTTTCGATCTCCTCCTTTGACTTCTCCTTTGTTGTCATTGTTCGGGTAGGCTTTGGTCCACCCATCAAGTAGATCAATTCACCCACAAATGATTCCGTAGGAAAGTATCCTGCCAATGTGTCTTCATTTGAAATACTCAAAACTTCCGACAATTCTTGCAATGCAACCAATTGGGCTGTAGGATCTCTTCGATCACGAAGCGAGTTCAGAAGGGTACGGAATCTTCCGGCAAGACCAGTCATATAGCCTGCCATGGCTCGAATATGACCTCCAAAGCCACCTCCATCATCGCCGTCACCGTAAGGATCATCTGGGTCTTCATCGAACTGATCTGGATCATCTTCTTCGTCCTCATAGTCATCTTCATTGTCTAAAGCTTCATCTCCTTCTTCGTCTTCGTTGTCTTCCTCATCCTCTTCTTCATGGTCTATATTGTCAATCTCATTTGATTCGACAAGAGTGTCACGTTCAACTTCTCCTTCGTCATCTATTCCTTCGTTGATATCCTCTTCTTCGTCCGTCTCTGTATGAACACTGAAGCTATTAGCAGCTCGGAACCCGTCGTCTTCATCCATGTGATTAGTTGAGGGACCGCAGGGCTGATCCAGGTCAACCAAGCGAGTAGACGAAGTGGCTCCACTAGCAGATCTGCTTTTGCTACGAGAAGTATTACTGCCCGTTGAAGTGCGTGACTTTGAAGGACCAGAGGAGGCAGAAGAGGGATGTTGTTTCTTCTGCACCATACTGTCCTTTTTTGTACGTGGATTCGAACGACGAATGACGCTGCTCGACGAGGTATCTTCTGAGCTTTTTGCACGCTTACTTGGTGGAAGCTCTGCTGTAGGACTCTCGCTGCGAAGCGCACTTCTCTTCTTTGTAGATGCTTTTGAGCTTGTTGGAGAACGTTTGGTGGAAGGAATGATGTCTTTTTCTTTTCCTTTACCCTTACTTTTCTTCTTTGTCGATTGTGCTCTTACTCCACTTAGAGGATCAGCGATCGGTAAGTCGCGCAAAGCAGTTGCCACCAATCCGTCGTTTGATGTCTTTGCTCGTTTTGACCCCCTCCGAGTCGAGGTCGACGAGGATGTCTGAGCTTGGTGTGATGAGACGGACACGTTTGTCGAGATCGAATGAGCAGTAGCGGGTGTGGCAGGAGCCGAAAATGGAGAATGCCCGCGCTGACTGGCTGTTGAGGAAGCTTGATCACTCGTCGAGGTAGATTGACGGATATGTCTTCGACCAGAGAGAGCAGTGTTGGCCGATCTGTTTGCACTGCTTCCCGGATTGGTAGTAGATAGATCTACTGCTGGGCCCAAAGGATTTGTACTTTGCGTATTGCTTTGACTTGCAGAGTTCGTTTGATCTTTTGCAAGCTTTGAAGCACTTCTCAAGCTGCTTCTTCGCGATTCAGTGATCTGATCAGTGGATTCAGATGCTTTGCGTTTGCCACTAGATGGACCAGAGATGTTCTTTTGGGTAGGTTGAGGTACACTTGATCGAGTTTTGTCTTTTTGTCGAGATTGACCTTGATCAGATGTAGAAGTTTGCGATGTTTGTTGAATGAGTGAAGGTGTCTTTTGGGAATGTATGCGTGGACTCTTCTTTTTACCGTCGTTCTCCATGAGACTTTTTGTTTGTCCCCTCTTTTGCGAATGCACACGATTTCAAGGAAAAAAAAGGTTACTCAAATGTGCGCCAAAAGTGTTTGAAATCTCTGAGGCATATGAAGGCAAGCTCATCTGTCCACACTGTGATCATCAAGATCAACTAGAAGTGTCAGTATGATGGTTGTGAAATTGAACTCTTCAGTCAAACTTACAATTTGTTTCAAGGGTACTCTTGTTTCTCTCCGCTCATGCAGGTTGAAATGAAATGAGATCTTTCACTTTGAAGCAGGCTGTCTCTCTTGCTCAGCACGTTTCTTCTTGCCACTAACAGTCACTCCCTCTTTCAGACGAAGCAAGATGAGTAATGCAGGAACGATTATTGAAAGTGCATCAGCTTGCTTGAATGGCGTCAAAAAGAAAAGATGTTGGAGGCGTAAAGATTGTTGTCGTTCTCTCTTGTTCTTTTGCTACAAGAAATGAATGGCGTAAATCCCAAATCGTAAAACGGTGATGGTGGTTGTGTTGTTTGATTGCTTTACACGAATAGTCGGCTGATTTGACTTGCAGACACACATACACATACACTCCAATACAAAAGTAATAAAAAATCCTTTCTTTAATCACCCTTATGGAGGATTAGTGTAATATTATTATCTGCACACCCTACACACACATACATACAGTATCAATATAATCATTTGCTCAATTTTGAACCCCCTCTTTAGCTCTCGCGCTTTGGCTCTTTTTGTTACTTTGAGTGTGCAAAGACAGGGAAATCCGGCTATTCATATCCAACACGAACCAAGCCCAAATGACACAATTTAGGGTCAGGGCGGGCGCACACCTTTGGACAAGCAAAAGGGCAGGCAGAGCAAGGCACGCACGCACACACACGCACGCAAGCCTAGTAAGCCGTTCGTCGCCCTCTGTCCGCCCTTTGTCATTTGACGGCGTACACACACTACAACAAATCCAGCACGCTAATAACCGCTCCCTCGCCTGACCAGATCATACCTGCGAACAACCGCGAACGGCAGGAACCGTTGAGGTACACCGAATAAGCAATAATTTAATGGCGATCACTAAGATTAACAATTGATTAACATACAATACATACAAATTGATCTATGGCTATTCATACATTTCATTGTATTTTCTACATTTCACCATCGCATATCTACATCAACAACACTATCAAAGTTATCCGCAATTGTTTTACGCTTTCTGTCGATAACAGATTCTCCTGGTTCGGCCAAAAGATCTGTTAAAACTTCATTGAGCGTTGGACATAAGATATCATTCTCACTTGCAATTTGCATTAAATCATCTTCCACATCCACCAAGCTGTCCATGATTCTTTTGGCCGCTGCGATCGTCCATTGACCGGTAGAAGAATCTGCGACACCATTCATAGTAACATCTTCATTATGTCTTTCTGCTTCTTTGGTTGTGGGCGGTAGAGGTAATCCGAACCGATCGCTTAGCTTGGTCAAATCTTCAACATCCTCTTCATCACTTACATCTCCATCAGCGCGCGTTCGTTCTTGTCGTAGTCCAGCTTTCATCAATACATTAGCTGCATTCCTGGCAAGAGTGCGTAAGATCAAAGCGGCCGTTGAAGCAACTCCAATTGGTTTTTGAGTATTCGGATCCATCGGCGTACGTGTGACGTGAAAAGTGAGGTAATCAGGCAGATCGACCGTTCCCCTGGTTGGTAAATTGAGCTTTTTTCGTCTGATTGCATCCAACCTTTCTTGTTCAATCTTACGCCATTCACTTTGTACGAAATCATTTGGTGACATTGCTGAAAGCCCCGTGATCGATCTGGCTCCGTTTGGCATTGTTGTGATGGAAATTGGATCACTTTTCATCGAACTCTTTTGTCGAACTTCATGAAGGTATTGAGCTCGTTGCAACGCAGTATCGCGTTCTTGCTGTTCTTCATCAGTGTCTGGTACGTGTGTCAATGCATGCTTGTGTAGATGTTTTGATGGATCTTTGATTTTCTCGGGCACTTCATACGTGCAGAATGCCCATTGACAACGTTTTGCATCACTTTCAACAATGTGTTTTCGAACATGTGTTTCTACTGCTGCATATGTGTCTGTTTCAGATTGATTGCAACCTTTCCAACGACATTCAAACTTTGATGCGAGTTGGAGCTCTCTCGGCTGAACGCCTCTTACGATAAAGCGCTTGTCGGGTAAGACCATTGCGAGTGCACCAGGAAAGATGTTTGAAACTGCTCTGATCACTTCTGCTGCAGGGAGCAAAGGTGGACCGCCCAATTGCGAGTAAGGACCAAATTGAGAGCTGTACGTTGTCCAAAATTCCATTTGCGTCACTTCACCATCTTCCTTTGCTTCGTAGATGGTACGCATCCAAGTTCGCAGGCGTTCAGGCTCCCGTAAATCTTTTTGTTTTAGCCATTCTTCTTTGTTCAATCTGCGTTGACGATCTTTAGGTTCACCTTCACGACCTTTCTTGCGAAGTCGAAGAATTTCGTCTTTCTCTCTTCTTCTACTGTTCACCGCACTCGGAATATGACCATGCAATGCAGGATGAAGAACCAATTGATGTACTCTATCCCATACGACACGACCGTAAATCAAATCGCGAGCCAAATAGCGAACGATCGAACGCACATCACCAATGCTACGGCCATATTCTTCGTCCGCATAAGCATCCTTGTAGCCCGTTCCCAAAAATAGAGGTGATGGTCCCTTACCGTCTGCAGTCGTTTCAAGGGTGGCAGCACCAAGGCGTAACGAATTATCAGATAAATTAATGATCTGGAAGAGACAATCCAAGGCAGAATCCAGCAAAGCAAGATCATGTGTAAGCGGTAGAAGCGATAGACATTTACGCAAAATGCCTGGACTTGATACCCTTTTGATTGGTCCAGGTTCACCGGTATTCACAGTTGGTATATCCACTTCTAAGAACACCTTCTCGTTCCGTTCATCTGCTGCAAGTGCACCCAAGCATCGAAGACATCCGATCAAAACTGAACGATCATCAGTGGTGTGCAACTGCCAAACCAAAAGGCTGAAAAGATGATCGGAAACATGCACAGCTGTAGATCTCTTGATATTTGCGGCTGTGTCTGCTCCATCTTCTTTGCTAAGTGATTCAGCTTCTGCAGAAGCTGCTTCGACTAAATCGGAAAAGGATGGCTGTTTGATTGGTACGCCATGTTGATCGAATTGCACGGCAGCTCGTCTTCTGACATGGATTCGGGTTCTGGTTACTTCCAAAATGTCAAGGGCATATACACGAGTCTCATGCATACCCAGCTGCTCGTTCCATTCTTGTGGACCTGCATAGGATGGCACATTCTGCGGTGCAGCGAGGATATTGCAAATGATAGCATTTAGCGGTCTTGAGTGTTGTAGGAACACCTTTTCGTTCCGGTCGAATAGGGAAGCATTACGCAGCACCAACAAAGCAGAAACGGCATAGTCGAGTATTCTCTGATGAGAGGCAAGAATGTGAGGCTGAAATTTGACAGGATTAAATTTGACTAATTGTCCTCCTTTGTTGCTCATACCTTCGCCATCACTATCACTGCCATCGTCCTCATCGCTTTCAGCCGAACTTGACCCATACACCACGCCAAGTCCATCATATTCGCGTTCGGGCTGCTCCCAATACTGCGGGTCCCAAAGCTGAGCATTGTCTCCATTGGTTGCATAAACAAGTCTTTTGGGAAATTGCATCAAAGCTTCAAGCAAGCCAGGAAATTGATCCAAAATAAGCGAATCAACATTGTGCATTGAAGTGAATGTTAAGCGTGAGAGAGCCCATGAGATGTGTGATGGAATTCCACTTTTGAGAGAAAGCAACAATCGATTGTTTGGTCCGGGTGCAAGATATGTTGGCTCTTTACCGTCTAATGGATGCCTAGGTCTCTGCGACATTCCATTTTGTGCATGAGCAAGCATTTGACGTGGAACCGGAGAGGGTCCTGCATGAGGCGGTAGAGAATTGCTTTGATTGGGATGTTGTATGTGTGAATGATGTTGCGGTGGAGCACGATGAAGTTGAGGAGAGGAGGTATAAGTAGGTGTAGGGGATGAATTTGAAGGCTTCTTGGCCGTGTTTACAGGTGGGCCTTGACCCATCCTTCTTCCTAACGCCAATGGCGGTCTACCTCTACCTCTGTAGGCCGGATGCAGATGAGGAGGAACGTATGGCTCTGCTGCACCACTGCTATTGCCTCCTGCTGCTGCACCATTCTGATTGGACACGTTTGGTAATTGAGCCCATTGACGAGGTGTAGAAGGTGAAGTGGATGCAGCCGGAGGACTGCCAGCGTTACGATTTAGACGTGGTCTACCTGGACCTCTCTTGATGGGCGGAGAAGATGCATCGCGTGTTGGACTATCGTCAATGTTTTGCATCGTGATCCGAGCAGTTCAAGTTGAGAGGTTGAGCAAGATGACGTCTCTTTGTCTGTGATATTATTATTGAATGTGGAAATGTGACGATTTCCTTTTGAGTCTTGCTTTCCAGCTCAAGGTTTCGCTCAATATGTGTTTGAAATCCTTATGCGTTCTCCATGCCCTTTCCTTCCTTCTCGAACCTTAATCTTAGGATGATGATGGGTGGATTAGCATTGGTGGATGGAGTCCTTCTCGAGTTTAATGAGAAGGAAAATTATTTCATGCGACGCGTCGAGAACAACGCCAAGGGAGAGAGAGAGAGAGGGGGGCTCAGGCGCGGAGTTGTATATAAAGGCGTGAGTAGGGGCTATATTGAAGGCGTATACAGTATGCATGCTCTCATGCTCATCACCTATTCATTCACAAACAACACAATCACAACATGACTTCTATAGGCGAGAAGAGGATATATAGTGCACATGAGGTACTTCCGTCGCCAATCTTGGCAAGAGACAAGGCACCCAAGAGATCTAGATTCACAAGAGTGCTTATATTCACTCTAATTGCGGTCAGTCTGCTATGGCTGCAAAGCTGTCACTCGGTCAATGACTATATAGTCCGGCCATTCAAGTCATCCAACAAGAAAGTTAATATCATTTTCATGATCTCTGATGGCTATGGTCCAGCTAGTGAAACTTTTGGACGTTCATTTCATCAAGCTGTTCATCATAACACATCACCTAATGCCAATTATAAAGCACCTTTGGACAAGCTCTTAATCGGGTCTCACAGATCACGTTCAAGTGATTCTCTTATCACTGATTCCGCTGCAGGAGCAACTGCCTTCTCATGTGGTCTGAAAAGCTACAATGGAGCAATTGGCGTTGATGCAAAGGGTGAACTGTGCGGAACAGTTTTGGAAGGTGCAAAAGAACAAGGTTGGCTAACAGGTGTTGTGGTTACGAGTAGATTGAGCGATGCAACACCTGCTGCGTTTTTTGCACATGTTGCATCAAGAGGACAAGAAAGTGATATCGCAAATGAAGCTTTGGGATTGATGAGCAATGGAACTGCTTATCGTGATGCTCCTTTGGATTTGGCAATAGGAGGTGGAGGTTGTTACTTTTTGCCAAAGTCAAGTCCTTATTCATGTCGACAAGATGAGCAGGATTTGGTTGGTGCTTCAAAGAAGAAAGGTTGGAACACAAAGATCCTTTTCAATCATGATGCTTTGAAAGAAGGCATAGAATCACCCTCCGAATTCCATGCTGACGAGGCTGCCATCACGCATTCTGCAGTGGACTTCAAGCCCGAAGAAGCACAAGCATTCATGGAGGAAGACAGCCAACTTCCCCTTCTGGCATTATTGGCCCCTTTCAATACACCTTATGAGATCGATAGAAAGAAGTCAATCCCGCCTCTTCATTCTCTCGCTCTTAAGGCGATCAACACACTCGACCGTTCTCCTCATAATACCCAAGGATTTTTCGTCATGATTGAAGGTTCGCAGATTGACTTGTGTGCTCATTCAAACGATCCAGCATGTCATGCAAGAGAGATTGCAGCATATCAAAAAGCGATTGAGGAAGTACAGGCATGGGTGGATAACAAAAACAAACAAGGAGAAAAGACGATTCTGATCAGCACCAGTGATCATGAAACTGGCGGATTGACGTTAGGACGACAACTGACTTCTGATTATCCTAATTATGCATATTACCCTGAACGTTTGATTCCTGTTCAACAGTCAGCCGCTTCTTTGTCAGCACATTTGATTGCTTTTGCTCGTCAGCCTACGCCACCAAGGGATGATGAATTAGAACAATTTGTACGACAAGAAACACTGGGTAAGAATGGTGCTGGCTTCCTTCCAGAAAACGGCGGACAGCCAAGTGACGAAGAGGTGAAAGCGGTATTGGATTGTATCCCTCAAACACCAAGTGCACTCACACCACCTCCAATTAATACGGCGGATATCTGTCGAGCAGTGATTGCTGATCTCATCTCTAGACGTGTGGAAGTAGGATGGAGTACGAGCGGTCATACAGGAGTAGATGTACCTGTTCATGCTTCGGGCCCTACAAAGGATGTGGACGGATTGCGTGGTAATATCGAGAATACCCACATCGGAACATTCATAGCAAATCAATTGGGCATCGACTTAGCAGATCTAACGAAACGACTGAAGAAGCAACGTTCACAGATCTCACATTGATTCACTATCTTTTGGATTGTTTAATTCAAGATTGTATTTTATAGAAACATGACAATACTAATACACGATTTCACTTTGTTTGCTTTGCTGCTCATATAAAGATTAAGTACCGCGACCGGTGGTTGGGTTCCATTTGCCTCTGTAATCGGCAGTCATGTTGACACCCATGGTAACGTAACCGATCAAACCTTGTTGCAAAACACCGCCCAATTTTTCGATTTCAAATGTTGGCATATAACCACCATCATGAGAATGTTGATAAATTTGCAAAGAGTCCTCCCAATTTCTCGTTCTTCCACGACCGACCATTTTGACCAATGGATTTTCAGTGTATGGGTACACTTTATCAATCTGTTCGTTCAAATCATCTTCAACGAAGAATTGACCGGTATGAACCAAACGACCGGCAGTAAAAGTACCGTTTGGTAACATTTGCCATTCAGGGAAAACTTTTACGTGAACATGGGTTGCACGACCTTGATAATAACCTGGGAAGACAGAAGTGAATTCTGCAACACCATTACGATCCGTTGGCAATGCACCACGCAACCATGTTTCTTCATGTGCTGTACGAGGATAAGCGGATAAAAGACCTCTTCTTGGACCTTCTTTTGCCGGTTCTTCGTTTACCAAATCAGGACGTGGGTTTGGATGTCCGGCATAATAACCTGTTGCGTTTGCGTGCCATAAATCAACCAAAACGTTTGAAACGGGTTCGCATGTGTTTACATCAATCACACCAACGTTCATCATGAACAAGATGCCCAATTGCCATTCTGCCATATTGCCACGGATAGGATGTCCGGCAGTATGATAATAAGGTCCTTCTGTCACTTCAGGTGCCAAGACACAGGTGTTATTACGGATCTTTGTATCTTGGACTGGCTCGCATGCCATTAATGATTTACCTTGTTCGTTTGCCAATTTTGTTACTTCATTGATTGAAGCTTCGATTCCTTCAGGTTCGAAATATCCAGAAGCAAACAAATTTTGATGAGATGTTGGATCACCACCTAAAACACGTTGAGCGAAAGAACGTTTACGTGCAGCTTCCAAGACAGCAATTTGTGGTGCACAATGATATGCTGTCGTTTGACGATCTAAGAATTCGGCAACTTGACCGGCGGTCTTTGGACCATGTGCAAGAGTTGTACTTGCCAAAGCGATCAAGCCTGCCAAACCTGCTCTGATGGCACAACGTTGAGTGTTTGTCTTCATTGTGTGTTTGTGTTGTGTGGGATGTGGTTCAAAGGAGAGGAGAGTGTTTTGAGTATGATGCCGTTTATATACGTTTCCAATTACAGCATGCTTGTCTTTTTAAAAAGTTTTGCCGCTCCGATCGGAGAGAAAGGGCGTAAAAGCAGTTGAAATTGTTTATTTTGTGGGGATCATCAGTACAGCCAATGAAAAAGAAACGAATGGTCTGGACTCTCTTACTTTGCCTATTGGTCGGTCATTCGGCCCGCGGGAGAAAGTATAAAATAACTTGACGCGTAGGATACACTCCGATCTATGTCCGGTATCGGATTCCCTTTTTCGTGCGATTAAAACATGCAACACACAGCATAGACTTTTACCCCACGCACCAGCAAGCATAATAATGTATTAACACGGGGGAGTCATTCTTCCAACAAAAGCAAAAGTCATCTTGACAACCATCACAACTACACACACACACACAAACATGCCACGTATACCATATGTTCCTGTTGATTTGGCAGGTCCAATAGCAGATGCTATCCGGGCACGTAGAGGAGATCGCGGTTTGATCGCATTGGATAGAAGTTTGTTACATGCTCCTCCCGTGGCAGAAGGATGGAATAAATTATTAGGAGCCATTCGAACAGGTTCAGATCTATCAGATGATTTACGTGAAATTATCATCTTGAGAGTTGCAGTCAGAAATGGTGCAAGCTACGAATGGATCTCACATTCACCCGTTGCAAAGAAAGGCGGAGTGACGGATGAACAATTGGCAGTCGTTGGAGATTTGTATAACCGGATTGATAGCAGCAAAAAAGGAAAACTTTCACCTATTCAACAAGCATGCGTACAATTGGCCGATGAGATGACACAATACATCAAAGTACGCGATGAAACATTTGAAAATTTGAAAGGTCTTCTCGCACAAGCAAAAGGACCGGAAGCAGCAGAAAAGCAAATCACAGAAGCAGTTGCTACTTGTGCAACCTACAATATGGTCAGCCGTTTCTTGGTTGCTATGAATGTTGCAGATCATAACGATATCTCTTGTCCCGTTCCAGGGCTACCCGAAAATGTGGAAGCGACTGGCAGTGTTGCTTATCCTGCATCTCCCTTCAATTATAGTCATGGATTGGTTCAAGTTGCAGAAAATGTCAAAGTAGCAACAAAGGTCCATTTCCATAGCGTTCAAGCTCCTTGGATCGTTTTTGTCAATAGCTTGATGACCAATTTGACAATGTGGGATGTTGTTTTGCCTGCTTTTGCAGCTCATTTCAATATTGTCACATACGATCAACGTGGACATGGTGCTTCGGATATTCCACCTTCCGATAACAATTTGGACGAATTGGCAGATGATGTTGCTGCAATTCTGGACGCACTTGGAATCGAACGTGCTCATGCTATTATTGGTGTCTCACAAGGTGGTGCAACAACACTCAATTTTGCAATCAGACATGGTGCTTTGCGTACTTCAAATGTGGTAATTTGCGATACACAAGCTGTTTCACCTGAAGCAAATACAACAGCCTGGAATGAACGCAAAGCCTTAGCACGTAAAGAAGGAATGGGAAGTTTGGCCGATCAAACGATTCCAAGATGGTTCCCAGTCGGTCAAAGCAAGGCTACAGATGCAGTACGTGCAAACGTTTGGCAAATGGTTGCAAAGACTTCGATTGAAGGATTCGCAAAGAGTGCAAGTGCATTACAAGGTTATGATCTGGTAAAAGCAGGACTTGTGGAGGCTTTGCAAGGTAAACAAAAGCCAACGGTTGCTAACAGTGAAGGAACAAGCTCTGCACCTCTACGAACTTTGATGGTAGCAGGCGCTTTGGATGGAAAATTGCCAGATGTATTGCAAGATTTGGCAAGCAAAGTTGGCTCTTCGACAGCTTCATTCGCAAAGATTGACGGTGCCGGTCATTTGCCAATGTGTGATAACTCACAAGCATTCGTTGATGCCGTTTTACCTTGGTTGTTACAGAAATAATTAATTAGACAAATATGATACAAAATTTGGAATAATTTGAAAAGAAGACAACAGAAAGAGATGTGATCCCGTCATCTAGATAGGAATAGCCTTTTTCAAAATATAGATATCGCCTTCCTTTACCACCATCGTATAACCTTTCCCTTGCATGCTCTTTGCATTTGGCAAGAAGGATTCCAATCTTCCGTGGTATGCTTTACGGACTTCTTCATCCAACCAGATTTGGTATAGATTCGCCATTAAACCTTCTTCAGTCTCGATTGCAAGATCCTCGAACGCATCCTCAAAGGTATCAAATCCTTCGTCCTCGCAAACTTGAATGTCGGACGCCATGAAAGTATATGCTGTCCTGTATGATACCTCACTCTCTTGAGCAATCGAAGATTCAGACTGTTCTTTCGGCCAAATACGTGTCAGGATGCAACATTGACTTGCACAGCGAGCATCTTCTCCATCAGTTAAATCTTCTTGTTTTTCACCGTCAATACGTTGATAACCCTTTCCAACTTCATCAAACTTTGCTTGATATTCGTACTTTTCTGCAATCTTTTCAATCCATGATCTGAATTCATTTTTAGTCCATTCGAATTTGTGATCAGAATGTCGGAAGACTCTATCAGTTCTGCCGGTCGGGTCTTTGTACTTTGTAGAACGATGTTGGTCATTTTTGAACTTGACATTGAAAGAATAATTTGGTGTGGTGATGATGACCTCCTTTGGCTTCCAATCGCCCAACACTCGAGGTCCAAATTCATCAAGGCAATCATCTTCAAGATGCTCGATGAATTCTGAAGCGACAAGGACGTCGATTTCAACGTTGGGAAAGTCGATATTTCTATAATCGGTTGCATTCAATTCTACTTTTAATTGCGAGAATCGCAGGAGACTTTGCTGCTGTTCGGTAACTTTATTTGAATCTATTTGAGCTCCAAGTTTTGATAAAGTTGCAACATCCTTGTCAATGCAGATAATCTTCTTCGGAGCGATTGAAGGTAATTGCAAAAAAGGATGATTTGTGACTTGGAACGCAGCTTTGAATCCTTCTTTCCATTCTTCTGATGGCTCTGACCACATTGCTGGTTTTATCAAAGCTCTAGTGATTGGTCCATCATTGCAGCCAAGCTCAACAACCTGATCATGTCAATTTCAGTATCGTTTGCCTGTACTTCCGTCTAACCTTAAGCTCCACTCACCGTATCATGCTTGCCATCTCGAATACAATTCAAGATCCATCGCTGCCGTTGCATAAGAAGCGGCGTGTCAAAGAAGATTGAGCTCATGATTACCACTTGCAAGATGCCTATAATGCAAAAGAAGAAAAGGACAATCCTTGCCATAAGATCATGTCATTTCCTTCTTTCACCGCTTTTTGACGCCATCTCATTTGTGGCGCCGACGCATGACGATTACGATTTGTGGGAACATAGATATGACAAGATCACAAAACGTTTGAAAAGGCTATGAAAGATGTAATCACATATTAGAGCACATAATAATGCGGGAGCGAAGACTATAATAAATTAGCATCTGTGCCTAAATGACTGACTAGCGGGGCTGGAAACCATTCGGCCGTAGGCAATAAATCCGGTTAAAGTCTGGCTAAATGTTGCCCATGCCCGTGCGACTTTCCCCCGCGAAAGACAAAAGAAGCAACTCACCTCCCTTCTCTCATCACGCACATTGCTATCAATTGATTGCAATTTATGCTTCGTCTTCAACAAATCACCTCACAATTACGAGGATCATCTATCGCTAAGCCTACTTCTTTTGCAGCAGCAACCATGTCTACCTCCACCTCTATTCCATCCAAGATGAGAGCCGTACAAATCATGAAACAAGGCGGCTTGGACGTTTTAGAAGATCGAGAAGCAGAAGTTCCAAAGCCAGGTCCAAATGACGTTTTGCTCAAAGTAAACAAAGCAGGAGTTAACTTTATTGATACTTATCAACGATCTGGTTTGTACAAAATTGAAAAATTTCCTTATACTTTAGGACAAGAAGCTGCTGGAAAGGTTGTTGCCGTTGGTGATGCACAAAAAGGAAAAGGTTTAGAGGTGGGAGATCGTGCGATCACTTACTTTGGCGGAGGCTTTGCAGAGTATGTCTCTGTTCCACGTGCAAGGATCACCAAATTGCCTGATGCTGTCAACGATACAGACGCTGTTGCTTCTTGCGTTCAAGGCTTGACAGCTTGGACTTTGGTTCGCGAAACGTATCCAGTCAAAAAAGGTGATTGGGTCTTGGTTCATGCAGCTGCTGGCGGTGTAGGTTTGTTGTTATGTCAAATGGCAAAACATCTAGGTGCACATGTGATCGGAACAACTTCCTCTGAGGAAAAAGCAGAAGAAGCAAAGAAAAATGGTGCAGAACATATGATCAATTATGCAAAAGAAAATACAGTAGAACGTGTTCATCAAATCACAAATGGCAACGGCGTTCAAGCAATCTTTGATGGTGTTGGAAAAGATACATGGGAAGATGATTTCAAAATGATCGCGCGTAAAGGTACAATTGCCACATTTGGAAACGCTTCTGGAGCCGTTGAACCTTTTGCACCTCTCAAGTTAGCTGCAAAGAATGTCAAAGTCGCAAGACCAACACTTGTGAACTATGTCTACACACAAGAAGAGTATGAGAAAACATACGCCGAATTGTTTGATTTGATTGCAAAAGGGATTGTGAAGTTCAAGATTCATGGTGAATACGATCTTTCCGCTCAAGGTATTCGTCAAGCCCAAGAAGATATCACCAGCAGAAAGACGAGTGGGAAATTGATTGTCAATGTAGCATGATGCGGTGTGGAAATTGAAATTGAAATGCTCAATGGAACAGGTGCGAAAAAGTCTGTGTGCGTTTGTGTGCAAGTACAGTTAGCAATGGAGGTCGGTGAATGGGTGTGTATACATATGGAGTTAAGATACATAGAAGCCGTTCGGAAAGGAAGAATATTTGTGCAAACATGTCCTATCAAGGGGTATTCTTCTTGTTGCTTTTCACCGTGGCTCTGTTCTTGGATGTCTTGCGTAAACGAGGGCTGCGACGTAAGGAAGCATTCTGAACATTCTTCTTCGACTTGCGAATCTTTTTCGGTGTCATCGAATTTTGTGAGCCAGTAGGTGATGACAATAGTCCTGTAAAGGCAATCATACCAGGAGTGTAACTCTGGACTTCTTTGTCCGCTTGCTTTTTTCCAGAACGTTTTCCTCTGGGATGTTTTTGCGGGATCACTTTGTCGGGAGTTACAATCTCGGAGTCGTAATCATCATCCTCTGAGGACAGTGTGTTAGAACGCTTCTTTACCTGATTAATAAAGCATTTCTCCGTCTTTTTGGCAGGTGGAATTGATACTTTTGGAAATGCCCAAGTGAAATCTGCATCACTGCAATCATCATCAAAGAATCGACAACTGGGTTCAGCATTGTCGGACTCATTGTTCGAAACAAAGAAAACTGATGATAGAGCTTGAACAGTGTTTTCAAAAAGAGCATCTTCCTCATCGAAGTATGCATCATTGTTGCGATAAGTTTGAGGAGGGGCCAAACAGAAAGTGGAAATGGACATGATGAAAGTTTAGGTAGCCAGTAGAAAGATAAAGGTTAGTGTGGGATGGTGGGCATGAAGAAACAAGCCGGACATCCCAAAAGCATACATGAAAGGACTTTTGAAATGAGATTCATGATTGTGACATGGACATATACTCTTACAGATGGCTCATCAGATGGCAGGAGGATAAATACCTCAACAGATGGTTCAATAAGAGGTGCGGGAGGTATATCTCTGCCCAAGCGCCAAATGCACGTGTATGTTAATTTTTTGGTTTTAATGCACAAAAGTTCAAATTTACGCTTAAACAACAATTGACACTGTTCTATTGCCTGTGCCACTTCCACACTTGTTAATCTTCCAACCATCATCACATAAACGACAAGATGGGAAAGAGGAAACAAACAAAGAAATTCGCTTTGGTGAAGCGGATGCTCAATCCATCAGATCAGAGACTAAAGGAGAATCAAGTGAAAGAAGCAGCAAAGAAGAAAGCAGCCGAAGAAAAAGCTGTCAAACATGTCACTCCAGCCGCATCCTCCATGTTCTTTCAACATAATACAGCTTTAGGACCACCTTATCGTGTTTTGGTTGATACCAATTTTATCAACTTCAGCTTACAAAATAAAATTGAATTGGTTCAAGGAATGATGGATTGTTTGTATGCCAAATCGATTCCATGCATCACGCAATGCGTCCTTGCCGAATTGGAAAAGCTTGGTCCCAAGTATCGAATCGCATTACGTGTAGCCAGAGATCCGCGATTTGAACGATTACCATGCACGCATAAAGGTACATACGCAGATGATTGCATCATCGATCGGATCAACACACACAAATGCTATATGGTGGCCACTTGTGATCGTGAATTAAGAAGGAGGGTACGTAAAGTTCCAGGTATTCCTCTCATGTATATTGCTCAACATCAATATCGCGTTGAACGTTTACCCGATGGTGGAATGCCATCGTAGTCGCATTCTTGATGGGCAACATTTCTCGTTTCATTTGTATCATATATTCAAGCATCCAATAGATTACTGTGTCCATCCTTAATTGGAGACCGCTCAATTCGCATACAAAGAGGCGCCACAGCCTCCGAACAAAGGATTATGCGGCATGAATGGGCGTAAAACGGTCCGTCGTCCGAGTGAACATCTAGCTGAGCAGGAGAGAATGAATGCATAATCCATCAAAATATTCGGAGGTCATATCTCTTTCCTTTTCTCAATCACTCGTGGATTTCTATCATGCCATCCAATCGTAGTGGTAGCATTTACGAAAGATCTTCTTCTTTTACATCCAGCTTTGCATTGATTGCATTCACTTCCACACTTACACTTTTCCTTGCACATTTGGCAGCCAGACAACCACAGCCTATTTTGCAACAACCACCTTTTCAACAACCACAACCATCTCCTCCCGTTCATCCTGTACAACCTGCTCAACCATCTCCTCCCGTTCATCCTGTACAACCTGCTCAACCACCTCCTTCTGAACCTTTGCCTCCTCCATCAGCACCTCCGCTAGCGCCACCAGCTCCTGCTCCCATTGCACCCCCTTTGAGTCACTCTGTTCCTCCTTTACAGCAGCCTACTTTGATCTGGCTGGGTAACAACGGCAGCGGGATCTTGTATGCACTGCTTGTATTGGTTCTGCTGTTTGGCTTGAGTGGTGTTTGGATAGAACGTATTGCTCCTTCTCCCACACACAGTGGCTACCAAATTTCAGAAGCAGAGGCTGAAGTAGAGGATCATAAAAGCAAGAAAAAGATGCAACCATCCACTTCACGATTGGATCCGTCCAGTGAAGAAGATTCGGAAGAAGCAAGGATTCCTGGCAGATGGATGAACAGGATGGAAGCCAAAATAGACCGAATGCAAAGAAAGGTAAACAAAGAACGTAAACAGCGAAAATCAAGAAAAGATGATGATTCGGATTCATCATCCTCTTCAACTTCTTCGTCATCATACGAACGCACAAGGCGCAAAACGTATCGTTATCGTCGATCTTCTAGTACACGATACGATGATCGTAGCTGCATCGATCATGGTGTTCGACTACACAAAAGACGTGATTCATATTGTTGTGAGCATTGTGGAACCATTGTTGCTGTTTGTGCTGGCTCAGGTGCAACGCTTGATGCTCCACCACCGCCGATTCCTGTCATGGCTTCTAATGTTCCTCCAGATACGGATGAAATCACGAAGATCAAAATTGAATCTACTTCTACAATCAGCAAGGAAGAGATCGAAAAAGCGGTCAATCTAGAAGTGGAACGTCGATTGCGCGAATACGAGAAGCGTCTTGAAGAGGAAATTTCAAAAAGATTGAAAAGGGAGCAGGAAGATGCCAAGAAGGAAGAGAAAAAAGAGGAAAAGAAGGAAGATAAGAAGAATAACAAGAAGAACGAAAAGAAAAGTGACGAGACAAATGACAAATGGAACGAAGCATGGGAGAACGATGGTTGGGAGAAGACAGAAGAAAAAGTCACAACAAAGACGGAAACAAAAATTGAGAAAAAGGACCAAGCATCTAGCTCGTCGACTTCTGCTACAACCTCAAAGAGCGAGGATGATAATCCAACTTCTGATCAGCCTAGCGAAGAAAGTCAGAAAGTAGAGAAGGAAAAAGTCGAAATCAAAGTCACAGTGAAGGAGAAAGAGAAGGAAAAGGGGAAAGGAAAAGAGAAAGAGAAGGACAAAAGCAATGAACCTCAAACCCTTCCTGGAATCCTGAAGAAGACGCCGAGCCTGGAATCTAATAATGACAACGACGACGATGAAAAGAGTGGTAGGATTTCTCAAAAGATGCACGGGTTTCGTGAAGACATCCGTGATTGGGTGGGTGATCTCAAAACTGACGCAAAAGAAGCAGTGCAAGATGTTGGCGAATTTGCAGAAGAAATCAAAGATGAAGCTAAGGAGAAGGCTCAAGATGTGAAAGGCAAGGCGAAAGAAATTGTACATAGTGTCACTCACCTCGGGTCTGACTCGAAAGATGATACGGACAAAGACCAGAAAGAAGCAGATTCAAGCGGAAGCACAAACCAGGCTGCACAGCTGCAAGATTCCGTAAAAGAGCGAATTGTTAGCAAAGTTACACATAAGGATGAAATCGAGCTTCAAAAGAGCTCAAAGAATGTCAAATTCGCAGACCCCATTCATACTGAACAAGAAATTCCAGCAATCACGGACGAAACTTCAGACAAAGGCAAAGGAAAAGCCAGAGAAGAGGATGATGAAGATCGACCTAGCTCTTCCTCTTTTGCAGAAGCGCCAATCCCGATGCCGGATATCGTATCTCCCTATGAAATTGATGAGGATCGTTTCATCGGTGTCAAAAGTAGTGTATCTTCCACTTCAAGCAGTAGCGGAAGTTCATCAGGGAGCGGAGGAAAGGATGATAGTTCTAAAGTGAAAGAAAAGACTCGGATCTCAATTAGTACAGATGAACAAGGCAAGAAAGTCATCTCGACTGAAAAGGTCTCTACCACACAAGATACTGAAGATGACGATGAGAAGGAATCTCAGGCCTCAGAAACATACAGAGAATCAGAATTTACCGAAACTATTTTTGGAATCGTGGACAAAATTGTAGATGGATTTTCGGGAAAGAAGTCAAAAAGCAAGTCCAAAAAAGTTGAAAAAGATGATGCAGAGGTCAAGATAGATGTGAGCGTGACCAAAGAGACAACTCCAAAGGTGGAAGATGAAAAGGATGCGAAGGACGCAAATGATGACAAGAAAGGTAAAGACGTGGTAGAGGAAAGCTCGGAAAGCACGGTCAAAGAAAAGACAAAGACAAAAACATCAGAAGAAGTCAAAGAAACCACTTCCGAAGAGAAGGGCAAGGCGAAGGAAGAAGTGGTGATCGTTGAGAAAGCCGATGTAGGTCAGCCTGCCTTTACTGCTGAAGAGCTTTATCTTGAAACTGCAAAATACTTGTCTGAAAAGTATCCTGAATTGGTTGCCAAGGAGACTGTGCGTGTCAATTCATCCTTGGATCAGACATATGAAGAAGGGAAAGCCAGTATCAAAGAAGAGAAGACAACATCTGATGCTAATGACCAGGCACATCAAGACGGTGATGAACCTGCACAAGCTGAGACAGCTGCTATTCCTTCCCAAGAAGCTACAACATCAACAACAAACCTCGAAGAGATCACTACCAAAGCGCAAGATGGGTCAGATGCCGGTGACACAAAGTCCAATAGTGGAGAAGAGGCAATGTTGAGGGCTTTGGGTACAATCAGACAATATGGCAGCGGGACTTCGTACAGCAATCTTGAATCAAAATATTACGAATCATACTTTCGACAAAAGGTGGAACGAAGTGCAGATGATGTTTTGCTTTCGCTGATCAACTCCCTTCTGTATCAGCCACAACAATCTAGCGACAAGTCAATCAAATTCGCTGCCTCAGCTTTGCAGGGTTCTTCAAAGATCAAGGAGAAGATGAAATTCGTGAAGACAACGGAAAAAGAGGAAACTCAAGAAGTCCAAGATGAAGATAATGAAGCGGAGGAAAAACAAGTTTCAAGCTCATCAAACTTTCCTGAAAAGATTTCTGCTGATGCTATCAAGGCTGCAAGTATTGCCGCTGCAGATCAAATTCGACGACATCAAGCTCAATTGCGTCCACAAGATGAATCTTTCTTTAAATTTTTGAAGAAAGACACAGCCAGAAGTTTTGACGATATGAAAGATGGAATGAAGGATGCATCGTCAAAGCTTGGAAAATTTACAGGGACGTTGAAGCGCAAAGTAAGCAAAGGAAGTCTGAAGCGGAGCCCTTCTCCCAGTGCTGAGAGACGCAGTGCTTCCATTGATGCACCGGAGAGATTTGATGCTAGTCAAGTGACGAACTTCAAAGGTCAAGAAAGCAAAAGCAAAGAAAAAGAAAAGAAGAAGAACAGCAAACCAACTCCTTACGGAATTCCTTTGAAGAAAGATTCTTCTGGTCCTCCTCCAACACCGTACGGATTGCAACTGAACAAACCACCAGTCAAGAAACCATTAGTGCAATTTGATCGAAAGGTGAATGTTTTGGAGTTTCACGATCCTTCCACGAGTAGTTCAAGTGGCTCAAGCTCAAGTACAGATACAAAGCAGCAAACTTCCAACAAAAGTGAAGCAAAAGAGATTTTTGAAAAAGCGAAAGAAGTGGAAGATGTTTATGCTAGGATCACAAAGTTGACCCGAAGACTCAGCGAGAAATGATTGCAAGAGAAATTGATTAGATGAAAAGAACATGCATGAAATCCGGTCTACGAGAAAATGATCTAGGCAGTTGGTGCCTTGCTGTCTGGAGGAGGTACTTCTGGGAACGTGTCAGGTTGTTGACCGTTGTTGAGCTTGTTCTGGGAATCTATCTGCCACTGTAGGGGAGATATTTATGTATTTTTGTTAGCTACCTTTCTTCCAATTTGATTTTATGTGTAATTATGAAAGTACTCACCTTTGCATTCACATCGTTCAAATGACCACGGTAAGCTTGATTTTTAGCTACTTCATCTTTTTGGCTTTGAGTGACTGCACGTCTGTTCCATGCAGCAGCAAAGTTATCGAGATCTCTTTCACGATCCACGGATGGTTGAGCCATTGTGGCAGCGATCAAACAAAGAGCGATCATGAGTAGGGCTGAAAATTGACGAGACATCTTTTTATGTTTTTCTAGTGAGGTGTGGTGTAGTTGTTGATAAAAATACTATGTTGATGGAAGGATGGATGTCTAAAATTCCAAAGTGGCCTGTATTTATATCTTTTTGGAACCAATTGCTGTATCTACTTTATAGCAAAAGATGTGAGATATCACAGAGGATACTTTGCTTTCGATCATACTTACGCCATCGTCACGATAGTAAGCGACGTCATCCAAGCAATTGAATACTTCTTCGGCGTTCATACTGAAATCTATTCTCTCGGTTCCGTGCTAAGGCACAAGGTTATCTGCAAGTCGGCGTTTTACCCATGGCTTGTTTGTTCCTTGTCAGGCACAAATAGCCTAACGCAACGCTCCGCTTTCTTGAGTGTGTTTTAGCGCGATACGCCTTCTTGCATCGCTTTTGGGCGTGTCCGAGTCTCCGAAGCGGGCAATCATGACAGTGCTTCACCTGTTCAACAGTACCTCAAGGTGGTGATTGTACAGTAAGATGCATTCATTCACATAGTACATACATCTAACGGGGACATCTTCACCACAACTCTTCTTCTTTTTTCAGGTCACACTTGCAGGATTTTGAACCGCTTCTTCGATAATACTCTTCAAAGGTCCAGGCATTTGTAACCCTAAAGCTGCATGTTTACCGTCCTCTGATAGCTTTCTCCACGTTCTATATTATATGGAGGAATTGTTAGCATTTGGCGTCATTCTTAAACTTTATATCCTCTATTGAACTCACTTTTTGATGATATCCACCCACTTTTCTCTCGTATAGCCTGGATGTTGAGCAGCGAAATGATGTAACTGATCTTGCAAGAATACCAAAACAGCTGCGTCCTCCAAGATCTGACAAGATGTTCAAGAAGATTAGCACTGAGTACACAACAAATTCGATCACATACTTACTTGTGTTCCCCATTCACCGCCTTCTTTGCCTGGTTTTAAATCCGTCTTACTGACCCAAGTATGCACAAGCTTAGCCTCTTGTTCACTTAGACCAGCTTCTAACAACAACGCCGAAGCTTTGTCCGCTTGAATGGTATACAGTGATCTTCTCCAGTGCAAATATCCTGCTTTACCTTCTGGGAACGTACTTCTTGGAGTCGCAAAGCGTTCTAGATGCTGACAACGTGCGGCCAATTTGATCAATTCGATCGGATCATCACCAGGTATTTGTGAAAGTGCTTGTTGTCCTTTTCCCTTTTCCATTAATGCAGCGACCCATTCTTCCATCGCATCTGCATATGCTAATTCATCTTGACCTCCTTCGCTTTCATCTACTTGCGTACTTGCTTTTTCGGTCGATAAATCTGAAGTTACATCTAATCCATCAACCGCTACGCCTACACTCGCCGCTGCTGCACCTTGAGCTGCTTGTTGTTCTTTGTGTTTGATGTACAAGGGATCACGTTTATGTACATCATCGATCAGTTGCTTTGCTTTGATGTATGCTTCAGATGTGGAAGCCATTCTTGCAAGGTGATGGTGGTAGAGTGTATGCTGTATCTCCTTATCTTATCGCGCGCCAATTAGCGTCAGTGGATTTCAAACTCACACCACCACTACGTTAACTGGATGATGTCCAAATTGTCTCATTCAATAAGAGCATTACTACCTTCCAGAGGGATGCAGGACAAATTAGGGTATTACTGTGGGGGGGGGAGTGAGTGCCACACCTGTTTATGACTGCCAGAGTGGTACAGGTACGTGGTTATGTGCTATCGAAATGCTTATGAATGCTATGCTTCAAATGAATTCCCATTCAACCGTCGTCCTGCCAACTTGAAGATCGACGAAATATTTGAATAGCGTAGGTGACATATCCAAAGATCCTTGTGCGCATTCATTGCATTCATCCGTGATCGAAGCAATTGCAGTCTTTCCGTTTTTGAAAATACGAATTTGATGACCGCAAACAGGATTACCGTTTGTGATTCCATTACCAAAAATTTGAAACAATTGACCGGAAACTGCAACAACATTTTCATAATCATGTTCTGGCCATCCACATGCTCCATAACCCGGTCCAAAGTATGTCATATCGCCCGACATACGCTTACCTTTGAACCCGAACTTGGCTACTTCTCCATCCGTGCCACTAAATGCATGTGGGTTTTGTTGTCCCATCCAGTCTTGTCCATTGCCGGGATAAGCCGTACCATTGTTACCTTGTTGACCACTTGGCTGGGTTTGAGTGCCTGTCTGAGCTTGTGTACCAGTTTGGACCTGCGTGCCACTTTGTGTTTGAGGGTTGGGTTGGGTTACCTGCGGCTGTGAGTTTGAATTCGGGACAGATTGCGGAGTAGTTTGTTGGTTTTGGTTATTATAGTCGGATGAACTTGGCTTCATGTTTTGTGGTGCCTTTCCGTTCCAAGGTTTTTTGTCGCTCCAATACTTCTCCCATACATTTTTCCAGAATGTCTTGCAATGGGTTGCAATAGGCACTACTTTTGGACAATTCGATGGAACAGGCTTTTGACCTGGAAATTGTGGCCAATAATTGGAAGGACAGCCGAATGGTGGTGGCATAGGACAATCCTTTGGACCAAAGTGCGGAAGCTTACGGTGTGGAGAGCCATTTGCCGGCAAGTTGCGTGCTTCGAAATGATCACGGAGAAGATCATGCTCTAATTCTCTCTTTCGAATTTGTTCAGCTTTGCCGTATTCAATAGCTCGACGATGGGGTCTTCCATTTGATGGTGTGTAAGAGAAAGCGTCTTGCACTAAACACAATGCCATGAAAATGGCGAGAAGAAAACGAACTGACAACATCTTTACCGGAAGCAGATGTCAATTGGTGGTGTATAAAGAGGAATGATGAAACAATGCTTCGAATTTGCTAAGGAAAAGAATGTGGTGATGTCGTCTTTAATTATTTGGTGAGATGTGACTGGATAGGACTTGACAAAAAGCCAAAGATGGTCACTGTTGGGAGAGATGGGAAAGCTGCTGAAAAACATCGGTTACATCCATCCGAACCATGGCTATTTATACCTTCAAGCTACGACATTTGAGAATGATTTGAGTGACCTTTTTTCCATTCAGCCCGCCGCTTTTACATTCTCATTACTCGACCAACAAATTTGACAATATTCTCCACGGGGAAGCGCTTTTATTCATATCCATTTGGCGTTCACTTCCGTTTACGAATCGGCGCCGTCGATCGAAATAGACAAGGGACCCGAATGCACTTCTGGTTCATCTTGGACTGATTGGCCGTCATGTAAACCATCGTGACTAATTCAAAACAATGGAAAATTCACGTTCGGACCGTCAAATGAAAAGTCAAGGGGATCCTCTTTTCGGCCCGTAGATGCGTAGCGTTGTTTTGCATGGCATGCCCATCAATATGGCCAGCATGGCCGATTCTTCCTCTCTTCTTCGCGGTTGCCCGATACATCATACAAAAGCTCGGCCTGCAAAAGATTTCGAGCTGGAAAAATGCATGACAACAAAAACAAGACGCACTTTTAATAGATGCAAGTCATGAAGTTTAATGAAGAGTATCTTGATTCCAATGCTTCCGACCAGCGGACCACAGAAATACAGGTACATGAATGTATGCTAAGAGTAGAAGCATCATGAAAGATGCTAGGGAAGTGTGTGAATGCGGTGAGGTGGCTTTGAAATTGTGTCTCAGATAAATTGCCATGTGACAGAAGTTCTTCCAACATCTGGGTCCTCGAAATACTTGAACAAAGCAGGTGTCATATCGATCGAACCTTGCGTGCATGGCGGGCATTCATCTGAAATTGTTGCAATGGCACTCTTGCCATTCTTGAAAATTCGAATCTTGTGTCCGCAAACTGGATTGCCATTACTTATACCATTGCCGAAAATTTGGAACAATTCAGCAGAAACAGCAACGATGAAATCCGATTCAGTGTTTGACCATCCACAAGCGCCGACGTCAGGTGTAAAGTAAGTCATGTCACCTTTCATCGTCTTGCCTGCGAATCCGAATTGCGCCACTACACCTCCGATACCACTCTTGCCATGGGAATCTTGATTTCCTTCATTGTCATCGCCACTGCCGCTATTGTCATCATTATTCTGTTGAGGTTTTGGTTTTGGTTGTGGCTTTGGCTCGGGTTTAGGCTCAGGCTTGGGTTGCGGTTTGGGCTCAGGCTTAGGCTGAGGTTTCGGTTCAGGCTTCGGTTGCGGTTGTTCTTTTGGTTCTGGTTTAGGTTCAGGTTTGGGCTGAGGTGGTGGCTTTTGCGTTTGTTTTGGCTTATCTTCTTCGGATGAAGAGCTTTCTGATGGCTTTGAAGTTGGCTTCTTGGATTCTGAGGAAGTGGTAGAACTTGTCTTTGCTGAAGATTTTGGCTGGTCATCGCCTGAATTGTCGGAACCATCATCATCTTTGTTGCCGTAGTCTAAAGGATGATTATATTTCTGGTTGAATTCATCCCATGAAAATTCTTTTGGAGTCTTGCCTTCTTTGAGAGCTTCCATCGATTGTTCTTGCCAATCTTTGTTCATTTGCATAAGATCAGTCACGAATTCTTGCATGTTTGCCAAGTTGTTTGCAGGAGGTTGGCTGTTATCTTTGCCTCTCTTATGACGAAAAGACGAACGAGGAAGGAATTCGTGACGTTTGTGATGATTGATAATGTTTGTTTCTCTTTTTTCAACATTTTCTGATTTGCCAAATTTGACCGCTCGACGATGAATTCTACCACTTGATGGAATTTCAGTCGTTGTTGTACTCTTCAACAAGCACAAAGCCATACAGATGGCCAACAAATAACGACGAGACAGCATTCTGACCAGAGAGACTGTCAAAAATGAAGAGTAGAAAGAACGAAAAAGGGTAAAGAAGGTGGGTTGCGTATTACTAGGTAAGGAATGTGTTATGATGACCAAGATCAAGTATGGTATCAAAGAGAGAATGAAGGACAAATGTTGCTGACAAACAAATGCGTTATGTGTTTTTTTGAGAGAGGAAAGAAAAAGCGGAGATGAAGTGGTTAAAACGAGGATTTTATATCTTTTACCCTTTGTCCTTCATTGGCTCAATGTTTTGCTCGACGAAATAAATCTCCGCAATGCACGCCGCCCACTCCATCTAATTTGAGGTGCAAATCTCAACAGTAAAGTAGCGAAGTACCCCCGTTTATTCTTGCATTTATGCCAAGAGAAAGAAGGGAGAACAAAAGAGAAAGCGGCGTATTTACTTGCTTGCATACGGTGCCGTACATTGTAGATCGGGCTTTGAATGGGATATGTCTCAAAGAGAATCAAAAACAGGGTGACTTCTTTATTTTAATGCATGTACTTTTTGTCTTTCAATTTCCCCACTTTGATGCATAGCGATCAGACCAGGTATCCGAAACCGACAGGTGTCAATCAAACCAGGTCAACAGGGCCCGTTTTCATCGCTTGAGCATTGACGGAGCAAAAAGATACCGCTACCTACCCTGTTTTTACGGGACCGTGGAGACAAATGGATCATCTGTCAAAAAATCACTCTGATAACGGAGAATACTGTTTGTTTACCTCTCCACCAAAACGATCGGCGATCTTGAAAGAACAATCATCTCATCTCATTGCATTATCAAATCAATTCTTGGTCTTCTTCCTTCTTTGACCGCTTATTGTATGCGGCATTATTACTCTGGGCGCTTTTCGACTGCACCGCATAGCATTACTCCATCAAGCCGTGGAAGTCCTACGTATGCCTGTGCATCAATACACCCTCCATGCACACACACACAATTGCTGGAAATGTGTCAAATAGGTAGCTATTGCTTGATTAATGATAATGCTGTAAAGTACAAATGAGTAGTAGGATTCGATGAGATGAAAAGGAAGAGAATGATAGATGATTAGAATGGGTGCTAATGAGAGCCAGAGAGCGGCAAATATGCGTGTCTATCTATATTGGCAAATTTCAGTCTATATGTGCATTGTTCATATGTTTGTGTCCCTTGTGTGGGAGTCTATTGAGCGGCAATTTGATGGATGCGAACCATGTTTTGACGTTGATCTTGACCATGAATTAAACTCACTTGTGCGCCTTCTTTTCTTCGAAGTTCGAGCAAAAGTCGTTCCAGGGTGAACAAATGACTATCCTGAACATCAGTCGACAAATTACGGCAAGCGTTGGCAAGTTTCAAAACGTAGTCATCATTACGTCCACTTGGCCCTTCGCAGCTGTAAATATATTCTGCCAATTCCTGCAAGCTGTTCGAAGGTCCAACAAATGCTTCGTTATCCGGAAGTCCAACGTAAATCAATGCATCTTCGATTGCCACCATTTCGTTGCCTTGTTCGTCGTGTTGGTAGATGTTAACGCTTTGTGGAGTATAGCCAAACTTTTCGCGATCGTCCAAATATTGACGTACTTCTTGTGATTTCGTTGGATCGATTGTCCATGCAACGCCCCAAACGATATCCCCTTCAGGAGCATCTTCGTCGGAAATCAAAGAGTGCCATTGAGATGCACAGACTAAAGTGGCCACTCTTCCAGGCTTTGCTGGCGTGCCGCGATGATCGTTTGAAGATTGTGCGAATCGACGAGCGTATCCTTTAATGTAGCCAACTGTTCGACCAATGGTGTGTGGAGGCGGTTTGAAGATCAAACTTCCGTATCCAAATACGACACTGACTCCTTCGTTGGTGAATGGACGGCAGCTGTGAGGATGAGAAAGTAGAATGTCAGTACGTCGTTGTCATTGTCATTTAATTCCTCTCGCTTTACTCACCGAGAATCGCTGGAATCCGTTCGTGTCAACTTGTGGCTGCCGCTCAGAATGCGAGGCGAAAGGCGAGGTGATGGAACTGTTTCAAAAAAGGTAGAAAGTCGAACTTTAGTATTCATTGCATTTCAAGGCGGACAAACATGAGGTTCTTCTACGTACTTGGACTGACTCCAATGCGTTTCAAATAGGCACGCCAGCCTTCTTCCTTGTAACGTTGACTTTGTTCACGTACGCTGACGAATGCTTTGGCACGGGCGAGAGAACCACCTTCGGCCACTTGGGGATCTAGTAAAGCACCATAGATACCACGACCGACAATGATCACATCACTGCCGCCATCGATGACGACTTCTTCTGGTGTGCGGTACTGTTGACCCAAGGCATCTCCTTTTACGTCAAGACCAACACCAGGAGTGAGGACAAGAAGATCACGCTTCTTTCCTACATTTGCAAAACGTTCGTCAACTCGACTTTGAGCAATGAAGCCGCAAACGAATTCGGATTGATCATTGAATGCTTCCTCTACACATGTTTTTGTGTATTCTCCCTTTGCAAGAGAGCCAGCGCTGCTCATTTCGGCCAGCAAGAGCAAGCCACGACCAAGAGGTTGACCGACTTTTGCCAATCCAGTGATGACGCCACGTCCGGGTACCATGTGTGCATTGGTGATATGGGACCAAGAAGCGATCTTGTGAACGCCTGAAGAGTATTGCAGTGAGACAGTATTCCCGATATCAGCGAATTTGCGATCTTCGAAGATGAGGAAGTCATGCTTTTTGCTGAGTGCAGTGAGTTGATGAATCAAATCTTGATCAAAATCCTCCACAATGTCAATGTGAGTTTTAATGAGAGCGACATCTTGTCCAACAGCATCGACTACGTCCAATAAGTCTTGCTTCTTGGTTACATCCACGCTCACGCATAAATTTGTTTCTTTGCGTTCCATGGTTTCAAGTAGAAGTCTTGCTGCTTCATTGTTACCAAAGTGAGCAACACGATCGGCATAGGATTGTCTAGTGAAGCTCTTTTTGTTGCTACCGCTGGCAACCTGACCTGAGTTAGATGAGGCCATCTTGCCAAAGTTCTATACTTGAGTCTAGTGTTCGTCTTTCTGTCGTCAAGAGAGAAAAGATGAAGTGTGAGTCGATTTGAGTATATATACGATGTTGATGTTCAAGAGAAAGATGCGGAACGATACTTACCTATGACTAGGTGTAATGTAGGGGCTTGAAAAGTGCTTATTGATGCACTCCGGAATCGAAATTTGCCAGAAAGGTGCCCCAAAAAGTATATACAAATAAATAAAAAGACCGAAAAATTGCGGAGAGATGGAGGGGAATAAAGAGGTGTGACAATAAAGAGAGAGTTAAAAAATGTTAGAGGATCGACATAGGAGAAGGAATAAGGCACAAATGCACACTTTCTCTCGTTTTCCACCTATAAACGCAGAAAAAACAAACAATCGCCGATGTTTGTGGATGAATGCGTGCTTTAAAGTTTGGGTCGAAAAGGAACGACAACCCCATTCCAAGCGCGAGTCACTCTGTTTTTGACACGTTGGTACAGTTAAAGTGCCTTCTGCTGCACGCGCGCATATCAATTGCGTCTTCTTGCAAAAAATGCCCGCAACCACACCAAAAAAGGCACTTTAGCTCTGTGTGGCGTTATACTTCACTTTAAAGTTGCCATTCAAGCCAGGCCATTAAACAAGCTTTGTCTGTCTAACTCGCTTCATTCAAGGGCGTACACATATGATCATCATTCATCAATACGCCATGTAAAAAGAGCCTTAAGGGGACCGTAATCTCATAATTGCTCCTATTGCGGAAGCCTATTCCGTGACGGAATTCCTAGAGCGATCTTTTACGTATGGAGCATTAATGCCAGCATAAGAGCGATCAACAATAATTTATCCGACAAAAGGCAATCCGATATTCCTGCCAGAGTAGATTTGACTTTATGCCGAACGACACACCATGACAAGGAAAAAGCTCGGAAAGCACGCAATAGAATGGCGCAATTCTTCAGGAAATTGCGTGATTTTCAGTCTCAAACGCGTGACGCAGGCTTTATAGATTCTATGACCGTACGCAGTGCTCAAAGGCAGGCCTGGACTTTGGTGTAGGTTAATGGTATATTGACCGCCATCTAATCTTATCAAAATTGTTGCGAGCGAGACTGACAGAAAGATGATTGGAGCATGGATTTATTAATAGGAATTGATGCAATTGTAGTCTCTGAATTACGTAAGCGATTTTAACTCTATTCGAGAAGACACACGCATGTGTGTTACCTTCTCTCAAAGAGTCCTTTATCATGAATTTAGAGTTTCCTTTTGACTTAGTCAATCAACTTCTTGATCAGACAGATGGATGATAAAAATACACTCTAATAGGATGATCAACTGCGCAAAATTACATCCGAACTAGATTTGAAATCTCGGCCAATAAGGAACAAACCATGATTAAATTGTTACAATATGTCGTCGAGGAACAGCCATCGAGAAAGGGAGAAGTAGTCTTTGATGTATACATTAGAGCCTGGACAAATGTCATGTGATGGTGTTTGCCTTCAGTAGGATTCTTGCACTTGACCGTAAGGTTTACACCGCTCCTCCTCAAGATGCTTCAAGTAAAGCGTTAATCTGCTTGTAGATCATACGGCGTTCTACTTTCTCTCCTTCAGAGATACCGTCATATAACGTTGCACTGTCATCAATCGAAGTTTTTGAAGGACTTGATGAGCCTGTAGATGACTTAGAGGATGGCGACGTAGCGCTTGAGCCAAAAAGCATTTGCTCTCCTCGTTTGATTTGGAATTCCTTTGAATCTTTTTGAGTTGGCGATCCGACCGTCTCAGGCGAATAACGTCTTACTGTTCCGATCTTACTGTGATTGACTACGAGCCTGCCAGTCTTGACTTCTTCTACACAATGCGATTCTGCTGATAAATCGTTAGGATGAATGGGAGAATGAAATTTGCGAAAAGTACGTGGAATACGTTTTTGATAAGCTGCTCCAAGTTTCAATGCACTTGGAGCACGTCTTCTACGGGTAGAATCCAATGAAGGCGGACTGAGTGGAAAAGGGAAAAGCTCGTTCCCAGAATAAGCAGAAGCAGACATCATCAAAGCAAGATTGGAAAGCCAGCTTCCCTTGTTCTTGGGAGGTTTTATGAATTTTGCCTCCTTAGTTGATATTATACTCCTTTTCCCTTAATTTTTTGATGGACCAGCCGATCGATTGCAGAACGAGAGCAACTTTACAGAAGCATGAATGTGAAGAGAAAATAGGATCACTTTTGCCATTCTTATAGTATACATTACCAAAATACCAAACGCCCAATCGGCTGTTAACCAACACAGCCAAAAGACGCCATGCTGTACGACTAAGATCCGAAATGATGTTTGCCATTATTGCCTCTATCGTCACATGGATATCCACGGGGCAATGTTGAAGGCTTGAATATCACATTCTTGTACAGGCAAGCTGTTGATCTCTTCCAGACAACATGGAGGTGGGAAGTGAAAGTGATTGATACAGTCTGTGCGCACGCCTGTTATAGACGCACTTGCTTGCAGTGTTGTTGTTGTTGGCTTTGTACAGCGTCTTTACACAGGTACAGCGCTGTAATGCATTCACACTGCACGCGCCTTTTCAAGTTACCTCGGTGGAAGGAAGGAGATTGAGAAGGTTGCTAAGATTGTACGGCTTTGCTTTCTTCTTACCATCAATAGTACTGAGATAGGATGGCTACTACATCTTCATCGCAGCCAGCAACGCTGCATAGCGTTCAACTGCAATCTCTAAAATCGCTTTTGAACTTGAATACAGCAAACAATACTCCATCCACATCCTCATATCGTCAAACAGGCAGTGCATCAACAGAATCTTCTTCAGATTTAACACTGCCAACCGGTCCGCCAGTATGGAAAGTTTTGATTCTTGACAAAGTAAGTCAAGAAATCTTGGCAACCAGTATGCGTGTGCAAGACTTGCGTGATCAAGGTATCACGCTTCATATGCAATTGCATTCAGATCGACCTCCTCTTCCTGATGTTCCAGCAATCTACTTTATCGAACCAACACGAGAGAATCTTATGAGAGTAGCAGATGATCTACTCAAATCATTGTACGAATCTGTTTCCATCAATCTTACTTCAACTCTACCTCGATCGCTCTTGGAAGAATTTGCAGGTCGGGTTGGACGGGATGGTACAGCAGCCAATGTTAGCCAAATATTTGATCAATATCTTGATTACATCGTCCTGGAACCAAACTTGTTCTCACTACTTCAGGGACCGCCTGGAAAACCCAAAGAATCAACAGCAGTACCTGCCGTTAACACAGCACTAACCACAAATGGATCCGGAAAGGGAAAGGAATATCCCACCACTACGTATGAGAGATTGAACGATGTTCGATGCGGTCAAGCTGAGATTGAGGCGGAAACGGAAAGGATTGCCAGTGGCTTATTTTCTGTCATGGCAACACTAGGTGCTATGCCAGTAATCAGATGTCCACGCGGAAATGCAGCAGAAATGGTTGCTCGTAAGCTAGAAGGAAAGATTCAAGAACATGTTGCAACTTCCAAAGGATCAAGCAACTTATTCTCGGGCAATGCATCTGCGACGAATGCATGGTCATCCAGTAGACCATTGGTGATTCTAGTGGATCGGAATATTGATCTTGTGCCAATGTTGTCCCATTCCTGGACTTATCAAGCATTGGTTAATGATGTCCTGGATATGAAATTGAATCGTGTCACAGTGACCTCAACAGAAGCAGGGAAACAACAAAAGCGCGCATATGATCTTGATAGCCAAGACTTCTTCTGGAGAAAGAATGCAAGCACTCCATTTCCTCAAGTGGCAGAAGACATTGATGCTGAATTGGGCAGATATAGAGCAGATGCCAATGAGATCACAAGCAAAACGGGTATCAGTAGTATGGAAGATGTTGGCCAATTAGACCTTTCGTCTAATGCTTCTCACCTCAAAGCCGCAATCACTGCTTTGCCTGAGCTGACAGCACGAAAACAAACGATTGACGCTCATATGAATATCGCAACCGCACTTCTGCAAGGTATCAAATCAAGAGGCTTGGACACTTTGTTCCAATTGGAAGAAGCAATCACGCGACAGAATCGTTCAACAATCCTAGAAACATTGAAGGACGGCGAACTACAAAGTGTAGAAGACAAATTACGACTTTTCATCATCTACTATCTTTCTGCTCCCGACAATGCTTTCGCCAGCAAAGCAGATTTGGAAGAATGTGAAAAAGTGTTAAAAGATCAAGGTGCAGATCTAAGGCCGTTGCAATACGTCAAGAAGGTACGAGAATTGACTAGAATGACAATGCTAGCAAGTGCTCCTGCTCCCCAACCTAGCGCTGGTGGAACTGAACTCTTCAAAGGATTTTCCTCATTGAGTAGCAAATTGACCGATCGATTGAAAGATAGCGGTTTGGATAATCTGGTATCTGGTGTGAAAAACTTTTTACCTGCGGTAAAAGACTTGACAGTAACACGCCTGGTTGCCGCTTTGCTTGAACCACATTCTGCATCTTCTCAAGCTCTTCAAGAAACCGAAAGTTGGTTGACAGTTGATGTTCAAGGCAGACGAGCAGGAAGAGCAGGTCCAACATCAATGGCAAGCGGCGCAAGCTCAAACGCTTCTTCTTCTGCCGGTAAAAAGGATGCTATCGTTTTCGTCGTCGGTGGAGGATCGTATGTGGAATATTGTAATTTGATGGAATGGAACGCTCGTAATTCTAATCAAGTTCAACCACAACATGCACGAAGAATAACGTATGGTGCAACGGAAGTCGTTACACCTTCTGCCTTCATGCATGCTTTAGCTAATTTAGCAGATTAGATCTTCTTCGCATCATGTTATTATCATACCATTGTTAAATCTAATGCACTATCACCATCATCTGTTCAAATTTAGGTTTTTAACATGAGTTTTTTTGCTTTTTCTAGATGGTAATTTACATATTATGAAACGAGAACCTTGGATACTTTGATCGAATCGAAACTTTGCGGGACATGGTACAGATGTATGAAGGAACAAGCTTGAGTTGTTTTTGGTACAATAGAGGCGAGGTCGACGGAACAAATTGATGTTGATGTACAATAGAGCCTTCTTCAATCGCTTTCTTCATCGCTTGAAGGTTCAATAATCTCGAAGTCTTCATCGCTTCCCAATAATATCAAATCATCAGCAGCAATGGAAGATGCACCCTCGTTTGTGGGTGTAAGCAAGAACTCGGTTTGGTGACCAGTCATTGAAGGCGCACGATCATTTCTTGGTGCAAACGGAGCGCGGAAGAAAGATGATCCATTCATTTCATTTTCACTTTCTTGCTTCTGTGAATCGGAAGATGAAGGTTTAGGATGATGCATCGAAGCGGCGGTCGATTTGTTTGCTTTGGTTGTTTCGTTGGATGATTTTCCATTTACAATTTCGATGTCATACCACAATTGATCGCCAAAGAAGCGTAATTCTTGGCCGAATTCAGATGGTAAAGCAAGACGGAAGAAGTGAGCATCCTTTCCTGTGCTTGAGGGAACGACTAAATTAGGCATGCAAATATCCGTCATTTCGCCTGCTTTCACTATGCGGCCAATGTTGATAGAATGCTTCACAGCCTGGGTCGAATTTGCAAAATTGGAGATCGAAGTGATACAGGTTTCTTCTGGCCATGCCTTTGTACCTGTATTCCAGACTCGCCATACCTTGTCAAACAGGGAACCAGCAACCAGACGTGCTCCATCAGGGACAGTGATATCAGCTAGCACTTGCATATCATAATCTTCTGCTACGCTTTGAGCATCTTCTTCCGCTACGGGGGCACTTGGTACAACATAACCGTCTTTCATAGTCATTAAACCATCTGCAACAAGTGAAGCACCAGGCAATTTTTGCGCTTGAACGGACAAATCTGCGAGACGTGCACGTACTGAATGAACGTCCTCATCGCGCACATTCTCAGTTGTAAGTGGTTTGGTATGGGTCGTGTTTAACGAATCTGCGTTCATTTGATCGATTTTTTCGATCGCGTTCAACAAGTCTTCGTTCATTTGATCCATTTTGCTCATGATGCTCAGAAACGACTCAGAGAACTCTTTACGGATAGGATGCTCGAAATCTTTGGATTCATCTCCGAAAGCATTTGTCTGCGTGTTCAATGAGTCTGCACTGATCTGATCGATCTTGTTAAGGATCTTTTCGATTGCATCATTGAAATCTTTGACTTCGCCTCCGAAGCTATCGATACGCTTTTCTGTCTTTCTTTGCTTCTTTTCCAAACGATCCATGAGTTGCGTAATTTTGTCCAATTGCGTCTCTTGCTGTTCCGTGGAATCTTCTTCGAAAATATCGGGCTTCTTCAGAGTGATATCAACGATCTCTTCAGCATGAGCAGACTTACGCTTGTTCATGGCAGTTACAGTAGCTTTTGCTTGAACTTTTGCCGTCTCCACAGATCGTGCATCCGGAAGTGGCTTGTTGATTTTGAGGAAAAGATGTGGTTCCTCTTCCGATTTCACATGGTGCAATGCCGGATTGGACTCGCAACTATGACACCAATCGAAATCTGCACAGTTGATGCATTTGTAGCGTGGTCCAACGATTGCTTTGTCACATCCATTGCAGATAACGTTAGGATGGATCACCCAGTCGCTAGGTGTAACACCCAAAGGCAAAGCATCTGTGGCTTGAAGCTTCATCCATTGATGGAAAGGATGGGTAGAATTTGTGGTAGCTTTACATGCCGAGCAAACATCAAAATCGATGCAAGCCGTGCATTTCCAGCGAATGCCCTTGATACGCTTATCGCACAAATTGCAAGCTGCATTGTGTTGGGTTGTATCTTTCACTGGACCAACCTCTTGACCTTGATCTTTTGCCTCAGCATCACTAGAAGGCTTCAATGATGGCGCTTGACAGTGAATGGATGATTTTAATGATGGATTGCATCGTCTCTTGCGATGCTCTTGTGCTTCTGATTGAATACGTGTGTAGATTGAACCAGGAGGATTTTGTGCTGATCCGGCTACTACGTGTAGCAAATCATCTGTTAACCGTTGCAAGCCTGAAAGTGGTCCAGGTGGTGCCACAGGGAGTGCTTGTGACGCTTCTTCTTGCTCTGGCTTTTTTACATGCTCAACTGGCTTGACCTTTTCTGCCGCTTTAGAGATGTCAGCTGCTTTTGTTTGCTCTGATGATTCCGGACGCAAAGAAGATGGACTTGGTCCGAAATACCAAGGTATGGGACGTTGCGAGTACTCTTGAATGCGATATGCCTTCCGAACTTCTTTGCTTGTCATTTGCTCTGATGCTTTTGGCCACATAAAAGGAGGAGGTGGTCCGGACGACCAAGGATGAGGATATCCCTGATGATTTCGAGAGTGGTACATCTTCCAGGCTTCTTTAGCTGCCAAAGAGCTCGTTTGCATCATCGCAGCCTTTTCTGCGACCGTCTCTGCCTTTACGCTGGGCATCGCTCTTTTCTTCCATGCCAAAAACACTTCTTCTGGTTTCACCTCCTTTTGGGCTGCGCTTGTATCTGTGAAAGGTGGAAGTACAACAGTTGACGGGATTTTCGCTGTCTCACATGATTGAGCATTTTCTCTTGCTGTCTCAAAGTCTTTACGTAACGCATCGAGCAGGATTGCTTGGTTAGCAAGTTCGCCACTTTTTGTATCCTTTTTGGAATCGCTTTTGCTGTTTACGGATGCCTCCTTGACATCAATTTTCTTCTTTGGACTCACGTTGCTAGAAATGTTCAATTTTACGGGAATAGCCTTTGCTTTTAATGCGCTTGATGGATTGGCCGCCTTGAAATTTGCACGTAAAGCGAATTGAAGTTCCAGTGGTTTACCGTTTGACATACATTGTGCTACACGATCTTCAAACATTATTTCCTTGTTGTCTTGAGACTTTTTCAGGTACACCTCTACAGAGTACATGTTCTGAGCGAATCCTAAAAATTGATCGCATTTCCTTGCGATCACATTTGGGAGATCACGACGGAATGCAGTGATGCATTGTTTGGTCCCGATGGGGACGGAAAAATCAACAATAGCACCAATTGGTCCAGTTTGCACTTGAGTTCCACCAATCATTCGCAAAGGTACTAACGTGCATGTGACTTGCAATTTGAATGGATATTTTGAATCTTTACGCAAATAGATGTGACTTGGGCTGGCCAAGTCATCTTTGTGCCATACCTCAGCCTTCACCATAGATACGTCGCCAAGGAAATGTTGAGCAGCAGGGGTGAATTCATCACAGGATGGTAACATGTAACGTGCAACTTCGTTATACGTACCGTGGTGCTTGTTTGAAGTTGGTGAATGTTGAAAAAAGATTTCCATATCATCCATTCTTACGCCGAGAGCTTTGAAATAGAGAAGTTTATCTTTACGGCGAATCTCACTCTCCAGCATCTCTGCAGTAAAGCTCTTGCCTTTTTGCAAAATCTTAACGTGAGGTAAAACGGGAGGTAATAAGACATTTTCTTTTAAAGCACCAACAGGTAGCATATGAATAATGAAGTTCATCAGCTTATATTCTGGCTGCGCTTCAGCCAATGAAGATGATTCGGAAGGGGGCAACATGGTGGCTACCTTTTGCAAAGGATGCTTAAAGGTGGTGGGCAGGAGAAAATGAAATGGGAATTGTGTCAAGAGGTGTTCATATGGGGTTTGACAATTACTTTCATGCAAGTGCTGAGTCACGCACAGACCAATTTGCTCAGTTATTGCGCCCATTCATGCTATTGTGTTCAAATATGCGTATCACTCAATGCATATACCGTGGGGGTGCATACCAGATATTCTATTCTATGTTGGCCTCACGTGGTGCGCGTTGACTGTGGGATTAGGAACTTCCCTTGGCTTGGCGTTAATCAAGGAGCCCGTACGCACACACTCACACGCAATGATTAAAGTATTGATTGACGTACGAAGGGGAAGGTTCATGCGTTCCTGGTTTATTAAACTGTAAATCATCATCTACCATCCTTAGATGATTGTATCCAATTGATAGCAAATATGGCGATCGGTGGTTATAGTCGTCTAAATGCACAAGAAGATGGATCGATCAATCAAACCGCAGAAGGGCGTGAGAATGGAAAGCCAACTTTCTCCTCTATCATAGGAAGGGCAAGAGTAAGATGGGCAATCGTGGGTACGCTTGCTTGTTTAACCTTAATCTTAGTTGGCTTGTTTGGAGCAAGTTCGGAAGATTCTCCATTGTACAGAGCAGCAGGATATTACAGACCCAGTCTCTTTAATGATGAAGGTATCTATATCGGCCCTCTTTCTTCCGCCGATCCTTGGGTCAAAAGTAGCGGTCGAAAAGGGCTAAAGTACAACACACCCTTTAATCCGGACGATCTCACCTTGACAGATGACGAATGTGACGCTTTCTTTCCTCAACTCTACAAGGAGATCGATCGAAGTGTGGAGTATTTCACGAACAAACAGAAGTATACAATCGAATATCTCGAATACGCATGTGATGATGGAATATGGACACATGCACGTGTGGTGATTTACAATAATCGTGTTTACCTGAAATCTTTCCAAAAGAGTGAAGAGATGAGATCAAAAGCTGCTCTTTCTCTATTGCATCAAGCTGTGACCGCTTCTAGACAGAAATTGCCCAATGTAGAATTCTGTATCGGTTTGATGGATTGGGGAAGTAGAGGGAAATTTGGAATCGATCGTGCTCCTGATTTGGAAGATGTTTGGCTGATGCCCGACCCAGGCTTTTGGAGTTGGCCAGAACATGTTGGGTCTTATCAAGATTTACGTGAAAGAACGGCAAAGATTGAAGAGGAGATTGGTTGGAACGGCAAAACTGATAAGTTGATTTGGAGAGGAACGTTGGAAAAGGGAAAGCAAGATCGGGAAGCATTGGTAGGATCAGCGCAAGGATATCCTTGGAGTGATGTTGCAGCAATTGATTGGACTTCACCTGATCGAAGACCGATTCCAATGGAAGATCACTGCAAATGGAAGTATATTGCTTTCCCCGAAGGAAATACTAATAATGGCCGTTTACGCTATCTTCAAACCTGTCACAGCGTTTTGGTGACCCATAAGCCACGTTGGGTACAGCATTGGACGCATCTATACAATGCCGAATGGAACAGTCGCGATCAGAATGTCGTCTTCGTTCCACCTCCATCCCTATCCGACAAGGATTCAACAAAAGGGGTTCCTGTGCATGGTGCTGATGGACGTGAAATAGGACGTGATCGAACATGGGAACGATTGCCAGAAACGATGAAGACACTTTTACGTAATGATAGAACAGCAAGAAAGATTGCTGATAATCAATGGAAATTCTTCCGCGAACGATACAGTACCCCCGCAGCGGCGATGTGTTATTGGCGTAAAGCGATTCGTGGATTTGCCAAAGTGCAACAATACGAAGTTGACTTGAGCGGATCGGAAACGAGTATGGAAACGTTCATGCTCAAAGGTATGCGTGATGGATTCCATTGAATGCAGCATTGATTGCAAGATACCCCCTTTTTTACCATGTACTTTTATATCGTGATCATATCTCACTTCTTGCTCTTTTCTTGCTACAGATCAATCTTTGGACGGTTATCTGCTTGTATCCAGTAATGCTATCATTTTTATATCTGACAATGTTAAATATACATCCTTCCAGGGGCTACCTTCCCTCTTTGCAAATCTTTAACTCTAGCAAGAGCGTTCCAGGATTGCTAAAATACATAAGCTGTTCTTCTGTGTCCATATCCTGGAAAGGTGCTTTTCATCTCCGCGGAGCTTCAATAATGATACGAGGATGCAAGATAATGTCTTGTTGACCTTTATTGAGATTACTTTCTTCGTTCAAGCGCCAAATCTCCTTGAAAGGCAATTACTGGTCTCTTCCAAGTCTGACTTGGTGCTCTAATGAGAAATACCGATGACCATCGATGTTTCTCGAATCTACAGTGAAATGATGATTATGAAGGAAAGATTCATTCAGTGCACTCTCAAGCGAGCTGATCTTATTCTATCACCGTTGCCTGCAAGGTACACTTTATTTTTATAGTTTGACCGGATTCACCACGCTAATGTATGCAAGAGCGATCATTGAGGCAAGGGTGCTGCATCATATCCTTTCATGTGTTTCGCTTTCTCGTGTTCGTCACTTTCTGACTAATCTTTACCTTGAAACGATCCCGATGACCGGTAATCTTCCGAATTATATCATTTCGATAAAAAATCATGTCATTATCGTATCTTCGATCGAGGGGTTATCCGGTATCTCGGCTGAAAGAACTGAAGACGTGATCAAGCGGTTCAATCAAATGTGGGGAAACTTCTCATTGTTCCCACACTAACTTTGGTTGTTTAGTTGCTCTTTATCATAAATCGTTCGATTTTTATAGCATTGCTAGCTTTCATTCCGAATGAACGGAACAAGCCACTTTCCATCAATTTGATTAATTCTCCGAAGTTGAAAGATTGTTCATCGGAATAGCGAGGCTATAAGATTATGTCATTATTAAAGCAAAGATTACAGAAAGTGTTAGCTCTTTCACATTGCAAGTTAAGCCCTAACCTCTCCTTTTTGTATTGTTTATTCAAGGCCATTGATCGGTATTTTGCGCCACTCTTATTCTTATCCGCTACAGTGTGGGCGCCTATTGTAATGTATGTTAATTATCCCAGAAAAGTTGATAATGCACTTGTGGCTGACCACGAAGATCGAAGGGGAACAGTGCTTTTGTACACGCGTTTAATTCATCTTGGGCACACCTGCGCAGTACAAGCTCGGCAAGAATATTCAAGTGTTATTGTAGGAAGGGGAAGGGGAAAATCAAGGTGCAGTAGCGTGATGCAAAGTCAAGCCACACGGAATAGGTACAAATTAATTCAGAAAAAAAGGGGGCCAAGTGGTGAAAGGAATGTATTGAATTTGCTTGCTCGTCTGCTTGCACACACCATCTGCATAGATCCGAGATTGAGATTTGACGGAGCATGAAAAGATTGCGTAAAATAAAGCCCCTTTTTCTTCTTTTACCGGAAATGATCTGATTCTTTGTTTTAAGTTCAGCCATCAAGATGTCAACAACATTTCACTCTCCGATTCATGCTGGAGGGCGTAAAAATTGATAAAGCCACAGAGAGTGGATATTCTTTGTTTTCAATTAGCCAGTAAATTGCATCTTCCAACTTCAATCAGAACAAAAGATCATCAAATGAAGAACGCGGCATTGCGCAAACATGTATGAAGCCGTGCCAAGTTTGATTGGGAATTGATAGCCGAGCGTGACACGAGTGTATACTTTTTTGACAACATTGTGGCTCATTTTAGCACGCAGGTCTCGGCTCCCAATTGCGGATAATACTGACATTTTACACGCGTTTAAAAAAAGGTGCACCTTAGCGGTTTTGATGTAACACATTCGTCCGCGTTCAGGTTTAATTAATTTTCCACTTTCCTTGCTTGTGCGCGCGTGTGTGTTTAACAATTGAAACTCTGATTTCTATATCATTCCGTTTACGGCCTCTCACTTAGCCACACCTTTTTCATTATCGAATGTTGACATAAAAGAAGAAGCCACCAGCAGAGGCCTATAAAGCGGTCAAAACCCACAATTGTGGCATTTTACCTTTACGGCGTTGTGAATCGAGTTTAAAAATACAACACACATAAAAACAAAGGCAGCCTTTGTTCCATCTTGTGTTGCTTTGACTGATGAAATGCCATCTATGCGCGCTTAAACCTTGACTTTAACGCGTACCTGTCACCCTTATGCAGAGTAAAATCTGTATGTATTTGTCCCATTGTTCTCTAAATGCATGCAAATACCCTTTGTTTCTTTTAGTCTAAGGTACGTGATCAGTGCAAATTGGGGAACAACAATAGATGATGATTGTACAAACATTCCTTTTGTTCATCCTTGGTTCATGTTTTTCATCCTCTCACTCCTCCTTTGTTCTCGTTACCTAGCGTATTATTCAACTCAACACCAAAAACAAGAAAGGGAAACATCATCGTCATCGTTCATCATCGGATATCTTACTTCTATCCGCTAGACTTTCCCACGAAAATCGTTGGTTCTCCCCTTTGTTGCGTTTTCTTGCTCTTCTCTGCGGTCTTTGTACCTCTTTGGTTTCTCGTTCCATTCTTTCATCATTTCGGTATTCAATTAATTCAGCCTTTTCAACCGGTTCAATCTTTCAGCTTATTACCACTCCAACAGCGGCCATCCGGTAAATATCCCCCTCGAAGCGGAATCGAAGTATTGTTTCAATTTCTCATCTTTATTACGACACAAAGGGAAAAAAGTTATTCTTGATCGTTGCAAAGAACAAAAAATTCAATTAGTGAAGGGAATCAACAATTCATCTTCAGCCCAAAACTAAGAACAAGAAAGGAAAACAAACTAATTTTGCTCTCATGTTATCAACCGTCATTTATCGTCATTAAAGGCGGAATTTGCGCGCCCTCAAACTCCCCCTGTTTCTCTTCCGTTGCCACAACTCTTCAAAGGCGCCGCAAATTCATTTCCACTTCTCGATTGCGACATAAAGCCACATAGCCTAAATTACGGTCCGTCTTCCTTACAAAACAGGAACGGTTCAGTACCTCGCAAAAAAGTACAAAGGGGGGGGGCGTTCAGCAGATGGCAATTCTTGCTCGCAATTGATCAGAACAACGCCAAAACAGATCACCGATTTGGCTATTACGTCACGAATTCAAATCGTATCCTTTTGTGAAAAAAGGTGAGTACCTGATCCAGAGAAAATGAAAAGATTGTCATGCACAATGCAAAATGAAGATCGCCTTTGTTATGCACAAGGTCGTTATTCTTCCAAATATTCTCTCATATTTCGTTGCCAAATGAATTGCGGCTTTCCTTCTCATTTTTGGCCGAAATTGGCCGGAAAGGATTGGAGAGAAAATAAAGTCGGAATGTGCTATCGTACGGGAGATTGACAGCCAAAACGGGTGAACTTTCATCAAAGGCACCGGAAAACGATGATATTACTTTTTTACCATTTTACGGCAAACAAGCCAATCAATGTCTTTCCGGACACTAAGGATCCAGTCAATTTACCTGTCATGCCTTTTGCAAAAAAGCGTTGTTTGCGGACCTGCAGCAGTTGTTGGCTATACTTATCATCTCCGATTCGAAGGACTTGTACAGCCAACTATAATTGGTTAACCCTTTGTTTCTTGCCTAATGATTTGCATCCAACGCCTTCCCTCGTCCTTTCAGTATCCGTAACACGTTTATTGCCCCGTATTTTCCTGCATAAGAAGCTGTATCAGCCTCTTACACAGCACCTTGACAATTATCTCCCCGTTCTATCAATGAACTCGATCCACTGACAACCTCCTTAACCCTTTTTTTCTTTACCCCTATCATCTTCAAATCGAACAATATTCGTGTCTTCAATGATGATTGCAACTACAACGATGCACTCTCAAATGCTACCATCAAACGGTAATGATGACATATCGCGAATGAATCGACCTAAACGACGTACGTTATGGCGACCGTCTACTTCGCACTCACCTGAACCGGATCGACAATCTGTTCAACAGCCAAGAGCACGTAATCGAATCTCGACAGGCTTCGAAAGTAGACAAACACCGGAACTAGATTGGGATCCACAATCTTTCAGCCCTGCTCTGATGCTATCGACGGTCAAACGAACGGAAACAACGAGATTCAATTCTGATTCACAACAACAACAAGAATCAAGAACCCGTAAAACTTCACTCAGAAGGAAAACAGGATTAGGTTCGCGCAGTGGAGAGAAAAGAAGGGTTGCGGTTGTGGCCGATACTGTGGGGCAAATAACATCTGAAATCATGCCGCACAGTCGTTTGATGGGCTTGCAAGGAAAAGCCAAAAATGCTGCATCTTCTTCTGCGGGACCTTCAACCTCGATACAACTGCCTAACGAACAACATTCGATCAAAGTCGGAGAAGGAAGTAGTGGCACACAAAAGAGATCGGAAGGGATACCAATTCGAATGCGTAGACCTTCTTCACAGAGTTTGATGCTTGATTTGGATGGTCTAGATTTAGGACAACATCCTCAAAGCACACCATTGCTCAAGCCTGCTACGAATTCCCCTCTCTCTTCCAGTTGGCAGAAAGAATCTTTGCTGCCATCTAGAGCGGCTTTATCTTCACAACAACCTTTGTCTCATCACAGACATCCCTCGGATGAAGAGTGTAATCATACTCCATCGCAATTTCACGATGAGGATACCTTTGCCGCTCATCTCCGCGATTGCGAAGACGCACACGATATACCAACAGTAGAAACATTTCTACAAAATCCGACAAAGAAACCGTGCGAGGAACAGAAAGCACAACAGAGCAATCTAACTCCCGATACCAATGAATATGTTCTTGGTGGCTTTGCAAGTCTCGGTATCGTCAAAACGCCAAGACCTCCAATGAAGACGAGCATGGGCTCGGATACAGATCTCACAGGATCTTCTTCGTCTATCGGTTTGAATTCTTCTGTAGGAAAGGAAGATGAATTATCTCCATGGACGACATTAAAGTTGCAACAGAGGAATCCAGTTGAAATCGTAGACATCTTATCGATCGATGAGATGGGACTTCATAGCATCAATGTTGGCAGCAGAGATGATTGGCGCGGAACGGCTTTGGTAGCAACGGGTACAGGTGAAGGTAGTGAGCAAGACACCAAAACCGAAGCGGAGTGGTCTGTTGCACGAAATCAGAAGCGGCAACGGAAGTGGATTGTTGCTCCAGCAGCACAGACACCCGAACGTACGGTCGTGGTGTCTGATCATATCACAAGAAAGAAGAATGCAGATCTTGTATCGATTTTGCATCCAAATGCATTTTCAGGATTTTCATCTTTCAGCTTGCGTTTCTTGCAAGCGGGAAGCCGCGCACCGGATTGCACAATTGTTCTCGCAACTCCTGCAACCCACCGAAGACGGATTGAAGAACAACAATGGAAAGCTTCTCCCGTTTCTACTTCCAATTTGAGCTCAAAAGGATTGCATGAAGAGCAAATGCAAAGCTGGGATGTGGGTACCAGTACAACGACAACACTCGATGAGGATGCTTGGCCTTCTCTCCGTGCGCGAACAATCAGTACGAACTTGCCGCCATTTGGAGCACCATCGCCTGTTCTCCGTGAAAGACGATTGACGCACTCCAAGTCAACTTCAACGATTGTTGCACCTTTTGCAGTTGAGATCGAGAGCAGAAGACCATCTTTGGGTAAAAGTATGAGTCATGAAGGATTAGCGCCAGACTTTTCTCCCAAGCCGAACGAACATGCATTCAGCGATCCGACAAGATCATATGATAGTGTACAGACGCATTCTTTCAAGCCAGCTACAGCCTTTGGCATGAAAGCTTCCAGTAGATCACCTTTTGAAGATTACTCTTTTGATCGCAAGACGTCTACATCAATGTTTGCAAATGCAGGGTCGATGTCACCTTCTGGTGTGGCACCACATGAGAGAGGACCTTCACCACGATCCTCGATGAGCGCATTCAACGCAGTCAAGAAGGAAGCTAGAGCAAGAGAAAGACGTTCGCCAGTTTTGCCATCTAATAGTGCTTTCGAGACAACCAGTTCTGTCATCAAGAAAGGCAATGTCGGAGCTGAATCATCTTCTCCTCTGGCTCAAAGTTCCACGCCACCAATTTCCGGAAAGCGTGAGAAACGATTGGGGGATTGGTTGCGTAGGAAGGTGCTACCTGTTGGATCTAATTTGGCAAATACTTCCAGCTCTAATACGACAAGTTCAAGTCTTTGGTCTCCTCCTTTACCGCCTGCGTGGGAAACGGCTAAAGGTGATCTTTATCGATCTCCACGTCTGGCACCACAAAGTGTGATTGAAGCATCTGGAAAGGAAATGCTTGATTACAGCAATCTAGCCGGAAGGGCTGCTTTGACCAACCGAAGCAACATTATCACCGATACGCAATTGAAGGGATCTTCTCCTAAAATCCACGCTTCAGAAGCAGCGGCGGCAATGCCTCCTCCTTCAGATATTCTCACTCAACGTAGGAGAAGTAATTCCGATGACATCGTTGCTGCTATCAGCGAAGCTCAACGCAAGAGAACTCAAGCCTTGGTGATGGGTAATGATGTTGACATTGCAACGCGCAAAGCCCGATCTGCTTCTGGAAATGCAAAGATGATTCCATCTTCAACGATCCATCCTGAAGGAATCAAGCAAGATTTGCTCAGCGATGGACTACCATCCGCATCGACATCTGAAGCCGGACATGCAGAGAATGCAAGTGTACCTTACGTACCTTCTTCTAATCAAGCAGCTTTGCTTGAAGGTACGCCGAAAGTGTTTGCTCCTGATCTGCTCGGATTGGGTGATGTGCCATCAGAAGCAATGACGATGATCATCGCTCTTCCACTCGGCAACCATACAGAATCATCGTATGCTTCTCGTTATTTGCGTGTCTCGTTTGTCCCTTTCCAAGTGGCAGCATCTTCTTCTCATGGAAGTGAAGATATGCAATTAGGAACTTCAAATCTTGGTGGAAGTAGTTCTGGCGGTCAACAATTTGATTCTCCTTTGATGCACGTTGTGTCAATGAACAATCAAGAGGCCATCTCTCCAGGAGAAGGTGCAAGCAATGAACAATCAAACACATCGTCTTCTGGCTTAAATTGGTACCGTCGTTTGGCACATGCATGGCATGCAACACCTAGTACACAAAGTGCTTCAAGCGATGACGAAAGCAGTGCTTACAACCGCAGTCCACCACCCGGAATGATCGGAGCCAACACGTCTGAACAACTTTCAAAACCCTTTGTAACAAATGATAAACGAGAACCTTTTCGAATCATTGCAAAGGTTTTGGCAAACGATCATTTACCTTCTTCTTTTGGATTAGGAGCAGGAAAGATTGAATTGGACTCTGCTACATCTTCTACTTCCACAACCACGCCTTTGACAAATGCAGTCAATCAAGGTATTCCTCAACCATTTAGTTTTCCAGTCATTTTGGGAATGTGCGATACTTTTGGTCGTTTAGATTTGATACCCGAAGGATGGCAAGCGATTGGCTTGGCCAATGGACCCGCACCTGATTCTGTTCCTTTGAATATTAACACAGGTATTGATTCAACCACAACGATCGACGTTCCTCATCCATTACGTGGAGTGGCAGATTTGATCATAGCTGGTTGTGCTGCTTGCATGGATTTGTAAGCGAGCAAAGGGAAACGTCTTGCAATTTTTTCATCATCATCATTTTTTATTTTCACATATTCTTGTACCAATCTTTTTTGTTGCTGTTTTCATCACTCTATCTTCTCTTTTTTCTCGTCATTTGCCTATATAATCTTGCACATGCCAATGTATAGTATCGGTCTTTTAACATTTGTGTGACAAGTCGTACAATTAAGGAAAGCATTTCCGATAGGATCGATTGATAAAAGTACAAATTGTATAAGTGATGTACACAAGAGAGATGATGATATGGTTTTACATGATACCTATGACTCTGATTCTTGTTTCGCATCCTCCAATTGATTGAGGACTTTCTTAACGTTCTCTGCATACAATTCCGGCTCCTCTCGGATTTGCTGCAAAACGGATTCGTCTTTTTCTAGCCAAGATCGTATCTTTTCCGCTTCTTCAATCAATGGACCACCTTTGATTCTTGGAACGGACAAGAGAGCACGTAAAAGGGAAGTATAGGTGAATGGACTTACGAGTTCTGATATGCTTCCTTTATTGTCTTGACCCATACCCAAATTTTGCAAAAGTTTTTCCAGAAGTTCGGCTCGATCTTTAGTTTCTTCTACTTCTTTGGGAGAATCAGAGTTTTTGTTACCCAAACCACGGGCCAAAATTTCAATCAAAATTTGCCAACATCTTCTATCCGGATGAAAGCCAAACCTTTGCATATCAGCAACGATACGTAAAGACCATTCTTGTGCTTTATCATGTTGTGGTTTACTATCAACTGATGCAATTTTTTCGCCTGGTTGAGAAAAAATATCATACGAAAACGCACGTGGAATCTTTTGCATAAAGAGCAAAAAGTGTGAGAAAGTTGGAGGAATTGCACCATTCTGTGAACTTATCATAGAAAATTTATCGTCAAACTCGTTCAAGGCAGAAGACACCCTCTCTGTGGGGTCCGTTTCTGTTTGGAGATGGGCCACACTTGCGATCCATGAACTATACAGTGTCTCCAACGCATTCCTTCTGTTTTGCTTTTGACTGTATACGAATTTCACCAATCCCTCTAAACCCAAGAGAGAAAGGGATATGTCAGATGGTGGACCTCGATCTTCACGCTTCCAGTTCAGAGTGAGTCTCTTGGATTGTTCTGAAGAAAGAACCTTTCGTGCTATGCTTTCCAACTGGGGATCGTAAATCTGTTCAAAATAGTTCTTGAGTGCAAGCTCGTATCTGTCATGCGAAAAACTTGATCGCATGTTGTTCTTCAACCGTGCAAAGAATGTTGGGGCCCGTTCAACATTATCTCCTTCTAGATTGACGGGCAGCCGGTTTCCAATGTCGTAGATTGCATCAAGATCCTTTTGCCATTTCGAGCGAGCCCAATTACGGTCATCTCTTGGTTCCGAATCCCTAATCTCAGAGAGGAATTCTGTCATTTGAATAATGTCCTTCTTTGTTCCCGAATTCGCATTGCTGCCCGCAGAATCTACCCGTTCGACAAACATTCTCCAAGTGACAGGCGAGATGAGACTTGCATCGCAAATGTCAGGTCCGATTTTAGCTTGTTGCTTTTCGTCCATGAAGATCGGGCTGGATTTGACCCAGACCGATGCTTTTGCAACCTGTCCGGCTTGGCAGAATGATCGAATGCAAGAATTGAACATCGCAGATAGCGCTTTTGTATTTGGACCTCTTCTGCTTTCCCTTCTCTTTTTGCTGACCTGATCAAAATGTTTGGCATCAAGGATGACTATTTTCTGAAAGACCTGCAACAATCTAAGTCCAGCGCCTGCCTGATTCCCAATATCAGCACTCAATTCACCATATTGCGAGTACCATTTGAAAGCATTGTGGGCAGCTTTACCGATTTCGTTTACGGATAGATAGCCGAATCTTGCGAGAAAGAAAAAGACTTTCAAAGCTACACCTGATTTAGCCTTTTCGGAGCATGTTAGTTGAAGTAATTGTGCCAAATAAGTATACTCGGCTCGAATAGATGTGCCAAGGCGTGATCGCTTTTCTCTTGCGGGGATCAGGTATAGCCATTGTATCGCAACATCCCAATTGTTCTGCCTTGCTTGATCCAATGCCAGAACAGAATATTTTAAATCAGGCTCGATTTCTGTCTTTAGATTGGTCAAATCTTTAAGCCATGTATTTGCTTCTGTGAATTTGTCTTGTGAAATTAATGAAAGTATCATTTCCCTGTGATCTTGTTTTCCCATTCCACGTCTTTTTGATTGAGAAAGATTTTTTATAATGTTTCCCAACGCCTCATTTTGTTCTACATATGTAGCATCTTCTTCTTCGAATAAAGAAGAATCCACGTTCTGTGTCTGCCATTCTGGATGTCCGTATGCTTCTTGTCTGGGTGAATGAATAGATCTAGAGGAACATGCTATTGACCGAGGTTGATGTTGTATCAGATCCCACCACGATGATAAGATTGTAGCTGGTGTGATAGCATGAATATGAGCTCTAGAGCTTGATGAAATTGAAGCCGAGGCGAGAGACCGGATAGGAAGTGGCTTTGTGTCGGTGCGTTTGCTAGTCCGGCGAAGTACAGCATGAAGAGATGCTCTGCCATGTGAAGGATTCATGATTCTACTTTCTAAAAATAGCTTTTATTCCCTCTCCTCTCTTCCCGTAGTTCATTTGCATACTTCCATGTTTGGAGTTGTCTCGAATAGAAGGTGAGTATAGGCAAAATCGATCACTGTTATGGGAAGAAGAATGCACGACATAAACCCGAAAAATGAAAATAATTAAGTTGTTTTCCTGTCAATTCCGAGACACTGCACACGCACACACAGCCTGGAATCACTGTTACACAGCTTTAAGCACAGCAATAGTGTACGCCCTAGTTTAGCGTGTATCGGACCGCTCCTTCTCAGCTTAATCTTAATCTACGGAGACAATTTCCCTTTCTTGGCGAGTGAGTCTTACATGTGGTCATGACTGATTTGTCCTTTGCGGAGGATGTGGCATGTAAGAATGAAAATACTCTGATTGTACCATTCCAACGGAAATGTCTATTTAGATGTGACTAAAATACGTTGACAGTTGATCCTTCAAAAATAAATATTTAAATACATTATCTTGGCATCTTTGATCTCCACATCCTACCCTCACCTCATTACTACTATACACATACGCATACATCAATCATGGACGACGGAGCTGTTGCTGGCGGATGTTGCGGATTGTTCTGCACCGGTATCTTACAACAGTTCTTCAATACACGTAAGTATATTCCTTGAGCATATAAAAGAAAGAGCATTTATTGACAATTTTCTACTTCTTGCTTTTAGGTACATGGGGTGCAAATTGGACTTGTTGCGATAAATGTTGTCGATGTGATTGTTGTTGGGATGCAGGAGAATATGATCCAAACAATAGACCGGGAGATGGAGTTGCAAGAAAGCATGATCAACAACAACAAGTCGATCAAACAGAAGGAGATGGGAATGCTCCTCCTGCCTATAAAGCAACTGATCCAATGACGGTCAAGCCAACAGAGAATCAACAAGCACCAGTCAGTGTTGGAGCGGGCGCCGTTCCAGCAGCCGCAAGTGAACCAGCTCCCTTGCCCGATGCTACAGCTGCTTCTCAACCCCAAGCGACCGTTGCAGCTGCATCCAATGCAGGCAGGACACAAACTGGAATGTAATAAACACTTTTGCCAGACTCTTCTCTTTGTATATACTTCTTGTAACTTATCATGCTCCAACCGGATCAAATTCTTATACCATCTCAGATCACACTTTGCCCAGATTTATCTCTTTAGTACTGCAAATACTGGTCTCGACCGTTGAGGTTCAGCCATCAATGCCTATGCCTTTGTTTCAAATTCAGCCAGGAACGATGATAGTCAATGCTGCTTTGTTTGCGGCTTGCTCTATACTTTCCGGATTAAGTGCATCCACCGGCTTCTGCCTTGTGTGAGCAGCCACAAAAAGCGCGTATTCGTCGTATACAAAACAAGGGCAAAAGTACGCTAAATTGGGAATTAGGAAACCAAAGTTGGGAAAAAAAAAAAAAAATGTCTTACGTGATTGAATCTTCTAGACTTGGATAGTGTTGGTGCATTGACTTGATTGCACACATACATCTTCCTCAACCATATATAAGAAGGGAAGGAGAGATCAACCTGCTTGCTCTATCAAACAACCTCTCACTTTCACCAAAAATGACTCTCTTTCAAGTCACCAGAATAACACAAGCTCGGGTCCTTTCCCACAGTGGAGCAACGTCTACTCGTATCCTGCATTCTTCTGCTCGGGTTGGACGTGGTATTTCGATCGGAGGAGGAAATGCTCAATCGGGATCTGGATCTTCAAGCAAAAGCACAAGTGGTGGAAGTCCATTCTCTGCTTTACGTGATGAACTGAAAAAGCAACCGTCAAAGGAACAGCCTTCCACATCGCAAGAAGCACGCTTTGAAGCTATTCGTCAAGATACACAGACAAGTACAAGTGCTGGTAGCAGTGCTACAGCTACAGAGAAAGCAGTTGAAGAAAATGCACCTTCTACACCGCAAGAAGCAGAACTAGAGTACAACAAACAAGCACAAAAGCAAGAATTCCAACAATCTCGTGATGAAACATGGACTGCAATGTCAGAACGTATCCGTTTAGCACAAAAAGAAGAACAAAAACAGGAAGAACAGGCAAAAGCTGCAGTAAGGAAAACATTGAAACAGAGAGCTTCAACCGCTCAAAAAACTACCACAAGAGCACCACCAAAAGTTGACAGTAGTCGAATATACTCGTTTGATAATACTATCGATGCACAAATGTTCGTCAACGGAGTTACCTCCACCCTAATTCAACAGAGCCCTACATGGCAAGGCAGCATCACCTTGCAACGCACATCACAGGGACATGCGACTGTAGACATGCATTTGGCAGAAGGTAGTGCATTGGCTCATTCTCTAGACAGATTAGCTGCACGCTTCCAATCGTCCTCAAGCAAATCACAACCCTCGACTGTAGGACAGAGAACGCAGGCTTTCCGTGCTGGCTCAATCCCACAAGCCAGTCAGAGTGCATCGGTGATGTCTGGCGAACATAGCGATTCGTCTTTGCACGAAACCATTGATGGACGTGTTCCGGTCACAATTCAAGGTGAACAAGTACCGGGAAACAAGCAAGATTCGATCGAGGCAAGAACAGGAAATGCCAGTCAAGGTCCAGTAGGTCAAGCATTAGGCGTTTCTGATTCTCATCCTACTTCTCCAATCGAAGATCATACGCCTGTGCCAAATTTGCACAATCAATCCAAGCGGGAATTCGCAACTTTGTTCGGAAGTGGTAGCGGAGGCTTACACTCTGGATCACAGTCTTTAGCATCGCTCGTTGGACTTGGTCGTCGTCCTTCCAGTGGACATGCGCTCTTTGGAAATCAAAAACGTCTTTTAGCCACTTCACATCTAAGTATTCAACTTTCACAATCTACTTGGTCACAGATCATGAATGAAAGAGAATACTTACGTGTGGATGATTATATCCCAGTCGAAATTGACGCTTCACAATTGGGCAAAAAGCGTTCTATTGCATCTCTGTAAAAGGGAGTTGTCTATCTTGCTTGTAATACTTATATAATCTTCGGTCACACTTGTCATCGGTCATTTGCAAATTTTATTTTATAGACTATATCATTTCTCGAATCAGACTGATGTACAAAGGTGACTATCATGAATATTATGTGTAATTTTTCCCGGTCATTGGATCAAATTGGCAAAACGTATCGCTTCGTTTGCATCACATTTGCCTTTGCCGCCGTTAAAGGTGTTGAACATTGATTGTTTGAATATCGTTTGGGTGACTTTGGCGTTCTTGGCGGTGGAGATTTACTGGAGGGTGAATGAGTGGGAGAAGTAGGATTGCTAACCTTGTCTGTCTTTGGAGTGGAGACCAGTGGAGCAGGAATGTTTCTGACCTGATGCATCGAAGAAGGTACAAACATGGCAGGATTCTGGTTTGACTGTATACTCATCGATGGAGAAGCGGCCAGGTAGACCTTTCGCGTATCAGTTCTCTGCGCTGTCTTGCTACTTGGATGTTGTTCTATCGGTTTGGCAGACCGTAGTGCTCGCAGAGAAAGAGGTGATCTTGGCGTACAAGGAGCTGAAATGGCAACATCCTTTGCAAATGGTGAAAGAGGTGTTGAGTGATTGTACAACTCTCTGGCCGTACTTGGAATTTGCAATGTAGAGTTTGGAGGTTGTACTCGTGGTTTGAGTGAATCCAATGTCATCTTCGTTGAAGGCTTCGGTGATCTTGGTAAAGGAACCTCAGATGGTAATGGCGATCTTGGCAATTCAGCACGTTTTGGCCCACTTGACAATTGAGGCAAGAAAGGTATAGGTGATTGCACTCCAGCTTGCTCTTCATCGTTCTCCCTTACTACTGGTGTTTCTGGCCAATCGGGCAAAGGCGTTGGAAATGGTGAAGAAGGTATCAAGTCTTGTTTCTTGAACGGAGAATCTGACGGAATGAATGCTGCCATTGACATTGGTGAAGCGTCGAAATCCATATCAAGTTGCATCGGTGCATCATCAATAGTTGCTTGACTTACAGCCATTGGCAATGGAGCTTCCTTTCTTGGCTTTGGCGACCTTGGCGTGATTGGACCACGGGGGAACAAACTTCTGGGCGTTGTTGGATCCAGTAGTTTGTTCGGTCTTGGTCTAGAAAGAGAAGTTGAGTATCGAGTATTAGTCTTGTAAACATTCAAAGCTTTTGGAGCGGGTGATTTAGGAAAAGTATGTTGCAATGCAGTGTTGGGAGTGAAAGCGTCCACCTTTGGAGTATTAAGAGCAGAAGGAATTGTTCCGTCCAATAAACGTAAAGGAGAGAGTGGTTCGATCGTTTTCAAGCACATCGGTGGCAAATCAGATAAAATCTGATCCAAAGCATCTTCCATTGTTCGGATTGCTCGATCTTCTTCCGCGATTTGTTCCATGTTAGAGGATATTTCAGAAGAACTGGGAGAAGAAGACAAAGAAGGAGCATCATAATCACCATCAAAGGTGATCTTGTCCTTGATGAGATGCAATGGGGTACTGAAACCATGACGTTGAGCTAGAGAATCTTTTGAATCGTCGTCCTCTCCGCCTTTTGATGACAATTCGGGTGAAGAGCTACGATCAAAATCGGGAATTAAAGGACTCTTTAAGCTGATCATCGAACACGGCTTTTTCTTGTTCATGTATTCATCGAATTCAAAACTTGGCGTTTCATCAGGTTGCAAGAAGTCATGAATTTGTTCGTGAAACGCTTTATTGTCATCATCTTCTTCTCCATTTTCGCCCTTCTGCTCTTGTGCTTCTCCCCGTCTATTCTCTTCCTCCTGCCTTTGCTCCTCTTCCTGTTCTGCAATTGCTTCCTGCTCAGGCTTCTCTTCGATGACATTCTCTTCCAATTTTTCCTCAATTGGTGTCTCTTCCGCTTCAAATGTAAGCACAAACCCAGATTCTTCGCCGCTACTAGGCAGAGATGGACTTCTCAGATAATAAGAGGGTACCAGAGACGAATCTGTCATTGTAGATGAAATTGAGGCAGCATAAGTCGGAGAATCACTTCGAGCAGGGAAGTCGGGCTCAGTAGGGCTGGTGATCTTCTCATCTTCGATGATTTGCGAGATCGTCTTACCCAAAGGCGAACAAGGTACTTCTTTCAGTAATTGTTCCACCATTCGAGCGACCGTATCCGGTGATGGAACATCATTTGCATGCTTTGCTAGATCATCCTCGTCCTGGTCTTGGCTTGATTCATCGGAGGCATGCTCTTTCGATTGCTTCTCCTGTCCGTCAAAATAGTTGTTAATACCTTCCTCTGTCACATCTTGGTCAGGTATCGTACCATCCAATCTTCTAACAGCCGTTTCAAATGCTGCTTTTCTTTCCTCTGGCAATCTCTCGTCAGGAGAATCTTGTGTACCCAAGAACAGAGTTTCCATACGATCTTGCTCTTTCTTAGGGTAAGCAACTTCTTCCTTTTGTTCTGCTTCAAGCGGATTCACTTGCAATGACACTGCAGGTGTGGATGCTCTAGTTGTCACAATTGCTGGCAAGTTACGGACGGCAGGTTGATGTGTTCTGACGACCGCTCCACTGCCATCTGGAGGAGATGGAGCAGGACGAGGAATTCCGAATGTAGGCTGCTTATGATGTCCCTCTGACTCATTTTGATCTTGTTCACATTCAATGATTGCATGCCGTGGATTGTCCGTAGTGATCAACTTTGGTAACGTGCTCATTAGCTCCTCAGAATAGAACTCCTCGCCTATCTTTGCACCTCTTGCTTTCGGACGTATGCGGGGCGTATGTGCATTCTCATTACGTATTGTATTGATGTCCTGATCTTTGTCTGCTTTGAGAAGAAGAGGTCGACCATTGCTTCTCTCACGACTACTTTTTGGACTCGCACGTTGTGTAGAACTTATAGAATGAAGCAAAGGCGGAGTTGCCATTTTTGGATGCCAGGCTTTTTCGCCCGTGGGAATGGGCGGTAAGGCTTCTTTTGGTGGCGGACATAAAGGAGGTGAATTTTGATGAAATTTCCGTAGATCAAACGGAGTTGCAATCGTTTCCATCTTGCTACTTCTGCCTGTTGTGCAAGACCAAATCGATGAAGAATCAAGTGAATCATGTTTCTCACTGCTTCCCATCAAAGATGGTACACCGCTCGTATGACTGGTAGATGATCCACTCGAAGAAAATCTTTCGAAATCAGCCTTTGTGCTGTATCGACTGGACTTTGTTGAGAAACTTGCATTCGATTCATTATCTGTTGAAAATGTCCTTTGATGTTGCTTTTGCCTTGACTTACTTGCAAATTGCCTCTTGCGGACATCTTCTGGAAGTCGGTTATAGTTTGAAAATGCTCCAGGCAATCGATCATCGATAATTTGATGATCAATTGAATTTGAACGATCTTCCACAGTAATGGCCCATTCTGCTTCATCTTCACAGTCCGTTTCATCACGGTAGAGATCAGTAAATTCAGCCGTAAGAGCGGGAGAAGAAGCTGGAATAAGTGACTTGGATGGATTATGAGAAGGAGGTATGATAGAAGGTATTTTCTTTGCCCTTGAGCCTTTCTTGCGTGGTTTGTATGGCCATTCTGCTGCGGGACCACGCATCCATCCTGCAGAAATGGCAGCACGAGTGTCGATCAAGCTGGACTTTCTGACGGGATTGCTGTTTTGCATTTGATTTTGCATGCTACTGCTTCTTGGTGGCACTTGTTCAGCTGTCTTTGGGTGATCTTTTGAAGTCCGTCTGAAAAATCCGCCCAATGAGCTATCCTCCGAAGATCTCACACTGCTACCACTGAATTCATCAATACTACTTCTGTAGCCAACATGATCGTCAATGGAGCCCCCTCTTCTGAAGGATGAGGTGGATGAGCCACCGATTGAAGGTGACTTCTTGTGCAATCGTTTGGAGAACGATGACATGAAAGAAGGCGATTTAGACCTTACCGTGCCATGATGATTGGACGAAGAAGAATGATCAGTTTGCTCACCTTCGTCTGAATCACTATCTTGATCAAAAGTTGAACGAGTATTTATTCCTAGAACTTGAAATGCTTTTGCGTTTGGTAATGTGGAAGGTTCACTTGGTCGCCTTGGCTTTGATAATGCAATGACTTCTGCTTCCCTTAGTGTGAACTCCAATTCTTCCATATCTTCTGATCCATCGATACATGGAATCATTTTGTGCGGAGGCACTGGTAATGGCTTAGAGAAAGTTGACATGATAGCTAGTCGATCAGGATTCTGCTCAAATCAGTAAGCCGAATAAATGCTGACCAGCAGCAATGTAGGATCCAAATGAGGATCGATCTTACATACGATCAACAGAAGGCGATGGTGGTGAGAAAAGATCATGATACAAGTCAAAGCATACCGAAATTCCAATCCAGTCAAATTTTTAAAAGATCATCTGACAACTACATTACTGGTCACAAGTGGCAAATGTGTAATCTTCCAACCCGAATATGCTGATCAAATGCAACTGAATGCTGCAATTCTGATCATCTGCCCTTACACCGATTCGGCGACTGAAAGGTCAGGAATAGAGTGACGTTATCAGCCTGAAAGAGCTGAAATTATGTTCATCATTTCCGCAACGTGGACATTCAATTGATCTTCTGTTGGATTGGCGTTTTGATTGGCGCCATGTCGGTGGGCGCAATGAGAGAACACTGATAGCATGCCAATGAAGTCAGACAGCCTTAGAGCTTATACGCCAATTCTTGTACGCCTAAAGAACACGCTAATCATTCAACCGACAAAACGTCACACACAATATGACAATATTCGTCATCCCGACAGGTACGCCGTCTGAAAAAAGCGGATATCAGTCTCCGTTGCTATGGTAACGATTATGGATGGATAAATGAGCTATGTCATCGTTTTTGTCCGACATCAAGGTCGGTGTGTCTGGCACCGAAGCTATGGCAGAAGGTGCACACTCCAATTCTCGTAATGTGTGTAATCTGGTCTAGATAGAGATTTGATTAAATAAGCAAGATTGGATTGCTGCGCGCAGTCAGTAAATCACGTGTTTTTACAAAGTCGCAAAAGCCCACGCGAGGAATTTTTGTCAGAAGCGCCGCAGAGCAAGTTGTACGTACGCTTGAGTATTGACATTGCTGCTACTGACCTAAGAGCCATTGACTGTTGAAGTGAGAAGCCTTGCTTGCTGCGAAGAAAGTAAACGAACGCACTCGTGCTGTGCGCGCCCGTTCCTCTGAATCCATTCAAACTGTGAATTCGTTCATTCATTCCTCTTTCACCTATCTTCCATCGACTCAAGATCAATTTATAGTCAAGTACGTATCTCAAACATGTCTCTTTGACCGCTGTTCTCACAATCACGATCACAGTAGACTAACCAACATCTTCTTTTCCTTCTTTTTCATTCAGAATGGTAAGTTTCACATTCTGAATACAGATAATATTCGACATTGGCAGTGCTTTCGATCGACAGATGGGAGGCTATGGGAATTATGTTGAGAAATGTGACGGAGATGGCAATGAAGCAGATGGCTCATATTATGGAAGACATACCGAAACGACATCAAATTGCTTTTCTACTCGACCACCAAACGACTGTCCCGATCCCAGCAACCCTGGAACATCCCAAGTAGGATTCTATTACTCTTGCACCGCAGTGTTGCACATCTTGCTTGATGCTGATACAGCTAGAAAGAGTAGATCTGCGACATTATCTCGCCGTAATGGATACAATCCAGCAACCCCATCGTTTGCACGGATTCGACATTCAAGCACTGCCAGAATACCTCGACCCTTTCTTCAAGCTTTTTTACTCACATTCTTCTTTCTCCCTACTTTCAGGTACGTGGACCCCGGAAGCATTTGAAGCGTTTGGCCGCCCCATCCTCATGGATGCTCGACAAATTGTCAGGTACCTACGCTCCCCGCCCATCTGCTGGTCCTCACAAATTGCGTGAATCCTTGCCATTGGTCGTCTTGTTGCGCAACCGTCTCAAGTACGCTTTGACAGGTCGTGAAGTTACCGCCATCACTCAACAAAGATTGATCAAGGTTGACGGTAAGGTTCGCACTGAAAACACATACCCTACCGGTTTCATGGATGTCGTTTCCATCGAAAAGAGTGGTGAACACTTCCGTATCTTGTACGATGCTAAAGGAAGATTCGTCGTTCACCGTATCACCGCCGAAGAAGCTTCATACAAATTGCTCAAGGTCAAGAAGGTTCAATTGGGTGCCAAGGGTGTTCCACAAATCGTCACACACGATGGACGTACCATCCGTTACAACGACCCATTGATCCGCGTCAACGACACTGTTCGTTTCGACTTGGAAAACCAAAAGTTGCTCGAATTCACCCACATGGACACAGGATCAAACGTCATGGTCACTGGTGGTCGTAACCAAGGTCGTGCTGGTGTTATTGTTGGTCGTGAACGTCACCCTGGTGGTTTTGACATTGTCCATGTTCAAGACACTTTGGGCCGTCAATTCTCTACCCGTTTGAACAACATCTTTGTCATTGGTGAAGGCGGTAAGCCATGGATCTCTATGCCAAAGGGAGGTGGTATCAAACTCACAATCGCTGAAGAACGTGACAACCGTCGCCGTCAACGTGAAGCACAAAACGCATAAGCAGAATGATTGTGTAAACAATCTTTTTGTCTTTTGTTAATGTTTTGTGTCTCTTGTTTTTAGTGCCCTTCTCTTCCATCGCATATCGATCTCATAGTTGTGTTTCTCGCCGTTCACATACTTGATCTACATACATTTACATATTACCTATACGAGCATCCACACTCATCCATGTATGAAAAGCCGGCAAATATGCCAAAAATGACAATGAGTCAATTCTCAATCACTAGGAACTATTGAAGAAGTGAATCAGCAAAGTCCTCCAGAGGCTTGTTTGTTAATTGAAAGAGAATCTCATTTCTGTATCGTTTAGCAAGGTAACACCCCCCTCCCCATGCGACTGTAAAGCTTTCTGACTTGTGCCGTTTTAGAGAGCGAGCCCTGCGCCGGCGTCAACACTGTCTAATATGTTCTATTTCTATAGGCAGGGTGCGTGTAGCGTCTATTCAAGTAACACAAGAAACAATAACATTTGTATTGTTCTCTCTACCATGTCGAAGAGATAAAAGAATGCGACCAACTTTGCATTTGGGCATGCCATCTGGTGTGGGGGATGTGCGATGGCAAGCACTTTCTGGACCAATGCAAGGCTTTGATGCAGTTCGAATTTTATCGCAAATCCTGTCCTTGCAAGCGTTACACTATCTCGCTTTATCTTTCATCATACCGCCTCTATTAGGATTATTATCGTTTAACAAGCATGCCTTAAACTTTCAAGGCGGACCAACTTCTCTTTCAATGGTATTGGATTGGCGTGAAATTGCTGGATATCCGATCTTAGACGGAGGTAGACCATGGCCATGGAACAAGTACAAAGTAAAAGCAAATCAACGTGAGATTGATTTTTTACGTGATTCAAACTTGCAAACTAGCGATTCAGATAAAGATCGAATTGGTACGAGGTTTTGGTGGGAGTATGAAGCTTTTTTGCATAGTCAAGACAATTATTTTATCAAAATTCAAGATATTGGAGAAATTGCATGGGAAGGTAAACGATTGGGAGCAGGAAGTATTTTGGAAAAAGCGGCTGCAGAAAGATTGATCATGGAAGCTAAGATGGCTAGCGATACAAAGAATGAAAATGCAAAACAGCAGGCTATATATGCCAATCAAGGCTGGTGGCCAATCTTTGCTCAGGATTCGTCCAGAGGTTGGATCATCGTAATTGCATGGGCTTTAACAGGTGCAGTGGACGTATTTTTATTGTCAATCTTGATCAGAAGGCCTACCCATATTCTAGATCACACAATCACCCTTCACGTAATCCATCTCGCTCTTACATGGACCTATACAAGAGCTTTCCCGACAAGTCTATTCTATTGGATGGTTATGGCAGGACATATTGGCGCTTCAGTCGTATGGGCAGAAGCTTTATCTATTCGCAGAGAGATGAAATCTGGATTCCAATCTGGCTTGAATCAGAATACAGATACTGAAAGTGCACGTAATCGCAGCGGAAGCAATGAAGAGCAAGCTAGATTGTTGAATTCAACAGATGACGAACAGTCAAAGCGCTCACATCGTACGTCCAGTTCGCGTTCTGCACCACACGTGCTTTTTGATGATGATGATCAAGATGACGAAGATGATCAGAAGAGTAGCAAGGATAGATACAGAAACGGTAGTCATGGACACGAAGAGATCGAAATGAAGAGAATAGATTAACTGCTCTTTTGTGCTAAAGGAAAGCGTATGTATTTTACAAAACTGTACTATCTTTACAATCAATATTTATTCCCATTGCTTTAACCATCTTTGCTTTGCCTCTTGTCCACCTCTGAAAGCCCATTCTACAACAACAACATCTGCATCAAAGCCTTCTTCTTTCTTGGGGATCTCAAGACCTTTGTAATAGCTAGAGATTGCCAGCTTGGGTAACAATTGTCTTGGCTCGTTGATAGGTTGCAGTCCGGCCCTTACTCGAAAGAGATTGTTATGCCAACAAAGTTCTTCGGATACATCAAAGAATACACATCGAACTTGAACATTACCCAATTCTTGTGCGATTTGGATATAGTGCGATCTTGTTGTTACGTTTCTATTTGTATTGTCCACCACGACTGACCTACCAGCTTTTAAGCTATTTCGTACCTCATTTTGACATTTAGCAGCAGTTTTCAAAGTGTCCTGATTGACCCAAACATAATCTCGATCGGCGAAATGTTGACGATAAAAGCTAGTCTTCCCAGCCGCTGGTGGGCCGACAAATAGAACAAGGTCAAGCTTATCTGAGCTCATAGACTGAGTGAAAAAGTTTGAGGGAAGAGTTCCTTTTTCGTCGTTGGCGTCAGGTAGTACGGGACGCCAACCAGTCAGCTTGTAGGCTTTTGGCTTTTCGGAGAGGAAGTACTCTTCCGGAGTATAGAAGGAAATTCCAACATTGGTTGCCCATTTGCGATCGGTATCAGCATGATCGCCTACTCTTCCGGCAGCATCTCCGACAAAGAATGAAATTTGTTCGGTAAAGGGTATTGAAGGGTCTACATCGATATCCTTTGCATTTCCACCTGCTTCGACGTAAGACTGGACGATTCCATGATCCCACATCAGTCTACCAGGCTTTCTGAATCCATCTTTTGCAATAGCTGCAAAGATGATCATGGGACAATCGATCACACGTGCGATATTTGCAATTTTTACCTTCCACGTCTGTAGCCTTTTTGATTTTGGGTCACTTTGACTTTGATTGGTGATGATTGCAATGCATGATCCGCTCTCGTATTCCTGCTTTACACGTTCAAATGTACCCTTGAATGCTTGTTCGTAATCAAATACGTCTGTAGCTGATGGCCATGTCTTACCTCCCTTGGGCTTTATTAGACAACCGTCCAAATCGAAGCAGGCTACTTTGACCTTTCCAACTTTGCCGTTCTTTTGTCTTGATTCCAGTTCACGTTCGAATGGATTACCATACTCTGCGTATAAGCATGTTCCTTGTGCTCCCAGAGGTTTCTTCCATTTCAACGCAGATGGCGACGCTGAAGAAGATGCAGCTGCATCATCTCTTCGACGAAAGATTGGCGCAAGTTGAGCAGATGGAGAACTTTGTCCTTCCATTTTTGTACGTTTAGGATCCTTTTTCACCTCTGAAGATGGTGTCCTTTTAGCAGAGGCCAACACACGATATCCATTCCCTTTGCTTTCCGTCATCTTTCCGGCATCCTTGGTCATAGTCCGTATATATCGCAAACCGATATGCGAACACGCTGTCTTGCGTGCTGCATGAATTATGTTCAAGTGGATCAGGTTGCTGATATGAAATGAGAGATTGATTGGTTGGTAATGACTCAGAATCAATATCACTTTGTGTCTACTTCTTCCTTCGAATCAATAGGACGTCCATTTGATGATGTGAGTAGTAGAACAAAGACACCACTTGATGACTAGAAGCCAAGCAACAATAACCTTATTTTGAGATCCTTCCCGCACCACTTCATTCCATAGAGTATGTCACGCTGTGCTTCGCGTTATTTGGCATGGAGACGCGTCTTAACGCGGAAATCTAACAAAAGTGCTGCTCTTCCCTTCGAGCAATTAACACGGCTTCTTGAACGCGTTTCCTCAACTGTACTGAGAGTAGATGCAATCTAACACCCGCGTACAGTGCGTGTATTAACGCGTTACAAGGTTCTCTCAATTCTCAAAACCATCAATTGTCTTTACCTTTACAGCTACATCCTATTCTATTCCTCCATCTTTCTCGATACATTGCTCTTTCTGTGATACAAGGTCACAATGAGTAGTGCTCGAGTCAAGCGGCAGAACGCTTTAGCCGCTTTGAAGGCAAGACGCGAAGGTGGAACAGGAGCAGGTGTTTCAAAACACAAGAACAATTCAGGATCAGGATCAGAATCTGAGAATGACATTTACGATGAAGTATCAGAAGATGAATACAAATCCATCGTACGCGGAAGATTGATGAACGATGACTTTATCGAAGACGATGACGGATCAGGTTACGTGGATGACGGACGTGACGAATGGAATCAACATTCCCATCAACATGGTGAAGATGATGAAGATAGCGAAGATGAAAATGATTATTATGAACGTACAGGACGCAAGAAGAAGAAAAAGAAGCGTGGAACAGCAACAGCCAAGAAAGATCGTTTACCAGCAACCAATCAAGCTGGAATGCCGTCCATGTATGCAAAACGAAATGATGGAGGCGTACCACTAGCACATTCACGCATTGCCAATACAACGATCGATGCATATAGACCTGCTGTCAAGGCTGAAAAGGAAGACGATTTCATGAAACGTCTTATGGGCGGATTAGGTGACAGCGATAGTCCTGACTTTGACAGTCCTACACCAAAGAATCGCTTCTCAGCCGCTGCTCCTGAGATCCGTAAACGCAAACAGGAAGTCGAGGCCCCTTCATTCACACGCTTACGTCACAGCCCTATGAGTCCACCAAGCAGCGATCCGTTGGATCCACCATCAGATGGTCTTCAACCTGACGTGCACATCACTGGCAGCGATACACCTCCATGGTCTCGCGGCAAGAATGATATGAGCGATGACGGCGATATACCCACTGCAAAGAGAGTGCGCTCAGCTTCGAAGAAGATCGGAAGTATGGGCATTCAAGATGAAAAGGAGCAAGATTCACATCACAGAAGATCTAGATCACAATCTCGAATCGATCCTGACTTACTGGCTGCCCTTGATGATGACATCGATATGGATGACGATGAAGCCGAACTGGGACTCTCTATTCGTGCACCAAATGCAGCAACATCGTCTAACGGTCACACAGTTCGCGTCAATGCAAGCAGTGTTCGCTCAAAGCCAGCTGAGCCAACGCCCATCAAAGTGAAAGAAGAACAAGAAGAAGTGAAGCCGCTCGTGTCCACATCACCTTCATCAGCTGAACCATCCAAGCCTGTCGCAGTGCTCAAAGATACTTGGAAATCAATTGGTGCCAAGTTGGCAAATGTGGAAGATGCATCTGCAAGTCCTGCTGATGCCAAGACCGGTGCATCTTCTCTTTCGTCTACCTCCAAAGTCAGCCCATACGAGCCTGATGGTCGTCATGTGCGATTCTTCTGGACTGATTATACAGAACAACAAGGTATAATCTACTTGATTGGTAAAGTGAAAGACCAAAAGAGCGGCAAATTTGTTAGTGCTTGTCTTCAAGTCGAGGGTGTTGAGCGTTGTGTATACCTCTTACCCAAAGAAGGTCAAACAGAAGATGATCTATACGATGAATTTGACGAGATTCGCAGCAGGCACGGAATCAAGTCCTTCTTGTCCAAATGGGTACCTCGCAAGTACGCATTCGAAATTCCAGATGTTCCAGCAGAAGGTAATTATCTCAAGGTGAAATACGGTTTCGATGAACCACAATTGCCTTTGGACTTGAAAGGCAGGACATTTTCACGGGTCTTCGGTGCAAACACAAGTGCATTTGAACTTTTCGTCGTCAAACGTCGTATCATGGGTCCTTGTTGGCTTGACGTTGAAAGTGTGGATATCCGTGATGCAGGCTCTACTCCTTTGAGCTGGTGCAAGATCGAATTGAGCGTTGATGATGCAAAGTTTGTCAAGCCATTTGCTGATACAGACCAGAACGCACCTAGAGAAGTACCACCACTAACCGTGATGAGCTTGTCAATCAGGACTGTGGTCAATCACAAGGAGAATAAACGTGAAATTGTCGCAGCAGCGGCAAGGACATGGAAGGATGTTCAAATCGAAGATCCCACTCCACCGGAGGATATGCAAAGCAGTCTCTTCTCTGTCGTACGACCGTTGGGAGATCAGTTCCCACCAAACTTTGAACGTGAGGCAAAGGCAGGCAAGACAAAGATTCTGACTGTGAAGTATGAACGCATGCTGTTAAACACTTTACTTGCCCAAATTCAACAACAGGATCCGGATGTGATTGTGGGTCACGAATTCAGTGGTGTCACTCTTGATATCCTACTTCATAGAATGCGTGATTTGCGCGCAGATCATTGGAGCCGAATTGGTAGATTGCGAAGACAGAAGATGCCAACGCTCAAACAGGGTTTTAATCTGCGTAACGCTTCTGGTCGACTGATCTGCGACTTGGCAAGTGATACAGCAAAGGGTATGATCACGTCCACAACTTGGTCTTTAACAGAAATGTGTGCAAGTCACTTGAAAGTTCAACGAGAGGACATTGATCCGGATGATACAGCTTCTTTCTTTGATTCATTGGCTCCTTCCCCGGAAAGATTGATCAGCTTTGTTCGTCATAACGAAGTGGATGCCTTTTTCCAAATGGCATTGGCATCCAAAGTGCAAATTCTTGGATTGACGAAACAATTGACAAATTTGGCAGGTAATTCTTGGTCAAGAACTTTGAACGGTGGTCGTGCAGAACGAAACGAATTCATTTTATTGCACGAATTCCATCGACAGAAATACATTTGCCCCGATAAGCTTAACAAAAGTGAAAGGGAACAACTTGCACGTCAACAACAATTGCAACAACAGCAAGAGGAGGAAGAAGAAGGAGAAGGCAAAGGTGCAGTAGTCAAAAAAGACAAATACAAGGGTGGTCTTGTCTTTGATCCCAAGAAAGGTCTTTGGGACAAGTATATCCTTGTGATGGACTTCAATTCCCTGTACCCTTCCTTGATTCAAGAGTTCAACATCGATTTCACCACCGTGGACAGGAAAGACTGCAATGAACGTCCTGATGATGTGGATAAGATGCCAGAAATCCCTTCGAGTGATGTCAGTCAAGGTGTTTTGCCAAGATTGATTTCCACTTTGGTGCAAAGAAGACGACAAGTGAAAGGATTGATGAAAGACCGAAATGCAAGTGCAGCAAAGCAATTGCAGTGGAACATCAAACAACTTGCCTTGAAGCTGACTGCAAATTCCATGTATGGTTGTTTGGGTTTCGAAGGAAGTCGTTTCTTCGCTCGTCCATTGGCAGCTTTGACCACATTCAAGGGCAGAGAAGTCTTGACAGCCACGAAAGAATTGGCCGAAAGCCTGGGACTCGACGTTATCTATGGTGACACAGATAGTGTTATGATCAATACAAACGTCTTGGACTTGGACGAAGCAAAGCGAATTGGTAATGATTTCAAAAAGGCGGTGAACGAACGTTATCGTCTATTGGAAATCGACACTGATGCTGTATTTGAGCGTATGTTACTGTTACAAAAGAAGAAGTATGCTGCCATGAAGGTTGAAGATGATGGCAAACGCATCACCGAAATCAAAGGTCTGGATATGAAGAGACGTGAATACTGTGCATTGTCCAAGAATGTTTCAAATTACGTACTGGAGCAGATCCTCTCAGGTCAGGCAACAGAATCTGTTGTTGAACAAATTCACGAATATCTTGAAACAGTTGCTCAGAATATGGATAACGTTGCGTTGGATGACTTTATCATCTACAAGAGATTGTCCAAAAAGGTGGAAGAATACAATGAACAGTCGGCCAAGTCATTGCCACACGTCCAAGTTGCGAAACGGATGCAAGCTAAAGGTATCACTGTCCGAATGGGAGATGTGATCCCATACATCTTCTGCACATCAGAAGAAGGCACGAGCTCCAAGACAGCTCAAGCTGAACGTGCATACCATCCTGACGATCTCCGAAGGAAGGATTCCGACTTGAAGGTAGACATGCAGCATTACCTTTCACTGCAAATCCTTCCGCCTGTCGAACGTCTGTGTGATTCAATCGTGGGAACAGATCGAAGCAGACTTGCAGAGCATTTAGGTTTGGATGCTTCCAAGTATCAATCCGTTTCGCTTCATTCATCTGCAGATGATCGACAATTCGTCACGCTTGATAGTCAAACCCCTGACGGAATTCGATTTGCTCAATGTGAACCTTTGTTGATCAATTGTCCGGGATGCAATCAAAGCGTCAAATTTTTGGGTATTCCTGGCCTGATGCAATCAAGCAAACCTGGTGACAAGGAAGCATCTGATGCTTCTCATTCTTTGACACCAATGGGAATTGCATGCCCACAGTGTGAACGCCAATGGGGCATGGCATACCTAGCCGTTCAGCTTGAAACGACAATTAGACGTTATATCGGTCAATATTATCAATTCTGGAACGTGTGCACAGAATCAAGTTGTGCCACTGCCACACGTTTACAAGGTATTTCTGCAAAGCGTTGCTTAGTATCCGGCTGTCACGGAAAGGTGATGGTACAATACGGCGATAAAGCTTTGTATGATCAATTGTGTTACTTTGAATCTTTGTTCGACGGAGAAAAGGCATTGAGTAAAGCTCGAACAATCTTACAAAACGCAATGACTGGAAATGACGAAAAAGAAGATCACAAGAATCCAATCGCCGTCAATGCATCAAAGCAGATTGAGTTGATCCAAAGTCGTTGGTTGATCGGAAGTCCAACAAGAAATGCTTTGCAGACTCTGCTTGGCTGTGTGACAAAGTATACTGCCCAATCAGGTAGAAGATTTGTCGCACTTGAAAATCTATTTGGCTGGATGAAGGTCAATAGTCAGTCTTAAACTTTTATGTCATTCTTATATGCATTATATCATATCACTTTCTTAGGAAGTTCTGTATTCATGTCTCTCAATTTTGCAATAATCATTCATTGTCATGTCAAATATGTGCTGCTGTTAACAATTTCGACGTAAATAATGTTAGTGTTCCTTGTGCAAAGATGAAATTTTCTGCGGGTAAAGCTTCCGCTGTGAATTTTTTTCTAATGATACATTTTCGTTTCATCGTCATTGATGGTGCTGTGCTTGCTCTTGTTATGAGTTAAAAGGTTCATTCATTCCGTGATTTTCCATTCCTCCCATTCCCATTGATGCCCAAATATTTTGATCCATCATGGGTGTTCCGGCGGATATTCCTCCCATAGGCTGCATTGGAGTCATTATTCCACTTTGTTCTTGTGCTTGCTTTGGTGATTGCAAAAATGCCATTGGGTTTTGATTTTGACCTTGTGCTGTAAATGGTGATAGACCCATCTGATTTTGATGTTGATGCGATTGGGGATCAAATGCCATCATTGGTGATTGCTCAGCCATATGGTGCATTTGTTGTTGCTGCTGTGGTTGTTGATGTTGAGCTGGAGGCCCACCAGGCTGACCATTAAATCCAAGACCCAAACCATTTATGGATCCTGCAGGTCCTTGCTGTGGAGGATGCATATTGTTTCCGGTGTTCATCATTGGATCCTGTTGAGCAGTGAAGTGCATCGGAGCACTATTGCCTGGCTGATGAGGATTGCCATTACCACCACTGCCGTGCTGTTCTGGATCGCCCATTCCGTTTCCTTGCCAATTTGCCGGCATACCCATTCCGCCAAAGTATGCAGAAGATGGTGAATTGCTTATAGCTGACATTCTTTGTTGAGATGCAAAATTGAATGGAGTTGCAGGCGCTGACATTGGTGGTCCCATAGACGTTACCGGAGATACAGGAGGCATTTGAGAGGCCACAATCGGTCCTTGAACTGAGCCTGGCCTTTGCATACCTTTTCCGGCAGAACTTGGCGGATTGCCAGATTGATCATCTTGTTCACGATTGTTTTGCGAAAGTTTACCTTGCAGTATTCGCAATTGCGAGATTTGATTAGACGAACTAGAAGTATTTCTTTGCATCGCCACACCACTTAGGGGATTATTCGGCTGACTACCTCCTCCTCCTGTATTGGAATCGCGCATTAATTGTTGTTGGAGCTGTTGTATCTGAGCTGAAATCTGAGAAGTTGCATGTGATTGAGCATCAGACTGTGCTTGTTGCGCTTTGCTCAAGTTTGTTCGCTTACTAGCAGGTGATACCAGGCCTTGATGTCCGATGATGCTCTGGCTTTGCGTTTGAAGTTGTTTGGCCAAATTCTGATGCTCCTCAAACGTGCGTGCTGCTTCGGCTGGTGATGCAGGAGGCGGTGGAACCTGTCCGTTCTTACGATTTGTGACGGGAGAAGTGTTATTACCAGATTGACCTGCATTTTGTATTTGACTCAAAGCTTGGAGGTTCACCGAAGATCTTCGTTTTTTTCTAGATGCCAATTGACCTGGTGACTTTCTCGAATTGTTGAATGCAGGCACGCCGCTCGAATGACCTTTTGATGTCGTTGGAGATGGAGGTACATTCATCGTAGAGATAGGCGAAGAAAGTCCAATGGTAAGGTTGGGAGACTGTCGGCCTAAATTTTGATTGTTGCCATTCCGCGATTCATTCGTGCCTATCTTTGATAAAGATATCGGACTAGGCTGAAGTGAATTGATAAGTTGCATTGATGCATTTTGCTGATGAATTTGCGATTGACGAACAACATTTGCCAATCTGCTCTTCTCCTCTCCACTTAAAGATTCGATTGGTCTACCCTCCCATCCCATACGCTGCATCGAAGCGGCCGTCTCTCTACCCAATGTTCTCGGAGTCAATTGTTGCATGACGGAATCCTCTGAAATATCTGAAGAACCCCAAAAGCGGGCAGCAGCAGCGGCTCCGGTTCCAAAGGGCGAAGGTGTTAATGAACCACCTCCCAAAGGGCCATTTTGATTGATCTGGGAAGGTGTATTTCTGAAAATAGGTTCCGTCTCTGTCCTTCGCATATCACTGCCATGACCGAAACCACCTGCCATCGCTTGTGATTTGTCAAATTGAGAAAACAGATCCTGCGGTGAATCAGATTGCTGCAATCGAAGAGAACTTTGCGGTTGATCTTGTTGTGCTTTAACGTAATTTTGCCAAAATGTCTTAAACCATTCTAAAAGTAAACCTTGATCATGTTCCTTGCCAAAAGGAACGCCTTCATCCGTTCTTACGCCTGTCTCACTGGCAATAGAGTTGGCAGCTTTGATCAGATTATTCTTTAGACAATAATCGTGCATATATAGATGCAGCATCCTTTGAACATCACCCGGCTGAGTGGGTGAACCCTGAGCGACCTGCTTTGAATTCTGTTCGTTTCTGTCGGACATCATGCCAGTCGAGCTGGTTGAGATATCCATTTGAGGACTTATCGGACTTTGTTGCATTTGATGTTGAGCTTCTAAATGCATCGGGCGAACATTGATTTGTTGTGAAGGTTGTTGCTGTTGCTGCTGTTGTTGAATATTTCTCTGAGGTGCCTGCATTCGCCCTTGCATCTTTGAATCGGACGATAAGTTCATGTTCTGCTGCTGCTGACTATTCGGCCCTGCATTCATCTGCATTTGTGGTTGTTGCTGGAGGTTGTGTTGCATCATCTGCCCGTTAGAGCCTTGATTGTGCTGTTGTTGCTGAAGATGCATTTGATTCAATTGAAAGTTTTGCTGTTGTTGCATTCCAGACAAAGGTGAATTACGATTTGGCATCATAAGCGGAACTCCTCTTGTTCCTCCTGTCATGGCTTGATGGTCATTCATTGGCCTTTGCGCCATGATGGACGCATTAGCTTGACCTGAGCTGTGATTGTTGTTCATCTCATTGGATCATTCTGCACATAAAGAGCACTTTTGAAGCGACAACAATAAGCATTCGGAGAGTAGCTTTGTTTTTGATCAACTTTGGCTTTTTGATGAGTGGTTGTGAGAGCGAAAAACGCCGCCCGTTCCGGTGAACTATTCTCCGATTTTTTGAATGTGATGAATGTCTCAATTGAATGAGGAGAGCGGGGTATTGAGATCAGTGAGTTTTGTTGAAGAGTGACCTTGCAAAAAAGAGGCTCGAGACCAATAAGACTTTTTAATTTGAAATGGAGAGTGCCCCTCACCCACAAAGGTATACTTTTTTTCCGTAAATGAGTAAGAGATCCGAGCGAGGCGTAATAAACAAGCCGTTGTGCGAAGGCAATGATAAATAACGGCAGGATCCGTTTAAATGTCAATTGGTCACGTTCCTGCGGCGGAAACGGCGTTTTTGTCACCGGGTGATGATGATTTTGACTCCGAAAGGAAAGTAAAAGAAATGTATGGCGTCAAAATTGAAGGGATTTCTGAATGGGAATTGCAGTGATTGAAGAGAGTCTACCAGATAAGACTTCCTTTCTTGAAGATTGAGCAAGAGAGCAGGTTTGAAGCAAGCACGGATAATTGTCCGAATTGAATGACAAAGGTATAAATGATCAAAAGGAAGAGCAAGGATCCCGACAATTAACAGAGAGGCAAGAGTGAGGATTTACCATTTCTTTCCGCTGATCTGACATACAGTTGCAGTAGTACTCTGCGTGTCCCTCTTTTGTTTTTTTTTTGTTCAGCTTCGGAATTCCCTTTTTGAAAATTCACATTTTTAAAGCACGAAAACAGTCTTGTTTTCTTTAATTTCCGTAAATTATGCTAATCACGGCCGTGCACATTGACATTCATGCAAGCCATGCATGATTCTGGAATAATACACACACACACACACACGCACAGAGAGAGGAAGAGAGCAAAAAAACCCTTTTTTTCTTTTTCCCTGAAGATCTCTTTTTCCCCCTCTCTTACATTATAAGAGAAATAAATAAATAAAACCCTCTTTCTTCTTTGATTTACGCTATTGTTGTTACCCTACCCTACACTTTATGCTGGCCGGCGCTGCGCACGCGTTAAGAGCTGCTCTTCTCTAATTCAATTTCATTATCTTCTGTGGCTGCGTATCGTCGGCGCTGCGCCCGCCCATTCATCATTTTGGCCCGTTGAACTTTTAAGGGGGGAAAGCGGCCAAGCAGACATCAATTGCACAGACTGAAGAAAAAAGTTCTGTTGATTATTGACCGAATTTGATTCGGATAAAATGCTTTGATCGTCAGATGTTGATAGCTGAACTAATGCATTTCCGATCAATTACAGATTTATATAAAGAAGCCTAAAAGGTACAGATAGTCGATCATAATCTTCCCATGTATGCCGATCATTCGAAGCTAAAGAAGAAAAAAAGAAAATAGATATTCATAGGTAAGAAAGGTGGGTAAAACGGGTAAACATATTATGCGAATTGATAAAATGATACAAGATGCATGATATTTCAAATCGAGTAATTCTTTTTCTGTAAAATCTTTTATGCCTAAAAAACTCTAACGCTAGTCCACACATACAACGGGCGCTTACTGTTACAAATCCGTCGGAGTTGTAACTTTCCATTTACAACTCCGACTTGTGTCCCTCCTTCTTGCGGACCTGAATTGAACTTTTTTATGTGACATGTTTGCTTGCTTGCTTCTATCTGACGTCAATCAAATGGCTTGCAATAGACTATTTTTGGATGTACATTGCATGCATCGGCAGAAGTATGTGTACGCATCTGTATATGTAGAGAAGACGATCGTAGGCAAAGGATATTGCATTCACACTTTCATTGCTAGCAATTCAGGATAGATAGACATCTCTATTAAATTTGACACGAACAAGATAGATTGCTATATATAGTGCGCTACATGGGAAAAGAAGCCGAGAAGATTGGAAAATGAGAGGTGTATAAAGAATGGAAAGCTGAGGTGTTCCCGAAAGAATCAGGAAATGCAAGTCAGCTACATGCATGTGAGAAATTGCAGAAAGAAACATGTAGATCAAATAGACAAAGACAGATCGGTATACAACTGATCTGTTACTTTGACATTTCGATCTGCTAAGGAGGGGATCAGAAAAATACATTATATTCATTTCCGGTCTGAGTAAAGTTGTCAGAGAGACCAAACAGGAAAAATACCTGTCAAAGATATTATTGTGCTTCCGCCAGAGCAATGTTAATGCACGGCTGCCGATTGAAAGTAATCATGACCTAAACAGCGTTTGGCTGAAGAAGTTGGGAGAACTATTGTCAGTTTGATTACTCTACACGGATGCACATTCTCACTCACCGCTTATCCGTCCTGCTGGATCATAGATTAGCATGCTCTTCAACAAATCGATTCCGCTCTCGTCCAAAGTGGGCACAGCTCTGTCGAGAGGCGTTCCGTTCCATTGTGGGAAAGATGATTTGTAATCTGGCAGCGATTTAACACCAGGCCAATCCTCATCCGTTGGCGTTCCGAGAACACTGTTGTGTGGATAGATAATGGTAAGCTGAAGTTCTTCTTGCATTTCATTGTCATGCCAAATACTCACCGGAAGATGCGGAAGATTTCGTCAATTTCCGAATCACCTGGAAATAGAGGACTACGCATTGCCATCTCTGCGAAAATACATCCAACGCTCCACATATCAATCGCTGTGCTGTAATGACGAGATCCTAATAAGACTTCAGGTGCACGATACCACAATGTAACAACTTCGTGTGTGTATGTACGTAGAGGAATACCAAATGCTCTTGCTAGACCAAAGTCTGCTAATTTCAGGTTGCCTTCCTTGTCGATCAGTAGATTTTGCGGTTTCAAGTCGCGATGTAAGATTCTGTGTGTGTGGCAGAAGTAGATTCCGCGAATCAGTTGATAGGTGAATTTCTGCAGGTAAAAATGGAAGAGCATGAGCATACGGTAAACACCAAGAATGATACGATCACACTCACTCGGACGATCTCTGGTCCCAATCCATCAGGCTTGTTTGACACGTTGTCCATGTATTTCTTCAAATCCAGGTCGAGGAATTCAAAGACGAGGTATAATTTTGACTCTTGATGGATAATGTCGAATAGGCTGTGGAATACGGGGATGGGGTGTGTTAGGATCTCTTTTATTGTGAGCTTGCTTGTGCAATCGCAACTTACCGAACGATATAGTCATCTCTTAGCTCTTTCAAGAGACTGATTTCGCGAATTGCTGTACTTGGTACACCTTCATCTTCAGCCTCTAGACGAATTTTCTTTAGAGCAACAATTCGTCCATTTCCAGCAGGTGTGAGATCTTTTGCCTTGTATACGACACCATATGTTCCTGTAATGGGTGAAGAGGAAGGCAAGTGGGAAATGTTGTTTTCAGTCAAATGCCGTAATAAGACGATGATTCTGTCATTTGGTGATCTTACCTTCACCAATCTTTTCTAGTTTTTGATAGTTCTCCATCTTGTGATTGTGTGTTCAGAAATTGAATGTAGTCTTTCTCTCTTTCCTTCACCAATTGTCGTCGTCGTTGTGGTGATGTTGATAGTATTGAAAGAAATGAGTTTGTTTTGCAAGACGTACAACAGTGCTTTAGTCAAGTACTGGCAATGTTGCAGGCGCACAGTGTCAACTCAATGAAAATTCCATTTCAGCCAAAAGACCAACACTTCACTGGCCCTGAGAGTGTGTGCACGGGAAACAAGAAAGAGTTGAACACACAAACGCAGAGCCAGAATGAAAAACGGGGGTGTGTTATTATTTATTTAAACGCGCCTACGCGTTTCATCATGCCTTATGTTGTTTGCCCGCCCTTAATTGGCATATAGGAAGTGTTAGTTGTTGTTTGTAGTGAAAAACGCGTAAAATGTACATTATTCGGCATGCTTCAAGGTACGGCTGCTTACAGTTAACTGATGATATGTTCGGCGGATTTGGATTTGAGGGAAGTGTGGAGTAAACCTTATGGAACAAACATGTTTCCGATTCCATTGCGGGAACAGGAGTAAAGCCGAAATGACATTTATCCTCCCTTTGTAAATGCTTTCATCATAATACAACTCAAATCACAAATGAAAAATATGAAATGAATTGCTCGTAATCCTTCATCCCTACCAGCCTCATTTACGCCAACAACAATCTTTATAAATAATGGCGCCGTCTTACACTTCAACGGCTGCCGCTCAGGCTAAACAACATACACTCAAAAAACCAAAAGGATCAACAAATGATATCACTGCCAATCCAAACCTTACTCCTGGTGTGATTGGTAAATCGCCTTTAATGCTTTTCGCTTCGGATGTTTGGTTATTCTTTACATTGGTAATTCCAAAGATTTATAATGTTTTCTTACCTTTACGTTCTTTCGGTAGTATTTTTCAAGATATAACTCCAACAGGTTTATTGTTTCAAGTATTTTTGACCGTTTACTCATTGGTCCTGCTTATTCCTTTGGGACTTTTGGGTATCCTTGTTGGTGGGATTACTCCGTTCGCTGTTGCATCTGCACTCTTGTTCCCCTTTCAATGGATCCAAGGCGATACGATCGTACATGTTCCCGTTAATCGTTCTACCTTGCGAGGACAGGCTCTGGCCAGTGTACAAAAGAGGGCAAAAACAAAAACAGGAAGAGATCGTTCATCTTCCACAAATACAGCAAACGAATATCCAAACACGTTCAATAATCATGCATGGTTTTTCATCAATGGTATTTCAACCTCGCGATCTGGCATCGTTACAGATTTGCGATTTTTGGAAAAGATCTTTCAAAGACCAATAACTGGAATCTTTAACAGGACAGCAGGCCCAATTTTGGATGTTTTCGAATGCGTTATCCAGCGAGACTTTTCGTATTATACAAGAGATATTCGAAACGGATATGTTGAATTACGTGCAGCATTAGAAGCGGATAATACCAAAAAAGTTGTTTTGCTCTGTCATTCTCAAGGTGGTATAATTGCAAGCTTGATCGTTGATCTTTTGCTTTCCACAATTTCACGTTCCTTATTGGATAAGTTAGAAGTTTACACATTTGCAGACGCTTCAAATCATTTCAACAATCCACTCAATGCTGTAGGTCAACCAACGATTCGATATGTGGAACATTTTGCCAACGGAAAAGATCCAATCAGTCAATTTGGTGTTCTTTTATTCACGACGGAAGATCAAAAGAAGGGCTTATCCTATCGAAAGAGTGTCAAGGGCACTTGTTCAATCTTACACTTTGACGATAACCAGTTCAAGATTGCAACCAACAATAGACTTGACGATTTGTTAGTGTCTACAGCTCTTACCAGTGAAAGCGGAAAAGATGGTACCACATTGAGCACAATCGAGCCTCGTTCTCAGGTTAATATCCTTTCAGCCGCAGGACAAGTTTTCAGTGGAAGATTGTTTGCCCGTTGGCAAAATTCTGGTCACCTTTTGATCAATCATTATCTCGGTCCGGACAATAACATTATGGATACGCCAGAAGTACGACAATATTCTCGTTTATACCAATACTTGAACGGCAGAAGCCCAAGTGAGTGACGCTTTGGTCACTACATCGACGGTATCGTTTCACTACTTTAACTCATTTTCATACAATGCGAAACCTTCTCAGAACAATTGTGATACCTTATACAAATACATCAAATTTGAATGAACAACTAGTGTACAGGGAAGATGTGCTCATCCGAAAAGTCTGAGACCATCCAATGCTACTTCTGCAGGTGCTTTAACATCTTCATCTTCATCAGCATGGTTTCCGACCCCTTCCTCTCCATCTGCAGAAGCAACCTTGCCGTTGCCATAAGTGTTACGCAACTGTCGCATCAAACGATCGATTTGTTCCACACTCCAAGTTTCCGAGGGGATGGGTGGCATAAAGCTTTGTACTTTTTCATGAACGTCAAAACGTAATCGTCTACCTTTTGATGCATTTCGATCTACCACACGATGCTTCTTTGCTGCTCTTTTTGCTGCTTGTGCCCATGATGCTGAAGCTGCTGATCCTTCTGCATCTGTTGTTGATAAGCCGCCTTTATTATCGATCAATTCTCGTAATAGAGCAGCATAAAAGTCTGAATCATCAAATACGTCCGCATTCTCTGCATTTGCGGCGTTATTCGTGCTGTCATCCTCTTCATCATCGCTTCCTTCTTGGTCATCAACATCGATTCTGCTTTCATTATCTGTTCCACGCCAAACACGAGTACGCTTTCGTAGTCTTTCAAATGCCTCACCCGTCATTCCACGTTGGATCTGTTCTTCGGCGCTCTGTTCGATAGCTTTGAGACCATTGCTGCTACCTACTGCACTTGAACTGTCAAATTTGCTCTTTGCTTTTCTCTTATCTTCCATCGTTGCATTTGATGTACGCCAAGACCATTTTGACAGAACGTCTTTCCACATAGGAGAATATACATCTTCGTGCATTCTCATTAAAAGAGCGATTTGGTCGTTCAAATGGTCATCGTCTTCCACTTTCCGTTTTCGAGAGTTTGGACGAATTTGCTTTTCGATTTCACCTTGCAGCTCTGCCAATGCTTCTAATGTGCTTCCAGTTTCAGATGTCGAGGCATAGGAGCTCAAGATAGATTGTTGTGCTTTGAATAAGTGAGAGCTAAGTTGATCGAGTGCATCCAACGAATCTTCTAAAGCCGACCTTTCTTCTCCATCCTTTTCTAAATCTGAGATGTAACTTGCCATAGCCTTTGTTGAGATCCTTCCGGCAGATCGAACGACCTTTTGTGCACGAATACGAGTTCCAAGCAATTTTCCCCAGGCATCAATCTGTTTTCTTGCATCTCTTCCTCTGGCAGCATCTTCGCTTGACCTTTGCTTCAGTTCCGCCAGAAGAGTTGCATCGCTCTGTGCTGCGCTCTTTTTGCCGTTCTCTTTTGGTGTCTGTCTTTTGTCATCAACGTCTTCAGCAAATCTCAACTTCTTCCCTGTGGCTTTCGGTTCGAGAGATCCGTCTCCTTCGCTTTCCGACATGTCACCTGTGGACTCGTCCATGCTTTCATCCTCCTCATCATCGTCCTCCTCGCTATCGTCGAGATCCTCGTCTTCTGTCCCTTCAAGCTCATCGCTCCCGAGCTCCTCATCATCCAGATCACTTTGATCTTCTTCTTCATCTTCGCTTTCATCATCCTCTCCCATCATTTCCTTCCTTGTAGCTTTAACACCTTGATATTTGTTCATAGTTTCATCATCCATTGATTCGATAAAGTTTGCTTGTTTACGCATTTTTGATGGTTCAACGTGTACCATATTATGCCTGGCATGATTTCTTGCTAAATCTTCTTCATCTTCTTCTTCGTCATCATCCTCTCCTTGACGTTTTCCGGCATCTAATGCTTCTGGATCGCTATCCAATCCATCATCATATGGAGTCGCATTTCCAAGCTCAGCCAATTCAGCGGCAAGAGATGATGTTCTTGCCGGCATTTTGATTTGCTGTCCTTATGGTAAAGATCAAAAGGTGTTAGAATGAGCATGTATGTTTGGAGTTCTGGTCAAATTTCTAAAAATCCAAAAATTATCTGTACACGTGATAGACTGCATGAAAGCTTCATTAAGTTCTTACGCGTTATGCTGTAAATGATGAAATAGGCGCTAAGCCGTGCTTGCGTGTCTGAGTCTTAATTTGACTATACTAGTAAGGACATTATTACACAGCGCTTTAAAAGTGTTGGACTCATTCAATGCAATCAAGGGGTCGTACGTTGTGCGCTTTAAATTGAGGCACAAATGAGAGAGAGAGTAACAACTTTTACTGCAACACCATCATTTATCCCTGCCCCACACTCTTTTGTCGTCATGACAACTTTAGCAGATGAGTTGGATTTAGATCCAGCTTTCAATGATTTGAGTATGTCACAAGGACAACGTGGGGTAGGTATGCCAATGTCAATGGATATGGAAGAAGAAGAAGAAGATGGATATGATGACAGGGCTTCATCTTCTGTAGAAAGTTCACCAGCACGTACGAGAAGGAGAGCACCTTTTGCAAGAAGAGGGAGAGCGGCAGCAATGGGAGGAAATGTATCAAGTGATGAAGAGGATAATCGAGCATCATTGAATAATGATGCTGGCTTTAGTCTAGCAGATGAGCTAGGTGGCCATAGACAGCGAACAAATGGCGTTTCACTCGCCGATGAAGTGAACGATTCAAATTCAAATGATGAAGATCCGCGTCATCCAACATCAACTGATTCAATAGACGATGAAGCAAGGGCAAGAAAAGATCAAGAACATTATCTGGTGTCCTCAGAAATTCTAGGAGACTCGATTCGACAAACAGATGCCTTTTTGCATAAATTAAGAAAGGTCGCAGATACAGGCACCACAACAGCAAATACCACATTACCATCATCTACATCTTCCAACTCGATCACATCTGGCGTAGCAGGGATAGATGACACTGCATCAATCGAAAAGACAGCTGCTGGAATTGTACGTCAATTGCGTGATCACACACAGCTACGTGAAGGACAAGTTCGTGAATTGCAAGAATACGATCGTATCTTACGCAGAGCATTCGAGGAAGGAGGTGAATATTTGATCGCTTTGGCCGAGTCGGAGGAGATAAGCGAAAATCCTGGAGCAGAAGTTACAATCTTACCGGAAGAAAGGGATCCTCTCGGAGTTACGGCAGCAGCAGCAGCGAGTATCAATAGAAGAAATCACCCTCGCGATGATAGTATAATGAGTGATGATGGAGATGATAGTGCTTTAACTGCAGTATCGCCATCGCAAACATTTGCTGATTTGAGCTTGGCAGACGATACCGCTAAAGGAAGAGTACCTACAACGTTCCAGAATCTGATCGGTTTACAGCAAAGTACCAGTGACTTGATCGTCTCTTTGGGCGCTATACATGAACACAGCCAGATAGCACATGCTTCTATGGGCGATGCGCAAAGAAGGATCCGAAATATCCGTACTGTGCTGACGAATTGGCAACAAGAAATCAGATCTATCGAGCAAAGTCAATCATGGATCGCATCTTGGGAATCCGGTAATCTATCCAATGATGCCGCTCATAAAAGGCCTGACGATATACGTGAATGGACTCAAGGACATCTAGACAAATTCCAACGAACATTGGATGAAGCACATAATCGGGCACAAGAATTATTAAAGCCAGTCAAAGATCCAGTCTTGGACAGATTGGCAGCGACGAAAGCATGAAATGACACAAAACTTATTTTCACGAATCTCTTATTCAATAAATGATACCCCATGACACATATATATATATACTCACTAACATGTTTTACAGATTCAATCATATCATCAGCAGACTATTGAACAGCATTTGGGTATGTGTATGGGATGACTAGATCTACATATAAACAATGAGGATGACGAAACTTCTATAATTTATCGGCTCTTGCCAAGGACGAGGATGTGACCTTGTTGTGGTTCACGTGTGTTCCAACGTTCACGTTGCAACATTGCCAAGACTGCCGGTCGAATGAGAGCCACTTGACCCTTGCTATGTCGACCAACACCTGTGACGATGTGTAAAGGAGCAGATCTGGACGAAGAGACTGTTTTTGGGTACCAAGCATCTAAAGCTTGACGAGTGATTGTCAAACTATCATGAACGGTCAATCCGTGCAAATCCACCAAATCACCACCATCTTCACCGCTACTTTGAAGAGGTGATGAGTAAAGGTTTGTACTTCTGTTCGATAACATTCTCGCACGAACGGTTGCTTGAGAAGCTTGTAATGCAAAAGCACGAGCTTTTGCATCTAATCTTCTTGCTTCTTCAGCATACACCCAAGCCGCCGCTCCACGCATTGGACCTTTGCTTATGGCTGTATTATGTGTAGATCGATACGATCTTGCCGCTTTTGCCAATGCTTCTTGTCTTCTAATTCTATAATCTTGTGAAATTGCCGTATATTCTTGTGCTAATCTTCGTGCTTCAGACGCAGTCTCGGCTCTCTGAGAAGATGGTCCTGATGATTCAGGTTCAACGAATGTATCACCAATCTGACCAGAAGCTTGTGCTGAATTGAGTGGAAAAGTAACCGCAGAAGCACCTTCACGTAATCTCTGCAAGGCGAACTGACGTGCATCACTTTTAGGTTCACTCGACCCTCTTTGTGCGATAGAAGCATATGGCGTTGCGGATTTGGCAGCATTGAAAAGAGGGGTATCACCGCCTACCCAATCAAAATGACCTTTATTCTGACCGATTTGCTGAGAGAGCGTTGGTGCTTGAACTTGCGATGTTCTCTCATGTTTCATCGGATCCAAGATATCAGTCCGTTCGCCAACAGCTGTCGATTCTATCCTCTCGGACAATTGCGCCAAATCCAACACTGCATCTTCCCTTCCGACGGTAGCATACAGTAGCTTTTCGACTTCTGATCTTGGTTTAGCTGGTAACAGGGTACACAAATTATCTGTGATTATCCTGCATGTACCGATAGGCTGCTCATTGTGTAAATCTAATTGATCCATCGAAGTGAATTCCTGACACCGTGTATTGATGAGTCTATGTAGAGTTGCACGCAAGTTCATATGACATGAAGCGTGTACGCCCTTGACTTTGTGAGACGGATAGTCGAGAAGCAGGCTTAGTTGCTCCAACACAGAGGAAGAGAAAAGCCAATCATTATCACGGATGCTTTCAGCCTCATCATCTCCATCGTCACCCGTTTCCGGAGAGAGACCAGCAGCAATTCTCTCTTCCTTTGCTATTCTTGCGGCCATTTCCGCATCTGTTTCCTCAGCTTTGACGTTTTCCTTCTTACCATTCAGCCTCTGCCCTAGTCTAATTCGATCTGGAGCTCCTTTACGCACATCAGTCAGATTGACTTTTTGCATTGCCAGTGTGCCTGAACGAGAAGCAGAAGACACGCCGTCAAATGCATGCTTTTCTGCTTCTTGGGCTTTTTTACGTTGACGATCTTTCTTTGTCTTCTTCTTTAGCCCTGTCCCTTTGTACAGCGTTTCGTCATCATCGGCCATTCTTGAAGCAAAGCCGGTTTTCTGATCATGAGAATCCTTTACTTCTGCATATGTCTCTTCGTCAAGCGCTCCGCTTTCTACTAATTCCCTTGTCATCAAAGTATCAACTGCTCTGGTCACATTTTCGCCTTCGTCCAGAAGAATCTCTTGCAAATATGCTGGTGTTCGGGTTGGAAATGCATGAATGAGGAACGCTAGCGAACTGTTTGTTGATGTGGTAGGTGACCATTGCTCATCTATGATATCAGTTTGTTCGGCAGCCACTTCTTCGATCGCAATCTTGTCTTCACCAGCAGCAGTTCCAAGTCTAATTGCCTCGCGTTTCTCTTCTGAAACATCTTCCTCTGTTCCATGGTCTTCCTCATCAGTCATTCGTAGATTATCTGGGTCTATACTTTCTTTATCGACTAATTTCCATTCGTCCAATGCTCTCTGAACGTTTTCCATGTCAATTGCCGTACTTGATGAGCCTGTCTCGGTATCTCCATCATCAACATGGCTGTCGGTACCGTATGCCCCATCAGGCACTTCTGATTTCAAACCTGATAAGAGTGCATATATATCATCAAACGTTTGACCTGGTTCATATACCAATGCAGCAATCAAAGAAGAATCAATTTCAGGTGAGAATTCGTCTTGCAATTTCGTTTGCCATACTTGACGTTCATCTTGATCTGCTTTGACCATTGTCCACCCTCCTTTATGGTGATTGGTTGATGATTAATAAGAATCCTTCTTCTTATTGTCAATCTTTTCATTGCAAAAAGAAGAAAGGGAGAACTTGCATTTAAGTTAAGGTAAGCTTTGCATTTTATACGCGTCAATTGCGTTAGATTCTTTTAGCGTATTTTCCTCCACATCAACAGGTATGGTAAAGCATGCATAGAGGGTTGAAGGATCTTACTCTATTCACCTACAAATGGTGGACAAACAACATCATTTACAACCATCATCTTTAAGTAAGAGAATCTTAATTCAGAATGTCAGACAACAACTCAAACAACAATCAACAAGGTAACTTGATGGATGCAGCCTCAAATGCAGCAGGTATCTTGGGTGGACATGCTCAATTAGCACAAGGTGCAACACAAGAACAAATTGGTAATTTACTCAATTCGGATGAATGGAAAAAGAGCGGTATCGATTTGAAAGGTGATGCCGCCGATAACATCAAAAAAGCTTATGATGATTTCAAAGCTCAAGGTGGTAACGATCAAGATCTGATCAACAAATTCAGCTCTGCTGCTGATAAAGGTGAGTAAATGCGCGTTCAAGGCTTGCGATATGATGGTATACTGATACTTGTATTCTTTTTACCTTCTATAGCCTGCCCTGAAACTGGCAGCGGTGTCGGTAGTAACCAACAAGGCAACTAGATGTATGATGCACTTTGCAGCACTAGATGTATATTTGGAATAAGTATGAAGTTACATAAATTGTTCTTTGTGTTGTCCGCCACTATAAATCCTTCTATGCTTTGCTGCAGATCCGGCTGCAGTAACTCTTTGATATTGATAAATTAAAGTGCTTGGCCTTTGTGCGATTTTAGGTGGAATGGGAACTTTTGGAGGTTCACTGAATCTGCCAGGCGCATTCTTTGGTTTAGGATATTGCATAGGAAGGGGTGAACCAGGTTGCAAAGACGAAGGGATTTGTTCTGATCGAGGGTTGGTATTTTGGTTCTTCGAGCTGAATCGCGTATCCAGTGCTTTCTCTAGCTTTTTCCATATGGCAACATCATCCTTGTTGCAATCTGTATAGCCGCTCAACGCGGAACTTACTTCGCTGCCGCATTCCAACGCTGATGAGTGATCACTTTCATATATTTCATCTTCTCTTTGATGTCTGCTGATCTTTGTAGGTGAGCTTGGCAAGATGTGCTGTTGCGCCAAAGTGGTAAAGAATGCCCCTTTGTTGTAGTCTTCCTCCCATTCAGTTGAGTCCATATACGATTGCCACGAATTTCTTGAACTTTCAAATCCTTGCAATCTTCCTCCACCATTAGCAAGATATGGCAAGGCTGATGGCAGCATAATGTGAGGCTCGTTGTGTGATTGACTTTGCCATGATGAATTAGATGCGTATGATGAGGAAGATAACAAGCTATCTTGTCGATATAATTCTTGATATGCATTCTTTCGAAGCAGCTGAGCAGCATTATTACGTCCTCGCACGCAAGGAATAGCGGGTAGCTCCGGTCTTGCCTGTGATCTAGACATTGTTTGTTTGCTTAATTGTTACTCCCTTCTAGGAAATGATTGGTGTAATGGTGGACCTTCCGTTTGACCAGCAAAGGAATTAAAAATGAATATTAGGATAAGATTAAAATGAAATTGTGAAAAGCGAAAATCACGAAATGTTATCTCGCTGCAAATGACTGCCATTCTAGTCGATTTATGTCATGACTGTTTGCACTTTTCTCATTTCTATTATACTTGTGCCCCCACTACTTTTCTTAAGTACCTAACCCAACAGAAAGGATCTTTGATGAGTTTTATGACAATGACCGTGATAGGTAATGTAGGCTGCATTCATGGAGCCTAGCTACGCGTAAGCTGGTTGATACTTTTTCGGCCGATCAACGCGCGTACGTAAGCAAGAAGTTTATCCTCTCACACCATCCATCGCGTTTCTTCTCGACAACCACCTTACGCCCTTATCATACAGTTGATCAAGATGGCTGCCAATATCACAGCAACGGCTAGTAAAGAGTCGGCCACAACTCTACAAATGCTGGAGAGGATTGGATCACACTCCCATGTGAAAGGGTTAGGGCTCGATGAAACATTAAATGCACGTCCAACTTCACAAGGAATGGTTGGTCAACAAGCAGCCAGAAAAGCAGCAGGAGTGATTGTAAAGATGGTACAAGAAGGAAAGATTGCAGGTCGTGCAATCTTGATCGCTGGTCCTCCAAGTACTGGTAAAACAGCAATCGCAATGGGTATGTCACAAGCTTTGGGGCCTGACGTACCGTTCACCATGCTGTCTTCTTCAGAGGTGTTTAGTTTAGAGATGTCAAAGACAGAAGCATTGACACAAGCATTCAGAAAAAGTATCGGAGTAAGAATCAAGGAAGAGAAAGAAGTGATCGAAGGTGAAGTTGTTGAAGTACAGATCGATCGCAGTCTAACAGGAGCAACAAAGACTGGTAAATTAACAGTCAAGACAACGGACATGGAAACAATCTACGATTTGGGAAACAAGATGATCGATTCGCTAAGCAAGGAAAAGATTTCAGCAGGAGATGTGATCAGTATAGATAAAGCATCAGGAAGGATTACCAAATTGGGACGCTCATTTACCAGAGCACGCGATTACGATGCTATGGGTAGCGACACACGATTTGTAGCCTGTCCCGAAGGTGAATTACAGCAACGCAAAGAAGTCACACATACAGTCAGCCTACACGAAATCGATGTGATCAATAGCAGAACTCAAGGCTTCCTTGCTTTGTTCGCTGGTGATACTGGAGAAATCAAACCTGAATTACGTGATCAAATCAATTCCAAAGTCGGAGAATGGCGCGAAGAAGGAAAAGCAGAGATTGTTCCGGGTGTTTTATTCATTGACGAAATTCACATGTTGGATATCGAATGCTTCAGTTTCATCAATCGTGCTTTGGAAAGTGAGATGGCACCTTTGGTAATCATGGCAAGTAATCGCGGAATCACACGTATTCGTGGAACACGTTATAGAAGCCCACATGGATTGCCAATCGATCTTTTGGATAGACTTTTGATCGTTCGTACGCAGCCATACGAGATGTCAGATATCAAAGCAATCCTGGAATTGCGAGCACAGGAAGAGGAAGTTTCCATTGAAGCAGAAGCTTTGGATGTTTTGACAAGAATCGGAGGAGAAACATCTTTACGTTATGCACTTCAATTGATCACAACATCAAGCTTTGCAGCACGAAGGCGAAAAGTGGACGCAATCGGTGTACAGGATATCAAAAGATGTTATGGTCTCTTTGTTGACGAAAAGAGAAGTACACAATACCTAGCCGAACATGGAGCTCAATACCTTGCCGAAGAGGATTATACCGTCGATTCTGCTCCCATTGCAGCCGCTGCTCCCATTATCTCCTCATCCGTTCCTACCAACGGAACAAGCAATTCAATGGAAGGCGTCACCTTGGGTTGATGTTTTCTTCTAAATATTGAAATGAGATTGTATTGTAGTAAATGAAAATGTGATTGATGTCAAACAACAAGTGAGTATAAAGAGTTGATGCGGTATAATAAGTCTTGTATAAGTAAAAAATTCAAAAACATTAGAAGGAGAAAGGTATAAATGTCGTCATGCCGTATGAAGAGAATTAGAAAGGGGAGTGCTGAAGAAAGAGGCATGCCTCAAAAATTGTTTTTACCGCTTGTTTGGGCGAATCCGGTGGATCATCTGAATATTCCCTCACTGAACAGGCTGTTGGTTTCTTTGACTGGCTCTCAAAGGCGTATGTTTGACCGTATCATTTGTGGCAGTGTTGCTTGTCGTATTGTTCACCGATGATCGTAAGCTCATCCTTCTTTCACCATTACGTGCTGCACTGGCTGCAGAGATATTTGTCAATTTGGGTGTAGAGGTAGAGATTGACATTCCACTCCCGCTATTCATCTGTTTACCACTTTGACCACCCATCGCAGCACTACTCAAAGAAGCCGTCGTATTGGAGGCAGCCAATGATCTTCTGGGTGTATTCGTCACGCTACTGGTTCCATTGCTGCTGTGCAACGTAGACACTCTTCGTGTTGTGCCCGTATAAGGTTCATGTCTAGAAACAGTGCGTTTGATCCATGGATGTCTCAATGCTGCATCAGGTTTGATTCTTCTTTCGGGATCCCAGTGTAAACATTTGGCCAAAAAGTCCAAGAAAAGTTCATCATCGCAATTCAAAGCAGATCTCAACGATTTCGTTGCCGGTCTTCTTCTCTTTCCTTTACTGTTCACAACCGGACGTGGTGCTCCAGTGGAATCAAAGAAGAGCTTTTTGCGTGAACTTCTATCGATCAGATACCTGTCGGGCACGCCTAGGATCTCCATAATGCATGCCAATTGTTCTTGCTCATTCTCTCCCGGGAACAGCGGGTACCCTGAGTAAAGCTCTGCGATGATGCAACCCAAACTCCAGATGTCGATTGCCGTGTGGTAATTCATACCCAGAATGACTTCAGGAGAACGATAGAATCTTGATTGAATGTATGTGTAAACCTTTTCGTGTTCAAAGCAACTGCTACCAAAATCAATGACCTTGATTGCGCTTCGACGTGGATGCATAAGCAAGATATTTTCCGGCTTTAAATCACAGTGAACGACCCTGTTGCGTCGCAAAAGACTCAAGCTGAGTAAGACTTGACTGGTAACCCTTCTGATCAATTTTGTACTGAAACCAGCAAAGCTATTTGCTTTGATCAATTCGTACAAATTGATCGATAACAACTCCATCGAAATGCACAAATGATTACGGAAGTAAAAGCTGTCTTGAATGCGAATCACGTTGAACTCTTCATTTGGATCCCATTTACACAGATTCTCCAAAATTTTCACTTCTACCAAAGCTTGATGATGGAAGCGTCTCTTGTTACGGATCAATTTGATCGCCACATATTTACCCGTCTTGTGATCTTTGCACTGTAATACTTGTCCGAAACTTCCACGTCCCAATAAGCTCATCACTTCGTATCGGTATGCCAAATGATCATGATTGATCACCAGATAATCTCCACGCTCGTCATCATATCCACCATTTTGAGTTGTTGATCCATCGCTTGGAATTCTGCTGTTCTTGTCCACATTTTGTCCAACGAAATAGATTTCTTTGAAACTACGAATTTCCTCCAATTCAGGATTGGTCAACTTATCACCCCAAAGTGCTTCAGCTTGACGATAAGAATAGGATTTGGACGGTTTCTCATCTTCTGGGAATTCCAACAATTTCTCCAAATCAGCCAAACGTGCACCTTGCGCAACCTTTCTGGCATGTCTTCTGCGAATGTACGCTTCAATCTCTTCGTCCCCTTCACGCTCTTCATCATCGACTGTGGACAAGGCAGTAGGAGTTGGACTAATAGTACTAGTCGTAGAACGTCCCAGAACGGTCTCTGTCAATGCTGGACTTGCACGAGCAGAAGAAGGCGTGGAAAGACGAGAGCTTGTTTGATGTTGCTGTTGTGCCAGAGTTGCTTCACGTGCAGCTTTCGAACTGTTTGAAATGGCTGTCATCGAAACACGGGCTCTTCTTGCAGGGACCGAAGCGGTCAGAGTATTTGATGATGCAGATGTACTGAATGGGGCAATGTGGGAAGGTGGACCTACAGAAGCACTGAGAGCATCTTTTGAGATTCGTGCTGATGTTGGTGTCTTTTCTTGATCTTTCATTGTGCGCTGGCTTTGAGGCGTAGAGGGTATATTTGTTCCGCTCACAACAGCATCACCACCTCCACCACCATTTTGCGATTGTCTCCGCTTCTCTTCTTGTCGAGCGATCAGACTGACCAAAACATCCTTTTCCCTTGGTGGAATTGTTGAAGAATAGCTTGCAACTTTTGCTCTTCTCAGTACAACTTCAACTTCTGCTGGCGTCTTTGCATTCGTATAAGCTGTCAAAATGGACACCAATGTAGATGAGGAATTGTTGGCGAGATTAGGCAATGCAGTATCCTGACTCAAGGTTGAATCGTTCGTTAGATCCATGTTCGTACCCGCATTATTGTTCGAGATACCAAGATGCGATGCCAAAGAAGTAGAAGTCTTGCTTGATGCTAAATTTGAGTTTGTCACACCGCTCAGTCTACGCACCACCGAAGAAGATTGACTTGCAGCCAGTGATTGTCGTTTTGATGCACGCGGTATACGACTGGCAGGCACAGCAGGCTCTGCTGGAGAATTAGGAAAGCCCATCAAGCCACCACTTACTGTTCTCTTTTCCACTTGAGATCCTTCTTCAGGTAGATGAGTCGAGGTCACAGTGGAAGGAGAAGCATTAATCGTTGGCAAAGAAGGAGCGTTACTCTTTTCACGAGCAGAGGCAAGATCTCCAGTAGAGCTAGAATTTGCAAGTCTACGCCTAGCTGTGATCGAATCATTCGAGGTACCGTCTCTTGTCATGCTAGGAGCATCCTTTCTACGCGGTGGCGATAATTGCATATCGTTCAACGGTGGCATTTGCATAGGGGGCAAAGTTTGAGCAGGTGTAGGCTGTTCAGGTTCATTTGCAGATGAAAGTGTTTTGCCGCGCTTTCTGCCGATCAAGCTTGCACGTCGCATTGTGTTCAATGGGCCAGACTTTGATGGTGTCTTGGCTGATTTTGATTGTTCTACGGACGACGTTGATTCATCAGCAATCACCACACTATTGCCAGCTTGTTGTACATCCTGATCTTGTTGTTGCTGACTCTTGGCGATCAAATGAGCTGGGGCAGATGTTGGCATCGAATCAAGATTTCTCTTTGAAGCACTGCGTAGCAGGCTTCCCAATCCCAGAATAGATTTACGTGAAGATCTTCCTGAAGGAGTCGTTGCTTCAGACCTGGTAGCACCATTAGTATAAGGTACATCACCAGATCCATCACCTGTAGTGCTATGAGCACTCTGGCTAGAAGGTCGCTCTTGGTTACGCAGCGATGGGCTCTTCTTTCCACGTTTTGCCTCATCAGAGGGTATTTCACTTGACCGTTTCCGGAAGAAGGATGGTGTTCTGCGTGTCTTTGGGCTAGCAGTGCTCGAGGGAGATCGAATGGAATGTTCCGTACTCATACGTGGGGCAGACATGCTGGCAGGGGTAGATGCAAGCAACGAAGAAGATGAACTGTTTGCTGTCATTGATGTACTTGTGTCAGTCTTTATCGTCTTATCATCCGAGACAGGCTGTGAGACCCTACGCTCGGGTCGCAAAGATGATCTGCCAGATCCCAAACTTGTACGTCTGTTAGAAGAGTCACCAGCAGTAGATCGAACGGCCAACCTTTCTTCGCTTTTCTTCGACGTTAAAGATTGACCAAAGTTTGCTAAACTCCATTTCAGCGAAGGACTTTTGGTCGATTGTGAACTGCTCTTCACTTGAGCGCCCGAAAAAGGTGACACGACGGAATCTGATCCTGCAGCACTGTCCACTGAATTTTGCGATACGATTGATTGACTCAACATACTAGGCGATTGATCGGTTGTCGAAATTTCTGAAGAGATATTGTTGATCGAACGCGACGATTCCCAAGCCTTAGGCAATGGCGGCACAGGTGGTACATCCAGTGTACTCTGTCCACCCACACCTCCATCGTCCAACATTGTCGTGGCGAGTCCCAAACCAGCGTTACTGGAGCCCGATTGGACCAATTCGGCGGGCAAAGAAACGTCGCTACCACGCTTGCTTCTTGTAGACGTTGATGTTCTAGGTGCTGCTGTCGAATTGGTTGATGCAACCGATGTGCCTGACGCACGCTTGTTGTTGAGAGCTGACTGATTGCTCGAAGCTGGGGTATAGGATGCAACTTGAGCTGGTAAAGGGGCAGAATTAGCAGGAGGGGTGGAAAGTCCAAGCGGCAAGGCAGCAGAAGTGGTTGGAAGAGGAGGCAATTGACTTCTCCTGGCACGAGGGCTGGATAAAGATGTTCGCTTTGGGCTTTCTACACCATGTAATGATGGCGAAGCAACTGTACGACTCGCTCTGCGTGAATTACTCGAGCGGGAATTTGAATCATCCGGTGCAGCACGAGGTGTTCCAGATGGAAGACCAGAGGATGCTGCCATGTTTGTTGCCACACTTCGAATAGACGGTGACGTTCCGCGACTCACATTGCCAGAAGTACGATGTCCCGCACTTCCTGGCCTAGAAATTTGTCGACTTGAGCGAGGACTATGGGAGGGATCACGCGCAGTCTTATTGCTTCCTATACTGTTTGAATGGCTTCTTGGCGTACTGATACCGTCCAGTTTCCTCAAAGCTTCTGCTGCAGCATCATCATCTGCACCTGCTAAGCGACCTTCGTAATCCTCTGCTGCCCCTAGCGGTAAAGATCCACGCAAAAGAGATTGACCAATACTAGCTGTTGAGCCTCGTTTGACATGACGAACACTTTGCGTAGATGTAGAAGATGACATACGCGGAGTGTTGCCTGCCAATTTTGCACCAGATGCACTGCCATTTCGAGTGCGTCTTGGTGTTGCCATGTTTTGTTCGTTCATTTCTTCATTTGTTGTTGTTCCACTGGCACTTCGCTTCGTACGTGTGCTCGAAGCTTGAGGAGTCGAAGGTTGATGAGACAAGGAGAATGCAGTTTGAGTTGCATTCTTTCCCCGAACGACAGGATCTGGATACTCAGGACTGCTCAATCTTGATAAAGTTTCTGGCGTAGCAGATTCCATCCCTGCATCTCTTCTCGTTTGTCTTCTGTTCTCGTCTTCTTGCAGTAGATCGGCTATTGCTGAGTTTAAGTCAAAGCTTCCGACTCTCATGATAGAACCGTTTGCATTGGGTATGTCCCGTCCAGTTACTTGAAGTCGATTAGAACTTTGCGATGCTGTATGCTCAATTGGATGGTTTGAAACATCAAAAGGTCCAGTTTCTTCATTTGACCAGGTCAAATCTCCTATCCGTGGCGATCGATTTGGAGCTCTACTGTTGCTAGCTCTCATCATTGAACTAATCACATCATCTTCAGATTCGCTCACTGCATCAATTGAAAAAGCCGGACTTGAAGTTGCTTCTCGATATTGCTGAAATTGTTGCTGGTAGGTAGGTTGAGGTGCAGAAGAAGACTTTTGCATGTTTGCCGATTTATTCTGAGCATCGTAGGCCTGTCTTGAAGCATTGGACGATGAAGCATAAGAGATAGAAGAATCTTGTGTTGAAGCTTCTAGCTCTTGCATTTCTCCGTATGCGCGTTGCAAGGTAGCCAATGACGAGTTACCGCCCAAAGATGGTCTTGCAACAGGCGGCATGTTTGTGATATCCGTCTTTAGTACCTTCCAAACGGTTCAGATGACCGGATATTGTCGAGCTTTACGACTTGTTTGAGACAGAGCGTGGTGACATGCGTGTTGTAGAGTATAGTGTCAGATTGGATTCTTGCACTTGTACTTGACTGGATAGATGGTCGGACTGTAATTTGATGATGAAAATGGGTCGAGATGTTTTTCAATATGAGGTCGTTGTGATACTTTCTGGTCTTGTCGCGATTGATCGCGTGATCCGATAGATGTGTTGCAAGGTTACCGATTTCTTTCCTGTTGGTGCATGAATTGTTTTTATTCGACGCAAGAACTGACAAGATGATCTCACCTTGTATGTCTTCCACCTCCAAGCTTCCGTCGGAATGAATGGAAAATGGAAGATGATGATGAAGGCCGAGATAGGAATGTTGAAGACGGTTTGGTTAGAGAAAGTCCATTGTCCCTGTGCGTGTGCGTGTATGTTTTATGTTACAATTACCTTTGCATAGGCATTTTATCACTGTTTTTCTTTTTCTTGGAATATTCTCTCGAGCCACGTTTAATGCAATTAAGCGTGTATCACACACACACAAACATACAAACACTAAAATTGTGATCATAGCCAATACAAAAAAAAGTCACACTTTTCTTTACCGAAATAAAGCGCGGCTGTTGCCTGCCCATCATCAGCCTTGAAGCGGGGAAATATACAAATATTTGCGCCGCACTTTATGAATATGATGCAAAATGAAGAAAGATCATGCCATCAAGTGGGTTTTCAGCAGTGCTTTGATAGTCCTTTCTTACTGTATATTGGCTCTTAATTCAGATCTTATAATGAGTAATAATTGTTCAATAGATGATTCTATAATCTAGAAAGGGATCCGAGTTTATTATTTTGACGCTATTAACAGGAATCCTCATGTGTGTGTTGTTTCCCCCCTTTTAGACGCGTTCATTCCGTTGTTGTCCATAATTGAAACCAACACATGTGTGCAGGCTTAACACCAGCACAGCGCAGAGTAGTAGTACTCGTTAGTGTGCCCAGTGCGAGCTTGATTCGAGAAGCCTAAGCACGCCTTGAATGTCTGTCTTGTTGCCGATTAGCTCCAAAAATAGGCTTCTTGCTTGCCATCAGCACGCACACAAAGGATAGAGCGAAGGCTTGTATTTTATATCCTCTCTTTGGACTATTCCTCAAAAGGTCACAATGAGCGATAGCGAAAAAGTAGAAGAAAAGAAAGAAACAAAAATCGAAGATCAATCACTGCTAGACAATGATAAAACAGAAATCACTTTGACAGGAACAGAAGGAATAATAGCACAAACAGAACAACATGAATCAATAGCACAGGAAAAGGAATCTTCCCCCGAGACAGACAATGAACAAGGTGTAAAGAAAAGTATCGAGGAGCTTCGACCGGAAGCAAGGAATGAGGAAGAAGAAGACAAACAACCCACTGAAGCAGTCAAAGCTGATTCTAGTGAGACAGCAAAAGAGAGCCTTGCCAGCACTGCACCAGAAAGTAAAGAGGTAGAGAAAACAGAAGCCAGCCTTGATTCAGCACAGGAGAAAGTCGAGTCTGATGTGACGCAACTCAAAGAGGGAAGCGTCGCAGAAGAAGGAGCGGAAACGCAAGCCCTTCCTTCAAGCTCTGTCAAGGAAGAAGCAAGCAAGAGCCAGGAAGCTGAACAAAAAGAGCCTACTGAAGACTTGGCGGCAGAAGAAGCTGTAGCCAGCCCTACCTGCTGGACAAAGGAAGAACGAGATTTACCTGCACCTCCTCCGCCGATCAAAGAGAAAGAATCACCTCCATCTCATGCTACAAACGAGGACGAAGTTGCAAAGGTTGCAAGAGCTTTTGGAGTCTCAACGCTTCAGGATTCATCGGCAAATAACAGCAAAGCGGCACCAGAGGCGATCGATGTGGCATCGGCAAACAATACAGCCGACAATGCACCACCACAAAGCTCGACAAGCAGTCAAAAAACTCCAGAGAAAAAGACTACAGGAATACGGATAGGCAAAGGACCGCCTCCGACCACGCCTGCCAGTGAAGAGAAACCTTTTGACTTTAATCGATTTTTGGATCAAATGAGACATCGAAGTGCTGGCCCGGTAGGCGAATACGTTCGTAGTTTCATCAAAGGATTCACCAAAAAGCCTTATCGGGTTGCCGATCAAACAAAATTGATTCTTGATTTTTTGGATTTCATCTCGTTACGAATGCGGGAATGTGAAGTTTGGTCAAATGTTTCCAGCACAGAATTCGAAAATGCAACTGAAGCGATGGAAAAGCTTATCATGAATAGGCTATACAACTACACATTCAGCCCAGCAATCAAAAGAGAAGGTCGTTGGAGCGTACAAACAGACGATCTAGAAAGAGATCGTGTGTTGAAGCAACGAATTCGTCTATTCGGCTGGATTGATGAGACTCATCTGGACGTTCCTGTTGGTGATCACTCTAAAGGATTTGTGGATTTCGCTATCCAGGAATTGCTCAAGATCAACCATTACAAGGCTCCAAGAGACAAAGTGATCTGCATCCTGAACTGCTGCAAGGTGATTTTTGGTTTGATTCGTCATTTGTCCACGCAAGAAAATGCAGACAATTTCGTTCCAATCCTGATCTTTGTCGTCTTGCGAGCAAATCCTGATAATCTGATCTCGAATGTGGAATACATCAGCCGATTCCGTAATCCTGAACGATTGTCAAGTGAATCGGGATATTATTTGTCAAGTTTGATGGGAGCAATTGCGTTCATTGAAACGATGGATTACACCTCGCTAAGTAATATCACACAAAAGGAATTCGAAGAGAACGTAGAGGATGCAGTACAGAAAATGAGTGCTCAACCTGAATCTGCAGAACCATTCACTCCTGTACAATTTGATACTGGCAAATTAGAGGCTGGAGATACATCTAGCTCGCCAGCATCCGTACAAATGACCCCACAAGGCTCTGGGTCGGATGGTGAAGATGGTGCACGTACGGTACCTATTTCTGCAGGAGCGGCGGCATTGGCCAAAGATACAAGAGCTTTCATTCAAAGGACAGGTGAAGCAGCTAGACTTGGAATCGGTGCTAGTTTCGGAGGATCAATGAATGCTCTGGGTAGACTCTTTCAAGATGGTTTGGATGGACCCAGACCATCTTCCAGTTCTTCTTTTGGTCCGGGAAGTGGAAGGGATACACCGGATTCAAATCCAGGATCAGCGCCTAACAGTTCAGCTCGAGCACGAATGTGGAACTTATTTGGAGCTGATGAAGTGCAAAGTCAACAAGCACAAGTCGTCCGATCTGCTACACCATCTACTGGCCTTCAAAATCAAAATGTGTCTGGATCTCTAGCCCGACCGAAAGAAACCAGAAACGTTAGCACGCCATCTTTGAATTTCGGCTCTTGGAGTCGTGCAATGCGAGCTGATGCAGATTCTGAACCACCAACACCACAATCAGAAGAGTTGCGTCAAGGAAGATTTGCGCCTTTGAACGTGCCTGGACAAACGCCCGGCCAAATGAACGCTCCTTTGTCTGAACGATTGGCACGTTCATTCGAAGCACGATCACCTCATACGCCCAATATGCCCAATCGACAGGGTAGTACAGATCCTTACCTTTTAGATGGAGCAGGAGGCGTTCGTACACCAACAGATGATGGAAGTGAATTCGGAGAAGATCACCGAACTGTACAAGAATCACAACAATCAAGTGCAACAAATGCGCCTGCTCCAAATCGATCCAAACGATCGGATTTCAGCAATTTTTTACCCAGCTTCTTGAGTGAGGCGAACATCCTGCAAACACCTCAAACACAAGCATCTGCTTTGCCGCTGTCTAGTGGAGAGAATACGATTGATCAACAATATTTTCAAAATACACATCAAAGACTAAAAAGATTACAAGCACAAGAAGAAGAAGGCGATCAACAACGACAAGTTGCTCAAATTGATCGTGCTCATATTGATGCGGGGGTGGAAACTTTGAAAAGCATATTTGCCGAAACGGATTCTAGCGTCTGTAGGCTTGTGTTGGAAGGATGTGATGGAGATGTTCAACAGGCGATTGATAAATTATTAGAGATGTCATGATTTAATTCATAGAAGATCAAACTTATAATCTTTATAGCATGACTTTTCTAGCGCGTAAGATTTCACAGTCATGATAACGACATTTAAAGTGCGGAGAATAAATGCAGAGGCTAAACTCGCACGAGCCTACGCCGAAAATTATCAGCTTTCCCGATTGCCTTCCTCTCTTCTTTACAAAGAACATCCATCTTGCTTTCAAAACAACCAATATCAGATGGGGCTGTTGACCAGCTCGTGGGCACATGCCCATGGTTCATTCGATCCAGGTCAATATGCATCCTTAGCCTTGACACATGTTCAATATCATCCGGATGATCCGTTGGCCTATCCGTTATCATTAATTACGTTATCACCTCCGTTTTTGGTAGTGGTTTACATCGTAATTTGTCTAATAAGAAGAGATTTGACAATCTTGTTTGGATTTGCAGGTCAGTTGGCATGTGAAGGATTCAATCTGATTCTTAAACGGATCTTCAAACAAGGCAGACCGACGGATTTCTTAGGGACAGGGTATGGAATGCCAAGTAGTCATAGCCAATTCGTTGGGTACTTTATGATGTTTTGGTGTGCTCATTTTATTCGTTTCAGACCGGGAATGTCAAGAAGGAAGCGAACGCAAAGTGCACCTTCGCTAATCGATTTGATCAGATCTTTGGAACATGCAGCTTTGGTAACATTCATCATCTTTGGAAGTTTGATGACTGCTTATAGTCGCTATCATTTGTCCTATCATACACCTTTACAGATCATCGTCGGACTTTCACTCGGAATGGCAAGCGGTTTGGCATGGTATATCGTCTGTGAGGTGATTGGCAGGAAAAAGATATTTGGACTAAAGCGCTCACCAAGAAGGATACTGTTGGAAAGTCCTCTGTTCGTTGCTTTACGCATACGTGACACTTGGTCTGTTTGGGATGATGGAGGGATTGAGGCGGAGTATGGTTTGTGGAAAACACAATGGGATAGACTGCAGCAAGAGGAAGATCTGACCGACACACACAAGGGAAGAGGAGGAAGGACGTACGAGAACGATCTCGATTGCATGCTACTTGCACTGCGATTGGCAAGCAAGTGTGATGAAACTTCGACAGCATTCTGTGTCGGATGCGTGATCACCAATGACGAAACGGGAGAAATGATTGCAACGGGCTATTCACGAGAACAGCCCGGTAATACACATGCTGAAGAAGTCGCAATCAATAAGATCCGTTCCACTTCCAAAGGCCAAGCAAGCAATGCCAGAATTTTGCCTTTGTCGCTTTATACCACAATGGAGCCTTGCAGTGAGCGTTTGAGCAAGAAGAACGCATGCGTTCAGAATATAGTTCAGTTCAACCAAGATGCGCTTCCTTGGACGATCGATGGAGAAAAGGTTATTTTGCGCATCGTTCGAATCGTTCAAGGTGTACGTGAGCCGGAAGATTTTGTTCAATGTGTTGGATCGAGGATGTTAGAAGAGAATGGGATGATGGTAGAAGCATTTCAGCCTCCAGGCCAGCTACGAAAGGGTAAACAAAGCATTCTTCTGAAACAAGGATGGTACGAACGCGAAGCTATTCGATTGGCCAAGTATGGGCACGAAGATCAGCCTGTACTTCAAGCCGAAGAAGAACAAAAAGCTTGGAAAGAAGATGGTTGGACGGTTGCTAATAATAACTCGGATTCTCGCAAGTCGCGGTGATCTCTAATTGCTATACTTGCTTACTATGCATTCACATGTTACAATGCAATGCTTAGAATTCGTTCTTGTCTGATTGGGTTAAAGTGAATTTCGAATAAATGCCTGCAAAGAAGATCACAGTAGATACACAGCTTCTCTTGGCCTTGTTGCCAAGAAGGCCAATTAATTTCCCCGTACAGTGTGTGTGCACAGCCTTTAAATGGAATCCTCCTTTTTTAGCCTTTAAAGTTGAAACTCCACTGACGAATAAGATGATCATCACACGCCCTACACTAGTCTCAAAACTCCACTTTCAATTAATGCATGTTAAATCTATTGCACTTTTAGCAGAAAGGCATCATTCCAGCAAAGCAAAGCAAGATGCCAAGAAATTCAGGACCGAGCCGAATGACATTACCGCATATGCTCTTCAAATGCAGAATAGGGTGCCCTTTCTTTCACTTCATTTTTACATTTTCGTCTTACGTATATCCTTGCATTTACGCTCTTTTTATGATCATTCGTGTATTTTTGCCGTCGGTTTATGAAAAGTTCATCTTTTTTGACAGGACAGCAGCAAGTACCTCTATTGTACTGCCTTCAACGTGCATGCATAGAAGAAAGTGCATCACTCTCACTCTTTCTCTAACGGCCCGGGCGCGGTACTTTTGAGATTAAGTCTTAACATCATCTACTCACAAAAAGCCGCCCCGTTCGGTATCTAAATCTTTACCACTTCTTTTCGCTCTACCATCTAGGATTGCAACTTATCCAAAATGGCGCCAACTGAAAATTCTCCTTTGCTAAGCAACAACAACAACAATGGCGATCAATCCTTACCGATGCATAGGCCAACATCCTATCCATCCCGTTTCAGTCCACACGCACCTCCAGGAAGTCCAAATTTGGTTTCTTCTATGTGGTGGTTATTCACAAGTTCTTGGTTGAATATTTTATTGGCTTTTGTACCTTTAGGTTTCATTGCTGAATTTTTGCATTGGCCTGCAATTTGGCGTTTCAGTTTGAACTTTTTAGCAATCGTTCCATTGGCAAAACTTTTGGGAGACGCAACCGAACAATCATCTTTGAAATTAGGTCAAACTTTGGGTGGTCTCTTGAACGCAACTTTCGGTAATGCTGTCGAATTGATCGTCGGGGTTGTGGCTCTTTTGCAAGGTCAATTACGTATCGTACAAACATCTTTGATCGGTTCAATTTTGTCAAACATCTTACTCGTTTTGGGCATGTCTTTCGTTGCTGGTGGCTTGTTTAAGTCCGAGAATACTTTCCAACAAACTGCTGCTCAAGCTTCAGGAAGTGTGATGACTTTGGGTGTCGTTACAATCGCAATTCCTGCCGCATACCAAGGAAGTATTCGTATGAACACTTTGTTCTCACAAGGATTTGATGCTCTTAAATCACTTGACGATAGCGATAGCACTCTCGACGGTCTATTGTTCATCTCTCGTGGTGCATCTATGATCTTGTTGGTGATTTATGTTTTATACCTAGTCTTCCAACTCAAAACCCATGCATTCTTGTATGAAGCAGAAGAAGATCAAGATGAAGAAGAGGAAGTTGCAATGATGACACCTGTTGCAGCTATTATTGGTCTTTTAGTCGTTACAGTGATCACAAGTTTCAATGCAGATTATTTGGTCAGCGCGATCGATGAAACGGCAAACGAGTACCATATCCCGAAGGCATTCATTGGTACGATCTTATTGCCAATCGTAGGCAATGCAGCAGAACATGTTACGAGTGTTTGGATGGCATCAAAAGCAAAGATGGAAATCGCAATTGGGGTTTCTGTTGGAAGTTCGATTCAAATCGCAGTTGGATTGATCCCTGCTTTGGTTTTGATCGGTTGGGCAGTCGGTCAACCTCTCACACTATACTTCCAATCGTTTGAAACTGTTGTTCTGGTTGCAAGTGTTCTTTTGGTCAACACTCTCATTCAAGACGGAAGAAGTAATTATATCGAAGGTGCAATGCTTTGTTCACTTTATTTGGTTGCCGCTTTGTCATTCTGGGTTGAACCAGACATGTAAGAAAAAAAAATTGATGGAAAATCGCACTTAAGTAGAAAGACAAACAGATATGTTCCACCCTCCTCAATCATGTATATACGGTGCCAATCTCTCCCCCTTTATTATTATTGTATTGTGTAACAATCAAAATGGCATACTCTGTAATAATCAGCATCACAAATGACTTCCACTTAAGACGTGCATATATTTAGCGCGTTCCACAAAGCGAAGAAAGTTATGATTGCACTTTAAACACTTCTTTGCCTTTCATACGATCACATCAGTCAGCGATTTTGTATTAAAGATCGACATCAAATCTGAAGTGAAGGTAGAGGAAAGAGGCGATAGAGCATACATACACCTGAGAAACAAACAAGATGGCAAGAGAAGAAGATGTTGATATAGGACCAGGGGCAGATGTGGAGATGGAAGATGGTAAGTTTGGAGATGAGTGATGGGTCATACGCAAAGCGAGCGATATGCTTACAATACTTTCTTCTGAGCAGACCCTTCGATTCGTAAAAGAGGAAGAGGTTTCGATCCGAGAGCAGATGGACCTTCGAATGATGGAGTAAAACATGTGGGAAATTTTGAGAAGTTGAATCTATCATCCGAGGCTCAGATGGATCAAGATGAAAGTGCAGGACAGGACGAACACGAGGAAGGAATAGAAAGACCAGCACAGTGTGAGTACAAACAATAGATCTGTCAAGCTCAAATGCTGACATGCATCCACTTTTCCCCCTTCTTTTCAGCAATAGAAGGTTACATAATCATCGTGACTGGGATTGACGAAGAAGCAACAGAAGAAGAAGTGATTGAAAAGTTTGCCGATTTTGGAAAAGTACAGAATTGTCACTTAAACTTGGATAGACGGACAGGATATGTGAAAGGGTATGCATTACTGGAATTTCGACAGCTAGAAGAAGCAAAAGAGGCAATCGCAGCATGCAAAGATGGCTTGACTTTGATGGATAAAGAATTGAAAGCTGGCTTTGCTTTTGTTCAACCACCTCCCACGCACCTTCCGATGGGTATCAGAGGAGCCGCTTCTAGAGGGAATGCAACGAGAAATCGAAGTAGAAGTCCAGATCGAAGGTAGTCAAAGCTATGTACAATAACACCAAACATTTATCAATATACATTTGTATTCCTAGCATTGATCGGCTATGATGTGAGAGTAATGGATACAAGAAAGTAAGGAAGGGTTGCCAAAAAGTGACTGCAAAAATAAAGATACGACGAGAAGAAGGAGCGGACATTAAATAGTTACAAAATGCATCAACGGTGAAAGAACTTCTATGAGCTGGATTTGTTGATCGATAAGTCAGATCCAACTTGAGCCGCTAGAGCATCAATGCTAGAGATCGGATGAGTACCGTTTGCTGCGACAGTAGATCCACTTGATTCATTTTTGTGGACTTCACTCGGGTTCAAAGATCCAGGTAGATGTTCATCTTCTACTATTTTTGATTCCTTTGACTTTAGGTTTTCAGCCATGGCTTTCATGCTGGCCTTTGTGGGCGTCATCGTATCCGTACTTTCGCCTTGACTGGCAAGCTTATTGATTTGCAAAGGTGTAGGTTCATTAGCAGGTTGACCAGGTCGAGCAGTCATTCCAGAAATCACTTGCACATTTTGCGGAGCTGGTGGAGCAATAAAAGTACCTGGTGTTGCAGCAAGAGGAGCTGCTCCTAGTGGTAATGAATTCGAAGCAGGCATAGTCGAAACGCCATCGGAAGGTGGTATTGTGTTAGTAGCATGTACGCTGCTTGCAGTTGGCGTTCTTTCGGAGTCCAAAGTGCGATCAGCCTCGCTCGATACGAATGAGTCTGTTCCAATTGCGGAAATGTTTGGCGGCACTAGGTTCATCATACTTGATCGCATATAATCTTGCGATACTTCTCCCATCGGTGATCCAGGCGAACCAGGGAAAGAAACATCTGCTAGATCGGGACTGAGACCGCTCGCTGCACTTTCGATTCCGCTCTCATACTCTTCGTTGCTTGAATCAACCACAGAACCATCGTATTCATCATCATCTTCCACCTCTTCCCCGTCATCATCATCATCATCGTCATCGTCGCGGTTCAACATCTCATTGATCGTTTGTTCGACCTCTTCGTATTGAGCACGCAAGATTGCTTGACCTTCAGGTACGCTACCATCTCTACCAAGCCATTTCTTGACGCCGGTATCGTTTCCCTCCTTGTCCTTGACTGGATTGCGCATAGCATCAATTTGGTGTAGCGCCAGTCTGTAGGGATACAAGTCACGCATCGTGAATGGACCGCCATACTTTGATACTTCTTTGAGACATTTTGAGATGGTCGACAATTTGTTGCTGATTGGCATCAATTCCTCTGAAATTGGCTCAGAAGAGGCGATAAGTCTGTAGATCAAACCATAGCATCTACGCAAGAGATACAAAACGACCAACTGTCCTTCTGGTTGTTTGCCTTCACTATCCACAAACTTTCCGTCAACGCGAAGTCTGTCGATCTCTTTCAACGTCACCTGATAGTTCCACAAATCCGTTTCACGTAACGTCCATCGATGGGTCAAGACGAGATGTTCAAGTTGAGATCTAATTTCTGATAGTCGATCATAAATTGGTTGCAAGGTCATCGGCACTTCATCATTGCGTACGTTGATCTCATGCAAGATCTCAAAGCAATCTTCCAAGATACCAACCAAGATTGCCTGACCGGCTGGAACTGATGAGCCTCCAGGACCCAAGAACTTTCCATCCACACGTTTACTGTCGATCTTTCGCAATTCCTCTTGCAAAGCTTTGATTTCGTGCTTCATTTCATGTCTGGTCAATTTGGGTTTTGCTGCAGCGGCAATCAGTTGCCTTCTTATCGAGATCAATCTCTGATGAATCGGTACGAGCTCTACGCTTAGAACTGATAGTGTTCCCTCTAGCGTTCTCAACACCTTTTCGCATCCTTCAATCTTTTTCATCATAAGCTTTGTTAGCTGGACCGGATGTTTGCCTTGTTCTGCATCTCTTTTGATGATCGCCCTTAATTCGCTTAATCGGTGTGAGAATGGTTGCAAGTCTTGTTCGGTATAGATACCACTTTCTGCCAAGTGACCAAGCAATTGCTTCATGCTTGCTAGTTGACAGAAGGTTGCCGGTGTCTCTCTGCTCTTTCCTATTGTCAAGAAGAACAGACTCAATAAACTGAAGACGTCGTTCAAAGTCGTATCCACTCGATTGATTTCCGTCATGACTGTGTGATCTGCTTCCACGTTGGAACCTTCGCCTGTTCTGGAAGGTCTCTTTGAATCGCTTGTATCATTGGCTGCAGATTCATCGCGGACTGTATTCAATCTGGTGACCTGTTTGATGACAGCTTGATACAATTGTTGAACATCTTGAGGTTTAACATATGTGGAGCTATCCTTTTTGAGTGCTGTGAGCCGGTTGCGAATGCTGTGAGAGGGGAAGGGGGTGAGGTGAGTCAGTGATCATCCCTCATACGATATGTTCTTCATTTGATTACCTACTTTATCAGCGATTCGAGTATTGGCTGTTCTTCGATTGGAATCGCGCTCATCGCTCTTGTGTTTGCAGCCATGAGGAAGGGCTGTGGATTTGAGAGCAAAGAAGAAGTCGATTTGAATACCTTTTCAGCTTCTTTTGCTGTTTTTGTTATCCAATGATGGTAGCTGTTGACATCAGAGACAACAGTTTAAATCGAAGATGATGGAGATGAAAGTTGAGTTTAGCGTCATTGGAATGTTTGATAATTACGTACTATTGTATAACATTATATGTGTGTATGCACTAGCAAATATCACTCTCAGTTAAAGTTCCACTTGTATACGCGACACAAACACATAGGCTTTCCGCCGTACTCTCATTCTCATGCCGTTGTAACTTGGACCTCCGCTTTATCATTCCATTGCCAAGCATGCGACTTCAGATACTCATTTCACCGCGACTTTACCATTTGCAACTATTGTGGATGTTGAACATTTCTCTACATAGCTTGAATCGACTGCTCCGTGTGAATAAGGCAGCTCCCTTTTCAATCGCAAAATGGAGAAGTGTTGACTTTGTCTATATGCATAAGCTTACTTTGGTCTGCTGTTGCTTCAACAAAGGTTTCTTACAATAATTGCAGATGATCTTGTAGTCTTCACCATCATCAAAACATCTGTTGTTGTCTGAGTCACAATCTCGAACGCTTATCATCTCCTTGTTCTGCCCCGACAAGATTTAACTTCCCTATGAATGCCAAGAATGAACATGAGATTTAATGATCTTCATTGCATATCTATATCCAACATTTTTCGGTCAGACTCAATGAACAGATAAGGGCTATCTCTAGAGATCTTTTTGATACCATTTCATTTTTACGCCCTTTTGCTTACGCCCTCATCTTTGGGCGCCGCCCATTCGTATCTGTTGGTGAGGAGCTCGGGTGACAAAGGAAAGAAGGGGAGAAACCCATGAGAGAAGACAGCAGAAGCGCGCAGCGCATATTCAACAAGGTACAAACTAAACTTACGCCCGCGGGCATTTGTTTGGGCGCGGAAGAAATAGCCCGGCCATTACACCTGCGCACACGTTCAAAACGTTTCTCTCTCTTTTAGGAGAGTATGCGCTTGATTACAAGGAGGAAGAATGCATAGGGAAGAGGGAAAAAAGGAGGCAGAATTGAGTATTGTTGTAAATATAGAACATGACAGTTTCGCCTATTCATAGAAAGGTTTTTCTTCTGTATGTGTATGTACGTGCAGATTCATGCGTGCAATTCAAGGGGGGGGGCAACAGCACGGACTGGCTTTCCGCCTTGCGTGCGCGTGCGCGTGCAACGCTACGCCTGCTTGTTGTTTTTTTCTGTCGAATAAATCTTAGCTGGCTTTCTTCTCTGTTTTTCGGTCAGGGCTGTATTGCCACTGCACCCGAATGAACGCATTTAACACGTACAGCACGCGCCTTATTGTAAAAAAATAAAGAGAGATCGACATTTGGACTGCATCAGCACTGTTTGTCAAAACAGGGCGGCTTATGTATTTGGAATAACCTTTTTTTCGCATTCGAACAGCCTTCTCTCTCTCTTGTACAGCCTCACCATTGCCATCTTCATTAGTCTACATCCATTCTTATCCTTCTCGCCATCATCTCTTTTTTTCAAACGAGAACATCAAATCAAAGCCGAAATAATCAAATTATACCCCCCCTTCAAAAGGCGGTATACCGTTTCTATATATTCATAAAGGATCATCCGAACGCGTATTTTTGATTCTCAGCTCATATAACAAATTTGCGTCAATCCTATTTCTGGTTTGTTATTCAATCATCCTTTTTCGGCAAAAAGGAGTATACTTCTGCTTGAACCAAGAGACGTAATACTCCTTCTTTTTTGGGTGTGCTCTCGACGAAAACACTTCATTGGCACGCAGGCGAGCCAATCAATCAATCAAATCCACTTTACCCCGCCCCAAACAAAAAAAAACACTTTCAGTCATCCATCCCATATAGCATCGCATCATGGCTCGCGATAGACTAGCAGCCATGCGGGCTCAACAAGCTGGCGGCGGTGGTGCAGGTGGCTATGGCGGTTACGGAGGAGGAAATCAAGGTTATGGAGATCATTCTTATCCTACCCAACAACAACAGCAGCCAACAGGATACGGTCAACAAGGATATGCTCAACAACAACAAGGTTACGGTCAACAACAAGGCTATGGTCAACCAATGCAACAAGCATATCCTCAAGAGCAAGCCACTTATGGTGCCGTTCAAGGAGGTAATGCTTATGCTCAAAACCCATACGGAAATGGTGCGCCAGGATCTTATGAGATGCAAGGCATTAACAACAATGAAAAAGGTGCACCTTCAATGGACGCCTTCTTTGCCGAGATTTCTGATATTCAAGATACCATTCGTCAAATTGATGACAACATTAACCGAATCTCAGACTTACACTCTCGTAGTCTGAATAATATGGACGAAGCATCTCAACAACAAGCACAACAACAATTAGCCAGTATGTCAAACGAAACAAGCAGATTGACCAATGCGATCAAGAACAAGATTCGCACTTTGGACACTCAAACTTCTCGTCTTCCCAATAGCGGCGATAAAAACGTTCGTAAAACACAAATTGGCGCACAAAAGAACCGATTCAAGGAAACCATTCAAAGATATCAACAAGTCGAACAAACGTACAGAAAGAAGTATCGTGATCGTGCCGAACGACAATACAAGATTGTCAAGCCAGATGCATCACCGGAAGAAGTACGAGCAGCCATTGATGACGATAACGGACAACAGATCTTCTCGCAAGCTTTGCTTAACTCCAACAGATACGGAGAGGCGCGCGGTGCTCTTCGTGAAGTTCAATCACGTCATGAAGATATCAAAAAGATTGAAAAGGCTTTGGTTGAATTGGCACAATTGTTCCAAGAGATTGATATTTTGATCACCGAACAAGGTGAACAAATTGATGTGATCGATCAACATGCAACTGCTGTTGAAACTGATATGAACGCAGGTCTACAAGCAACAAACAAAGCAGTTGACTCTGCTCGTCGTGCACGTAAAAAGCGTATCATTTGCTTCGTCATTTTGATTATTTTGATTCTTGTTATTGCAGCAGCTGTTGCTGCAGGAGTTTGCTCCCAGGGCAATTGTGGCTCAAAGAACGACAATAAAAACAACAACAACAATAGCACCAGAACAAGACGTAGTCTTGTCGAGGATGGTATGCTCTCCGGTGACGTCGATGGTCTACTTTTCAGTCGGGGTTTGATTGGAAGAGAGTTGGAGGGATGGCACTGATTTTTACTGGGATCCCCAACACAAGAACACTTCTATCAACCATATCTACCCTTTGATGCCGTCTCGAATTCAAATCATTACCAATTCGACTTGCTGCTCATATCCAAATTTGATTTCTTAAAATTGCTTTTACTCCAGCCAGTCCTGATAACTATTCATATTCCTATTTTGTCACACGAAATCCAAGTGCATAAATCATACAATTCTCATTCGTTAATATATTTGCTTATCCGAAACGCACACAACGTGTGAGAAAAAATGATGATACAAATTTACATACAGCATAAAATTACAAATCAAAAATTGCATTATCCCAACTTGAAATATCATCCCAACCTACGCCTGCGCTCAACATTTGAATTAATTGAGTTGCATTAGAAGATGATCCGAATGCGTTTGTATCTGTGGATGAAGTGCCGTCAGGGTTGATGCTTGGCAAAGGCATCATTTCGGAAACGCCAGGTAAAACTGTTGAAGAGACAGGTAATACGTCATCATTCGCATTACCAGCCGTTCCTCCGACCATAAATCCTGGCAAAGAGGCTGGCATGGTGAGATCATGCGGAGAAAATAATGAAAAGTCAAATCCGTTCCCAGCAGAAGATTGAAGGCCATCAAAAGGTGTGGCGAGAGAGGTAAAAGTGGATTGAATCGAGCTAGGATCGAAGGAAGTAGGGTTTGGCGTACCTTGTTCCACCTTTTCTTGAATACGTACTCTTTTGTCCGGCCTTCCGTTTGCTCCTCGTTTTGTAGAACTGGTGGATGGCGAATCAAGACCGTGCTTTGAGGAAGATTTAGAGGATCGTCGTTTTGCATCGCCTATCAAATTCAAATCCTCGCCCGATAAATTTGCCGCTCTTGCGGCATCTGCAGCTTGAGCTGCTGCTTGTGCATGATCATGAACAACGTCACCAGCGCTATCGCCCATTTCGCCTTTCACCTCTTCACTGCTCTTTCCTGCAGCGCTACCGAGTGCCATCTCTGCTCGTTTATCCAAACGCAACAAAATTCCCAAAGGAGATTCGAGTGGTCTCCAACCATCAACAGCCAGACGCAAAAGTGCAATTGCGGCTCTCAAATCACGCCAAGCAGAATGAGCTTCAGCACCTTTACGCTTCTTCACAGCAAACAAGCCACGACAAACAGCTGCTGAAAAGATTGCGTTCCAAAAGAAAGTCCACCTGAGTACCAAAGAAGGATAATGTGACCAAGCAGATATGACCAATTCAACAATCTTTGATGCACTCTGATTGACTGCATCAACGCTCGCTTGAAACCGTTTGGGATTCAGACCGGGTTCGATGCCATCCTCTTGTCCGTTTGAGCCTGTCTCTGACGATTGTTGCAATGCCTCACTGAACCAACCTCGATGTAGAAGTAAGCGGATTTGATGGTTATTGAGGAACGTAAGATGGGATCGCATGGTGAATAGCATCTTTTCGCGTGATGCTGAATCAATGTATGTTTCCTCCATCGTTTCATTGCCTGTTTTTGACCTTCTCGCTAGCGGTAGTATTGTCGGCTTCATCCAATCAGGATAAGCACGATGCAATGCTTGAATCTTTTCATCGTACTTCATCGTCAATGAGTACGAAGATGTGGCACACAGGCAATCGTCCAGGACACGATTTATCAGTCTCGTTTGCATGCTCTTTGCTGCGAAAAAGGCAGATGCTCCTTCCTCTTCGTCGTCTAGCTTCCATTTGGAAGGAAGGCGTGTATCAACATGTCGATCAAGAATGGCAGGCGGCCTACAGAATCCTAGAGATCGGAGTGTTTCAACCCCGTGCAGATCCCAAAACACTTGCCTGCGCTTCTCCCGGTCGGCATCACTTATGTCAAAGTGGGCTGGATCTCTATGCAAGCCAGAACGAACCATCATGCTTGACATCAGTCCGAACAAAGGCCAAGCACTTTCCGCATATCTGCCTGCTCTACGCCAAGTCAGGTAGAGAGCCACATGAACCAAAGCCAACATTGCATCCAGACTGGTCGATTCGGTAAAATTCGTCAAAACGAGAGCGTTCCAAGCACATGAATAGAGCGCTCTTCCAGCAGGATCACGTTGTGGTCTACTGACATCCAGAAGCACGCCCAAAGCCAATATTGCGAAAAGCAGCGCCATCTTGTGAGCTTGAAACTTTGCAGGCGGTTGTGTAGTCTTATTTCCATTGCTGTAGAAGATTGGCCATATCTCTTTATCAAATTCTTCACGAGGAATGAAGTCGTGCATGAACCCAACAGATGCATAATAGACATTCACAAGACGACTTGCTGTCGTTATGTCGGGAAGCATGGGCGATAAGTGATTCCAAATGGCAACGGAAGAATGCGGAGATCGAAAGCCAGGAGTTGCCCAAGCCATGAGAGAAGAGAAAGATTCGGAGTTGGATGGGGTAAGTGTGTCGAAGGGTGATGTGTCGTCATCATTTCGCTTCTTTTGGCCGATCGCATCAAAGTCGACCGGTGTTGGTGAGCCTGGTCGTGATTGAGAGGGCAATTGAGTGGGAGAAACGGCACGCGATGAAGACGTTAAACCTTCTTTGGTCAAGTAGACCGAATGAGCATGTGGACCGACGTACGAAGATCGACCATCTGCATGTACTGCCAATTGGCCTTGTCCCTGTCCGGGAGAGGATGTCTCTTTTGCTATACGACTGTAATCTGAAGCTATATTAGCCAGATCATGCAAGCCAGAGCTGGTTTGACGAGATGATGTAGGCTGTAATCCTCGATCGGCTAAAAGAAGGTCTAGCTTCTGTTCTACGCTAGACAATCTGGTCCACATTGCTTGATTTGCATCAGTACCATCTATAGAGTTGAACGAAGTTTGCTCGTAAGATGTGCTAGCTGTTCCATTTGCTTGTTGACCTTTCGAAGGCATTGATTTGGGCCGATCACGCTTTTGAACGCCGTCTGGACATAGGTGTGCCAGCCTCCTTTTGACACACATATCGCATGGCCACGTTTTACTGCATCGCAGCTTTAGTCGACGGCATTCATTGCACGATCTGGATGAATGGAGGGAGAAGGATGATTAGCAAAAGCAGCTTGAATTAATAGCAGTATACTTACGTTGCCTTGCTAGCCTTTACGGGTGTGCTGTCGTTGCCTTTTGAGTTTGAATCATCGTTCTGACCCTCTGAAGTACTGTTTGCGTTAGAAAGATTTGCCGACATTGAGGTGACCTGTCATGAAGTAGCATCGATGTAAGCAAGAGAAGAAGAGCAGCACAAACTTCTTTCCTGTTTATGCACTGGGAGAAGAAAGCTTAACCCTATTATTCATTTATGCATATTAATTCGCGTTTGTACCTGGGCCAAATACAACTTTCCGCGGGGTAAAATGTCATTTATTAAAAAAAAAACATTTGTTCCGATTCGGAGTTGCGTTGTTTGTAGTGCTTTTGCTCTTATTGGCGTTACGCGCTACCTCCACGATTAACACTTTTTTTAAGCTGTGTCGGCTGAGCATAAAACACAGCCACCGTTATGCGTCAATTAAGGTATGCATACATCAAAGCATTCAACTGATGGTCGAAGTCTTCTTTACCTACCAATCACCTCCATCATCGGTCAAGATGGTACTAGATAGCAACTTATTCACCTTGACATTCGAAAGAAGGAATAGAAATCCAAACATCTTGGATCTGATCCCATTCTCGTCTTCTTCGCTGCAAGACGTTGCTTCGGGATCATCTGGAACGACTTCACCTCTCTATACATTCTCACGTGCAAGATCAAATCATTATACCATTCGGTTGATCGATTCATTGACAGACATAGTTTTAGCAAGCATAGATTGTCCTGCTTCCACGGATAAACTCAAAACAATTCACCTTTACAATCCAAATGACGAAATCGTATTAGAGAAAAAGGGTATGACATTTCGGCAAGATTGGAGATGGACTTGGCAAGAGAACGAATTCAGCATACGTAGAGAAGGTAGACAAATAATCGTAGAAGCTATTAGAAAACCTGACCCAGAAATCGACATAGCTCGATACACACCTCGGACGAAGACGAGACCGGCCACTCTGCAAATCCTGGATTATAATGTGCAGAGGCTAGAGGTGGAAGACAGACGAGGCTTGGAAATTGTTACCATCTGCGCTGCTTGCCATCTATTAGACCAAGAATATGATGATAATCATAAAGAAGGCGGAAATATGTACTTCGACGGAGTAATGCCAGCCTCGACCTCCTCCAATCCACCAACGGCAGCTGCTTCCACCTTGTCTTCCAGCAATAGTGCCAGTCAAGTCGCAGCAGAGCCGAACGAAATCTTGTTGGATTTGCATGTTCCTAATTCAAACTATGTGGAGCATGCTTTAGACTTATTGCGTCAAGATGAAACCGGTCAGGGATTGCATATGATCATTATTCGAGCCGACTCACAAGAGCTAACAGCACGAGCAGTTCGAATCGCGGCAGAAATCAAGGCAAGATGGTACAAACTACCAGCTATTGTCAAAGGAAGAACATTGGACCCAATGCCGGGAAGTTCTAGTGAAACAGCAGAAGAGTTGTATCAATATGTTCGCGATCCAGCCTTAGACCAACAAAATGCAAAATCACAAAATGAGTCAAATAACGGCTATCTGGATCCCAACGCTGGTCCAAGAGGAAGAATAAAGTTAGGTTCTCCAATGCAGAACAGTGCTTCGTCCTCAAAAAAATCTCCTTCGCCTCAACCAAGCAACAAGAGAGCGTCAACTTTTGTTGCCCCACCTACCAAATTGGATATTTATCTCTCAAAAGATCGTATTGACGAATTTGAACGATCAAAATCCTCTACTCAACCAAGCCCCAGACCCGCTTCTCCGGCGATGAATACACCACCAAGCATACCGCCTAAAATGTCTGCCGGACATGGCCATCACCATCATACGTCTAGTGATGGAGGTGCAAAACGTTTATTGGGCAAGCTGGGCTTTCGCAAGTCCGATCAATAGACTCATGCTACTACATAGTACAATTCATTATACCCTTCATTGACACTTTTATTCTCGCATAACAATTTATTCTTCGAATCAATTGCGATTTTATATATACAAAAAAAGAGGCAGCTGTGTGAAAAGTGCTGTGAAAGTTGATAGGTGTACAAGATTAATGAGGATAGATGGCATCCGATCTGCGATTTGGTGGGAAACTACCTGGTGGTCCATGCATTGGATGATTCATTGGAGGCGGTGGTGGGGCAGGTCCCAATTGTTGAGAAACAGGCTGACCTGGCGAACCCATCATATGCCCAGGAGGGAATCCTGCTCCTGCTCCTGATGGCATCTTTCCTCCTCCATGTCCCGGCATATTGCCATATGCACCCGGTGGTGGCGGGCCTCCCATGTGTGCAGGCGGTAGAGGTCCATCGTAGTATCGCTCATCATGCATGTCTCTTGGTGGACCACCTCCTCCGCCAGGATAAGGCATCTTACCACCTTGCATCATACCATCGAAATTCCTTTGTGATGCATTTTGAGAGACATTTCTGTTGGGATTTGATGTTGGTCCGCCTGGCCCAGCTCCGACTGGCTTTCTAGAACCAGGAGCTTGTCCTGGAGATCTGGGTCGTTTCATACCTTGTCCTTCATTCTTTCGACGATCGTCAAGAATTGCTCCCGATTGCTTTGGAGTTCTGTTACTACCTGAAGGTGTTCCCGCTCGCTTTTTCGAAGAAGATGCACCTCCCATCCCATTGTCATTCTGCATTCTTGGCCCACCATTTCCACGTGGACCAGGTGGGGGAGGTCCACCGAATTGATTTGCCGGAGGGGCAGGACCGTAACCGTCAACGACCATGCCAGGTTGCATACCTCGATCGCGACCGTCAAATCCTCCCCTTTCGAGCATCATACCGCCAGGCGCAGGACCGCCGGGAAAAGGTGGCAGCAATTCCATACCGGGTGGGGGCTGTTGAGCACCACCATCCATAACGTACATGTTCCCGTACGGATCTACACCCATTTCGTCCATTCTGTAATAATTCATTCCAGGCATCAGACGAACATCAGGCTGAACACCCATCCGTTCCAGATCCATCCATGCTTCACCTTCTTCTGCGCCTCGCAAATCAGGATAAGCAACATAGGCGCCCATCTCTTCCAAATCCTCCAATTCTTGTTGCCGTGGATCGCTTTTTCTCTTCGCTTTGCCTTGACCATATGTCTTTGCTTGTATAGCATCGTAATCTGGATTTCGCACGAGCTCTGTCTCGAAAATTTGATGCCTTCTGGCAGGTCGTGGACCATCCAATGTCCTCTTCTCGCGATCCAACTTTCTTCGTTTACGGGAAACGTCGTCCAACTTATCCTTGCGCAATTGTACAACCTCGTTTCTCCAATTGTTCCATGTGGCTGCTTCTTCCGTATGTGCAACGCGCTCATATTGTTTTTGCTGTTCTTCAAACCACATTTCGACCAATTTCAGTCGTCTTTCTCTTCGTGCCTCGATGAAATTTGTCAAATAGATGAGATCAGGATGTGTTCCCTCTAAGATCATCTCACTCTCTTTACTGATTTCATCCATTCGTTCGACGTATAGTTTATCGCGTAAGACAGCAAACCCAATCTCGATCTTTGTAAGTGCTTCCATCGCTTCTTGCCTTCTGATAGCCGCTTCGTCGGTGGACGTTTCCTCTTCCGCGACAGCTTCTTCTGTTTCTAGAATTGGGGTTTCTAAAACCTCTTTGTCTTTCTCATCTTCGTCTTCTTCATCGCCTTTTGCGCCCTTTTGGTCTCCGTCTTCATCCTCTTTATCGTCAAGCTTAGGTGATGCTTCACGTGAGGATGCAACACTTGCAGCACCGCTTGGTGCTTCATCGATTGTGATCGAAGGTGCACCTGCCAAAAGACCGGCAGCCGGACCGGGACGGGTAGCTGAACGTTTTGCAGCACTTGCAAGATGGCCGAGGGAAGACATTTCTCGACTATGGTTTTTGGGTCTCTTGTTTAATTGTGAGCCTTGCTGGCTTTCATCATCTTCACCATCTTGTTGATTATCGTCCAAGTCATTCTCTCCTGCACCATCTTCCTCTTCTCCATCTTCTAAATCATCCTGATCAGAAGTGGGCTCAGAAGCAAGCATGACCTCATTCAACCGAGATCCTAGTCTGGGTTTGGCTGCCAAGCGTCCGTGTCGCGAATGTATTGTGGACGGAGATCGCGAAGATGTTGCACTCTCTGAATCTGAGCCATCAGCGTTGAGCTGATCGGCGTCACCAGCACCGGCTGCTGCAAGGACTGCGAGGCCATCCAGGCCGCTTGTTACCTCTGCTCCAGCATTTTGAGCAGCGCCATCTTGCTCTGCTGCAGCAGTTAATGCTGCTAGTCCTTTCGCTGCTTCATCTTCATCGTCTTCCTCATCTTCGCCTTCTGCATCCTCATCTTCATCGTCTTCATCATCGCCTCCCATTTCGTCATCGTCGTCTTCCTCTTCTACTTCACCTTCTGCATCATCGTCATCATCAGATTCGTCTGTCAATTCGCTTTCATCGCTGAATGCTGCGCCAGTATTAGACCGTTGCATTGCGCCTGCATCTTCTTCATTCGTTGCGTCCTGTGCTCTACTATCTTCGAAATTGTCCTCTTCACCTCTCATCGTACCCTCCTCATCAGATCCGACTGCATCCGCATCATCTCCTTCTTCATCCTGTTCGTTTGCATTGCCGGTCAGTCGATTTGAAGTGGCTGTATTTGCGTTGATGTCTTCCATTGATGTATCGGCAAGAGAAGCTTGTATGCTTCCGGGAGCATCTTCATCCACTAAATCAGTCATTTTGCCGTTTAGTTCTGTTGTTTCGTTTTCTTCGTCTTCGAATGAAAGTGGTTCTGTGTCAGCTTGTGAAAGTGAAGTTTCTTGCTCCAATGCGGCACTTGCACCCTTTCGTGGCATGACGGAAGGGAAGGGATGCAATAGCAATCTTTCAAAATACCGCTCAAGCCTGATCGTATCAAGATTGCTAGAGGGTATTCCACGTTTAGATAGTGAGATTGGATTCCAACATGCAACCTTTGGCACGTATCACCGCTTATAGCCTCAACTTGCAGCTTCTGATTGAGTTTTTAATATTGTGTGACGATGTGATGGAGAATGTCGTGTTTGACAAGAAAGTCAATCAAATGATATGCAGCCTCAAAAAAAGAGGTGGATCTCGCTTTACCAAAAAAACACACGCTTTGTGCCTTGCTCCGATTCCTATGTTCAAACTCCAGAAATGGGGGGGAAAGGGTGATTATATAACAAATCTTGTGCTTAAGCTGTAGACATTAATCTTTTACCGCTTTAGCTTCTTGAAACGCACGCGTATACACACACGCACGGGGCACCAACAGCGTTTTAATTGTGCTTGTGCTTCAGAGGCCACACACATATACACTCAGTAGCCGCGCGTTCGTGAAGCTGAATGAGAAGCTCATACGAAGCTTCAGAGAAGCATTACACTTACCATTCCTTCCATCAATCAACATCATCTTCAAACACAACACAACATGTCGAGAAGATATGATAGCAGAACGACTACTTTCTCACCGGAAGGTAGATTGTACCAAGTAGAATATGCTATGGAAGCAATTTCTCATGCCGGTACAGTCGTTGGAATTTTGGCAAAAGATGGTGTTGTATTGGCAGCAGAGAAAAAAGTTACAAGTAAATTATTAGAACAAGATACAAGTAGTGAAAAGATTTATAATCTTAGCGATAACATTCTTACCGGAGTCGCAGGAATCACAGCAGATGCAAATTCTTTGATCAATTATGCTCGTAATGCTGCTCAAAAATATTTGTTAGCATATGACGATGATATCCCAGTCGAACAACTTGCTCAACGATTGTGCGATTTAAAGCAAGGGTATACGCAGTATGGTGGTCTGCGACCTTTTGGTGTCTCACTATTGTATGCAGGTTATGATGCCCACCATTCTTTCCAATTATACCACTCTGATCCTTCTGGAAATTATTCGGGATGGAAAGCAACATGCATCGGAAGCAACAACGGAACAGCAACAAGTCTACTCAAACAAGACTACAAAGACGAATTCACCATTCAAGAAGCCATGTCTCTGGCTTGCAAGGTATTGAGCAAGACCATGGACGCAACCACTTTGGACAGCGAAAAGATTGAATTCGCAACACTTTCTCTCGATAGCCATGGCAAACCTCTTCCACGTATCTTCAAACCTTCAGATATCACAAGACTACTACAGCGCGAGGGTTTGGCAAAGAAGGAGGAGGGAGAAGCAGGCGCTACCGGAGCAGACTCGATGGCTGTTGATTCATGATGTACTAGACACTGTAATAATTCATTCTCTTAAATTCAAACATCACAAACTGAGTATGCAAAGACTGCAGCGTATTTTGTCATAAGAATAATCGTATTCACCTGATAACACAGACCGAAACATGAACGAATCACGGTGAGAGAAGGGTAGAAATCATGAGGGAAAGAAGTGCTCCTTAACATACACACAAGTGCATGTTATCATTAGAGCAGGTATTTGGAGATGACCATGCTGGTGGCTATTTACCGTCTTTGGGTGCCACGGCCGTAACCGCCTTGCATTGCATCTAATTCGGCTTCCAGAGCCTTGACGGAAGAATGGGCTTGTTCTAAATCCTTGTTTAGACGATCTCTCTCGGCGATCAAATGTTGTTCCCATTGTCTGAACCTTTGTTCTTCCAATTTGACTTGCTCTGTGAAACGGCGACGTAATGCCTCTTCCTCTTCTTTGAATTTGGGGTTGTCCAACTTTTTCACCTTTGGTTCACCGAATTTACGGGTTTCCATTTGTGCTTGACGGTAGTTCTCGTAATGGGTCTCTTCTGTTGTGTTGATCAAATCCAGCATGTGTGTACGGATGAGCAAAGAACGCAATTTCTTGAAGTCACAATGTTCCTCGTTTTCCACTTCAGCGACACCCCATAGATAATCACGACCCTTAACCACACGTCCATCACGGGTTTGTACATCCTTTGTAGATCCGATGATGGAGAATGGCATAGCGTTCATGAGTGTCTTTGCATGTTCAGCACTTGCTTCATCATCGGTTTCGATTGGTGGTGAGTAGACACGAATACCTTGAGCATTGATCACTTCGCGAATACGTTGTTTGAAGATTGCCAAATCGTTGGGGCTCATTGTATCAGCCTTGGCAACGACGGGAATCAAATTGACACGGGTTCCCAATCGCTTCATTGTTTCGATATCGAGAGGTTTGAGTGTGTGACCGGTTGGACGGACGAAGTATAGGCAAGCATGAACACGCATATCAGTCTTGTCCTTACGTTCAGGTTGTTGTTCTTGACGCATGTACATTTCATGTTGATCGTCCAAGAAGTCGATTATGGGGGACCAACTGTCACGATTGTTGACGTAATCTCCGAAACCGGGTGTATCGATCACAGTGAGTTTGACTTTGAATTGTTTCTCTTCCAATTCTGCCTTGATAATATCAATCTCGACAGTTTTGTCTAGTTGTTTAGCATGACGAATTGTGTGATTCTTGCCGGTTGCAAGTTCTGTAGAGAAGAGTGTGTTGATCAATGTTGTCTTTCCTACACCGCTTTCTCCGACAACCATCAACGTGAAATGACCTCCAGCTTTGGCAACGATCTTGTGCCTTTGGTTTGGCAAATTGGCGATACCTGTTGAATGATCGTATTGTTGATAATGGGAAGCGTCAGACATGGTGAGTTTTTAGGACAAGTGAAGATGAGGGAGAGTAGGAAAGAGAGTCAGTATTGTATTCTATAATGTAATGTTTTCGAGGGTTGTCTTCCCAATCCATTCTGAATAAAGCACTTCAATCTGTCGGGCCTGGTAATACGATTTGTAGCTCATAGCCTGCCCGCTTCTGCTCGTAGCACTTACCGATTCCTGAACTCATCTTGACCTGTTGATATAACGCTTTGCGATGATGTCGAATAGGATATCAGGTTACGGTAGGATGTGAGATTTAATTCAGTCTTAATCCTGATCACCAATTCTAAAAGTGTGCTTAGGCTGAAAGTGCAGTTGTGCAGTCTGTGCAGTTAAAGTTGCACTTCCATCCTTTCTGCTCACACAATATTAGTGCACACAGAGGCACACTGCTTCGTTGGCATAAATTGAGAAGAAAGGTTTAGCTTCTTTCTAGCTTGATGCAATTCAACAGTCTGCTTAAAGTACCGCACCTAATGTACAAGCGTGCGGACGGCTAATGTTGAAATTAATTACCAGCGCGTATGGTTAAACACGCTAGCGATTCCTCTCTTTCTAGCTGGCATATGAATAGCTTAGATAGCCTTTGTTGCATTGATTTGCCCTGATGTTCTTCCTCATCACGTGGTCGGCGGTACTCGCCGGCTCTGATAGGGCGTAGAATATATGCGTGCGCCAAAATGAATGTTGCCCTTTAATCAACTTCAAGCTTGAAGCCTTGAGCCTGTCTCCAGTGCGCGCGATCCCGCCCCCCCCCCAGCGCGCAAAAGCAAGATCTTCCTAAGCGTAAGAAGACATAGCAAGGCAGGCGTACGTGCGTAGAATCGATCAGATTGGCGAATGTTTGATGGAATTATTGTCATTGCGATCAAAAGTTTTACTCTGTTCCTACCAGCATCATCACTACAACCTATTCCAACTGTTGCTGCTCTTCACTTAAACAAAAAATGAGCTTGCGCAGTGCTGCCCCTCGTGCGGCCGTTCTTCGTTCGGCCGCTTTACGTCCAGCTGCTCCACGAATGGCATTCACAGCTTCGTCAATCGTTGGTGCTCGCGGATATGCCGACAAACCATCACCTGAAACTCGTGCATCTGCTTTGTTGGTTGTTTTGCCAGGAAACTCAATCGTTACAAAAGCTGGTTGGGTTACTTTGGGAACAAGTTTGTCCGCTTTAGCCGTCTCGAAAGAATTGTACGTTGCAAACGAAGAAACCGTCATTTTGGTCGCCTTCTTGGTCTTCGCTACCTTTTTGGGCCGTACAGTTTCAGCTCCATACAAAGAATGGGCTGATGGACAAATTGAAAAGATTTCCAGCATCTTGAACGGCGCTCGTAAGGAACACACTCAAGCCGTTCAAAGCCGTATCGATTCCGTCAGTGAACAACGTGACGTTGTTGATATCACAAAACAACTATACGCAGTTGCCAAGGAAACCGCTCAAGTTGAAAAGGAAGCATTCGAGTTGCAACAACGTACCAGCCTTGCAGCCGAATTAAAGACCGTTTTGGACAGCTGGGTTCGTTACGAATCTCAAGAACGTGAAGCCGAACAAAAGTTGTTGGCAAAGACTGTTATCGAAAAGGTTACCGCTTCGCTCAGAGATGAAAAGACACAAAAGCAAATCCTTGACAATGCCGTTGCTGAAGTTGAAGCTTTGGTCAAGAGCAAGGCTGTCTAAATATAGAGTGGAAATAAACAAAGCGGTACGTTTTGAGGACAATTGTTTCTCACAATGGATCATATAATATACGACATGTGTTTCACGTCCATGTAGGAGAGGATGAAATGCAACATCAGATACGAAAGACGATATGATACGATGGTGTACAGCGTGTTTGGATGATTAAGAGTGGTAGAGTATGCAGGTGGGCTTGATCATTAGCAGATTGACCGATTAGAGAAACATCATGCGATACGATTAGAAGGATCACGATTATGTAGCATTCTCAACTTTGTGACGGGCGAAGAGTTGGATTAAGTTGGATTTTGAGCGTTGATGAAGCTTCGTTGAGGCATTAAGGTGTCTTTGAGATTGCGAAGCGGTGCTTTCATTCGGTTGGTTAGAACCCTTGGCTTGTGCGTTTTGCTGATCGTCTGATTTGATTAATTTCCACTTGAAAAGATGTGACAGACTGTTCCGTCGATTGGACTTGGAATTGTTTTGTTGCTTTTGGCTTGTCTCATTCACGTTTTCATTGTTTGGTGGTGGAGGCGGTGGTGGAATAGATGAAGTGAAATTGGTCGTTTTTCGAAAATTCTTCATCGTATCTGTTGTGCGAAAGGTGCGATCCACTTCGATCAAGAAAGCGTCTAACTCCAGCTCATGATTTGCTTCGTTGTTCGCCTTATCATCTGGAACGATTGATCTTGGCTTGTCAGATAAACTTTCGTTCACGAGTGAATTGATTGGATGTCCTATACTGCTTTGGGAACCAGGAAGGATATCATTCGTCACTGGCGGCGTATAGGAAGTAGAGGAGTCAGCGTCTTTCTTGAGTTTTTGGGAAGAGGGTTTCTTTGGCAACGGTGGTGGATCTTTAAGGGCATTCGATGAATTCTTTTTGGACACCTTTTGAGTAGGATTGGCAGAAAATTGTGACTTGAGCGGTGGTTTGGACTTTGCATCTGCCGTCTTGCTTGGACTAGGTTCAGATTGTGGCGCATCTGCAACAATACGATGATGTAAAGTACCATTATCGCTTGCCGTCTTTCTGATCAATTTACGTTGACTTTTTGATGAATCTTGACTTTTTTGTTCGTGACCGAACAAGCCGGATAAGTCTCTCGTTTGTCGATTTTCCTCAAACATGCCTTCCCTTTCGTTTTGATCATCAACGGAAATTTTTCCCCAAGCAATTAGCATGCCTAAATTTTCCAATTCTTTTTTCCTCCTTTGCTCTTCTCTTGCTTGAAGCTGGAGATAAATCCTTCTTGCTTCTTGGGTAAATGCATGTGAGGATGCAGGCTCGATCTGGATAGGTGCTTGAACGATATCATCATGATCACCAATTGTATCATACTCCATCAACGATTGACGAACCCAAGAAGAAGCCAAGATCTCGGATGTTTGTTCTGGGATGCGAGACTTGGCTTCTTTCGCAGCGTTTGCTTTGTTGCGTTGCTTGATTAGATCATTTTGTCGCATTCTGTTGATGAGCCATTGTCTACCTCGCGACATGGATGAACGCTTTTGCGGTTGCTCATCTGAGTTGTTGGAATCCAAAGTTAAAGATTTATCAAGATGAACAATATTGTTGTTCGACTTTTTTTCCGCGTGGTATATGTCTTCAAGGTTTGGCAAATTTCTTCTAACGTTCACATCACTCTCTGTCATTGAACGTCTACGTGCTGCTTGATTGTTTGCATTTCCTTTTCTGTATTGCTTTTGCAATACTTCCCATGCAGCCAAAGCGTCTCGAAGGTTATTGTCTGGATTCACTTCGGTGAAAAATTGTGAGGATTTAGGTGTGAGAGGTGAACGCTTCCAGCCATCATTAGAAGAAGTGTCATGTTCCTTCTTGGAGATTTCTACCGGTGGAATGTCGATAGAAGGTATCTTTTTCTTTGGTGGCCTTTTGCGTTTTTCTTGAGGTGTACCTTTGAAAGGTGATTCTTTTGGATTTTTCACGCTGGATAACATTGTACGCCGTGAAGGATCATCAGAAAATCTTTTCGGAAAGGAAGGACTTTCTTTGCCATGTTGAACATCACATGGTTCTGGAGTCATCAGAACTTCAACTCTTGAATCTTGTGAATCGCCACCCATAGCCTGTGAAAGTTCAACTTTTCGTTTATTGTTAAGACGTTTCCAGTGATCGGAAGATGTCCAATCTTTTTGTACTGAATCAGACAAAGGTCTTAAACGTTCATAAATTTCATCAGAAGTATCTTCTGTGATCGAGCGCATGTATGGTTGATCGACAGAGAACGATTTTGACTTTGATTTTATTTCTTTTTCATCATTTTCACTTGAAAGAATTTCCGTTTCTACTGAACCTTTTTCTCGATCTGAAGTACATTCTGGCGTAATTCTACCTTGCTCCCTCCATTTGCTTAATTCGTCATTAAATACGATCCTCGGCTTGGTTGATTGACTGACAGTATTTGAGGAGGTGATTCTTTTCTTTTGCGCAACTATCAACATTGCTTGATCTTCATCATCTTCCGTATAATTTGGTTCCAACAAGTTTGCTTCTGACAAATCTTTCAATAAATCACTTGCTGCCGTACTGTCATCTTCATTCGTTATGCTAGCCTGAAATTCTTCTTGTGATGGAGAATTTGTGTTATCAGGGATTTGCTCAACGGATTCTGCTCTATTTTCATAGAATGCGCTTGAACGATCGTTTCGCAAGATATCTGGAATATCCAGAATGGTACTCTTGATTCGCATACGTTCTTCTTGACTGAACAATGAATCTTGAGAAGAGTTATCAGGCCCATGAATAAGTTGTGGCATAGAACGATGCTTTCTGATCTTTTGAACGGGATTTGCTGGTGGATCTTCGCAAGAAACAATAATGATCGGCACTTCTCTTTCTTTTGGCGTCATCCATGACGGTGAAGATCTTTTGGGTACAACAATTTGCGAGATCTTTGTTTCGGGTGTATAGAAGGAGGCAGACTTTCTCAACCTTATTTGATCACCAGTGATGCCCCTTTGACCTGCTCTATAGCTACTTTGTAATATAAGGCTTTTTCTACCTTCATTTTGATAGCCTACCGGGCAACCAAGACTCTGTGTCCTTTGCCTATGAGTGTCGTTTGGCTCACAAGATCTCTTCATGCTGAGAGTAATTGATGGTGAAAGGTGAAAGAAGTCGCATGATCAAACATCTTATGTTCAAATAGACAAGAAAAAACTTCTCTGTGATCGGAGGGTTAGAGGCTCGTGTGCTTTCCTTTATGAATTTCGTAATTGATTCATTCTATATACGAATCTTTCAGGGTCAAGGCGAGATCTTCAAGCTGAAGCTGAGGAAGGCGTCTATTTAGCAAGCAGATCCCGATTGATTGTCAGCAGTATTAGAGTCTTTTACCTTTGCCACGGAGAATTAATCGGGCAAGGACCTTTTTTTCGAAATCCGATCCGTGCTACAGGGCCATGAAATTGAGCTCGGATATGGAAATCTCGCAGTTATCACTGCAATCTGCATCGGACCCTAAAGTGGGCTCCATTGTGCGTAACAATCATCTTATTGCAGTGTATGTCATGATGGTGAAGGGCAAACATGTAACTTCTGATATAAAAATAGACTTGCCCCTTCAAACCATTGTCGATAAGTCATTAAAGCAGCGGGTTGCTAAATGCGTGTAAACGTCACTTGCCAGTTTTGAATTCTATAAGCAAATCACACTGTTGATGTGCCAAGCCTTTACGCGCCTTTCTTATTAAATTAAAAAGCACAGCATGTCGGCGTGTTGTCATATGCCGCTTTTGTGTGTTTGAGTGTGGAGCAAAAGAGGGCAACACTTTAGCGCATATTTGTTAGACGAAACGAACAATGCGTACAGATGCTCATTCTATCATTCACACTGACAAATCGCCTTTTACTTCTTAGAATTCGGACTCAAGCCTCCGTTTGGTCATTGACAGTTTTCTTATTCTCATCCTTCATCTTACAATTAAAAGCGTTCTGATCTTTAACACTATCATTAATCACACACAAACAACAAAACAAAACAATCGCACAAGCCCATTTGATCACCACGCATCACTCCATTTTCCCCTTTTGAAAGATCAAACATGCCGATCTTAAACGTTCATGCGGGTTCTTTACCCTCTTTCTCTTTACGAATGAACGCTTCCGATTCTTTGGAATCAATTCGTCAAAGAAGTGCAGCAAAGATTCGTTTGGACTTGAAAGATGGTATCCCATTGGTAATCAAATACGCTCATAAAGGTCAATCTTACACTTTGGAAGATGATGACGATTGGGATATCTTTGTGGAACGTTTTGGAAACGAAAAAGAAGCAGACGTATTCCTCGAATCTCCTGAAATTCCAAGCGCACATGGAGAAGATGATGATTCGGATGACGTACCAACAGGTCAATCACGTACAGCAAACATTCCAGTCGTCAATGATTCTACCTTGGTCGCACGTACACCAGGCCGTGGCTCTGGCGGTCCAGTGAGCATTTATCGTGTGAACCCAAACCCAGTCACAACTTTGGAAGAATTCACAGAAGCAGGAGGCGTTTCAGGTGGTGGTCGTGATTCAATTTTGTACCCTCCAGCTCGCGAACCTGTTCCTCATCCAGGTTTCAGCAGACCAGTCGTACCGGATTTCCCAACCACAACACCAGCAACGGATGCCATGTCTATGCGCAGTAATCGTACAGCCAAGCCAAAAGGATATTCAGCCGAAGTTGCTTCTCTTACACCATCGCACAAGATTGCATTCCAAGAATTCCATTCTCAATTGGGTGTCCGTCTATTGAAGGGATCTTTGGGTCCTGTAGATGATGTACCGATGATGCTCAAGAGCGGTTACAGACATGTTTATGTGTCTCGAAGCTTTGCTTTGACACATGGTTTCATTCCAAAAGATACCACACCCGGTACGTACGGATTCAACGGAATCACAAATTTGGGTAAATGGCCCGTCAAGGTTGGCTCAAAGAGTGTTGCATGCACAGTCATGTTGGCCGAAGATAGTTATTTCCCAGTCGTTTTGGGACGTAGCTTCTTTGAGAAACGCAAGATTCGAACAGATCCAGTTGATATGACCAATGTCGTTTTCATGGACACGGGAGAACATGTGGATGTGGAAGTTGTTGTCGTTCGTGATGAAAAAGGAGAACCAGTTCCAATTCCTTGATTTTTTCTCAGTGTCTAAAGTTCTGTCTTTACTTGCTTCTCTGTTTAAAGCATACCCAATGTATATCGCGACCTGTGGCTCGGATATACCTGCTGATTCAATCTGATAGTCTGTGATCAATTGAGTGAGTTCATGGGGTCATATTAATGATTTTTAGTGGTGCCTGGTCTGAGCCACAGCTCCTTTCTGCTTTTATCGCTTGAACTTCATATGCTAATTGCCATCACATTCTCGACTTCTTTAACTGAGAAGTATGTCAGGTACACGCATGTAATTCTTAGTCTGTCAAAGCCGCTCATACGACCAATGAGCATGAAAAGTGCACTCCATTCTTGTTTATGATACAATTGATGCTCATTTTGAAGCATCTTTTCGGTCAACTACAGTGATACCCAATAGTCTTGTCTTTTTGGGACCTTTGTTGTCTGTATTTCCCGGTTCTGACATTCTCTGTTGCAAGTAATCATCCGTGATCAGTCCAATAACCCCTACCACTGATATCAAAGAAAATAAATAAAACAAAGTCAGCTGCATATCCCTCGGAAAGCGGCTCAGTGATCGCCTGAATACTCACGTCCGATCGCAAAAGCCACACCCATCTTTGTTCCAAGGGTCAGATTTTGCCAACTTTTCCAAAGGGAATCTTTCTTTCCACCTTTCACTTTCTCTTGGCCTGCATATGTACCTCTTGCTTGACTTTGACCTTTCTTTGACGTATTGGTTGGTCGAACATGGATAGTCACCGGTTCAGCTTTCGCTTTCCATATCGAGGATGCGTACAACGATCTTGTCGGTTGGCGTCCAAATGATGTTAGTGCAACGACATGAGTGCTGAATTGTGGACGAAGTGCAGATATCTGCACTCCCAATCTTGTTGTGCGAGCAATACTCATGATGTGATATGATGAATGACGAGAAGAAGTAGCATGTAAGAAGAAAGCACGCAGAAAAATTAAGGCATACACTCTGCGCTAAATTATTTGGAAGATTAGGGCCGTGCATAACCAACACTTCCTCATGATGCAAACTGGAGAACTTTCCTTCTTTGATCCTCATAATCATCAAGAAGCCAAGATAGACTGCCTAGCATGTCAGATAAAGGAGATGCTGCACAGCATGCTTCAACGTCTGCATCACCACAACCAAGACAACCGATCAAGATAGACCTTTCCAAAGAGTATCGTATCTCTCATGTTTTAGAAGGTCATTCATCAGACGTTCGAGCTTTGAGTTCGTTCGAACAGGTTGATGGTTTCGAAAGATTTCAAAGTGCTTCAAGAGATGAAACTGTTCGTTCATGGTTTAGACCAATACCGAAGTCCGGCTTTGGTCCTCCACCTACGTGGTACAAATGGATTACTCTACACGGAAAACGATATCAAAATGCAGTTGCTTCTGTGAATCTCAGCGAAGATGAAGGTATGACAGTTATGGGAGGATTAGATGCCAGAATACTGGTGTACAAACTCAACTTCACTGGAGAATCACAACCGAAAGATCTAGATGAACCAATACAAATCATTCAGGAACATCATGACAACGTATGTCATCTGAGCATTTCAAGTAAAGACAGAACGCCGGAGGGTGCTCCAAGGCTGTTAATCTCCGCATCTTGGGATGCTACAAGTCGGGTGTATGCACTGCTCCCCGATGCCAAGATTGGTCATAAATGGAAAGCTCTACATTTTCTCAAGGGACATGAACGATCTGTATTGGAAGCTCAAGTCGTTTCAGCTGAACCAGGCAATGAACGCTATTTGACAGTATCAGCAGATTTGAAGATACGTTATTGGCATGCAGATAAGGTAGTCAAGACTTTTACGGGCCATGCTGATGTGATTCGGAGTATTGCACTTTTGCCATTAGATGCATCAAAACTTGATAGCAATACGACCACATCCTTCGCAACCTGCTCAAATGATGGTACAATTAAATTGTGGAGTCTAGAAGATTTAGCTAGAGAAGAGACATCAAGTAAGGACACCTCTTTAGCCACGTTGATACCCAGGCAAAAGGACGGAACGCCAATTCTAGATCTGATCTTTTCCGTACGCTTTGCCGGCACAAACGAAAACGGGGATCGATTGCTGATCAGCGGCGGCGAAGGAGGTAGGGTGTACATATGGAATGTAGATACTCAAGAAGAGGTACTGCAGATTTTGCAACCGGTCACAACTTGTTGGGATGTTTTGTTTTTGCCTTCTTCCGGTGATATCGTCACTGCTGATTCGGATAACAAGATTCGAGTGTACACTCAGAGGAACCAGAAAACTGGATTCATGGCTGCAGAACACCGACAGGAGCAGAAGGCAAAAGGCCTTCAAGTCGAATTGAGCAGGGAAGAAATCGAGGAATTCAACAAACAATGCGATCAGCTTGCTCAGAGCAGAGTCCGTGCTGACATTATTGCAAGCGAGACAGACTCTGGCCATGATGATAATGTCATCGACGGTCAGCGATACGATGCAGTGCTAAAAATCGATGTCAGCGATGACTCTGAGCCACTTAGTCTACCGATCAATAAAGGAGGTGAGCATTTGATGCCACGTAAACGGACACTTAGCCGGTGCTGATCAAAATCTCTCCCTTTCTCTCACAGATGATCCACGTACCAAAGCAAAGGCATTTATCCAGCAGTATAGCCTGTCGGAGCGATATGAGGATGATATCGTTGCTTTTATCCAACAAGTCGGCCCAAAGTGAAAGACTAGAAATATTGATGTACACTTTGAATTGATCATGTCTGCTTGTTGATTACATGCAAGCGAATGTGTGAGACGTTCTAAATATACTGCTTCTCTTAACTTTTTGTACAATCTTGACCACATCAGACGTTATACAATGATCCTTCTGGTGGTTGTGGTAATTTGCGGTTGTTTGGTGCGGCCATGTCCCTGCAGGAAGAATGGAATGTTTGGTCAGTGAAGCTGTTCAGGTATGAGGCAGAACTTTCGTACTCACTTTCTCAACTCTGTCAGAACTGTTTCGAGGGTGAAATGACGCTTCCATTGTGCCAGCACGGGCAGCGAGCTCGACTCGACCTGCAAAAGGGAAGAAGAGCGATGATCAGTATCAAAACGTGCCGTCTTGAAAAACACCCAAACTCACCTTCCCAGATTGTTGATTAACGCAAGGCAAATTGATTCTTGTCAAGAACCAGATTTCTGGTGGTCTATCAGGATATTGTTCCCCACAATTGATACGTAAGCTATAAATGCGATTTTGATGAACGCTATGACCCGGTCCAATAATCGTTCCGTTCCAATTGGACATCATCACATCTGAACCATCATCTAAACCATAAGAGCATGTTCCATCTCCGATTCCTTTTTCTCCTTTTTCCAATTCTTCTAATAATCTAAAGTTTCTCGGTACTTTTGCCATATTGTCGTCCCCAAAAAGAAAAGCCTTAGTTGAAGACTTGATCACAAAAGAGGTGTTGCAGGATGATGATGATGGTTATCTTTATGAACCCTCGCCGCGTATGCAGTCGAGTACTCTTGTGTTCTGCAGCCTGGCTCGCTCGCACAGGCCCTTGAGACCGAGTGCCTCCCTCATAAATTCCCTCCACGCCTGGCGTTGTGTCCGTTATGGTTGCCTCGGATTTAGACTGTTGAAAAAAGTGTGCATGCACGCCTTGCCTGGGCGTATACTTATATTAATTTAACAAGAAGAAAGTTGGCGGGTTTTTATTACTTTCGATCATCACCTACAACTTTAGCATATCATAAAATGGCAGCAGAGGCATCTTCATCGTCTGTACGATCTCTGTATCGCACATTCAACCGCGAACTAATAAAAGGAGTGAGTAAGCAACCCTATTGCAATCTGACGGAGACAGTGAACTAACCTTCCTACTTCATCAGATCCTCAAGCCACGTCCAGTAGCAGTCAGACGTCAAGATGCACTACCGACCTACGTTCGAAGGATGTTACGCGATGAATCTGCAGAAGCCAAAGCCTCTTCTCTTCAAAGATTAAACAATATCACCCTTCTGATACGAAACACTCGGGTTCATGGAGAGCTGTTGGCTCGTTATAATCCTGTTTACGGTAAATCAGAACAAGAACGTATTCGTGCAACTGCAAATAGAGTAGGATTGGAGGTGCCAGATCTATACGAAGACGCTGAGAAGCAGGTGGAAGAGGGTATCGATGAGAAGTACAGATCTTGATCAAAGTGTCCGAGTCATAGCAATCGTGTACAATATCAGTAACCAAAATGTGATCCTGTTTCACTCTATTAAGACATGCGCCCTCGAAATAAAATGCAAGATACAATAAAGAAAGATAAGAATATACAGTAGGGAAACACATACAAAATTGGAACAAATCTAAGATAGATTACATGACCGAGCATCCTCTCGGGTCTTCTCCTTCATCGTTCGGTCCCAAGATGCCAGTTGTCATCCTTGACCAACGACCTGAACCTCCTTCTTCCAATTCATCATCTTCAGTTAAACCGCCTGAAGAGATAAAGTGTAATGCGGCTGCTAAAGGATCACGAACTTTTCCCGTTGCAGAACGTAAAGAACCATCAAATTTACCCATCGCTCCGCTTCCACCTTGTTTACCGTTTAATTTTGCCATCATTGCAGCTCGTCTTGCTTCTGCTCGTTTACGGATCCGATTACGCACGTCAACTGCTTGCCATGCCCAAAATGTCTTTACTACCACCAAAGAATCATCACATTCATCTGAAGAGGAGGAATTCTTGTTGCTCGATTGGGCATTCGTGTTTGTCTCTTCTGTTGTGCCCGATGACTCAGCATTCTCAGAGTTAAGCGCTGATCTTGCAACTGTTTGCAGTGTACTAGAAGCTTTCCCATGTGAGCCTGTTCCTTTTGAACCCGCTCTGTTCTCATAATGAAATTGGGAGAATTCACTTCCAACTTTACCTTTCCGTGGACGAGCTTGACCAGATGCAAACACTTCTGCATTTGCACTCTTGCTTAAAGCTCTACAATCCACCAAGCTGATATAAGCACCGTGTGTCTTTCTTTTCTTGACCAAACCAACGAATTCGTTCAATAAAGCATCATTTGCTCGTGTATCGTCCACCTCTAGATGAATCAATTTTGGACATCTTCGAACAAGTGTCACCAAAACGTTTGGATCGATCTTGCTCAAATGAGAAATGATTAAATGGGTTAGATTTGCTCCTGTCGGTGGCTCTATTGGGATTTGCGATTGATCATCTGAAACCGTTGGATTGGGCAAAGGCCTCTCTTCGATTTCAACATTTGCCATTGCATCTTCTGTTTCGTCTTGTCTTACTCTTCGTAGAGCTCTGCGACCAAGACGACTTAATGTTCTGCTACGTCTTTCACTTGTGTTTCTCGTAGATGTGATGAGAGAATTTGCATTTTCACCCGATGATGAAAAGATACCAATGCTTTCCAAATACACTTCTGAAGGGGTCAAAGCTTGGATGAACTTATCGCCTAATTCGGCTGCTCCTTCGACGTCTATCCTTTCAATCTTGGGTGTAGTCTGCAACAGCTTTTCCAATCCCGTGTCACGTAAGCTATTCCCAACATTTGCCAATTCCAAACAACGTAATTGAGGAACAGAATGAGCCAAATGCGTGCATGTACGATCTGTCAAAGATCGACAAGAGGATAAAATCAAATGTGTTAAATGTTGATGGACTCTTCGATAATGTTGATCATCGTAAGAAATGCTTTCTCCTGCTTGACGAGCGGACAGAGCAACAAATGGACCGTACAGATCATCATCCGATACTTCGTTTCCCAATGCGTTGCCCAGTTCTTTTTTACTGCTTGTTAACGGTGGACCGGGATGACGAACGAATGCTGCAATTGCATCATCGTTCAAATCACTTGCATAACTGAGATCGAGAATACGTAAACTTCTCATCGCTCTTCCCAGATTATTCATCAAAGATGATTCAACGTCCTTCAGTCCTGCCACTCGTAATTCTCGCATATCCAATGCAACATCGGCAATTGATGTATAGATAACCTTTGAGCCCTTCTTGAACAATGATTGATCGTAGAGACTGCCTTGAGCAGCATCGATAAAGTTCATTAACCCATCTCCTGTCACGTTTGAACAGCGGCTAATATTGAGCGAGAGTAATCTGGGAAGAGATGCTCCGAGAATCAGCAAGGTATCGTTGGCTACCTCTGTTAGGTTCGAGATGTTCAATGATCGCAACTGAGGCAAACGAACAAGTGTGTGATGTAAGGCATCCTTTGAAATCGATCTGCAGCCTTGTAAGTTCAAAGATGTTAGAGAAGGCAAGGATAAATTTGTGTTCGAAATGGTCATCATCGGCAATCGAGATGCTGTTTTTGCTCTTTGTCGAGCACCTGGGATATTGCGAGGATTGACTTGACTTCTTTGTTCTGCGACCGAAGTCGAAGGGGTAGACATGTCGATCAATAATTGTGAAGAAGTATGCTGCATATTACGCATATTAATACTTTTGATAAATGGTCCAGCAAAGCCAATGATTCGCTTCACGCATTCATCCGATACATTTGTTGCCGTCGAGAGATCTAATTCGGACCAAAGTTGTCCATCAAGAGTGAGAGATTGCCAATTACGTGAAACTGCAGAAAGTCGAACAAGTTCACGCATAGCTTTTGCCTTTCCTCTTCGTTTTGCTGCGATACGTTGAACGTCATTACAGCCTTGAGTTGCTTCTTCTTGATGTGATTCGATCAATGCTTTGAAGCAATTCAGTTGAATTTCTCTAGGTAGCATGATATCGAACAGATTGCGAGAAGGCTTATAGATCTTGAAAGCATGATCATCCAGCTCATTCGAACTTCGTGTCCATGTGAACGAAGGGTCTGCCACACTAGGAGCATGTAGTGTAATTCCACCTGCAGATGAAAGATTGATCGTTGTGGATGACAGAGGCGTACTGTGGGATGCACGTAGGAGAGTAGGTCTAGCGATGTCCTTTCCTGTTTTCGATTGGTGAGTAATCCCTGCCTCATTTTGCAGTTGAGGATGATCATTTTTCATAGCGATCATATTCTGAGAACCGTTACCCTCTCTTGGCAGGTTTGCATCGATCGACAAGGTCGGAACGCTTTGAGTAGAGTCATTCCTTCTTCTTCGTTGAGACATTGAGAACAAGTTGAAATCCGATAGACTTCTTACTGCTTTATGACGACGACGACGATCAAACGAAGATGGCGTTGTAGACTGAACAGGTGTCGCATTTCCTCCTGTAGCAGTAGACGGTCGAGCCTTTGAGCTTTCACCCGTGTCCACACGTTTTCTTGTACTACCCACCAATGCATCTGAAAGACTTTTAACGCTCAACGGTCTACGTCTAAACAATGAACTGTTGAAACTTTGCGGCGTCCGTGCTCCTTCGGGTGTCTCTCTTCCATGACCAAATTGAAATGAAGGCGCAGAAGAACGTGTTAAATCCGAATTGCCTCTTCTATGCTTGAAAATCTTGTTTATCAACAGAGATGATTTAGCTGAACGTGTAGTAGGAGTACTACCGCTCATCATGTAATCTTCTGTATTTGACATTCTCTCTTGTTGTAAATTTGAAAGTCGTGGAGAAGCCTGAACGGAAGATGTAGTAGGGAAAACAAATAATTCTTCGTTGTCATGATTGTTGGACGTGCTCATCTCTTCTGAGATTCCATGAAGCTCTCTAGCACCAGTTGCGCTTGTCGATGCCACCATTGCAGGCATGGTCAAAGGCGTCTCTCTGCAAGAACAAGGAAGGAAAAGATAACAGTGTCAGAGATACAGCAATAGGCATGAAAGCAAAAAGTGGAAGCGTGTAGCAAATTATGATGGCAATTCAATAACCTTAAAGGTCAGGAGGCGAAGAAAAGAAGAAAGGTACATGAAAGGCTGGTATGACACGGATGCTCACTGATATCCAGAAGGACCTGGCACATTGCCAGTCATATCCGAGGGCAATTCCTTAATCTTGCCTGATCGTAATTTGGCATAAGGACTGCCACTATCCGGACCGTGACCCATTTGTGAAAGTCGTTCTTGCCAAGCATCTTGTAGGTAGCTGTTCATATTCCCGACATTCTGGCCGATCGGTGCAGATTGTGCTTCTTGACTTGCTGGTTGTTCTGGCTCTTCATCACGTTGAGTGTCTTGCGTCATGCTCGGTTCTGCTTGCTCTTCTTGCATTCGGTCGGGTTGATGACCAGCGCTTCTGGCTTGCATGCTTCCGAACAAGTGGTTCAAACTTTCACCTTGCATTCTGCTTCTGGCCATGATATCTTCGAAAGACAATTGTGTTGGAGGTGCTTGTGCAGGAGTTGGAGCGGTGTCTGGCTTGCTTTCAGATGTGGTCGCGGTGGTGGACTCTGTCTGTTTTCTTGGCTTGATTACCTGTGGCTCGACACTGTGAAAGGCAAAAGTTGGCTTTGGTGGTTGCGTATGCTGCTTTTGAGGTTCAGGAGCGTTCTGCGTGATTCCTCTGGCAGGTTTTGGTTGAGATAATTGTTGGACTTTTTTGTATAGGTCTTCAATGGATATTTGTATGGAGGAGACAATCGGATTCGAGTTTGTGTCACTGGTAGGAGGAAAGACAATTAGAAGATGATCGCAGTTGCGAGATAGCATGTTCTACACTTACCTGGACAGATCAATTAGAGAAGCACGGGTAACGATTTCGATTTCGACCACAGTTTCTTGCTGTAATGAAACGTGTTCTTCACAGAATAGCTGCCATTCGATTTGTTTGTCAATTACGAGTCTTTCTTCAGTGTTTGCCTCTACAGCAATCAAGAAAGCATAATCTGAAGCTTGTAATGTGTTATTTGAAGCTGAGAGGTTCCACTGAGAAAGAAGTGTTCCAATGACAGAATCAAATGTTGTTGATAGAGGATCACTTATCCTAGTTCTACGATGAATTGATGATCGTGTAAGATGTGATTTGATGATCATCACCCGTTGAAGCTTCGAGAAGAATTCAATTATGGAAAAGGGGCAAAGGAAAGAAATTATCAAACCAAAAGCCAGATAATAAGTTCAACCTCACCACCCTCTTTTTCCCTTTGCCTCGGACCATTTGCCTCTAGTTTCAAGCTAAAGAGAGGTGCAGGCGGGGTTGTGCATGATTAGGCGCCTTTTTTTTTCGGACTCAACAGGCACGGGCCATTTCCATTCCATTCACTTTTCCTTCTTCTCTAAATGCTATTTCACTACGCTCTACCTTCTTACCAACAACCATCGATATGGATGAGTCTCTCCCTAAATCTCTACGATCTCCATATCCTGAATTATCAAAACCTCCTACACAGGATCGACCTTTGCATGTCGTATTGGCAACTACAGGCAGTGTTGCTAGCATCAAAACTCCTTTGATCATAGAACGTCTTCTTTCATACCCAAATGTGCGAATACAAGTCATTTCAACAAAAGCCAGTCAGCATTTCTACAACAAAGAGGATATCATAAAAGCTTCAAGCTCAAGCCATGATTCTGAATGGCAGTCGGTGAAATCATTAGCAGCCCAGAATGCAGCTGCACAGGATGCAAAAGACAAAGAGGAAGATTACTTTGATGGTCATTGCCCTCGCTTACAATTCTGGGAGGACGAAGATGAATGGTCAACATGGAAGAATGTCGGGGATCCCATTCTACATATCGAACTTCGAAGATGGGCGGATATCGTCTTGATAGCTCCATGTAGTGCAAATACCCTGGCCAAGATCCATGCCGGAGTCTGTGACGATCTTCTGGTACGTGTCTCTTGATATGGATTTACCTCCTTTCTAGACACACTGACTTGCTTTTCCCTTTCTCTATTCTCTAGACAAGCTTCCTACGTGCGCTTTCACCTTCGACGCCAACCTACTTATTTCCCGCCATGAATACACTGATGCATATGCATCCTCTGACAGATGTTCATGTTCGCTTTGCGAAAGAAACATTGGGATACAATGTACACGGTCCTATTCAGAAGAAGTTGGCATGCGGTGATTTGGGAAATGGTGCTATGCTAGAATGGAGCGATATTGTCCAAATTGTGGTGGACAAATTCGGTCTGAATCCATCTTCGTCAAGGTGAAGTTAAAAGAGTATTAGTTGAAGACAATTCATTGTAGTACAGTTGTTGTTGCTGCTATTTGTATGATAGTGTACAGTATAAATTAAAAGAAGATACATCTCTTCAATCATGCTTTGACATTGTTAACCCCGTTCCCATTGGAACTTATACTCGATGGTACTTGTTCGACAGAAGCTTCTGATTCAGACCTTCGAATCTCCTTCCTTTCATGTCTACTTGCCGATCTTTTCTTCTCAGCTTCTCGTACAGCTGGAATCACCTCCAGTCTATGACGCAAGATCAATTGACTTAAACGATGAATAAATGTTTGCTCAAGCCTAGACGGTTGACGAACAGAAGGACCGGTTCCCGTGATTCTCGGTTTTGATCGACGTTTGGCTGCTTCATTGGCCGCTTGCTGTAATGTTGAAACGCTGGATTTGGGTATAGGTCGTAATGGCAACAAATTCATATCTTGATTTCTACCAGATTGAATATGAATGTCGGCCATCTTCATCTCTTGCTGCATCACCAGTTCTCTAAGCCCGACCATATCTTTCTCGGATGCGGCACCATCGAAGAGATGGTTGAACGAAGTATTTGCTGCTGGATTGCGTAATGTCGGCAAAAGTGGTCCAAGGTGAGAAGATGCCAGAATGACTGCAGTGTATGCGGAATGCAAAGAAGCCACCAAGTCATGAGCGGTCATTGTTGCTGGAAGAAGGCCAAAACCATCCCATCTGCGAACGCCCATGATGAGTGAGAACTCTGAGGCGAGTAAGATGATATAAAGGGTTACTAGCCAGTAACTGATTGCCTTTCTGCCTGCAAGCCAATTGACGAAACCATACGATATAGGATGAACGATGTAAAAACCTAAACTGCTTTGGAATCCATGTAAAAAGAATTCTCTTTCTGTTGCCAACTCCCTCTTTTCCAACACGGATGGTCCGAATCGATCGTATGCAAGCCGTTTCAGAGGATCTGCTAGTGCGTCATGTGCTTTGCGTATCTCAATAAAGAACAATTGATCTTGCTGACGACCGGCGGTCTTATCGGGATGATAAATGCGTGCTAGTCTACGGAAAGATCGTCTGATATCATCTGCGTCACAATCCAAAGGAATGCCCAATACCTCGTAAAAGTTTGGATCTCGCTTGAATATTGTGCTGTAAACAGTATAAAGAAGATACCCAATAATCACCAATGCCTGCACCCGACGAGCATGTAATTGTGCTTGAATTGGTGTAGATGGTCGCGTAAGGATATGCATATCATACAAACCTCGAAGAGCAAATTTTGTTAATAATTGAGGTAAGACTGACCATGAGATGAATGGCATCAATACTGCCATCACCTCAGAGCCGCCCGCCATGATTGGGATGTTTGGGTTGTTTGAATCGGTGGAGGAATTGATGACAATGGAGAAAGTAACACTTGAGCTTTGATACATACGCGTACAGTCAGTCTATGCTTTAAGCTTGTCAAGGAGCCACGTGCCAGAAATTTTTAATTTTCTAAATAATTTTTTGGATTGATACTCTAGTGTGACTTTAATCTTCTTGCAGGGGAACAGTGCCTGGCTAAACAATTGCTGATCACAACCACAACAGTTTGCCTGACCATAACACTATGGCAAGGGATTTCAGACCAAAAGCAGCAAGGCAAGCAGCAGCTGCTACTGCAAAGAAAGGTGGTGCAAAGCAGATTGAAGGAAAGGCAACTGCACCAGCTCAGGCTCGGGAGAAAGAAGATGTCCAAGAAGGATCTTCATCAGAGGAGGAGGAAGGTGAAGACGAAAATGACGAGGAAGAAGACAAAGAGACTTTACTCAGAGAGATAAGAGCGCTCGGTGGAGACGAAAAAGATCTCGAATTGATCAATAGCGTCAAAGGAAAAGGTAGAGAGACTGATGAGGACGGCGAAATGGATCCCGCTCTACAGAAAGAGCTTTTGTCATTCATGCAAGCTTTGGATTATAAAGGCGCAGGAGTAGTCGCTCCTTCTTTCGATTCGGTGAAGTCGAATGGTAAAAAGGAGTCTACCAAAGATGAAGCAGCAGATGACAGAAAACAGAAAGAAGAGAATAAGAGAAAAGAAAGAGAGGAAAAGCGAAAGCAGAAAGAACGCAAAGCCGAAGAAAAGAAACGCCAAGAGAACAATCCAAAGCAGAACACCAAGGCTGCAGTCGATCAGCCGATCAAACCCAGTGTTGCAGAAGTGGAATCGAACGAAGTCAAGTCACAGAAACAAAAGGCTGGATTTGTGATGATACCGACTCCACAATGGAGCGAGGTAGAAATGCCTGAATTACCTGCATCATCTTCCTCTACCAGTCGACCTCTTTCTCAAGATTCGATTCATCGTCTTCAGGGTATTGCTGAAGAGCTTTTGCACAACGAACGTAACACATATGTGCAATTGACCAATAGTGGGAAAACAGGCAGTGGTGGACCAGGTCTTTTGAGTACATCTGATGCTCGTTTCATCAATGAGCTTTTGGCACCTGGAGCACGCGGTGGTACATTGTCAGATCGAATTGCCGCTCTCACCTTGCTCCTTCAAACGAGCCCCCTTCATAACGTTGATGCAATGGAAACTTTACTCGCGATGGCAGGCAAGAAAGGTAGAGAAGAAAGCGGAAAAGCAACTCGTGCATTGTCAGATTGGTTGGCAAGCGGAGTGGGATTACCAGAGAGAAAACTTCGATACTTCCGCGATCAGCCTCAATTGGCACTGATGGCTGATCTACAGAACGATAGTTCTCTTCGAGGAAAAGCAAAGCATCCGCTAGATATGCACCTAGTATTCGCAGCTTATGAAGATAAGCTAAAGCGATTCAACTTTGAATTCCTAAAATTGTTGGAAACGCAAAGTCATGACACTTTGCCATTCGTTCGCAAACAAGCAGTGACACACATTTACGTTTTACTGAAAGAGAAGCCGGAACAAGAACAAAATCTGTTGAGATTGCTCGTAAACAAGTTGGGTGATGCCGATCGTTCTGTCGCAAGCAAAGCCAGCAGTCATCTTTTGAACCTTTTGAGCTCACATCCTGCTATGAAATCAGTAGTGACGAATGAAGTGAGCAATTTGGTCATGCATGCACCCAGTGGATCTCGTATGCAAAAGGGCAAAAGTGCAGGTCCAAATGCACACGCACAATATTTCGGTGTTTTGACATTGAATCAAACCATGCTTTCGGCTGAGGACGAAAAGGTCGCCAATCGATTGGTTCAATTGTACTTTGAGCTATTCGAAGGTCTTTTGCAAGGAATGGCTCATAAAGCTGGCGGGAAAGAGGAACCTGACAGCACTGAACCAAAAGAGAAGCGGGACAAAGGGAGATGGAGAGATGGCAAGAAAGGAGGTAATAAAGGTGGCATGCAAAAAAGTCAAAAGAAGCAAAGGGAAGAAGAAGAAGAGGCAATTCAAGATGCTGATGCAAAGATTATCGCTGCCATTTTGGCCGGTGTACGACGTGCTCTACCGTTTGCAAAGATTGATGGTGGCATTGTTGACAAGCACATGGATATGCTCTTCCGTATTACTCATTGCTCGACATTTAATATCTCTATTCAAGCATTGCAACTTATTCAACAAGTTTGTCTGACCGGACACGGTAAAGCATCAATGGACAGCCTCGCTTCTACGAAACTACAAGATCGCTTCTATCGTGCGTTATACGCATCTCTGCTCGATCCACGCTTGGCCAAGACGAGCAAACAGGCCATGTACTTGAACCTTGTTTTCAAGGCGGTGAAGTTTGACTTGGACGATGCAAGGACAAAAGCGTTTGTTAAGCGTCTTACGCAATTGCTCAACAGTTCTGAGCCTCCATTCATCTGTGGTTCCCTGTACCTTCTCGGACAGCTGTTTATCGCCAAGCCAGGTCTCCGAACGATGCTGAAAGATGCGGAAGAAGATGGCGAAGAACATTTTGTTGATGTGGAAGATGAAGCAGACAATCAAGAAGATGATCCTGATAAGAGCAAGATGTCAACTTCATCAAAATCGCAAGCTCGTGTCGATTCTTCGTACGATGGCTTGAAGCGTGATCCCAAGTATGCCCGTGCAAATGCATCTTGCTTGTGGGAGCTCGTGCCTCTTTTATCACATTTCCATCCTTCGGTTTCTCTATGTGCTGCTCAATTACTCACGTCTCAACGAATTCACACAACGGCAGATTTGACATTACACACACTGGCCCATTTCTTGGACAGGTTTGTTTATCGTAATCCAAAGAAGAATGTTGCTATCAGCAAAGGTGCAAGTTTGATGCAACCTGCTCTCCATGCAAATGGTATTGATGCCGGTGTGATGCGTCTGCGTGGTCAAGGTATTCAAAAGGATGAATTCGTGAACGATGAAGCTTTCTGGCGTAAGCAAGCCAAAGACGTACCTGCCGATCAATTGTTCTTCCACAAGTACTTTAATCTGCGTCGTGGTCCAACCAAAGACGAGGAAGCAAAGAAGGACATCTCTGACGCTGAAGACATGGAAAGCGAAGATGATATCGAAGGAGACGAGGATGTGTCAAATCTATCTGATGAAGAAGACTCAGAGATGGAGAAGGAAATTTGGAAGGAAATGCGCAGAACCATCCCTCGCGAAGGAGGCGATGATATGTTGGACGAAAGCGATGTGGACGAAGATGACGATGACGCTGATCTTGAAGCTGCTTTACGTGATGCACAATCTTCCGATGATGAAGAGCTTCAAGGCTTGGATGATGATGAGGATGAGGATCTAGAAGACTCTGATGAAGAAGATCTTGAAGGTGATTTTGATGAAGATGAAGACGATTTGTTGCCATTCCAATTCGGCTCAGATGATGAAGAAAGTGATGTCGATGCAAGTGCCCCTTCAACAAAAGATCGCAAGCGCAAAGCAGATGATGCTGAGGAAGAGGAAACAGATAAGCCCAAGAGCAAATCGCAACTGCAACGTGCCGAACGTAAGAAACGCAAAGCAATGCCAACGTTCGCGACCGCAGACGATTATGCTCACCTTCTGGGTGGCAGTGACGATGAGTAAATACATAGCTCTAGATATCATTAATGTACTGTATCGAATGCAATAGTAACACACACATTCTCTCTAGGTTGATCAGATGATATATTTATTCCCATACATGCATTCACATAGCAGCGTCTACCGCACTTACAACAAGGAAAAAAAACGAAAGCCAATTCTAAGATCTACGCATCTACATCGTTCAACGACTTGACATGTAATCCGATTCGGCTGAAGTGGCAGCAGAAGCAAGTGTGTTGGCAGCCTCTGCGTACACTTCTTGTGCTGCTTGGTGGAATTCTGCTTGTGCTTTAACAAATGCAGCCAAGCTCTTGATCGGTTGAGGGTCTTCCAAAACACGTTTCATAACAGAGATTGCCTCTTCGGTTGCACTGACGAGTTTATCTTCTGCCAATTCAACATCGCTTCGCATACTTTCGACTTTTTCAGTCTTTCTGTTGACTTCTGCTTGTTTGACAGCTTGACGCCATGAATCCAAATGCAAGCGTGCTTCACGTACATTTTGACGGGCTTTGACGGCGAGTTGGATTTGTGCACCGAATGCGTTCCAAGGTGTCAGAAATCCGCTCTTGACGGATTCATCTTGTTGTAAACGTAGATTGCCAACACGGTCTTGTGCTAATGCAAACTTTTGCAAAGCTTCACCAAGCTTACTCTCTTCTGCGCCTGCACCTGAAGATGGTTTACCGGAAACGGGACTGCTAACGCCTGCCAAATCAGTTGAACTGGCACCCAATTCCAAAGCGCCAGAAGCAGCACCTCTGCTCAAAGCATGATGCAAAGTCTTGTGTGCGGTTGGAGGAGCAGATGTGACTGGAACATTGACGTTGACATTAGTTTGCTTAGCGGCAGAAGCAGCCCAAGAAGTAACACTGTGACCGACTTGAGCACTGATTTGCGTTAAAGATTCTTGAACTTGGGTTGGATAATCGTAACCTTCAGTTTCGTATGCTTTTGCAATTTTGCCCAAATTTAAATGAGCATTCTTTAATGCATCAACACGTTCTTCCAACTTTCTGTATTCTTCGGGTAATTCTGTAATATCATCCGCTTCGACTTGTCCAAACGTTTCTCTTGCTTGTTGGTTCAAGTTACCAAATTGACGAGTAATTTTTTGTCCGATTGGACCGACGTTTGAGGTGAATTTGCTCCAGCTTTCCATGTTTGAAGGATGTGCTTTCTAGTACTGATTTATGATGATGGTGAAAAAGGAAAAGAGGATGAATACAATCGTTCATAAAGAAGCACACTATTCAAATTAGACTTTACTGCATAACTCCCGTTTCTCCTGCTTTTAGTCTCCTTGTAAAGGGGACAAACGCCGTCTTTTGTATTCCATAGGCGCCTCTGCGCACAGGCCGTAATACAAAAAGAAGAAGCACTGCTCGCGCGCGCAGGTTCAACACGTAGGCCACACACACACCCACACACACGCGCTTCTTATCCTGTTCAAGCTCATCAATCACCGTGATAGGTTGTCAAGTTGCTCACAGAGCGAATAACATTCATTGCGTATAACAAAAAGAAATTAAGGTATGTGGCGTTAGGGAATAAGGGTAGTAAAGGGGATTATTGAGGAGTACCGGCTCGCATCGATGAGAATAGTAATTATCAAAAGGGAAAAGAGGGGTGCCCGGAATGAAAAAAGGAGACGATCAATATGAAGGCCAGTCAGAGTGACAGATTTGAATGATGCTTAATCACAGTCAAATTCAACCTTGCAAGTACGCAAATGTTGGGTTTCATCCGGTTTGCCGAAATATTCGCGTCCATGATAGATGAGAGAACAAGATTGGAAGCTTCCATGACCTTTTCCGTTGAAACCAGTGTGCTTGTCACATGTATCGCATTGACCGAAAAAGTAGACTGGTTTGGCTGTCTTCCAGGGAGGACGATAGACTGCGCTTTCATGAGGAGTGTGTTTCCATTTAATACCGGTTTCATCATCATCCTTGTGAGTATCCTTGTGAGTATCCTTGTGAGTATCCTTTTGAGCACTCTTTTGATCGTCCTTGTCCTCCTCTTCATCATCATCACAATCTTCGTCATCTTCGTTTGCGCGTTTTTCCATTTCAATGATCTCAATCACTTCTGAATGTGCCAAAGCGCGACGTTGTTGTTGAGTGGCCATGATGTTATCGTTATCGTTTTCCATTGTGACATTTCGAAGGGAATTGATGGTGTTTGTGTAATTCATAACGGTATCAATTGCAGTTACCGTGCTTCTACCGTCCGGTTTGGAAAGGTCAGGTAAACCAGAAGATGCGTTCCAAACGCCTTTCAATTTTCCATCATAACTATTTTGGAATGCAGATTCTGTTTCGGGTGTTAAAAGGCCAGCAATTTGTCCCATTGCAGCTTGCAAACCAAGGATATAATTTTTACCTCCTCCAACAAAACCGTATTCGGACGAATTTGCCCAAATATATCCATGCATATCTTTATCATAACCGTACGTATTGCGTTTCAAACCAAGATTCTTTGTTGTTGTTTCATTAACTTGACTCCAAAAGCTACCGTAAATGCCTGCATGATACTTTTTGCCGTGATGGAAATAAATTCCTGAATCATAACCGATCGTTTTGTGGTAGTATGCTGTTGCTGAACATTGTTCAGCTTTTGTTGATGCGATTTGCGAAATAAATGCAAACGTGATTGCGAAAAGCAAAAATGATTTGAATGCCATCTTTTTTCGGTCTTTGTGTGGTGTGAGAAATGAGTGTTGTCCGTCAAGGAGCCTGTAAAAAGTGAGAGGGTGAGACCGTATAGATTGGTTGGGGATGAAAGGTGGATCGTTATATTATGGCGAGAGAGAGTGAGAGATGATGATGGAAGCAAGATGAAATACTTACAATACCTTCAAGATCACCAGCCATTATTCCGAGTATTGTACGCCGCTGCCTTTGTCTGCTTGCATTACTCAAATATTCTTCACTCAGCACGTCCTTTCTTGGCTTCACGCTAGAATACGGAAACGGAATCAATCATACATAAAGTGCCTAGATCACAAAGGGGGGGACTATGACTGAGTCCATTCTATTCCATTCGGCTTCTCGAATGCAATTTAATGAAAATGCGGCACAAATCAAAGCTAGAAAAGGAATGGTTGTTCACAATCAAACGTGTGCATGCAAATACAATTTTATTGCCGATTGTGCATACGCGCCAAGCAAACGGACCGTTGACCGCGTACTACGCCCACAATGTTCCGTATTTGTTCCCTTTGTCTGCCAAGAACTTCATCGGCGCCACGAATGGAAACGCCAACCGCGTGGTACCTTTATGCTGATGGCTTACATAATAACTGAAGATCTCATCTAATGTAGTTTAAATTGCATTGTATCATATTTGTACATGTAAGATGTTTTGACACAATCAGTCCTCTTCATCAACATCCATCGAGAGTGGCTCTTTCGGCGCACGTTCTTCTTCAACATCACCACTTTGTCCTGCACCACCACCTCTACGACTTCTACGTCTTCCTCCTGCTTCTTCTTCTTCTTCTTCCGGTGCAGCATCTTCTCCTGCATCAGCTTGTAATGCTGCTAATTCATCTTCATCCATATCTTCATCAGATTGCGCCGCTGAATCTTCTGATCCTGAAGCATCATTGTCTGAGCCACCGTCCTCTTCTTCATCATCATCTTCGTTGGTAGTAGTTGCCTTCTTTGCTTCTGCAGCTCCACCGCCTTCGTCTTCATCGTCATCATCCCTGATAACGCCACGATCACGTTTAGCACGAGGCCCACTGGATCCTTGCCTTTCTTTTGCTTCTTCTTCATCTGCTTCACCCTCTCCGTCTGCACTTCCTTCTCTTACAGCAGCTTCTCCTTCAGCAATCGCCGCTTGTTCCGCTTCTTCGTCCATCACTTCTTCCGCCGGCAATTCGATCTTGTCTGGCAACCGTTTCAGATCCAAATCATCCACCACGATTCGCTCATGTAATCGTTCAATCTTTTCATACATTGACAAAGATCGTTTTTGCAATGAAACTGCATCCCAATGCTCTGGCGGTAGAGGATCGTTTGCCCTTCTTCTACGTACACGTAAAGCAGCACGAGAAGTGACGGGGTGATAATAGATAACCTTGTCTTGATTGCCAGAATTTCCGTTCGTTTCTGCATTTGCACCTTCGTGCAAGCGATAATTGTTTTCGAATCGAGAGACTGCAGGCAAAGTACCACCTTTGACCCCTTCTCCATCATTTTGTGATTCAGTATCAATGTACGTCAAAATCAATTCTTGATCTTTTCTATTTGTTTCATCATGCGCTTCGTAATCTTTCGAGTGGGCCAATTGAACAGGAGGTTGTTCGCTTTCTTCCGTATCAAAAGGTGCTTCGACAACATCTTGTTCTTGTGCGTCTGTGTGTTGCCCTTCCTTTCTACTTTGGATCAATCGTACACTTTCTGCATTTTCGATCGCCATTTGTTCTTCCGGTGTGCGTTCGACAAGCTTTTTCTTCTTTTTCGGTTTGTCTTCATCTTCATCATCGTCAAACAGATCGCCATCCCCTTCTTCCTCTTCTTCGATTCGATCGGCTGCATGAATGAGGAAGAGCGAATAGATCGGTTGATTGACCAGATCTGAATGAGGTCGTAAGATTGCAGTTTCCAATCGAGGATCTTCGATTGGTTTGTTATCGTTAAGCCTTCCGGGTGGATCGCCGAAGCGGAAGACGTTGTATTGCGTTGCCCATGTATCTGGATCGGGTAAAAGACTGAACGAGTCTACAGCACGCAAGCCAGCTTTAGTAGGATGTCGTACAGATGCAAGCGGTTGGTTTGCAACGCGAAAAGATTCTTCAATCCTTGCCAGTTGTCCTTCCCTCGAAGAATCAATCTTTTCATTTGATCGGTCGTTCAAATCTCTCTTTTTGCGCTTTTGTTGTTCGGCTGCCAAATATTCTGTCCTTCTGAGCCAGGTGATATCATTCGTATCTACTGGACCACCGGGACCGCCTTGTTTTCTATCGATTCCATTACTGGTTCCAGGTAACTTTTCCAACATGTCCGATAGCAGGAAAGCATCTTCCGGGTCCACATCCACTTCATTCGCATCCAAGCGTGGAAATACGTTATCGTCTGCTTCTAGTTCTTGATCCGTATACCATGCTTGTGGAAAGTCTGTCAGGTTGAGTGGCATTCCAGCTTCCGCATCCACGACTACAGGTAATGGATGACTTTGTGCAAGTCTTGGTCCGAATCGTCTAGGATCTGTGAATCGTGAGAATGGTGTTGGAATCGCCAAAAGCTTTGGAGGATAGGGCGGTAGAGGTAGAGGATTAGGATACCGTATCCTCTCGATGAATTCGGATCTCTTCCTTGATGAGGAGGACATCTTGTGTATTTGACGTCGTTAGCGAGTCGTAATGAATGAGAAAGGAAGAATGGTCGCACTAAAATTGTTTAAAATACAGTCGCGTGTTTTGAACGAGAAGAATGCGTGCGTATAGGAAGCTCGGGCGGCACAACGCAAAGCACGCTATCTCTTTCATTTGGAAGTTTTGTACTTCTCTTCTTCTGAATAGCCATCATCATTTTATCTCCTGTCATCTCTATCAAAACATAAAGTCTTCTTAATAAGCACAGTTTTCTATCCTTTGAAGACAATGGCCGATCCTTCAAAAAAAGTGGGACGATATACTCTTCGTTCATCAAAAAGCAATGAAGTGATAGGCGAAGGGACTCCAAAACAGTCAACGATCGCTGAATCAACGCGCAGCATGAAGCTACTCAGCTATGAGAGCGTTGCAAATGGGATCAAAGGCATAGATGAGAGAGCAAAGAAGATGTTTAACGCGCTATACAACCTTTATAACCATCGAACATATACTCAGGATATGTGAAAGGGCTGTAAGCCTACCGATCTCCGTGAGATCACGCAAGACAAACTTCATAATTTACATTCGGAAGAGTCAAACGATGTATTCAAAGGCAAGAAACGAAAAAGGATGACGATTTTGATGAAACATGTAAAGGCTGTCATGATTTGCTGCACGATAAGCTCGTTGATTGGGTCAACCAAGCTTTACAAATTAGCAAAAAGGATGAAGGAAGCAACGTACAAAAAGGCAAAGGGCAGAACGCCACTGAACAAGTAAGTTGGATAAACGAATCAAGTATAAGCCTGTCTTCTTACTAATATATATGCAAGAGATGATAGTCTGAAAAGCTCCTAAGTTGCCCTTATGGTTATACTCAAATATTCCCCCGTTCAGATCGATTCGTATATCATAAAATCGTGGATTTAACTGAGTACTTGTTTGTATGTTCCTGAGTAGTGATTATGTAATCTTCCAAGCACTTTATTCTCCGCTAATGATGGGAACGCGGCGTTCGGAAAATTAACTCGTATGCGGGGGAGACTGTTGAAGTGCCTCATTCGGTTTCACATTCGGGCATGTGTACTGCAAAATGGAAATTCGGGATCAACGGTTAATACTTCTTACCGATACTACTGCTACTTGTATGCTGAGTACCATCACCATTTTACAACATTCAATATGGCATCTGATCCAGTCGCTTCCCGTGCGGAGCCTATCATGTCTCATATGAACAGAGATCATAAGGTGAGTATTCCAAAAATACAGGCATCTTGAAAGAGACATTGACACGCATACATCCTACACAGGATTCAATGATTGCCATTGTAGCACATCGTATTCCATCCTTGCCACATCCACCAAAAAGTGCAAAAATGATCTCGATCGATGCAAACGGCTTCACATTAGAATACAAACTGATCACAAGCTTATTCTGGAACCCAAGTGGAGAAAAGAAGAAAGTAAGAGTACCATTTTCACCCATTATCAAAGATCAAACTGAAGTTCGACAAAGGATTATCGATATCGCAAATGACGCAGAACAAAAACGTAAACGTAATTATCCTGTCAAGTATAGCGTACCAAGAGATTTACCTATTTGGATCCTCTTACATGCAAGTATGTTCTTTATCGCCAATCCCGATGCATTCAAAACAGTTTCAGCAAAAATTCCATTCGGAGCATCAATCTTACAATCAGTCTTTGATCAAATCAGATCTCGATTGCCAAACGGTGCTGCTTCTATGGCTTGGCTGCATCGATGGATCGTTCGTGCTCATTTGGGTGAGGCTGCATTGATGGCCTTTTACTCCTACACCCGTGGAGCACGAGGACTTGTTTTGATCCAATGGGTATTTACACAGTTTGTTGTCGGATTCACAACTTTCTTCAACTTTAACAAGATCAATGCTTCCGTTCCTGCAAGAGATGCTGCAAGCGGAAAACATTAAGGGAAAAGCTTATCTATTATACATGTCGTGATAAAAGTTGTGTTAATATACAATATATAATGCTTTTGAGTTCAGCTAGCTGTTTGCCGCACTGAGAACAATTGGCGAACTCTGCTTATGGCCTGCAAGCCAATGGGTATACGCTCGTACTTTTGCGTCGCTTGCAGGAGCTCCCAAGACATTCTTTGTCAAAGGATAATGTAGAAGGGCAGGTTCGATAGATTGTTGTTTTTCCAAATCGTCTGCAGTTGTTAGATCAATGTGGGCTGACGGTTGGAGTGTAGAGCCTGATTCCAGCGACGTTCCGAAGATGCCATCGTTCCATTTGGCCATCTGGATCTGACCTGCTGCCAATGCTACTTCATGATCATACAATCGCACGTCCGCTTCTGCGATTTGTTGTCTTTGTTTCTGTGTCGCAGGTTTGCGTTGGCCGAGACTTTGGAATTGATAGTTGGGTAATCCAGCAGCAGATGGACCCAAAGCAGTTGACGGGAAAAGGGCAGATGGTTCGGTAAGGGCATCATTGTGACCGCTCTCAAACGTCACATCTCTGAATTGATCCAACCAGGATGCATATTCTTTGACTTCTTCCGCAGACACATTTGGCGACATGAGACTGTCAAGAAGCGCTTCCGTTGTAGTGGTACCAATCTGCGCACCTGTAATCTCATCCCAAGTTGGCCATGCCGATGCACTGCTCAAAATATGAGTCATTCCAACAGGCTTCTCTGATGATTCTTTGCCATCGCTTTCCTTCGTGTCCGTCTTTGTCAGCTCTGTTTTCTTTGATGATACCTTTCTTGATGAGGTATGCGTGCTATTACTATCCTCTTCTCCTCTGTTTAAACTCATCCATCTCCTTACCCCTCCGATAATGGCCCGTTGACCACTAATACTTCCTCGTGGTGATGGAGGAGTATACTTGGATTGGGGAGAACCAGCCACCGAAGCTGAAGGAAGAGGCACACGAGACGTAAACGGACTCATTGTCGTTTGTGTCTGTTGCGAGATGACAGAGGCAGAATCATTTTGCAATCGTTGTAATCTACCGGCGGATGATGGCGTCGGCTTTCCCGGAGATGATGTGGCAATAGAAGCCGAACGTACCGAAGAAGGTGAGGACGGTATAAGTGGTGGTGAAAGTGCTTTCGGAAGCATTGGCGAACTAGCAAATTGCTGATGAATAGCAGTCATTTTGAAAGCATGATGTCGCATCAAATCCGTGAACAAACTTGGTCGATAATATTCAGCCCAAAAATTAGAGGCAGATTCAACGATATTCTGCATCCGCATTTGCTTGGCGACAACATCCTTACGTTCCTCCAAATGTGATGGTGTATACCACTTTTGGTAATGTCTGCGCTGCTTTGGATTGATCGGACGAAATTCAGGTGCATCATTCTCCACCCCAAGGAAAAGATTGATCGCAGCTTGCTTTTCTGCATCCACGAATGAGTTGGAGTAGTATCTTTTTAGACCTTCCAACATATCACGGGAATGCGAAGACCACTGATTGATCTTTCGGTACGTTTCCATGGTATTGACGAGATGCGATCCACCATACTGCAATGCGATTGTATCGCCCAAATCATGATACATTTCTGTGAGCATGTCAATTGCGTCGCTGTCGAATGGCAATGATGGGTGATCTAGCAGCCCTAATGCGTATAGTTGGTGTCCAAAAGCAGCTTTACCGATTACAAACTGAGCTGCATTCGTTCGATCTAAGCAATCGACGCAATTGACCCTTGCCACTCCACTTTGAAGTAGAATGGTATCTCTTGCCTTGATATGCTGACCTTTCGAGTCAAAGCTTAGAGCAAATTTGTTTGGTTCTGGTCCTGAGTGAAAAAATTTGGTGGCATTGATAGTTTCTTCTGCAATATCTTCTAGCACCCCGATCACGTCTTGATCCCGACTCTTGCTTGCTCTACTCATATCCCAAGCAATATAGCGCAATCGTTTATCGTTGGGCAAGAATTGGTTGAGGTACTTGACGCATTCACCAAATGCATTCAAAAGCTTCACTTCACGTGGCTGCTTCTCTTTTGATTTGATAAGGTTCAATACGATGATCGGATGACCATAACGTCGGAGCATATCATCAAAATGTAGAGCGGCAGAGGAATAGAATGGATCGACAACGCTAATCTCGATCGGTGGTCTAGGCGACATATTGGTAGAGTCTTGTGTCCAGAAGACAGGAATGCTTCCACGATGCATCACGTAAGACGTATACCTAGGATTTGGTCCTCTCGTCCCATCACCACGTCGATGTGAAGGAGCATAAAACGGTGTAGTCAACGCATCGCTGACGATCTGTTCCGTTTCGACATCATTCGCAACATGACCTTTCTCGTCCGTGCCTCGTTTTAAGAATCGAGCACCGGCGAAATGACGAGATCTGCGTGCGATCAAAGTTACATGAATCGTGCAGTTCAAGACTCGCAATTTCGCCTGATCAACAAAGCCATATACAAGGGGCAAGACCCATTCACTCGCGGCAGATTTGTTGTCCAGACTGTGAACAGAGTCGGCAAATGCGGGCATCAGCAGATGGTGATTCCACACAAACTTTTCATTGTATCCCCAAGCTGTGTGTGGTTGCGAATTGAGAGGGCGAGAATCGTTCTCCGTGCGTATGTCGATGTTGGTCAAATTATCCTGAAGCGTTTTTGTTAAGTCATAGGTGTAGCTGAAATAGAAATTCTTGCCCAAATCGACCTGTTTGAACATATGCAAAAGTCGTGCCTCTTCTTGGTCCAAAAGCTTAGTTCTTCCGCTCATATTTGCTAATACTCCTGCTGGACAGACAGGCACGATTTTCGTCTCATCACAATGATAGATGTAGTGTCCTCCTAGTAGACCCACGACACTTCTTCGAGAGATGAGCACCATGTAGTACGTGCATGTAAATCGAATGAAGCCTACAATCCCAAAGAATCTTCCAATCTCCTTCAAACCGCCGGACGCCTTATTACCTTCGCTGATCATATCTAGCAGTTCAGATATTTGACTACGGGTGTACACCACGCTATCTGCCGTCACATTGAGTGACCAAAAAGCGGATGATTGAGGGTTCCCTGCGTTCTTGCCATTGGGATCCTCCACCTTGTAGCCTGTTGTGTTAGACTCGTTGCCGTTTTGTGGACTCCCAGTAGAATTTCTATCTTGTGACTCCGAACTTTGGCTTTGCGAACCGGGAACACGATCCACTTTGAGAATGCGAAAGAGGGTTTGAGAGGTATTGTAAGCCACGAGGTAGAAATGCGTTTTTGTCTCCCAAAGCGTGAATCTCTTCAATTCGCTTAATCGTCCTTTTGCCGATTCGATTGGTACTTGTGAGCCAATCGCATCCTTTCGACCAGGTTGTGTTTTGGTCTGAGTGGAATCTTGATCTCCCAGTTGTGTCTCTAATGTAGCACTGCGGTCCCTACTTTGCTGTTCGACTGCTGTCGTCGCGGAACCTTGTGCTTCGCTATCTGTCGCGGTTGCATTCATGCTCAGTCTGGCTGTATGCTCTGATTCCTGACTATTGGTCATTGATGAATCTTTGACATCCTCCTCCTTTGCATCGATATTGTTTTCATCTTTGGCTGACATGGCGATGTCAGATTGTCTGACATACGACCATATGTGCAAGGAGGAAGAGGAGGAGTGTATCTTATTTTCCTGTTCTCCCCTAGACCAACACTTAGACCAGGTGTAGTAGTAGAGTGCGGGCGGACAAGCACTCGACACGGACCAGTGTAAAGCCGAGCTTTAATTTGTGTTTGAAACACGCGAACCAAAAAGAGAAGAACATTTACCCCACGTTTGACGTGTTCCCTCTTTCTTCACCCCATCAAGGACAAAATGCGTTTGGCAGATATCTCACCTGCGACATGGATCGCAATCGGGCTAGGATTACGCATGGCTTTGCTGGGATGGGGAACATATCAAGATGCCAACGGTCCTTTGCCCTACACAGATATAGATTATCAAGTTTTCACTTCGGCTGCTTCGTACATGTATGATGATTGTCCCGTTCAATTGATTGCTGCTCGAGATCCAGAAGAAGAGTATGAGGACTTGATCGATCCACCTGTGGCCAAAGGAAGATGCGCTCAAGGCTATATACCCGCAGCAGCACGACTGATGATCCAAATGGAAAAGGATTTCTTAACTATGGACAAGGATACAGAGATTGGCCGTCAAGAAGATCCTGTTGCCCAAGTCATGACGGATCTCGTGCCAACAATTTACAAGGCATTCAAGCCTATCTTCCGTTTATTGGCTGGCTTAGGGAATCCTTACAGAAGGGAAACCTACAGATATACGCCTTTACTCGCTCTCCTCCTAACACCTGCAGAAGCATTGGCTGATAATGGATACTGGCCGGATGTGGTACAAGGACTATTTGGAAAGCTGTTGTTTGTTTTGGCAGATATTGTTGTCGCCCTTCTTTTGTGGGACATCATGGACATTCGCAGTGAAGCTCAATCAGCGAATTCCAAAGCAAGCAAGAAGTATGGCTGGTTAGTAGGTCTTTTGTGGTTGGCAAATCCTTTTACCGCTCAAATCTCTACCCGGGGGTCAAGTGAGAGTGTATTGGGTGTCTTGGTTCTAGGCTTCTTAGATGTGACGATACGAGGCTATCCTGAGCGATATCTGCCCACCATCGCTGCAAGGCCAAAGGGCAAAAAGGCTTCCGTTGCAGGATATTTACCCGACCCTTCAAGATGGAGCAACGAACGTGTATTGGCTCCTTTGTTATTTGCTTTGGCCATTCATTGGAAGCTGTACCCAATCATCTATGCTGCTGCTTTGGTGCCACATCTTATGAGCTCAGAATCATTCCGAGCTGTGATTCGGTATGGAGCAATTTCCGTCTATTGCTTGGCATTAATTTGTGGAACTGTATACGCTTTGTGGGGCAAGCCTTACATTCAAGAGACATTCTATTATCATCTCAGCAGAACCGATCACAGGCACAACTTTAGCCCGTTCTTCTTGCCAGCTTATTTGAGCACGAAACTTCCATCCTCGCTCACCGAAGCTGACCTATTCCAATCACTTCAGCCGATCCTTGGATTTGTTCCTCAATTGCTCGCAACGGCATACATCGGCTTTTCGATAGGAGGACAGGACCTGGTCGCCGCATTGTCGTTCCAAACGATGGCATTCGTTGCGCTAAACAAGGTTTGCACAAGTCAATACTTCATGTGGTTCCTGTGGTTCTTACCTTTACTCGGACCTCATCTCAGCTTTCCGGGTGGAAAAGGGGAGATGTTTACCCTAATTGGTGTTTGGGTAGCTGCTCAAGCTCTTTGGCTCTCACAAGCATATCTGCTGGAATTTAAAGCATTGGATACGTTTACTCGTACATGGCTCGCATCTTTGGTCGTCTTGGCAGCTCATGCATTGTTGATCGTACGATTGATTAATGCTTGGGCATTAGCACGTCTTCAAGCACAAACGGTAGCTGACAAGACCCCAACAAACGGAAAGCAAAAAGCGTTACCAGCTTCAATCGAAGAAGAGAAAGAATGAGCATGTATGTATGTATTGTTGTATTGTACAATTGGATATGCAATGGAATGCTATAAGAAGATAATATACATGATGTGTGCTCATTGTTCTGTCCGTTTGTGTGAATATTGCGCTTCCAATTTCTGCAAAGCAGACTGATAATCTTGAACGAGTTGAACGAATAAGTGATCTGGAAGGGTTCTGTTCGGTTCTTGTTGATCTCCATTGACACTTGCTTGCCACGTTTTCGGCATCCGGACCTTTTCGATCTTTTCCCATCTTCCCGCTCTTCTCATCATAGATTTGAAATGACGTGCTTCTTGATCTTCAACCAAAGTGTACGAATCACCTTGACGACCCGCACGAGCAGTACGTCCGACACGATGAACGTATTTTGCCATATCGATCGGAACATCGTATGAGATCACATTTCGAACATCTGGTAAATCAATTCCACGTGAAATCACATCTGAACAGATCAAAACATCAACCGATCTTTGTTTGAACTCTTCAAGAAGTTTTGCACGTTGTCCACCTCGTAAATCACCAGAATATTCACGTACCGTTAACGAAAACTTTCCTCGCTTCTTTCTTGCTTCTTCAACGAATTCCAAGAGCTTTACCAGTCTCTTAGCACTTTCAACCGATTTGGTGAAGCACAACACTTGACGCAAAGGATCTTCGGATGTGTACAACAAGTGCAAAAGGTGCAACGGCTTTTCCGACGTTGGCATCACCATCATGTGTTCCTTCAAGGTAGATGGAAGAGCAAACGAATCTTGCCAATCTTTCGGCTGTTCGGCATCACCATCTTTCTGGTCATTCTCCGCATCTTCTACACTAACGAATGAAGCATTTCGTAAATCTAGCGCAACGATCTTTGCCGGATCTCGCGTGAGTGTAGCAGAGAAGAGTAGCTTTTGAACTGTATTTGTTGGCCGAACGGGCAAGATGCTTGAGATGCCCGGCAACATTCCCGTTCGTTCTGACTGTAATCGTGATGCTTGCAGCCAAGCGGGATGCATGGCCGAAGGTGCAGCAAAACCTGCGTTTAGCTGATCATTTTTGTTCTTTTCCTGCACAGATTGGATTGGATCGATTGCATTCAGTATTCGCGGTAGCCATTCTTGAAAGCTTTGACTGAGTAAGCGATCTGCTTCATCAATCACGAGAAAGCGTAAATGCTGTAGAGTGAATCCTGGCGTCTGATCCATATGATCGATCAACCTGCCGGGTGTTGCGATCACGATATCTACTTTGCTCTCGATCGGCTTAGCTTTGTACTTTTCTCCACCCAGTGCATTGCGACGAATGTCCATCATTGCTTGTTCTTCTTCTGACCCGATTGCGGGGTTCAATAATCCAGGTATATTTCTCCGCAGTAGAATCGGATCTGCATCGACCAGGGTGGATTGTTCATGTGTGAAACTTTGTTGGCCTGTTAGGCTTGCAATCGTTAACCCGCTTCCTTTACTGACAGCTTCCAAGGTCTCACGAACTTGCATGACTAAATCACGAGTAGGAAGAATGATCAAAGCACGTAGCCGTCTCGTGATCCGTCGTTGTAGCACTTCAACAATCGGCACAACGTACGACAGTGTCTTTCCACTTCCCGTTGGAGCTGAAACGCAAACATCTGCTGGAGGTGGGGTGGGGTATAGATCATAAGCAGATGGATGTTCAAGAAGCTTGGGTATTATGGCTGTTTGAACAGCAAACCATTCTGTAACTCCGAGAGATTTCAATCGTGCTTCTGTGTTTGCGCTTATGCAGCTCAATGCAAGACGATCGTTACGAGAAACAGGAACCACTTCAGGTCTTGCCAGTCCTTCGGGAAGACCTTGTGCGGCGAGATCGCGTCTAGAGGCTTGTGTGATCGTAGAAGGAGCGGGAAAGCGGGTGAGAAAAGAAGGTTCAGAAGCTTCTTCAGAGACTTCGATCACTGGCTCATCAGTCTTTTCTTCGTGCATTTCTACATCTTTCTCTCCTTCCTCTTCTACGCTCTCCTCCTCTTCGTCGTCATCGGAATCGTCGGAGTCATCACTTGAGCTTTCAGAGAATGATGATTCCGCATCTTTATTCAATGCAGGTACAGCTTTCTTGGGTGCACTTGCGATTGCGGCAATTTTACGTTTCTTTCTACAATCTTTCTTTTTGTTTAAATATCGTTGTTTTGCAATCGTTTTCTCTCTAGTCAATCCAACGCCGTTTATTGAACTTCTTGCTTTTTTGTCGGATTTCTGCAAGGCATGTGATGATGCCAATCTGGAGGGATGGATGTTCAATCCTCCCCCTCCTGATCGAACAATGGTTGAGCTCATGCTGTCACTTGGTTGGTGCAATGGTTTAGGAGAAGAAGTTGTCAATTTGGAAATATTTAATGAAATTATCAAAAAAATAAGGTACGCGCTAGGGCTCATTCCCGATTTCCGTGTTCAGCCTAATCTTGACGCCCATCATGATAAGAGGTTTTCACGGTACATTAAAGTCTAACTCATTCTTTAATAGAGATGCATACGAAATGTGTGATAATTGTTCAATAGTACAAAAGGCAATGAAAGGAGCCGACATATTAATAGACTGGCAACATATAAAGAATCATGATAAAATCCGTGACAAATAAAGGCGGCATAATGGCAAGGTAAAAGGATAATAATTTGTCCAATTGCCTTGTAAAGAAGTCAAATATAGAATAAGGTGTTCCGAGTTGGACAAGGATAAAGAGTCCAAATAAATCTTCAACGAAGAAGATTCCATATAGAATCTAGACTATAACGATTGCACAGGAACTATTTACTCTGCGTCATCCCATTCGGCGCGACGAGCGACACGGGTTTCCATTGCTTCTGCTCTCTTTGATGGAACTTTGATTGCCTTTCCTTGAACAAGAGAAGGAACAGCACGGCAGTTAGATGATGAACCAGGAGCTTGAGCGGGAGGGGTAGGGTTAACACCTTGGTACCATGTTGAACCGGAGTAAACACCTGGCCATTGTCCTTCGGTACCGTCACATTGATCGAATGATCCTCTTCTGTAGTCTGCTGGTTCGTTCCAATCACATCCCATCAAATCATAGATATGTGGGCACTATTCAAGAGCAAAATACGACATAGAGAAGGAGTAGGAGAAGGATGGAGAAGAGGTGAGAGAAAGATGGTGAAGGAGTTAGTAACTTTGAAAACTTAAAAGAGTGTCATCACATTATTTTTACTCACCCATTCTTTGGCGTATTCTCCAATGCATGCACGGAAGCAGAATTGGTTGTAAGAGATGAAGTTTTGCCATTCGTGAATTTGTTGGAAGTCACCGGTGAATGCGCGGGTGAAGACCAAACCACCGACTGGGTTACCTGCACCTGTTGCTCCGTGAGGATCTAATTCACCTCCTTCATCTTTGGCCAAGACGTTAATCTTTGTCAAATCACCTTGACCGGTAATTTGAACGTAAGAAGGTGTTTTGAGGAAATGAGCACCAGTAATTGTACCGTCAGGGATCAAACGGGTACCGTAACCGGATTTCAAACAGTAAGAAATTGTTCTGGCTTCAGATTCACCAATGGTTGGTCCGTATTTGTGTGGGGCGTACAAGCAGAAATCTTTAATGCTGTTAATGAAGATGTTTTGGCAGTGACCTGTAGGGGTTGAAGCACCGTAACGCTTTTGGCAATCGTTGTAACCGAATTGACCGTGTTGGGGATCGGATTTGGCTGGCAAGTTGGCTGGGTTGTAATCAGCTTTGACCATGCTGATTGCCAATAAGGCTGTAACGATGAGTGACTTGAACATGTTGGGGAATTTAAACGATTGTCGAGTGAGAAAAGAGAGTGTTTAGCGATCTATTAAACGGGGGAAAAGGGTAGGGGAATTAATGGAAAAGGATTGTGTTTGTTTTTATATAAATACATACGTACGGCCTTTTCCTTAAACGAAAGTACCGATTGCGGGCTATGTATTGTATTGCCTCCCCGTTATGCACAAGATCATCTCATTCATTAACCTTAAGGGTTCGGCATACGATTAAGGAACTACACCTTCTCAAAGCATCTCAATGTACATCCAATGTATTGTATAACACATTCCTTTAGGAGCGCAGTACTTTACTAGATGCCGAAAAAGAAGAATCTTTAATTCTTATTTTACCGTATGGTCCCTCAATTTTAGTGTGTTTATTATTCTCTATTTGTCAAGGAGGAACGCGCGCTCGTTAAGTGTTGGTTGTTGACCTCCTGCGCTAATGCATAATTCAATTCCCTACACTAAAAATGCTGGGCGCAGGCGCAGGCGGGAAAAGAGGCGTTTAAAAAGAAAAAGAAAAAAAGAATAATCGAAAGAAAGAAAAAAAGAGGAACGAACATCATGCATACAATCATTAATGCATGCTTACCCGCCCAAAGACCCAAGTTTGCTCTCATTTTTATTACCTTTCTTTTCTTCTATTTAGTGTATGGACCTCCGTTGCGCAGCGCATGATTATATACACAGTATCCGTTCCTAGCTTGAGCAATGGAAGCATTCCCGCATTTCATTCAACTCCGAGTACACAGAAGTGATCATATAGTGCATACACTATGCATAAGCCAAAAGAATAGAACATTGAAAGAAAAGTCGGCCGAAGAGATAGATGCTGACATAAGCAGATCGCGTCTGTAACTTTTGACAGATTATGATTTCCTTGGCGGCGCACGGATGATGAGTGATCTACGCATTCATTCGTTCATTCGTTCTTCTTCACCATCAGCACTCACACAAAATGTCAACAGCAACAATCCTCCCGCCTACAACCAGCCTAACGGGCATTCAAGAGCCTTTTGATTTAATGCGACTGTCGATATCCGAACGTGTTTATGTGAAAATGCGTGGAGATCGTGAATTACGTGGAACACTACATGCGTATGATGGACATATGAATTTGATCATGAGTGATGTTGAAGAAACAATTTATGAATTGGAACAAGCAGAGACAGCAGCAGGAGATCAAATAAAGGTAAGCGATCGCTAGGTCAGATGCGATCGTCCTGACAGATCACTGACTAAACCCTCCCCGCTACACAGATCATCAAGAAGAACAGCGAAATGATGTTCGTAAGAGGCGATGGTGTCATTCTGGTATGTACAAGGTCATTCAGTATCGCATGACAACTTGCTTACCCGAACCTCTCCCCCAGGTCTCGCCTCCTTCTCGAACATGATGCACGCACAAATGTACTTTTCAAAAAACAATTCTGTATAATATCATCTTATTTCATTGCAAGGTATGTTTCACTCAATACAGCTCGGCTAAAATCATGGCTGCCATCGAAGTCCATCCGGTGAACGGATGACTGCGTTGTCCAAATCCGGTTTCAGGATGATATTGTTCCCACGTATATCCTGTTCGATCGTATTCTTTCCAAACATTTTCAACCAAATTTTCACGTAATTCGGCGTAAATTTTGGCAGCTTGTGCTTGATATGGTCCGGGTTGAGAAGCATACTTTTTCTTTAATGCCCGCAATGCAAGGTAATTCATCGGAACCCAAATCGGTCCTCGCCAATAATCTTCTCCTTTTCCATAATTGGGATCTTGTTTGCTCAACGAACGCAAACCGAACGAGGACCAGATATGATCCTTGTCGTGCATCATATCTAGGATAGAACCCAATTGCGGACTGTCAACAGGCAGCAATTGAGATGTAAGCGGAAAGATAGATAAATATCCCCGATGACAAACATGGAACGATTCATCCTGCTCGTTCACCGAAGCATCGCAAAACATCTTTTCCTCTTCATTCCAATGTAGATCGACAACATTTGTCACAATTCCTTTGTAATGCTTTTCGTATTCTTCCATGTCATCTTCTTCTCCTAGCGCTGTTGCCACTTTCACCATGGCTTCTGCAAAACTGCCCATCCAACACATCAAATCGAGATGCAATTCCCCTACGTGAGGATTACTGGCACGAGGATAATCGTCTAAACCTGATGTCAGGACATGATCACGAGTTCTTCCACGCCACCTGAAGGCTTCATTTCTTGCACGAGCCGATCGATCCCACTCTTTGATCTGACCACGTTGTGTTTGTCTAAACCACAGATAGTGTTGTCGTAATTTGGGGTAAATGCTCATCAAGAATTGTCTAGCTAAGATGGGATCTTCGATATAAGAGGAAGATGTAATCTGTGAATCATCAAAGTTGACTTGATCCGGGTCAGTCATCGTATCCATATCAGCCTCCAGCGGAAAGATGTTTTGATGCTTCTCCGCAAGTCGATCTATATAATCCGTCACCGTCATAGCCAACGTTGGTGGGTTGGCATAGGTGGGATATTGTGTCAGAAATTCGGGTGGCACCCTACTTCTTGCTTCTTCTCCCAAGACTTGCTCCCGAGCAACCCAGCCATCCTCATCGATTAAGTTTAACCAACTTCTCAACACTTCCAGGCTCAAATTGGGATCCCAAGCAGAAATATGGGCCAAATGGAAACCTTCATCCCAGTAGAACCCGCGCGGGAATTTACTGCGACTTGGTGTAGCAGTCAAAAGCTCTGCTGGGGGTGTGAGCTGAGGATTGGCCTCCCTTGGCTCGGCGGCAATATCGTCATAGTCATGCGTGAAAGATCGATCAACGATTGAAGATCCGAAATAGTATCCGATGCTGCCGACAATTTGACTTGTAAGCTCGCGAACGAAAGTTTTACTCGTTCCCTTTTTGCCTTTCAAGACCTTATCCGTTTCGGGAACGGGGAAGGTGAGTTCCAAATGTTGCGAGTAGGCTTGCTTGCTTGCTGTCAAGGCTACACCGAGGCTGTTGCCGTCCAGCAAGGTTGCTTTAGGCGCATCTTGTGCATCGTAAAAGATATCAAAACTGAAATTTCCCGAAAAGGATCTTTGAAGAGCGAAAAAGTTGGACATGGGCTGAACGCTATCCGACAAGGTGAGCAAGTCGGCCGCAAAAGGCATACTCTTTGAGCCATATGCCTCATATGCAGCTTTGACAGACGAGGTCACATCGCTTTGTACTACTTCTTTTCCACGCCATAGATGCTGTTGTGGTAGCTTGAGTCCGAGGTAGTGCCATTTAGGTCTTGTTTCCTGAAACTCTTCTTCGTGCTCAAGATAGTCAATCGAATCTGGATTGGCAGGTTTGTTCTTCGCTCCGGGCGTATCGCTAAACCTCATAGAGAAGCCTGGCAAGGTTGAACTTGCTTTCTCCGCCTTTATGAAACGGCCAGAATCGATGTCATCAAATGACGAATCAGGTTTGGATGGCAATCCATCAACATAATTCTCCTGTTCAAAAGTTGGTTCGATTGAAGAAGAGTCGGACTCCAAGCCTGAGTAATAGATGGCAGATAGACTCGCAGGTATTGAAGGATCGAGTACCGTGCCTTGTATTCTAACAGCCCAAGATCCTGTCCCCTGCAGATCAGTCTTTATCCAGCTCGTCTCTAACAAATAATTATTCTCGGTATCCTTGATCTCTTGAACGGCTAACGATCTTCCATCATGGTATGTCCAACCATATCCATCGATCTTGTCCGCTTCACTACATTCATGTCTGGCTTCTAAGATTGAATCTGGTTTGTTGGGAGAGAACCAAACGAGACCTGATAAGAATGATTCCGGTTCAGCTGCTCGAATACCGAAATAAACCTGCGGTCTATACGTTCCCCAGATTAAGGATTTGTCCAATTTAGCATTGGCGAGAGTGATTACGGATATACTCGCAGCAATAATTCCAGCGATTAGCAATGGAAAGCTACCTCCTAGATTTATCCTCACCACCATCATGTCACTTAAATGTCGTCAGGAAACAAGCGGGATTCCTCGTTGTCACTCTTCTGATCTTCCCATTTCTTTAGTGCACGGACACACGTGAATTGCCTGCCTGGCTGGCTGTACCAAATCAGCGCGTAAATGGGGAGAGAGACCAACACTTGAACGCGTGTAGAGAGAGTGTTACTTCTTCAATTCACCATCATTCCCAAAAAAATGGCAAGCTCATCGTCTTCCAATTTGGAGATACGTTATCAATATCCAGATTCAAATCCATACACGGCAAAGAACGTTCTTCGACAAGCAGCAAAACAGCTGTCCGAGCGTGGCTTAGCATCTTCGGCAAAATGGGCATTAGAGTTATTAGCATACGTTCCCAAACCGGATTATGATGATGTGAAATCACCAAGAACGACAGCAGCTGATATGGCAGGCTTCAGATTTGCAACAGATACTCCTGCTCAACAGCGTAATAAAGTATCGCCCATATATCCCATTCAATCAACACCCGCAGTCGGTCAAACTGCCGATGGATCAGGAAGGTTTGATTCTTTAGGCATTCCACCAAGTCCGTTACCTGGTACAAGTGGTAGTGCTGGTGGACCAGGCAATTTCAGTCAAATAGGCAGCAGTAGCAATGCATCCCAAAGGATGCTTCAACCATTGACGCCTCTCGTACCGGCATCAGCCAACTCTTCCGCTTCTGCACACGTTCGATTTGCCGCAACAGAAATCTCAGAGAATCAATCACAAGCAGATACAAGTATGGCAGCATATACAGATACGTGGGACATAATGAATGAAGACGAAGAAGATATTTACATGCTCGCAAAGAATCTGTTCGATCACCATCAATGGGAAAGAAGTGCAGCATTGTTGGAAAGGCATAAAGTTCGAGGCCCGAAAGCTTTATTTCTGAAGCTGTACGCAAGATATCTTCTCGTAGAAAGACAAGCGGAAGAAGACTACTTTCAGGTAGCACGCAAGACAAGAGGGAAGAATGTACGCAGAGCAGAGTTGCTGCCACTGATGCGGGAGCTGCTGGATCCGTCTGATGCTTTCCTATTATTCCTGAAAGGGATCTTGTTCCGCAAATTGGGAAAACGGATAGAGGCAATCGATTGTTTCCTGCGCAGTCTGGAGACATTTCCTTACAATTGGGGAGCATGGCAGGAGCTTTGTGCGTGCTTGGAAGGCGGACATGCGGAATTGCAAGATATTGCTTCGATGCTACCTAATTCTTTCATGACATCCTTCTTTTGTGAATTGTTTGCTCGTAGTGCAGCAGCTCGATTGCAATCCGATGAAGCTCTTCGAAGGATCGATTCGCTATTGACAATGTTCCCAAGTTCTCCTTATTTGCTGGTCTCAAGAGGTCAAACACTGCATCTAATGCAAGAATTGGAAGCTTCTGAAGCAGCGTATGAAGCCGCTCGTGCGGTGGACCCTTATCGATTAGACGGTATGGCAGACTATTCAAACAGCCTATTCGTTCAGAACAAGGAAGAGAAACTCGCACATCTTACTCATGCTTTGGCAGAAGCTGGTCGGGAAGATGCAGAGGTATGTTGCGCTATAGGAAATTATCATACTTTGAGAGGTGACAATCATCGTGCAGTGGAAGTGTTTAAAAGAGGTGTACGTTTGGATCCAAGTTGTGCTTCAGCGTGGATTTTGTTGGGACATGGATACATTGAATTGAAAGACAGTATGGCAGCGGCAGAAATGTACAGAAAAGCCCTCGAACTCAACCCTCGTGACGTTCGAGCATGGACGGGATTGGGTAACACGTACGAGCTGAATGGCGCTTGGGCACAAGCATTGCATTATCATAAAAAAGCAGCTGCAACAAGTCCTTATGATTTCCGCTTTTGGGCATCAATGGCAAATTGTTACGAAAAGCTATCCCAACCTATTCAAGCTATTGAATGCTATAAGCGCATTTTGGCACTAGAGCATAGCATTGATGCTCAATTAGCCATCATGGACAACATTGCAAGATTGTACGAAGGCTTAGCAGGTGGAGATGAGGAGGAGGAGGAAGATGAAGATGAGGCAGACGTCAGGGCAGCGAATGCTAATGGCGATGATAGTGCAGCACATGCTCGCGATCTCTTGCGTGCATGTGCTTGGCATCGTCGGATCGTTGAATTGATCGATCGTGCAAGGAACGAAGAAGATAGCGCAGAACATGCTGCTCGGGTAAAAGAGCATGTTGGAAGCTTCTTGATCGCCGCTCGTTGGGAGATGGGCATGGTTACGTTTGGAGAGCCGGATGCAACACAAGATGAGATGAAACCAGGAGCAACAAGTGTCTCAAGTATGGAACTTGACAATGGCATAAGCAAGCCTCGAATTGGGAATATCAATCTAGCACGGGAATATTTGCAGAGAGTAATCATGACAGGAACAGAGGCAGTGTTGGAAGCGGAAGAATTGATGAAAAAAGTAGCACTACTACAAACATGAATGTATTATTAGCGACAATGTAATATAGTACAAAAATTGAATCAAACATTTAAAAGAGAGCCACCTCTTGATTTAGCGAGCAATGTTCTATATGTACTCCAAATTGCATCTCCATCTACGTAGCAACCTTTTAGCCATCGTTTCACGTCATCTCCACCTTCTGCTTTTTCATCCCATTCAAAACCACGTCGAGAATGTAGCACTCTACGGTTATCGAACACTACACATTCTCCTTCTTGTAACATGCGTTCATATCGGAATCGAGCATCGTGGGTGAGATCGGCAAAGATTTTCAAAGATTCATAGAATGCTTTACGGGTAGCAGGCGAAGCATCTACCATGACACCATCACTTGGCCAACGAAGTGGCAGATTTCCTTGAAAAGGTGGTGAATAATTGATCGCCGTCAATCTAGGCATACCATCCGAACCGTTGGGACCTGCATGTCCTGAACTTTCTCTTGCGACTTCAAACGTAGGATGAGTGTATCTGTAATGACGTGAATCATTTTGATATTCAAAACAAACCGGTACTTCCGTCAGCACTTTCCAAGCTTCTCGATGTGATTTCCACATCTCTTCTGCAACGGCAAACGCATCTACAAAGATACTTTGACCACCTTGAACTCGATTGCGGAGCATATGTAGAAACTGGAAGCGAGGAGGATTTTGAAAGTAGCATAAATCCATATGAAGGCCAAGATCAAGATTCGTATAAGCGATATTACGTGAAGAAGATCCTAAAGAACGAACGTTCCAAAGCGAACCATAGAATGTATGACGAATTTCACCCAACATTTCCGCCAATCGTGCCAAATTTGGTGAATTTTCGTCTGAAGCAAGAATTGAATCACCAGTCTTGTCAGTCGGAACGCCAGTGACGAATGCTAAGCCATCACGCATCAATCCGTCCACCAATGCAAATCGAGCAGTCTCTGAAGGCGAAAGTGCTGTTGAGGATGAGGTTTCGTTTGCTACAGGCAGAAGCGAGCTCCAATTCATTCGTGCAGGTCTTGCGAAGGCGTCTTCCTTGACCAGGGCCTGACCCGGTTGAACATCGCTCGATTTGGATGGTGGTTTTGGCGTATGTGGAAATGAGCTCAAATCGGATGAGATCCATGTGTGTGGAGTGCCGCCAATATCTGCATGTGAACGAGCATATCTCGAGGGTGTGGCATGGGCTAATAGTTTACTCAAAGGTATCCTGCTAACGTGAGGTTCTTTTGATGGTTCTGGAGCGGATGAAAATGTGGCCGAGAATGCATTCGTGACTGCAAATTCAGGTTTAAATGCAACTTCCACTTCTAGGCTCTGTTCGTTACCGACGTTCGTTTCCACAATTCGAATTGAATCTTGATCCACCAGTCCATCTTTGAGAGAGATATCGCTGGTGTGAAACAGCTTTTGCTTAGAAGCAGGTTCGACGCTGCTTGGATGTTCGCATACGTCACGAAGCCATATATGATCAAAATGAAATGGTTCCTTTACCCCCAAAGAAGGAGCAAGCAGTGCGATTGAAGAAGGATAAAGTTGTATTTGAACGTCTGAATTTGGGTCTCTTAAAGTCTTAAGAGATTGGGAGTTGGCTTGTGATATTGCTTCTATTGGTGGAGGAGCATTGAAAGTGGTTGCAGGTGTATCCTGAGGAATTGCTTGTTTTCTTGGATGTTTAGACTGGAACGTTAGCCCTTGTGATGTAAAAATTGTGCGAACAAAGGGAGAGTTGATTCGCGTATATCTACCATGTGATAATGCCAGTCTAGCACCATTCTGTGCTAATCTGTTCAACATTATTCTGTGATGTTGGAGGTATGGAATGAAAAGGAGAACAACGTCATTTACCCCGGCTTTCAATTTCAAACAAACACCCGGGTCTAAATAACGCGTCGGAAAAGCCGCGCACGCAAACCGGATGAAAGATTGAAAGCCGCCACAGCTCCAATCAGATGATAATTGTACACTAATACATTTTTATATTGTGTGTGTGGAGAGTTTAAATTTAAGAGGGGGGTTCAATTCCATTTGGTAATGAGGAGATATCCGCATACAATCATCGCAAGGAAAATGAAAGGTATACACAAAATATTGGCCATTGCAATCACAGCTGCTTCAAGTGCTTTGGCATGGGGCGAAACAAGAGAAGAAGGTGAGTAGAGAGGAGAGTGTATGTTAAGTTCAGCGATTGATATTTCCCATCTTCTTACAGTCGCACAGAGAGCTCGATCATTACTCGTTGATCCTAACAATTATGCCGTCGGAACTTTGAGCACAGTCTACCCAACCACATATAGCGATGAATCCTTACGTGGAGCAGTTGCAAGTGGACCGGAATATTTTGGATCATGTTTTGAAAATGGTGATCTATTAATGCTAGCAATGCCAGTTTCACAAAATTGGCGTAATACCTTATTCACCAAAACAAAAAATGCAACAATCAGCATTTCATCTTCTGCTGATCCCGATGTTCCCGACCCAAGACATACTTCTATCAAAAGCGCAAGCAAATGGGATCCTTCTAGACCGAGCTGGAGACGTGGAATGCCAAGCAAACAAAGGATAACCTTGTTTGGTCACTTTGAGCGGCTGATCGATAAGGAAGAAATCGAAAAAGTCGCTCCGTGTTACAAGAACATACATCCTGATGCCAAACACTGGACACCTGGCAGTAAAGATAGTCCCCACGTCGCATTCTGGACTAGATTCATCGTCGACAAAATCTATCGAGTTGGAGGTTTCGGAGATGAAAGTAACATCGGATGGATTGATTTGGATTTATGGCACAAGAGTGTTCCTGACAAACACCACACAAACATCGACACCTTCTCCCATAGCAATGAAGGTAGTCTTTCTATCGAAACGCTATTCGGCGAAAGTGTAGATGAATCGCCATTCTATGTCCAATACTGACATGATACTGTACAATCATTGAATAATGAGATGTGATGTGATAATGCTTATAATACAAACAAGTCTTTGCTCATCTACGCCGTCTGATCGTCCCTTCTATTCTCTTCTGTCCTGGCTTTCGTCTACCTCGCTTGGAAGAGAGCAATCCGACAACACGAACGCCTTTCTCGCGTAATCTATTGTCTCTGATCACATCTTCAATCGCACGTTGTCTAGCCTTGGTTTGTCTTTTGCTGAGCAATGAAGACCCTTCCACCTCTGCCTTTCCTTCAGAAGATTTCCGCTTATTCTCTTGATCACGTAAATCTGTCCAACGAATCTTCTCCATCGCCCTTCGCGAAGCACGATCAGCGCCTTGAACAGGTCTAAAGCTGTTTGCTGCTCCTTGTTGACGTGCATTACGCATATTCTTAAAATGTTGTTCGACCGCATGATCAATCTTTGCATCAATACCTGCTCCTGTCCAACGGATCGCACTAGAACTTTGATCAGGATTCAATTCGAAACATTCACAATCCAATTCTCCTGATCCTAATTTACCATTTCGCCATCTTTCCAACATAAAATTTGCCGCTGCATCCAAATCACGAATGCCATTCTTCGATAGCGTTCCAGGTGCTCGCAATGCTAATCTTTCCAATAGGGCATGTACTTCATTCGTTGGACCGAAAGCATCTTGTGGACCAATCTCATCTGTAGAAACGGTTGCTGTGACACGACCCATAGGCAAACCTGTCAGATATGCAGGTAAAGGTTCAGGATCATTACTTTGGCTCTCCTTCCATCGTTTCCATCGCCATGCCCATTGCAGATTTAGCCTGTACAACAGATAATCTGCCAGACCTATAGCATCAAATAGCGAACTTTTGATACCGGCAGCAACGGCAAGCTTTACACCCTTTTCAGCTCCTTGAGGACCATTTCCGAGGTAAGGTACCATTACACCTGGTGTATCGTATACATAGATTGCGGGCTCGTCACTCTTGCTGTGTTTTAGTTGAGTCACTTCACCATCTTTATTACGTTCCACGGGGATCTTCTTCGTGATCCGAACCGTGCCCGTCAGTTTACGGGTATGTCCAGGTTCAGGTGCTGTTGAGGCCGCCTTTCCAGCACCAGTGCCAAACCGTCTTAGAGCGTTCAATAAGCTGCTTTTGCCAACGTTCGGCATACCCAATATTACCAATCTAACACCTTCTTCAGGTGTAGATGTGTGTCTGAATGCACCTGTCAAATTTTGTCGTCTTGCTGCACGGGGTATCAATCCTGTATCCGTACTTTTCGAACCGTCGGAGGTTTTGCCGAAGTCTTTCTCTTCACTCGAACTTGTCAAAGACGCAGCCCTTTGTTGAGCCCATCGCATGACCCTTCTGATATCGCTATCTTTTCTCGAATCAATAAACATGACATCATGACCTTCATGCTTTTCGAATGCAGACCTGATCGGTGCATGTAAACGAGTATCTACCAGATCGGCTTTATTGTATATAATCAATCTCCTTCTCCTCCATTCACGCAGATCGGCTATTGATCGTTCTTCATCTTTTGTATCTATTTGATTGCTGTTCCCCCCTTTGTTCTTGTTCACAATGCCTTTCATAGAATGAAACATCTCTTCAAAGGCCGGATTCACGCTGGATATAGGCAGTCTTGCATCCCGTGTTTCTATGATAAGCGGAGGTGGTTGTCGAGAAAGCAAAACGGGAAGAGATCGCATTGCCCTATACATATGGCCAGCATACCAGGAAGGAATGTGATTCGGTAGAGGAAATGACCTTCTTGGCTGGAACGGAAGATTGGCAAAGTCATCCTCCTTCTGATTGGCCGCAGGGATAGATGCCTTTATGGTTTGTGAAGCTTCGTCTTTTCCTATTCCATGAATAACATCTCTGAAGCCATTGGCTATTGAGCGTAATTGACGTGGCATGCTTTACGTATTATTATCATTTTGCAATGATGACCATCAAGAAGAAAAGAACCCATTTACGGAATTCGGGTGGAGTTTAATTTTTTTTTCTTTTCTCCGCGTGTATGCATAAATTGATAAAATTAAAAGTTGTCAAACGACAACCTTCTTCTTCACATCCCATATCCCCCATTGCTAGCAAAGATGGTGTCTTTCAATTGTGACGGCTGCGGTGATGTTGTAAAGAAACCTAAACTTGACCAACATTATCAGCGTTGTTATGCACCGGTGACCTGTCTGGATTGTTCAACACAATTTGGCTCCCCATTCGAATGGAAAAATCATACGTCTTGCATTAGTGAAGCACAAAAGTATGAACGTAGTGTTTATCGTGGACCAGTAAAGGGTAAAGGACAACCGAATGGTCAACAGCAAAAGCCACAGCAGCAGCAGCAGCAGCGAAATGGAGCAAAGGCATCCTCCGGTCCATCTGATCAACCTGAAAAGAAAGAAGAATCGAAAGCATCTAAGCCGGAAAAGCGAAAGTCAATAGGGCAGGATAAAGATGAGAAGAAGTCCAGCAAGAAAGACAAAAAGGCAAAGTCGGATAACGCAGAGGAACCCGAGGTGAAGAAGGAGGTGTCGGGAGAAGGAGAAAAGAAAGAAAAGAAGTCTAAGGATCAGAAGAAAGACAAGAAGGACAAGAAGAAAGAGGCAAAAGCCGACGAAGATAAAGTCGACAAGAAAAAGAAGAAAGAGAAATCCGAGGAAAAGCCAAGTCAAGCTGCTACCGAAGAGGTGAAGGCGGACGAAACACCTTTGAAGGAGCCCAAATCCGACAAGAAGGGAAAGAATGACAAGAAGAAGAAGCTAGACAAAGCTGGCACTGCCGAAGATGACAAGAAGCGCAAGGAGAAGTCCAGTAGTCAGAAAAGGGACAAATTTAAAAGCGTTGAGGATGCATCGAAGAAGAAGGAGAAAAAAGAAAAGAAAGCCAAGAAAGCATCCAAATCAACCGAATAAAGCTTCTGCCACGCTCGCTGTACCGTATTCCGCACATTCTGTATGTTATACAATTGATGTCATTTCCCATATCCTGTTCATCTGGCCGGCTTATTAGCTCTATCTGGAAAGTGTTTATTGAGAATCTCTTGTGCTTTCTTCTTGCGATCGTTAGCTGCATCTCTCTTTTTGTCTCCTTCTGTAGGAGGGGCGGGAGCAGCGCAGCCATGGGCAACAGCAGATCGGTGTCTATAGCGGAAAAAGAAGAGCATACAATTAGCTTATCAGTCGCAGCCAGTATGACCACTGCAACACTCACGTCATACAATAGAAGCCCCTACATCGATCACACCTTGGGGCAGCATGTGTGAATATTCTTTGTTCATGTCTTCCATCCCGTTTTGCGACATTGATTGATTGATTACCTTCCTTGACTCTGGGTATGCTTGCGTCCATGTGTAGACTGAATCGTTTACAGCCTGCTCTCTGACAAGGTAACCTTGAAGGTTCTTCTTCCTCTTCTACATTTGCACTCGAGCTAGCAGCCGGTATCGATTGTTCTCCAGGACCTGCAGCTTGAACATCTTTTCGTCTAGTGTTCACTCGCTGATATCTCTTCAAAATTTCTGTATCGCTTAACGTTCGATCTGCTTCTGCTGCTCCGGGTGCTTTACATTGATGTTGTAAAGGTAAAAAGTGAGATTGACAGAATCTTGAACGACAATAAGCACATGTTACGGGTAGAAATGTCAATGTTGCACAACTTGAAAGAGTACAGTATTCTCCAATCTCCATATCTTCTGCCCGTTCTGTTGTTTGATTGAAGGGAAGAGGAGAACAAGTACTGCATATGGTGGAGTTAGTGGTTGTGGCTAAATGCGCGTCTTTTACGCGTGGATTTCTAGTGTTGTTCTTTCTGTCTGCTTTAATTGAATAGAATCTACAATTAACACTTCCACACCTTTGATCTTCTCCTCATCCATCTATCCCAAAATGAGTACAGCACAGGCAACTGTTCAAAATGCGCCTCTACGGACTCATCTTACGCTGAAAGGTTCAGTAGCTTTGGTGTCGGATTTCCTATCGTTTGGGATCCAATCAATTCTATTTCAGCGTGAAATCTATCCATCAGATGATTTCAAGATGGTGAAAAAATTCAATACACAAGTTTTAACCACAATTGATGAGGGATTACGAGAATACTTGGAACGTGCGATGCTACAAGTACAACAGTGGCTCACCGAAGGACAGGTAAGAAGAATCGTGCTGGCAATTGTGGAAAAAGAAACCCAAGAAACTGTAGAACGATGGCAATTCGATATAGACGTAGTAAATAAGGGAACGGATGAAGCCAATGATGGTAAAGAGAACAGCGAGTGAGTAGTGCCAATCTGTAGTAGCGAGTGTACCTGCTTACCGATCTGACCTGTCCTCTCCACTGTGACAGCCCTGAAAAGAAAGCTCAACCAAATAACACCAAAAAGACAGATCAACAGGTAAAGAACGAGATTGGAGCAATCATCAAACAAATCACCGCATCATGTACATTCTTGCCTATGTTGCAAGAACCATGCGCTTTCACCATTCTAGCTTACACAGATTTGCAAACAAAGGTTCCCCTGGAATGGTCAGAATCAGATGCTCGACTCATCTCCGAAGGACAGGCGGAACAAGTTAAATTGAGAAGTTTCTCAACCCACGTACACAACGTAGACGCTCTTGTGGCTTACAGAAGAACGGATGAGGATGAATAAAACCACCTTAGATTCCCATCACCTCCGCAAGCTCCTTCTCTCAGCATATCAATTATACCTTAATTTGTATTTGTAGCAACACATAAGCGGGATCAATCAAAGACATCCTCATCCAGAAGGTCCTTCGTTATGCGAATGAAAGATTGATTCTCATGAATGAAAGTGATGACAAGTTCGTACAAATGCGGGACAAGATGATGAAATTCTAGATTACCATCTACTTCTTGCTCTTGTTCTTCTTCTCAGCCTGAGGAAAGGGAGGGGAGGAAGTTATTAGTACGTCATTCAAGTCTATTCTCTCGTTTTTGTCGGTACCTACCTCTTTGCGTGCTTCTTCTTGGGCTTTGTCGTATACCCAGTCGTTCAATCCCCGTCTATTACGGGCAATCTCGTAAACGTAAAATTGCATGCGTGTGACTGTAAGAGCGAAGATGAGAACCGGTCAGTATCATTGAGCGAGAGAGACCCCACGGAAAGAGACATACCAAAAGTAGTGTTGAATTGTGTGTATTCGTCAGAAGCGTCTGTTCGGATTAGAGTACCAAAATTGTAGTCGGACACTGGAGGAGGAAAGGAGAATAAAGTCAGCTTGGTCCACATCATCTTGTTGCAAGACTACTTACCCTTATTTTCGTATTTGGCGATGAAATCTCTCCATTTCTTCTTTCCTTCATCAGATTTCATTCTTTCTTCATCAATTTTTGCAACCCCGCCAACTTTATCACTTTCAGTTTGTCGTAATTCTTCAAATGTTTCTTCCATATCTTGATAAATTTCATCGTCTAATTTTGTTAGCCTAAGCGTTGAAGGTTTAACTTTTTCATATAATGACCATAACGTTTGTGCTTGTTCGACACACTTTACTGCCATCTGTTTTTCAATTTCCGGCAAATTTTGTGCCCTGTTTGGGTCAAAGCCTTGAGTTGACATCTTGACTAAAGAGGTGATTCGAGAGAGTAAGGAAAAGGAAGGTTGTAAACGTCGTTGCACAATTTTGACCGGAAAAGGTTGATCACTCCAATTTCTGATTGAGTGGGAAATAAGGTAGGTATGTTCGAATGATCGTAGTGAATTAAAGTATAAATGCAATCACAACCTTGCTCGGTAAAAGAAAGTACAACACGAAGGACAGCCGCCAATTCAACGCTGGCCGGCTGGCCTTACCACACAGACAACACTTTATATTTACACGCTGCTTAAAATAAGACACTTGTACACGCATACGCCGCACACGATCAAAAGAATCCAAAGCCAGCAATCAATCAAACCCCTCTAATTAAAGTAACGCCCTGAGGGAACGCCTTCCCTTAAAGCGGCTAAAATCAAAATATTCACACGGATACTTATATAAGCACAGATCGTTCTTCCGCTTCAACGGTACGGTACTGCGAAGAATGATAGATGACAGGCTCTAATAATAGCAAAAGATTACCCCTTCCCTCAATCAAAACAAAACGGTGCCCGCTCAAACCATGGATGTATCATAAGATGTCAATCATATGCCTGTGAAATGTGTGTGAGTGTAAATGTTCTACAAGACACGCAAAGGTATGCGTGGACGCTGCTGCTGTGTAAATGATGGTGGTCATAGTTGATTAGAAGCTGACCTTTTTTTGAAGCTGTTTAGACGACGGTACCGGCGTTTGAGGCGATACGAGGCCACAAATCAGCACATTCCTTAGCAACGGGTCCAGTGATGGCGGATCCCTTCATTTCACCCTTGGGGTTGACAATCACACCGGCGTTGTCTTCGAAGTAAAGGAAGATACCATCACGTCTGCGCCATGGCTTACGTTGACGGATGACGATTGCGGGCATAACTGTTGAAGGGAGGGAGACGAGTGAATGGGGTCAGTATTTTGAGCCAGTTTCAAGACTGTTGGGTGGTATCACGTAGTGCCCTCCAACGTTGTTGAGTCGTATCTCCTCTTTCCATTTTGCACAGCGACAGAGTGCCTCTCATTCTCTCCAAATTCCAAAAGCTCCTACACATTTCGCATACCACCCAAACCCTTCTATAGAACGAAGATACATACCTTTCTTACGCAATTCAGGCTTTCCCTTCTTGACGGAAGCGACAACCATATCACCGGAAGCAGCTGCTGGCAAACGGTTCAAACGAGCACCAGTACCGTTAACGGCAATGACGTACAAGTTCTTTGCACCACTGTTATCAGCGCAGTTCATGACTGCACCGACGGGCAAAGCCAATGTGAGGCGGAATTTGGATCCTGCTTGAGGCTTAGACATTATGACTGTGGTTGTAAAGTGGACGAAAGGCGAAGTCGATTAAGGTGTGTGGTGAATATGTCGTAGTAATTGGTGAAAGGTAGGGCGAAGCATAAAGGAAGAAGTTCTGTCAGTCTTTCTGAAGTTGAAGAATAATACTAGAAGTCGAGCTGATCGGATCGTTCAAGTTGTGCGAGTCCTTCTCTATCTCCCGTATTCTAATGTTGTACCAACTTACCTCCTGTGCGATTATCTTGTGTCGGACAAAGGTACAGTCAAGAAGAAAGAGATGGATGAATCTTCAATTCGAGATGGCTTCCAGTTACTGTCCCAAATTCAAAGCCTGAGCAGCAGCAGCAGGCTTATTCTTCTTTCTCTCCTTATGCGCGCAAAATCAATTGATGCGAAGTTTGGCTGCACAGGGGGGGCGTCACGAGACTGCGGCGGAAAATCAAATACAACCGGGTATAACGATTAGAGTAATTTGTATTAAAATAAATTTGTATTCAATCTTAGGTCGTACGCGCTGCGACATGCGAAGAGTTGGAGAGCGCGTGACTTCACTTAAACTTGTTCATGGTTGATTAATAAATGTCCTGAGCGAGGTGCGGGGAGGTCGAATTGCGGGTCGTGGCCTCTTATTGCTTGATGTACGCGTGAAAGGGCCAGCAAGCCTGACAATTGTGAAAGTATGAAATCGATTTGTGTGGACACGCCTCTTTTGCATATTCACGTGTGGAAGGAGCGGGATTAAGTTGAGCCTGTTGTGTAAAGCACGATTGCTCATTGGCTCTGCTATTATGGTAATTACTTTCAGGGTTGCTGCACCTATCGGTCCATCTTCTCGGCTTAGCGGGAATTAAACCGGTACATACACACTTTGACGTAACATGGAGAAACATACATTAAAGTGAAAGAGGCAGCGAGCAGCATTCAAATTTGAATCTCAGATCTAATCTTACTCATACTCCACCAACACCTCATCCCACGACATATTGGCAAACATGTTTGTCTCTCGTGGAGCAACCTCTTTGGCTAATTCACGAAATGCAATTCTCTCCTCCTCAAAGAAAGGAATACAGACAATCTCGTGTACAAGCACTTCAGCCACTCGAACTATAGTGAGCAAGAGGGAAATTCTACAATCATCCTCTCGTTCTTCCTTTGTTCCCGCCCTCCCACAGAATATCCGTACATTCACATCGTCCGTTGCAAGGAGACAGGCAACACCTACTGATGAAAATGTCACACCTACAGAAGAAGTTGAAAGGGCGGTCGATGAAGCGGATGTCTTGATCGTTGGCGGTGGCCCAGCAGGATTGAGTGCTGCTATCAAGATCAAACAGCTCGCAGAGGAGAAAGGACAGGAGATTCGTGTGGTCTTGCTAGAAAAAGGTGGTGAAGTTGGAAACCACATTCTATCGGGAGCAGTAATCCAAGTGAATGCACTCGATGAACTATTACCCAATTGGAAAGAGATGGGAGCACCAATCAATCAACCTGCAACAGAAGACCATATGCGATTCTTGACAGAAAGTGGATCATTCCCAATCCCACATCCTCCACAAATGGGCAATACAGGTAATTACATCGTTTCCCTTTCTCGTGTGTCAGCATGGTTGGGTGAACAAGCAGAGGCTCTTGGTGTAGAAATCTACCCCGGCTTTGCAGGTGCACAAGTAGTCTGGCAAACAGATGAAGCAGGCAACAAGACTGGTATCAAAGGTGTGATCACAAACGATATCGGACTGGGTAAAGACGGTAAACCAAAGGATACTTATGAACCAGGAATGGAATTCCGTGCTCCCGTTACACTCTTTGCAGAAGGAGCACATGGATCGCTAAGTGAAAAAATCATCAAAGAGTTGAACCTACGTGAAGCTGTTGGAGCAGATCCGCAGACGTACGGATTGGGTGTAAAGGAAGTCTGGAAGATCAAGCCTGAAAACCATCAAGCCGGTTTGGTACAGCACACTTTGGGATGGCCATTAGACTTCAAGACCTATGGTGGATCATGGTGCTATCATATGGAAGACAACATGGTCTCCATCGGTCTAGTGGTCGGTCTGGACTACGAGAACCCATACTTGTCTCCCTTCCGCGAATTCCAAAAGATGAAACATCACCCATACTTTGCCAACCTGCTAGAAGGCGGTGAATGTTTAGCATACGGTGCTCGTGCATTGAACGAAGGAGGTTATCAGAGTATTCCAAAAGTACACTTTGCTGGAGGTGCTTTGATCGGATGCTCTGCCGGTTTCTTGAATGTGCCCAAGATTAAAGGAACACACAACGCAATGAAGTCCGGTATGCTAGCAGCAGAATCTGCAGTTGAAGCACTATCAAAGCGTGAAGGTGAATCTGATGCTCAAAAACCGATCGATCTGGAAGATTACAAGACCAGACTGGATAACAGTTGGATCATTCCAGAATTGAAAATGGTAAGGAATCTACGTCCAAGTTTCCATAACCCTCTAGGACTGTATGGAGGTGTTGCATACTCCGGACTGGATTCCTTGTTCTTCAAAGGAAGAGTTCCATGGACATTCCATCATCCAAAAGAAGACCGCTACTACACCAAACCAGCAGCCGAATGCGAAAAGATCGACTATCCAAAGCCAGACGGAAAGATCTCTTTTGATATTTTGACATCGGTCAGCAGAACCGGTACAAATCATGAAGAAGATCAACCTGTTCATTTGCACGTCAAAAAGGGCGACTTCGTCGGACATACAGAACGTAACTTCGGTATCTTCGGAGGACCTTTGCAAAATGCATGCCCTGCTGCTGTCTATGAATATCAAGATAAGGAAGATGCAGGAGGTGTTGAAGATGCTTTCGGCAAGAAATTCATCATCAACAATCAAAATTGCATTCACTGCAAGACTTGCTCAATCAAAGTGCCTGACGCTTCCATCGAATGGCGCGTACCTGAAGGAGGTGGCGGTCCCAAGTACAGCTTGACCTAGATTCCTTCCTCTTTCTCTCTGCTCATGTGATCCTGTAATCAATTCAATATTATATCATTATTTAATAGCAATAGAGCAATTTTGTAGATTGAAAGGGTATGCATATACATTCTATGACATATTCAATTTCGAATAAGCAGGCGGCGAAATTCTCTGTCGAACGAATTTGATGATGTACAACGGAAGACTGCTAACGGCAACAATGATGGCAGTCTTCCAAACAAATGATGATGATAAGACAAAGTTCAAATCAAAGAACTCTGGTAAGAATGCCATACTGACACAATAGAGTAACAAAGAAAGAATTTCCGCCATAACCATATAAACGTGCCATGTCGTAATCTCCAATGCGACCATGATTAATTCGTTCAAGATCAAAGCTGTAAAGCTGATACTCAAGATATTGATCAATTCTCGTTCAAAAACGTAAAGAGAAACGATCATGATTGCTCCTCCCTGGTAAATACTGATGATGAGCCATTCAGTAAATGTCTTTGCTGTCAATGCTCGTCCAATACCTTTGAATAGTTCCGGATAGAGCAATGCAACGTCTTCGCTTACATCTCTGTCCAACGTCAGACTGAAAGCGGGTGCTGCAGTATAAATCGTTGCATAGCCGACCATCAACCAACCTTGATAGAGCGCGATCGGACTGAAGTAGAAGATGCTCGAGAATACAGCTTGAATGATGGCGATAATCAAACCACGATGAATGACGAATTGCGCCAATTTTGCACTTCTTTGATATGAATTTCTGCCATGCCAAACGACAAGTTTTGTCAAATGGCTGAATTGCGACAAAGAGAAATCTGCTGCCAAACTTGCTTGCATTCCTTCTTTTCCTTGAATACCCAAACCGACATTTGCAGCTTGAATCATCGAGACATCATTACCTCCGTCACCGATACAACAAACTCGCTTCTTCGTGTAAGCTTGAATCAATTTGGCTACTTCAGCTTTCTGAGTAGGCGAACAACGACAAGCAACAACACTGGTTAGCTGGGTGGACAACTCGAAAAACTCTGCGCTGTAATTATCCAAACATCTTTGCAAAGATTCACCATCGATCACGAGACAACAATCCAATCGGGAAGCCAAAAAGTCGAGCATATCACGAACTTGTTGTCGGGTTTGCAATTTTGCAACTTGATGAATGTATTGATTGCGAGCGACCAGCTTACTTGAGATTGCAATACAAGTAGCAGTTTCAATCTTGTCTCCTGTCAACATCCAGACCTTGACACCGGCATTGCGTAAAAGTTCCAATGTAGTCTTTACATCATCTTGCAGCTTGTCCTCTACGCCTGTCAGTCCCAGCAGCTCCAAGTCACGCTCCAAGAATTCATCAACCACCTTGGCCATAGCTTCATTACGGCCATCAACCTGAATACGAGCAGCATGATAGGCCGATTCGAAACTTTGCCATCTTTCTGTCGTCAACCTTTTGCGTCCCACCACCAACGTACGTAAACCTTCCCGGGCCATGTTGCCGCATTCTTCATCCAGCCAATCGTTTTGTGCTACAATCTTTGCCATGACAACATCCGCACCCTTTTGGTAGAATGTAACTTCATTGGTTCGACGATCACGCACAACGATACCCATCCTCTTGCTTTCAGAAGTGAATGGGAAAATGTCCAGGATGTCGAATTGATGGATGCCATGGTCATAGAGTGATTTGAGTGTGATACTACTTCGATCGCGAGAAACAAGAACGAGTCCAACGGATTGCGTCCAACGTACGATTGCTACTTCATCAGGACTGCTTGCTTGGTAGGTGACTGTACCATCATCATTATCAACCGGTGTAACATTATGACACAATGCCAGTGCCAACACCACATCTTTGACCCGAGAGCTCATATCTCTCCGAATACGTCCGCCAAACATAGCATCTGCGGCCATATTCTTTGTCGGACTCAAAAGAGCATCTTGTGTTTCACTCTGTTCTTTCTGTTGATCAAAAGCGACTGTTAGTTGTCGCGAAACTTCATCCATACTGTCCCAACTGTAACTCATTGTGCCCATGTGAAGTTTCTTCAACTCCATTTCATTTTGCGTCAATGTGCCTGTCTTGTCGCTAAGAAGGTATTCGATCCTTCCCAACTCCTCTGGCAGAGTACTCGTTCTGACAATCGTTCCTGGTATCTCACGATCAGACATGATCTGTCTTGCGTATACAGTCTTTCCCATATCCATATTGACACGAAGGGAGATAGGAATGATGGAACTAAACAAGATCAAGAATCGGAAAACGTAAATGTACCACTGTCCACGGAAACCATTCAGTGCAACCATTCCAATCGAAAGTGAAAAGCTGAAACCAAACAAAATCTTGGACATCTTGTTCAATTCAAGATCTAGGATACCAAATTTGGTCGACGGATGGCTGGTATTCATGACCGCACGTGTATCTTTGCCTGTGTAGATCACCAATCCGATCGCACTTCCTGCTGCCAAAACGGTGTTGGCCCACAAGACATTCTCTGAAGTGAGTGGAGAAACCTGATTTTGACGTTGCAATGGGTAGTCTTCCGTGCGTTCTGCTTCTGTATCGAGAAGGTCGCCAAGTCCGGTCTGCTGATTTGTCGTTGTAGAAGAGGCCAGAGAGCCATTTCGGGAGTAAGGTGGATGAATGGTGAGATTGCCAACGAACGTATGGATGTCTTTAATAGGTGGCCCTGCAAACACACCAGCTATTCCCTGTAATTCCGCCAATTCATCTTCGCTCATCCTTTGCGTCGTAGACACTGCCACACGCAGCTTCCAATCCGTTTCACCATCCAATTGATCTGTCCTTACAAAGCACGTACCTGCTTCATCCCCTCTTGGTTCTTCAATTGAAGCAGAGAGGTCTTCCGTTTCCTCGCTTGCTTTTGCAGCACCCATCTGGTCAGCCTCGATTGTATCGTCATCGTCGCCTAATACAAAATGAGTGTTATCTGACCCAGGATTGTATCTCGCACCCTTTCCTCGATCTTGTGGCCTCGCCTCTGTAGAATGATCTCCCGAGCTCGTTTTGAGCAAGACCATATCTGCTGGAACACGCTGATTCTTGTGCAATACAACCAGATCGCCAACTCGAAGCTTCGAGCTCGGTTTGAGGATGGAACGTGATTGTGGGGAATTCGTCTGACCTTCAACGTCATCGCGATACTTCTGTTTGCGATTGCCCGGTTGATTGTTGTAGATCTCGATCGGAACAAGAGTCTCGTATGGTGTGCTATTGCTCTCTACATCACGCTTGTATCGTGCATGATCATCAACCGCCTCTTTACCGATCGTGATGCACAAGACGAAAGTGAGTGGAGCAATGTATGTTGCGATAAATCCAATCTTGAGAGCAGGAATGAATTGACTCAATGCAACGAGCAAAAAGTACAAATTGTAAAACATCTTGAACTGCGAATAAAGCACCAAAGGAAGAAAGAGGATTGCGCTATACTTTTGATTCCGAACGACATTTGCTGGATATTTTGTCTTTTTCCTTTCTGCTTCCAGAAATTCCACTGTTCTACCTTCTCCAACTTCTGAGCCTCTTCTACTTCGCAAGATCCATCCTGCTATCCGTTTTGCAAGTGGCCGATCTTTGTTCTTGGTATTATGAACATCTTCGAATGATTTGCGAAAGACATGCGTGTCCGACACATGCCTAGACATAGAATTCCTTGCACTGCCGTGTCCCAGCTCATCACCTCCTGCTAGTAAGCCTACATTCTCTTCATCGCTTGAAAAGTCATCATGCGATTGTCTTCTTGCACCCAGTCTTGCTCCACCTATCCGCCTTCGGGATGATGGTCCTGGCCTGTGTAAGCTATCGTTTGTGTTCATCCTTCTATGTGCTGGTTTTGAAGAAGGTTTGACAGACTTTTCGTACAGAGTCTCTTGATCGTATTCTTGGTCGTATATTGTGCTTGGATATGAATTTGTATTTGAAGATCCGTGCAAAGTTCTCAAAGCGATAATTTCATTTGATGATGAAGAAGAAGAACTACTTCTGCCCGTTTGTATCCCTTCACCTTTACCTCCACTGCTCGGCATGAAGTACGAATGACATGCAAATTGACAGCATGTAATTCACTGTCTCCAGTGGATATTGTCGTTGTAGTGAAAGGGGGGAAGGAGTTGATCTTACACACAACACACTTGTTGATGTTGGACTGTGCTGTGTTGCATGTTGTACTTGTTGAATAAAAACGCGCCATCCACGTGCCACAGTGCGGGTACCTTGCCGCACTCTTGCATTATGTAGAACATGTAAAGTACAATGTGCTGATGCCAGCAATTCCCCTTTACAACAATGAACTGATTCTTTTCCCAACTGATCGTGTGCATGCGACCCTGAACCGATTAGTTCAGAATCACACTCCCATTCTACAGCAACGTAATATTGCTGTATCATTCCATTCACATCAGTACTGGCGTGTAGCCTATATGCGTACGTATGCATGAAGCGCCTGTCTCTACGCGGCTTACCTCCGCTAATTAAAATTTGTTGAATTGAGAAAAAAGTCAATCAAATCAATCTTCTCAATCCACTTTCATTCGCAGCATTTTTCCATCAAGAATAAAGGATGAGTTCACTAAAATCACCAGCACCAATAGTCAAGCAGTTACGGAGTCTGCTGCAGGATCTAAATCAGTCTCTAGATCCAATCACTTCACAGTCTCTCGATAAGCTTACGTCCACTTTGGAAAGTCGAACGAAAGCTGGTACAAGTTCAAATGATGTGATCCTGAGTGGCAGACTTGAATCTGCCCAAGTTCAATCTTCTCTTGCATACATTTTGTTAGATCTAGTCTGGATCTTACTCAAAGTGAATGGAACAGATCCAGCCTCACATCCCGTTACGGCAGAGCTAAAACGTGTTGAACAATATTTGAAAAAAGTTCATGAAACTGATAAGGATGTCATTGCTGCAAATTTCAAAAATGATCAAGGCTCTCATCGTATCGATCAAGCGAAAGCATCCAGATTCATCAAAGGAGCTTTAGGCTCGAACAATGGAAATCAATCCACTGGAAAGAGAACCGTCTTTGCAGAAGATGGCACTGTTCAAAAGGTTGTACCAGTAGGATCAGAAGAGGCAGAACCTGAGACAGAGGCTGGGAGCACAAGCAAAAAAGGAGGTGCCGGAGAACACGACGTTGGTGAAGACGAGAATGGAAAATGGGAACAGCCAAAGTCAAAACGGAGAAAGAGCGAAAAAGGAGAAAAGAAGAAAAGTGGTAGGAAATCCAAGTAAGACAACCTTCACGATCAAAATTATGTACACTATTTCTCACATCCAAAAGACACTATATAATTGCATGATGTACATTACGGCATAGACAAAGAATTTCTATTGATTCATTCCTTGTTTGCCTTTTCCTCGATTGCAGTAGCTTCAGATGCGTCTTGAGCATCATCTTGTGCTTGCTGTTCTAGCTCTTCCTTTACGATTCCTTTAGCAAGCTGTTGAACTTTTTCTACATCTGCTTGACTGGCACGAAGGGTGGCATCCGATGCCTCTCCTACATTTTCTGGAATCGAGCGTAATTGAGCGGTAGAAGCAGCCAACATTTGCGAACCAAATCCGACAGGAACATGACGAAACACTTCTGCACGCATTCCAACGCCTTCCATTGCATGAATGCGTAAAAAGTGTAACCATTTTTCCACAACTTCAACATCTGCATCCCAAACTTTGATCAATCTACGATTCGTTCTTCTTTCAAAATTTTCTTGACTTTTTTTGTGTACAAAAGGACCTTTTGGAACTGTCCAAAGTGATTTTGTCGTTTTGAGTGAATGTACTTTTGATAATGGGATTCCTAAAGCATATCCTGCCCGAATGGCAAAATCGGAAAAGAAGTCCAAATCTTCCACTTCTTGTGCATGTCCGAATGCCTGTAATTGCAAAGAGGCTACGTGGTGGGAATGTGTTTTACGATGATATTTGGCAGGTTCAAAAGGTGATGGTAAGTCGTGCTTCTTTGGCGTTGAATCTATTGTAGAAGTGGGCAATGGTGATGGAGTGAAAGTGGAAGTAGTAGTTTGTGCTTCTTGTTGTACTTTAGAAGATGAACTTGCTTGTCTTATCGATCCACAGGCCACTCTAGATGGCGCTGAGCTTGAAGAGCATGCAACCGATTGGACTGATCGCCGTATCGATGCGTTGAATAGTCTTCCCGTCATCGTCATTTTGACAATTATGATAGCTTCGAGAATGGTGAGAGCTGGAAGAATGGTGGAAAGGTGATTATGCTTATGCATATTGAAAAAGCGCTATGAATATTCACACAATTGCTTTAGCGCATCACGTGTAGAAGTGCATCAATAATTTTTGGCATTTCATTGGAATTTATTCCTCGTATGCATATCATCAATACTTGACATTTCAATAGTATTCTAGGTCATCCTTCATCACGATCACCTTATCAAGACATAACATAATGGGCAGAATAAGACACAAACGTAATCATCACGCGAGAAGAGGTGAGTAGAAAGTTGTGTAGGTGGAACTGGCCATTTCGGATAGCTGACAATCTTCCCATTTTGTGATCATGATTATAGACATCTCTCGTGCTGCAAGAACAAGAGCTCGTAAGCTAGATGCTGATCAAGTAGAACAAAATCTAAAAGATGCAAAGAAGAATAACGAACTTCTCAACCCCGATCATTTGGATATCGAAAAGCCAGGTTTGGGATTATTTTATTGCGTTGAATGTGATCGTCATTTCCCATCACATGGCGACAGAGAAGTTCATCAAAAGAGCAAATTACACAAACGAATTGCTAAAAAGATGCACGAAGAGAAAGCATATACGATCGAAGAGAGTATGAGAGCGGCAGGTATTGGAATTGATAATACACAACGAGTACCGAAAGACCAACAACAACAAACCCAGTCAAACGACAACCAAGGTGGCAATGAGAACATCAATTCATCATCTACTGCACAGGCTATGAAGACAGATGCATAGCTGTACTCCTCTTATGTCTCATTCAATTCGCGATCACATTCATTTGTATTTGTATCTCACTTGGCAATGATTTATTTATTCACTTTCACTAATTTAAAAAGCACACAGACACACAAGAAGCAGATATAAGGAAATAGCATAACATTAACCCACATCACAAGCACCACTCGCCAAGTTTGATAACCACAAAGAACAAAATACCTCTTCAGACTCACCCGCACGCTCCCTCACCTTGGCCGCACCTCGAACCACAAAAGGGTAACGAGGAAAATGCGATGCCAAGATGAGCAAGTCATCGAAGGGCGACACAGAACCTCCAAAAGGAAGTAAAGGGCCCTGAAAAAGTCTCGTTGTACAGGAACGTGCAGGTAGTGCTCTCATCGTCAGAGGTGAAAATTGTGGCTAAAAAATTTAGCAAGTAGGACCGGGAATTCACTATGAAAATGATTCTGTTGGATGGTAATGGGTAAGGTAGAGGTTGTGAGTAATGGGACGTTGCAGAAAGGGGTTGAAGAAGCATTGCTAGTGATGACAATGATTGAAAGCCATCACTGACAAACTTTGTATGATACTTACCCGTAGAGTTGGTCGTTGAAGAAAAGAAAGAAGGGTGCGCGTATATTTTCGCTCTTTATACCTTTCAAGATTAAACTGCAAATTCAAGAAAAGAAAGAAAAAAACGCCCAAAAAGGAGTTGCACGTGCAAGAGCGCCAAAAGAAAGAGAAGAAATTAAATCCGCTTAACTCACACACAAGGCCTCGATCATACAGACTATCACCTACTGCTGCTATTGTGGTCAAGATGACTTCAATGATGCTGCCGCCGCCCGGCTCAAGGGCCAGGGTACTACGACATCTACAGCATCTAGAGAAACCAAAGAAGAGCAAATTCCTCACTCAAACACCATTCTTTGACTCGCCTTACGTTCATCCTAAAGACAGAGTACCATTTTGGAATATTGGACCGGGAGATGAAGTACGGGTAAAAGTGGGTGGAAAACGAATCAAGAAGGAAGACGGAACAATCGAAAAAGTACCTTTCGAAGGAATAGTAGACACAATCGATCGTGAAAGGAGTGTCGTTTGGTTGCGTGCTCCCGAAAAGGGAGATGAATCTTTGATACCGAGAAATTTGAAACACTTAGAACCTCGATATGCAGACGCTTCAAAAGGCATAGAAGGCGGCTTCGGACCTAATGCTGCCTACGTTGCAAGGCCTGTCCATTACAGCAACCTACAACTGAAAATTCCATCTGACCTAAAATTACCCGAAGATATCAAACTTGACTTGAAGCAAGGTGTATTTGCATCAAGAATGACAAGGAGCAAGCCATACTACAACAGAAGAGGAGGATTTTTCCGATGGAGAAGATACGCAATCGTACCTACAAGTGAAGGAACATTAAAGATTGAAGTACCTTGGAAGACGCTCGAAAATCGTGAAGTTCCAAGAAAGGAGAACAATACATTGTCAAATCTGGTTGATAGAGAGACTTGGCTACCTTGGGCACCCAATGATCCCACTTGGCTCATTCCAAGAGCTTCTCGTACATCACCACAAGCACTAGAACGCTACCAGAAATCATTAGCACAAAGAACGGCAGCATTAGTTGCCAAGGGAGCGGATGAGAATGGAAAGATTTCCGTTGCAAGAGCTGCACAAGCTCAAATAGAGGCAGGCAAAGGCTCTCCACTACCATCAATGATACCTGGTGCATCTACGGCCACTCTAGGATTACCGATCTATCCAGGTTTCGCTAAGCAACTATTATCTAAACCAAAGATGCCCATCACTCCCCAACCTCCGACACCTGCTGAAAAGGTTTGGATGGCAAAACACTCCATGAAAGAATGGCATGAAGATAGTCAAAACGTGCCGAAGCCTAACACTGAAGCAGGAGCAGAGAATACACCAAGATACACATTCTCAGCTTGGGATTATCTAGATGTTTCTCCACTTGAGGGACCTTCAAGTACCTCACATACTCAATCGGTAAGCACAAAGGATGTAGAAACAGATAGCTCTGCCGACCGACCAAGAGGTGAGGCCGGCCGTATATTTAACGCAAGTCAAGTGACCAAACGTGAGATGGACAATTGGCCGATCGAATTGATGATGAAAGAAGATTTGATTAACGAACAAGGCACAAAGCATCGCAGAATCAGATGGCAACGTCGTCAACGTGAAAATGCAGAAATGCAAAAAGTCATTGCACAAGAAGAAAAGGAAAATTTGCAAGCTTTCAGAGAGTTGAAGTTGTGAGGCCGCCGCATCCTATTGTACTCTTACCATGATCATATGCTATACTAATTCACAAACATCATCGTGCATCAACACACATTGAATTGGGTTGAGAGTGTATACAAATTGCAGAAAGCTCGTAGAGCAAGGTATTTATATGAACAATTGAAGTGACGATAACCGGTATTTCCTGGAGATGTTCCATTGTCCTTCTAAGGGGGGTAAAAAATGCCATCTCTTGCGTCGTGATGAACAAGCAAGAGGAAAAGATGCCGACCTGGGCATATGCTGAAGAGATAAAAAGTATGATAGAAGATAAAGTACAAATGTTTCGCGAGTGAGTGCGCAAGAGATTTCAAAGCGACAATGCTAAGAAAGCCAAAGAAAGAAATAGAACAATTCCACAAATTGTCATTCCACTTGAGGTCATTCGGATTGCCGAAGATTGCAGAGTATCATGTTCAGCTGTGGTTTGTTGACCGCCTGAGGGTGTTGATACCGAACGTGCTTGACTATTGGAATAGGTTGGCGCAGAAGTTTGTAATTTTGATGATGATGATGATGCCGGAACCCATCCTTGCGGTCTCCAGCCGGGTAATACATCGTTCGAAAAGAGTGCCGATCGTCCTTCTTGGGAGCTAAAGACCTCTTCGGCACTATGAGATGCATTTTCGACCACACTCAATCGTAATTTGATTTGATTGTGGGAGATATCGGACCAATCAGGTAATTTACCATATGTGGCCGGGAATCCCTTTAAATCTTCATTGGTTCTTGCCAATGTATTGACGTATTGCCACCAACTCAAATTACGATCACGTCTCTTTGAGCCTCCTTGCATTTGAGCCATACAATAATTATCTCCGTTTGCTAGGACATCTTGATAGCCCACAATCGAGATAACATCACGGGTAATGTATTGTTGGAAGTATTGTTTGGGCGTCTTTAGTCCATCTGCAGTTCCGGTAAAGTTGTCAAAGCCATAACGCCATGTATTATAATATTTGCAACTCTTGCGACTTGGCAATTTATCTCCATCGCTCATCTTCATTGGTCTATTCTTGGTAAAGTATGCGCAAGATGATGGGTCTCCATGAATGTAGCGAATGTGTGGTGTAGTACTCTTTGGATTTTTGGCAACCATTGCATATCTTTGGTTCAATTGACCACCTCCTCCGTGTCCGACAACGGTGATATTTTGCAAATTTGGATATTTGGATTGGTTCATGAATTCGTCAACGAGTGCGTCCAAAGCATCAAAAGAGGTCAACTTTGTTCCTGGTGGATAAATAGCAGGATCACCTGCTTGCCAACCGTTCACATCAGCAAAAGCGAGCATCTTGCTTGTATATTCACCTGAATTGTACTTCTTTGAGAAAAATTGAGGTGCGACAACGATTGCTGAATCACTTGCACCCGGAACATTAGCTTTTGCTGATTCTTGTAAAATGTTGTTCATCGTTGTCCAATAATCACCACCATTGCGTAGCTTTCCATGAATCATAATGTATGCATGTTTGGCGGAAGAATTGTTTGGATTTACTGTCCAAAAAGCTGGAACTTCTTGACCGGTCGAACCAATGGGAAGAGAGGTGAAAATCGATCCTGAAGGTGCAACAATAGGTTTGTGATCTTCACCTTCGTTATTCTTTCCTCTTGACATAAGTGTACTTGCATCTCTGGAACGAAGTTTATGACCTGAATCCATTGCATGTATTCCACTAATACCTGAAGCAAGAGCGGATGTGTATGAAAGGACGCAAATGGTCGATAGCATGAACCATAGTCGGTTCCACTGTGATGTCATCATTATGAGGGTTATGTCCTGTCGGTAGTCACTGAAGTGTGTCGGGGTTGTTGTTAGCAGCGAGTTTGATGATGACGGTCGTGATTGTGCCAACGTTTTATTTGGATTTGATTTTAATGAATGTTGTGTTGTTTTTTAATCGGTTAGCATCCAAGTAAGCATCCAAGACTATTATCGTATATGTGTATGTATGTATATGTATGCTGTTGATGCCAAGGAGTATAGATGCCGATTGACTTGGGTGCAAGTGTTGATAATTTGAAATGAAGAAAGGATAATAAAGATTATTCTTGATTTGAAATTTTTAGCATGGATTTCTTGCGTTCCTCGGCACTAAAAGAGGCTTACAACGATGATGAAGCACCAATCTAATGAACCTCCTATGCTTCCATTGGGAACAGAAAGAAAGAAGACTTGACTGAATTTGTACGCTAGAATCACCAAATCAAGAATAGACCAAAAGGCTGTGTGTGTGTGTGTTTGTGTGGAAAAAGAGTGGCAGTACTGCTTTGGCCTCTTGCTTTTCGTGCTTGCCGATATACAGTGAATGTGAAGATGATGTGTGAGTGGTAATGTAAGAGAGATGCAAAACAGTTTAGAGGGTCCTAACTCTATATCCTCAGCGTTTTTGCTGTAAGGCAACAAAACAGGAGACGGTCAAACCGTTATTGAATTAATTTTCCTCGAAACGTTCTATTACGAAAAAGAAGTGTATGTATGTAGGTTGCGTGCTTGGGGTTCAACAGAGCAATTTATCTATAAATTGCATGAATCCCTTCCATTCTGTGCATTGAATTGAGGCTTGATCGTTAAGTGAGAGTGACTACATAACGCTAACGATTGGAATGTACGTATGCGTGCATCATTATCATAATCGCGCCGCGAAAAAGAACGGATTTGGTACCCGCAAAGCAAATTTTACTTTGAGAAGAACACTCTTTCTTCTTCTCTTTTTCGTGTCGGTGTTTATAATCAGGGCGCTAGATCGCCTAAAAAGGGGGGATGTGGTGTTCTCTTTACGCGCGTGGGTACGCCGCATCTTCTGTAAAATGATTCAATTCTGCGCCCACTCCAAAGAAGCAAGGCATCATTCTCATTCCACTTAGTAGGGGCTAGTTACGTACGTACGTACGCGTTAAGGCTTGCCTTCTGGCGCGGGCGTAATCCCACCCTATGTTTGTGGGCGTTAAAAAAGAAGTTTTCCCCTACATACAAGTTCTGTGCCAAGAAATGTTTACGGCTGGTACCAAAAATAGCTTCATCTTTATATAATCCACTGACGATCATCTTAGATTCCGTCTTCCGATGAAAGGTGACGATCTTAGAAGATAATCCCGATCTCAGGCACACAAGCCACATTGTGATGGAGCACTAATTCAATCTGGTGGTATCATAAGTGATGTGGTAATCGATTGTTCCTTCTCATAGAAGAAAAACAAATCGAGCAAAGATCAATTCAAAAAAAAGTAGTGAGAGAACAAAGGATGCTAAGGCGGAGATAAGTGTTTATGCTTGATGTATAAATGTTGTTGTATAGACTATTGGTCTTCTTGAGAGATTTGAAATTATCGATACAAATGCGGGTTTAAATACGAGAAATATATGATGATGTTGAGATGGGAGTCCGGTAACCCAAAGAAAAAGAAATTTTAGTAAGAACGAAATCCGATTCAAATGCTCAGGCAGTAGCAACCATACTTGGTGTCACGGCGGCCGCGTTTGGTAAATCAGATTTGCCAACACTCAAATGAGGCACATCTCTATCGGCCAACGTTGTGAGTGAGGCAGGAGATGAACCCGTGGAAATCTTTGGAGGAACATCCATCTTGTCCAAAGCGGCATCCGCCCAAGCTTGTTTGAATGTACATCCTGCTCTTCCTTCTAATTCGCTCAACCAAACGGCTTGTTTGAAGAATTGAGGTAACATCCAATATTGCAATGTTGCCCAACGGAAAAAGAAGCCAACTTTTTCGCTTCTTGCTAATGCGAAATCATCTTGCATTTCTTGTCGAACGTCTTGGAACATGTCTGTTTTATCCGTCAAGATTGCTTTTACACCCCATCGTGTAGCTTCAATCATTTCATCACGACGGTTAACCGTCCAAACAAAGACATCCTTGCCTTCTCTGCGTGCATCGGCCAAGAAACTTTGTCCTTCCGTCCCGACCAGGCTTGGGAACCACATACTGAAACCGTCACAATGTTTCCAAAAGTATGTTCTTGCCATCGTCGGACTTCCGCCGATGTGTACTCTACGTAGCGTAGGAAGATGCTCTAATGCAGCCTTCAAGAAGACGGGATGCCACAATCCCAAAATTAAACGAGGAGAGAGATCTTCGGCAAAGTTTTCGTGTTTTTCAACGATTCCCTTCATTAATGTGAACAAACGTTCGGGATCATTCTCCGGCTTGATATCAATGTTGAGTTTAACGTGACGGTTTTCAGGTCGCATCAAAAGATCGCAAACCTGTGCAAATGTTGGAATTTGTTGATGTGGCTTTGCTTTTGTGCGAACATTTTCAATTAAACCTTTCCACGGTTGATCGCGAATCAATCCTTTTCCATCTGTTGTTCTGCTCAAAGATGGATCGTGAAACATGATCACCATGTCATCCGCTGTAACGTGAACATCACTTTCCAATCCTTCTGCTCCATCACGGATTGCACGTTCAAAAGAAGCGATTGTATTTTCTGGGAATGCGGCAGACGCTCCACGATGACCCCAGCATTCTGGCATTGACGGTTTGACCGTTGGCGATAGCTTTGGAGATTTGGTCCAAGGGCGAGACATTGTGTGTGTGTGTGTGTGTGTGAGGAGTAGAGGTGTGTGTGTGTGTGAAAGAGAGGAAGTGTGTCAGAATCCAAAGATGTTGCTGGTATATACGTTTCCGAGAGAAAAGAGAAAGATGCGAAAAATGCCGTTTTTTGTGTTGGCTCTATACGTTCCGATCAAAATAGGAGATTATCAAGCCATCCTCCAATTCCGGAGATGGAGATATTTTACACAGGAGTCGGTCCAAATAAAGAACAGGTGTATGTGAAAATTGGGGGGTGAAGAGTTCAAACTCCGATCACTTTTAGCCCACGGCCAATATCTGAAGGTTGAAAGTGTTGGTGAGAATGAATAGAAACCGGCCGTAAAGATCTGGGCGTCAAAATTGAGGAATCAAAATCGATCGCGCTTTTGAACGCGGACAGCGGGCGGTGTAGGTGATTGTTGTCTTGGTGGGGGATGGGATGAAATCAAATCTCCAATGACCAAAGGGATGATGATTGTACAGAGAAGGGGTTGCAATCTATTTGCCTCGGTACATTGTCGCTTTTTGTTCCGAGGATGAACCTTGTGTATGTGTCGATCAAGAACACATCAATAAGGTTCCCTCGAGAAAAAGGTTTGGAACGAACGTGTATGTGTGTGTATGTTGATCGCGTGGAGGAAACGCGGTTAGAAAATAGAGTGAACAGATGCAGCGCCACTAGTCAAATTTGTGTGACAAAAAAGGGCGCATTGCATAATAAGCGCACGCCCACAGACAGAGGGGTTTCGTTTTGATTCGAGAAAGTGAAAAAGTTTCCTCTTCTTTGTTTTGCATTGCAAATCAAATCAAGAGTACGTGTGCAATACGCGACTTTAAAGGCACTTCGTCAAAGGCCCTTGTATGCGTCATTGTGCGCGTTCGTTCATTGAATCCGGCCCGAGTTGACACATGTTTGGTGACATGCCCAACAAGCAAGTGTGCACACACACACAAGGCCCTAGGAAACGTTCCCTCCAGGGTTACTGGAACGGATGCGTTCAAGTCTCGGACTTCCTTCCGGATGTACGCGTAAATGCAATGTACAATGTACAATAATTGCAATTTACCCGGTTCCCCGCACTTCTTCTTCTTCTTCTTTTTCTTACTCACATTATTCTTATTGTCATTCATCATTTGTGTTGGTGGTGATGGCATTTGAGTTGGCGGACATCGAATTTGAACAAATTTTTGAATGTTTGTATAAATTGAAACCGGTAACCAATTCACCAAAATTGAAAGTGTTCTACCTGCAATCAATTCGGTTTTATAACGTGTTCCTAAAGCTCTATATTGACGAAAGATTAATTTTACCCAATCAAATCCTGTTTTTGGAGGTGGTCCGAGTAACGAATAATCAAAAGGTGGAATCTCGTTAGACTTGCGGGTCGTTTGCTGTTGATGTTGTTCCTGCGTTTGAATCTTGTTGGATCGGCGAGATTCAAGATTGACGGCTGTTGGTAGCGAGATTGAAGTTGAATTGCAGCTAGGCTTATCTGCGGTATGAGATTGATCTTGATTTGTAAAAGTACTCATTCGGGCGGTATGTGAGGGTACCTTTCTTGGCAACTTTGAAGGATTTTGAAATTCTCGATCGTGATGGAAAAGCGGTAAGATGAATTGTCCAGCAAAAATGATTGGCAAAGCGTTGTGATCAAATGCGAATTTGCTCTTATCCAGGCAGTGGCTGAATATTCGCTTTGAACGGATCCGAAATTAGAGCAAATCACAAAGAATGAGACTCTTTTTTGATGATTCGTACGGAAGAGAAAGACCCAATTTTGCCGGCACAGCCCACAGCGGTCGAGGTTATCTTTTTTCTTTTGGTTTTGAGAAGTATGTTGCTGGTAGTGATGAGAATAAAGCCGGATCGGAGAATATCTAATTTCACTTTAGCCTGGAAATAATTAAGCCTTTGCGTTCCCTCGGACAAATGCATAGAAGCTGATGAAAGTTTTGCTCTCTCTTTGTTGCATTTGTATGAGTACGGCGCCGCTTTGTCTGCCTCTAAATTAGGGTGATAAGCTCCTTTGTCTCATATCCGCCTTCATTCCGTTTTATCACTTCCGTTTACCTCATCATATGGACTTGCCCCACGTCACTAAGTGAGTGAGTGAGTGAGTGATTGTGTGTGTGTGTGTGTGTGCTTGTTCTTCTTCTTGCGTGATCGGCTGATGTGCATATACTCGTAACTTCCTTCCTCTTTAGCACATCAATCATCATCGCACGCGCCTTTTACCTTTGTTTGTAAGAAGGGTTTAAGAGCAGATCAAATCAAATTAAAAAACGGAAGTGCCTGATCTTGAAACCGGCGCTTAAAGTCCGAGGTGAAAGAGTACTACTCAATTGCACACACGCACCCCCCCCCCCTTTGATCCTCTAGTCTCAAGCAGCTTGAAAGCTCGCTTGTGTTCATTCTTTCAAGCGTACCGAACGGCTTCTTGCATATAAGATCAGCCGCGGCTCAATTTGATCATCAAGCCAGGAAAGCCAATCTGGTGAGCAAGTAGTGGACATCAACATTCAATGGGAATAAAAGCATGAATTGTAATAAAGAATCATAAAGATCAAATTTTAGTATGAAACGATCCTAAGCATGAAAATAGAGCATGAAAAAGATACACTCTTGTAAACACACTTCCTTCTTTTAAAGCTTAGATTCTGGCAAAGCTGGTGGCAAATAATCGGAAACGTGCTTTGAACGAACTTTAGCAAGATCTGCTTCAGAAACAGTACGAACTTCGTTTGCGACATTGTATCCTAAACGATCAGCAGTTGTCTTTCCTTTTTTGTAAAAGCCAGGTTTACGTAAAACTGTTACCACACAGCTTCCACCTAGACCTAAATTGTGACTCATTGCATTCTTGACGTTCTTAACTTGCAAATCACCTGCTTCTTCACGTAATTGCAAAGTAAGATAAAAGATCATTCCCAATCCAGTTGCACCCAAAGGATGTCCCTTGGATTCTAAACCACCAGATGGATTGACGACCCATTTACCACCATAAGTGTTATCACCTGCATCGACAAGTTTGTGTGCTTCTCCCTTTCCGCACAAGCCAAGAGCTTCATACGTGATCAATTCGTTTGGTGCAAAGCAATCGTGCAATTCGATGACTTGAATGTCTTTTGGTGAAACACCAGCTTGTTTGTATGCGATCGAAGATGCACGACGGGTCATATCTGATCCAGCCAGTTCGATTCTTGAACGATCTTCGTACAATTTAGGCGTATCCGTTGAAACGCCCATTCCTACAAGTTCAATTGCACGGTCTTGCAGATTATGCTTTTGAACGAATTCTTCACTTACAACAACGGCTGCTGCTGCACCATCAGAAGTTGGTGAGCACATTGGTAATGTGAGTTCACGTGTGATCTTTCTTGCTTTGGCAACTTGTTCGTGAGTTTGAGGGAAACGGAATTGAGCGTATGGGTTCTTGACAGAATGAGTATGATTCTTTGCTGCAATCTTTGCGATATGTTCTTGTTTGGCACCATACTTTTCCATGTATTCCAAACCGGCAGCTGCGAAGATACGTGCGCTAAAAGGACCGAATTCTTCATCTTTGTATTCTTTTTCACCTTCGATTTCAAACAATTGAGCGGTTGTGCCTTCCATTGGGTTAGCACGATCATCCCATGCGGATCCCAAAGAACCAGGAGCCATCTTTTCGAAACCTAAAGCGAGAGCGGCATCAGCTTGACCTGACATGATTGCTGTGACTGCATGAACAAAAGCAGAGGAACCTGTTGAACAATTGTTGTTCACGTTAACGATTGGAATACCAGTCATTCCCATTTGATAAAGTGCACGTTGACCGCATGTTGAATCACCATAGCAATAACCAACGGCGGCAGTTTCAACTTGATCATAATTGATCTCTGCGTCTAATAATGCTTTTGTGGTTGCTTCTAATGCCAATTCAGGATAATCACGTTCACCGCGTGGTTTATCGAATTTGGTCATACCAACGCCCACGACAAAGGCTTTACGAGGATTGTACGGCATCTTGGATAAGTATTTAGTGGAAGTGTGATGTGTATGTGTTGGTGGTAAGAGTGAAAAGGGAAGATTGTGTATTTAAATTTGATTTATATCATTTCCTTTCATTTGCCGGACAACAGGGCACCGGTCATCGGTAAGATGAGAATCCGCATTTTTTGACCAGGGAGGCAAACAAGCACAGATCCCTGTAATGAGCATCATCTTCCCCGCTTTTACAACCTCGCTACTCCACCATTCACAAAAGATGCAACAGATTGTACACGGCTATCCATCTCGCTAGAATTTAAAGGAGGCATTAAAGCCGTTGAATAGAAATCAAACGCGCTTCCACAGGGCGGAGATTGTTTCTTCAGGCACTTCGTCAGAGCTTAACTTTAACAAACCGGTAGAATGTTCAAACCGAAGGGAATTGCTTCTTTTGCTTAGTAATCATTGCCCGATACATCCTCTTCCAAACAGTAACCGTACAACGGCTTTTCGATTACCGTTATAAGGTCCCGCTCTAATAATGTATTACATGGCTTCTTCATGATTTAGCTAGGAGGTCATTGAATGATTGATAATATAGATGCTGCTTATGTAACATCAACTCCACCTTATACACGCTTTTTACGCTGAGCAGTAGATTAATAATATTGTTATTTGCGATACTATAATTTTAAGCTTTTTTTGCAGTTCAGAACATACTTTCTTCTCATCAAAGAACCGAATCCCTTACAATCCAACAAACGCTGAGCGACATTCCATTCAAGCTCAGCAAGGTTATCTGCATCCAAGCACAGCCCGATCTGTACCAGGGCACAAAGCATAATTCCCACGTTGGACATCCCCTGCTGCTGAACTCCCGGGAGAGAAGTTTCGAATTGGTTGTCGAGTCATCAATCCAAAACAGTGGAGTACTCGGTTCCGTTTTCAGGAGAAGAGATTGTCGATCCGATAGCAGACAAGTCAGGAACGTTTGACTTCTGGGAAAAATGTCCCGAGCTGCTAAAGTGACCTTGGCTGCCTCTTTGGTCGTTTCGGCAACGACTGTTTGGGCAGTACATTATATGCAAATTCAAGAACGTGAGGTGAGTATATGCGTTGTGGCGTTATTGGTGTGAAGCTTCGATTACTGATACTTTCACTCTTCATAACACAGGTCATGCACAAAGGTGTTGAAAGAGATGCGGCAAGACAGGCGGATAAGAAAAGACAGAGAGCTTTGGATTTGGAATTGAACAAAGAAAAGGAAAAACAATTTCAACAAATTCAACCAACGAAAGGATGGCTAAGCGGAAGAGGGAAGTCGCAAGATTCTGATCAGATACCAGAACGGTGAGCTTTGGGCTTTACAACGAGAACATACTTGTATGATAGGGTTAAAAGGAATGTGATTATGTCAAAAGAGAAACGAATGAACTGCGGGTAAACGAATGGAAGGATGGAAACGAGAGTGATATGCTAGATTATGCGATAAGTGATGACGATAATTGATCAAATTTGGCTTTGAGACGGGCGAATGATGTATAAAAGTACAGATGCGGACAGGTATCATATGTCATGGATATAGAGTATGCGATGCGAACGAGACGAAGAGGATGCAGTCAAATGCATTATTGTTGGTTGCAGGGGCCTATTCACGATTTTGCGATGAATCAGATTGTGAAAAGGCTGAGCCAGCTTGACTCAAGCTGTATGCGGGTGAATCGATAGCGAGGATACTCTCTGCAAAGTGGGTAGCAAATTGGTCAGTCATTGGTATCCTACATATAAGAATATCATGTAGTGTACTCACTTCCATCCGGCGAGGTCTGTTTGGACATATTCAAGTTCAAAAAAGCCAAATCTTTTGCTTCCTTTGCACTTTTGAGCAAAGCGATCATTTCATCATCTGTAAGAACAGAAGTGTCCAGGCCTGGATTTGTTGCCAAAATGTGTTCATGAAGTGCGTTTAATGGGTCATATTCGTCCATTGACCATGAATCAGACATTGTATAACAATCATCTGACATTGTGTGAGATGAGTATGTATCTGATGAGACCATGTTGTACTGTTTGTTTTCTTGTGCAAATGCCAGAGCAGGTGATATTTCGAAGTGCTTTAATGTTGATTCCGTGATAAAATCTGATATAGTGATTCTATGACGGTAATGAGTATTGGCACTTTTTTGTGAAGTTTTGCGATGAGTCGGATAGATTGGATATGATGGAAGTGAAGCACAAAGTAGTTATATGAAAGTGGCCACTTGATATACCTTTTGGAGATTGATAGAAAGTCCACATGAGATTGTAAAAAGTGGACAGTGGTGTAGTGCCCCTTCCACTTCATCGCGCGCCACCCGCTATTGTTCATGCCTAGACAATTGGGTTTCGGGTTGTTTCATTGGCCTCCCCGCGCTTTCTTGACTTTTACGCGTACTAGAATATGACGGGCCTTTTTTGGCCGATGCTCAGACACAAGCATACCAATTCATGCACTTACGGCCTTAAACTTCCATGCTCTCTCCCACGCTTGCTTATGGAGGGCCGAATACAATGCATAAATGCTATGATGTAAGATGCGACAATCGATCATATCCGGAGAGGACTATCTATCCGATGAAAAAGCGAGAGAAAGTCGGCGAAGCAAGACATTGCCTTCTACATTCACACGTGATACTCTCTGGATTCGATCACTGAAGTCTACGCGTATTGTAAGTGTTGCACTGTACGCGGTCATTAAGCCTATGCAGATCAGGCCTGCATATGAACGCGTTCCAACACAGGCCTGACGCTCTTGCATAAGAAACAAACTTACCCCTGAGTTGGACAAACACATACACATCAATGTTCTCATCTTCTTCTTTATACGGATTGACCCCTTTTCAGTTAAAGCTGCCGATTGGGAAACACAACGAACGATGTAATACATAGTCTCTTTCTTATTGAGCTAGGCTGCATGCACGCACGTACGGGAGGAGGGCACGAATGGAATACTCAACTGAAAAAACATCAGAGAGCGAATGTATGCATGTACGTTGATGAAACAGATGCGGTCAAAGAGCAGACAACAGAGAGATAATTCTTTATCTAAAATCACCTGTTTTCATCACCATCAACACTTGACCAGCAAATTCGGATGAGATGATGAGATCTTTCTGAACATTTCCCTTTAACAAAACAAGACTTTTAACGACCCCTTCACGGTGAGTTACATGAGCGGATGATATTGCTGCTTGGATGCTGACAAGTTCGATCCCTCGGTATTGTCAGATATTCAAGCTTACGACAATAAACTATACCCCAACTTTAACAAAACACCTGACCTCTTTCACGGACTAGGAGATTTACGACAAAATGAAACCATTCACCACCTCCATTGGCATTGCTATTCTGCTTCTTCTTGGAACATTCGCTCATGCCGCTCCAATGCCATCACCTGTTCAACGCAGAGCACCGGCAAACGGCGTGGTAGGAAGCTCTGCACAACCTACCCCACAACCAAGAGGATTGGCATCGGATGCGAGTGCGAACGAAGTGTTTGAATTTTACAAACCGGTTGCCAGATTGGCAGAAGGAAGAGATGTCAATGCGAGGGAGGAAGGGCTGAACTATGCTGCCATGGGTGCGAGAGAGGCAATGAAGAGAAAGTTGATGGCAGAGGCGGAATTGAGTCCAAGTCCGGTAGAAAGAAGTGACACGCCGAGTGTTCCTCTATCGCAACTTGGTCCTCCGTCATTCCCTGCTCAATATCCTAGTTGCTATAACTGTCAACAAAAGTACTCTTCTTTAAGCTCGTGCATGGAAGCAGCATCCGTTTTCCAAAATGCAACAAGTATCTTCAATTCACCCTTGAGTTACATTGCGGTAATTAAATGTGCATGTACGGATACGTTTCAAGCCGTTTATCCACAATGCGTTCAATGTTTTCAAATGACGGATCAATGTTATTATTTGGGTACAGATCCAAAAGGAACAGGTGCACCAGAAATAGTGACAAACATTCGACAAATTTGTGCATTCGGAAGTTCTTTACTTGGGGGTGCAGAAAAAGCAAATTATCCTTACAGCAATAACACTTTTACACCTTCCGTCGTACCTGCTTATACGGACGTCACACAAGGTGGAGCAGGATATGAAGACCAAGCGACAGGTGCAATCTTTGGAGGTGCAATGCAAGTTTCTGCACCTGCCGTTTTGCCGTTCCTATTGATGACTTCTTTTGCTTGCTTGGTTGCTCTAGTGTTTATTTGATCTTTGTACATTTTAATTTCCGAAATGATATTTCATGCGTTCGAGAGCAGGTGTTAGTAATGAAAGTGAGAATAAATCAGAAAGAGTGGGGTGTCACGGCTTTCGCATCGGTAGAATGTACGAGTGATGAGTATATCTCTCAGCTGGTTGGGTTGATGTGCTTTTGTCGGCTCTCTATGTAGAGTATGTATATCGTCACCTTGTGTCTTCGAGCTGTAATAGAGATCTCTGTATTCAGAAAATCATTTCCACGGCTTATATTGATAATATTCAGATTGATCAATTTTGTTCTGCTGAAACGTACAATTCAGTTGATATATCCTCATGTGATGCCATGGTCAAGCTTATCGAATCCTCCTTAAAGACTATTAGGATGATCCTTGCTGATGTCCGGCAGAATTGTCTTTCATCTTCATACCAGATACGAATATGCTTGTTGGTTTATCTTCATCTTTTTTATTTCATTTCTTAACATTTAAATTTGTTTTCTTTCTTTCTTTATAGAAAGGATTCTCCCGTTATACCAATCGCATCGGCTTAATACTCGACCAAGACATTCCATTATTGTATGTCAATACTTCTCTTACCCTCACAACGACTTCAATGACAATAATTCAGCCTATAGGACATTCACGGATCTAGGGAGCGATGAGGAGCATACCTTTCACGTGTATAACTCGGCGTGAAAGCGTGTGCGAGCCTATTCCTAATTTATGCGTTTGCTTGGAATGTGGTGCATACGCTTTGACTGTGCGTGTGTGTGTGTGTCCCTTTTAAAAAGAGGCGCGTAAAGTTAACTAAGTGTACAGTGTACTGCATGCAAGATTGAAACAATAAGCAGTAAGACTCCACAACCAACACAAACTGATCACTCTTCTCCTAACAAGACCACATCTGTACCAAGAAGACTCATCGCGATGCAGCCTGAAAAGGCACAGGCTCGATCCAAATATGTCTTTATAACGGCTTCAGCTGTACTCGCTCTAGCTGTTTTATGCGGACGTCACACATTTGCAACAGCATTAGATAGCAATACTGCTCATCAGCAATATCCACACGTAGCAGCCGTTCATCAACAGCGACAACAAGGTCATGTGGTGAATATGCAATCAGATGCAAAACAACAAAACACAAAGAGTACATATCAGCCATCACAGTTCGAAGAGGATGACGATGAAGTAGAATTCCAAAGTTATATACCCTCAAGCGAGAGAAGGACATTGGCAGAGGAATTACGAGCTGCTAGACAAGCGGAAAGAGCTCGTGCTGCCAGAAAACTCAAACAAGAGAAGGCTTCCTCGCAGGCTGAGAAAAAGTCAATGAAAGCAGAAGAAGATCAATCGCATATACCCGACAGCATCCAGAACAAACCGACCACCAAAGCTGCCTCAAAGGGTATCCGAAAGGGTATTAGTGCCGTTCGAAGTGCTGGAAGACAAGTCAAAAGCACCATGCATCATTATCTAGATCATGACGATGAATACGAATATGTCGACGAAGATGGAGAGGTCATTTCTGACGCAGACGGATGGCAGGAAATTGCACCAGCAGCAGCCACAAGGTTACGCAGAAGGAGAAAGGTGAATAATTCAAAATCATTTATTGCTCGTGTAATGGCAATCGTACCGCATATATTCAAATCTGCATATGCAATCGCTCTCTGGATGAGCAGGAACGTGGTCTGGACGCCGATGACATACATTGGAGGTGCTGTGAGCTGGTCAGCGCATACATCATGGCAAACGACAACTTGGGCAGGCGAGAGAGCACTTGTTGGACCGGCAAGAACGGTCACCGCACCATTTGTTTATCTAATCGAAGGGCTTTTGTTCATCTTTGTTTGGATTCCAGCTCGAGCTATCAAAGTCGTCGTTCGGGAATTGTATCCTGTGTATGTATTCTTGGGAGCGGCATTAGCGGTGGGAACGGCAATGGGGATCGCTGCTGCTGTGGTGCTATACGTCGGATCGTTCGTCTTTGGAGATCGATCAAAGCTCGAAAGCTCGTTGTACGAGCGTGGTGAGAGACTACCTCGCGAAATGGAACAGTACGTAGCCGACAGTTATCGCACGGCAGAAAAGAGAAGTAACGGAAGAAAAACAAAGAGAAATGGAAGTATCATCGAAGAAGCAATCCGAGAAAGCCTACAAAGAGAAGAACGCCTAAGGGCGAATGGCCATATTGCATCTCCTGGTGAAGAAGAAGACGAAGGATTGGCGAACGAAAGAGATACTTTTGGATTCGAGCGTGCGTGGAAGCAAGGTGAACAAGTGGAAGATAGCGATGAGGACGATGATTATTTCGGCACAACTGTTGGTTCGAATACATTCAAAGGAAAAGACAAATCACCGCCCGCACAGCAAAATGGCAGAAGAGCCTCCTATCCTATTCCATCGATCGTAACATCGAATGGCAACTCTGCTCCTTCTAATTCTGCATACGCCAAATCAATCCCTGTAGGAGCCACAGGCCATGGCGGATGGGGACAACGAAGCGATTCGAACAGTTCCACTCCGATTGCATCGCCTGTATACACACGATCGAATGTGGCATCTCCCTACGCATATACATCTTCAAGAGCTTCTCCTGTTATCACACCATCTCCGACATCGCGAGTTGGACCAGATGCGATTCGGTCTCATCATAGTCGCCAAAGGAGAAATGTACCAGCTGCATCACCTGTTGCTTGATGTAACCTTAGCTAATTTTCCTACCCATCCTATACCAACCCCATTTGTGATACCCACTTATTCGCCCTTCATTGAATTGCGGACACCTCTTTTGTATACATACTAAACAGAAAAAGAGAGAATCGATCCCTAATGACGATAGTATACATTGTGCGATTTGTGATATCATACAAGACATTGCGATTAAACTTCTGTCTCTCCACCTTGCTGTAATTGTTGAGCAGCTTGTTGAATTCCAACGACTTCCAGCCGTTTCTTTTCGCTACGTTCATTTATTTCCTTAAGTTGTGATTCTGTACGTTTGATTTCGTTTTGAATGAAATCGATTCGTTTATCAACATTTGTCTTTGCTTCTGATTGTTCTTGTTTGAGTAAAACGGGTCCTACCATTTTGTAAACCACATCGTCCAATTTCAATACCGAAAATTCCTGTCAAGATATGGAGCAGGGCTCATGTTAGTACTCTTCGGGAAATGATCGAAGATTATATCTTTTGGCAGCTCACCTTTTTCACCTGTTCATTCTCTGTTAATTGAGAATCAAGTCTTTGTCGTACTTCTACTGTGGACTGTAGTTCATCTTCGATCTTTTGTAACTGCAGAGCAACTGTTTGCATACGTTCTTGTAGATCTTTCTGTGTTGCTGCTGCCATTATGCTTGTATGCCGTACCTGAGATGATGACGATGAAGAGAATGAATGCGTTACCAGAAGAGCTTCAACTTTCTTCTTATCCTACTCACTTCCTTTTCTACGCGTGAATAGCGTGCGCTTTTACAGTCTGAATGCCGCTTAAATTGCAACACACGCACGGACACACACTTTCATCACTCCTTCTTCTTCCCCAACATCATCATCACAACAAACAGGAGCAAAAGATGTCATACTACTTTTGCATCGTAGGAACAAGAGATAATCCAATCTATCAAGCTGATTTGGCGTCCAAACCGGCAGGTTCAAGTGGACCATCTTCGTTCTTTGGTAGCAGTAGTAGCAATACCGCAAATGCCACTTCTTCTGCAAATACACCCAATACGGCAGCAAGTATATCATCACAACAAACACAGATAGATCCTACAACAAGTACCCCTTCGAATGCGATGCAAAATGCTGCAACAAACAGTACTTCTGGTGGAGTGTTTGGATTTGGAAATGCATTAGGTGCGATCACAGGTGGATTAAGTGCAGCCGCACGAGAGGCACGCAATTCAGGGCAAAGTGGATTATCGGCGGGAAGCGGTGGTGGAAATGGTGAAAAAGGTGAAGGAAAAGGATTAGGTTTTGGGCGGTATAACGATAAACATGTTTTACAAATGATCGCTCATAGCTCTTTGGACGTTGTGGAAGACAAGCAATTTTCTAACAACAATGCAATGTATCTCAAAGCTGTCGATCGAATGAACGAATGGACAACTTCGGCTTTCATCGCTCCAGGGAATATCAAATTTCTCATCTTACACGAACATAAACTTGATGACGGAATAAGGAACTTCTTCTTTGACGTTTGGGAATTGTTTGTCAAGGTTATGATGAATCCTTTTCATGATCTAAATCAACCTATTCAATCTGCTTCTTTTGATGCAAAAGTACGAGCAAGCGCACGCAAGCATCTATAACAAGGGAATCATGCGGTTATCTATTGTACAGTACTTTACATCAATTATCGATTCATTTAATTGCACGACCATATCTTTACCGTCCCGTCAGCCGAAGTAGTGATCATCCGACCGCCGTCTTGAGCAGTACATTCTGTCCACAGTACTGCTTTGGAGTGTGCTTTTTCCCAAGAGGGCAGCTGTGCATCTTTGAAATACTCACTTCCCTCTAGCACATCCCACGCTGCTATCTTTCCAGTCTCATCACCAGCAATGATTGTAGAGTCATTTGCCCAGAACGATGATTTGCATCGGTACTGTATGTTCGGGCCACCCTGTACTGTCTGCAAATGCGATCCATCGCCAACGTCTGTAATGATATGTGAAGCTGTTTGAGATTGAGTAGAAGAAGCAAGGACAGAAACCAGCAAAGAAGATCCATTCTTAGTAGGCGTGATAGAAGTGATTGGTCGATCGATTGTATCTTCTTGAAGTTTTCCAGCCCGGATGTCATACTTTCTCACAACGCCATCCACAGAACCTGTCCAAATACAAGATTGATAAGCAGCAGTTGTCAAGATTGTATCTTTTGCATTTTTGCATTCCATTATCGGTTTCCAAGCACCTCTTGCACGTAAATCAAAAAATCGTACAAAGCCATCTTCGCCTGCTGTCAAGACGACATCTTCAGGCGCAGGTTGTGTTTGTTGTGAACTTGCGCCACAATGATTTACAGAATGAATGCTACCTGTATGAGCGGAAAACCTTCTTATGATCGAACCTGTTGCGACATCCCAAACCAATACATTTCGATCTTGACCACCTGAAACAAAGCTGGCGTTATCCTTTGCTATACTTATTCCTAATATCGTACCGGAATGGGCAGAATACGTTTTGATCGGCTTTATGTCTTCTGTGGTTGATGTTGCATTGAATAGATGAATCTGTCTATCCGTTCCACCTGTAAGGAAATATTTACCGGAAGTATTGAATTGTGCAATATGAACCGGTCCTTTGTGAGCTTCTATTGTGGATTGCAATCGAGTTGGCAGAGGCAGAGAAGGCTTTTGTGCTGATCGGGTATCATCTCCCTCCTCTGCCATTACGACTGTTTGAGGCCATTGATTTAATGGATTAAAGAGCAGAGAGAAGACACGCACGCTGTTAAAGCCATGCACTATAAATCGGAAAGAACACCTTGAAGCGTAACGCGCTCAATCAAGTAATGGTCAATTATTTCCGAATTTTAACACAAAAGTAGGAACGCTGCAAGCCAAGCCGATCGATGATCCAGGAACAAGGATTGCAGTTTTTGAAGAAATCAGCCTGCTCCTCGTCATAAGCAAATGAACACAAGCCGAATTAATCCGTGGAAGATGCCGAGAAAGTGAATCATTAAGCTAGAAACATTAACAGGATGCAAAACAAGGGTCACTGTGCAAGGAACGCTTCATTATAAATTCTAATCGGGTTTCTTGGTACCACAAATGAAGATTGCCAAGCAAAATCATCGTAACGATTATCGAATGCCGGTTCAAAAATAGATGATAGATCACCCCACCATGTGATCCAAGTGAAACAATGCCGAATCTGCTGATACTTTGTGGTAATACAATGACGACACTGACGGATGACCAATTCCATCAGATGTGTTTGTTTTATCATTCTTGTCATCACACTAATGCAATTCGCATACCGCAAATAGCAATCCTTTATGGTGTTAGCGTATAATTTTTTGTCATGTTCCTGTTGTTGATTGATGGTGGTAAAGAAGCAGTAACACCTCCTGTGGGCTGAAGGGAAAAGGGGGGAATGCACATTTGACGCTAAGAAAATGAAATCTTTTGAACGCATTCGGGCATTTAAAGTCACGCTAAAAGAGGATGATCATCACGCGTTCATAGTTGCCTTCTGCCTTTCCTTTCGCATGCGGTTTTGAAGGGGTTCCATATACTCACGCTAACGTTAATTCTCCCTTCTTCACTGTCATCTTCATTGCTACGCTGACCCCAAGAAGGATCGAAGGTAGGGTTAGACACTGATGATGTGCTTTCCTTTCTTTGATTGCATAAAAGACATCCATGAAATGAAATGATATCTTCCATCCTTCTGCTCTATTGTGAGTAAATGCCCTTTTTTGGATTGTGCCAAGTTGACTTCCACGGCATCCTATACCCTCTTTTATTGCATTTACGCATTCCGTAATTGATTCGATTCGCCAAGCGGCTTGAATGACTATCTTGTTGAAATGATGTTTGCCGGTTGTAAAGGAGAAGCACAGAAGGGATCCGATCACATCACCGCCCCCTAAATCTCCTGCATACAAAGAGAGCATACACAGACAGACAAACACACAGACAAGGTACAAACCCTGAAGGATCGGCAATTAGAATTTTATAATGGCAAGTTTGATTGCTTTCTCATCCGTTCCCAAAATTGCCATTGTTATCAATTGAAGCCAAATTACATGCAAACATACACACAATTACCAAATTCCATCTAAGATGCAATTGGGCGCAAGAAGCCTCTTTCTATTTTCCACGTTCCTTACCTGCCGACTGAATTGAGGAGAAAGTTGGGGATTCTTTGGTGATCTTTTGCCACTCTCTTGTTCGACTTCCATGCATGTTTCTTTTTTAGAGGTACACACACACACACACACACACACAACAACCATTTTACGTTTCTCTTTTAGGCACATATAAAACAACGGTTTGATTTGAACCTCTATTCTGGTTCATATCTCACCCACACTTTTGATCCCAAACCATCATCTACATTTGTTGATTTGGTCGTATTCGTTCCACAAACACCACCACTCGACAAAACATAAACACAATGAAGATCACCGCCGTCGCATTGACTTTTGCCGCTTTGGCTTCCGCCACTTTGGCCGTCCCAGTTCAAGGTATGTATCAATTCATCATCTGTCATCTGTGCGACATTCCTCATGGTCATCTCATCACCCCTTACTGTGAATGAGAGCGACTTATGATCGTTCAATCGTGGGAAGAGGGTGTTGTATGAAATGAGCAACAGCCATTCAGGGCGTGCGCGAAGAGGCGCGCGCGCTGGTCTACGCGCGTGTGCACTGTTGCTTATATAATACGCACCCTAACCCAAATGTCATGGTGATTTATCGAACATTTTGCTGACTATATTCTTTCCACTACAGTCGAAAGCCGTAGCGAAACAGCACCTTTGAGTGAAGTTCACGAAGAATGGATCAACCCAGCCGCCTTTGCATTCAAGAGAGAAGAGGGTGAAGAAAAGGCAGTGAACCCAAGTAGTTTCGCATTCAAACGGGATGCAGACAAGGAAGATTTCATCAACCCTGCAGCTTTCGCATTCAAACGTGAAGATAAAGCAGAAGAATCTCCATTAGCAGATGCAAAGGAAGAATGGATTAATCCAGAAGCTTTTGCATTCAAACGTGAAGATAAGGCAGAAGAATCACCATTAGCAGATGCAAAGGAAGAATGGATCAACCCAGAAGCTTTCGCATTCAAGCGTAAAGAAGACAGTGAAAGATTTATTAACCCTGCAGCTTTTGCATTCAAACGTGAAGATAAAGTAGAAGAATCTCCATTAGCAGATGCAAAAGAAGAATGGATCAACCCAGAAGCTTTCGCATTCAAGCGTAAAAAAGACAGTGAAAGATTTATTAACCCAGCAGCTTTTGCTTTCAAACGTGAGGAAGACAGCGAACGATTTATAAATCCAGCAGCCTTTGCATTCAAGCGTGACGATGAAGATGCTTTGGCAAACTCAAAAGGAAGATGGATCAATCCCAAGATGTTCGCCTGGAAAAAGCGGGAAGAGTAAATACTCAACACTTCTTTCATCTTCCGCTTTCTTTCTCTTTGTACAAAAGCTTTCTCTCTCTGCTCTTTCTCGCGCTGAATTGTTGTAGCCCTTCCTTTCATTCTCTTGGTCACCATGGATATACGTAAAACATGTATAGGACCCTAAAGTCCCTCTGCTTCTAAAATGGGTTATTATTTGCTGGTCTGATCTCGTATACGGCACGGCAATCTTGGATAAGACATAACAATAAGGTTTCCGATAAAAGCCGTTCGGCGATGATCATGCACGCTCAGACCTAAACGCCTCTTATTATAATTAAACTTTGTTATCCAACAAACTTGACCCTACCCATGATCCGATTCTTAAATGTATATGTAAATGAATAAGCCAAAGAATACCTTATTTTTTTATGATGGTATGCATATTTTCAATTTATCCATAAATGGAAATCTTATTCAAACGCAGGAGTAAAGCCACAATCGTCCCCACAGATAGCAACATGCAGTAAGGGCAACACTTTCGTCTACATACATTAAAGAAAGAGAAGCTTTGAGTATTCTTTGATAGAATCTAATTTATCCGAACTTTTTATTAGAGATTTGCTTTTAACAATTCATAATGCGCAAAAGAAAGTGAAAACCGATTCAACGGCTCAACCTTCTTAGCGTGATCTATTGTGTAAAGAAAGAACGGTACAGGATCAGAATGCCATCATGATCGTTTAGAAAAGCGTATTATTAATTGAGCTAGAATCCATGACCATGTGAAGATGCATATATTTAATGAATTTAGCGTGAATGAGGAAGGATGCATATGATAAAGTCCCATGACTTCTGCCGATGGGCCAGGAGGGGGGCTTAAGGAAAGAAGGAATAAATAAATCGAACTTACCCTGCGAGCGGGACTGTCAAGAAAAAGGAACAAGATCAGGTCATCATTTAAAGACCGCCGAAGTGCCATGCGCCCATTTCCTACGGCTTTATACGGCGATCGAGGCGGCGGCGGCAATGTATTGTTTTAATGCATTATAGCGGGGCAATTGTACACCAGTGGAATTACACTATATGAAAAGACTAAAAGATAAAAGACTAGCGGATATCTAGAAACAAAAGGCAAAAGAACCGAGGCGGCGATACGAAATTAAAATAAGCTAATGAAGCCATGATGAAATTCTAATAAACGGCTTCTTGCTTTGCCCTTTCCCCCCTTGCTGCATTCTTTTTCGTACACGTTTGCTTCCTTTCCACCCGGCTGTAACTGATGTTTCATCAGTTCTACGCTAAATTATTCATGCTCCGCACACACACACACACACACACGTACGGAGTACCTGATGAGAGAAAAGATAATGCATTATAAACATGCGTGCGTTTGTGCGGGTAAGGTTAATGTACCTACAGTTTAATGATAGGCACCCGATCGAACTTGACAAAAAATGGCGCCGAAATTAATAGAAGCACTGTTGTTTTGCCTTTTTGTTTGTTGGATTTACTTTATGTATGTTGTGTTGTAACACATCCATTCAATTCAATTGCGCCCGCCCTGAAGGTGATGTCCCTTACGTTTTCCCAATTGAACAAAAAAGAAAAAGAAAGTTTGGGCGATAGAACGCGCTGAGTTTGAGAAGAGAGGTAGTAGAAGAGGAAGGGATTAAACTTAAAAATGATTATAACGGCGTACCGCGACTAAAAATAAGAAAAAGAGAGAACGGCTGCATAAAATGCGTTGATGCACCACACACTGTATTCACTCCAGGAAGCAGGTGCAACCGTTGAATATATAAAGGCTGCTTCCATTCCATATTTCATATCTCCAATCACCTCATCTCTACTCACTCTCACATCTACCACCACCACAAACACCAAACACACACACACTCTCATACTATCAAAATGAAGTTCTCATTCGCCGTCGTTGTTGTTGCCGTTATGGCCTCATTGGCTGTTGCCGCCCCTGTTAAGGAATGTGAGTAAATGATTAAACAGTGGCCTTATGATTTGGATGACATTGTATACTGATACCCAAAACACACACTCTCTCTCCTTCCATCTCTCTCAGCCGTCGAAGACAAGCGTGCTTTCTGCGGTCAAGGAAACTGCGCTTACAAGCGTGCTTTCTGTGGTCAAGGTAACTGTGCATTCTAAATGCTAAAAGATATCTTTTAAACTCTTTTCAACTTCTCGTTTCAAATTGATCAACTTGGATAATGCATGCAAATTATTATTGCTTTAGCTTTTGATGCCATATTTTTTTTACTACATCTTTTCTCACTCTTTTGTATCATTTTTTTATCATGTTGCTTTATTCTTTTTCCATGATTCAACATGAGAATGAACATCAGCTTTTATAACGGGTCTCTTGTTTGATGATTGTGAGCCAAATGTTAGGTGAACTAGAGTAGGTAGATCCCTCCACTACGAAAAAGATGTAGACATCGTGTTATCACGAATCAATTGAAGAGAAATACAGATGATGATAAGATACTATACACATTGAAACTTGCGAACTCATCGGCCATCTATCAAACGAACGCTGCGAGATGTAGACAAAGTACTCTTTCGTCAGCACGACTCTCAATTTAGTTCCCACATCTTCCCTCTCTTACTCACAGGATTCGTGGTGTTGCCAACAGATTCCTTCCTCCACTTTTCACCTCTCTTGGCCATATATCCACAAGGAAGTAATCTGTATGGAAAGATTAAGGTCAGTAAATATTGATCAAAGACGAGAACACAATCCCACTCACATAGATGCCCGACAGCGATACCCAACAGATCCCCAATAACGTACTTTGGACTACCGGCCAAAACCCAAGAAAAGGCAACCAAAGCCCAAGGCAGATAAGGAGCAGTGATGACCAAGACACCAAACAGGCTAAGACGAACGTGACGATTACGTCTACTCCAAATGTATACCAATACAAAACCGAGTGGACTTCCAAGGAACGGTAGTGTTGCCAAAGGGCTCAAAAGTACCAAAATGGTTGAACTGAAGATTAGTAGCCAAACGAAATCTGCTCGATGACCTGCATAATGGTTCTCTTCAAGCATACGTGCATAACGTGTTGTAAAGAGTAAATTGAACAAGAAATCGATACTAAACGGACCAAAGTATGCTAATGAAGTTGGTATACGCCATATTTGACCTTTTAAAACCAATCGAAACGATAAAAAGAGTTGCAAGGATGATACCAATCCTACATGTTCAGCCAAAGCGAGGGCTAAAGCTGAACCTGCCCATAATCGGGTGATTGGTGGAATGGAATCTAGATCCATCTTTGTTGTTGTGTGATATCAAGGTGTTATCCTCTCATCTTTGGAAGAGAGAGAAGAATGAATGCAACTGACGCATTGGCACTGACGTGGAATTGAACAGGAGAGGCTAATATATGCGTTTAGCACGCCTTCAAGCGGAACACGGCCAAAGACATAAAAACACTCCACCTCTACGCTTCAAGCTTCGGGTCCGGATTGACAATCTTCCCTCTTACCTTCTCACACATACACCTACACATCAAGATGGGCTTGAGTATACAGCCTTGGCTTAACCGCATACAACAGCTCGTTGCAGACAAGCCAGCATTACACATAACGGGAAACAGACGGATAGATGGATGGATCGAACATACATCTGTTGGAGCACAAGACGCTATTCATCAATTACGCAATGCAAATCCACTCAATGTATTTTTGAGCTTGATAGTTGCCTATCTGTTCTTCTCTTTACTCAAGCCACATTCTATTGCCAAACTCACTCCAACGCTTGCACAAGCAAGATCTACGAAAAAGAATCAAAATAATGCTTATTCATTCCTGCCCAATCAACATCCTCCAACATCTATTTGGACAAAGTATACACCAAGAACATTAGCAGTTCACGATGGTAGTGACCTATATGGCAAAAAGAAGAATGTTTCTTCCTCCTCCCAATCATCCGAACAAGGTAGAATCTTGTTGGCCATTCAAGGAAAAGTATTTGATGTAACAAAAGGTGCAAACTTTTACGGTCCAGGAGGACCCTATGGAAATTTTGCCGGAAGGGATGCAAGTCGTGGAATGGCAAAACAATCTTTTGATCTGGAAATGTTGACACCTTTGGATAAACCTATTGATGCTTTAAATGATTTAACTCCGATGGAAGTTAATAATATGCGCGAATGGGTTTCTCATTTCAGTGCGAAATATACAATCGTAGGGGAATTGGTCAATGAAGGGGAAGAGGGAGATGATTGAGATGGGAATCTCGGAATGTTTCTTGTACTTATTTTCTCTCTTCATGATGCTTATCTGTAATTTGACTCCTTTAATCGTTCCGTTGAATTCGTCGTCATCTGAATTTGCCAAAGTGATGTTCCTGGCGCTAAAGTCAGATCCGCGCTCAAGCCACATTTTCGCAAAGAAGTCAAATTTGTCTTCTTCCTTCCTCCTACCATCTGATCCTTATCACTCAAGCTTTCCACCACGCATGGCCGCTACCAATGAGACAGATGATCAAAACCAATTGATTGCTGTCGGAGCGCGTATATCACAAGGACCATGGCGTGGAACGGTTAGATACGTTGGACTTGTTCCGCCTACAGAAGGCATTTGGCTAGGAATCGAATGGGATGATGCCTCTAGAGGAAAACATGATGGCTCGCATAAAGGAGTACGGTATTTTAACTGTCGTCATAACACAAACGCTGGCTCTTTCATTCGACCTTCTTCGTCCAAGTTGAGCTTTGGTTCTTCGTTCTTACAAGCGATCCGATATAAATATGTTACGGAGCCCGAAGTCGAGAATGCAAGCAATACCGCCATTAGTGCTCAACAATACTCCCGTAAGAACCTTGCCGAGATTGAGATCGAGGCACCAAACATGGAGGGCGTTCGAAGGCGCAATGCACAGTTACACAGGCTGAGAGAGGTGGGACTTGGTGGCTGGAAGATGGAAAGAGGTGATGATGCAAGTAGTAAAGGCGACAACACTGCTTCGAGCTCGGAAAGCTTTGCAGAAGTTGCCAGAGCTTTTGATGAGGCACATGGTGAAAAAGAAGGTGATATCGCAAGAACATGTCCCAATCTTCGGTGGCTGGATCTTTCAAGATCTCTTCTACCTTCTTGGCAGGAATTGTCAAACATTACTAAAGATCTTCAGCATCTCGAGACCCTTCTTTTGCATTTCAACCGATTTGAGCCTATCTCACAATCTGAGGTCCACATACAACCACAAGCTTTTACGAACCTCAAAGATTTACGGGCAGATGGGACACTCATCTCATGGCAAGAGATGTGTCAGATTGGACTGCACATGCCCTCACTTGAAAGCATACAAGCTGGAGAGAATGGCTTGAATATGTTTGAATGCGATTTGGCCGATCAGAAAAGCCCTTTTCCGCAATTGAGGCAAATCAATTTGGCAAACAATCAAATCTCGAACTGGCCTGCACTTCTGGCTGCCTTGGAAATTTGTCCAAAGATGGAACGTATCATCTTGTCGGATAACGAGATCACCTCCATACCGCCTGTCCCTCACTTGACAAATGAAGCAAAAGCGAGGAAGCTGCTGCACATCAGCCTGAACAACAATGCTCTGCAGTCCTGGACAGACTTGGAAAATTTAGATGCTTGGTGTTTAGGACTACAAAGTCTTTCAATCACTGCCGAACATTGTCCCTTTTTGGCATCACTTGATCCAAGGGATATTCGACCGTTGGTTGTGGCACGATTGCCGCATCTACAGACGTTAAATCACGCTGCGATCTCACAAACGGAAAGAAGAGATGCCGAACTATACTACTTATCAAGAATGAGCAAGGAGACCGCTGGTATGTCTTCAATACAACGCGATCAACTTCATCCTCGTTTGCGGGCTTTGGAGGAGAAATATGGCAAGCAAGAGGAAGCCAAAAGCGAATCAAACACCAAGGAAAGCAGTCAGAAGTCGACTTTGCGTAGCAAGCTCTTAACGATCAAAATCCACAAATCCACATCTATACCCACTTCCAAACCTCCTCACTTTACTTCATCAGAGTCGACAGAGGGCACCGAAGTAAGCTTATTGACGACGACACCTATTCGATTATTGCAAGGCAAGATTGCCCGTGCTTTAGGCATAAAAGGTGGAGCACGATCCATTGAATCGATTTGGGCTTTGTTGAGTCCAAATATCGATCCTGAACTGTCGACTGCAATACAGATTCGAAGCGAGATGAGGCCCGAAGAGATCGCAGATGATACCAAACAACAAATTCGCAATCTAGACGATGACAGGATCATCTACCCGTTAGAGAATCTGGACTGGGACCTTTCGGCTTACAATATCACCAAAGACGATCAATTAATCATTGTAGTCAATGAAAACTAATCTCAATTGTAAATTATAGCATTGTAATCATAGAAATACAGAAAGATTGATCATAATTAAGATACAGGGGAGGAGGATGGTAAATGTTGGGCATGATCGTTTGCCCGTTCTTGACATTCTTTATGTCCATTCAATTGATCTTCGCTCAAATCCAACGTCCAACCTTTGGCAAGCATGAAGGACCATAAACGTGAAAGCATGGGTGCGTTCGATAAAGTATCTTGATTACCCAAAATGATCAATTTCTTCCTTGCACGTGTTAAGGAGACGTTGATTCTACGAACGTCATGTAATAATTGTCCGACGGATGTAGGTTTTGCTATTGAATCACTTTCGATTGCTTGACTACGTACCAAGCTGACAATCACGATATCTTTATCACGACCTTGTGCTTTGTCGGCCGTCCAAACTTCTACTTTGTTTAATGTTTGAGCGTTCGGATCATTTGTAGGTTGTTGTAGCAGTGCGCTGATCCTTCGAATCTGTTGTCGATAAGGTGTCAAAATTGCAATCTCTTTTGCATCAATACCACCACAAATCAAGCTCAAACACAATTGCCATACCATCTTTGCTTCAAACATATTCTCCACCAAGTCGCCCGTCCTTTGTTCGTATGCTTGTGCATCTTGCGTATTGATAAATAAAGCTTTTGTCTCCGATGACAGACATTTTTCAATCCAACATCCATCATTCCCTGAACATGTGGAATGGAACACAGAATGCATCATCTGAAGTGATTTCTCCAAATGAGGCACGCGAACATGTGAGGATGCCACAGCTTCATTTCCACAACGTAATCGACCTTGATAAGTGAGAGCATTGCTGAGAGACATGATATCATCATTCATACGATATTGATGGCAAAGATGAACGACGGCACTTGGATGGGCACGTTGTAAGCGTTCAAAGAGACTGACATCCAAACCACCTTGACGAGCACGCAAATCACGTACCAGAGGAGGTAATTGATGAGGATCTCCAACCAAAATAAACTTACGAGCATATCGTAAAGGACCAATACAAGCAGGCAATGTGATTTGACTTGCTTCATCGATAATACAATAATCGAATGAGTTTCGTAATGCATAGATTGTATGCCCAATCGAAAGACACGTCGTTGCAATCACATTCGGCTCTAATAATCTTGCTTGTAATTGTTCAACTGTGGAACTCTCTTTGAGCATATTGTTCTGAACGTCAACATGTACACGATCGGTATTGCCTAATCTCAACAGGTTCACGCCATCCACATCGACTAGCTTGCGACAGATCGTGTCCACGGCGCTATGAGTATAACTTGCCAAAAGCACACTCTTACCCTGCTTGGCCAACAAGGTGATCAATTTGGCAATCGTTGTCGTTTTTCCCGTTCCAGGCATTCCAACGACTAAAGCATAATCTTCGGCAGAAAGAACTTTACGTATGGCACCAAGCTGATCAATGTTTAGATCGTTTTCGATCTCTTGCATAGAAGCTTTTGTGGAAAGCATGTCCTGTTCGCCTAAGAATTTTGGCTTTTCCAGGTCGACAATTAATTCTCTCCTTCTTGCATCACCAGCAGGAGGAGCGAAGAACATTTTTGCCAAATTGTATCGAATTCTTGCCATTCCGCTAACTTGTTCTTCACGGTCGATACGAAAGATTGCTTTTTGCGCTTCACCTGCTCGTTTCATGATCGGGTAGAGATTTTTATCCACTCCGACAAGGATATGATTTGGACTGAGTTCTAACAAGAATCCTTGCGCGATAGATAATAAAGAGGGCTCAATGGAAATGCAAATCGCATCTCCTACCGAAAAGTTGCCGCCCAACAATAAAGATTCAGTCGCTCCTTTTGCACGTTTGAAGCCATAAATAATGCATTGGTTCATCCCAGTCAGCTGCTTTGCTCGCTCATATTGAGCCACCGTTGGCATTCTGGTTGACAAGACCATATTTGCATAGCAACGACCTGCTCTCTCACGCGCTGGAGCTGTCATTGTCCACATTTCCCTTCGATGCTTCACCGTATCCGCTTCTTCCAGCGAAAGCAAATTGTCCCAATGTCTGAAAAAGGCAACATGTGTTTCTGTCAAATGAGATGTATGACGATCAAAAAGAGCAGCAAGTGGCCAATCTGATGAGCTGTCATCATCCTTTGATGATGGTTTGGCCTCTGCTTTGCGATACAACATGCATGCATCCGACACGTAACAGCGCGAACATGTCCGATCATCATCAATCGTAGCAGGTAAGTCTGACCGTGTCATTGTATCGATCAAGGATTGAACGGCCTCTTCTTCATTTCCTTGTTTACGAGCCATATAGCTTGCCAGCTCGTTCCGTGCCAATATCAATCCACGTATTTCATTTCTTGCCGTTCGGATAATGTGCAGTTCGGCAGATTTTGAATAATAAAGCAAACCACAATCGATATGACGACGATAACGATCTGACATCATTAATGTGTATAACATAGTCTGCGCTCGATGTCCAATCATATTGATCGAGCGTCCCGTTTTGAGTTCCAATGGCATCATAGAAGTCGTCGTATTTGTACATGGAATCGCTCCTTTGGGTGCATTTTTTCCATCACTTCCTCTTTCGGTAATCTGCACTTCCACACTCACATCGACGAATCCTTTCAAGCCATACATTGGTGACCAGATATCTTCTTCCACATCGTGAATTTCAACAACTCGAACTAAGGGCGAAACTGCTGATCTTCTATCGATAGCTTCTGCAAGTGGATTAGCAACAAAAGCGGAGGGTGTCATAAGATCGAGTTGTCTTGACGTGCCTAAGTAAATCGTTGAGAACGGTCCGAAAGGCAAGGTGGCCTCCCACAGACGATCCATTGCCTTTATCGTATCCATTCCGGCGTGCAATAAATCATCAAGACTTGTGCGAACCTGTGCTGTAATCTGTTGCTTTACAAAACTTTCTGAGAAGTTGGTAGAAGCGGGACCGGTCCATTGTACGGGAAACGTTGAAGGCGTCGCAAACGTATGTTCCTGTAATTCTTCTTCACATTCAGATGGAAGTTGCTTTGCTTCTCCAGTCAGACAGCTTTGTAATACTTCGTGCAACATACGTCCCATCACTAAAGCTTCCGTTGGTTTATCCTCAATGCCAGGACCTGATTGTTTAATCTTTGCTTGTAATAATGGCTTTCGAGCACATGTTACAACAGAAGAGATTGCAGTAGCCGAGAGAAGGATGTCAGGCTGCAAGATGAGCAGATTGTCTGCCTCACTGGTGCCAGCATACGAAGGATTGAATGTCTCCGATGACAGTGTGATGAAAGGATTTGTAGATGACACCGGTGTAAGATCGAGGTCATCCTCGAAATCTCCCTCGAGTGCTATCTCCACCCTCTGAGGGGTCTTGCGTGGTGATTGTGCCGAGTTTGCTGTATTCCAAGTGCCAATGAAATGGACAATATCCCCAGGTAAGACGTGCGTCTGTAGCCATTCATCTCTCAAATAAGCTTTTCGCTTCATGGACTTTGTTTCGCTACAATCATCCCCTTCTTCTCCTTGACGCCCTAATTGTGTCAAATCCAGTACGATCTGATTCCTTCGCATATTCGCATCTACAGTCTCAGGTTTCACACCTTTTGTTGTATGCTTGCCAGGTGTTGCATTTCGATATCGATCGGGTATATAAGTGGATCTGTTGACATAATCAACACGGCAACGGACGTATCTACCTGGCGATCCTTTGTGCTCAGAAAGTGGATGTGCAATCTGGACTGCGTTCTCCCTGGCTCTGCTTTGTAGAGGTTCCTTCTTCGGAGAAAGCTCAAAATCATCCCAATCATCGAGATGTAGCGATAAAAGTTCATTTGCGGCTTGTTGATCCTCTACCGAGATTTTTGTCTGCATTTCTGCGAGAGGCTTTCTTGGACCGTTGGGTGTCGTATTTGCTTTAGTGGGCGTCTTTATACTTTGACCACTACTGCTGCCTTGTGATCCCAGTCGAATTTGCTTTTTCTCTGGTGACAATTTTGTCGGAGACGATAGCACTCTCTTGCTTCTAGAAGGGCTTGATCCGAACACATCCCAATCGTCACCTGATAACAGCAACAATTCATTCGCCGCTTTATGATCTTCTTCTAACACTTTCTCTTGACTTTTAGTGAGACTCTGTCTTTTCTTAACCATGAATGGGCTCAAAGCTTGACCTGTGCTACCTTGTGACCCTATCCGAGGTTGTTTCTTCTTTGGTGATAATTTAGTGGGAGATGAAGAGACTCTCTTATTTGCCAGAGGACTTGAAGTGAATACCAACTCTTTTGCTTTCTTATCAAACGGGGATCCTTGTGATGATGGTTTGACCCCTCTTGATTGCTTTTGGGATGTTGTCTTTGGCGTTGGTGAAGGACTTGCAAAGAATGTCTCATCCAAGCCGTCCAAAAGGGATTGCATGAAATCCCCTTCGCCTTCCTTGCTGGCCATACTTGCTGAAAGATATTTTGACTCTATAAACACATTGCGAGATGATGAAAGAGATAAAAAAGGTTGATTGATAGCTGAGCAGTATTCAATCACCCATCATTCCAAAAAGTGTTGGTCTTTCGCGTTCTAATCTACGCGTAAAATACCGCGTTAACGCATCTCCACACGTGGAAGGGAAGGAGGTGAGGGAGATCAAGTGAAGTCGTTGATGCACGCTAAGAAGCACAAGTTGCAAGATCACCTTGCTCAATTACCCCATCATCCAACACAACATGACCGATTCGTCTTTATTGGATGAAAAGTATGATTTCGCATTATTAGGAACATCTTTGCCTTTGTCAATCTTATCTGCTGCTTTGGCAAGGGCAGGATTCTCGGTTTTGCATATCGATGATGCTGAACATTATGGAGGACCTTGGGCAAGTTTAACGTTGAAAGAGCTGGCAGGATTGAGAGATGCACACAAAGGAACAAGGATAGAAGATGGTATTGTGGATATTGATATCAGCTTCCCGTCAAATTCAGAAGAAATCCCTGCAGAACTAGAAGCAGTCAATCGACACTTTGCAATCTCATTAGCACCAACACTATTACCTTGTTCTGGACCAACGATTGATGTTTTAATTCGTTCAAAGGTGGCAAGTTATTGTACTTTCAGGCTACTACAACAGACCGCCGTTTATTCCAACGAAGGACGTGCAAAAGATGCATGGCCTTTACGTACCGTTCCAAGCAGCAAAGAGGATATCTTTAAAGACAAAACCCTAAGCTTAGTGGATAAACGCAGGCTGATGAAATTGTTACAACAAGCTGCACCTAAAGCACCTACAGAAGAAAGCACAAGTGAAGAGACTGCAGAATCTAGCAATACAGCAAGTACATCTACCATCGACCAACTCAAAGGCAGCTTTTACGATCATCTTACCTCTTCGGACGGACCAGGATTCTCGGCTCGATTGGCAAGTGATGTGGCATATGGTGTGGCACTTTGCGCTTCTCCTAACGAATCAGCTTCAGCAGCCATGCATCGAATTCAGAGGCACATCGTCAGCGTTGGACGGTATGGTAACTCGGCTTATTTGGTAGGACAATATGGAGGTGCAGGTGAGATGGCACAATGCTTCAGTCGTGCTTCTGCTGTTCAAGGAGGAACTTTTGTCTTGGCTCATAAGATTAAACAGCTGGTACGCATTCAAGGTAAAACGGAAGAGCAACCGAAAGAAGGTATTTTGCCGCGATGGAATATTGCTTTGGACGGTATTGATGGCTCATGTCAGGCTGGGTGCGTAATAGGAGATACAGATATGTTACACAGGGTCAACCCAGCTGCCTCTTCAAGCAAACCTGGAGGAACCTCTAGGCAAGCAATGGGTATCCTTTTGCTGGATAGAGGAATGCGAATCAATCCTTCTCCAACTACAACAGACGCAGAAGGAAATGCGATCCCAATTCCACCTCCTCCAGAAACTGCATTAGTTGTATTTCCACCTTTGGATGATGGGAGTGATTCGGGTAAGATTGGATCTGTTTGGGCACTACAAATGGGAGAAGGAACATTTTCGTGTCCAAAAGGAACGTATTTGGTTTATCTTTGTGCTGCTTTACCGCAAAGTGAAAATGATCTTCAGACTGCTGAACAGGCAAAATTCGCTTTGGCACATGCACGACAAGGTGTTCTGCAATTGGCTGCTGCAAGCCAACCTGAATGGCCTGCCGATCAAGCACAGCAGCATCAGCAATCAACTTCGGATTCCGTCACTCCTCTATTTGAATGTTACATGGTTCGAGAAAGTGCCACTTCAACCGGGGGAGAAGAAGGTCAAAGGCGAACAGACGAACGAAAGAAGGAATTGGAAGAGAATGCACTTTTACCCGTCAAATCTTCGTTGGGAAACCTTGCAACTTCACTAGATGATGCGACACAGCAAGCAGAAGAATTGTATTGGTTATTGTGTGGTCAAGAAGGCATTGGAAGGGAAAAAGCAGAAGAGTTGCGTAGGCGTCAGAGAAGGGCTGCGAGCGCATATGCCGTCGGAAGAGGATTAGGTGGTCTACCAGAATCGGAAGGTTCACAATCAGAACCGACAGAAGTCCTTGATTTCTTCCCAGTTTCCGAAGATACAGACGAAAGCTGAGATTAATCGCATCATTTGTACTTTTATAACATCATCATTGGGTAATATCGATCAGATTGATAAAGAAAATCTTTGTTTGTATAAAAAACGTACATGATTCAAATCGGATATGTGAAGATGCCTTGCGGGACATCTCGCAGTAGTATATAAGTCACAGAACGGGGCAGAATCGCAAAAGAGAGTGTATAACGGTCAGTGTTGGACGAGAACAAAGTAAGTGGCGCTTATGCCTTTGGCTTGCGGCAGATGAACAACATCATTGGTGTGAACAATTTGGTCTTTCCACCTGCGACCAAGTTGACAGCAGCGACCTTGAGGGATTCTCCGACATCGTATGTTCCCTTAGGAGCCAAACGAGCACTTTCCAAAACGCGAACGGCAGTTTGAGTGGTCAAAGTACCCAACCAAGTCATACGCCAGCAAGTGAACAAATCCCAAAGTGATTGACATTTTCTCAAATCTCCCTCCAATGGATAGTACCATGGGACAGCATCTCCACGATCGGCAAGATCTTCTTCTTGTAAGATCTCGAAACCAACTGTCTTGAGAGCGTTTCTTGCTTGTGCAATTGTGCGCATTTCTGGGATACCGTCACCCAATTCAATTCCATGGGCGATCTTCTTGTGTTCTGGGTTCTTTGAGTCCCAAGCATCTGTCATGCACCATTCGTACACACCAAAGATACCACCTGGCTTCAAGACGGACAAGATTTCTCCGTAAACACCTTCCCAAGTAGGAGCATGGCAAGTTGCTTCGATTGCGTAAACGGCATCAAATGCATTTTCACCAAATTGTTCTTTCAATTTCATAAAGTCACCCTTTACGAAAGAAACTTGATCTTCTAATCCTGCTTTTTTGGTGTATTTGTTTGCACGTTCGACTTGGTATGCGTTGTTGTTCAAACCAACGATTTCCACATCAGCAAATCGTGCAATCTCACGAGCAGGTCCACCAACACCACATCCTACGTCCAAAACACGCATCTTACGCTTCAATCCCATTGAGTGGGCCAAGTAATGCTCATGACGGGCAATTGCTTGGTAAAATTGTTCTCCGGGATAATAACGAGCAAAGTGGAAGTTAGCACCCCATCCGTATTCGTACAATTGAGTTGCACCATCGTAGTAACCGTTTACCACACTGGTGTATTCTGACAATCGGTTATCGGTATCGGTTTGACTGTCAGTCTTGGAATCCTTTTGCCAGAATTTGGTGTAGTTGGAGATACCGTCCAAGTTACGGACGTTAGCGTTTGTGGTTGCTGAAGGTGCCATTTTGAAAAAGACTGTGATGTGTGAAAGAGATAATTAATGTCAGCAAGCTGTCTTGTGACTTGTTTGACCGATTTGCCAATTGTGTCTCTTCTCGCCAACTCAGGGACTTGAATGGGTGATTGAAGCTCGCATTGCGGCATACATTGAAACACCCACAATAAACAACCTTCTAGAAGTTACTCCAGAAAGCTGTTCACTGCGAATGTTGATGTGATGCTGCTAACGAGCAATCTATTTTTTCATCTTTGCATGGCGATTGTATACTTCTTGGCTTTAGAATACTCACAAGTAAGGATAAGATTGGTACAAGTCTGATGAGGAGGAGAAGGAAGAAAGAAGAAGTTGTAAGGTTTACTATGACATTTAACGGACCCGTACGACAATGAGCCAAATTGCAGAGAGAGAGAGAGAGAGAGAAGATGCAGTAAATCGTTTTATTCTAGTGTCAATATTCTACCGAGTGCAAATATTCACTGGAAAAGTGCCTTATCCCAAAATACTTAAACCTTCTTATGCATATAAATTTTAAACGAATGCGTGCGTGAGCCTATTTTCACAGCCTCTCCCCCCCAAACACGTGTTTTTCTGGTTGGAAGATTGCTCTGAATCCTTTCAATTCCACGGACATTGTATGAATAAGAGCGGAGTGATTTTATAAGCTCGAGCATGAAGTGACAGAAGAAGAATGAATGTACCTTAGCCAAACAACAAGTATGTATCACTGCAGAAACAAGAATACAACATACTCTACTGATGACAAAGGCAGAACAAGAAGTTCCCCTTAGCTGCTGCCCCTTTGAAGTCACCTTTCCTATCGCGTATTAAGTTGGACGCGTTTGTGTGAGTGCGCATTCAGTCCAGTTGAGTAGAGTTGGACCGCGTTTTGACTAACAATTGACATTCTGGTGCACTGTCCCTAGCCTATCGCGCACAGAACACCCCATCCACCAATCATTGATTGATTTGTTTGACATCCATCCATCATATCATCTCGATTGCATTTCTAGAAAGATGGTCAATCCTCTATTGCTGCGATCCGTTACCCGTTCGTTGGGTAACCTGACTGTTGCTTCTGCACGGTCTTATACAACATCCTCTTCAAGAACAATCTTATCTCGTTCAACAACATCCGTCCAACACTTTTCTCAAAGTCGTAGAAGCTTTATCGCTGATGCATCTAATCAAACATCAACAGATCCTGAACCGAAAAAGAAAGCAACTACTACAAAAGCTAAATCAACTACAACAAAGACAAAGACAAAGAAGGAAAAGAAACCCGCGGTCAAGAAACCAAAAAAGGTAAAAAAGACACCTGTAAAGAAATTGAAAGCATGGGAGAAAATAGGACCGGATGGAAAACTTGTTCCATTACCTTCAGCATCTAAGCCAAAAAGATTGTCGGCATTCATTCTCTTTGTCAGCAAGCGTCTTCCAGAATTACGCTCAGATCCTTCCCTTTCAACGACGGGCAAGGATGGAGAGCAAAAGTTTGAAGCAGCCAAAGCTATGAAACGCATTGCAGAAGAATATAGAGCATTCACTGAAGAACAAAAAGCTGAAATCAATGAGCAAACAGCAGCCGAAGGCGAAAGATATCAACGTGATCTTGAACGTTGGCGTAATGCTTTGACACCTGAAGATATTAAACGTGAAAACGCATATATTAGCTCTCAACGAAAGAAAGGCAAATCAGGGGTACCTGCAAGATTGAGAGATCCTACAAAACCAAAAGCACCAAAAACGCCTTTCTTCCAATTCTTCAGTGATTTCAGATCCAAATCATCCGATCTTGTAAACTTGTCAGTTCCTGAAGCTGCCAAGAGGGCCGGTGCTGCATGGAAAAATTTGACTACAGAAGAGAAGGAACCTTATTACAAAATTCATGCAGAAGAAAGAGAGAAGTACAGTGCTACATTGAAGGAATGGGAAAGCAAAACTGGATCAGACTAAAAGGGGCAAAGTGATGTACCGCCTGTTCTAAATGGCGAATGACGTTTGTCAACCGATGTACTTTTCGTTTATATAATCGCTGCGGAAACGTTCTGATACTTCAGAAGAGGGCAAAGCGATCGTATCTCTCACCACTTTCATATCGAATTTTCCACATATCCCATGTACTAGTCGGCATCGTATTCTGTGTACGAACATGCGTAGACTGTCATCCTGCTTTTTTGCAATCTTGTATTAACTTATCAGGGCCATTGAATCAAAATGAACTCAACACGGACAGACAGTGATCGTATGATGGTCTGATGCAGGCGAGATGATTGATTCATGAGAGTGTAGCATACATGAGCGTGTTTAACAGAGAGGAAGAAGAAGCTTGTGAGGGTGCAGATGAAAAATACTGAATGAAGAAAGAAGATTTGAAAAAGTCAGTCCAACTGTTCTTCCTTGCAATACAACGAAATGATTGTTTGATTCAGAATAAATTAGGCAATATGTTGTTTATCCCCAATTGCATCATAAATGAATACGATGCAGACGGTTCAGGTCTGTGAAAACTTTGTTTCATCTTTACATAGCCGCTTTGAGATCCGATCGAGCAAAGTCCAAAGTGATGGAAGAGCACGAATTGCTTGTTGAGCAAGCTAGATCTCAAAGCGAACTTGTGTGGCTTATTGTGTTGATCAAATACTCACGTTTGCAAAATGATGATGACGGTTTAGCAAAAAGAAACATTGAAAACTCATTCCAGCCAAAAAGAAAAAAGTGAAAAATTATCCACTCTCAGCTTAAGGCGTGAGGAGTGCATGTACGCGTTGGGCTTTCATTTAGCCTTGGCCAGTCGACAAAATGCACTTAGTCTAAGGACAGACCGGCATAGGAGACCTCAGCCCGCGTGAGACAACGCCGCACGGCCTTATGAGCCAATTGCAGGAAGAAGTTGCTGCTGATATTACTTTGATTCCCGTTTCGACATCCTGATCACCATCTAACAAGATCCCCTAATATCCAGTACTAACAAAAAGGATGTCTACCTATTTCGAGACCGTAAAGAAGGTGAGTATAAGATACCAATCAGACTTTCAACCAAGCAAGTAAAGCTAACCTATCCCCCTATTCTCTTACCCCGCATTCATTTCAGTCGTACGCAGACGTACCCGTAACCGAAAAGGGAGTCGATACATCCTCGTTCCTAGAAGCAACAGAAGGTTTGATCAAGCTGTTTGATCTACTAGGAAATTCAGCATTTGTGATTGTGCAAAATGATATGAAAGGAAATGTGAAAAAGATTCAAGATAGATTTTTATCAAACCCAGTTCAAAATGAAACTTTGGAAGAATTGGTAAAAGGAGAAGGTGCACCTGGAGATAAAAAACGAACGGCAACAGAAGGTTTAATGTGGTTATTACGTGGTTTGGATTTCACTGCAAAAGCATTAAGAAGAAGTGTGAATGATAAAAACGAAGAATTAGCAACTTCATTCTCAAAAGCATACGAAGGAAGTTTGAGACAATATCATAACTTCGTCGTCAAAGGAGCTTTCGCACTCGCAATGAAAGCTTGTCCTTATCGTCAAGACTTTTTTGCTAAACTTGGCTCTCCTCCCGAAAAGGTCGATGTTGAATTGCATAAATGGTTAGACGCACTCGAAAAGATTGTCAAACAATTACAAGACTTTTACACTTCAGGTAATTACGCAAAGGGTTTCTAGAAGTGTGTCATTTCGTGCACATTCACTTTCCACCTCTGCATGTATGATCCTGTCTAAACATTCCTTTTCGCAATTTATATCTTTCGCGATTTCGCAGCACTTGCATCTAGTATTGGGAAGAGGTGTGATTGCTAATTATACAGTGTGGTGATGACCAATTATTCAGCTTGTTCAGGGCTCAAACCAGAAGAGGGATCATTGGCGGATCTGGCGGAACTCTGTTCGTTCAAAGTTGCGGCTGAAGAAGCGACTGTGCTTGTTCCACCTGGTGCTGGATTTCCAGCTGTTGTTGCCGGAGCATTTCCACGGAATCTGAGAGGAAGGGAGAGTAATTCAGTACGCAGACTATGAGACTAATTGCCTGCTTATACTCACCTTTTCCGCATATCTAGCTGTGATAGGATGAATGCAAAGTTATGTGTCAGCCATGTGTTAGATGTCCATCTCTCTTTTCTACCGCGCCTTGTCACTCACCAACCCTCTACGGCAATGAACATAGCTCTTGTATACTGCTTGACAATCTTCCGGTAGTTCGTCCATATGATTCCTTAGACAATCTTGACCTGATTTACCGCTTTGAACGCATTCGCTTTGGCTTAAACAAGCTGCTAATTCATCCCTAATCGCTCTGCACTGAAAGAAAATAGTGGTAAAGAAGGTGTGTAAGTTGAAGACTCTAGAGAAAGCAATTACACTCCTTCCATCTACTTACAGAGTTCATCTTGTTCGATACTGTATTCTCGAGGTGGCGGTAAGAATAGTCGAGATGGTCTTCCCGGTCTTTTTTCTTCTTTTAGCCTTACATGCATTCAAGCGCGAATATAAAGGTCAAGCCAAGCCAAGCAGTCATCCTACGCTTAAAGCGCTAATTGTCGGAAAAGGCCTCCACCGGAGAGTAAAGCCGAAGAGGATTGAAATGAAAGCAGCCATTCCCCGCATTAAGCGCACGCCTTCAATGAATGCTGTATCTTCTTCCTCTCTCTTGACCACATCATAATCCCGTCATCATGTCAAAACACTCATCAAACACACCAGCTTGGACACGATTAATTCGATTCATCGCCGTTGAAGATGGTCTGACATATTCAGGCGAGCCTATCCTCGCACAAACAGCAGATGTTGGTCAAGCATTTGCAGCTGGCTCTCCTCCTTTGCAAGCGCGTATCCTGGCAAGAGATGATCCATTAGATACATCTTTACGTTTACGATCAACAGTAAAAACTGTCAAAAAGCTTTTATCACCACTTGATCCAAAAACTCAATTAGGTGAAATTCGTTGTTTAGGTGCAAATTTCGTTCAACCAGGGCAAGATGCAAAAGAAGCAAAAAGTGTAGAAAAGAGACCGAAATTGCCAATCGTATTTTACAAACCTGCAGCTTGTGTTGTAGGATACGGTGATGATATTCGCTTACCCATCGAAGCTGCTGGTCAGACAGATTGGGAGGTAGAATTGGTGAGTTTCCAGAGATCCTTTCTTGACACAGAGTATGTCGTGCTAACAAACATTTCCTCATACAGGTCGTCGTGATCGGCAAAACGTGCAGAAATGTGAAACGTGAAAACGCATTGGACTACGTCTTGGGATATACATTGTCCAACGATGTGAGCGCAAGAACTCGAATGTTCTCCGTACCGCAGTGGGGATTAGGTAAATCGTTCGATACCTTTTTGCCATTAGGTCCTTGCATCGTCAGTTGTGCCTCTCAGTTGGTCCACGACCCTGATTCAGTGCAACTCAAAACTCATGTCAATGGAAAGAAGATGCAAGATGGAAACACGCGGGAAATGCTTTTTGGCGTTTGTGAAACGATCGAATGGCTATCGCAGGGAACAACGTTGGAAGCTGGTTCAATCATCTCAATGGGAACTCCACCAGGTGAAGGTTTCAAAATGAAACCACCAATCTTTTTCAAGCATGGCGATCTTTGTACCGTCTCTGCTTCTCACGGTTTGGGCTCTTTGACCAACCCAGTCGTAGAAGAAAGCAAGTTGTCCAGTACTGGTGGTGAAAAGTCACGTTTGTAGACAAGATTATGAAATATATTTTCTCTATGTTGATATGCGATAATAGTACAAAAATGAAAAAAAGAAGGTGACACATAATACACGATAGAAAAAGAAGAATCTGAGCATGACTATACACTTTCATACTCTCGATCAGACGAACAAACGCATGATCGGGTTCCCTCGTGTGAAATCTCGAACACATATTCGATTTGTTTCACCACAAGAGACCACTCGTGTAGCATCCATGTGAACATCAAAAACGCGATGACGAGTGGGTCGTGTCGTTGAAGTTGTTGCGAGAGGGAAATCCATTTTTTCGCCCACCAAATTACCACCTTCGATATGAGAAGATGTTGGTAAAAGATGTCTTCGAAGATCGAACAATTTTACATGACCGTCATATCCTGCCGAAATGAGAATCTTGCGAACGTCATCAAATGCAATCGCTCTAACCAAATCCGTATGTGCATCACAGCGAACCAAACATTCTCCCGTTTTAGCATCCCAAACACGTACAGTATGATCACTACTACCACTGATCACCGTATGACCAATAATATCGACACATGCCAAACCTTTGGTATGACCATCAAATGTTCGAATCAGCTCGCCAGTCAACAAATTCCACATTTGAATACTTCCTTCTCCACTCGCCGTGACAGCATGCAAGACACCATCCAAAGATGAAATACCGCCTGCGTTGACAGGACCTCCGTGTCGTCTATAGACATGAACGGTCTTGTAATCATCATGACGGTCGTACACTCGACAAGTAGCATCCTTGCTGCAAGTCATAACATAATGATCAAAGATATTAACATCCAATACGCCGGCAGTATGTTCTGTTAATACTTTGATGATCGTAGGTTCCTTCCCTTGATCGATCTTGGTCAAATCCCAAATGAAAACATTTGAATCCGAACTGCCAGTCAAAAGCACCTCTTCGTCAAAGTCCATGCAAAGTACGCTGCCTTCATGACCTGTAAGAGTGCAAAGACACATCCCACTATCACCATCCCAAATTTTGATGGTTCGGTCCCTGCTACCACTATAAATCCGTCCTCGCGAGCCAAAACCCAATGATGACTTTTTGTCGTATAAAGGGTAATCGTGGTTTGAACGTCCTTTTAACATTGATGAATGAAATCTGAACGGTTTTGAATCTATGCGCACACAATAGACACTATCAGTGTGTCCCTCCAGAAAGGCGACATCAGGTTTGAAGGTTGGTGTTCCTCTTCTTGCTCGAATGAATTCACTTTCTCGAACAGAGTGAAGAATTTGCGTGAAAGAAGGGTGCGAGCGGTATTCATCTTGTACGCCATCTAAATTGCCATGAACGGAGATCTCATGTAAGAGACTCAATGCTTTAGCCTCGTCCAACTGGATTGGTCGAATATCCTCTTGATGCAAGTCCCAATGTCGATTGAGAAGATGTCTGGCCCAAAATAAAATTTTGTAATCGACAGAACCACAGATTCTATCAATTGTGATATTCATCGAAAAAGGACTGTTTCCTCGAAATTCGATCGTCTGCTCAAGATCCGGTACTTTCGCTCTCGTATTTTTCTCGGTTGAGGTGAGCAAAGAACGTAATTTGCTATACTGGGTACCCGAAGGAATGGAAACCTTTTCATCGCGAGAATCGCTAGAAGACGCTGTAGTTGATTGCGGAATAGACGCACAGAATCTCTTCAATTGGCTCCAAAGCGCTTCTACATTTTCCACAGTCTTCCATCCCAGACATTCACGTTGCTTGAATCCATGAGCCCATAAAGATCGTTCAAGAGCGAAAAGGTTCCAAGTCTTTGAAACTCGAGAAGCAGAAGTCAAATCACGAACATCATCAAAGAAAGTGAAAATGTACATAGAGATTTCTGGAGGCAAGTTGGCAATCAAATCGATTCTTTTTTCTGCCGTAGTCAGATTCGACGTATGCTTCACAACATCGGACCGTTTCGGAGGAGGCGTGCTTGCTCTAGGAATACTGTCCAGTAGACTTGATGATGTAGAAACTTGAGAGTCTGCAGAAGTACCGGAAGAGTCGGGAGAAAGGGAGCCACTCTTTGGTTCTCTGTACATAGTACGACGACCTGCGCGAGCTTGATAAGGCCTTTGCTGCACGATAGCCATAGCCATTGAGAGCAACTCTTCCGAATCGGATGCATCAGAGCAGGTGTCAAGGAGGGCTGTCGAATCTTCAAGATCTGTTGTTGTTGAATCGCTCATTTTTACTGAATCCATTGAGATGAAGGTAGATCAGAACTCTGTCTCCAAAAGGCAGACCAGGTTTTTAAGGTGGCGTTTACCTTGTTTGCATCTTGAACTTGTCAAAGTTTGAATATAATGTTATTGTTGTATTTGTTAATGTGTGATGTGTCACAACGATGTCGGCTTAGGACCATAGGTCTTGTTATTTGCCTTGATAGATAGAAAGCAACAGACGTAGCCTTTGATTTGTGACAAATAAAGTTTGACTTTGGGTGTTTATTATCATGCAGAGTAACACACTCTTGGGCCGCTCGTCCGCCTGAGAACGCGTTGATGTATTCTATGATTGTGTTGAGTATTCCTTAGCCTGCTTCTGCTTATTTTTTGGAAATTAAAAAAAAAGTTACGCTTGCATGCAGGTTTCCTGCGAAGTTTTTTTTGCGAAGCTTTGGCAGCTTTTTACATCTTGATTGCCATCACGATAGGAAATTTGGTAAAAATGGATCCAAGTATCCTCTTTGGTGCTCACGAAGCATTAAAGGATGAAATCCAGACTAACGGTTCATCTTCAAATGTCTCTCGATCATCTACACCTGATGGAACATCTTCTCGTACCAAAGCTGAAAAGAGAAAAGAGCGAAAAGCACGAAAGAAAGCCGAAGCATTGGCAACATCCACAAATGAAGATTTAAGCGATAAAAAGAGATCACACGATGACACCGATGCATCAAATGGGAAACCAAATGAAGTAGCAGACAGTTCCAGCCCATCACCTTCAGCCAAATCAGAAACACCACGAAAACGTATAAAAGCTGATGCAAAGGGCATGGATGCTGAACCTCCTATCTTAACGGACGAATTCACAGCTGAAGCTACAAGAAGTATACCCGCAACAGGATCAGACGCTCAAAACGCTACTTCTGGACAGGAAAATGTCGATTCTGCCATCCAAGCAGAAGCATCTGGATCTGAGATTGGACAATCGAAAACTACAGTTCCAGCCAATGGTGTCAATGGTGCTCAAGTAGGCTCGATGCAAATCACACACTCTGTCAGACATCAAGTCGCTCTGCCGCCAAATTATCCCTATGTTCCCTTATCGTCACATGTTCCGCTAGAGAAACCAGCGAAAGAATACCCATTCACTTTGGATCCTTTCCAAAGAGCGGCAATCTCATCAATCGAAAGAGGAGAAAGTGTGCTGGTCTCTGCACATACTTCTGCAGGTAAGACAGTAGTAGCCGAATATGCTATCGCTCAATGCTTGAAGAACGGTCAACGAGTTGTATATACGAGTCCGATCAAAGCTCTTTCAAATCAAAAATTCAGAGAATTACAAAAAGAATTCAAGGATGTGGGTCTGATGACTGGTGATGTCACAATCAATGCTGAAGCAAGTTGTCTGGTCATGACGACGGAGATTTTACGTTCAATGCTGTACAGAGGTAGCGAGATTATGAGAGAAGTGGCCTGGGTCGTCTTTGATGAAATTCACTACATGCGTGATAGTGAAAGAGGTGTGGTTTGGGAAGAAACAATCATTCTCTTGCCACGCAAAGTGCGTTACGTATTCTTGTCGGCCACAATTCCAAATGCTATGCAATTCGCACGATGGATTGCTCAAATTCACGTTCAGCCTTGTCATGTTGTCTATACGGACTTCCGACCTACTCCTTTACAGCACTATTTATTCCCTACTGGCGGAGACGGTATCCATCTTGTGGTAGACGAGAAAGGAACATTCAGAGAAGACAATTTCCAAAAAGCCATGGGAGCACTCAGCGATGGTCGTGGTGAAGATCCTGCAGCAGCAGATAGCGGCAGAGGTAAACAGAAGGGACAAACAAAGAAAGGAGGTCAAAAAGGACCTTCTGATATCTATAAGATTATCAAGATGATTATGGTCAAGAACTACAACCCTGTTATCGTTTTCGCTTTCTCCAAGAAAGAATGTGAATCTTTGGCTTTGCAGATGAGTAAGTTGGAATTCAATACCAAGGAAGAGAAGGAAATGGTTTCACTCGTGTTCAACAATGCTATTGGTGCATTGCACGAGGAAGACAGATCATTACCGCAAATTGAGCATATCCTTCCACTTTTGCAACGCGGAATTGGAATCCATCATGGCGGTCTTTTGCCCATCCTCAAAGAAATTATCGAACTTTTATTCCAAGAAGGTCTAATCAAGGTGCTTTTTGCTACAGAAACCTTCTCGATTGGTTTGAATATGCCTGCAAAGACTGTTGTTTTCACAGCTGTTCGAAAGTGGGACGGAAAGGAGTTCAGAAACTTGTCAAGCGGTGAATTCATCCAAATGTCAGGAAGAGCAGGTCGTAGAGGATTGGACGACAGAGGTATTGTGATTATGATGTTCGACGAAAAGCTGGAACCTGCATCGGCAAAGACTATGGTGAAAGGTGAAGCAGATCGATTGAACAGTGCTTTCCATTTAGGATACAACATGGTGCTCAACCTCATGCGTGTTGAAGGAATCTCTCCCGAGTTTATGCTAGAGCGTTGTTTCTTTCAATACCAAAGTGCAGCTTCTGTGCCCGAATTGGAAAATGAATTACGTGAAGCAAAAGATGCAGCAGATGCCATCGTTGTTCCTCAAGAAGAAGAGACGAATGAATATTTCGATTTGCACAAACAGCTTGACGAACTCAATAGAAATTTCAGAGACATTACAACGCATCCGGATTATTCTTTGACATTCTTGCAACCTGGCAGACTCGTCAAGATCAAATATGAAGATATCGATTTCGGATGGTGCTGTGTGGTTAATTATCAAAAGAAACATTCTGCTGCAAAGGGTAAACCTGCAGCTCCACAAGAGTCAGAGCATAGCCAATATATCGTCGAATGCCTTATGCATGTAGCAAGAGGCGGTTCTGTGCCAACGATGAGAGATGTCGTTCGCGGTTCGAGCACATTGGCATCTTCTGGTTTGCATCCTGTTGACCCTGATCAAGATGGCGAAATGGTTGTTGTACCAGTATTACTGTCAACCGTTCAAATGATTTCTGGTCTTCGATTGAAGCTGCCAAAAGAATTGCGATCCCGCGATGCACGACAACAGGTGAAGCACCGATTACGTGAGCTATTCAATCGTTTCCCATCGAAAGGAAAAGACGCCAAGGGTATTCCCTTGCTCGACCCGGTCAAGGATATGAAAATCACTGATGATGACTTTAAGTCTTTATTGGGTAAGATTGCAATTCTAGAGGAAAGGCTATCGCAAACGGCATTGTATGGATCAAAGGATCTGCCTGCCTTATACGAAGCATACAAGTCCAAAGAAGATGCAAACGAAAAGGTCAACTCATTGAAGAAGCGTCTTGATGAAGCACATTCCGTGATGCAGTTGGACGAGTTGAAATGCCGTAAACGTGTTTTGCGTCGTTTAGGATTCACTACGAACGATGACATCGTAGAAAAGAAAGGTCGGGTAGCTTGTGAGATCAGTACGGGTGATGAACTTTTATTGACAGAAATGATCTTTAACGGTGTCTTTAACGAGTTGACTCCCGAACAATGTGCTGCCTTGTTGAGCTGCTTCGTCTTCAACGAAAAGTCTGAACAACAGATACGACTAAAGGAAGATTTGGCAGGACCATTACGAATCATGCAAGATTCTGCTCGAAGGATTGCCAAAGTATCAATCGAATCACGTTTACCGGTGAATGAAGAAGAATACGTTGCGGGATTCCGTGTTGAATTGATGGACGCAGTAATGCAATGGTGTAAAGGTGCCAAGTTTTCGGAAATTTGTAAATTGACCGATATTTTTGAAGGTTCAATCATTCGTGCATTCAGGCGATTGGCTGAATTAATTCGACAAATGGAACAAGCAGCAAATGCGATAGGAAATACCGAATTAAAAGAAAAGTTTGAAGCTGCTCGTAGTAAACTTGAACGTGAAAAGAGTATCATTTTCTCACCATCATTGTATCTTTAATCAGACACTATTACCATTTTGTACATTTGCGTTGTATTATCATTACCCTCAAATATAATATACATCCAAGCATTTTTCTTGTCGTGTTGCCACTTTATAGCTCTATCTGTCTCTGCTCAACAGCAAATGGCACTTGGTAATTCTCTGCCATTGGACTCAGATGATCCATATCCGTATAGTCTTCATCATATGGTTCGATGTGTAATGTTCTCTTCCATTCAATCACTTGTAATCGGCCTTGGATTGCCCACCAAAACAGTAATGCGACAAAGATGAGTAAGATCAATCTTGCACGAAAAGAAGGAATATTGTCAGGATTCAATCTTGAATGTCTTGATATTGTTTCAGCATATCTTCTTGCCAATTCTTCCGCTTCGGAACCTTGAGCAATGATTGTTTCTCCCGTCAATGGGTTGTTGGTTGCGGTCTTGTTTTGAGAGAAAGGCTCTCCAGATTGAAGTTTTTCTTGATTAGCTTCGAATGCCTCGGTAATCTTTTCATTGGAAGAGGAAGTCCTTACCGATGATGGCGTTGAATCGTTTCTATTTTTCGATGTCATGATGATTCATGTATTTCTGCCATTATTGCTTATGAAGCATGTTGCGGAGTTGTACATGTCATCAAGTGATCGTAATCAAAAGGCAAAAGACAAAAGGCATCTTAGCAGTTCTGTTCCTGATTTTGTTCTTTTGTGCTGTATTAGAGTGCGCTACTGCATGTATTAGGGGGGCGGATGTGTTGGTCTTCAACGCGGTAAAGCGCGTTAGAGTTAATGAAATAATTAACACATCACTTTTGTTTTTTATTCCACCTACTCCTCCATCAAATGGACGGATGGAAAAAATGTCAAGGCCACTGAAAGTATTAATAATAGGTGATGGAGATGCAGGGAAGACTTCTTTACGTTCACGCTATTTGACCGATCAATTCAAACCTGCTTATCGTGCAACAATCGGAGCGGATTTTGTATCAAAAACGATTGAAGTTTCAGTTCCCGTTCCACGCGAAAGTAGAAGGAGGAGAAGGTTAAGCACAGCATCTTCATCATGTCACTCTTCCTGTGAGGGAGACGAGAATGATGATCGAACCGAACAGCAGGCGGAAGCTGGCTCATCTTCACAACCAATGAACGGAAAGGACAGAGCAAACAAGCAGAGACGACCTCCACTACAACACTCAAATACATCCGGACTTGCGGCTGCCACTGCTGCAAGACATCGAGAAAAGGTAAAGGTAACACTTTCAATATGGGATACAGCAGGACAAGAACGATTCAGAAGTTTAGGAACGGCTTTTTATCGAGGTGCTGATGCTGTGATTATCGCATTCGATATTACCAACAAAGGTGCTTTGGCGCGTACTTTATCATGGTATCGAGACTTTTGTTCAATGGGTGATTTGAGTGATGAATCGGACTTTGGGTTAACTCCAAAACAAAGACGTAAAGCAAGGGAGCAAAGGGAACGATTTTGCTGGGTTGCAGTCGGATGTAAGGGGGATCTTTTGAGTGACTTGAAACAAGGGCAACGTTCAAAGAGAGAAGATGATTGGATCGGCACATCATGGCAAGCAGCAAGAAGTTGGTTTGATGGCCTGCAGCCCAGATATCTACCTCCAACTCAATCCGAAGATAATGCGTTTGCCCAATTTGATCCAGCCATACAAGCTGCACAATTACCCCAGCCGTATGCAATCGATGACGAAGTCCCTGCTAATCCGGAGGATGTGTTGAGTAGACCGAGTCCTAAAAAGCATTCAATCGATATTAAACCACACATCCCATCCGACACTGCCGCTGATGCTCGACACCCGCAAGCTGGAACACCGCCAGGCGATGCTCAAGCACCGGGAAAGAATGCAAAATTGGTTGAGCAGCCTTCACCGCTTAAACGTGGAAATCAGAAAAGGGTACATCCTATTGAACTTTGGCAAGAAGGACTACCAATACCAAAAGCGAATGAAGGTAATGGCAAATCAGCTGATAGCACATTACGAAGTGGAACCTATGAAAGGTCAAGGTACGATAGTGCAACTTCGCAAAGCGGAAATAGTATATACTATTCCGTGCGGGGAAGTACGATGATGAGTCAAAGTCCTGCTACGCCTTCTTCAAGTAGTCCAACAGCAAATGGACGTGGAAATGGTGTGGCTAGATCGAGCAGGCCAAACCCTACCTCTGACTCCCACGATGCAAGTTTAAGAAGTGGTCAAAGTCTCGAGAATGAATCTTTGAGAGCACGAAAGAAAAGCAATTTGTCTGAGGTGCTATCCGATGACACAGATAAACAAAGTGTTTCACAATCTCATCAACCGGTCAAACCTTCTCTGATCTCAGTCGATAGTGAGCAGAGTAGCAGTGCTCGCACAGAAAGAGCAGCCCCGACGCAAGAGAATAACAAGAAAGAATCTTCTGAAAAAGTAGAACTTGAGGCTTCCATTGCAGCAGTCTCTACTGTCCCAAGTGGTGATCCAATTCCTTTTCCGACAGACAATGATGAAGAGAAAGAAGAACAATTGGAAGGAATAAGAGCAAGAAGAAGGAAAAGACTTAGCAAAATGTCGCAAAAGAGACAATCGATCGCAAGTCTATCCGCTGTTGAAGCAGATGAAACTGCAATAATCGCAGATAGGACTAAAGAACAACGATTGGAAGAACAGGAAGAGATTCGAGAGATAGAAGATGACGAAAGAGAACATACGAAACGATCATTAAAGATACCAAAAGAGGAAATGGATAAGAGAATGACGCTGTATTCCGCCAGACCTTCCTCCACAACTTCCACCATTCGACCGGCGGATGCAGATGTGTCACGAGATGTGGATGCAACTGATACTTACGACGCCGATCAATCAAATCCACAACACAATGTTGTAAACCAAAATGACACGCTCGCAGTACTAGACGATGAGAATCGAGACAGTGATGTCGAATCGGATCTATACGAAGATCATCTCGAACAAGGGTTCCGTCTATTTTATACCAGTGCAAAAAATGGAACTTCGATCGATGACGTTTTCCAACATATTGCCTATCGAGTTGCTCTTAAATGGACCTATGAGGAATGGGAAGAAGCTCAAAGACGTCAAGCTTGGGGATACGGACCGGAAGGTGAAGTTCGCACGGCGCCTCCCACCAATGAGGAAATCGAAAGAGAAAGGGTCAGAAGGGCAATCAGGATCAGTCAGGGAAAAGGAACAGGTGGTTGTTGTTCATAAGTTAAAAATGCTAACTCGCTAGTATACCCATTCTTGTTAAGGAATTATAATTTCGTGGAATATACCAAAAGTGAAAATCACATCCCAATCCTACACTTTCATGAATCTATTCGTTTGTGAATTGGGCCTGAAATTGCATGGGAGAGGAACAGTCAGTATATTTCTTCCATTTTATCCTCATTGCTGCTCATACACTCACCTTTCTCTTTTCGGCAAATGCTGCCATACCTTCCTTTTGATCCTTGGTAGCGAACAAGGCTTGGAACATACGACGTTCAAATCGCAATCCTTCTGCGAGATTGAGTTCGAAAGATGCATTGACTGCCTCTTTTCCAGCTTGAACGGCGATCGAACCTTTTGATGCAATCTTTTCAGCAACCTTTACTGCTTCTGCTACTACATCACCTTCCACTACTCTGCTCACCAAACCGCGTGAAGCAGCTTCAGCAGCGGTCAAACCACGTCCGGTCAAAACCAATTCCATTGCCAATGATTTACCCAAAGCTTTCGTTAATCTTTGTGTACCTCCGGCTCCCGGGATTACGCCCAAATTGATTTCCGGTTGACCGAAATTTGCCGATGGAGCAGCCAAGATGATATCGCACATCATTGCCAATTCTGCTCCACCTCCCAAAGCATGACCGCTGACGGCAGCAATGATCGGCTTTCTGATTGTTGTAAGTTTTGTCCAATGTCCTAAAAAGTTATTTTTGTATGCTGATTGAAATGTCTTATCACGCATTTCTTTAATATCTGCTCCTGCAGCGAATGCTTTTTCACTTCCTGTTAAAACGATTGCGCCAATTGCTTCATCTTCATCTGCCTTTTCTGCAGCATCGTTCAATTCGTGGAATAAAGCAGAATTTAGAGCGTTCAAAGCTTTTGGTCTATTAAGTGTGATTTGTGTGACGTTTGGCTTTGGTTGAGAAACAAGAATGTGTTCGTACGATAAACGTGGAGTTGTGGATAAATGACGATATCCAAAAGATGCGATTTGTGGGTTTGATCGACAGACCGAACTGCCGAGCACGTTTCTGCTTATTGGCGTACGTAAAAGGTTGAACATGATTGTGCTTTTTTTAATCTGATGATCGAAGATGGTAGGAGTAAATAAAGTCACTCCATCATCTTCTTCCTATTCACAATGGTCAATTCTCCGCATACTCCGCACACGCACACACCGGAAGATTGAGCGAAACACTGCTTATACGCCTTTTAATGTGGAACCGGTCGGGGAGGTACGCGGTGCAGCTATTGGGCGTAAGTGTGTTGTGTGTGTGCTTTAAACGGGGGTTGAAAGGTGAATGGATAGGAAGGCGTAGGGACCGCATATTCACGTGTAAACGCAGTGCTGAACCACCCCACCTTTTTTGTTCATGATGAGGAAACAAAGGAAGAAAAGAGCGGTTTCGATAACAAAAGGAGGATGGTAGAGGAAGATAAAACGGGGAAAGCTTACTATACAGGTTCATTTGAAGCAAGAAATCATGCATTGCGGAATTTAATTTTGAACCGCATTGAATAGCCGAATGGAATTGTGCCAAAATATGAAATGCATGAATTGTCTTGACGTAAGTAGGTCCGAAATTAGGCGCCACTAGAATTCGGTGACATATCACACGGCTGAAATCATATACACCGCCAAATTGAATCAATGCTCAGTCAGTTAACGAATCAACAATATAAAGTCTGTTTTCTCTCTTCATTTCCCACCATCTCCTTAACTTGTATGTGTACAAGATAAGCACTTTACACTTTTTTGATTCTGAAGATGACTGTGGATCATTGGTCATCTTTACCCGGCAAACTTGGCGATCTTCTTGTCGCTCGGATTCTTGAATCTCAGCCAGAATCTGCCCACGCTCTTCTTTCTACTTGCAAAACGTTGAGAGATTCAACTTGCAAGTCATTGTACCAAGGTATGCCATGAATTATTCTAGCAAATCCTGAAGAATTTCCTAGAGCTGATTGACTATTCTTCTATGCATACAGAGATCTATGTTATCGACAATGAAGAAGCATTCGATAATCCATCAAGGGGTACAAGACTGGCCACCGTATTCGCAAATGTCAAGAGGTGAGAATGCTTTACGCAGAATCTATGCCGACTTAACACATTCAGTCTAATGATTCCACTTCTCTCTCAACTAGCTACGCCAAATTTGTCCGCATCATCACAATTGTACCGCAACCAATCTTACACAACTCTTTGACGCCTAGTACAGACTCCAGCGAAGACGATTCGAAAAAAGATGATTTCTTGACGCCAAGACAGTTGGGTAAGATTTTGGCTACTTTTTCCAATCTGGAAGCTATCATTTGGGCTTCAGATCGAGTTCCTCCCCCTCAATTCTGTGAACTTGTGAGCATTTTGTGTCCCCGTGTGGATGCATTATACGTCAGACCCGCATTTTCAACAGTTACTCTTGGTCCGGAGCATAGATGGTCTGCAGAAGGAATTTCAAAATTAAGCAATTTGAAAACACTTGCAATCTCTCACGTCTCTGCTGAAGGAATTCGAAGGATCACAAACCTGCTTCCAACTGCTGAGAGACTTACCAACTTGACCATCGACAGTCAATTCGCCGATGACCAGCTCCTACGGGCAATGGGAGAGATGAAAGTGCTTTCTAGCCTCGTGCTTCGCTGCAGTGGAACAAAGGTGACGGATAAAGGTATCATCTCGATTTTGGAAAACAGCATCACTTTGGAATCTCTTGAACTAAACGAGCTCGAAGGTCGACTGAGCAAGAATCTTTGGTACAATATCAATATGCTTCCCGACACATTGCAACACTTCAAAATGTCGTATTTTGAAGAAGGCCCACACCATAGCTGGGTAACGGATCATTTAGATGGAATCTTTCAGATTTTTTCACTTTCACAAACTCCTCTCAAGACATTTTCGATCACCACAATCTTGCCGGAATGCTTTTACCTACAAGTCCCACAGAGCGAGACAGGCGCTCAAAATCTCAACCCGAAAACATTCCAGCTCAGAAGATCTTATCAGAATGTGTGTGATGACAAAATAGCCGCTCGAAAGTTGCCAGAAGATGCTTTGAAAAAGATTTTACTATATGGAGAGGAATTGGAAGTTCTAGAACTGGACATGTACGAGATCTGCACGGAAGATGTGCGAAAGTTGATGGACAGATGCAAACAATTGCGACACTTGCGCATCTTGCTCAATTCGCCACTGTCAAAACTTGTAAGTGGAAGGTAAGCCATTCGAAGGCAACGCAAATTTCTGACCTTTCTCATTACCTCATACCACAGTTTGGGTTATCTTCTAGTTTCGTGCAAATGACAAAGTTGGAAAAGCTCTCAGTCAGTTTGACTGAAGCACACTGCCCTTTGCCCGGCATTATACAAATTCAGCAAGAAGGCAAAGGCAAACTTCATGTTCGAACAAATTCTGACGAGACTGAATCGGTCAAAAGCCCAAAACTTGCTGTTGCATCACCAGTGGTTACGCACTCCTCTTTGACGACATGTCCGAACGATCGAGTTGGTTCGGATGAAGGGGTAAGTGCAGGTAGAAGGCCGTCTATAGCACAGCCTCCCTGCGTTCCAAAAGGTCTCTTAATTATTAATGCTGAAGGTGGCATTCCAGGTGATAAACTGGGCTGTAAGAATGACTGGATTTCCAACACAAATGTGACGGATGCATGCATTCCCCCTAAACGAGAAATCCGAAAACTCGCAAGACGCTGTCCAAGTTTACGAACGATTAATTGGTATGGTCGATTGGGCAAAGGTGAATGGAGCATCATCCCTGCTGCTACAACATTACAAACGGGAGTTATCTTTACACCCATCTATCTCATTGAGGATCGTGATCGCGATAAGTGTACAAGCTTGACTTCAGGCGCTGATGTGGAGAGATTCATTGTCTCACGTAGGATTGCCAATCTTCCAATCACTGGCAACGCTGGCGTGGAACGTGCTGATAGACAAGATGCGAATGATGACGTGGACAAAAAGTTGGCATCATTACCGCCGGCATTACTGGATGACGTGGAGTTCCCCAGGATCGAGACAGGAATGCCTCGCGGTGCGCCTTCATCACCTATCAGTTTACACGCATACTCTTCTCGTGACACCAGCACAACCTTGGTGAACTCGCCAACATTGAGCAACAAAAGTCCAAAGATACCGATACGTTATGCAGTAGGATTGCCATCGTCTCATGCCTATTCTAATATGACTCCCATGTGGGAGAAAGAAGAAGCTCGCAAGCATCCCGATCAACGTTCTTATGCTGAAGCAACAAATAAGAACAAGGAGATCACAAGTCCAAAAAGAGAATCGTTCTCAACAACCAGAGCACGTTCTTCCAGCCAAGTGGTTTCAAGTTGGAATCTTCAATCGACATTCGGCAAGGAAGGTTCGCCAGTTCAAGAAGCTCGAAGAGCAAGCATCGTTACGACAAACGTTTTACCAGAGCATACGAAAGACAAGAGTGGAAATGCAGTGAAGCGTGGCAGCACCTTACCCAAGAAGCCAGTGTTCACACCCGTCAGGAGAGCTAGTCAGCCTTCCGGTTAGATTCATTTCATTAAGCATTATCATTCTCTCAAATTTTCTTTGTATAATTCTCCGCATATCAAGCAGCATTTGTACATTCTCAGCAAATATGTCCCCATCATAGCAATCTCTCCCTCTTCACTCTCAAGCATGTGATCTAATAATTCATTTCTCGTTTCATTGTACAATTAACTGAGTCGACTGACAAGATAGCTCATTAAACCTTCTTGTTCTTCAGAGCAAGCGCATAAAAGCAATTGAAGCAAATTATCAAAGACGTCATGACGATCTTTGCGTAATTGTTGCAAGCTGTCAGAATCCAATTTCCATAAGCAACAATCCATTTCTGCATAAGCAGTCGTGTTCCTACTGGCTTTTGATAAGAATGTTAATTCTCCTGCAATCGTTCCGGCTAACATTGCTTCATTAATTTCATAATCTTCTTGTGGGAAATCATAACGTGCTTTCAAGATTCCTGATTCGATCAAATACAATCCATCAGAAGGATCTCCCCGTTGCCATAGTACTTCACCTTTTAACAGACGATGTTCGCGGAAGTAGGGTGCAAGAGTTCGATAGAAACCATCATCATGTTGTTCACGAGCCCAAGCTTGGAAGGTGATCATAAGCAACGTGAACGGTTGTGCGGCTGGAGGAAGACCAGACCCGTGAGTCGGTCTTGAGCCTGAATGAGAAAGGCGCCTTTTTTCTGGACTAGTACTCTTTCCAGATACTGCATTTGATTGTGACCGTCTTCTGTTCGTTGAATCATTGGAACTTTCTAAGCTTGTACTGTTCGAAGGAGATCCTGCCAATTTGGCAATCAGATGTGGATTAGACGATTTAGACGCTGCTTCATGTGCTGCTTCGAATAAGTGTTGCCTTCTTGGACTGTTCTCTGAGGTTTCATTCAAGTTGAATGCTGGCGCTCGCTTACTTTGAGATGGAACATCTAATGCCGCTCTTGCGCTTTGAACCAAAGGTTTTGCAGCTGAGGCTCCTGCCATGTACAGACTTCGAAGGTATTCGTTCTCCGTCCATTCCAAAGCTTCGTTAAGATTTTGGAAAACCTCTAATCTCATTGCTGAATCTGTCCAAAGGTCGACACTTCTCAACGCAATTCCCACATCGCTCTCAGGTGTGACACCGCAAAAGGTCAAAACGACATCTTTTGCTTGCAACAATCTCTGAATTCGAGTGAACGCTTCTGCTGCGGAAAAGTCCACTCCGTATACCAAGGAGAAATCCACGATCAAGAATCTGATAGGATGTTCTTGCCAAGTAGCAATGTCTAATCCTTTCCTGATGAGTTCCTCAACACCGGATATATTTGCAAAATAGAGGAAACCTTGTAGTTTGACGATCTGTGTTTGTTGCCCGGCTTGATCCAGAAATTGCCTCTGTGTTGTATGGCGACGAACGGTACTTCTTGCGATGCTGCCGTCTAGGACAGCTCTTACCGTCCTTCTTCGGGATGTTTGAATGACAAAGAATAGACATGCAACAATTACACCTGCCAAAATTCCTACAACGAAATCGTAATACGTCATAACAAAGATAATGACCCAAATCGTAAAGTATTCCCATGAATTCACCCTTCCAATGGTATCCCAAACAGCTTCTTTTGTCAAATCGATTCCAAGCACGAAGATTAAAGCACCAACGACCATAATCGGAAGATATCCAATCGCACCTGGACCGGAAAGGAAGATGATAAATGTGCCTGCTGCTAACATCAACCCGCTCAATCTACTTCCACCTCCAACACGGTAAAAGAGAACGCTGTTAACATAACACAAGTAATTTGGCACACTTCCAGCCAAGCCAGCGGCAATATTTGAAATACCATGTGCGAATAATTCTCTATCGGTATCCAAATTGTCTTCATTGACGGAAACGGCTAATGCTGGAACGTTGAGAGGAACGTGCAAGATGGAAAAGAATGTCAAAGCCAATTGAGTTGGCATCGTTGCCCATAATGCTTCCCAGCTTGTCTTGCGGAAATCGAAGTAGGTATAGAATCGCCAAAAGGGAGCTTCAGCCGCTTTTCCAACGTCAAAGACCCAATCATCTTTGCGTAAGTCTTCAAGCGGAACACGAAGAATGCCACTGGCAATGATATAGAACAAAACGGGAATAACGATGAAATATCCTGGGAACACCAGTGGATGATGAAACTTGGCGGTGATTAGACGTAAAAGAATTGCCAATAGTAGCGGAGGAACCCAATGGGCTACCATTCCCCACGATTGAACAAAGAATCGGAAAGTCTCTAGATTCCATTGGAAACCTTCTTCTGACTTTAGTTGACCCGCTACCTCTAATCCCGTCTCGATGAGGAATACACCCACACCTCCAATGCAACCAACCAGAATGTGACGGGGAAAGAATCCGATCAGAACACCAAGTCTGAAATATCCCAAAGCCAAAAAGACTACCCCAGCAAAGATGGAGGATAGCGCAAAAGCAATCATTGTCGTAGAGATCACTGCGGCTGGTTCAGTTTCTCCCAAAGTATCGATGATAATCTTGACCAAAATATGATAGAATGGAACAACTTCAATCATCATACTACCATTTCCTCCTTTGAAAATTGAGCCACCGAGGGTATAGATTAGTTGACTGATCACACAAGTGACAAAGAACATTGAAACTCCATCACCGCCAAAATCGGAAAACATCGGGTACGAGGTAGGAAAGATGATCAAACCATATGAGACTCCATCCAAAACATTTAATAGAATGCCCAAGAATACGGCCGGTAAAAGTCTTACTGGCTCAGCGCTGGCGGAAATGACATCTTTCCAGGTTAGTTTGCCAATACCCGAGACTCCTTCTTTAATGTAGCCAGGCAGAGAAGGTGGTGGCCTGTTTTTCGGTCGCCAGAAGGATGGTACAAAAGCCCATGCTACCGACAAAGGAGCATCCAGTTCATCTTCTCCTTCATCGTCGTAGTAATAATTTGATTCTGCAAACGAGACATGATGATCACGGCCACCTGCGTTTGTTGGTTGTCCTCTTGGAGCATTTGACGCTTGTGCAAGTGCTCCATAGCCATACGTTGAAGAATTATTCTTGGCAGCGCCTTGGCCTCCGCTACGATTAGAGAATACGCTGAAGCCTGATTGACCTTCACCTTCTGTGATAGATGGCGGAGCAGGTGACTTACTTCGAGATTGCGATTTTGATCGGTTCGATTCATTTCCATCTGTAGAAATTTGCTGTGATCTGCCTCTTTTGCTTCGTATTTGCGAGGAAATGAGGGGAGTTGCTTCTGTGACTTCGTCTCCGCCCTTGTGAACGGGAGTTTGCTCACCTATTTCCACCTTATCAGTAGGTGATCGAGCTGTTGGTGTGGTCGAATCATCATTATTTGCAGCTTGAAGTGCACGGGATAGATTGCTCGGTCCTTTGCTTTGAAGAGAGGCGGAGAAAGGAGAGGAACTGTTTAGGGTTGCATCAATAGCATCAGACTTGCCTCTTATTGTCAAAGGTGGGGATGCTTCTTCATCAGATGCTTCTTCTATAGCATCATCCAACCTTCCACCAGCTGAATCGGAATCTTCATCTGACCTAAGCGCCATTCCTGCCAGGAACGCAGTGCTGTCACGAATAGTATTTGAAGTAGCCGTATAAGGTGAAACGAGGGGAGCATGATTCACGTCTGATGGTTGAAATCGATAACTTCTACCTTGAAGAGCTACGTCTGAATTATTGGTCGTATTGGATTGACGTTCAACATCATGAAATAGTTGAGCATAAGAGGATGAATGATTTTCCCGCGAAGATCCATCGGGATGATAGGAAATTGCACGCGGATTAACTCCTGATCCTATATTTCGGTTACGAGCTTGTGATCGATTTGGATGTTGAAAATGTGATGCATCTCCTGTTGTAAGTGAACGTGGAAACATTTTACCTGGTGCAGGAGAATTATAAGAGCTATTATTACCATCTGTTGATTCGCTATCTCTACCTGAACTTTGAACAGATGGCCTTCTTTGAAGTCCAGGACTTGTTCCGCCGAATGAAGTTGAAGGCATATTTGCGCGAATCGCATTCCTTGGCCTTGGTGATTGTGCTCTTTGTATTTGAATCGATTGACGAACATCTCCGTCCCCTTGAGAGCGAGACATGATGATGAAGTTGTCAATCGATCAATACAATGTTGGGGTATAGGGTATTTAGCATGCTCGTATCAATAAGAAGGAAGCCTTTCTTCTGAAAAGGGGTCAGCTGGCCGGCCCTCTCTATCTATTGTTCGTTATTCGCTGATAAGGGCTGTAAAGACGCTAAGGTATAAATGCATCTTTTATTATCAAACATAAGCACGCGTTTACTCTTAAACTTTACGCCTTAAGAAGAAGTTCGGGTACATGCACACTTGAAGAAGTTCATAGCTCACTCTCAAAGCACCTTTTGATAAGACTTTGGTTAAGCATCCTTCCGATTTATTGCTATGTCGCAAGATGGTGATAATGTCAACACTTCTTCAAGATCGGTCAAGCTAAACAGTGTAAGCAAACCTTCTCAAAACCTATTACAAATATGGATCCAAAAGCATGCTGACTTATTGGCAAACGAACGAAAGGTGGAGCAAGATGAAGCTCGATTGTTGTTATCCAATTGCCCACCCAAACAACTCGAAAGGCATGGTCTAGCAATCCTTGGTTTAGGTGTATTGTCAATCTCTGTTGGTCTAGGAGGGAAAACGTTGATAGAATTGGAAAGACCGATAGCCTTTCATTCTTCCTCCACTTTCCCTCCTCATCAATTACGACCAGGAGATATTGTTCAGATTGAGGATAATAGCATAGACCCAACTCAACAAGGAGGCAAAAGTGCGAAAGGCAAGTCAACAAAATCCAAGACAAACGATGGAGATGCTAATCATACAGCCGATCAGGGCTTGGGTGGTGTAATTTTTCGTGTTACAGATACAAAGATTATCGTTGCAGCTTCAAGTAAAGGGTTAGATCCTAGCGACCTACCTGCACGCATTAAGGTAGTCAAAGTGGCCAATGATTCCACATTTGATCGAATGGAGTGGACTTTGACACGCTTAGCAAAGATATTGAATATTTCTGTCAAAACGGCCAAAAGAAGTTTCGATGCAGAATCGAGTGATGATGAGGAAGCAGCAGATCAAGACTCTGTCGTCATACCTTCAACTGCGACCAACAGCGGTCAATCTTCCACTTTGGTCCCAACTTTGGTGGGTCAGACAGCACCAACATGGAGAAACTGGCCAGAAGAGGAGGAGCTTCGGCTGTTCAACGAGAATCTGAATGCTTCGCAAATTGAAGCTATCAAATTTGCACTCACAGCAAACGATTTTGCGCTGATTCATGGGCCTCCAGGAACGGGAAAAACAACCGCAGTTGCTGAGATGGTATTGCAATTAGCCATTGTACATCAAAAGCGAGTTTTGGTATGTGGTGCATCGAATCTTGCAGCAGACAATCTTTTAGAACGAATTGTCTCTAAAGGAGGAGATGTTTTGAAAAGAAGTCATATCGGTATCACACGTATCGGTCATCCTGCTAGAGTGTTACAATCATTGATGACAGCAACACTCGATTATCAATCTCAACATTCTTCAGAAGGTGGATTGGTAAAAGATGTTCGTAAAGAATTAGAATCAGCTCTTTCATCTATGCGACCAAAAGATACCGCTGCAGGCAACAAATCTACTTCCTACCGTGGACAGGCATCATCCAAGTCTCAGAAATTGCGAGGATCTGAACGTAAAGAGAAGCGAGAAGAAATCAAGCTATTGCGAAAAGAATTCCGTAAACGTGAACGAGGTCTTCTTCGAGCGGTTTTACAGCGTGCTTCGATTGTGGTTTCTACTTGTCATGGTGCGGGTGCAAAACAGTTGGACGGGATAGATTTTGATGTGGTTGTGATTGATGAAGCATGTCAAGCAACAGAAGCTACTTGTTGGACTCCGATCTTGAAAGCGAAACAGGATGGTCAATTGATCTTGGCAGGTGATCATCTGCAGTTGCCTCCGACAGTGAAAGGATATCGACATTCTCAATTCAAAAAGCATAGCGGGAACCCAAAAAGGAACAGTGAGGGAAAGGAAAAAGAAGAGAAATCTGCAGAAGATTCGAAGAGTGGCGATGACGACGCGGGAAGCGGATCAGGTGCAGAAGAGGAAGAGCAATATTCGTCGAAACAAGTCATCAAGAGGACAAGATTACGACCTCCGCAATCTTTAGAGACGACACTGTTCAGTCGTTTGTTAGGCATGTATGGTCAAGGGTGCAAGGTTCTGCTTGATACGCAATACAGAATGAATGAAGAAATTATGAATTTTCCTAATTCGGCCTTATACGAAAACAAGATTAAAGCACATGAAAGCTGTGCAAAGATTCGATTGGCCGATGTAGAGGGTTACGATATCGGTAACTCGGAAGAAGAAGAGACAGATAATGCTCCAATCGTTTTCTATGATACTGCCGGATGTGAGATGTATGAATCTCGACAAAGTGAAGAAGATGCGGGCAGTGGTGGAAAAGCAAGCATCTTTCAGTTTGACTCTCGTGCCAATTTACACGAGGTCGAGTTAGTAGCTCAACATGTTGAATTGCTCATAAAGAATGGCCTTGCACCGGAAAAGATTAGCATTTTATCACCATACAATCTACAAGTAAGCGCATTAGCGGATCGGTTGCGTGGCAGTAAAACGTCAAAAGATAGCAAAGATGCGATTCGAACGGCAATGGAGAAGGTTGCGATCGGAAGTGTTGATTCGATGCAAGGAATGGAAAATGAAGTTGTGATCATTTCATTGGTTCGATCAAACGAACAAAGGAATGTTGGTTTCTTGGCAGAAAAGCGTCGATTGAATGTTGCGATGACACGTGCAAAAAGACAATTGTGTATCGTTGGGGATTCCGATACGATTGCAGGGGCTGGTGATGAATACTTGAAGCAATGGATGGCTTTCTTGGAGGAAAATGCAATGATTGAACCTGTAATTGTATGAATGTGTACTTTAATGCAATTACCTTTGCCCATTACGCGGCGCCCTCTTCCCTTTTTCCAGCCGGAGATTGACATCGTGGCCTGAGCGAGAGAGAGAGAGCGAGAAAAGAAAAGAAAAGAGAGAGAGACACGGAAATGCAATCTTTGTTCACATCCACAAACCCATTGAAACAAAATTGTAACCATGACACAACTGCAAGACTCTGATTTAAGAGCCCGTTCTCAACTTGATGATTGGTTTGACGATGGAGATGTTGAATCGGAAGATGATGGGCCAGGAGCACATAACTCTACCACCATCCGGCCTTTGTCTCCCACCCCAATCCGAGTGGAAATTCCAGCTCGCTTTCAGCCACTCCTGCTTGCAATTTATCAAGCAACTCCTCCAACATTCAGTGATGCGAAATGGGACCATGTTAAGGAAAAGTTGCGAGAAAATGGACGCTTTGCACTATTGAACTGCATTGATGAGGAAGCTTATCTGAAGGAAGCAAAAAGAGAGAATATGCCGGTAGAGTACAATACCTATCGAACTGGTGAAATCAAGACGGTGTGGACACAATTACCATATCAGTGGCTTCAACGAAATCCCACAGCAGACGATCAGAGAAACGCAAATGGCAGAAGTGCAAAGCCACAAAAAAGGAGTGAATACAAACAATCACTCAAAATCTTACATGGCTCTACTAATCTCACTACAGACATTGTCAAAGTCATTCTGCGCCTTTCAAGACATCACAAACACCGCATCAGGATCTTGGATGTTGCTGATATGTTGGGTGGCACTCATATGGTGATTGTAGTAAGACACGTGGTACGTTTGCTGCGAACAAGAGGTCTTTTGATCGATTGGGATGACAGAGAAAATGTTTGGATCATGGATGGAATGGGTGTTGACAAGAATGAAAACCTTCGGGAGACTTTTGAAAAGTTTCTAAAGGGCAAAAAATGCCTACAAAGAGCAAAAGAACTGATCGAAAAAGATTTCTGGGACGAAGACCCAAATGTCTTTCTGCTTTTTCATACGGCAGACTTTGCTCGACTGGTTGATCACGCTCGAAAGTCAACTGATTGCGTCAAAATGACCGCAAGTAATGAAGTTATCTGGATTGAGTAGAGTTTACAGAGCACCGCATTTGCTTGTCACACCTACCTGAAAATGTATCTGTACCGCATCAAGCATAGCATTTTGTAATTGACACCTGTAATTGACACTTTTCAGCATTCTTCGTACTCGTGGTGAGGTGAGGACAGACACTGTTTCAGTAGGTATGGTGTCACACGAATCATCATCAGCCGACAGTGTGGTCATCGACCATCATTGTAGACAGTATTAAGCTGATCCTTCATACTGTTCATGATGGCCTCATACCATCATTATTGTATCATTAATGATCATCAAGTTCTGAGCATCCACCTGATGCCTGACGCTATCACCATTTCAAAAGGATGGTTTCAACACGCCCTTATTGCAAGCCTGCCTGGGCCGCTAAAGCCAAATATAGACCAACACTTGTGAGAACATAGAGTGCTTGCGCAGGGCTGCGCTTATGAAACGCGATAATAAAACGATAGGGCGTGCGTGTTGATTGTTGTTGTTGTTGTTTGTGAGCATATAATTTGACGCGAGTGCAGGAATTCTGCCTAAAGTATGAATTGTAAAGAAGGCTTGCTCGTGCATGGGTGAGAGAATGAAGAAATGAGATTTTATTCACAATCCTCAACCATCACAAAGGTTCAGGCACAAGGCTGATCAAGGAAGAGATTGTGTTACCACCGATCATTTCAGCTGATCAAACATTTCTCCACTGATCACTGCTGACTTTGTCAAAAGAAAAGAGGACACCGGAAATGAGAAACCAGCCTACACAATAGAACCATCTCAAAGCCTTCTAAATATTGCAAATTATCGCATACATCCTCCTGGATAAGGCACAAACACACGAATATCACACAAGATGGATGAATTTCCAGTAGGAGGTGGAAGTGGTTCTGGAATGGGAGGGGGTGGAGCTCCGAGCGAAGAAGATTACTCAAAAATGCCAATCGAAGATCGATTAGGATCAAAAGTTTGGAAAGCTCGTGTTTCGGGATACGAAGAATTAATTGGAAAATTTGAAAAATCACCGGCAGAAGATGCACCAATATTCAAACCTTATACTCGAAATCCTGATTTGGTAAAAGCAATGGTGATCGATAGTAATGCAGTAGCACAAGAAAAAGCATTGGATGCTGTTAAAGCATTTTTATCGTTTGGTGGAAAACCGGCTGGATCTACGCGAGAGACCGTTTTACCTTCTTTGGCAGAGAAATGTTTCGGCGCAATGCGTGCAGGAACGAAAAAGTCTGCTTTGGATATTGTTTCGCTCTATGCCGAATCAGAGGATATCGTCGGATGTGAAGGATTAGTGTTGAATGTTATACAGGGCACATCTGCTAAACAACCCAAAGTGGTTGCAACTGCAGTCACTGCACTAACACATCTTGTTCGTGATTTTGGGCCGAAACAAGTCTCATTCAAGCCAATTCTGAAAAAGCTGCCAGATCTATTTGGACATTCGGATAAGAACGTCAGAGCTGAAGCAGGCTCACTGGCACAAGAATTACACAAATGGATCGGACTGGCTTTAGAACCAACATTATCGCTACTTAAAGACATTCAGGTGAAGGAACTTCGCGAACAATTTGCCGCCATCGATCAAGCTGTAGAGAAACATACCACACCGAGCAGATATCTCACTTCTCAGAGACCGGTCGACAATGTTGAGGCAACAAGCGATCCAACAGCAGCAGCAGCAGCAGAAACGAATGGAGGCGGACAGCCTGCTGAAGAGGTTGATGCATTTGAATTCCTAGATCCCAAGGATCCCCTCAAGTCTAAAGAATGGCCAGAAAATTTTGACGAAATGATCAATAGCACCAAATGGCTCGAAAGGAAGGAAGTAATTGATCAATGCTTGAAAGCTTTGGAAGCAACACCAAAAATAATACACACGCCGGCTTTGGATTCGATCATCGACATTCTGAGCGAAAAGGTGAAGAAAGATGTCAATATCAATGTCGTTCTATCTGCATGTCAATGCATTCAGAAATTTGCACTAGGGCTACGAGGAGCTTTTGCCAAGAACAAAGATAAAGCCTTACCAGCACTTCTGGAGAAGCTTAAAGAACGAAAAGAATCAACTGTAAAGGTGCTGGCAGATACCTTGGATGCCGTCTTTCAAACCGTTTCCTTCAGCGATATCCTCGAAGTGACTTTGAATGCCACAAAGCACAAGAATCCCCAAGTCAAAACAGGAGCAATTCAATTCTTGGTCCGTTGTTTGCGCGAGACACGGTCGATGCCGGCCAAAGCTGACATTAAACCGATTGCAGATGCATTGGTAGCGGCCACTGCTGATGGGTCGTCTGATGTGCGTGATGCGGGTGCACAGGGTCTCGGAACGCTGATGAAATTGATCGGCGAGAGGGCCATGAATCAATACATCGATGGACTGGATGATATCAAGAAGGGCAAAATTCAAGAACAGTACAAATCTGCCACTGTGAAAGTCAAACAAGCTGGTGCAGCGCCAGCTAGTAGACCAGCACCAGCCGCAGCTCCTCCAAAGCCACAGAGCAGACCTGCACCTGTTGCTGCCGCAAGGAAGCCTGCCGTTGTAGCAGCCGCTGAAAAGCCCAACTTCGCTTCATCGCCAGCTCCTGCAGCAGCCAAAGCTCCCGCTGCAGTATCTCGTGGACCCCCTGCTCGTTTGCTTGCCGGGGCCAGTAAGGCACCACCAGCTGTAGCCAAGCCAGCTGCTGCCTCGACATCCCGCCCTGCACCCGCAGCAAAGAAATCTGCCGGTGCATCTGGATCCAGTAAAGCAGCTGGCGTGAATGAACCAGTCAAGTATCGCTATCACCCAGATGAGGCGGAAGCACGTTCGAGTGAAATCGTACCTGCCCACATACAAGAAGAATTATCAACAAGCGTCTGGAAAGATCGATTAGCAGCTATGGTCAAATTTAATGAATGGCTCAAATTGGAAAGTGAGACTGTGGAAAGCGAATTGATCGTTCGCTTCCTATCGCGTAAGCCTGGATGGAAGGAGAGCAATTTCCAAGTGATGAGCGAAGTGTACAACGCTTTCAAGATGCTTTCGACCGACTGTCCATCTTTTGGCAGGTCTTCAGTGGCAATCTCCATCGCCCCGCTCTGTGAGAAATTAGGTGATATCAAGCTAAAAGTGCCAGCTGCTGACACGCTTATGCAATATGGAGAACGCACTTCGATAGGATTCGTCATCAGTCAAGCCCTGACGCCTTTGAGCAACCTCAAAGCACCCAAAGCCATCGCTGATTCCCTATTGTGGGTCAATCAAGCTCTTCTTGACTTTGGAACGGCTAATATTGATGTTCGTGGCTTGGTTGATCACCTATTGAATTGCTTGAAGTCTGCCAATGCTGCTGTGAGAACGAACGCTACGACTTGTATCGGTACTCTGTCGCGTTTCCTCGGACCTGCTCTGACGAACTTACTGGGAGATATTAATCCACAGTTGCGATCGACTGTAGAAGCAGAAATCGAAAAGGCATCAAAAGAGCCAGCACCAACACCGACACGCACTTGTGAAGAGACTCGCCCCAAAGCAGTAGCAGCAGGTGCTGCCGATGAAGGTCCGACTGGTCCATCCGTAGAAGAAGACGATGCATTGGACGCATTGATTCCACGAGTCGACCTTGACAATATCATTCCTTCTTCAGCTATTGCCAAGTTAGGCGACGCCAATTGGAAGGAGCGAAAAGAAGGCTTGGAGGAGATTAATGCCATTCTGGATGCTAACACACGTTTGAAGCCTAAAATGGGCGAGCTTGGTACGGCACTAAAGACTCGCTTCTCGGACAACAATGTTCAAGTCAGAACAATGGCTCTGGACGCATTGTGCAAAATCTCTACAGGAATGGGCAAAGGATTTGAAGGCTTTGTGAGAACGTTTGTACCGTCTGTCACGCAAGTATTGGCAGATGCAAAAGCTCCCCTTCGCGCTGCTGCTTCCAAAGCGTTGACTGCAATGGCTGAACAAACTGGAGCAGCTCCAATGATCTCAGGATTTGTCAGTGTTTTGGAGAGTAAAGCTGCTAATCCTACATTACGTCAAGATCTTTTCGCTTGGCTAGGTCTTTGGTTCGAACAACATTCTCCTGATAAGAATACAGATTTGAGCGGATTAGCATTTCCAGCAATCGTTTGTTTGGATGACAAATTGGCCGCGGTACGCAAAGCAGCACAAAGTGTATTGCCTTTTATCATCATGAGAGCAGGCTACAAATTTGTCATGGAGCAAACAAACTCTTTGAAAGCAGCTTCTCGTAATACCGTCATTCCTCTCATTGATGCCGCCAAAGGCCAAGCTTCTTCAAAAGCACCTCCTCCGCCACCTCCATCGCAAGGTGTTTCGGCTCGATTAGAAAATGGCTCAGCAAGTTCGGCGCCTGCAAAACTTCCAAATGTCGTACGAAGGGCAGCTCAAGCACCAACGCCATCAACGACAGATGATGCTCGCTCTGTTTCATCTTCAACATCATCAGTTTCTGGACGAGCAGGAGGCGTGAAAGCACCTACAGCCGTTGTCAGATCTTTGAAAGCACCAGCAAATACAATCGAAGGAACTCCAGCACGTCTACCTCGCGTTGGAGTTCGAAAGACAACGTATGCACCTGTTGCAACGAACTCATCATCCTCTTCCTCCAACGCTGCCGCAACGGAAAAAAGTGCACCATTTGTGAATGGAGACGAGAAGTTCAAAATGATGCGTGAGAAACGCGAAGGTGGTAAGAATTCATTGTACTGGATTGGTGCAGATGCTGCTCCTCGTTCAGATCTGGCAGAAACCTTGCGGGCACAATGTGAACATCATTTGAGTCCAGCATTGATCGATAAGATGTTCTCGAAAGATCACAATGCAGAACGTGATTATTTGTCTGCTCTGACCGTGCTCATAGACCATCTAGCACACACGGAGACGTCTCTAGAAGAATTTGCAATCACTCCGGATGAAGCTGTTGCACGTATCAAAGCAAATTCTGACTTACTCTTCAAGTATGTAGCAATTCGGTTGACAGACAATAACACATCGATCGCTTTGAAGTGTTTGGATCTCTTGGATCAACTGATCGCTGTCCTACGCAGCCAAGAATACCACATGTCAGATTATGAGGCCAATGCTATCCTTCCCTGCGTATTGGCCAAGTTTGGTGATCCAAAAGTTGCCTTCCGCGATCGCATACGATCCGATATCTTGCGAAAGGTTACAAATATCTATCCACCTAGCAAAGTCTTGGGTCACTATATGGAGGAAGGGCTACCTAGCAAGAACTCGCGTGTTCGAACAGAATGTCTGGCAGAATTGGCTCATCTTTTCCACAGATATGGTACACAGATCTGTTCTTTGCCAAAGACGATGCCTTTAATTGCTGTTCACATCTCTGACCGTGACAACGGCGTCAGAACCGGAGCTTTGATGGCCATCTCAGAAGTGTACAAGATTGTTGGAGATGCAGTTTGGCAGTACGTCGGTGAATTGCCTCTACGAGACCGCGGTCTGTTGGAAGAGAGACTTCGACGGGTGACTGTTTCTGGTTCAAATGGAGCAGAAGATGCGGCTGTAGTATTGGCACAAGCATCTGTAGCTTCGACTCCGCCAGTGGAAAGAGTTTCTCAAACTGCCGCCACGCCAAGACAGGTCTCATCTATGTCGACCTTGCCAAAATCCCGAGGCGGCACAACACAAATACAACCTCCTATGCAAAGCAGAATGGCAATGCCTTCTAGACTGGCCAGACCCGCTTCTATGATAGGACAACCGGGCGCAAAATCAAGCAATGGACCTTCTGGACTGCCAGATCGTCAATCCCAGCCTGACGCTCGCCTTTCTCGTGTTCAAGCACCTTCAGGTTTGCAACGACCCACTTCACGTACTTTTGGGAGTAATGGAGGAGCCGTCAATGTGAGTCAAACTGAGTTGAAGAAAGTATCAAGCGATGCCAAGTTACCGTCCACAAAAAGATCCGATGAGAACGGACATGACGAAGAATTGTGGGATGTTGAACAAACAATCAACGAAATCCTATCAAGCGATAGCGATCGAAGTGTAAGAGCATTGAAGAAACTTGCGACTGACATTCAAAATTGTTCGCCAGCCTTAGTGCAAAATGCTGATCGATTGGCGGTAGCTTATGGCAAATTAATGCATCGTGCTTATGGTCAAATGAATAATAATACCGCCGAAGCTGAACGATTGAAGAAGCACTTGATGTACACTGGCACAAATATATTCGATAATACAAGACTTTGGGATGACCCAATCGAAGGCACACAGAGAACGTTGGGTAGCTATGTTACAAAGCCTGCTCTGGTCGTTCTCCTTACTGAGCTACTCTCGCAATTGATCGGTACAAAGGGTGCAACAGATGCCGAGACCCAAACACAAGGTCGTTATCTCAACATTATGGTCTTGAGATCCTTCTCTTCGTGCAATGTGAACGTCTTGTTTGGAGCATGCTTGACGATGCTAACAGAAGCAACGGAGGACTTGGAAGATCTGCAGAGTAGAGGCGATGCGGAGTTGGTTGACAAGCGTGTGAAGTTTGCCGATCTGATTTGCAAATGTATTTGGAAGATGACACGTAAGCTTACTCAAAGTTTGCAAGATGATTTGGTGGATGCAGCTCTCTTGTTGCAGGATTTGGAAACATTCCTTCAAGCTATCCCACCTGTGATCTGGAAAGAAAGAGCAGCAAATGGTATGCCAATGGGTGATGTCCCACTACGTACAATCAAAGTGATCATCGCACATATCGGCAATGCTTTTGGAGAGCAAGCTTTGGATCTATTGGAAGGTATCCCAGATGCCGAGCATAGCCATGTCTATACCTATATGCTGAGAGCGTGCGAACATCAGCTTTCGAGCGAAGGTGGTCGAGAAGCAAAAGCTGCCAAAGCACCCGAAGATGCTATCTTCGATGATGAAGCTCAAGCCCGTCTATCACCGTCAATACCCAGCACCCCATCCGTAGCAAGCAGAAGGGAGAGATTGCCAGAGCGCTCGCGAACTGATTCAGAGGCAGGATCAATGACACGATCTGAAAGTCAATACAGCGTTGCGACGTCGGATGAAGGAAATGCAGCGGAACTGCGTCAAATCTTTGATAGGATCAGTAACAAATCCGAGTCAAGGTCCGCAATTCGCGATTTGTATCTGTTCAGTAGAAAGTATCCCGAGAAAGAAGGACTTATCATGCGTTCCCTAGAGCAAACGGGACCGATTTTCCAAAAGTTCATCAAACGAGCTATGGCTAATCATGCTTTAGAGGATGGAGAACCTTCGCCTTTCCAGGACGATACCATGACGCCAAGACAAAGTATGCTTTTAAGCAGTCCAGGCGCTCAAAGTACTGCTTCACCTTCAACTCGAAATTCATTCCCAACTACAAATTATGCCGGTAGAAATGGAGACTCACAAAGGAACAGCTATATGAGTCCATCTTCAAGCAGAACTTCAAATTTGAATCTAGCCGCTCTGACAGGAATCAATTCTTCACCTTCAACGCCTAATAGTGGCATTGCAGGCTTTAGAGGTGCTCAAAGCCCTACAATCAATTCTTCACCAAGTGCGAATCGTTATAGTGTAAATGATGATCGTTTGGCGCAATTACGTGCGAAATTTGCAAGATCTTCATCTATGCAAAGCAGCACTGCTGAATGATCTCTACCATCAATGTTTCTCATCCTTTTCCCTCCCCATCTCTTCCTTCCACCTCAATCACCCCAATTCGATTGGAGACCCTTTGTACATGACTCTATTTTGTTGTAAAGTACGCGGCTTTACCGGCGTCACCTGTAATGCTATACCATTTCACACGCAAGAATCATCGTATGATTCCATTCATTATTGAAGATGGATGTTGAGCCGTTTATGTGTTACAATGGGTGAGATAGTGTCGAAAGTCGATTTTGGTGAGATTAGTTACCGGCTTTCTTCACCTTCACAGTATCCCAAGCTTCCCGTTCGACGTTCTCTTTGATGACTTCGTCTAGAATTGGTGTGACGTAGCGTTTGTCGTCCTCTGCTTTTAGCCATTGTTCTTTTGGCAATTCACGATGTAAGGCAGAAAGGTGGATTGCTTGTCTGAGACGGAAAGCACGGTCGTATGATTCACGATCGGAAAGACGTTTTAGTGCCTGTGAGCGGGATGGGAAAAGCAAAGAGATTGTTAGAACTTATACAGCGTTTTGTGTGCGCTTGTTGCCACACCTACCTTTTGCATTTCCGGGTTTTCTTCGACAATCAAATCATCGTATCTCAATCCCATTTTACGGTGTCCTGCAGCGTTGGCGAATGCGTTTGCGACTGGTGTCAAAGCACGCATTAAAGCTGGCGAGCTTTTAACGAACTTTGTCAAGTTCCAACCTTGTAGAGAGATCGACATGCTGTGTGTAGGGTGAGTATAGTTGGTGGTAATCAGAAGAAATGCTGATGGCGAAGGTTTGAACTTGTCCAACTCTATCGGGCTCTAACAAACACAGTTTGCACGCCCGCACGCATGCTTGCACGCCTCTCTCTCTCTCTCTCTCTTTGACTTTTGGCGCCAATCACAGAGCTTGGATTATTGCTTGCACCTGCTTAAGAGGAAAACGCGCACACTGGACTGGCGCCGTTGTCGACAGTATGAAAACAAATTCAGCCTTCAAGGCGTATTTCGGAACACCAAGCCTTGAAAGGGCTTAGTAAGGCAACAATCACGTGATGAAGATTTTTGGAATTTGGTTCCCTCACTTTGTTTGAATGCTCCTGATATGATAAGAGGTGTCTGCGTTCTTGTCCACATTGCAGAACACTCCCTATATTCTCACCCAGACAGGCAAGACGAAGATCTTGTCATTTCCCCTCAGGACCGGCTTGATCAGCCAAAGGTATTGCGCGGCACCTCTATCACGATCTTGGCGAACGCTTGAAGGAGTCCAGCACATTCACCTACCGACAGTCTTTACCGCCCCACTTCCACCAAAGACTTCACTAGTACCCTTACCGTCACAGAGATACATAAGCATCATGCCCGCCGCCGTAATACCGAAAGATGACGATCCAAGCACCCCGATCTTGGCATTGGACGCCTTTCCTCCTACAGGTGAACCCGAACACAAGAAGTTAAGCTCATGGGACTTGTTTGCATCGATGGGATCGCCTAAATTTGTCGTTGCCCCGATGGTTGATCAGTCAGAGCTAGCATGGCGTATTCTTTCTAGAAGGCATGGTGCACAGCTGGTCTACACTCCAATGATCAATTCACGAAGATTTTCGCAAATGACTGCCTCACATGGACCCGAACACGATGTGGACTTTTGGATAGCAAAAGACAAAGCATTACAGGAAGAAGGAGCACAATCGATAGAATTCAAGCCCGGAGAGAGCAGTGCGGAATGTTTGAAGAGTAGCAGCATCGATACTGATGAGCCTGTGATTGTGCAATTCTGTGGCAATGATCCCGAACTGCTCTTACAATCCGCCAAGATTGTCGAACCTTACTGTCAAGCCGTTGATTTGAACCTGGGGTGTCCCCAACACATCGCCAAGAGAGGCCATTATGGATCCTTCTTGCAATCGGACTGGCAATTGATCTTCCGCTTGATCAATACTTTGCATATTAATCTCAAAGTTCCCGTTACTGCTAAAATGCGAGTCTTTGATTGCGTGGACAGAACGGTAGCATATGCTAAAATGTTGGAACGTGCTGGAGCGCAGATAATCACAGTGCATGGTCGAACAAGAGAAATGAAAGGTCACAATACAGGTTTGGCTGACTGGCAAAAGATCAAAGCAGTCAAAAACGCAGTCAAAGTACCTGTTCTAGCAAATGGGAATATTCTTTATCACGAAGACGTCCAAAGAGCATTAGACATAACAGGAGCAGACGGAGTGATGAGCGCAGAGGGTAATCTATACAATCCCACAATCTTTGCCGAAGCACCAACTTCGCCTACCGACATGTTTCCACTTTCGCCCGCTTTTCCATTCCCTCGACTCATCAACCTTATACGGGAATACCTGGACATTTGTGAAAGATTACATACTCCAACGGCTGGAAGTGCAATCAAAGCACATCTGTTCAGGCTTGCAAGACCTGCTCTGGAAGTTCATCGAGATCTGCGGCCTATGCTTGGACAAGCAAGTTTAGATCTGAAAGCGACAGGTAGAGCCCGCTTCAAGGCTTTCTACGCATTTGTAGATCGCTTGGCAGAGCTTCTAGAGGCAGACGAGAAGATGTCGGATTATACTACAAAGATTGCCGAAGCACAAGCGCAGCAAACACCCACATTCTCCTGGCAAGCGGCTACTGGAGGCAATGATCCCAATTACGTGCCTCATTGGCTCGCACAACCATATTATAGAAAAGCTATGCCACCAAAAGAAGAAGTCGGCGAAGCTGCTGAAGTACGGAAGGAGAAACGCAAGTTGCGATTAGAGCAGACTGCTCTTTTGTCGAAGGAGAAAGGTGCAGCAAACTCCGGTGGCTTGACGACAATCAATGATATCCAAGCACAAGACGAAGAAAGTACGATTAAATCGGACAAAGTTGCAACTGATGCAGAATCGAATAAAAGAGTGAGAGTGGGTTGATTCGGTGGCATGATGTATAAAAGCTATTGCATTTATCTTTTGAATGAAAACTTATTCTCTTTTCTGTTTCTCCTTTGCGTGATAGGACGATTATGAGGATGCTCAACGATTGAAGACAGAGGCAAATTCTCTCTTTGAAAAGTCAAATTACGATGAAGCCATTTTGAGATATACGGATGCGCTTGGTAATCTTCCGCCGCGGCCAAAGAAACGTGAAAGCGATGAGAACGATGAAGATCAGGAAGTCGAAGCAGTTCAAGATGAAGATTCGGTAAAAGCACGAAAATTACGTTCAATTATTTATGCAAATATTGCCGCATGTCATTCCAAACTTGAACAACACAAAGAAACCGTGAAGGCGTGTAATGAGTCACTAAAAGATGATCCAGACTACGTCAAAGCATTACACAGAAGAGCTCAGGCGAACGAGCAAATTGGGACTTGGTCAAGCTTGACATCTGCGATGGAAGGTGAGTCTGAAGGAACGGCTTAATAAGCATTGAAATAAACTAATCATGTTTTGTTCACTTTTTGTAGACCTCAAGCAAATACAAAGCTTACCTCATCCACCTTCTTTACACGCATCTCTTCGAACAACCATCGCACGACTACAGCCAAAGATTGAAGAAACGAGTGCACGTGAAAAAGAGGAAATGATGCGTAAATTGAAAGGTGTTGGAGATAGCATGTTAGGATGGTTCGGCTTATCGACCGACAATTTCCAATTACAACAAGGTCAAGGGGGTGGATATAGCTTGAATTTTGTAAATAATCCTAAAAAATGAAAATTTCATGAATTCAAGCAATGACATCCAGATTTTTTCATCATTATTTCATATGCAAGAGGAAAAAGATTCTCTAACCGATCAGTATGAAATCAATGTTTGATGTAAGGGTGAGACTGATTGATTGGTCTACATGGTCAGACTTCGATTTAGATGGTCATGGGAATATTCTATTAACGCACAGAGAAAAGATATGTGCATCACGACATTGTGGCTTCATGAAGATCTCATGCAATCATCATGCTGTGAATTGCTTCTAAGGAGGGATCGAAACATCTTTAAAACCCTGCATGGGAATCATGAAAAGGATAAACTTGGCCGGATCGATGATTGACGCCCCACAAATATAAGAGTAAAAGATACACTATTTCTTATCGAATTTGAGAGACATGTTTGTTTATAGATGACGTGCTCGATCATGTGGACATTCTTGATAAGATTGTGGCTGATGGTAGAAACAGCGTGAATGTAAAGTGTATGAGCGCTGCGCGTGCCTGAGATATTGTCGCCTTACCATTTCTTTGCACCCCACAACTTGATTTCACAGCTTGCTTACTCATTACGGATAAATGGAATTACAAATCAGCTTACGGAAAAATGTCTTCTCTATTTTATTTTTTTATTTTTATTCATTAAAAGTTTGTCCACGGTCCAATTTGATAGTCGATCATACCCTGCTTAAATTATTCATATACCATTAAATAAGAGAGTGTTCAGCTTTCGGTTAATCGTCTTTTACGGTTCCGGCAAAGGGAAGAATACCGGAACCACCTCATACATAAGCAATCTATGTACCTTCACATGCATCTCTTTTAATAAAAGACAGAGAGTAACCCGAAATATGCACGCAAAGGATTGAATTAAAAATTTCTTCGCATAAGGCATTAGCCCTGTGTTTGTCTTGTTTGCTGCAGGTACACGACAGTTATGTATTTGGACCTGCATCAACTTCTGCACAGAATCAATTTTAAATTCAAACCAATTACAGATTTATGTAGGTACCTGCTTTTAAGAACATATTTCATGTACATCGGAAATCTTCTAATTAGTATTGATAAGACGTATGCACGACCATTGCCATTGGAATTTCTCTCCGGCATTTTCGTCCGTGCTTATGATTATTTCCACAAATTCCCGTCTAGCAAAGACTAGGAATTCTATCTCAGTAAAACATCGGACTACAAACTATAATTATTCAAGGGGATAGGCACTTTAACGGATGCCGGACCAATAAGATTCATTTTTCAATCTCCTTTCTTCCTAGCATCCTTTTACCCACCCCGCACGATTCCGATTTATAAGCCGTACATCCCGTTTTTGCATAGAGAAGGGATGATACATAGTACAATAGAATCAGTCTTTTCTTATCTCTAGTATGAATGCTTATTAATAGAGTATTAAGCGGCGTCTGAATCTCGTTCCTGGGCTTCTAAACAGTATATACGTACGAATGGAAAAATAAAATTTCAAGCGGAGCATGAACTTTCTACGTTTATACTCACGCTAATGCAATTGTCAGTACCGACGTATTTGTGCCGAAAAGGATAATTTTCCATACGTAAGCTAAAGTGATTGTATTTGTGCCGATTCATAGACAGATCCGCTGCAGACGGAAGAATGTCAAAGAGGCATCTGATCAATTTAGCGGAAATGGTTCCCGTCTCAAAGTCTAGTCATGTCGCTAAGTTTTATTATTTCCAATTCGATTTATCATTTTTTCCCTGATGGCTTGATGATACAGGTCATAAAGATCGAAATGGTTGCCGTGTGATTGCAATTGGTAAGACGTGTGAGAAAATAAAGAAGAAAAGACACCGCAATGTCATTGTTTGTAACAGGATAAAAGTTTACTGCACTAAATCGACGGCGAGCTAAGAGAATGGCTTTACACATAGCATAGCATTACATTGCTCTTACATGTTATTCTATAGATCGATCGAGTTACGGAAAACTGATTACATATGTTTTCATTGTATAAACACACCGTGTGGCGTAAAAGATGGTCATCATACAATGTATATGTATATATACACATGTATAGATGTACAAATCACGGCTATTTACGCGAAGATGAGGAGATGATATGGTATATGTAAGACGAAAAAAGCCACTAAATGCAAGTTCCTGCTTACCTTCAATGGCCGTAGGATAATGAAGTAAGTGCATATCGAAATGTGTACATGCTTCTTGGGCGCAGCAAATGTATGCAAGCCACTTTCAGTCAAAACAAGTCGTACCTGCATAGAATTGCATAAGCACTATAACTGTCTAAAGAGGACCACTAAGTCATAGTACTATACTTGACCATTCCCCACACTTTACTTGTATCGCTTAACCTTCAAGATGCCGCCGTAATTCTCCGCCAAGGGGTAGATTTGCGTTTAAGAAGAATGGTCGTATACATAACGGATATGAAGGAAGAAACAATGAACATCTTCCCAGAAAAATTTAAGTAATATAGAAACGCCACATTGATAAATATGCTTTATTGTACTTATCAGATCCTTCGCCGTACGAGATTCGATACATAAATTTCGAAAGTGATGGCCGATCATTGTGTTTATACTGATGATGGGAAAAATTTCGTTAATTTAATTTAATATTTTGTGGCTATCAATACAATGGCCAAGCGGTTATCATCAATTCCCGATCTAATGGTTCATCTAATTCTAGATCTATGAAAAGGAGTCCATATGGATTTTTGAGATCCTTCCCGAAATAAATCTAGTCGCGGCCTGAACTTTAAATATCAATATATCCCTCTTAATCGATGATGACGATGAATGGGAAAAGTATTTTCCCCGTTCTATTGTTAGAATTATTTTTTAAGGTTCAAATTCTATAAACGCCTAGACTCTAACACGCGTTTTACTATTGGACCGAACGGCGACCTGAGTAGATAGATAATAGACGGTGGGCTTAGAAGCGAAAGGGACACGCGCGTATTCAACGTCTACAGACTGAAAATGTGCCCAATGCTGTAATCTTCAACCCAGAAAGGAAATTTTATGTATGTTTGGAGTTTGGAATTTGTATTGAATTGTGTCATTGTGTATAGGAGTGAATACAAATTAGACTTTTGGCCGGACAAGTTGTAATACTTTCTTTAATACAAAGGCTGATCCGCTCGGTAGAACCTTCACTGAATATTTGCCTTATGCACTATTTGTTCCCAGCATGATTTTTGTACTACTCTGATCATTGTAGGTGTGCTCTTGACCCCTGCCTTAATTGCACATGCAACCCACACACAAGCTTACTTACATTCCCGCACTTCTATAGTCTAGGGTTCGTTTACCCTCACATCCGGTCATTAGACTAAGGCCTGGCTACGCGTTTGTAGTTTGTAGTGCATAAAGAAATCAATTATTCGTACCCCCTTACATGGTCTATTTATTTTATGCAACACTGTCCAAGCGTACACTCCACTCAAAATGCCCGTGGTCATGTACGAATAAACTCCTCTATCCTCACCTTGTCTTTTCTCCTTTACCCTCTTGCTTTTTCACCTTTTTTCGCTCAAGTGCTCCTTTCTGTCTGGGACAGATTGCCTTGATCTCTTTTTTTCTCTTCTTCTTTGCCGCCGATCCAATCTCCGGTCTTTTATTTTTCTTTTCTTGCACCACGCTCGCTTTCCTTTGCTGGTCATCTTCACTGTCAATTTGCCAAGCTTTGACTGCGTCGGGCTTTTTATTGTTCAGCACTTTCGCCTTATCTTCTTACTCGTTGTTGTTGTTGTCGTTGTCGCTCTCTCGCATTCTCTCGCACTTTTCGATTCTCGTTTTTCTCAGCTAGCATTCATTCAGGATTATTGGGTCTTTTTGGTTGGATTACCCGATCTCAAGTACCGCCCATTACGCCGCATATACTCACTCAATCAGATCTTCCCGGTTCAACTGCAAAATAATAACCGCTCATCCGATCATTCAAGGAAGAAAGTCTAGATTGACACCCGATTGTCAATTCAATTTTCTTTATTGATTCTTTGCAGCTGGTTCTGCCAAAACAAAACAAAAAAAGGTAAGTCTAGCCCGATTCAATCATCATTTCAAGAAAGTTCCCTATACAACAAAAAGCACCCATCTTTTTTTTCTTCCGCTTTGGAGATCATCGAAACTAGCTCCTTTTACGGACGATCAATTTCCCTGAACTAACGATCATCGTATCGGGGTCTTTTTTCTCCTACAGCGAGCCACGTCCCTTACGCACACGCTATTCTCTCTCTTTCTTTTTCGCATGACCAACAATAGAAGATCCTATTGATCTTGCTTTATTTGGAGTGCATAGTGCAGGCATCTCTTTGTCGCCAAACCAAAGACGCACTTTTACCCCTTGCTCTTGGAGCATTGAGCCACAACTATTTTTTTCTCTCACTCTACTCAAAACTTGCATACGCTTTGCTTTTTTGCCTTGTGCATAAGCGCGTCAAGCAAAAGATCGGTGTGCAAGCCATACTTTTGAACCTGCCTGCATCACGCACACGCACGCACACTTCTGCTTGCATCACGGTCTATTAATTCGTTTGCCGCTTGGAGATTGTGCATTCTTGGGGAGGCACTTTCGGTCAAAAAAAAGTATCTCGTCGATCTGACATTTAACATTAACTCAAAATTCAATTTGGTAACTTTTTCCCATACTTGCCTATTTGGAAAAAAATAGCAGTAAACACAGATTCAATTAAACCGGCACCTCTTTAACGCCACCAAAAAGTCAACTTGCATTTTATCATCCTACGCTTCCGAATTTCAGGAAACGCTATTCAATCTGTCTGGTGCACGCTTGTCGATTTCCCCTGCATCAGATCGCTGCCAAAGCATACATTCAACTTGCTCAATTCTCCTGGTTTTTTTTCTGTCGCCCCCTTACGACTGGACGCATTTATCGTTTATTAATTCAAATTTTTTGACCCTGAGCTGGATCTTCTTACTTGTCAACATTTTGGTCAAATCGCAACAAACCTGCACGTCACGCCACAAGATTTTGGCCGCTTAATCATTTTAATACACACAGCTGTTTCAGGAAGAACGGGAAAAAAGGATATTGAATCGGTGAGTGTGTCTGTGCGGGTTCGTTCATTTTGTTAAACAAGGTTCATCATTTCATTTGGAGGGGGATACCTTACAATAGAGGGAAGTAACTCTCTATTTCATTTTAGATAGCGTACTTTTTTGCATGCATTTACGCGATCTGTCCGTGTTAATTCGCCTTACCTCTCTTTTTGCCCGCCCTGGTTCTATACATTGGACTGCGTACTGATGCATTCCATACATACCTCTTTTCCATCCCAGATTCTATATAACCCAAGCTTGATTTCAATCTTTACTTCATTTTCAATCATCAAGACATCCCTTCCTTGTTTTCATCTAACCACCACCACCACTTCATCCGTTCTTCCTCTTTTCCATCACATCATCCGATCGATCGTGTTTCACCTTCTTCCGTTCATCACCTTCTACCTTATTACGATATCACGTTCATCACCAACAGGACTTGCTGGCCGATTCCATTCGACGTTTTCACCATACAAACAATATGTCTTTCGCAACATCTTCCAGTAGCTCGATGCGTCGTCATCCCGCCAGCTTATTACCTAAAATGGTACACAACCCATCCTTGTTGGATTTGGTCAAATGTCCAGTCAGCCGTGATATGATTGGTGAGTATTATCCCCGAAGCGCTCGGATCGCGTACTCAATCTGAGCACCGATCGGAGATTTTTTCATTTTCAATTCATCTAACGCTTTGATCCCTTTTTTCATTTCATTTTAGTCTACTTGGCACATCAAGCAGCACAAGTTATCAACTGTGGTCCAGCAAACGCAGTCATGACCCCACCCACAACACCAACAAAATCAGTCGATGAGGCTGAAGATGCAGCAAAGGTCAGCATCAACGGATTGCCAAGCTTGGAAGTTTTCATTGCCATCTTGGTTGACAAGAGTAACGTACAAGTGCCAACATTGTTGTGCACATTGATCTACCTTGAACGTCTACGCAACAAGCTACCCAGAGCAGCAAAGGGAATGCAATGCACCCGACACCGTTTGTTTTTGGCCACTTTGATCGTCGCAGCAAAATACTTGAACGACTCTTCACCCAAGAACAAACATTGGACAAGATATGCCGCCTTGTTCTCACAAGCAGAGGTCAACTTGATGGAAAAGCAATTGTTATACTTGCTCGATTACGATTTGAGAATCGAAGAAGAAGAATTATCAGCACACTTTGCACCTTTCTTCCGTTTCCGCGAAGACAGAAGCGAAGCAGGCAGACGGGAAATGTACTTGCGTGGATGCTCGGCTGGACGTGAACGTGAACGTTATGCTCGTGCAAGCGAATTGCGTGTTTACTTGCGTGCATTGCCTGGTGATCAAGTACCAGCATGGAACGTTCACAACGCCAACGCTGAATCCAAGACAGGATATTACCGTGAAAGTGCTGATGCACCACCATCACCAATCTCACCTGCACCAAGGACAAGAGATGAATACCAACAACATCATTACTCATCCTCTTCCGCTTCCGCTGCATCATCTGCCGCTTCTTCTTCGATGATGTACCGCAACCATTCTATGGACAGCAGTAGCAGCAGCAGCAGTGCAGCAACATCAGAGGCTGAACTCACTGATGACAATGGATCATCATCATCTTCGATCAGTGGAGATGATTGTGACTTTGATGAATTGGACAACTTGGACGAAGCAAACGAACAAATGTACATGCGCCAAAGTATGTCACAAGCACACATTGCCGTTGCCAACAATGCATCCTCTTCAGATCTACATGAAGTCGTGCACAAGTCCAATGCATACCATCAACACATGTCCAACAACCCATTGAACAAAAGTCAATCGACCAACGATGCACGATTAAATGCATTAGCAGCTGCTCAACATCAACAACAGCTGCAACAACAACAAAATGGTAACCTTCGCGCAAGCAGATCGAGTTCCAACTTGTTATCAAGAATGCTTTCTTCGGCTCATTGATCGCCATCAAAACATTCAACCAAAAGAGGGAAACAAATCAATTCACTCATGCTTCAATCTAGACTTAATGCTGTACAATCTTTTTCTTATCTGTATCTCAACAACGTTCAAGCGAGCGCGTTTGCAAACACAAGGCAATGTTTTGGCAAGCCCCCCCCGAACCGTTTCTTTCAATCTTTCATCTGTTTCATTAGGCAAGCGCTCCAAGGCACAAAAACATTCATTCAAATGTATTCCAAAATTCTTATTGTATTTCTAGCTGGGCACTTTAATCATTTGCACGAGAGCATTTGAGCATTCACAACAACAACAACAACAACAACAATCATTACTATATAATATTGTTATCATCTTATTAATATAGAGTATTATTGATTTTAACTTAATCACAACTGTTTGCCACTGTGTGAAAAGTTCGGGATGAAGACTAAGAGTTGTAAGGGTTAAAGAGCGTGCACAAAAAGCGCTGCTCTGCAAAAGGCAAGGTAAGGTAGGACACACTAGCCGGATTGCATGTATATCTGTATAGAAAAAAGGGAGGTATATCATTCACATGCGTCTATGTTCCTTACCTTGAAGAATGACGATAGATCTAAGAAGCACAATGGAAATCAAGTGCATTAAACTCATTTCACAACACTAACACGGATTATCATTACTCACATCCACAAACGGGCACACGCTAATAAATTTGGAAGGGGAAATAATAATGTAGGTAGAGAAGGGGGAAAAACCCGTTGGTTGCCTTGCTTTTAGAAAATGGGAATAAAAAAAGAATCCGCTAAAAAAGTACGCTAAAAATAACCTGACATAAACTATGTTAAATGCTGTAACTTGATCCGGCGTCAGATCAGTAGATCAATTGACCATCCGTTGTGTAGGGTCCTGCATTGCAAAAGTCTGCAACGAGCAAAAAAGAGCATATCCGCTAAACATACACATACATGATGCAATGCTGATTCTCCGTTTCGAGAAATAGATTAGAAGAAGCGTGAGAGAAAAAAACGGAGAACGACTCATGCCCGATCAAAGATGCATAGAAAATCAGGTCCATTAATTAAGAAAAAGAGACCGTGCTGAGAATGGATTAATTTATGCACGATTACTTGTCACCTAAAATTGATCATCGATTGACCTTCCCTCCTTGCTTCTTCTTTTTATCAATGCGAAAGATCGTCCATGCAGAACTCCTTACTAGATCCGGAAGTGAACAAGAAGCGGAATGAGAACTATTCAACTTCCCGAACCTCTTTTTATGACTTTGGAAAGTATTACTGGCCTTGACCAACTGAACCTGTTACAAACATTGAACCGGACTATACTTAGATTTTCGGTGAAATGATAAATTTCTGGGTGATGATGACGATGACGTCGATGATGACGAGCTAAATCGGGCGATTGTATATATACGAACAGGCAACATTCACATGATCGGATCGGATCAAATGGATGTATAGCTTGAGAAAAGGGTCTGATAGGATCAATTTATTTGTCTGATTCGGAGAATAACTCGAAAAAAGCAAACTCCGAATTGTTTGTATCTTGTATGCAAGTATGTATTGTTTTGTCCGCTGCATAAGCTCTTAGCGTACGATCAATCAACAACGGATAAATAGACGATGGGAACAAGGGTTCACCCTGTACAGGATACATACGTTAGAATGTGAAAATTGTACCTACAGCAAAAATAATAGCGGGGGGGGGGTAAGGAGGTGGGAAGAATTTCGCCGTAAACAAGCATAAGGTTTGACTCGGTCTTGCCCGCTTTACAAAAGATCGAGATCGGGCAGAAAAAGAAAAAGGCCAGTTGCATGCCGAGGTTAAGGAGGATAAGATTTCGTTTATATAAACTCGGTCATGGTATGCTATTCATACACAGCTGTGTTGCCTCTTATGATTTGTTTGTTTGTTGTTTCACACCTTCGGTTTCCCCGGCCCCAAGCCCATTCTCAGTCAAATTGAATTTTTCTCATTTTAAGTTAAGCTTTCTCCCTGCGTTAGCGTGTAAAACCGCGTTTATGGTTCGATAATTGGTTCTTACCGAACGAATAACGATCATGATTGTCATACGTAATAACAGATACGTCAAGATAAACATCTCATCACATGATCGACGAAAGGATTGAAGATCATTATACTTCTGTCGTTGCTTAGTCATTGCTCGGTCTCGGGGTTCAAATCGTTATATATTAGCCGATAAGAGCTTACATCAGCTTCAGTATGAGAGAGATAGTATCTATGAATTTATTACTTTGATATAAATATTGACAGACTACCTAAACGGTATCGACATTACTGTTATGAGAAGTTTAGAGTCGTCACAATGTATGATGAGAAGCTGTTTAGATAATCTTTGAAGAACAGTCACGTGATTACGCAGATCACTCCGTAACTCCGTCTTTTTCGAACAGACCGGCGTTGACCGGGAATGAAGATTGTGTACGCGTGAACCCCTCCACGCTCTGTAGACCACCTTGACCCTAGACACAACTGAATAAAAATAAAGGTTGAAAGGTCAAAGCGCGTGGGCATGTCCAAAGCGCAATCGGACATACATCTTACCGATAGACTTAATCGGAATAAAAGGCATCTCAGCAGTGTGTTCTTTAAATTGCAATTCCCCATTTCACCCTTTCCCCGCCGAGTTAATATCATTCATTCGGAGGAAGAAGGGTAATTGTGTTGCTCAACTCTTTTGCTCCCCGACTTCCATCTAGAATTTGTAAAAATGTCCAATCAAACAAAAGAATACACTCCTCCTTCAACAGATCTAATCACATTGACAAGACATGTGCTCAATGATGGTTTCAATTTGGCAAGAAGTAGTGCTGCAAGTGGAGATTTAACAATCTTGTTGGCAAGTTTACAGACTACATGCAAATTTATTGAGAACAATGTCAGAAAAGCAAGTTTGATTAACTTGATCGGTCAAGCAGGTAATCAAAACGTTCAAGGAGAAGATCAGAAAAAGTTGGACGTTCTTTCAAATGAAATTATGATCAATGCTCTTCGTGCAAGTGGAAAAGTGGCAGTCTTGGTCTCAGAAGAAGATGAAGAAGCAATCATCGTTGGAGAAAAACAAGAAGGTGCAACATTTGAAACCGAACGTGGAAAATATTGTGTAGTATTTGATCCCCTTGACGGATCTTCCAATATTGATGCAGGTGTGAACATTGGTACAATCTTTGGTATTTACCTTGTTCGTGATGGCTCAAAAGGCACAATCGAAGATGTTTTGCGACCTGGTAGAGAAATGGTTGCTGCCGGATATTGCATGTACGGTAGTTCGGCAAATTTGGTGTTGACGACCGGAAATGGTGTAAACGGATATACACTCGATAACGGTATCGGAGAATTTATTTTAACTCACCCAAACATCACCCTGCCACCACGGGGAAAGATTTACAGTATCAACGAAGGAAACAGTGCTTACTATCACGAACCCGTTCTCAACTATTTGGAAAGCATCAAATATCCCAAAGGTGACCGTAAGCCTTACTCTGCACGTTACATCGGTAGTATGGTTGCTGATGTCCACCGTACATTATTGTATGGTGGTATTTTCGGTTATCCAGAAGATAAGAAGAGCAAGAGCGGTAAATTACGTTTGTTATACGAAGCTTTCCCAATGGCTTTCTTGACCGAACAAGCCGGTGGTGTAGCAACTACTGGTCGTGGAAGAATTTTGGACGTTCAGCCTAAGCAAATTCACGAACGTTGCCCAGTCTTTTTGGGATCGAAAGAGGATGTTGAAGAGCTGTGAGTAGAGCTTGGGGATTGTAGAATTTGCGAGTGTTCGAAATACTGACTGACATTTTACCAACTTGATTCCCTTACAGTCTATCTTTCTACAAGTGATCATCCTCCGGCATCAACCACTCAACCAATCCGAACAATTCACACTAACAGAATAATACATCATGTTTCATTAGATGCCAATACAGAGTGTTCAGGTGGCTTTGACAGATTCACGATACGAAAGGAAGCCCATCAGATTCTCCCATGCTTCATCAGCTGCGATACGCAAACTTGCTTGTTTTCGTTTATCGATTGAACGAGCGGCATGACGAATTTCGGCAGAATGACGTTTAAGTTTGCCGTGCAATTTGAGGGTTTTGTATTGTTGATCCCATGGTTTCGTTTCATCGGCAAAAGTGTCGATCAAACCATTCACTGCGATCACCATACCATCATAACTTGTCCAATCCCGTACTTCCAAAGATGCAAGTGTGGCTTGCGTACCTTTTTGTGCATTGCGTGGAGGTAATGCTTCCAAAACCTTTTCCAACAAAGTGACAATCTTTGATAGATGTGCTTGCCAGACATGTCCTTGTCTGCAAAGCGTGGACAACAATCCAAGGCAATGAACACGGATTCCATCTGTACTTGCCCAAGTCGTGGGATCAGAGATAGAAAGGGTTGATTCCCCTTCTTGACTTGTTGCTTTTGCGTCTTGCGTGCTGCCTTTATAAGCTGCCATTACACTTTCAATCACGCCCGTACCAGACCCTGCCACGATGCAATGAGGATCTTGTGCGAATTGAGTGTTGTCCAATAATAGAATTTGATTTGATTGTGGCCCTTCAACGCCCTCGAAGCATCTTGTCAAACTCCACATGATGCCTAATGAGCTTTCAATAATTCGTTTTCCCTCTACGCATGCAGCACGAACGTTCTCATTTGATGACTGGGAAGCTTCATCCACTGCAACAATCGGCGAAGCTGCTGCTCTACAAGCCATCTCAAATGACCATCTCCATAATCTTCCCGTCATGTCGTTTTGCTCTGAAAGCCATTTCTGGAAACTTGCAATACGCTTTTTGTGTGTTGCATCTTCTACCGGTTGAGAAGGTGGTGGTTGAGCATAAGATGCCAAGACGAGAATCGCGTTGCCCAAAACAGAAAGTGCTCGAATAGCAACGCCACGTTCAATCGTGGCTGAGGTGGCATCCCCACTGTTGTCCGTCAAAGCTGCCGAATTTGAATCAATATCGAACGCCAGCTTGCACAGAGGCTCCAGCAGAGATGGCGAGAAGGTCTTGGCGATTTGTGTTTTGTGGAAATCGACAATTGTACCATTAGTTGTCGGACCAGATTCCTCCTCTTCCAAAATCATCTCTTCGTCTTCTACGCCTTCGGAGCTAGATCCTCCTTCCGCACCATCTCCTTCTTCCACATCCATCTCTTCATCCTCGCTTTCATCTTCGTCCACAGCAAGGTCGTCTGTTTTGCTAACAGCAGAAGAGGGAGCGTAAACGTTCCATCTTTCACGATCGCCAACAAGTTCAGCAAGCACTTCTAATGCTAGATTGACATTGCTCGCATCTTCAGCTTTCGTGCCAGTTGACACATACTGTAGCAAAGTCTGCTGAATTGCTGCTAATGCAACGCTTGACTCGTAATTCGATAGTGTATCGACTTGTCCTGTTGTTGTCTCTACCTTTACAGTTTTTCTCAATTGTAGAGGCAGAGAAGATTGAATATTGCGCAATGCGGCAAGTGCCAATAGACCATTCGCAACCAATTGTCGACCTTCTGGCTTTGTGATGGAATCAGGTCGATATTGGTATAAGGCTTCCACCGCACAGCATAACGATTGAACATTCTTTTGGCCTTCCACTCGGGTTAATTCTTCTTCATCGATGATTACTGCCACCTTGCCTTTTCCTTTGATGGCTGACATTAGCTCAGGTTTACTGATTCCCACCAATGCAGCGCATGCGTGTGCATTCGAGTCACTCAATGTCACAAGTGCATTTAGACAAGTTGTTGATGCTTCTATCCATGCTTTGTCGATAACCTTTTGATCCTTCTTGCCGACATCCACCTTTCCGTTTGCTGAGTGGTCAACGGTACCGTTTGCTCCACCTTTTTGGAGATTGTTTAGAGCCTCAACACCTTGCCTAGTAGCCTGCGAGAATATTCTGCCAAGGATGGCGGCCGCTCTTCCACATTCATCGGCAGCCTGAGGAGACATCTCTGCCAAGCACCAGATGACAGCTGCGATATTGTTTAGATGACTACATCTAATAGCCGTATGATCATCTTGAGCAGCAATTGCGGGTGTGCTGTCCTCATTCATGGAGTCATTCTCAGCTTTCGCAGTGGAACTTTCCTCTTTGCCCACTCCTTGCCCTTGTTTCTTGGCTGCAGCTGCTTCTGCTTTAGCTGCATGTCTTCTCTCTTTTCGATTCATATCCTCTTTTGGCTTGTTTAGGAATGATTGAGGGGTGCTATTCTGCAGTCGTCTTTCCGGGACTGTCTCATTTCCATCTCCTTCCACCAGACTAAGTGCTCTTGCGACATCGCAGATCTCTGCAATGCATATGTTGATACTATCCTTCGACTCTAATGCTTTACGTGCTTTCCCAGCTGCTTCAATGCACAGATTCCGCAAACATCCACTGGCAGCATCGCGAACCTCAATTGGCCTTTCACCTCCGTTTTGTAGCTGTACAAGGATGCGTGAGACGATATCATGCTTTGGAGCCAAAAGTTCGTTTCGCAAAGCTTTTGTGGACCAAAATCCGTTGAGCGAAGTGAGAGCCCACAGAGCGTCCTCATGTGAAGAGGAGGAAGTAGCATTTGGTAATGGTAAGGCCTTTAGTACTGGCAGTACATCTGCGTTTCCATTTTGACCTGTGATAGGCTTGAGTGTCAAAGGAGCATCCATTTGATCTGTGTTGCCATCTTGATTTGAAGATCCATCTTTTCTATTGAGTGGATTGTGACGTGATGCTCTCGCTTTTTCGCGAACGGCATTGAAGCGAGACTTTGGCATCTTGGCAGGTCTAGCCGTTTGCTAAGAGATGCTTTTTGATGCCAATGTCACTTTGATGATGGCAGGAAGAAAGAATATTTTATCCGCTTTGAATTCAATCAATTCTTCCTGTTGGTTTGCCAGAAGACTGGTGTAGTGCCATTGCTTTTTTGTCTGCATTAAATACGAAAAAGTTTAGACAAGTACGAAAAAAATGAAAAAAAAAAATAAGAAGAAATGGCCTTAGCGCCGTCAGTGTAAACGCTTCAAAGATCCGAAAGCAACACCTCACAGAGTCGTGTGTGCCGGCCTGCAGCTTGAGCCTAATTAACAAACAAACATTCTTGTAATCTTATTATTATTCCTTCTTCCGAGCGGAAACCATCAAATGATACAACAAATGCGGATACCAATACGGCTGGCAACCGATAGTAGTCTACATGGTAACAGGCGCATAGTCATAAGTAATGGAACGAGGATAGGGACATACTCTCCCGCTCATGATTGCAGAATTGACACGATAGGCAAAAGGGCATTCTTGCATTCCACATCTATATCCAAACAACAAGTAGACAAAGCAAAAGAAGATAAAGCAACTACCACAGAAGAACCTGAAGTCTTAAAGCAAGGAGAGCAGGAAGAAGAAAGACGTAAAGATGTGATTGGTCAAATTCGTGATGTACTACATAGAAAACGAACAGATCTAGAACCAAGAATCAAACAACAACTAGAATCACTTGGAAAACGTTGGAATGCCTATTCAGGCTATGAAGAGGTAGTAGAGGCAAAAGCACAAGTGTTAGAAGCAGAAGTTGAATTGAAACAATTACGAGATGAACAAAGTATCTTGCGGAAAGAATATATGAAAGCTGTCAGCAGGAGAGCTGGATCACAACAAACAGTCAATAAACTCTTACAAAGACGAGAAGATTGGAGTGATGCAGATTTGAACGCATACATGGAGCTTGTCAAATCTGAACATGTAGAAGCAAGAGGTGAACGGGAGGCTACAGAACGATATGAGTCAATAGGCCATCGCGTAAATGCTGCTTGGGATGATGTTGTCCGCAAAACCTTGGAGAGGTATCATGAAGAACAAATTTGGAGTGATCGTGTTCGTGCAGGAAGCACGTATGGAAGCTTGATAATTGCTGGCTTGAATGGTGAGTAGACGGAGTTCTATTATTGTCGATTGTTATCACTCTTACTAAAATCCTCTTTTTTTCAGTTGCTATCTTCATTTTGGCCTTCCTCGTTGTTGAGCCTTACAAACGCAAGAAGCTAGCACAAACATTTGAGAGCAGACTGCTAGAAGGTGAAGCGCTTAATGCTCAAATGTTAGCAAGTGTCGTACAAGAGTTCACTCAACAATTGACAGCGCTGGAAGAAAGTGGCAGTGAAGCAAATGAATCATTGAAGCTTCTCCTTGCAAAAGCAGGTATTTCTACAGAAGAAGATGGACAAAAATCAGAATCTATACAATCTCAACCACAACCGCCAATCATCGTTGGACAATCTCCTCAAACCAGAAATCAAAAGATGAGAGATCTGGGTATGGCAGGCGCTGTTGGATTTGCTGTTGGAGCTGGTCTTTTGGCAGCTTTTGGTGCTCTTCAAAGTTGATTAAGTTGATTGCTCGTCATTGTACTCATTTTATACCCTGCAATACATTATTCTGGATCATGATCAGTTCTCCCGCACCCTTTGTGTACCTTCTCGGATGTTATTACAGTGCACGTTTTAGGCGAGTATTCTATGATTTAGCGTTGCTTTCTATCCTTCCCTTTGTGGAAAAAGGCAGTGCTTTTGTGCGCACAAGCACACGCGCACGCCATTGTTAGTTTAGCAGGCATGTCAAGAGTCTTCTGTCATTTTTGTTGAATTAAAGCGCGCAACACACAACAACTAACTGCGCTGCGCACTGTCTCTTTTGGCCGAGAGATGTGAGAAGGTCATAGCGTTGGTGGTAAATGAGGAAGAAGAATGCGCTCAAAAGACATTACTTCATTTCTTCCATCAATCAAAAATCCATAAAAGTGGGGTTCATTTTGTGTTCATATCAAAAAGATACACAAGATACAACAGTAGCAGGAAAAAGAAAGCATCAGGATCAAGGAAAAGATAAGCACGTTTCACAATGGACGCTCAACTTGATGCAAGTATGGGCAACGGTGGTTCTGATGTGGCCGAAGTTGCACGTCAATCAAAGAAGGATTGCCGTGTTTACGTTGGGAACTTGAGCTACGAAGTCAGATCGGAGGATTTGTCGGACTTTATGAGGGATGGTGCGTGTGAGAGATGATGATGATGATGATGATGATGACAGAAGATGAATGATGTGCAGGGCTTGGTATGGAAGATGGAGATGAAAGGTATACATGGTGGAAGCGGATCGTTGGCTCATCCTTCTCAAACTACAAGATTTGCTTCAAGTTCCTCAATAAAGTGCTCTCCAATGCTGCTTTTATGGAAGACTGCATACAGTGGGCTGTTCCACATCCCAATACAAGTTAAAGAAACTACCGCATTTATTCTGGCAACCAAATCTCCCATTACGCCCTGCATATCGTTTATCGATCTGGACTTCAGCATTTATGTGTTTATGTGATTGAATGGTAGGCTGACAGGCCGACCGATGGAATTCTCTTCAACAGCTGGGAAAGTGGTACATGCAGAAGTGCTCTTGTTGCCAAACGGTTACTCGAAAGGATGCGGGTATGTATTGTGATGGATCAATTTGTTGAACCAACGGTAATGTCTTACCTTTTTTACTCTCACCACTGCAGCATTGTCGAATTCAGTCACCCTGAGGATGCACAAAAGGCCATTACTCAATTGAGTGATACCGACTTGAAAGGTCGTCCTGTTTTCATTCGTGAGGTGAGTATGAAAAAGAATGCGCCTAATTTGCTCAAAAAGCTAACCTCTTCTCCTTACTTATCCAGGATCGTGAAAATGAAGCAAGATATGGTGCACCACCAAGCCGTGGAAACTTCCGCGGTGGACCTGGAGGCGGTCGTGGTGGCTTCGGTGGTCGCGGAGGATTTGGTGGCCATGGTGGTTACGGTGCGCCACCACCACCACCAGCAGCTGCCCCAGGAGCCCAATTGTACATCGGCAATGTAAGTAGTATGATAAGAGGTATTTCGTAGCCAATATTCTTACTAATCCTTCTCGTCCCCACGTCAGTTACCTTATTCCGCTGGATGGCAAGATTTGAAAGACATGTTCCGTGCTGCTGGAAACGTCGTTCGTGCAGACATCAACATTGGTCCTGATGGTCGCTCAAAGGGTAGCGGTATTGTCGTCTTTGCCAATCCAGAAGATGCACAAAATGCTATTTCACAATTCAACGGTACAGACTGGAACGGTCGCCCAATCGAAGTTCGTGAAGACAGATTTGCCGGTTCAGCTGGCGGATTCGGTGGATATAACGCTGGTCACGGCGGCGGTTACGGGGGCGGATACGGACAAGGAAGCTACGGCGGTGGTGGCTACGGAGGGGGCTATGGAGGTGGCTTTGGCGGCCGTGGTGGATATGGCGGCGGCTATGGCGGTCGTGGTGCCCCTCGCGGTGGATTTGGCGGAGGCGGCTTTGGTCGTGGAGGATTTGGTGGTGCAAGTGAAAGAAACTTACCACCCGCTGAGCCAAGTCAACAAATCTTTGTCAAGAATTTGCCATGGTCAACTTCGAATGAAGATTTAGTAGAATTATTCCAAACGACTGGAAAAGTTGATGAAGCTGAAGTTTTGATCGAAGGAACACGTTCAAAGGGAGTTGGAGTTGTTCAATTTGCTTCTATTTCTGATGCGGAAACCTCTATTGCTAAATTCCAAGGTTATGTTTATGGAGGACGTGCATTGGATATCGAATACAATCGTTCATGGCGTGATTTCCGTTCTGGTGGTCATGTCAATGATGTGCAAATGAGTTGATTGTCAAGATTTCTTTTGCCTCAATCATGTCAAATAACTTTCTAACATTGCCCCTCTCATAATGGTTCCTTCATCTCTCACTCAATTCAAAAAATGAATATCTTTTAATTGTCACAAAGTGATTAATATTTGACCGCAGTTGTGATTATTATATATATATATATGATTTCGATATCTATGGAGGATCGAGTTTGATAAACTTTCACTTTCTTCTAGTGTCCTCTCGGTTCTCTTTTATTACCTGGTCTATTCGATCATCAAGCAGAGCCAAGCGTTGTAATTATGTCACCGGATTTAGGCGAAACGCGCACTATACCAAAGCCCGTTAGCTTTATTTTGTGGTAAAAAGCGGCTGTTTGACGGATTATGATATTATGCTTATCAACAATAATTACGGGCTTTGGGTGCGCAGCGCGGGCGCGGTGTTCACAAAAGTGGTGCTGTGGAGGCAGAGAAGAGCCCTTTAAAGCGTATCCGGCAAATTGACCCCGCTTCGGCAAAAAGGCAGTAGGATGAGAAAGTGAGAATGATCATGAGAATTGAGAAAAAGGGAGTGGATTAGAAGCGGTTTGATCTAGAATATCTCATCTTGCATTTATAGCGTAATCCAAGGAACACAAAAAAATATTATTACATTTTATTCTTTTGACAGGAACTTCTCCTTGAGAAAGTCGTCAATTTATCAAATTCAACGGATCGGCTTATGACTTGCCGTTGATTTCGGATGAGTACTTCCCCCCCTTTTGAAAATATTCTGTGCCCTAACGGATCGGATGTACCTTCTCCACTGTAAGAGAACATATTCTTTTTAAATTCATTGCGCCACAACAGTGATTTATTTGTAAGATTGATTGTATGGATGCATTTTTATCGATAACGCATACATGCACTTATTTCTCCACCATTTGTGATTGCAAACAAACGGGCTCTAAGAAGGTTTCTATTGTTCCCTAATAACCATCAACTTCCCTTATCAAAAAGCATTCAGGCTTATCGTCCCACATGCGAGTCCAATACGCAACAATGAGCAGCAATCCAGATCAAACAATCAGCCCTTCTAATAGTCATTCAGTCGTTCCAATCGGCGGTGCACCTTTTGTACCGCCATTGAGAACGATGATGCAAATCGATTCAAATAATGGGGAATATCCAAGGAGGAGTAGTATGACAGCTTCTCGATATGAAAGGAGGAATAGAGCAACTCATTCTCCAACTTCTTCACCTACTATGCCAACTTCACCTTTATCCGATTCAGCTTATTCTTCTTCTTCTGGTTCTGATGCATCTTCAAGTTCATCTCCAACTTCGATCAACAATAATAATTGGGAAGCAGCAATGCGTTATACATCTGCTCTGCACGAACATACTCGTAAGATGTGGGAACAAGAACGTTTGAGTATCGAAAGAACAAAATTAGGATTACCAATTGAAAATTCTTCATCTTCTCCTACTGGTACGCCTACTAAATCTAACACAACAAATTCGTTGCAGAAACGTTCAACTCTAAGCGGAATGGATAGCCTATGGAGAGGTCGTAGAAAGCATTCAAAAAATAACAGTATCTCCGAATTCAGATCTTGATCACACACAAAAGGCCGTTACTATGAGCGCACTCATCGGACAGGTCACAATGGCTGCTCCTTCCTATAGCATATCTTATCTCGACTCTCATCATATCCCTATACTGTATTTTTACATTACTCATAGCGCTGGCGTCGCTTAACTCTTTTTAATTGTACTTCTTTCATCTCTACTTGTTTGATAAGGATAATTGAAGTCTCTCTTTTGTTGTTCGGTAAGGAGTATCAAATTCAAGCTATGTGGTATCTGGAGGTGTGAGTACAGGTCACTATGCTTGCAAGTGAATGGGGATTGTCACCATGACAAATGATGTCACGATGAATGGAAGATGAAATAGATAAGGCAAAAGGGATTATTGATTGATGATTGATAATGAAAAAAGGGTGTTTACGTTGCAGTCAACTGAGTTTACAAGCTAACAGCAATGGCACCGGCAGCAGCCAAAGCCAAAGCACCAACGAAGTTGACGATCAAAGATGAAGAACCATCCTTACCGCTCATACCGCTACCACCGCTACCACTGCTGCCTGAGCTTGAGCCTGATGCGGCGGCAGATTGAGGTTGAGCGTTGTTTGTACCGTTGGGGTAACTGTCACCCATTTGGTTGCAGTCTGGTGGGCTGTAAACCATGCAGTCAGCTGCAAGACATGTAGATTGACTGACGTTTGCGAAACCAGGGCCGAGAACGACTGGTGGTGCACATCTGTAGTTGAAAGTCTTGTTCAAACTGTTTCCAACTGTCATTGCATCTGCGTCTGAGACACCGAATGAAGTTGCAGACATACCAACTTGTTCGATAAAGTAGTTCATTTCAGTTTCGTCCAAGTTCATGAAACGATGGACTTGAGACATGGATTGAACACCTTGGTAAGTCATGAATGGTCCGTTTTGTGTTTGGTCTGAGCATCCCAAAAGAGTACCGAAGAATTCGTACAAGTGGGTAACCAAAGTGTATTGGTTGGAAGATGAATCATTTGCGGGCATGTTCATCTTCAAAGGTTCAGCACCTCCACCGTCCAAGAAGTTAACTGCGGTTGGGTTACCATTTCTGTTTGTGCTCTTCAATGAACCGTCGAAGAATTTGAGAAGGCTGACGGGTTGACCGCCGTATGTACCGTTGTTCAAGATACCGGTAACGTTGTTCTTTGGTGCACCTGTTGCGTTTGAGTAGGTACCGATCAAAGCAGTGTTGACAACCAAGGTCAAAACTGTCTTTTGGTTTGTGGCGTTGTTGTCCTTCAACAAAGCGGTTGTGTATTTGTCACAAATGGATTGGTTGCTGCTTTGAGCAGAGACAGCTGCGAATGCGGCACTGAAGCCAGCAACTAAGGTCAAAAATTTCATGTTGATTTGGTATATGTTGATGATGACCGTGAAAAAAGGAAATAAGAGATGGATGTGGTGGTCAAGAATGAAGAAAGAGAATGGACTGAGCGGTACATATACAATCTCATCACATCCCAACCTCTCCAGCCCTTTGCCCAACAAGACACACGTTGTATGCAAACCCCTTCATAGGTATGCAATAATCAGCAGGTTTCTACTCTGACAAAGAAGCAGGAGGTGTTAAAATTCATGCCGTTCCAATGCCGGTTAAGGGTAAATGAACGGATTGAAATGGTAAAAGCGTTCAATGAAGCGCTAATCACAAACGCACTGGACTTGTATCAAATTAAGAAAGTGAATGGTCATCGGGGCTTTTAGTCCGTAGACAAGAAGCATTTAACAAGTGTTTTTTGCAATTCAATCGCCAAGCATGATAAAACGGCAGATGACCAATTACCGCATTCTGATTTGTATTATTGTGACTGGTGATACTCTACCCTTCTGTCAAATCAGTTGATCCTAATTGGTTTATAGAACATGGGAAATAGTGTTTATGTACATGCATGCACGTAAGATCGACAGTTTTCTCTTTCCTTTACAATGTGTCGGTGAGTACTTGACCGGTGTAAAACATTTGCAACGCATTCATTTGTTCAACGAAAGAAAAAAAAGAGGTGGTGCCACTTTTTACTAGTGTCCTCTATGCACGGATCTCAAGTAAAGTGCATGTTTGCGCTTTGGCCCAATGATGACGAAAGAGATAAAACTGTTTCATTGTACTTAGGCTACTTTCCCCGCAAAAAAAGCAACTCCCCCTAACATTCTACACTCAGGGACTGCCGACGGGCCAAAGTAAGGTTGATTAAAGTTTTTTTTATTTGTTCTTTCCAAGAACGAATTCGATTGATTTTACCAAATTAGTCTGATTTTACCCAATCAATAGAGCCACATTATCAATCAGAGTATATCAACTTCAAAACCATGTGATTTATGTTCATCAACGGCACCGTATCCTTATGGTAAACTAGACTAATCTTTTCATATGCACCTCAACGGCATGCAGACATGGTCTTTGATTGTGGATCTGATGCCTCACCCCCTAAAGAAAACAAATGAGATTGAATTGATTTGTAATCCGCAATAGAAAGAACAAGGTACCATTCCGTGTACAAATGCACCTGTACAAAGGGATGTAAAAGTCTTGGCTATATGTGTGTATGTGTGTACTTTAACAGCCTTACACTTAATGCGCTGCGCAGTAGAACATGGCCTGATTTTCGGGGGCGCTAAGCGGAACGCTAAAAGATCAATAAAGTGGCGCGATGTGAATTAAAGTGACCAGATGCCGTTACACTTTAAAAAGAGGGCTCAAGCGCCGCTTACCACATGCTCAGACTAATAAGAAATAAAGGAACCGTGCTGCTTTGCCTGACAACCCACATATTTATAAGGCTTACCATGGTCAAATGCCGGAAATGTATATATTGTGGATTGAATTGCAAATTCTAAATATCAAATTAGCCAGACTGAAAGAATGATTTTAATTCTTACGTTTCTCATTGGTGCATAATAGTATTGATACAATAGTAAGTGTATTATGATACAAATTGTTGTACAAAATCGGAAAATTTTATATGGAATTCGCTCCTTTTGCTTCTGCTCGGGCATCTTTATGCAAAAAGTTGAATAATTTCCGACCAGCTTCTTTGCCGATCAAATGTGTAATTTCATCAACCGTCATCTCACATAAATCGGCCAAATCTCGAACGGAACGAATGATTAACATATAGTTCTTTGTTGTGATGCCTGGTAAAGAGAGTAAAATCTCTTGTAGGGTTGTGTTCAAATTATCTTCAATGCCGGTAGTCTTGACGGAAAATAATCCTTTTGGCGCTTCATTGGCTTGTTGTGCACCATCTGCCTCATTATTTGAAATAATGTTTGTTCCAATCTTAGATACAATCGCTTCATCCGGCTCTTCGAAATTTTGCTTTAATTCAGCAAAAATGTCAGCTGTCGCATACGGTGAACTTGACCATACAATCCTTAGCCGAGGGAAGGAAAGTGTCAATAAGACCAATTTTGATTGAACATCATTCTCGTGAATCTTTTTATTCATCGGATTTGCGCCACCGCCACGTGAATCATTGATAGTCTGAAGTGCAAATGATTTGTTTTGCTCGAATTCGATCAATAAGACTGGATGTTGAAAATTGGCGGACATCATTTCACATTGAACGTATAAACGGCCTGAGTTGAAACTTTGCACCAAGTCCGATAAGCTTTTTCTTTCAACACAAATCAAATTCGATAAGATGTAATCGCCCACCGTCAAAGTGCAAGGAACCACCAACATTCCCGCTTCATGAAGTTTGAATGGTAAACTTGATCGAAATTCTCGCATATCCACAATCACTCTAGGCTGTTCATTCGTTGCAGAAAGTTGACCGCCAGCTAGACGACTGTTGATCGCACGCAAAGATCGTTCTTCAGCAGTCGAATTGGCTGCACTTCCATCTGCTTGTAATGGCAAGGCCATATTTGCTTTTTCACGGATAAAGCGTTCGAAGCATTCTTTTTCTCGTCGAATTTGACTCAAATATCGTTGCTCTTCAACAGAATCGGCATACATTAGGAAGTAAATCCGCATCTCTACTCCTTTCATTGCCGTTCTATACACCTCCAAACGCCTGATGAAGGCTGGATTTGCATCATACATGATCACGAAGCGAGGCTTGAGTTCTTGCAAATGATGATCGTCATCGTCATCTGTGTATGGTCTTATGACAATGAAATCTTCCATCGTTAGTAGGCGGAAGTAATTCTCGAAATCCTCACTAGTGAAATTGTTGGTGAGCATATCAGTGTATGTTGCATCATACTCATCCTCTTCTCCGTCCTCTACTCCTTGTGCAGAGGTTCTGAAATGATCATCTATGTCTTCTGCTTCTCTTGAGATCATTTCTGCTGCCTTTACTGGATCTCTTCTTGTTGAAGAACTACTTCCCATCATCGCTCCACCACGCTGCCTTCTCCGTTTGTAAGCCGGTGCTCTTCCACCTTCCCAAATCTCTTTACGTCCTAAAGCAGGATTTTCGTAAGTCACCGCTGGTCCATTCGTTCCATTGCTCCGATTTGCTGCTATTGAATTACTATCAGCTCCTGTGCCGTTGATTGGCTGAGGTGCGTTTGTGGATGTGAACCGAGGGTTTCTAAAATTGCTCGTTACTGCTTTCACGCCTTGCTTCCAAGTCAAATATTCGCGAAAGCGATATTCCATCATTTTTCTTCCAGGTCGATCATCCTTTTCTGCGCTACCCATGGTGTAGGATCTCATCGTTGAGACATATTCCCGTACCTGTCTACAAGCTGCTTCATCACGCACCATGATGAGAACGGTATTATTGCGGCCTTTTGTAAGATCTGTGGATGACCAGTGTATATCCTGTTCGATTTCATCCAATACCTCACGCAAAAGACGCCACTTGGGTAATTCTTCCAATGTAGTCTCGATACCGGGAGGTAGCCAAGATGGTCTTTTCGATGAATTGGCATCTTGAGCACGCTTTCTACGCTCGCCTGTCTGTTCACCCATTGCTTCCATGGCCGCTTCTTCCTCATCTGCATCAATTCCATCATTATGCTGTGCAGTATTTGATTCGATTGCTGCAGCAGCACGTGTGATCTCCCCAACATATACTCTTGCTTTTGCTTCTTTGAAGATCACATTGGCTGCATCCATAGTAAGCCATTGACTTCGATCGTAATTCGTAGCCTGATTTGGATTGGCAGGATTATGTTGACTGAGCAGGATTGTTTCTAGATATTCTTGGAAGCGTACTGCATCGTACGATAAGAGGTAGTCCAACATCGTTCGCAGCAGTTTTAGATCTGCAACCAATCTCTTTGACTTTGGACTGATCTTATGCCAAACTGCATCAAGCTGTTGTCGAATGACCCGCTCAAATCGAGGAAAGATTGCATTTTCCATCGTTGCATCGTCGATGTCTACCGATCCGGTATTCTTCTTCAACTCGTTCAATACGGCATCCAAGCAAACGTAGATCCCACTCTGAATCTCTCTCATCGATCGTGAGAGATCTTGGTGTAACTCAATCACATCGGATTTCTTTTTGCCGAGATCTCGAATGATGTCCTTGTGAAATCGAGGCCATAATTCAACTCGTCGCACTTTCAATTGCGTGAGTACAGTCTGCAAAGGGCTCAACCCAACGCCAAAATGATCGGGAGAATCGGAAAATGCTTTGAGGAAACCATCCTTGTTCTTATCACGATAAAGCCTTACGATGAAACTTTCTGTGCATGTTGGTGTGATCGATTCTGCATGCATTACCACCAGACCTGTAATGAGATCGGTAGGAACAGTTCCATTTAACATATCAACCACCAAGATACGTGATGTCACACTGACGAGACCTCCGTTCAGGTACATTTCTTGTCGTTGAGCACTTGTTGTATGGTGGGATATACTTTGAAGACCAGGCTTTTTGACACCCATAGTTTTCAGTTCTTCTCTCAATCCATCTTCTTCCCTTGTCGATTTGGCATTTACCAAGATTACCAAATTTGTCGGACCATCGTACAATCGTAAAATGCTTGCAATGATTGTACGTAAGCCCAATCCTCTGGCCAGAATTAACAAAACATCTGGATCATCGTCATCATGATGAGAAGATTCCTTTTGATCTTTTCCTTTCTTTTGTCGTTGACGAGCGCCTGGGATGAGTGAATGTATGATTTGACGTTGAAATGGTAAAAGGTGCACTACTGAGGCGACATGGCCGATATCCTTTGATGTCACATCTGCACCTCCTTCCATTGTTAACCCTCCTTTTACCTTTGAGCCATGGTAAAAGAAGAAGATATGAAATGCTTGAATCTTCTCATACTCAGCATATAACACAAATTGCCTAACTTTGACTCCACCTTTTGAACGCGCTGCCTATTAGTGTATGCACCCTGCAGGTTGTTAAGCGCGTAAATGAGAGCGTGAAGTCACACGTGAAGACAAGACAGCACAGGTGAAGTGCTGGTTGGTGCATATGAATATATTCATGCGTTCAATAGATGACCACCTCTCTTCCATCATCCAATCAACTTTACACACGGTAGATAGTCATATACACAATAATAACCATTACTGCTGTGTAAAAGTGTGGGAGCACTTGTATCACATCTTATTGTGGATCAGACACAAAAGAGAAGCGTGGAAGGGCAAAGAAGTGGAGTTTGGCTATAGCTTCTCATTGAAAAAGAAATATCTGCTATTCTAATCACCACCTCATTGCGGCCTTGTTCTTGTGATCATGAATGCCAACGGACAGTCTTCTTCCCAGAAATACCTTGGTGTTACACCACCAATCGCTCTTAATGGACCGACAAAAAGAGACCTTGAGGTGACCGAAACACTGCTGGCGGAGTTGAAGAAAGAGGGAGTTTACGAAAGTGCAGAGGAGTCCAAATTGAGGTGAGAGAGAAGAAGAACTGCGAAATTGTTTTCTAGACTACTTACCTTTTTGCCCTTCATCAAAACAGAGAGACAGCTTTGAGTAAGGTGGATGGAATGGTGAAGGAATTCGTCTATCGTGCCTCGATATCTCGTGGACTTTCAGAATCAATCGCTTCCGGTTCAGGCGGTAAAATTTTCTCTTTCGGTTCGTATAGATTGGGTGTACATGGTCCAGGATCCGATATCGATACTTTATGTGTAGTGCCAAAGCATGTTCAAAGAGAAGACTTTTTCACGATTTTCGAGCAAATGCTACGTTCTCGCAATGATGTAACGGAAATCACTTCAGTTCCCGACGCTTACGTTCCTCTGATCAACGTCAACTTTATGGGCGTCTTGATCGATTTCACTTTTGCTCGACTTGCACTGCCACGTGTTGATGATGATTTGTCGCTGTTGGATTCGAACCTACTCAAAAATTTAGACGAAAGAGATGTCAGAAGTTTAAACGGTTCTCGAGTGACGGACGAAATCTTACGACTGGTACCCAACGTAGAAGTCTTCCGTTTGGCATTACGATGTATCAAGCTATGGGCGCAAAGAAGAGCAATTTATGCCAACATTATGGGCTTCTTGGGTGGTGTTGCTTGGGCTATGTTGGTAGCACGTATTTGTCAATTGTATCCAAACGAAGTAGCAGGTGCGATCGTCAGTCGTTTCTTTTTGATTATGTATCAATGGAATTGGCCCCAGCCAGTACTTTTGAAGCAAATCGAAGAAGGACCTTTGCAAGTTCGTGTTTGGAATCCCAAATTATACCCTCAAGATCGATCTCACAGAATGCCAATCATTACGCCTGCTTACCCATCAATGTGTTCTACACACAACGTCACGCAATCCACACAAATGATCATGACGCAAGAATTCAAACGAGCAGCTGAAGTTGTTGACCGGATTATCGTAGGAAAGGCAGAATGGGGCGAGCTGTTTCAGAAGCATGACTTCTTCCACAGGTACAAGTACTACCTTCAAATTGTAGCAAGCAGTGGTAGTGCGGATCTACAGCTGAAATGGTCTGGTTTGGTTGAGAGTAAGGTTCGTCAATTGGTGATGAAGCTAGAGCTTGTTCCGACAATGATGTGCGCACATCCATTCATCAAAGGTTTTGATCAACAAAGCTTGTGTTATGATGACGATGAAGTTCGATCGGTTGCAACAGGCCATGTACCGGAAGAGGTGGCAAAGCGAACGAAGCAAGAAGACCTGCCCAAAGAAGGAGAGCAAGGAGCGGAAGAAGCTGCTAAAGAAAAGGCAGAAGAAGCAAAGAAAGCACAAGAAGCAGGTCATCGAATGATTTGGACGACAACATTCTATATTGGCTTAAGTGTTGAACCTAAACAAGCTGCACAGAATGGACAACCGGCTGCCTCAAGAAAGTTGGACATCTCTTTCCCTACAACGCAATTCACACAAATGGTAAAGCAATGGGATCAATATGATGAAAGTCAGATGGGAATCAGTATCACACATATCAAATGGAGCAATTTACCCGAGTATACAATGGCAGGCGATGCAAGACCACCAAAACAATCTGGAAAGAGACCGAAGAAGAACAAAGATGCTAATGGGAAAGAAGGACAAGCAGGTGGTAAGGAAGGCGGAGCGGCAAAGAAGAGAAAACCTTCCGAACCTGCTGAGAATGGTGATTTACTTAAAGAGTCTACGAACGGCGTTGAGGGCTCATCTAATGGACTTTCTGAAGTTCCTGCACTACCCCTACAGCCTGGCATGGGTGGAGAAGCAGAGTTACAACGTATCAAAGAAGCAACTGGTGTCGTTCCAGAAGCAACAACGGTAACATGAATAATGTTTTAAAGGACGATTGCTTGGAATTGTCAGAGCTACTTTTTTTCATCTTGTTTTCCAAATTGTGTTTTTATATAATTTTTTTACTACCTCTTTTCATCCGAGACACCACATACCTTGTACATCATCATAATCTCGAGAAATATAATGCATTTCAAATGTTACCAGTTGAAAGCATTGAGCCTTTCGTCGTTGGAAGGGGTTGAGCTTTATGTCATGCTGAGCCTGTGTGTGTGAGTGTGAGCCTGAGCGTCGGCGCTAATGTCGGCTTTGACGCCTAAAACGCCGGTCGGCAGGCAGGTACCCGATGCTAAGAATTCCCTTCCCCCTAAGCAATCAATCTGGCGAGTTATGCAATTAAAGTTTAGTAGAGAAGATCATTACCGATAAAACCGACATTCATCAATGATACCCCTAATATGACTAGGTCCTGTTATTTAGATTGAAGAGGTACTTGTTATCACTTTCAGAATTCATCAATCACTTTTGAATAGGAGTTTAATTCGGAGATTGGTGATGTCTAGAGAGAAAAAAGGGGGCGTCAAGAACTAGTCAAGAGAAGACAATTTGGATTGGTCTTTCCTTCTCTCACTACTCAAGCCTCTTTCGAACGTAAAGAGCTGACTGGCTAAAACGAAAACACCTGCGAACAAGATTATGAGTACGACAAATGATGCAAATGTGGAAGAAAGAGGCAGTATCTCACAGACACGCAGGTCAAATTCACAAACACCTTCAACGCCATTGCCATGGTTTCAATTAAGCGTGATCACCTTGATGCGTATATCTGAGCCGATCAATTTTACAGTAATTTTTCCGTTTATAAGTGATTTTATTTGGCATTTAGGTACAACGAAAGATCGATCAGAATTAGGATTGTATGCCGGAATTATTGAATCACTTTTTGCCGTTTGTCAAACTTGTACAGTTTTAATTTGGGCAAAAGCTTCGGATAAATATGGTAGAAAACCAATCTTGATAAATGGCTTGATTGGTTCTTCCATCAGTGCAATTTGCGTTGGAACTTCTTCAACGTTTGTCATGCTAATCTTTTCAAGATGTCTCTCGGGCGCTTTGAACGGGAATGTGGCAGTGTACAAAGCAATGATCGGAGAAATGAGTGATAAGACAAATATCGCAAGAGCATTCAGTCTGCTCTCTCTTACTTGGTCGCTTGGATGCATTATTGGCCCACTTCTAGGAGGCTACCTTTCTAGACCCGCAGAAAAGTACGCAATCTTTTCTACCAAGCAACATGGACTGCTGAGCTTAGGTGGATTATGGGAACGGTTTCCTTTTCTCTTGCCATGCTTCATAGCCGCTTGCTTCAGTTGGTTCAGCATCCTTTTGGGAACTTTTGTCTTGAAGGAAACGTTGCCGGAGAAGAATGAAACGCAAGACTGTAGATCAAGTCTGCAAAACGAAGCGAATGATGAAGCACCTACCGAAAGAACTTCCTTGCTAGAACGTTCAAGAAGAGATAGTGCAACAATGTCATCTTACGAAGCGATCCCTATTAACATTACACAGAATCAAAGCGTATCCATTTGGAGTTTGTTACGAACACCTCAAATTGCACGTCAACTGGTGTCAAACTGCTTATTGGCATTATGCATGGTTTCGATCGATTCAGTCAATGTTCTATATTTCTGGGAGCCGATTCAGCTAGGTGGACTATCGTTCCCATCAAACATTACGGGGTCGTTGTTCAGTGCATCGGGTGCTTGGGGCGTGATAATACTCATCGTTCTCTTTCCATTCTTGCAGCGCAGGTATGGGACGCTTCCCTTGTTTCGCGTGGCTGTGAGCGGCTTGATCTTGGTGCCTATCGTTCTGCCATTAGCAAGCGTTGTTGCAAAAGCAGGTTTAATCGATCCAATCAATGGTGGTCGTCATCAAGGTCAATTCGAGAAAGACGTTTATCCAGAGTCACGATCAATCGTTTTGGTAATTATTACTGCCGGATTATTGATCAAAACAACTTGTGCAATGGCTTATTCATGTCAATCAATCTTGATCAATCAAGCAGCAGCTTTTGCTCCTGGTGCTCCGATGGCAACTTTGAATGGATTAGCACAAATGTCATTCAGCAGTATGAATGCTTTCGGACCGTATATGTTTTCAACACTTTATGCGCTCAGTCTGGAAAATCATATTTTAGGTGGATATATGATTTGGTTTGCGATTGGTGGGATTGCAATCGTTGGTATGATTGCTTCTTTCAGTCTTATCGATGTTGAAGAAATGGTGAATCGTGGAGAGATCAGTGAAGATGCTGCCAACCGATTGGGGTGAGATTTCATTTTGTATCATATTCATACATTTTTTTGTGTAATGCGAAATATTTTTAATGCAAATTAATCGGCTTTCTTCCGAAAATGTGCGGCGCCGATTGCTGAATCATTGAGAATAACACTTTGTCACAGCGAGTCAAAGTCTGATTGTAGTCCTTCTTCTTGATTGTTGTGTAATAAAATCTTGTTTCTTGCCTACGATCTTACCTTTCCTGTTTAAAAATGCCACGAACCAAGCAAACGGCTAGAAAATCAACCGGCGGAAAATGCCCCAGGCCTCGCTATCCTACATTCTCTGACATTTCTGTATCCTCTGACAGCGATGTGGCTGAAGATGAACCAGGATCTTCAATACACAGCAAGAGCGCAGCATTCTTTCCCAAAGAAGAAGGAAAAAGTCATAAAGTTGCCCATGATGACATTCATACCCGAGATGAAGTAGTCATTGAAGAACAAAAAGAGGTCAAAAGCATTGCCCAAACCGGCACAACGCCACTGCCATGGTTACAGCTCCTCATAATCATTTTCATGCGTCTCTCTGATCCAATCAGTTTCACATTCATCTTTCTATTCATCAACGATTTGATCATGCAAACGGATTTGACACAAGATCAAAGCAAGCTTGGCTTGTATTCAGGGATCATAGAATCTCTCTTTGCTGTAAGTCAAGCATTTACTGTCCTAGCTTGGGCACGCTTATCGGACAAATATGGACGTAAACCAATTTTGATCTTGGGGTTGATCGGCTCATCTATTGGTGCAATTGGTATTGGTTCAACGTCATCTTCATTCGTCGCTCTGGTAATTTGGAGATGCCTATCTGGTGCGTTGAATGGAAATGTTGCAGTACATGCTGCCATGATTGGTGAAATCAGTGACAAGACCAATCAAGGTAGAGCATTCAGCTTACTATCTTCAGCATTCCCGATCGGTTTAGTCATTGGGCCAATGCTAGGAGAATATCTGTCAAAACCTGCGGAAAAGTATTCATTCTTTTCAAGCAACAGTCACGGATTGCTCTGTTTTGGTGGCCTATGGGAACGTCATCCCTTCCTTTTGCCTAGCTTGGTCGTCGCATGCTACAGTTGGACAGCAGCCGCTGTAGGTTATTTCACACTCAAAGAGACCTTATTTTCCAAGGTGAAGAACGACAGCAGCAATCATGAGCACATTAGCGAGTGTACGCATTTACTGAAGCGTCCTCAAGAAGCCGATCAATCAAGGAGGCAAACGAAAGTCAACAAAGGCACTACTATTCAAGAGCTGCTTGAGCATCCGCAAATCCTTTATCGAGTGATCTCATCCTCTTTACTGGGATTATGCATGGTATCGTTGGTCACAGTCAGCACACTATATTTCTGGGAACCGATCAAAAATGGTGGCCTTTCTTTCTCGTCCAACATCACTGGGTCTTTGCTCGGAATGGGAGGTGCTTGGGGTGCAATGATGCTTTTTTTCATTTTCCCCTACGTTCAAAAAAGATTAGGAACATTGAAATTATTCCAAATTTGTGTCAGTGGTTTTGTTTTGGTTTCAATCTTCTTGCCGATTGCAAGTTTAATCGCAAAGGCAAGTCTCGTTGATCCAATCAAGGGTGGAACTACTCATGGCAAATTTGAACAAGATATCAGCCCTATCTCACAGAGATTCATTTTAGCAATCGTTGCTGTTGCACTCTTTATCGAATCGTCCTGTGCGATGGCATATCCTTGCATTGCAATCCTCATAAACCAAGCTGCAAATGTGGTCCCAGGCCAGCAAAGAGCAACTTTGAATGGTCTTACACAAATGTCGTTCAGCGCCATGAACGCTCTTGGTCCTTACACATTTTCAACTCTTTATGCACTCATCTTACACGATCAACCTTTGGGAGGTTACCTGATTTGGATCCTCACAGCTGGTATTGCTTCACTAGGTATGTATATCTCCACCAAGCTCACAGATCTTGAAGAAGCAAGTGATGGCATAGACGACAATTTTGCCAAAAAGTCTGTATGAATTTGTACACAAAAAAGAACTGTAGATCGTAAAACATATTGTCATTTTTTTTTTGTACACACATACAACAGCGAGAGAAAAGAAAGCATGCGAAATGATTACTGAACTGCAGCTTGTGCTTGATCGAAAACAGCTTTACCAGCTTCAAGATTGGCAAGAGCACTCAAAATAGCTTTCAAACTTGAAGCAGTAATGTCCACATCGATACCCACACCCCACCATCCTTCTTTGCGTACCGTACCACCATTTTGATTTGCTTTGTTTTCTTCTGCACCGACCAATTCGACATAAGAAGCAGCTTGACTTCTTGTTTTTTCTTTGCTAGCTTTTTGCGAAGCAGGAGCAATAATTCCTGCTCTGTCGATAGCATGTTCATTGTATTCACGAACATTTGCAGAGATACCGAATGCACTTTCCAAAGCATCCAACATTGCACTCAAAGGACCATTTCCACGTCCAGAAATCTCGTGAGATTTGCCGGCACACAAAACAACCGCATCCAAGCGAACGTAACGTGGTGTTTCTGCTCCAGGATCTTCGTTCGATCGGTTTGACGATAGTGAGCTGATGCTATGCTGCAAGCCATTCGCGCTGTTTGGTGTTTGTGGTAGATCGTCAGACATGCGGAAAGAGCGCAAAACGTATTTACCTTCATTCTTTCCGGTCGTCAAGCTTGGAACGTGGTATGTACTTGTAAAGATGTTGGTAATATCATCAATCGTCATTTCCTTACCTGTACGATCAGCGACTTCTTGTACAACTTGATAAAATGCGATTTGCATACGACGAGGCAAATCGAGTGCAAGACTTTGGGCCACCAAATAAGCCACACCACCTTTTCCACTTTGACTGTTGACACGGATCACAGCTTCGTATGTTGCACCAAGGTCGGCTGGATCGACTGGCAGATAAGGGACGTCCCAAACTGGGTTTCCCTCTTCTTTGCGTTTCTCCTGTGCTGCGAAACCTTTCTTGATAGCATCTTGATGGGACCCGCTGAAGGCTGTGAAGACCAATTCACCGGCATAAGGATGACGAGGATGGACAGGCAAGTCATTGCAGCTTGTAACGACATCAACAACAGATTGCAGATCACTTAGATCAATCGGTCCGGGTTTAATGCCTTGTGTGAATTGATTGAGAGCCAAGGTGACTAGATCGACATTACCTGTACGTTCTCCGTTACCCAACACGCATCCTTCGATACGATCTCCACCGGCCAAGCACCCTAATTCAGCCGCTGCTACAGCACATCCACGATCGTTGTGGGGATGCAGAGAGATGATGATTTCCTCACGTTTGGAAATATGTGTGCAGAAATATTCAATCTGATCAGCGTAATGATTTGGAGGCCCAATCTCGACTGTTGCTGGAAGGTTAAAGATGATCTTATTATCGACTGATGCTCTTCCCCATGCTTTTCGTACTTCTTCACAAAGACGAACGGCAAAGTCCATTTCGGTTTGAGTGAATGTTTCGGGACTGTATTCGTACTTGAAATTTGTTCCTCCGTTTTCAGGCTTGCTGTAGTGATCGATAAGCTCTCTGACTAGATTTGTATGTGTAACGGCCAATTCAATTGTTTTGTCTTGTGAATTTCCAAAGACAACATTTCTGAAAAGGGGAGATGAAGCATTGTACATATGCATGATAACATTCTTGGCACCTTTGATGGATTCGAATGTTCTTCGAATCAATTCCTCGCGTGCTGGTGTGAGAACTTGAATGTAAACATCATCTGGAATCATTTTTTGTTCGATGATCGTTCGTACAAAGTTGAAATCCGTATCAGAAGCACTTGGGAAAGCGACTTCGATTTCCTTGAAACCGATTTCGACTAGCTTTGAGAAAAATCTTAACTTTTGTTGCTGTGACATTGGATTTACCAAAGCTTGATTTCCATCTCGTAGATCGACTGAAGTCCAAATTGGAGCAGTCTTTTGTACCTTTGTTGGCCATTGTCTGTTTGGCATATCCAATGGCTTGTATGGAGCATACTTTTTGCCGGGATCCATACCGAAGCAGTGATTCGACATGATGAATATTCAATATCCCACACTAACAAAAACAAAAGATGATTGTAGATGATGAAGAACAAAGTAGACAAGCATTCATTCTCTAATTAAAACGTGTGGAAAAAGAGTTCATTTTTGCTTCACTTTCTCAGTGTGGAGAAATGCCCTTTTTTTCCTAGTCATTTCCCGATTATGCTTTCTCTTTTTTTTTTCTTCCTTCTTAAGCACGGGCTATTAGACTGTGCATGAATTAAGTAGCGTGTGTGCATGCCTATACTATGAATATAGCCAGCCCTTCTTCCCTCTCAGCCAGGACAATTTCTTCTATTCGGGGCACTACAGAATAATCGTGCACGCCGCCAACAAGGAGCTCCGCTATACGCGCCATTACAAAATGTAACTTCTTTGACATACCATCATTCGATCGGGAGTGGAAGATGCTTTCGGATAATGATAACGATTCCAATGTTAGCGAGACGATCCGCATGAATGTTCCGAACTCGAAAGTCAGCTGATAGCACGCCAACCGAGTTTATGGACGATCGTTGAGATATTTATATTGGCCGATGTGACAAACGCTCAAACGCTCTTTCCAATCTTCACACCATACACAGCTTCAAACCTTATTTCAATCTTCCTGGCCGAAACTTTATTGTTCAGGTCTGTGATAGGCTAAAGCAATGCATAAATGATCAGCGCCCGATCTTAAGGAGAACAATTTGAATATATGCACTCATTCGTAAATCCAGGCATGACAATCTCTACATGGATGGTCAGATTCCGTGACACGGGTAAACATCATAGCAAAGGGGAGCTCATTAAACACGAATCGAAATAAGAATACGGAAGCCGTTTCCAAGAAATGAAGGAGGAATGTATGGCGCTCCACCACGGAGATGTCATTTCGCCATATACTTGTATTATGGGAAAAGATGACCCCTTGGAGTGTTATCTAAAAGGAGTATTATTATTTGCTTGGTAAAGTACCTTTCGCGGGTCCGCAACGTTTATAAATGAGCTTTCCGCATTTATTTATAAGTAAGCACTTATTATGATAAATGCAAATTTGCCCACTTTCCATTCTCCTCTCCAACTACTCTACAAAGCAAGATGATTCGCTCTCTTTCCACCTTTTCATTAATCTTTTTTGCCATTCTCTATTCTGAAGTGGTGATCGCATTGAACGTTAATGCTAATGCTCATGCGACTTTCGGTCACAACAAAAGGCGAATGCCTTCGGGTGCCATCAGCGATCCCACTCCTATCAATGGAGCAACGTTTGATTACATTATCATTGGAGCTGGAAATGCAGGAATGCCATTGGCAAACAGATTAAGCGAAGATTCATCAAAATCCGTTTTGGTTATCGAAGCTGGTGGTGATGTACGTTATGATGACACAGTTCGAATTGCGAATGAAACGTATGGAGATAACAAAAAGAATCCTGATCATAGTTGGATTTATCCTGCCGTTATGCAAATTGAAAATACGAAACCCGATGTTTGGTTTGGTAAGGGAATTGGAGGTTCAACAAACGTTAACGGTCAAGTCTGGAACGCTCCTTCTAAAGCACAAGTTGAAGCGATTGCCAAATTAGGTAACGATGGTTGGTCATGGGAGGATTTGCTTAAGTATTATAAACGTGCACAAGATTATCATCCTCCTTCGGCTGAATTGGCAGCCGATCCTGGTGTAACATATGATCCCGAAGTACACAATTCAGGCGGTCCAGTTACAATCAGTCATCCAAACATTACATTTGTCCCTCAAACACAATCAGTCTTTGTTAAAGCTGTTAAAACTGCATTGGGAATGGATCGTGCACAAGATTTGCAATCGGGAGATAATGTTGGTGTAGCATTCGTTGCTCAAACCATTCATCCTAATTCTACATTGCAACGTGTCAGTTCTGCAACTTCATACTTTACCCCTATCGAAAACAGTCGTTCAAATTTGGTAATCTTACTCAAAAGTCGAGCTACAAAGATCATCTGGGATGACTCCGCCAATGGAACCGATGCAAAAGCTATTGGTGTTGAATTTCAACAATACCAAGGCGGTCAAACGTTCACGGCTAAAACAAGAGGTGAAGTGATCCTTTCAGCTGGAGCGATGCGATCTCCCTTCCTTTTGGAACTATCGGGTGTCGGTGATCCAAGACGATTAAGTACGATCGGTATCGCTCCAAAGGTGAATTTGCCAGGTGTAGGCTTAAATCATATCGAACAATATCAAGTTGGAACAGGCGCACCTGTACTCAACATTTCATGGCACGGATTTGGTGCTTCAAGCAGTATTGCTCAATCTAATGCTATTCAGTTGTTTGGCAAGAATGTCACTGAAGTCGAAAGTTACGTTCGTTCTAAGCATGCTACTTGGGCACAAGATCAAGTAAACGGAGGTGCAGCTTATAATGTAGAAGGTATTATGAAGCAATACGAATTGATGACAGATGGTATATTCTCCAATCAAGTCCCGATCGGTGAAAACTTCTTTGGCAATGGATTTTGGGGACCGCTTTCTTCCTTATCGATGTCTATGTATGTCTTGACACCTTACAGTCGAGGATACGTTCATGCAATCTCAAGTAATCCATGGAGCGATCCTGTCTTCAACCCTAGATTCTTCACTGTTCCATTTGATATGGATATGGAAGTGGCTCATCTGCGTTCTGCCCGTAAGATCTTCAACACGACAGAGATGCAATCAATTATGTACAACACAACATTTTCACCTTTATGCAATTGCACTTTGGATTCAGCAGAAGAATATGGATTCTTACGTTCGCATGCAATTCAAAGCTATAGCACTTTAGATCATTCCGTTGGAACATGCTCGATGATGCCAAAGGAGTATGGAGGAGTTGTGAATTCCAAATTTATGGTTTATGGTACGCAAAACCTTCGAGTTGTAGACGCAAGTATCATTCCAATGCAATTAAGCGCTCATCCACAGGCCACGGTGTATGCTATTGCAGAAAAGGCTGCTGATATAATCAAAAATCAGCACACGAATTCCACTCAGAGCTGATAGCAATCTCGATGAACAGTAGCAATGAACTATTTTTCCTCCATCAAGTACAATAAGAACAAATATCTTACCTTTTTATCCTTGTAATTACCTGCTTCTTATGCTTTCAGCCAAATGAGAATCGTCAATTCACCTTTACATGGCCCAAGCGCGTATACTTGCTTGTGAAATTTCTCTCCCCTTTCTTCCATCATCATTCCTTCGCCATTATTGTCAACATTCTTCGAAGAGGTCTTTATTGGGTATTTATTGTATATTTAAGCTATACACTTTGGATTTACATACGACAAGCAAAGATGACAAGTAAAAGCTTGCTAAAGACGATCGTTTTACCACCCTCTTCTGGAGGTCAAGCCACAGCTACATTGATCTTTGCACATGGTTTAGGTGATACAGGTGCAGGATGGTACGATGTCGCTCAAATGCTCTCTAGAAGGCCAGCTTTGAAGCATGTTCGATTCATCTTGCCCAATTCTCCCGTTCAACCTGTTTCGCTCAACATGGGTATGAAGGTAAGTGGGAAGAAGGAAAAAATGCTCAACCTTTATAATCTAACGTCTTACTTTCTTGCCCTTTTCTCAGATGCCTTCTTGGTTCGATAGTAGGTCTTCAGCATCTTGTGTGCACTAAGAGAGCTAATCTTCAGTCGAGCGATGCATACTGACACACCCTCTTCCGCCCACAGTCACATCACTTGACGACGTTTCAGGATCCGAAGATGAAGCAGGACTACGACAAAGCGCTGATTCGATCAAAGCATTGGTCGATGCAGAAGTAGATGGATCAGGTTCAGGTCTGGACGGGAAAGGTATTCCATCAGATCGTGTAGTCGTTGGCGGTTTCAGTCAAGGTGGTGCAGTTTCTCTTTTGGCCGGCTTAACACATTCTCCACCCGTTGCTGGAATCATTGCTTTGAGCACTTGGTTACCTTTACGTGCAAAACTTATTGCTCCCTACCTGGCCAAAGATGCTGATCAAGTTCCCGTCTTTATGGGTCATGGAACGGCTGACCCTGTCGTTCGACATGAATTCGGTTCAAGAAGTGCGAAATTCTTACGAGCTGGTGATGGAGGTGGTCAGGGATTAGGTTTGGGTACTTTCCGACAAGGTGAAAATGGTAAATGGAGAGGAGTCTGGTCTGAAGATTATCCGGGAATGCCTCATAGTGCATGCCCAGAAGAAATTGAACATGTTGGTGAATTTTTGGAAAAGATTGTGCCAGCACAGTAGATCATGTAAAATGACAAAGCAAATTAAGAATACAATTAAAAAGTACAATATCATACAGATTTCATGAAGGAAGAACAACGCCTCCATTTTTTTCGATAGCTTCATGAGCTGCTCGCCATCGCTCTTCGTCTTCCGTTCGCTTGATTTCTGCTTCGAGGCGTTCGACTTCCGAATGGACTTCAGAAGTGAAGCCTGCGTATGCATCAGAATCAACAAATTGCTTCCAGTATGCCGCATAGAATACTATCTTCTTGCGATCAGCCTTTGAGGCGATACTGCAGATGTCGCTCAGAAGACAAATCATCTTGCTATTGTCTTCATTCTCAAGTCGTACCTTTGAAATTGGAAGGAAAGGCTGTTGGACTTCCTTGAATAAGAATTGCATCATTTCTGCCGGCTTTTCTCCAGCATCTGCACCCAATCTGGCAAGAAGCCACAGCGTCACATCCTCTCCATTGCTCAGAATAGTTCGCGACAAATCATCATTCTTGTCGTGGGACTTACTGGTGATCAAGAATGGCACGAGCTGAGAGAAGAGTTTTCGGATGAAGGTAAGTTCGGTTTGTTCTTCCACCTTCTCGTTCTGCAAACCAGCAAGATCATCTACGTCCACATGTCTGAGAATGTAGACATAGCTCAAAGCAACAAGCAAGATGTTCCATTGTAACTCTCTCCCTTGAGGTCTGCCCTGCATCCCCTGGACGATTGCTTGAACATCTTTGGAAAATTTGTCGGAAACTTCAGGCGTTTTCTGATCTGTGCAATTAACATCAGACACGCTCCACCATTTCGCTGCAATGCTCGTTTGCTTTTCTCCTTCTTCTTCTTCTGACCTGAGCTCATTGCCTCCTGCAAGACGACCGCCATTCATTTCAGCCTGTCGAATCATCGCTTGGAACTGCTCTCGTTCTTCGGCACTCAGCATGGCCAACAATTCTTGCGTATTTGCAGTCTCTAGATCTATGCCTGCCCTCACAGCTGTTTGCAGAACATCTTCCCATTCATACTCCTCGGATTCGTCATCGTCTTCTTCGTCTCCTGAATCCTCGCTAGTCTCATGAGGATTGTATAATTGTGGTTTTCGGGTTTGTGAAGAAGCCTGTTTGACATTCATGTCCAATTTTTGTATTCTTCTCAAAACGTCCATCATCTTTTCACGTTCTTCTTCATCGACAAAAGCATTTTCACCATCACCTTCATCTTCCTTTGCATGTCTTTCTTCGTCTAATGCTTGTTGTATAAAAGGTTTTGAACATCTTTCATGTTTTGTATGACGAAAACACGTTACCGAACAATAAGGGATATTGCATTGAGGACATGTATATGGTGATGGTCGTATACGACAGATTGCACAAAGTAGTCCTGAAGCTTGCGTGGGTTTTTGCTCTTTTTCATCCTCTTCCTCCCCACCAATACTCGAATCAGGCCTTGGCACGATCCCATCTTCTACCTCTTCTACCAACCCCTTCCTCTGCTTTGCAGCATTGTGAAGAATACCATTCACCGCTCTCTTCTCCCTTCCGATCCCCAGTAGTCCATCCATCCGTGTCCTGTAAGCCGTAGGTGGTGGTATTGTGGCAAGAAGAATAACACCTCTCAAAAATAATCTTTGTGGAGCGTATCTCACGCGCTCCTCCAGAAATTCAAGCTCATATCATTGACAAGAACTTGATGAATAAAAAGTTCAGTCTATTAATCCTTAAACAATCCGACTCTTTTCGCCTTTCTCAAATTTGAACGATGACATTAAAATGATTATTTGAAGCGGAACATTGGGTAAATCGAGTATATAAAAAAATGAAGAAATTCTGATGCTATACAAATGCCTGTTTTTTTCTCTAGAAACTATGGAAAGAAATGAATGTGCGTATTCGATAAGCACAAAAAAGAGGTGCGTATATGTGTGTTGTGTGGTTGAGTGAGAGAAAGAGGGATGTTATCGGAATTGATCATTTCAAATGATAATATGCCTTATACCAGCCGGGGTAAGACATGCGCCGCGCTGTGCTGTGATGATTGACCAAGTGGGGGGAGGGAGTGTCCTGAAGGTGCAGGATATGCAAGTGCCTGAAACGAATGATGGTGTGTATATCTGGATGATCCCCCAAAAAAAAGTGTCCATAAATGTTGTGATCCTCACAGAGAGCAAAGAGCGATCATCATGATTTAGCATCACCGCTACCTTCTGCTCCGACTGAATTGAGAACTTCTTGGTATAATTGTTCTGTTGGCAACATTGCTGGCGGTCTTTCTACTAACCACATCACATTCTTTGCTGCTCCTGCTTGTCCATTTCCTCCATCGTTGTACAATGTCATTGCATATGCTGAACCGCCTCCCGATTGGAATCCTGGATGAGGATCGGTGTAGATGTTCCACATAGGTATCAATTCGAATTGACTGTAATGAAACATCTGTACTGTTTGTCCTGCACATGGGCTGATAACTTGAACGAATCCATCGGCTGGGAAAGGTGAAAGAGACAAAGAGTTGTTTGCGTTAAAGGTAAACTTTCCGTGTTGCCATGATAGTGCTGCAGTGAAACATCTGTTAACTTGTGGATTTGATTTATAGGTAAATGTTGAAGTTTCAAAGAATCCATCATCTGTGAAACTGTATGAGGTTCCTGAAGTTGAAGGCATTGTGAAATTCTTTGTGATCGGATTGAAGAATCCTAGTCCTGTTCGAACGTGACCTGATCCGGTTGACCATGTTCCTGATATACCTGTCACATTATTGGCGAACGTTTGTCCAAGTGTAGATCCTGTCAGTAGTCCTGTGATGAGAGCCAAAGAGGCGATATATGAACGCAACATTGCTGTAAACCGGAGCTGGGTTTTATGAGATGGCTGGATGAATGCTGAAGTGTCCAAGTAGATCGCCGTCAAAAGAGTGATGTATTGAGCAAAGCTAAATCAAATTGATCTGCAACTAGTGTTTGTTGGATGCCGGATGGATGATCTCAAAAAGTGAAGACTAAATGAGCTTGGACCTCAAGATTGCCGAAAAAGATGAGGATCTTGGTAAGAAAAAGAAGTTTTATTGGTGTTTTTGGGTTGTAATTGGAATTGTGTTTAAAAAGAAACGCTCAATATAGAATCGATGCGCGCGTTCAGTGTCCCTGTTCAGTTGCCTTTACAGTCGCGTTTCGCTGTTCTTTTTTGCTCCGCCCGTTCTCTTTTCTTGATTAATTAGACGAAAAGTGATCCAAATGATGATGATGATGAGATAAAATAGGAGGAAGGAGTTACCTATAATAATCATCTTTTCTTTTTAACACTTTTCTACTCGCCCTGTTCCCTCTCCATGCCTTTTTTCGCCTGCAAAAGGGGATCGGTGGATGAAATTTCATCTCTGCTTCGCGCAAAACACGGCTAAGATGCCCAATTGCGTACGTATATACTGTGATCGGAAACGGTACCGCTAAAGAGCAATTTTGACAGACACACCCTGGAGGCAGTGTACAGCCGTCAAACAAAAAGAAAGAAAGTATGAAATACGCGCTAAAGAAATTCTGCTTAAATGCTTCAACAAACACTTCACCCTTTGTACATACATACGCCGCTCCGCCCCCTCTTTCTCTCTGCCTGGCTGCCTGCCTTCAATCCATCCACCGATACCAGCTGCGTGCGTTGTTCAAGAAGGGGAATGTTGTACGCAGCTGCTCCGCCTTACTGTCTGTAAATGCAGTTTTAAACAAGTACTTTGTACACCTGTACAAGAAACACGCTATTTGCCTTTGAACCGACGGTATTTTCACAACATTCACTTTGCAAGTCATTTTGCAAGTTTATAAATTTCACCGTTTATGCATACACCGCAGGTGGCGTACTACAAAGAATTTCTGGGCATGCAATAATGAAAAACATACTTGCCATTCTTAAAAAAGGAACACATGAATTGATTATGTCATCCAAAACTCCTTCATCTTTCACATACTCACAAACATTGAAAGTCAAGAGATGATATTTCGAGATGTGATTATAGTAGTAAGGTACACAAATAGATTGATCGGGTAAATCAGAGGAAAAGAAGAGATAAAAATGAGAAAACAATGGCATGACGATCGGATGCGGAATAAGAAGGAAGAACGACAAGAAGACATAATCTGAAAAGAAATAAAAGAAAATGTACTTGCGCAGATTCTGAGGGAATTATATCTATAAAGAAGACAAATTATGATTGAAGAAGCATTGAGAGTTTGAGAGTTTTCGAGCCATTTTTGATCATGAAAAGAAAATTAAAAGGGGAATATGTGGATCTTTTGTTGAGATTTTCACCGTTTGTTGTTGTTTTCTTCTTTTGAATACGTTACCAGCCTCTGGTCCACGTTGCAACGTGGTGGGTATGAAGAGGACTAGAGGACTTGAATCATATCCGATCGATCGTCAAGAATTGCCAAAGAAAAGGCTATGAGAACCTTTACTTCTTTGGTGCAACTGCTGATCCGTTACCGTTGGCTTGTGGTGCAGCAGATGGGTTGACGATAGCCTTTTGCAAAGCGGGCAAAGATTGTTCACGGACGTATGTCAAAACATTCTTGAAACGTTGAATTGGTGGGATAGATGTGTCACGGGTTTCCTTTGCCAATGTTTCGTAAGCATCGTTGAAGGATTCAATCACTGGGCTAACACGTTTACGGCTCTCAGCTGGCAAGCTAGATGCAAATCCACGAACACGTTCCAATTCAGCAAAGATTGCATTGGACAATCCTTGAGCACGGTGAATGCCTGCTTCTCCTTCGGCCTTGGAGCGAGAGCTGATGGAATCAATTGTCTTTGCCAAGTTTGTTTGCAAGTTGCTCACGATCTCTGTAGCACGAGCCAAGTATGCGTTTTGGTTCTTGAGTTCTTGGAAATGAGCATTTGCTGAATCGTAAGCAGGTGCAACACGAGCGTTGTACAAAGATTTGGCAGGTGCAAAGACACGTTCATCGTATGCCTTTTGTGCTGCTGCCAAGTAAGCATGGACGAAAGCAACGGCTTGATCAGCAGGTTGACGAGCATCAGAGACGACCTTTTCAGTTGTTGCATGGAATGGGTATGGGAATTTTGATTCAGCAAAGTCCAAACCCTTTACGGCGTAAGCATCCAAGAAAGCCAATTGAGGTTGCAAACGAGTTGTAACTGGTTCAGCAGCTTTGAGGGAGGATGAGACAACACTTTCACCGAAATGATAAGGTTGAGCCAAGAAAGAGTGAGATTCAATTGTTGATTGAGCAAAGTTGAGACTTTGAGCAACAATTGGGACTTGAGTGATACGGTCGATAGCTTGACCGTATTGTTTGGATGAGCTTGCACCGTTGGTGGCTGCTGGAGTTGCGCTGACGGCTGCCATTGTGTATGAAGAAGTTTCTATTCTGCAACAAAAGAATAAAAATAGAGGAGATGGTTAGTAAAGAAGAAGAAGAAAAAAGTGGGAGGAGGGTAGAATTGATTGGGGCATTTACACTTGTGCGCGCAGAGGTCCGTGTCCTCCTCCGTAAAGATGAATAAATGAAGTACTGCTGAATTGCCTTGCCCAATTAAGGGATCAGATCCATCGGGGATCAACAGATAGAGAGATAGAGGGAGAGCTAGGACTTTGGATAGTGCTGTGAAAGAGAGTGCCGGGAATGCGATGCGATGCCATGAAACCCCATATATCTCTATGCATTCAAATGCAAGTAAGTGTGTAAACCATACATGAATCACCCCATGACCTTGGTACAATCAAACAATTGATTGCAATCAGCCAGCATCGGCGCCTTCCCTTTTGTTATTGTTGAAAGCGTGAGAAGCAATGACCTTTCTCGCAATAAAATCCAAAAGTTTCGCCGAATTTTAGAGTGAAAAAGAGCGCGTGTGCAGAGCTCTCACCACAAAGGTGCATAGAAAAGCCAAGCCAAAAAAAGAGTAGAATCGACTAGCGCGATCGCACGCCACAAATAGGCAAAATGCATTCATACACACACAGCATTTATCAGGCACGCCATCTTCAAAAGAAAACAATCAAATGGCATAAGCTGACGAAACCGGCAGGGATTTCGTCACATTCCAATTGAGAGTGTGATCTTTTGGATTGCTGTTGATTGCTAAATGATGAATCATTTGTAGCATATATGCGACGGCGCCCTCACATTGTGACGATATACGAGCGGCGCTAGTGGCGAGATAAGGTTTTCTGGGCGTAGAGGAGGGGAAAAGATAAGAAAGATGATACTCACTGTAAGTTTGAATGGGAGAAGGCGATCTACGCGCAATGAGGATTTGATTGATGGTGATGGTAAGAAGAAAAGAAACTGATGACGAGGATCAATTTGTACTTATCTATCTTTTGGAGCAAAGTTCGATTTTTAAGATTCAACCCTCGCTTTCATACATGGAGAAGTGTGTACGCACGCACGCACGCACAGATGGGGCAAAAAAGAACAGAGGTTGAGATAACATGCCTATCCGTGCATATTCCCCTTTGTTGTGCTTTCAGAATTGGGTGATTTGTGAAATGAGAATCTTACTTCAAAATTTAATTTCCAAGTCTTTTTCGGAAATGTTGTATGTGTATGCATTGTGTGTGAAAAAATATAGTTTAAATCTTTGCTGCATACACATCTTGACAGAGAGAGAGAGATGGGTTGCAAAATAGCGTGTTAAGTATCAACCCTTGCCACACAGGCCTCCTCCTCTCGCTTGTTAGGCTAGGAGCACGTAAGTACAAGCAGGAACAGAACACGTTTACTTGAAGCGTTGAAAGCTGAGCTGAAGAATGTTGCTAATTAACACACCAAACCACGACTCAATTGCCGAAATTGTACGTGTGAAAGCAAGGCAGATTAGCGGCAGTGCAAAAGCAAACAACGATAACGCGTGAAAAGTGTATTATTGCATAGCCTTAAAACTTTTGTATGCTATGCTTGTCAAGTCACCGGCATAAACAAGGATTTCCTTCTTCTTCTTCTTCTTGCCATACTAAACAGGGTTGTTCTTTCTGGCTCTCGAGAAAAATTAATTTACGTACGGATAGTACGGAAATTCGAGTTCCTTTTTCTCACTGTGAACCTTCACTAAATTGTGGCTTCTTCTAAAACTCGTTCCTTGACAACATGGGGAACATCCTTTCCCCGTGAAAGATTAAATACTGATTTGATTAGGTGATCATCGGAATACTCCTTCGCTTCGATCGCCATTTTCGGAGGAATTGTTCATACATCTCTTCCGACTTTTCACGAGAAATACATAATTAATCTAAGTATTTTTGATAGTAGATAAGATAACAAATGAGTTACTCTTTCCGGCTGTCCGGTCCTTTTTGAGAACGTTCTTTAGCACACTTTTTCATCGCTTAAGATCTTACATACTTTGTTCCCACGCTTGATGTTCTCGCTAATCATTAATACTTCCATTGCATTCCATCTTCTACGATGCACAGATCCACGGGCTCATATTCCTCGCCTCATTCCGCTTTCTGCCGGTTGATCTAACCGGCTGCTGTACGAATGGCATCATCTTAACGCAGGTACAACAATGTAACCACTCATTCGGTCACCCTCTCACCCCATTTTTATATAATCAATGACAAATTCAATTCCGTTTTTATATACATTTTTGGATATTTGCATGAAAAAGATAAAACAGAGAGAAAAAACACATCCTTGCAGTCCACAAATGAGTCTCTATTTCTCCTCTTGGACGACTCGTTCCTTTTCATGCTCTTCATGTCCGATAATATTGTTATCAGCATCGGTAACGATACCAAGCTTTTCGGCCATCTCCTTTGTAAGGGTAGAACGAGGTCCATGGTAATGACGATGAGCATAAGCAAAGTACCAAATACCTGTAACAATCAAGACGCCAAACATGACGATTGCTCCCCAATTCATTGAATTTTTATCAACCGAAGAGTAAAGTGGGAAACTTAAAACTGTTGTTTCAAACAAAACCCAAAAGACCGAAATCCAAACAATCGTTCTTGCCCACCATTTTCTGCCCATAAAGAATGGTCCAGGTTGGAATTGAACGTCTGGATGATGTTCGAAAAATTGTCGGGCAAGGATTGGGATGATGTAAGATAAATCCATTCCGATCGCTGCCAAAGAGAAAATGGCCAAAACGGCAGTGTAATTGATGAATGAAAGGCATCCCAACAATAAACACAAAACCACAACGAGCCAAACTGCATTGACAGTTGTTCCTGTTCTACGTTCGACACGAGCAAAGAATCCGAAATCAGGCAATCCACGATCACGAGAGAAAGCATAGAATGATCTTGCATTGGCTTGAATAGCAGTCGTCACGACGAACCAAGCGACTGAGCAAATGAATGGCCATAGAACCAAGAATGCTACCTTTCCACCTCTGTCGAACAAGATTTGTGCAAAACTCAATCCTCCAATCCATGTGTCTGGGGTACCTGTTGTAGCGACTTTACCTGAAGCGAAAACGTAGCAAATGTTAAGGAAGAAGCCCATAATACCTGTACTGAGGACAGCTGTGAAAATGGCAACTGGTGCAGCAATGGCAGCCTTTGAAATTTCTTCAGAAATATGAGCAGTAGCATCATAATCTGTCATGACGAATTGAACGGATTGCAAACCCAAGAAGAACACGAAACCGTTGCTTGACCAGCCGGACTGATTAACAACGTCACCGAAAACGTATGATGCTGAATGCATCTCATCTTTTGGAGTGCGTGCAAGAACAAGGATAGAAGAAATGATGACCATACCAAAGTTGATGATGACATAACTTGATGTTAAGCCGGCCAACCAACGCGTAGGGAAACAGTTGATGAAACCGTGGATGATGAGAATAGCAGCATAAACGCCAAACGTTTGTGCTGTTGTAGGTGAGTATCTTGAATCAACCAAAACGGTAGCCCAAGCCAACATCATTTGTGCCAAACCGTATGCACTTCCAGCAATACCGGCGATTTGACCTGTAAAGTTGAGCCAACCTGTAATCCAGGCGGTGATTGCTCGATATCTCTTTGGAACCAATAAACCACTTGCAGAGTAAAGACCACCGGAAGAAGGATAAGCAGAAACGATTTCAGCGATAGATGCACCCAAAGTAAGGTTCATCACGGATCCCAAAAACCAAGCCCAAACGGTAGTTGCAGGACCACCATATTGAAAAGGCGTATTGAAAGTTGTTGCAACGGAAGAAATCAAACCCATAATACTGCATGCATAACTAAACGTACTGAAACTTCTAAATTCACGGGCAAATTCTGATTTATGACCTGTTCTCCTTGCCAATTCTGCATCATCGTCGTTTAATTCTTCATCGTTTGCTTGAACACGTCTTTCGGTTACTTTTGCTCCTACTATTTGATCGTTTCCTGCATTTCCGCCGAATTTGCGTTCGTTGGAAGAAGTGGAACCGGAATCACTCTTTTCGTTTGTGAGTGACATTGTCGGTGGAAGGTGGGGGGAGGGGGGATAAAGGTGAATGTATGCTTGATGGATTTCTCCGCGTTTAGATAGATAGTTGGCGGGAGTTGCCTTGGATTGATGATGGTGAAAGGGATTCGGTTGCAAGAAAAGAGGGATGCAATCGTTTAGGGAAATGCTGATGTATGTACCTGCTTTATACCTCTTTTCAAGTAAGAGAATTTTATTCTCAATTCAAATAAAAAGTACACTGGTTTAGTGGTGGTACCTGATTCGGCTTTTGCCTAGGAAGTACTGAATCAAGTTTGTTTAATACTGCTTTAGTGCCTTAGTCTTTCTTGCTTTCTTGGACGTGTTTTTTATTTTTTCTCTTAGTGGCTATTTTCCATAAGGATAGCATCGGCCGCTTAAATGTGAACCAGTGGGAGAAGTAAGTACTTTGCAGCGCGAATAGCATCGGACACAGGTGTGTCTACCCCGTTTACAGGATGCTTGACAAATTTCAAAATGAGGTCAGTATACCTGTCAGGGCTAGAATTCAGGCCTACGCGACGTATTTTGTTCAACGTGCATAACACCTGCTCTTCAGCCAAAAGAGACTTTATTCATTAATCAGGTACTCTATCCGATTGTTTGCATACAAGCGTTAGATAAGTACTGCTTAAACGCCTTATGCGCAGACAATGATAGCAGCATACAGCGGTACAAGCGGGATGCCATCCGAATTCATTTTATTATTCTACTCCTCCTCCCCTTTCATTTTCTAACGGGCACTTGGACTAGACCTTTGGCCGGAACATTGCGTGGGCGCCACAATTCCATTTTGACCCTGAAATTTGACCCGATTATTATTTCGGCATAGGAATTTATTTGTACGGCTGTCATTTGTAATATCTACGATGATCTGTTTGGATTGAAAAGAGATGATCTTGGACAATTTCATCAAGAATCAATTGCCAAGCAGACAAGAGACTATGAATAGATCGACAGAATATTCTTCCACTTCCTCCCTTTCATTCAACAGCGTGGGGTAATTTATTGCCAAAAACACAAAAATGATATGTTTGTCTCGGGATGCCGCCGCCACTGCCCGAATGTGATATACTTGTCCAGTGCCGGTATAATTAGAGAGTGGTGCAGTGCATCTTTTAGTCACGTGAGATTCACTCTATCGGCTTCAGCTCCGAGCCTGTACAGTGCCGCGGGCTTACATTGATAGCGCTTAACTGAGAGAATGTTAGCAGATCCAAGAAGAATGACTGATTGATACACATCACCTCTCATCCTTACTTTTGAAAGCCTCTTTTGTGGGGTGCTTGCTGTTTTTGTGGGACTGGAAGATATCAACATTATCCGCGGAAATGGAGAACTAAAGATAGGAAGATTGTCAATCAGCATTTGTGTTGCTTATCGACACAAAAGAGGTTATTCACGACAATGCTTGCAAGGTCAGGCATACGGAGGACGTCCTCTGAATGGGTCAGGTCGATAACAATTCCATCAGCATGCAAGTCGAGGTCTCAATCTGGATCTCGTATTGCACCTCTGTCTAGCTCAAATCGAAGAGCAGCCTACTCCAGTCTCGCCAGTGGATCTTCGCCTGTTGAAATAGCAAAGAGATTGAGCTTATTACGTCATATCGCTCAACAGAAGTTGCCATCTGAAGGACAGACACCCAGCCATCGGATCGCATGCTTTGTTCGATCGGTGAGGAAGCATAGAAATGTGACTTTTTTGGCAATCAGTGATGGCTCCCTATTGAGTGGAGAACAGCAAACTTTACAAGCAGTCTTGAGAGGATCACTGAAAGAACAATATGATAATCATCTTGCATCTGGAATTGCATTGGAACTGGTTGTTGAAGCGGCAAAGAGTAAAGGCCAAGGGCAAGATGTGGAATTGTTGGTGAAGGAAATGCAAGTTACAGGAGAGACTGATGCTGCAACATATCCTATTCGATTAGAACCTGTTTCAAAAGGTAATAGTAAAAGCCAAGAGCAGCAAAACATAAACGAAGCCCATACCATCGAAAGGTTGCGCCGAAATGCACATCTACGATCAAGAGATTTACGACATTCTGCAATCCTTCGAACGCGCGATGTGATGGAAGGTGGGGTGACTGATTACTTTCGTTCACAAGATTTCGTCAGAGTCGTGACGCCGGTCTTGACTGCATCGGATTGTGAAGGAGGGGGAGAAGTGTTTCGCGTAGAGGCTGCTACAAATTGGCCTTCAAAGGTGCAACCCAAAGATGGAAAGCAGCATTCGTTCTGGTCAGATTCACAAGCCTACCTTACAGTCTCCGCTCAATTGCATTTGGAAGCAATCACGATGGGACTAGGTAGAGCATATACCCTGTCGCCAGCTTTTCGCGCAGAAGGAAGTGCGACAAATCGACATTTGGCAGAATTTTGGATGTTGGAAGGAGAGCAAATCACTAGTCAAGATGCATCTGTTGCAATGGGTGAAGTGACAGATGTTGTGGAGGGAGTTGTCAGGAATGCCATTTTAGCAGTCATAGAGCGAAAGGAGCTTTTGCATCAACTTTCGTCGGACAAGCAAGCTTTCGAGGAGATTGCACAATATGCTACCGGGAAGAGATGGCAGAGGATCACATATACAGATGCTATTGAGCAGCTTTCATGGCAAGAGTCACCTTCACACAACTCTCCACCCAAATGGGGCGATTCTCTCTCTTCCGAGCAAGAAAGGTGGCTTGCACGAAATGGGCCGATCTTTGTGACGAACTATCCCAGTGCAGATAAGCCGTTTTATATGCTAGTCAATGACGATCAAAAGACGGTTGCATGCTTTGATCTTTTGGTGCCTCGAATGGGTGAATTGGTTGGAGGTTCATTACGTGAGACTCGATTGAACACCATACAAGAAAGGATAAAGACTATCTCACAACAAGATCAAGAAGGCATCTCTGATAAACTTGCATGGTATACCGACGATTTGCGAAAGTATGGATGTAACCCGCATGGAGGTTTCGGATTGGGTGTCGAACGATTGTTGGCTTGGATCACAGATACGGACAGCGTTCGAGATGTGATTACATTTCCCCGAGTTAAAGGTCCGCTTCATTTCTAGATCGGGCTGACTAGACTAATAATAGATGTTTTTGTAATTTTACTATTTCTGTACATTATCAAAATCAATCATCATAGAAAGAGTCTCGTGGCGTGATCCCGATTTGAGATATGGTACGACTGCAACCTCTCTGCTACAGAATGCCTGTCAGGGGAATCATGATCCCTATATATATCGATCCTGTAATGAATGCGGGGTATTATTAAGGGGTTGATCGAATTTGTGAGCAAGGTAAAATGGAGGAAATTCTAGGAGTAACAGGCATCTGTTCAAAAGACGGCATGTAAATTTCTTCGCCTTTGTGTTCCGAATTATTCCTTACGTTCGAGTTTCCATTTAATGATGGCCGGATGTAATGTTAAATCCGTTTAGACTGGTAAAATACCCCATGTTTAGCCTCTGTACCTAATTGGCGTGTAGCGCCTAAGAAGAGTTTAAAAACGCCACTGTTTTGTTGCATTGCGTGCGAATTGCAGAAAATTGAGCAATTATCTCCGGAAATGACGTGCGGACATTAACAAGTCATACGCCCAGGCAGACTGTTTACCTCCTTTTCTCCACCAACACAAAGAAATGTTTTATTCTTTCTCTCAAAGGAGACCGAAAAAAGATTTCCCCTTTTTATGAGGAACAGCCGGAATGAATATCAAGTATGCATGTACGCACGGCACTCGACCAGCGATCAATTTCGGCCCTAAGATAAAAAAAAAGCGGCCATTGCGTGATGAAAATCATAAGACTCCGTTACAATGAATGGCATATTATTCAGCCCAGAATATATGTTATAAGTAAGATGAATCTCAACTCGTTCCTCTTACCCCTGTACCATCATCATCTTTCGTTCTGGTTCGACCTTATCACTCATCACGATGCAAAGTGCTGGCATGAGTAGAACACAGAAGAGAGCCTCTTCTGAAGTGGAAGAGGTTCTTAATGCTCAATCACGTAGAAGGATTCCAGGTCAATTGGGAAGGACCCATTTCAAGATAGCACCCGGCTTATTACAATCCGATGACCATCAGCATCACCAACACAGCGAACATTCCTCTTCCGAGAGACGATATGATGAAGCATGGGAAAAGTGGTTCAAGAACGAAAGCTTGTCATCGTCCACACCTTCATACGAAGACTCTTGGAATCGCTGGTTCTCGAAACAGCAACAGCATCAAGTGGCTTCTTCTTCTGCCATTCAACAATCTGCAAAAGATCTCAAGACATTTGAAGAAGTGCCACGAGAGGCAACACGACCAATTATGTCGCGCCTTCCACTCAAACAAGGAGAAGACTTTGATGCAATTGCCGCTAATCCGACCGAAGGTGGAAGTTTAGATTATCTTTCATCTTCCAATGCTGTGGAAGTAGTTGGTGTTCATCCCGAAGCAAAAGTGAGCGACTCGGTGACTTATACGCGAGCACGACTACCGGAATTAGATGAAGAATCATTTCACCTCTGGAACGCTTTGCATCACCTTAGAGGGATTTCAAACGATTATGCCGAGGGATACGAAGCGGCGGCAAACAAGAGAGCACACGGCAAACAATCACAAGCAGCACCACATCCAATCTCGGATGAAATGGATGCAACACAATGCCCGGCATTCAATGCGCCAACATCAACGGCGTCCGATCGTGCATTAGCATTGGTAAAGCGAATCTTCAACTGGTCGGAACTTCCAAGTTTACCTGTAGAAGATGAGTATACATGGTATGGAGTTGCATTTCGCTCCAAACGTCGAATTGGAAGTGAATCTTTGAATTTGTATGAAGCAGACAGACGATCACACGAAGAAGCAGTTGATTCGGGTGGTTTGTTGATGTATTGGTACGGAAGTCCAAACGAATCAACAGGTCATAATTTGGCAACTTGTATTTGGACAAACAGACAAGATGCAATTCGTGCTTCTGCTTTGCCACTTCATGCTCGCGCTGCTGCTCATGCTCTCAAAGCGTATGAGAGTTTTGAATTGAACCGATATGCACTTCGAAAAGTCAAAGGAGAGACCCAATTACGATTAGAAGAATGGACGGAAGAGGTCTAGACAAACAATAGAGCAAATAGAATTTACCCGAGAGACCTACTCATACAGCATTTGTAACATATTCATAGCATTCAATCATATCATCTCAGACATCATCAATTGTAGCCAGAATAGATTATTAGGATTGAATGACCACTCGTTCTGAAAAGTTTCTAAATTCGTTATACATCACACAATAACTTCTTCGTAAAGGCTAAATAAATCATTTATTTGCATCAAGTAACATCTTTTCATGTGTAATACTTCTTAAGCCAAGGTTTCTGAGAAGAAGGCAGCAGTGTTCTTGAGTGCTTCTTCGTGACCTGCTTTAACCTTTGCGTCCTTGAGATCAGGACGGCTACCGAAACCGTGAACGGTGTTCGGGTATTGTTTTGTACGTTTGTCAAGGACGTTGTTTGATTTGAGGTTGTTGTTCCATGCTTCTTGTAATTCACCTTGGAAGAGAGGATCCATTTCAGCTTGGTTCAACAAGATTGGAACTTTGATCTTTGATGCTTCTTCAGCTTCCAAAAGTGCGGGATGGTAAATTGCACCTGCGGAAAGAGTACCGTCCAAAGCACCCAAGGCGACCAACTTTCCACCGTAGCAGAAACCAACGCCACCAACCTTTCCGCCATTTGTCTTTTTCACTTCTTCAGCAACGGCTTTGAAGATTGGGAAAGTATGTTCGGGAGAATTCTTCTTTCCGATCCATTGACCAAAGTTTTCAAAGTTCTTTGAAGTTTGATCTTCACTTGGTGCTCCTTCACTTGCACGTTTTGGCAAAACGAAATCTTTTGCATCAATTGCTCCACCAGGGAAGATATCTGGAACGTAAACTGAAAGACCAGATTGTTTTGCAAGTTCATCAGCAACAATTTTTGGATTAACGATCTTTAAACCGAAAATGTCAGTTGCCACAATAATGCCACCTTTTTGATTAGATCCTTTGGCAACGTATGTATCAACACCGCCAATCTTTGCTTCCGAACCGCTTGGGCTACCAGGTAATTCGTTCAAATCGAGACAATGAGAGCAGAAAGCCATTTTGTTTGTTGTTTGTAGATATTAAGATATATATCAGATGATGGAGAAGAGAGAGAATGTTGTGCAAGTTGGTGTTCTTCTGAATGCATTCATTCTTCCATTGTGTTCATCTTTCGGCTTTTGGATGATTAGCTTTAAAGCAAAACAGGGCGCATCGCCAGTGTTTCCCTTACGTCCGTGCATTCCACCTCCACAACTATAGGCAAATCCGATCATTTCTTCCCGTTGAACTCTTTACACTAAACGATCATGTGGACACCCTTCCGAGATCGGCACGTGGATGCATTTCAATATCAATAACCAAAAGAGGTTCGTCAAGTAGAATAGAATCCATCTGAATCATTTGGGTGAAACTTGCATCGATTAGAGGTTTGATGTACAAAAACTAGATGGAAGTAAAAAGTGCAAACTTCTCATTCCGAATTGATCTATTTATGTATCCAATACCTCATTGCACATCCTTCGATCTTGGAGAAACCAATTCAAAGATTTCGGGAATAAGAGAGAAATGATGATTTCATGGAAATTGCCCGCGATGGTCCAGGAGATCGAAGGTAACTTTCCAATGGATAAATGCACACAATATATGCATCTCTCCACTAATCCGGTTATAGAGTCGGAGATCTTTTCTTTAATGAGATCATGCCTGGCATCATGAAAATCAATACAAAACGTCCAACAATACCGTGCCGGTGTGATAGCGTGTGAATGCTCCCGATCGCTTTGATCAACTGTTTTCGGTCCGCACATTCATAATATCAATTTAATTCTTCATTCTAGACAGTACAATCATTCAAATATGAAAACTGAACACAACGATCGTCAGGACGTCATGAAAGGCCTGTGCTCACATGAGAAGAAAAAGTTCAATGGCAGCGCGAGGAGAGATTAAAGTGCGGTTCGTAAGGGCAAGTCGTAGTGCACGCACGCACTCAACGGATTTTTATTTTTTTTTAGTTTGTGCCTGGGCCTTCTTACTCTATGTAATCGTACAGGGCCCATCAAGAGACCTCATCAAGATAACATCATATGTCAAAAAAGGCCTCTTGCTTTAATGTGAGAAGAATAGAGAGGGCAAAGCGGTAGACAGCTGTTTTTCATTCTGCAAAATATTCAATTTAAATCTGTTCTCTTCGACACTTTTTTAATTCACAGTCCAAGCGTAACTAAAATGGATCAAAATGATGAAAATGTGCATATCCACATTCTTGAGAAATTGTTTTCGGGACACAGAGGGGATGAAAGAGGAGCCTGCTATTTTAAAATAAGCTTTACACAGACGGCAAAGTAGGATCGAAAAGAGGAGCACATCAGCCCGTCAAAGGAGGTGGCCCACAGGAGATCCTAAGGGGAGGAGGAATGGGAGAGGAGTGGAAAGATGCTTGTCTATTTTTTTATCTTTTCATAAACAGACTAAACAGATTGGAAACTATTTTTGTTCAATAAAGAAATTAAAAATCATTAGCCCGTTCACAATGTCGTCAAGAGGAAAGGGGATGAAGATCGAAAAACAGAAAAATCTATAAAAGACTGTCATTGCTCTACATTGATAAACATTCCTCCTCCGTCCTCGAAATTTTTTTCACTCTCATCTACCTTCATCATTGCAAGCCAAGGCAAAGTACTTAAAAGCAAAAGATAAGTTTAATTTGCGATGGCCAGCTTCCCAAGAAACGTACCCGAGATGACGATTGCACAAGACCCCTACGAGGAGTCAAGTGTGGATCCATCAAGTGAGACGTACGGCCATGGACGTCCTCTTGATCGTCATCAACAAGGCATCGCAATTTCACCTCAACAATTCAATCCATCCGGATTTCATCGGAAACCAAGTATTTCATTTGACACTATGCCTCCACCACCGTTAAAGACAAGAGTTAGTACAAGATCATTCAATAATACTACCGCAACAGGAGCAGCAAGTATAATGTCAAGTGCAACTGCTGCAGAAAAAGACAAAGCTGATCATACAACCGAAGTCATTCAATCGAAATTGCCAAACTTTATGAGAGCCGTTCCGGCAAATATCAGTGATAAAATTCCACCTCAAATTCGATTTAGTAAAAAAGGGAATGATGTTGAAAATGGCGGTCAAGATTCATCTGGTTGGACATCAAAAGATTATTATGACTTTTATTCTCGTAGAGTTCTCAACAGGAGATTGGCAATGAAAAACATCTTTATTGCAACTTTGGCAGAATTTGTTGGAACGTGTATGTTCTTATTCTTTGCTTTGGCCATCAATTCAACTTGTTCAACGGTAGAGGATGAGGAAAAAGCAGCAGGTATGAAGACCGTTGATTTAACCGCTTTGTTGGTTTCAAGTGTCGGATTCGCATTCAGTTTGGCAATCTCTGCTTGGGTTTTCTTCCGTGTTTCGGGTGGTGTGCAAAATCCTGCCATCACGGTTGCTTTAGCATTGACAGGAGCTTTCCCATGGCAAAGAGCTATTGCACTAACTGTTGCACAATACTTAGGAGCTATTGCAGCAAGTGGATTGATCGTTGGTCTATATCCCTCACATACTCTTAATACAAGAACAACTTTGAATCCAGCAATGACAATCAATCAAGGTTTCTGGTTGGAATTTTTAATGAGTGCTTTGCTCATTTTCACAGTTTTGATGTTGGCCGCTGAAAAGCATCGTGGTACATTCTTGGCACCAATCGGAATTGGTCTTTGTCTTTTGATTACACAACTCTTAGGTCAACCTTACACTGGAGCTTCTGTCAACCCTGCACGTACTCTAGGACCTGATATCGTTCAAGGTAAATTTGATCATTATGGTTGGATTTATTATGCTGCTCCGTATTCTGCTGCAATTGCAACTGCCACTTTCTATGCAATGTTGAAATGGATGAAATACGAAACTGCTGCACCCGATCAAGATGCAGATGAAGCAGGTGCTGGCCAACAATGTCAAGTGTTGGTCGACGTTGATGGAAACCATATTGGTAGATTGGACACATTCAAACTCGAAGAATATCAAGCAATCCTTGAAGCAAAAGTTAAACAAGAACAAGAAGAAATTATCGCTCAACATCGTGAACGTGAGGCTGCAGCTTCTCCTCAAAGAAACTCTAATTCCAGCCAACATCAAGCTTCACATGATGCTGATAAAGAATACTTACAAGCTTCTTATACTGGAGCAACTTCTTTCGGTAGTGCAATGCAAACTTTCCCGCCTAGTGAATTGTCCCGTATGCCAAGTATGGACAGAAGAAACAGAGGAGAAGGTCCTACCCGTCAACCCAGTGTCACTGTTCCCCAACGCGCTCAAGGTCTATACTAATCACAAACACCCAAAACATTCTCTCTTCTTGTCCATCTTGCCTCTATATCACACATTCTTTTATTTCTTTGTGTTCATCATTTAATCTCTGCTAATTCTCCATGTGGATATAGTCATTCCTTTCCCGATGAATTGATATTCGTTGAAGTCCGTGAAATAAGAAAATAAAATAAGTATGATACATAAAAGCATAATATTAACAGTATTACCACCAAACATCTCCTTTTGGCTTCTTTCTCTGAATTCCAACCGCTCCGCTTGGTCCAGGTGTGTTGTCGTCTTCTGATTCACTTTCTTCCTTTCCTGCATCGCTCGCTGGTGGCGCATTTCCTGTCGAAACAAGAGGCAGACTTCTTCCAGGCTGTGGTTTTGCTGGCGGTGAAAATGCTCTACTTCCATCATTCTCATCTTCATCCTCTTCTTCTTCTTCATCTGCAGGTCTACTTCGCATTCCAATCTCATCACGTAAATAACGCCATTGATGAGCTTGGGCTTGCGGTGATGCTTGTGATTGATCTTGTTGTTGCATCAACTGCGCAGCAGCTCCTGCTAATGATGGTCCAGAGAAATGATTATCATTATTTTGCCATTGTCCAACGGGTGATAAACTACGTGATCTTGATCCTTCTCCATTTGATGTCATACTTGCGCTTAAAACGCTCCCTTCTTCTGCAATATCACTCAAACCTTCTGGTTCAGGTCGTCGAATCGCCCAACGTGCAAGACTACCCCCATACAAGACTGGATCAGTATTGACTGACAGATCAGCATTGGCAGAATGACGAGGTGGTGACGGTGAACTAGATTGAGCAGGTGACATTGCTTCTTCTGAAGACACTTCTTGGATATCGTCCAATTGAGAATGTCTAGGTTCCAAGTTCTCCTCCTCATCTTCTTCTGATGTGGTTTCAACATCAGCCTCTTTACTCAGATTGGCAAGTTGTTGTTCTTGTTCTCGATCTGTTGTACGAATTTCCTGCTCGGGAGATCTACTTTGCGATCTGCTATCCTCTTCATCCGCTGGACGGGACGAGCGAGTACCAACGCTAGCGCCTGTCCACCAAATCGAAGGTGCCGGAGCTTTTGACGGTGATGATTGATTAGTCTGATTGATCAATTGCGCATTTTGTCCGACAATCGTTTGTGGATGATGCAAATGAACATTGCTAACAAAATGAGAGGAATCAACCGTACGTTGAGCAGAAGGAGATTGCAAAACAACTTTTCGTGGTGATCTGGATCGACCGCGTTCTTGTTCAACAGGTGCGCTTGTACGCTGATGTAATGAAGGCCTCTGTTGCATAGGAGCTGAAGATGATGATGGCAAAGGAGCAGAAGCGGTTTTGACCATTCGTGCAGATGGTTTGGGTGTCGTTTGCACATTAAAATCTTCTGACCGAACAGTACCACCATCTGAGCCCACAGGCTCATCATCGCTGTTGAACACATTTTCATCCGTATAGCCCAATTCTTGAGCACGTCGAACGGCGTCTGCAATATTGACAGTTCTTTCATCTTCCTCTTCACCATTTTCCTCCACCAGACCATGAAGATCTACATCGGATGGCATGGAACCAACTGAATCAGAATCAGAAATCTCATCTGCCGATTCAGGTGCTGCATGTGGGGGATCAAGGTCACGAAGGGAGAATGGTGGACCTAAAGAGGGAGTATTATCTTTTTCGCCTTTTCCTTCCTCTGCTTTGGGATCATGTTGACCAACGTCCAATCTTGTCCTTGCAACAAATCTGGCCATCAGATCCAATCCACGTTCACGCTCTCCTTCCGATCCGGCAAGATACATGGAAACAAATGGCCATGCATGTACTCCACCAGGACCTTTCTCGACTGCAGTGTACACCCAGTCTTCATCACTTTCTCCTGCGGGATGATGGAAATTTTGTGCTTGTCCATCTGGAGCTGGAGTGTCGTGAGAAGGTCCAGAACTTGCTTGTGCTTGATTGACCAATGAATCTACCCATGACTCAATATCTTCTGCCATACGTTCACGTTCTCCCCATGTGATCAAACAACCATGCTTAAGCTTGATTCTGCTCCAGTCACCAATTGCAGGGCTCAAAAGTGGATGTGTGTCGAGCAATTGACGTGCGTGAAGACGTGTACGTGTTGCTTTCTGATCGATTCCAATCTTGTCAGCACCGGAAGAAGAAAGAGGACCATCAATAGATTCATACAAATGACCTTTGTCATTCACCACATCCGTTTGTCGATCACCAGGTGTGAAGAGAGGTTCGAAACCAGCGGTGATGGAGTCATATCGAGAAACGGTATCACTTTGACTTTGTACACCTGTACCGATCAAATTGAGTCCTAGTAATCGTGGTAATAGTGGGTCATTCAAAGCCTCATGAGTAGCCCGAGCAAGCTTACGAGAAGGTCTCGAAAGTGCAGACAAAGCACGGAAAGGGTTCATGAATCCTTTGATGCTTGCCTCTGATTCTTGTTCCGATTCTTCTTCACTGTCATACTCGATCGCCAAGACGCCGCAAACATGTGCAATCCAACCTAATGGTCCATACACTCGCCTAGGCAAAGGCAAAACTCCAGAATAGACTTGTGCAAAGTGCAATAGAGTTTCACCCGCGACAAAGTCCCAATCGTACTTGGCCACTGCTTCTGTCCAAGCATTTGCTGTTCTTTCCGAATCGAACGTGGGTATATTTTCTGCTTGCTTTCTGGCAGGATCTTGTGAATCAGGTGTATTATTTCGTTTGGTTCGTAAATGTGAAAATGCATGTGCTTTTGTAGGACGTAAATCCACCCAAGGACTGATCAAAACAGCCTTTCCGGGCATCGGTAATGTACTCCAATCACGTTCTGCCAAAAGAGGTTCATCGCGCATTTGTCCATCGAGACAAAGTAGCATAGCCATTGCCAAATTGCCACCAGCTGAATCTCCCGAAAGACAGATGCTATCTGGATGAATCTTTTCCACTTCGATCAGATGAGCGTAACAACGCAGACATTGCAATAAAGGTTGCGGGAATCGTGCTGCCGGGCTCAAATCGTATTCGACTGCAACACATCTTGCTTCAGCTGCTGGATTCTCTGCATCTACTGGACCGTCTGATTCGAGTAGTGCAATCTTTGCTCGGAGTCTCAAAAGAGCTTCAGCATAGAATGCGACACTGCCCAAAGAGAATCCACCTCCGTGCAAATAAAGTAATGTTGTTGCTCGTCTAGATGCCAGATTGGCTCTTTGTACTTCGATCGGTAATCTTGCATCTTTGCTTAACAAATAAGCACGGAATGATTTCTCATCTGCCTCTTTGGATTGGGCATTGTTTGACTGTCTGTCGTTTCGCAAAAGAGGAGTTTTTCTCTCTGCCAAGTCGGTAAATTCTTGTACCATTGCATTTGAGCCTCCTCCTGTGCGCCAATAGACGAATGGACCGATTGTTTCTTCTGCAAACAGGACTCGCGGCAGAAGATGAGGAAAGTTTCCACACGCAAATCTGCTCAACAAGATCACCAGATGATGGAACGGTGAAAGTTGGTCAATCACTTCTGGTTCAGGGTTATGTTCATGAGAAGAAGCGAAAATATCCGGTTGTTCTGACAAATAGTCGTATGGATCTGAATCGGAAGATGTTTCTGTGGAGTAATAATTTGTTTGTCTTTTATCGCCTTGTCTTCTTCTTCTCCTCTTTCGAATCTTTGCTGCTGCTCGATGGCGGGAATGAATTGTTGCATCATGAGGCGGAATACTCAAAGACCATCTCCTGTACAATTCAAACGGTAATCGTGTAAATGCATACACCAAGCCTTTGAAGATAACATCTGCCAATTCTGCCAAGCCAAGGGTTCGCAAAAGGTTAACAGAATACGTAAATGCGATAAAGATGATATCGGTAAAGTATAAGCCACCTAGCCAAGGTCTTTCTGTTGAACGTGCTTGTTGTTTTCCTCCTCTCGAAGAAACAGATGCTAGCTTTGCTTTTGTTGAAGTGGCTTGATCGGAATCCATTCCTTTTTTACGATTTTTACGTCTTTCTGCTCTTCCATCACCTCCACGTGTGATACTATTCCTTCTTGCTATTTGACCTCTTGAACGTTGTCTAGGCATATTAGGCCGTGTGTTTGTTTTCTCATCATTAAAATGTGTACGTGGATGATTAGAAGAAGATGCAACTTCTGCATACGATGGAGGTGGTTGATCTTCCATCTTGTCAGATGTGAGCAGCAAGCCCTCCACGTATGATTATGAGATGCTTGACGTTGTGATCAACGAGAAAGGGTGTTGATAAGGTCGTTCCCCATCTATAGCCTTGTCTGTAGATGGAGAGGATCGGAGTGTCTGGTGTACAGGTGACCAAGTTAAGATGATCGAAATCTTGATGGAAAGAGAAGGACCCCTTTTGTTGAATTTGTGATGCAAGACGGAGACAAACCAACACACACACACACGCACATGCTCATGCACACGCATACATTTGAAAGTGATTACACACACTCACTCAAGCACCAAAAGTTTCTCCAGATCTTTTAGCAGCCGCGCGTGAAATCGAGATTGTTACTGTTTGTTTAAATCAAACTCAGACTCACTTTACGCCTTAATGTATTGTGTAATGTACTCGTGCTTGCTTATCCTTCAAAAGCCGAACGCTTGCCCGCTCAGTGACGGAAGTGCAGCACCCTGCCAATCATGTCAAGTTTTCACTTCTTGACACAGAATGTCTGAAAGACGTTTTCTGAATGACAGAGCATGTAAGCGGACCTGACCGAAAAGAAATGTTGATCATATCAGATAGCAAGAAGGAAAGATTGTACAGTGAGCTTGCTGATAAGAGGATGACATGTTCAGACTAGATAGAGGTGGGTAAATATGATTCCATTTGAAGCTAATATACATGAGAATGCTCCAGTTAAAGTATGCTGTAAGGTCGTCTCTCCTCTTTTAAACGTAATGCGACATGTATGTGTCATAAAGTTGGGTATAGTACAATGAATGAAATTAAGATTTGTTTGAGGACTTTTCAACGTACGCCGGCGGTGGAATGTCCAAAGAATCAGTGCCAGTTTGAAGTGGCGGTGAGGGTATCAGTGAAGAACCTGAATCGTTTCGAATAAGTGTTTGTTCGCGTATTGAAGGAGTTGCTTTTGCAGAAGAGGATGACGAATCTTGCGCGAGCGTGGCAGGCGGAGGAGGATAAAGATGTGCTGAAGTAAGATCAAAGTTATCCTTCTTATTTGCATCATTATCCACAAGTATTCCATTTCGCATTTCCACTTCTCCTGCATAGTATGATTGAGGTGTTGTATCAATATCGATCCTATGAGGATCTATCACGCTTCCATCTTCTTCATCTCCAGGTTGTAGAGATGCTCTTCTTTTCTTTCTTCTTTCAAGAAATACCAACAACAAAACGAATGCTATCAAAGCAACAAAAACGCCTAAACCTGATCCAATACCTGTAGCCGTCCATTGATCTTGAGTGGTTATGCTTGTGCATATTTGTTGTCCAGTAGGACCTGAGGTACATCCTCTTCGTGATAGCCAAGTCGTTTTCATCTTTTCCACGGCTGTGCTTAAGAGAAAAGATTGCCCGCTTTTCTTGAACAGCAGATGATGGAAAAAGATGAAAACCTTAATTGTTGTCCTTTCTGCACATGAACAGAAATCATCTTAACACCAATTCATGCAGAGGTAAAAAAGGTTTGGTCCAAAAGTAACGGGGAATCAATCAATCAGTAGCGTGCGCAGCGCTCTTGTGCCTGAATGTTTCTTTGACAGGATCAAGCGTGGAACCAGGAAAATAATAAAAATCTAGACTTTTTTTTCCTCTTGTCACCCATTCACCACACTACGCCAGTCAAAAAAAAAGGTAAAAAGCCACTTTCCCCTCTAAAAGCACACAAACCCGCTTCATTTGTCTCTTCTTCCGCCTTCCTGTCGCGTACTTTTTGCGTTTTTTAATTTATGCCAAGACCTAAAAAAATTGCTAGTAGCGGGGAGACTTCCCTTAGTAGTATTGCATGCTTGCTCGCTTTCGGAGTTTGCACGTAGACTAATTAATATGCGGGATTTGATGCGGGTGCTTCACTCTAAAAGAGGTACAAGCATTGGGCTCAAGATCAACAACATTTTATACTGAAAGCAGTTTAGAGATAAAGCTAAAAAAATACAAATCATAAAAGATAATCCTGAGAGAAGCAGCATATGGCAAAATCATATTAATTTGCATGTTGAAACGTCCAATGTAAAAGTTATTTATCGGAGAAACAAATTGATCTACCAATCGCCACTGTATTAAACCACCACTCCTCTCTCCTTCTTTTCTGTCTCTCTGTACACTGGTGGAGGTGCAGTGGGTGGAGTATAAGGTGCATCAGCGGCTGGAGGTGGTCCTTCAGGAGGAGCGTAATTGGGTTGAGCGCCGTAATTGCTTGGAGGATATTGGTATCCGCCTTGTTGATTTCCAGCTTGTGGGTAATATCCACCCTGAGCATAATTTCCTTGTTGATAAGATTGCTGTGGAAGGTTTTGAGTTTGTTGTCCTTGCTGTCCGGTGTAATAGCCTGAAGGGGTAGTTGTAGTAAATGCTGGCGTGGTACTCATTGCCTGCCTTCTACGTCTTCGCCTTCCACAGATACCGATCAACAAGATGATTATGATGACTGCAGCTGCGATTCCGATGCCAGTCCCGACACGTGCACCCGTTGAGTATCCACTGCAGTCATCATAGTTGGGATTGCAGTAACCGCCACCATAGAATTGACGTTTTGTCAGTCCACTTAGGTGTGTGGCGCTTCTCTCTACGATACTTGGCATTGTCGCGCTTCTCTCTATATTGTGTCTTGCTTTCAGAAGAGTATCGATGTTCCTTTCAAAGCAGTGATTTGAATTTGCTTCTTAATTGAACCTGAGATGTGTTTGCGAACAGATACTTCCTTTGTAAACTTCCAAAAAGAGGTGGAGGTTTACGATGGCAAAAGATCACAGTGAGTTTTTTCTTTCCCTTTCCAAATTACAGGTATCAATAAAACCCCTGTTACTGTTTTTTATGTTGATTGTTCAGGAGATGGTAGTGTGGAATGAAGAGGTGAAGGGATTAAAGATCCCCGTCAAGTAGATTCAGAGGCTGTGTTAAAAGTGCTGGAAGATGACGTTATCCGCACTTGCCCGGTAGTGCTTTACGCCCTCTGCTGATCTTCTTGCTTAACAAAAATCATGCAATCCAAAAGTGCGTGCGCGCCAAGAGCTTATCCACTGCCTCAGCAGAAAAAGAAATCCATCCGCTTCTTAGTGGCAATTTTTGTTTGCGGTGCTGAGCAGCGTGAAACTGGAAGCGGGGCGTTTTGCTTACTAAGCGAATTGAAGATTTAACTGCTCAATCTGAGATGGACGCATTCAGTCTAGCCTCGTTCAAACGCGTTCAGAAAAAGACAAAGGGGAACAATGCCCACCAAGAAGAACACGCGACATAAAGCCTGAATTTTGTGCCCACAAGCGTGTCGCGCTGCGCGTTTTTAAGGTTGTCTTGCCTCTCTTTTTGTGAATTTCCTTCTCATGAATTTGCCCCGGATTGTAGATGTCATCCAGATTACAATCATCCATTACACCCTAATTTCTCCAATCATCATACCTCGACCTCCCATCAAAATCCAAAGTCAAGCACAAGCTGGGCATACACACACACATATCGAGATATAGAAAAGCCACATTCAGTCATTCTCATCCAAATCACCTCATTCAGCACTCATTTCAAAAGCAATCCAGCAAAAATGTACTTTGTACCGCCACATTCATCCACACCCCGCTGGATGCCCGATGAGCTCACTTCGTACTCGAATTTGTCAAGCTCAAACTCATCTGGTATGGATGTATGCGTTGAACAAGGCATGAACATGCTGAGCTCCGTTCGAGCAAACAAGCAGAGGATGATCAGTACGATCAAACGAAAGCGTACAGAACAAGAAGGTGCAGAGATTGGAAGCAGCAGCGGAAGCGAGAATGAAGCATATACCAATCATTATGGATACGAGAATACAGATGCCAGCTCGTTCAACTCTTTTGCAGAACAAGCAAAAAAGGCAAGACTACATTCACCTTTTCACCTTCATGGTATTCAAAAGATGGGACATCCAGCACCCGTTCATCGTAGTGTGATGGATGATGTGGAAATGGACGATGACCGTCGGGCAAGCTCAAGTTCACCAACCAGCGAATCGACTGGATACGGTAGCAGCAATGATTTACATGAATGTATGCAGCCCGAACAATACTTGCAACTTGCTCTTTCTACACCAACTGGTCATCCACATCCATATTCCTTCATGACACAATCAGCTTCACACGCTCAATCTGCACCTGCTTTGGTTGAACCGCCGCAATCACGTCAAGAATTAGGTGCTGGCTATTTCGATCGAGTGAAATATTAAATCATGCTCACTTAACAATGATGTTGATGTGTTTTTTAGGGACATGTACTTTTATTAATACTTTTCAAATTTGTAATTCTATTCGTAATCCAGTCTATCCATAAAAGATCATAGTATGAATTCTTCTCATGTCAGGCACGATTAGTAGATGAGTCAAACGTGTTCAACGGTCAGCCTTTGACTAGATTGAGCAAGCGGTCCTATCGATCTAAAGCCCATAGCAGACGTCACACATAAATGAGAATATTCAATGATCATAACAATAAGAGTAAGATGTACATCGTAAACGAGAGCCAAAAACGAAAAAAGGTTACACAGAGGATAAAAATGATATAAAATGAAAGCAAGACCGTTTACCTGCTTTAACGCTTCTCTTCATTGGAAGCATCATCTGATTTTTCATCAGTTCTTGCCATATCTCCAACATGTTCGATCGAATCTTCACCGCCTGCATGACTTCCACGACGAGAATGTTGGACGAGCTCTTCAGGATCAATTTCACCTGCATGTGCTTCGGTTGCAACGGGTGCATTTTCGAAATGAGCACCACGATATTCTTCACCAAATAGAACGACAATAATAATGTAAGCACAAACGACACCTAATAAAATTGCAGAAACCAAGGCGTAATTGTTGATTGTTGGCTTTTGAGTTGTTGAACCAGGTGTGTAACGTGGATTTGGTTTTTGATTATGAACACCACCTGTTGATTCGATTTGTGCACTTGCTGCAGAAACCATATTTCCCACTTGATAAGCAACACCTGGGAATGTTGCACGGAAAGCTGGAGGTGAAATTTCGTTCAAATAAATTGGAATTACACCCCATGCACCTTGAACACCGAATTGCAAGAAGAAAGCGCCTGCTGCTAAACCAGAGAATGACTTTGGCAAAATCCAAGCGGGAATCATAGCGGCTGCTAACAATGTGAATGCAATGATTGTCAAACGACGACCAAAGTATTGGGATAGATAACCTGCAACGAAACCACCTGCGATAGCACCACAGTTACCAATAATGGTTGCTTTGCTGGCCAAAAGCTTAGCTTCTGGATCTGGCAAGTAAGCAAGACTATCTTTTTCAATCATAGTAGGGTATAAATCTTGCGAAGAATGAGAGAAGAAGTTGAAACCTGTCATTAAAAGGATACCGTAGATCACTCTTGGCCAATTGTGTTTGAGCATTTCCCATGTTTGACGCATGAATTCCTTTCCTTTGTTGGATTGAGTTCCGCTTGCTTTCCTTTCTTCTTGAACTTTTCTGAAGACTTCTGATTCAGGAAGAGAAACACGAACGAGAGCGGCAAACAATGAAAGACCTGCACCGAGATAGAACAAATAACGCCAATTATTAGCGGGTGCGACCCATTTCAAGTTGGCAGAAGCGGCGAAAAGGTAACCGACGGGGTAGCCTTGTTGCAAAACACCTGAGAAAAGACCACGAGGTGCAGCAGGCATGGATTCCAATGCTGTTGAGGCTGCCATACCCCAAATCCCACCCATGCCAATTCCAAATAATGAGCGCACCGCCAAGAATTGAGCAAAGGTTTGAACAAAACCAGTTCCCAGGGACAGAACGGCAATAATGATCAAGTTGATAACCAAAGGCCACTTTCTACCGTATCGATCAGAGGCCAATCCAAAGATAATTGCACCCAAAGGACGGAAAAGAAGAGTAAGAGTGATGGCGGTTGTGACGGAGGTTGGATCAGGTTTGTCAAATTGTTTGACCAAGCTTGTGACGGAAAGAGAAACAGAGAAGAAATCCCAAGCATCCATGACCCAAGCAAGCCATCCGCTGAAAAACATTAAGCCTTGCATGGGTGTGAGCATTGCGATCAATTTGATCGGGTTGATGGGAGCACCCGCTCGTGCGATCCTTCGCTCCTCCTTAGAGGGCAATTTGAACAATCCATTCGTGAGATCCTTCATTGTGAGTGATGATGATGGAGAAGAGTAGAGAAACAAGAGATGCGCAATCTACTGGCAATTGCGTGACGATGCTGTGTTGTGCTGTTCTCGGACTTGTGTGGGTATAGTGGATGGCAAGGGTGATTGCTACCTATTGCGGGGTTGCAAGGTGGGGTACAGGAAAGAAGAAAGAAGATGAAGAAGCGAAGTAGGTCTTTTATAGATGACCCAACAAAACAAAAAAGAGAGGAAAAGAAATGAGTGCCTGTTTGTATAGGTACCTGCTTTGTGTAACTGATGGTGTACCCTGAATCTTGCTGCCTAAATAAATGAGGCGTCGTGTCATGCACACCCTGTTAGAGTAAATCAGGAGTGTTGTAACCCATTAAAAGTTCATTGGTGCAAATTGAAGGCAATCCCCTTGTTAAGATGCAGGGGAAACATCTTACTCAAATATTGTCAATATAGGTTAAAATTATCCACTAATTCACTCTAGACCTTTCCCTCAAAGTCTTCTTCTCCTCAAACACCTATTCAAGAACGGGAGGTAGAGTGCAAAAGGAGCAAAAGGGCACTTTACGGCGAATGCTTTTTCCAATCTAGCAATTTAACGGGAAGTGAACTTTTACCGTTCTTTTTTTTGTTTATTAATGGATCGGCATATGACCTGACAAGAATAATGTGTGCAATTGCAATCCAGAGCGGGGGTTGAATATTTTCCATCAGCTCTGCCCTAATGCCGACGGTTTGCGTTCTAGAGCGCCGGTAATATATTACAAGGCACTCCCTTTGTGCATTGTAAGCTGGATATGCAAAATAATCGGCAGTGCCTTCTGTCCACGCGGGGTGCCTAATAGTAGATTACGCACGCGTATTATCTCCGTCCCTTAGTTGTTCTGCCTACGGTTTGATGTTTGCGGCTCAGTTTCTGTGTATTGTACTGCACCATTCGTTGTTTCGCTTAGTATGACTTGCATTTTACAGTCTCACTAGTGTACCCCAAAGGCATGCGGGGAAAATGGAGAAGAACGGTTGTGGTCTTGATTGCGATCTTTTGATTGGCTAGATTGGGAATATGCTGCTATGTACCCCAACTCGCTTAACATTGTCGTATTGTACCTGACACTGTCAACTTTAATTCATTGTTCCCCACTAAAGGTTCTTCCGAATTTCATTAACGTCAAGCCACTCTCCAATTACGGTATTGCCGCGATAAGATTATAGTGAAGCCACTCACTAAAAAGCCTCTCGGAAGAAATAGGAAACGAATGAATATTTAATTAAAAATATTGGGGATGAACATAGGAAACAATGATTCGGCATAGAAATTGGGAAAAAAGGGGGGGGGAATTGATCATTTGCCTCTCTTATTGCTAATGCAACTGAAAATAACGCCAACATCATCACCTTTTGCTATGAGTGCTTGCATTGACAATTCAGTAGATCGAAGTTTTTGACCTTCTTCATCAGATGTGAAACCAGCCCAAATTTTACCATGAGTATTGACTTCGATTTCTCCTGTAGATTTGAACAAGACTCTTGCGAAATTCTTTTTCTTATTTGAAGTACAAGAGACGGTGAAGATTTGATCGTGTTCTTTTGACGAAACTGAACATGAGTTCTTTAAAACCAATCTTCGTTTTACGCTTGTGGCATCACAATGTGCATTGCTCGTTTTGCCGTTTGCATATTTTTCACCTTTGATTTGATATTTTTTACCATCTCCAACAAACGTGATCATATGAACTTTTTCACTTCCATCTGTTTGTGCTGGTTTCCAATTTTGTACCAATTCGATACCATCTTTCATACTTGTACTTTTGGCATCCGTTGCGGCAAACGCGAGCGCAACAGCGACAATGGCAAAGCCGACAAACCTAAAGTTTGAGAAGAGCATCTTGATTGAGAGGGTGAGGTGTTGAGAAAGATGGGCAGAAAATGGTTACGATGTAAGGCAATTGAGCTTATATATACCAAACCATGTATATGCCAACCCTGTCACATTCCACAAAGAGGTGAAAAGGGATTATAAATGAAACATTATAGGTACAGAGAATGTTTTCATTGATGTATAGGAAGGAAATGACATAAAGACACCCCTGAGCACACGTATCATCTATGCAACGACTTTATTCATAAATTGTGTAAAGATTGCCAGCTTGTCCTGAAGTTCGATCCTCCCTTTCCCCCTTTATAATAGTTCATTAAAATGACATTCAATTTTATGAACAGTGTCATGTTTCGATGTGTGAAATTAGTCTTCTTTCGATGTTGTACCAATGAATGCAAACATACCTCCTTCTCGCCAATCTCACACAGGAAGTCCTAGAAATCGTCTCATTTCAAATATATCTTAAATGATATTATCATTATGAGCTAGTCCATGAACCAGATGATAAAGGTGCACGTTAAGCACGTCTGTGGTTGTTTTCGCAATTCACAATCACGCCAACGTCTTCACCTTTTGCCTTAAGTTGATCATTTGGACCTCTGACCAATTGAAGGAATTGGGTTTGATCGTTTGTGAAACCGCCATAAATTTTACCTTTTCCACTGATCGTTACTTCACCTGTTGGTAAAAATTGAATATCTGCATATGTATCATGTTTCGCATTGATACAAGTAATTGTAAAGATTTGATGATGTTCTTTAAGCGTTGTTGCACAAGGAGGTTTAGCATAATCTTTTCCTTGGATTGTTACTTTATCACATGTGGCTGAAGAACGTAAATGTTTTGCATATGCGTCACCGGTAATATTGTAATCGGTAACAGGGCCAGGAAAATCGATCGTATGGATCATATCTGCTCCTCCTGCTGCTGGTGGAACAAAACCGGCTACGAGATGAATACCTCCTCTTGTTACCAACGTACTTGAACCAAGTGCAGTTGAGCAAATCAACATGAACGCGATAATTGAAGTAAGAACACGAATCATTGTAGAAACGTTGAAATAGAGTAAGGAAGAAGATGAAGGGATGTAACAAGAAGTAATACTGTTCTCTAAGACTGCTTTATAGCAGTAACTCTTAAGCAAAACATTTGAATCTAGAAGCTCTGTGGGATTCCGTCCAAGAATTACTCAAAGACGTCACTCCGAAATTAGCAGGTGCATGGAGTCCCGCAGTAATGTGCAAAAATTGAATTACCGTAATGAAGAAAACGGAACTCCCTTTTCTAACCTTTCGTTTCGGTCCGCTCTATAAAGTTATTCGGGCCGTCATCAGGCAATATCAGAAAAAGCGGTAAAAAAGCTATGACAGCTATGACCCTCGAGCAATCGAAGATCATGTGGACATGTATTTTCATCTCGGTGTTGGATATCCTATGTTCAATGTAAGCTAGATATACTTGGGAATGATAATAGTATTAGATAGAATGTAAATACATGCACTTTTACCTAACACCGAACGTCGCATAACTTGCTTTGCCAGCAAACATAATTGCACACTTGTGCAGCATAATTGTTCCATACACGTGGGAACATCCCGCAATTCGGGATCTACTAAGAAGCGGTAGTTCCGCTACCGCGAACCCCGCTATACACTAACACTTTCTCCAACACTCGGAAGCAGGTTATTCAGTTCAGCCAACTCTGATAAAATTGTGAAGATCTTATGAGAATGTCTATGGAGAGCTTCTTTTATTATCTCTGCAATTGATAATAACGCCAATATCATCACCTTTAGCTTTGAGCGGCTTATCTGGGCCTCCAATACGATGAAGATGCTTTGATTCGTTTGAGAAGCCACCGTATACCTTTCCGGTTGCACTGATCGTAATTTCACCCGATTGCAAGAATTGAATATCTGCATGTGTATCGTTCGCATGGTTACAAGTGATTGTAAAGAGTTGATCGTGATCCTTAACGGACGTTGCGCACGGGGAGCTTGCAAAAGCTTTGTGTTTTACTTTTATCTCTCTACATGTTGCTGAAGAACGTACATGTTTTGCATCCGCATCAGGAATGATGTTATAGTCGGAAAAGTCGCCCAGCATTATGATGGTATGAACCTTGTCTGCACCTCCAGATGGCGGCGGAGAGAAATTTGATATGAGGTGAATACCTCCCCCTGTCGCAAGTGGTCCAGAGGCCAACGCTGTAGAGCATAACAGCATGGATACGATAGTCGGGGTAAGAAGCTGAAACATCGCGCAAAGTTTCGCCTTAGTAGGCTTGTTGAGTGGTGAGGAGTATGACGGTGAAGTAATCAAAGCGCAAACCTGAATCAATGCTTTGTTGAAATTGATACTCTCTTCACAAGGAAGATATTCCGATTTTGACAATGATAAGGGAATCCTTTTTTGAGGTGAAAGTAGCATTTGAACATTACCGTCAATGTTGCAGAAGTCACAAACTGAGCTCCTTTATGAATGTTAGGCGTAGGAGTCAGATCTTCGGGCTTGATCACGTCGTAATCAGATAATGATATGTTAGAAAAAGGCAATTTTGCATATGCAGAAAGGGGAAGAGAGGATCCGAAAAAAGAAATATTCATGCTATCTTTCCCCCTAACGCACTTCTGAGGCGGAACAGAATCGATCCCAAACCTCCTTTAAGTTTGACGCCTTTGAACTTGAAGAGGGTTCAAAGGGGTTCATACCTCCCTCACCTGTAGTGCTTCGTGGTTGGATGTACTCTCTCTACGTAGAGTTAACCAAACGTAGGAGTATACTGAGGCTACAAAAGATCATCAGTGTGTGTATCGTTCTCGATCAAAGATTTTACTAGTCTTGCAACTTCATATCGGCTGATTTTAAGCACCAAAGATATCGATACTCAAACCATAAGCAAGTATAGGAAAGGTGGAAGATTGATTGCTTTATTGACGTCAAGTACACAATGCTGCCAATATCTAAGAGGATCAGAACTGTTACCTTCATTTCTAGAGGGACTGCTACGTTCAGGTCATCCACATCTTAACGGGTACCATAGCTTGCGCGATCACTGCTACCACAGTTGAGCACAACGCTGATACGATCACCTTGACCGATAATTACTTTTGTCGAACTTTGACGTAAAGGTTGACCAGACTTTTCGTTTGTAAAACCACCATAGATATTACCGGCGGTAACGATACTTGCTTGATGATCGGTTGAGCCTCCATCCTTGAAGAAGACAACAGAAGCTGCATTTTTACGGTCTGCAGTGCATTGAATGTTGAATGATTGATCATGAGCGGCAATGCTTGTTTCACATGGGCCGGTATAATGACCTGGTTGATTGTTTAACAACTTTTCACATTGTGCATCAGATTGTTGACCGCTACCATAATTTGTTGGGAAGATTTCGTATGAGTTTGGATCGCCAACGAGGTAAATTGCACGACTATCTAATGAGCCTGGGTAAGGGATTTGCCAATTGGCAACATAGGTGATTGAACTTTGAACCAAGCTTGCACCTAAGAATGCAATAGCAACAAAGCAGAAGACGAAGTTTTTGAGCGACATTTTGTAGCACACAGGTAGGTGGGATGAGGAGAAATAGGAGGTCGTTTGTATTCCTCAAGTTGAGTTTATATACCTTTTCAAGCTTGTCAAAGAATCATTGGCTGAAACGTGGACAGCAAGTTATATTACAGTGAGCCGCATTTCCTCGGTATTGCGAAGTCCATTTGTAGGCGGCCGCCTCGTATTCAATTTCAGATAGATTTTTTTTGATCACAGAACGCCCATAATTGATTCGTATTGAAAGAGATGCGGCACCGTTAGTGGAGCTATGAATCTCGATCCGCACTGTTTGATAGGAAGTTGAGTAGAGTTCTCAGTTCACTTGTGATGAAGCAGACTCTACGATTCAGCTGCTGTAAGAATGAGGCAAGAATGTACGTTCGACAGTCACAAGATTAGCCCAATTTTTTAAACTTGGAAAGAGAAGATGTACTCCCGGCTTTATACTCATTTCGATTCAGAAATCAACTTATCGCTGCCGCTAGGATATTGTTGTTGGATTTCATTTCGGAGTATAAGCGTCAAAGTGAGAGCGAAGAGAAGATGATACGAACGACGCCCGTTCCTTGTTGCTCTAAAGCCGCACTTATTACTCACAAAAGAAATAGAAAATTGATAAAAAGCATGTTCTCCCATGGCATGATACAGGAACATATTTTTAAGTAGCAAAGGCAAAAAAGCAAAGTGGATCAATAACGTCCACGTTTGTCATTTTCGCAATTTAAAATAACGGCAACCCGATCGCCATCATTGTTCAGTGTGCCCTGTTTCAATGGCACACGCTTTTTGTTTGAAAAGCCAGCCCAAATATTACCAGCAGTAAGTACTTGAACGCTTTGGTCATTTGCCGATCCTTCCAATTTGGAAAAGTACAAAGAAGCAGAGCCTTTGCCATTTGTACACTCGGCATGGTAAACTTGATCATGCAAACGAGTAGAAAAGGTACATGGCGTTTCAAAAGTACCACTTTCAGCATCGATCACCTTACTACAACGACCGGTAGATGAAAATGCAACTTTTTGACCTCCTGATCCGTTTATCGTTTTATAATTTGAGGCAGAAATCGCAATCTCAGATGGATCGCCTACGGCGTAAATTGCGTGGTAACCACGTTTGCGAGGCGAATGAGTTCGAAGGTGAGAATCGCCAACGAGCTTCGTTCTGGCGAATGGTAAAACTACCAATAAGGATACGAGAGTAACAATAACCCATCTTGGAAAGTTGGAAAACATGAGGAAAAATAAATAAACGAAAGTAATTTGGGGTGAAGAGAAGGAAAAGTACATTGCATCAAGTAGATTATGGCATTTATAGCAGTAGAAAGTCCTTCACACCAAATCTCAGCATTCCTTTACCTACGGCCTACCGCGATATCATCTGGCATTAGGAACATCGCCGCTCATGTTATATTAAGATCCGGCCCGTTGATTCCGATCAAAAATCAAAGTTGAACGATTTGCCTTTGGATTAGCTTAGTACATGAGGGTAGTCTACAAAGCTTTGTTAAGAAATGGAAAAAGTCAGAGAAGAGCGTGTGAATCATAATGTAGATACACGTTTGTCTTTCATTTATTCTGAACCCACTTTGGTCTTCATTTTAACGTATACATTGTGTAGTCTGATGGATTCATTACGTGAACAAAATTATGAGAACTAAGTATCAGAGAGAAGAGAATAATGGTCTTGTAGTATTGCACACAATGATGTGCTTTAGTTGGAGTCTTGCAAACTTTGGGAAGTTGGGTCACTTGGGGAACTTGGGGAACTTTGGGAACTTTGGTCGTTGCCACAGCTCAAGACAACCATTGTACCATCTTGTGTTGAGCTCATAGTACCTTGTTTCAATGGCACATTCTGACTGAATGATGCATACATTCCATCAACAGCTTGAACGTCAACAGTGTTGCCCGGATCGCCGGATTTGTGGAAAACGATTGCAGCTGAACCTTTAACATTAGTGCATTGAGCATGGAAAATTTGTTGTTGACTTTCAGTAGAGCAAGAGCATGGAGCTTCATAAGTTTGACTTTTTTCATCAATCGTTCCATGACAAGTTGCAATCGCTTCAGGTGCTTGATGAGTAGCAGAAATTGCAATGCTGTCTGCGTCTCCAACAACAAAGATTGCACCTTGACCCTTAGACAGCGTTTCTGGGATCTTTAGGGATGGGTCAGCTGTAATAGCAGCATGTGCGATAGGTGCAATAATGCATATAGCGAAAATGGCCAAAGTGGCGGTGTTGAGTTTAGACGATAACATTTTGAGATGATCGAATTTAGTATGTAAAGTGATTCCCAGAAAGAAAGATGTTGGTTGGTTAAAATAAAATTTGTCGGATTCTAAAATTTGTGCCTTTTTATACCTTTCTTAGAAGCATCTTTAATTTTCCTACCTTGACAACGCAAATTATATAACTCCTCTTCTTGGCAATTCTGTGCTCCTGTAATAACACATAGGAGTTTCAAAGACCGCACACAAAAGCTATAAGACAAACGCAATTGGCATTGGGCCTCATTTCAATCCTCATCACCATTAATTGATTCGACGCCAAGGAGGCAGGAGCGTTAATCTCTGACCGAACGAATGACCACTTTGATGTTATGTCGGAAGGTTCATACCTTTTTTATGAACCTGTTATAATATCATCATTACGCCTTTCTTGGAAGCGTCTTAAGTTTGCTGCCTTAATAACGCACCGTATATATTCTCCTCTTCTTGGCATTTTATGCTCCTCTTATAATACATAGGAGTTTCAAAGACCGCAGACAAAGGCTGTAAAATGAGCGAGATAGGTATTTGGCTTTATTTGTATGTTCATCGCCAATACTCGACGCCAAGGAGGTAGAGTTTCATACTTCTGACCGAAAGAATGGTACCTTTGTAATTACACAAGGAGGGTTATTTCCTTTGAAAAGGGCTATTACACTTACGCCCTTCCTTAGCCGACAATGGTAAGGAAAGGTGTTTAACTCCTCAATCACATTAACAATGCGCTCTTAGGAGGTATTAAAGAAATACAGGAGAAAGTACATCAAAACTTTGTATGCAGAAGTGTTTCACAAGATGACGACTGCATTGAATAGATTCGGCCGATATGACTACATAACACGGTTTGATCGAGTGTATTGTACGTACGAATATCAATTCAAGAGGCACAAGAAAGAGCTTAGAAGTGAGAAAGGCAAAGGAATAAATGTGGACTTGAAAGCAGTGAATCATTTCAAAGATGTGCGTTAATTGAGGCTCTTGTCATTATCGCAATTGAGGATCACTTTGACACCTTTCTTCTTAGAATCGGAAGTGCCTTGCTTTAAAGGTTTTTTGCTGCTGAAGCCAGCATACATGCCATCCACGGCTTGGACTTCGGCAGTTTTATCACCTGAGCCCTCTTTAAAAAAGCTAATTGAAGCAGAACCTTTACCTTTCAAGCATTGAGCATGGAAAACTTGATTTTGATCTTTCACTTCAACAAGACAAGGACCTTGGTATGTTCCAGCTTTATCATCAATTACTCCGTGACAGACTGCACTTGATGGGTTTGCTTGTTTTGAACCAGCTGTTCCATTGTTTGCACCAACATTGCTTGCAGAAATCGCAATATCTTGCACATTACCCACGATCAAAATAGCACCCTCATCTGGACCAAGCTTCTTGGGAATTTTTTGTTTGGGGTCTGCGGTGATATCAGCTTGAACGGCAGATAAGATTGTGCATATGGCAATAAGGGCCAAAACGGCCAATTTGAGGTTGAAAGAGAGCATTTTGAATGGTTTGGATACAGGAATGGAGGTTTGTTGATTGGAAGATGAGTTCGATTGGGAAAAACGCAGCTATTTATGCTTTTTGAGAAGCTGCATCACTTTTTGAATTTTCATTTCCGCATCTTCAAGAATCCTCCTTGCAGCGCACTCTCCTCTTTTTGCACTACACTCGAGGGTGAAGGAGTAAAGCCAATATGATTTGAAAGGGACCTCATAACCGTGATAAATCTTGTTCATACCTTGCATGCAGAGAACATGCTTTTGACCATGTTTGAAGGAGAATCGATTTCGACTTCATATAATCTCCTGTAAAGGCGTTGCTCGTGAAGTGAATCTTGGGGTTCGGTTCGACCGTCACCACAAGAGATGGGGGCTTATTGCATGAGCTCCAATATTGTCCCTATTGGGACTATAATTCAACAAGGAGTTTTTTTTTTTCATTAATTACTTTAAACCCACACACTTTCATCGGTCATCGATACACATAAAGAATAATAAAGTACGCCAGAGAAAGACTTAACAACTATGTCAGTCTTCAAATTATCGGCTGGCGTCAATCAAAAGATGATGATCATTTAAAAGTCAAAGGGCTTTTGTACATTGTCTTATCCAAGCCGAACAAGTCCATTTCCGCGTAGAAATGCAACCCAAAATCAAAAGTGTGGCATGAAGTTTGACATAGATTGAGACTTTGAGTCATCATCGTTGTTGTTGTTGTTGTTGGTGCTGCTGCCGCCAAAGAAGGGGAAAGATCCAGACTTTTGACTGTTCTGAGGGTCACCTTTGCCGTCGCTGTTGCCGCCGCCAAAGAATGAAAATGAGCCAGATTTTTGATTTTTGTTGTTGCTGCTGGGGTCGCTCTTGTCACAGTTCAAGACGACCTTAACACCATGTTTCTTCGTGCTGATGCTGCCTTGCTTTAAATGGCTCTTACCACCAAATCCTGCTTGCATGCCATTAACAGAGAAAACATCAACGGTATTGCCTTTTTGGCCCTCTTTGTGAAATACAATTGAAGCAGCGCCTGAACCTTTTACGCACTGAGCATGAAAAGTTTGTTGTTGATTTTGTGTATCCAATATACAAGGACCTTCGTACATTTGAGAATTCTGATTGATTGTTCCATGACAGACTGCACTTGTTTCGGGTGTTTGGTGACTAGCAGAAATTGCAACTTGCGATGCATCTCCATCAATCGTGATTGCACCTTGACCTTTTTGTAACTTATTTGGAACTTTTTCAGTTTTATCAACGGAGATCCCGGCTTGTACAACAGGTGAAACGAGTATTGCCACTACAAAGATGGCCATAGTGGCACGAGTAAGTTTCAATGAGAGCATTATGAAAATAAGGGCTTGCTCAAATGATGAAAAATGTTGGTTGTTGGGTAGTAAGCTGGTTGAGGTAAGGGAACTACCTCTTTTTATGCTTTTTCGTCACACATCTGCCGGCTTTATGTATCCTCGCCTTTCTTCTTCCTACTCCTGTAAAGTAAAGAAGAGTATCTATTTTTGGATCCACAGCAAGTCATCACGACGTTGAAGACTGACGCTTATTATTGTACTAGGAAAGCAAATCTCCAAATTTGGAAGCCGACTATCAAGATCATCCCTGCGGCAAAGGCGTCGTAATGTAAGGAGGTATACATTTACGAGAATTCATCTTTCTAATTGACCACTCAGGAGAAGATGCGATTGAACCTTGAGCACCGTCAAAGATCATTAATGGTGTAGGAGACAACCATTGTACGCCATAGAATGAGGAGTGCCGAATGGACTTCAGATCAGCCCCTATACGGGCGTAGCAGCGGCTGAATATTGGTTATCATCTATATTCTATTAAGCTTCTCCTATTGTACAGTGGACTTTCATCTATCCAACCACATCTACTTCAGTCCTTCTTGGTTCCAATCCCAGCATGATGAGAAATACTGCGCCCAAGTGAATGCCGTCATGTGGTTTGTTGTACCTCTTCAAACCTTCTTCTTTGAGTGTACCTGAAACGATACCCATCTCTGAACGTGATTCGATAAGTGCCTTTACGATTTCTTCATCGAATTCAGGATGTCCTTGTAAAGTAAGAACATGGGCTGATCGTACTGGCGATGGTCCAGAAGAGTCAGTCTGGAAGTCCGATACGTCAAATGCCATATAAGCAGAAGTTCCGGCAACAGAAGGCAAAGGTGGTGCGGGCGTGATGAATTTCTTGACAAAACCTTGATTCTGGCAGATTTGCGTTGATGCAAGGTTGATACAATCGGGCGGTAGTTCTGTAACGATGTCTCTGTGTACTTCTTGAATTCTCATGTAATTCTCCTCTTCTGGATAGCATAAGATTTCCCTTCCTTCTTCTGTGAGCTCGCATTCGTATACACCCAATTCCCAACCTGTTTCATTGAGTTTCACTTCTCCACCTAAGGCTCTTGCAACAATCTGATGTCCGTAGCATATTCCACAAATACGAACCAAGGGATGAGAGTCATGAACGTGTTTGATAAATTCTGCCAATTTGTTTGCCCAAGGAATGTCCAAATAAGCTGAAGATGCGCTTCCGGTCACCATGATTGCATCAATCAAACCATCTGCAAGCATTGCGTCTGTTGGATATTTTTGTTCTTTGACGACGTCATATTTCAATAGATTGAGTTCATAGCCATCTTGCCAATCATGTCGTGGAATTGATTTGAGTGCTTTTTGTAACCATTCAGGATAAATTCGATTGTAATCCCCTCGCAAAGCCACAACAGGCTCTGGCGGAGTATCTGCTATCAAGATAGCAATTGTCAATGTTCTCGTTTGTCGTGACATGTTTGATCGATTGAGTGGTATAAAGATAAGGATTTCTTATTGAGAAGAAACTTTTTTTTTCTAATTTTCAAAATCAATTAGCACTGCGTTTCCGGTGCCGCGCTAAGATGCATTTCCGAAATATCGTTCTGCTTAGTCATCCTCAAATACGCCCCACAAAATGAATACTTCACTCTTGGCACGGAGTAGCAACGACGCAATTTCGATTTTACTCCTGCCATCACAAGGACACTTCAACTACCTACATAATCGCTTTCTCACTCATTTTATTCTGTGAATGATGATTAGATTTTGAATATCTATACGATGATTATGAATATAAGTATGGTATGACAAATGAACAATCAAAAGGTGGTCAACCTTATGCGGCATACATTCATACAATTATGCGCCTGCCAATTGTCGAACGATATCCACAATAGGAGGAATGGCAGTACACACGAGTAAGATTGCACCAAACATAACAAACGACAAAGAAGCGATTGCCATGGTACGTGGTGTACTGATAAGTGAACTTGCTCCGATTGCACCTGATGTTGATCCCATTGTTAATCCAACGGTCAAGTAATCATCTCGACTAACGCGCATCAATTTGTAAAAGAATTGTTCTTTCAAAATTGCAGCAATTACACCTGTGATGACGACAAGAATAACGGTAATCGATTCATCTGCTCCAACATTTCCTGCAAGTTCAATTGCCAATGGAGTTGACATAAATCGAGCAGAGAAAGCCAAAGAACGAATGGGATCCATTCCCATCAATCGAGCGATATAATTCCAAAAGAATAATGAAAGAGCAGCGCATGGGAATAAGACGATCAACATTCTCGTCAGATTCTGCCAAAGTTCCTTACGATAACGGTACATCGGAACGGCCAAAGCAACGATACCTGCATCCAATGTACTGAACAAGATATCACCTGCACCGGGTACTGGACCAGAATATCCTTTTGGATCCCATAAGACAGAGTATTTTGCATCAACGCTGTAGAATCTGTTCAAGCAAGACATCAAGCCAATTCCCTTCATGGCTGCGAATGCCCAAATGATCAAAACGGTTGCCAAACTTGTACTGAGGATTGGATGTAAAAATCTTCTGATTGGTGGTGGTACGATTGCGATTGCTGCAATGAAGGTCAAAAGGTTGATACCCAAAAAGAGCGGCAAAGCAAAATCTTTGAGAAAGAACAACGGAATACCAACAATGAAAACGATAAAGTAGATCGTTGGTGTAATCAAATCGCCAAACCAGGATGCTAAACGTTCGATCGCATCTTCTTCTTCCTCTTCTTGGCCTTCAGCGGTTGCGTTTCGGTTGGCATTACTTCCACTTTGCATTGGATGTGGTAGTGATTTAAATCCAATCTTACGAACATTTTCTTGTTCATCATTGGTTGATTCGCGTCTTGAAGGAACAAGTGTTTGTAGTCCTCCATTTTCATCATTGGTTGATCCGCGTCTTGAAGGAACAAGTGTTTGTAGTCCTCCATTTTCATCATTCTGGTTTACAGAAATGGATGGCACGGTAAGAAGATCAAGTCCGGCTTTTTTCGCGTCTGGTGATGATGACTTTTGCATGTCTTCTTGTGCTGAAGCTGGGAATTTGTACGATGTCAATTGGGCTGCTGGCTGTGGTCTTGAAGGCATGTCAAGATCCTTGGACGCTTTCTCATTAATCTCGAAAGAATCTCGTCCCAACCTTGGCGTAACTTGGATATCATCAATCTTTGACTTATCGTTGCCTGGACTGGTTGAAGGTCTACCACGCATTTTTTTCACGGCAGCATCGAAGGATAAAACTCCTCTTTCGTCTTCTCCACTTTTGCCCGATTCTGTATTTCTTCGGGTAGGCGAAACGGAACGAGAACGAATGCCGCTATTACGACTATTGCTTCTCCTTTGACTGCGTGAACGAGAATGATGGATGTGATGTTGAAAATTTGAAACATCGGATTTGGGCTCATAAGAATCGTAATGCAAATGACGATGACGACCTGGAGCATGTTCGCTGTTTGGCGAACAGATGACTTCTTGAACACCTTGTTGACGGGCTTGCTCCATTGCTGTCGATTCCAAATGACGACGAACATCATCATCTTCAAGGAACATGTCAACATGTGTAACAGGAGCGATCATATGAGCTGTCACGCCGGACAAGCCAGTGGCAATGGCGCCCAACTTTTGACCGCCAGAGAAGCTCATCCCTTTTTCGTAATCGACACCTAATAGTGTGGCAGAACTTCCGCGTCTTAAATCACGAAATGGAGTGGCGGAAGATCCACGTCGTAATTGATTGTCGCCATCAGGTCCATTTGGTGAGGGAGAAGCTTTGTTGTCGGCCTTCTTTTCTCCTTTGACGAGATCGTAGGAATATTGAATACCTCTGTTCATCAGGACGGGAATGACGAAAGCCAAAATTTGTGAAACGATGAACCAAGCTGCCAATAAACCAATTTCTTTTCCCGGAATCACTTCTCTTGCGGGAATTAAGATGAAGCTTGGCGTGAACATGACTGACATATTACGCAGTAAGAATTCACATGGCGGTGCAAGTAAGAGCATGAAAGGGTCAACGAAACGTTTACGTTTTTTGGGTTTTGTGCCGTTGGATGATTGACCTGCTTCAAGTTGTTTTGCTTCATTATTAGAACCTGGAAATTTGATCGAAAGCAATTCAAGTAAAAGTAGCAAAGCAAAGAAAGCAATCATTGCAATAACAGGAGCAGGAAATCGAAATGGAGCTTGTTGAATGGCCAAACGTAAACCCCAACAAATCACCAAAATCAAAACAACACCAAGTGGCACATGTATCCAAGTGGTAAATAAATGCTTCTTTTGTCTTTGCCATGTTAGCTTGATTGCTGCTTGAATATCACGCCATCCTCGTATCCTTTCTACTTTTGTTTGGTTTGCTTCTTCATCAACAGTGGTTAATGTAGGAGAAGAAGGTGAAGCACTAAGTTCTTTTGACGTTCGTCTCCCGTTTGAATCATTTGTGATTTCGTCTGCATTATAAGATATTGAAGAAGTCATTATTGGTCGTGATGGAGAAGGTGATAAGGAAGAAGAAGTAAGTCTATTGGTTCAAGTGGCGCACTTTTTGATTCTATTGTTGGTTGTGGCAATCTATTTGTATAGGCGTGGGGTTGGTGGTAGAATGCGAGGTAGCATTGAAATCGAATCATATTTACGAATGTACATATGCAATGGTCTTCCGGTTTTTTACTCGGTATGAAGAGATGGTGTAAACAAATGTTACGCTGTACCAACCGCGGCATATTAGATGTGTTAAAAGGGGGACCGCGAGCGATCAAGTTGAAGAATGCCCGCGAATGCTATGAGCTCAGTTGATGATCTTCCACCTTGGCAAGCTGTAAAGTGAGTACGGAATTGTTAAGTTGATGATAATTTAAGGTTGCTTATTTTGCTTGGCAGATTAAAAAAATAAAAGGGGTTTGTTTAGATAAAGGAATGCAACGATGATGCAGTTCTTGCACCTTCCTTTTTCGTACCTGTCATTCGTTTCATGCGTCCGCACTCCGCGCTCGGATTATGCCCGGTGACAAAAAGCAGTGCCCTTCGAAAAAGAAGTTACGGCCCGGACGATTATCTCATGATGAAAGACGCTAGACTAATTTGTCTTGGCAAAAGAGGAAGGGGAGGAGACCTTGATCATTTATCTAAGAATAGAACAAACAGATTTCTATTGACAGTCTAGAAGGTACGAATGCGGTATAGAAAGGGGGAAAAAACTCTTATCAATTGCCGAGGTAAGTGACGTGACATGTTTTCTTGAACATGAACATATGACACGGTACTCATTTGCCAAGCAAAGTAATAAAAGAAGAGAAGAGTACATCATGTCCAACTTGCATTAGCGTCTCTTTAGCGTTTCTAGGCAGAAATGCATCGATGACACGCACACGCACACAGCCACACACTCAACTCGGCCTTCACCCTGCTTTGACTTGGAACATGTCATCAATGATTCTATTTGCAGAAAATAGAAGCCGAGCAATTAAACCAGCTCGGAGAATAGACCCCCAAAAGAGCTTATGAACGAGATGTCTTCCATTCAAGTTGAAAAGATAAGAGGTGTGTATGTATATGTACTGAAACATCGTTATTAGTCACCGAATTGATCAATTCCCGCTCCCGCCGTATGATGCGGCTGCGTGAAAGTTTGAACAATGAAGATCCATCAAGTACACATTCTTTTAGTACCGCAAAAGTAAAGCCGCCGAATAGAAATCTGTGTAAGCCGCTGATTATAGATGATTGCCTAAAGATTTCCTTATCGCAAATCAAATGACATACCATTTTGCTTCTTTTTTAAACGCCGCCGACCGCTGCAGGAAGAAGAAGGTTGTCAGGCAAATGACGAAATCCCTCGAGATAACAATATCCTATCAACATGCAAGCCAAGCCTTGGCATTTCCCGTAATTGTATAATTATTCCACGCCAATGAATGAAAATAAATGTTTGTTTCTGCAGCACAACGCGACTTTTGCTTTTGTCACCCCACGTTCATTCTTTGCATAACGCCGGAAAGTCGGGAAGGAAAAAAGAACACACGTCAACAAAACAGGTCATTGTTCTCTTGAACATGTGTGCAAGATTTGCTCTGACAGCAGACAGTATCAGAATTCAATCGTGTATCAAAGATAACAAACTCCCACGTGCATCACCATGCTTCTTTTGCCCCACATTCAATCGGCATATGCAAATACGCTTGGGCCGCTTGCCCCCTATCTGTATTTGCTCAAAAGAATGCTTCCCTATAAAGAAGTATCTTGTACAATTAAACCTCCCTTTCACCACCATCCATTGACTATTGTCATGTCGCTCACTTCTCTTTTCTCACCCCTCGCAATTCCGTCCAAATAGATCGTATGATGTCTCCCATTTGATTCTTCAATCACTCACAATGCTGTACTTTGGAAAGTTGCTGGTGCTTTACATAAGCCAAAAGGCATTACGTTGAACTCATAAAGTCCGTGGGGAGCCTTTGACTTCAGACTTCTAGTGGACATTATGGATTTAATGTTATGCTTTTTTGGGTGTTGTGATGCTCCTGTTACATTTCAACGTACACTGTTTTGATTGCTTGTAGAACTGTTTTGGCAGTCATCATACGTTCTATTTGGACGTTTTTGCGTATAGATGAATCTTAAGCAGCTATCATGAATCAATCAAAATTATTTTAATCCCTATACTCAATCAACTAAGTGCAAATCATGAATTAGATGAATGGTAGAGAAGAAATGCGTAAAAATATTTACAAAAAAGACATGATGATACATGTATAATCGTGAGGGTATATGTGTACAAATGGAAAGTGCAAGACAATTTATTAGAAAAAAAGCCGTAAAGTCATCATATCCTTTTGGTCATGTATAGGCAAAAAGTTGTTTGTAAGAGAGCAACCAAATGCAATCAATGTGAAATCGTAGCATGCATCTTCATCGGCGCAAAACCCGGTCCATTTCCACCTTCATTCGCTCCATAAATCGCTTCAGAAGTACTCGTCATTCCGTTGCTATACAAATGACAATTGGATCCTGTAGAATAAACACCGCCAGCACTAAAATCTTCTCGATCATTTGTTTGTCTATGATGATGATTGGATGATGAAGCGACAGATGAATTCGAAGCAGCAGCATTCTTGATTTCATCAAATATACGCCTTTCGTCTATCTCTTCTTGCGATGCATCACCGGACATCGCTGAAGGACCGGAACTTTTTGATCTTCGAATAGCAACTCCTCCAAGCGCACTTCCGATCGGTTCTCTACCTTCTTCCGATGGAGATACGAACGGCAAACCAACCTTTCCTTCCGTATCTTTACTCCATCCCAAATTAGTCATCGATAACGAATTACCATCAGGCAAAGAAAAGGAAGATCGTTTCTTTCCATTCACTCCCATACTTTCGGGAAAAAAGGCGGATTTGCATAAGTCGCGAAAGTTACGGGCTTGTGTTCTTTGTCGAGTACGCAAGCCTATGCTGATTTGATCCATCGAGCTCGTACGAATCGGACTGGCTCCATCATCGAATATGCGAATAGAAGGCACAAGCGGTGCACCATCAACCAATTGTCCATGTCTGCCCCTACGAATCTTTTGGATATGACTTCTTACTTCTCGGAAAAGTGCAATCATCGACAAGATTACAATCCAAACCACGATCAGCCAAATGAAATCTCTTTTGCTGTCATTGGGGATCAATGGTAACGGACTGGTGTAGACCCTTTCACGTGGCGGTAGCAATTGCCCTAAAGCGATTCCTGGTCCTTTCTGGTAGACACCGTAATCCTTATATCTGCTCAAAACGTATCCTTGTCCAGGCTGCCATCTGTACCACTTCTTTCCCAACAAATTCTTTGCAATCATCACTGCAGACTCTCTTCTTGGTCTTCTATATTCATCCGGAACTGCCAATCGAAGATCATCGTCTAACATCCACTTAGTCCATCCTTTCTTGAAAACGTTTCCATTTGCGACATCCTCCGACACAGAATAAACCACTTCATAAGGCTCCTTCTCTGCACGAAGATCAGAAGTGCTATGACTTCCTGTTTCTCCGCTTCGCGCTTGCGTATCTGCTTGACGTATTTTCCTTCGTCCACTAGGTACAAATGGGTAATTGGCATGAAAGATCCCAACAGACACTGTAGCAGGTTGTTTTGAGGCTAGAGGACCAACTTGCGAAGAATGAAAGGGACTTCTTTGTGAATTGAATCGCAGAATTTCTCCTCTAGCGTGGTTGTATCTCTGTCTACTTGCAGAAGGGATGTTGGATATCCTTTCAGTGGCCTTCTGTTTACCCTTGCCATCTGCACTAACAACAGCACCGAATCCAGAATGAGAATCAGCATTTACAGGAGTCAGAACATGTCCTTGATACCATTCCTCTTGAATTTTCCGTAGTTGGGAATCGTCTTCGTCGTTGACATGTTCTTCGATGTCTCTGCTGGATGTCAGCTCTTCAATCTTATCTCTAGATGAGCTTTGTTCGGGTCCAGAGCTTGAACCTGCTTTGAGAGCATCTTGACTACTCTCAGATCGTGCTTGTTGATTGATTCGATCACGTTCTATGCCGGCTCGTATAGCCTTTTTGATCATCTTTTTCTCCTTATCCGATTCATAATCTCGTCTTTCTCGAGTTGATCCTGAAGGTTCTGGAACAGGTCTGGCATCACTGTTGGCCACCAAGACAGGTGCCAAGATCAGTGCAAAACCCTGCCAACCCCTATTCGGGCCAACAATCCGCCTTCTTCCTCTCCGCCGAGGGTCTATCTTTGCAGTCATTGCAGAACTGCTTTGATCGGATCAAAAAAGCCTGCCTCTGTTTGTGGTCTAATTTAAATGACCTGTTGTGAGAGTGTACAGGAATACATAAGTGGCGATTGTTGTGAAAAGATGTCTTATTGGTAGTGCAAATGCGATGCGATTAGCGATAAGCCTGTTTGTCCGGCACTTCGTCAATTCGTTTACTGGAAGTGTGCTGATTTCTGCCAGCAATGATCAAATCTTGTCGAGTTAGGTTCTAAAGTGACTTGCTCTCAATCTTTCTGATTGATATTGATCAGGGCTGTTGATGTGTGAGTGGGGCAAAGTGAGAAAAGCCCTAATAACGATGGCGGTAATCAAAGTCGTCCTTTTTTTGTATTGTGCCGAATTTACACAGAAATAAAAACACATGGTCCTGCCTGCCTGTCTGTCTGTATGCCTGTCTGTCTGCCATAGTGTGTGTGCGTGTATGCGTAGATCAGAATAGGCGTGTGCGTACGGGTGAAATGCAGTGCAAAAGGGAGGGGGGTTAATGTTTATTCTTTTGCCGCCGCCCAATGATCATAAAAGACCAGACCAATTAAAAAATAAAAGATAAAAAAAAAGTGCTTTTCTTTTTTTGGCTTTGCTTACCGTACAGCTCGCGTGCACACCCAGTGGCGGCATGGAAAGTAGATTCCTTCTTTTAATGGCATTTGACCGGCACTTCGCTTCCAACGTTTGTGCGTGTGCCACTTGACAGAAGCAAAGGCGTTGCATGCCTCACGTCAATTAACCCTTCAACGAATGGCAAACAAGCCCGACTGGTACAGAGAGAAACATGATCGAAATAGACGCACTACTAGATGCACACAGAATAGTTGTACGGTTAACGTGCATAAATCAACGGAAGTTATGACCCTGATAATTTATGATCTGACATTCAACGTATGTATTCTCTATCACATGCTTATGGAATACTCCGTGAGAACATGTAGGCATAAAGGTATATACATGATTGCATCACGAATAACATTTATTCCATTCTGTATCCGTTTCAACAAATGCCAGTTGATCGACAAATTTGTTCAAGGGGCAAAGTTGTTTATAATATTTACCATGATGCTTATGTTGCTTTCCATGATGTTGATCATTATCCTCGGAAGTGCCGCAATACGTTTTTGGATCTAAAGTTGCATCATTTGCACGAATACGAATGTATTCAGACTTGTGTGGCTGACAACTAATCTTCTCAAAAACAACCTTTCCTTGTAATGGTGCAATGTGACTGAAATACCAGTTGTGCGGTTTAGCTTGTGCATTGTAGTCTGTCGTCAGAGCAGGTCCGTTGAACAAAGAAGCAGCAGCTACGATTGGAGCGATGTTATTATCGTGGGATCCGTCAAAGTAGACTACAGGTCCTTTTTCTTTAGATGGAAGTGGGAAGGTTTTCGAGCTTCCGTCCAGGGTTGTATTCAAACTTGTAGGATCAGCCAATGGAGGTGCTTTGTCTGTGAAGCGTGCCAACAATTCACGCAAATATCCTTGTCCATTGGCTTTATAGTATTGACTTCCATAACCAACGCCTTGCCATTTACCAACATCGAATGCATAACCAAAAATTGGCCATTCAGTGGAGTTAAAAAGGTTGCAGAAAGGACTTTGAGAGATGTTCAATTTACCATCTTGAACGCTTGCACGACCAAGTGTTTCAAAACTACAAATTGTAGCCAGATTGATCAAATCTGTTCCGGTCAAATTGAAATTTTGAGGAGCGCCAGATTGAATGAGTCTGTTTTGCAATCGTGTACCAATAATAGGTAAAATTGTCGTTTGTGCGAATGATTGTTGTGCTCCTTTCTCTCCCTTGGAACTTGGAACGTTTTCAAAGTTTGTACATGTAGAAACGTCCAAAGTGTTATTTTGACCATCCTTTTCGGAAATGTTTAAATCTGTGTTTGGGATATGTTGTGCTGCTGAACGTACATCGGCCGAGTTAACAAATGAGCCTGATGGGAACGGTTTGCCTTCGAATCCTAATCTCCAATACCGAGCCGTCAAGATTACACGATCATTCAGATCGTCCAAATCACCGCTTCCACGAACGAAAGGGGCAACATGTGTTAAAGATGGGTAAGTAGCAGCTGTAGATCGACCGCTGTAATATGCTTGCAGTGCTCCATAAGGTACCAAATCATTCGTTCCGGTGAGTAAAGATGCATTTTTCAAGAAAACGAGATCACTTGAAACATTTTGACTTTTGTTTAATGCATTTTGAATTTTGACGAGTGTTGCATTTGCACTTGTTAAAGCACTGTTTGTCATATACCTTGCGCCATGTCTTTCGAGCGTATTTACAACTTCAACGTGACAGCCATGTGGAACGCTTGTGGAATCATCTTTGACTGTATAACGCGGTGAGTATTGACCCAAATAATGGAAGATGTCAGGATTCAAGCCTTTATTCAAGATTGAATTGCCATTATCCCGAACTTGTTGGGGATGGCTATGGCCTGCATTTGCTCCTGAGTATAAAGCGGATATTATTGTGAGCGCATATATAGTAGACGTGATTGACTTGAACATTGTTACAGCTGTGATTGGATACGAGAAGATTGTCACAATCACAAGCAAGAGAGTGAGGGCAAGGAAGAACAAAAAGGAAGATCGGATCTTCCTTCTTGTAGCAATTTCATGTTTGTATCCTTTCATTTTTCCGATTTACACATTTGTTACTTGTTGTGCCCCTTTCATATAACGATGAAAGGTTTCATGTAGGAACACCATTATGGTGCCTGAAAGGGAATGATAGCCGAAATTGAATCTTGATGGGGTTTGTAGAACATTGAAATCATTCTTCTAAAGAAAGAACGTGGCCAAAAAGTCTTAGATTTCACCGTCGTGCATAAAGCATTGCAGTAACTCGGGCATCTCCTCCTGTCTTTTAGTTAAAGAGCGCTAAATTAAGCACTCATTTGCTGCACAGTTTGCATTGCCGGCGCCTTTATTACGGCTCGTCTGACTGCACGCTAAAGAATTTTCATAACCGCTTCTCTTCTTCCTTCACATCTTCCAATGTTCTATGGTAGAGTCGGTTCCGTTATCTTATCTGTCTTGCATGAATCACAACATGTCAACACTTTTCTCGGTCAAGTCTCGGTAACCCTGCGAGGGCTTCAATACAATGGCAGAGCCACCATTTCCTGTCCCTATTGGCATGGAATGGGATCCCAAAAAGAAAAGATTCTTCAAAGCAGCGCCAAAGGGTGGTCCATCAAGTCAACAAAAATCACAATCTCGAACGAAAAAGAGAAAAGCTCGTCAAAAGGAGGAATCGTCAAGCTCAAAGGGTGGTCGAGCAACATCGACCGAACAACTTTCACCAGAGCTTAAAACACCAACAGTTGTAACTCATCCACGCTTCTCATCATTTGGACACAATCATGCAAATGCATGGCAATCGTTACGCAGTACGGCGCCTAGAATGGTGGATGTGCATGCTACACAACAAGCTCTGGTAATTCAACAGCTAGGCCAACTTCGTCACTTGAGAACGGCTACGGCGGATATGCCACATGGACCCAGTCCATTCTTCAATCGGAGATTAGTTGGCATTCATGATCTAAACGGTAATGACAGATTTGGATCTATTCTCTTCTTCATGAGCTGGAACGGGTTTGTGTATTCAATAGATACATCTCAAATGCATTCGACAGGAACGACTGAAGTTGCACTACACCTAGCTGAACTGTCATGGCATGCACCTCAACGACCCTATCAAGATCGCATCCCACTCTCGCCTACAACTCTTTCTTTTCGAGCAACGATGGCGGATAGGCTATTGGTATATGCTCCAAGTGAAACACCAGATTGCTATGGACTAGATGATGATTGTTTTGCATTCTTTGCCTCACCGTTGGAATTAAAGGTATATCGTCTTTCAACAAGTGCGTCTAATGAACAATCAGGAAGATGTATCAATGTGATGCCGGATAAATATCACGTCAAAATACTACGCAATTGGCCAACAGGTGGATACATTACACTGAGCATGCGTCGTCTTCGAGCGCAAGGATGTTTGATTATCTGTGTAGGAGTGGGTAATCGGATCTGCTTGTACCGTCTTGCAGTTACGGAAGATCAAGATGGCCCTTTTGGGATGAACTATATTCCGTCACAGAGCAAGGTCTTTCGCCGTGCTGACAGTGATGTGATGTCGCACGACATCAGTGCAGATGGTTCACATGTCATTGTAGGATGTCGAAATGGTAGGGTAGCACGTCTACCACTGCTGTTTGAAGATGGGAGCAATGATCTGGCAAACAAATCAAGTAGAATAGTCGAATCGGATTATTTGCCCTTACGTGGCGTGGGTGCAGTGACTAATGTGAAGCATATGTCCGATGATGAAGTCTTGTTGGCTTATAGTAGCGGTAACCTGGTTTCTTGTTTATTGCACAAGCCAAATCAAGCACATATGGTGTTTGAAGGCCATATCAATTCATGGACTCTCAATCCGCCAATGACGATCGATTTGCGTTACAAGGTCTTTGCTTTAGCCGGTCAAGATCGCCGAGTCCGAATTTGGAGTTTCGACCATGCTCAGCCACTTGGATACGATTCCGGATCAATTCAAGAAGAGCAAAATAAAATGGTGATAGAGGATGATGATGTAGATGATGAAATGAACACATTTGATCCTCATCGAGATTCTACATCGACCCAACAAAAATTGTCTCAAGTTGTTTTCGCCAATCAAGTCACAGGCTTAACATTTTGTCAACGTTTTGCCGTTTCGAATGATGAAGCCATGCAAAATTCGACATTTTTACCTAGAGGGGTACCTGCTCTAGCCATTTCGTGTGGTGGCAGTGAGATTACCTTTTTCGAATGATTTTCTGTATATTTCTATCTGTATTCTACGTTGTATTTTTTACGTCGATTCTCACTTAGAATCTGGTGATGCGATCGAGTATGTTGTACCTTAATTTGATCTTTCACACCAGATGCTTATACTCTTTTTAGCTTTCTTCGGTCAACGTTCGGGCACGTAAACGGCAGAAGTTGAAACAAGCGTTCTAGCCTTGATTTTTCTCCACTTTCTTAATATTACAGCCCACGATTTTAATCTTAAATGCGGGGCTATACTCTTTCAGTAAAGTCACAGTGTAAACTTACCTTACAATTAAAAATCTTCCGAATGAGCGTGTAGACAGAGTATTTGTAGCTTACCTACTCCCGCTTTAAGACACTTTGCAGAAAAGAGTATTCACATGCGATTCCCCATACAAAGGAAAATAAGACTAGAATTCGCAGTGGATGTGTAAGAGAAATTGCATGCTGATGCATTTTGCTTTTGCTTAGGAGATGTAATCCAATCTTCCTTCTCGCCATCGTCATCTCTACCTCTTCTCATCTCTAGCAATACCGGTTGGATCAGAGATCCGTGTGTTTGTGTGTGCGTCAGGCTATCTCTTTCACTCTCTTCACAATGCCTCAATCTTTTCGACCTTATCCCGAACCGGGAGCAGACACCCTAGGAAAATTTCGATTATGGCCTTTTTTACGTGATTCAATCTTATTTGGACCTTTTCAATTTGGTGCATTGGTTCCACATGTGGTTTTACCATTTTATATTGCTTATAGAGTGTTAAAAGGAATGGGTTTGTATACCGAACATGTTGCTTATATTGTGGATGCGATCCTTATTCCACTTTTGCAAGGTTTTGCCATTGGCGGTGCAATCACAACTGGATATATGCGCTTTGGAAGTGAAGCAGGTCGTAATATTGCAAAGAAACGTTCAGAAGATGCTGCTACTACCGAAGAAGATTCTTCTCAACATCGTATCGAAGTGGCATTATATGCATTCGTTTATCTCCTATTTGCAACGTGAGTACTTTTGATGGGTTCTCTGCTGACGATGCAAAGCATGACTGACACACCTCTTCTTTGAAATAGATACCTTTGGCACCACTTCCCTGCCGCTGATGGACCCGGAATGAAATCGGCAAAACGTTTGATTAGCAGAATACACATCGGTCTAGATCTTGGTGAAGGTTGGAGATCAGGCAAGAAGTGAGGAAATGATTCATCACAACATGAATGCTTCTCTTGAGATCAACTCGAAATACACGAGATTTGCTGGTTTGCCATCCACCGCACACATGTCAAAGTGCTATCAGACTCGCCTGCACTCTGTTGTCATTCCCAAATGACATTCAGCAACAATACCTTTCTCCTTTCCTGTAATGCTCCTCTTGTAATGCTTACTTCATATGCCTTTTGTAGAATGTCTCAAAGAAATGGAACAAAAATTTGCGAAATAAAAGAATACATCAAATTGCGTACATATGTGGTAAAAGTATCTATATGAATCCCTTCAACGAGTCAGCCTTCTTGGTAGAATCTGAAGACTTCTTTGGCTTTGTTTCAAAATAATAATCGTTCAAGAAATCATCAAGGCTGTCTTTGCTCTTACCAGTCGAGGCTGGCGTCACTGGCTTTGAAGCCAATTCTTTCGATCTTGCTGCGCGTGAGCTTGAAGCCAAACCTCCCAAAATCAAAGAACGAACTGCATCAGCCGTCAACGGTTCGCTAGATTGTTTCTTGGGTACACTAGCGGAAGATTGACCTGCAGGTTGTGCAGAAGGTGGTACGCCCAAAGCAGCAATGCCGCCTTTTGATGGTTTGTAAGATCCGTTCGGGTTGGAAACCTTACCAAGATGGGCCAAGACATCCCCTTTGGTCAACATTCCGCGTAAACCGGTTCCTTTGATCGATTTGGCATCTTCGGCAGATACGTGATTCTCTATTAGCAATCTCGAAACGGATGGGAATAATTGACGACCAAGATCAGGTGCATGAGCGGCAGGATGTTGAGGTGATCCTGCGGGTGATTCTTGGTTGGCCTTCTTCTTTTGTGGATCATCTGCTGGTGCACTTGGAGCTGTGCTTGGAGCCGAGCTGGAAGAAGAAGCTTCTTGCTTTTGTGGAGCAGGTGATGCCTCGTCTGCTGGTACTTCTACATTTGAGATATCATCACCTTCTTCTGCTAACATGGCAATCGTTTGTCCGACTGGAATTGCTTTTGCTCCTTCTTGAACAACAATCTTTGCCATGATACCATCTTCTTGTGCTTCGACATCCATAGTTGCTTTGTCAGTTTCAATCTCCAACAAAACATCACCGGCTGAGAATGATTGACCTTCTTTCACTTTCCATGTTGCCAATCCACCTTCTGTCATTGTTGGACTCATGGCAGGCATGAAGAATTTTGTGATTGCCTGTCTGGCTGCAGTACTGTGTAGGCCTATGGGGGAACATGAATGAATTGCAACAGGTTAGCATTCATGATTCAATCGAGTCATACTCCACTCTGGATCACTTACCTCTTGAGGCACTAGCCATATTCTGCGATGAAACAATTCCTCGCCAGATCATTTTTGTGGATGATGATGCGATTGACATGATGTCAAATGAATACCCAAGAGAGATCGTCGAGGATGGAAAGGATGTTGCAATGACCGTGCTTTTAATTCTTCTTAAAGATAATCTTTGCCATGCATGAGCGAATAAAAATTTGTAACCTTTTAGAGCAACAAACACTCTCCAAATGCCTTTTACGCCCACTGGCACGATGAACTGTTGGGAAGTTTGTCTGTGCACCACTTTACTGAATATGCTTTAACTTTGTTCCTCTTTGGCGTATGCATTAAGCCCAGCTTCTACCGAATTTTTTATTCATAACCCAACACACGCCAGGCAAAAAATGCTCCGAAAATAAAAGCACGTGTCTTGGTTTGACATGATGACCTTTCTTTTCATTACCATACACAAGATGCAATTTTCGAACACTTAACTTCTTTCTATTGACGTCATGCCTAGATATGTTTTGTCTGATTTATCTTACATGGTTCGATGTTAATTCTGGGGATGAGAATGGAAGCTTTTGACTGAACGGCAAAGAGAAGGATGCTTTTCACAATCAGAGGTCTGCTTGATCTTATGGTCAAGCATGTCATGCCCTGAAATTAAGGCAAGATTTTTCTCACGAGGCGTATCTGTGAATACCATGAGGTCGTTATTTGATCGGCGTGAAAATTGACGTTTTAGGCCCGTCAAATGAAAGAAGCGCTAAGAAAAAGCCATCTGACGCCGAAACGCGGCACTAATGCACATGGATCTTAAGTTAATTCAAAGCTTTAAAATGAATAACAAATGCCGAATGTTCCCCAGACGAAATAATTGCTTGTAACTGTCATCATCATTATCCAAGATACCCAAATCATGATCTGACGATGAAGCCTCGCAGCTCTTGTGATGCATGTCATATGCGAAAGACGAAATGCGATTTATTGGAAGTAAAGGCAGAAGCAAGAGCACAAGGGATTCTAGACTTGAATAATGGCACTCATGTTGCATGTTCATTCTGTCAATCATTGGGTGTGACATGTAAAGTATCAGCTGAATCAAAGAACAAGAAAGGGGAAATGCAAATAGGAAAACACAAAAAGGGAAAACGAATAAGAGCATTATTAGAAGCTGATAGAAATGGAAGTGAAGAAAAAATGGACGCTAGCCATCAAGATCCTAGTTTGAACGAAAATGTGAATCGAAAAGATGGTTATTCAACCTTCACTGCTCCATCACTCACTCTTCATTCGGGAAAGATGCGAGATAGCGCAGGAGACGCAATGTTTACCAGATGGGTGTCAAAGCTTAATCCAAACTTTTCACGTTTGAATAATGGCATTTCGAGTAAACCACTTTCGTCAGGCCGAATGTTAAATGTAGTGGGACTAAATCAGAACATTCTCGAGTCGTGCATCAAAGGGTACTTTGATACGATGGAACGCTGGATCCCCTTGACACAAGGACGTGAAGAGTTTCTCAGGCGATCAAATCTCTTCATTCGACAAACCCAAGGCCTCCTAGACGAAGAAGATGAAGCAGCCAGCAAAAAGAATGAAAAGGGAGTTCAAAAAGGACCCATTTCAGAGATTCTACTGTTGGCTGTCGTCGCGCGTGGATCGATTCATTCACCCTATTCGGCTCTGTTTGAGCCTTTGGTGGATCGATTGGTCGAAGTGATTCATAAGGGTGATACACTAACAGAGTCAGGCTTGGATGGTGTAGAAGCTGTTGGAATCATTCATGAAGCTTTTTTCAGAACTTTACATCCTACAGCGAAGGATGGCAAGCTTACAACATGCCTGCGAATGGATCCATTAGGCAAAGGCTTCCCGATGGAATTGTGTCTGTTCCACAACCTGAACGATCCCGCCTCAGCATTAGCCCAAACAGATGTTGACCGTGCTGCATATTTGTTTTGGGTGCAATATGCTGTAGATGCTTTGCGAAGTGCATCGGCGTGTAGAATGTATCGTTTACACGAAGAAGATATCGGCTGGCCGCTTAATTTGGAACCAAAGGATTATCCATACATCTACATTGCAAGTATTGCTAGGGAGTTATGCACCGGCTTGTTCTCTTCTAAGTCACGGAGAGAGCCTTTAAAGGATGAATGTATCTTGGGATTACTTGAAAGACTATCAGATTGGCCAGAGAAAGGTGGAATTTCGATTCACAAGATTTTAGAACCACTATCAGAACAGGAGTCTGCTGACGGTCAACCACCTTTCCCGCCGAATAAGATGATGGAGCTTACCACGCTTTCTGCACTTTGGCTACGGCTACATCTATCGTTATGGATTGCCACACAAGGCCCAAAAGGAGAACATTTACTTCCCTCTACGCATGAAAGGATTGAACATGAAACCTCGGTTGGCGCAACACGAGTGGAAAAGGTGGCTAAGTTTGCCGTACGATACGATCTCGTCGATTGTGGCTCAACTTTGATGGTCAGTTCTATGGCTGCTTGGTTCTTATATCTGACACGAAGATCTGCCGGAAAGGATAAGATGAATGCAAGAAAAGATGACGATCATTCAGATCGTATCAGGATGGCACAATCAATGGTGACTGGGATTCGAGCAGCAAGACAGACAAAAGGTGCACCGCAACTAGCCGATGCATTACAAGATATAATCGATCAAAAGACAAATACGAAGCCGCTTGGCGTTGATGAGATTGCATACGTATCCGAAAAAGGACACATGCCAACTGCTGCAAAGAAACAAAGAAGATCTACCAATGTTGCAAGAGAGCACTCTTCAGATGAAAGAAGGGAAGAAAAAGTTCATACCTATGCACCGCAATCTAGCACTAGAGCGACACTTTTCCCATCGGAAGAAGAACAAAGGAAAGGAGCATCAACTGCATCTGCGTCTCCGACAACAACAATCACACCAAGTCAATCAGGATCAACTTCAGGACCTTCAACAAACTATACGCCAAATAACAATCATCCAATCCCTGAAGATCAAATGAATATCTTGATGAATGATGAAATACCTTCTTCCACCCTTTTGGGCTCAAATGTTTTGGCTTGGGATCCTGATCTTTTGGCATTTTTGGATGCGTCTTTTCTTGGAACTTCATAGGTAGCCTTTCCGCCTTTAAATACACTGTATAATTATCTATCATGTACTTTATTCCCTACCAGTATTTGGAATGCGATGCCTATTATGATTCATTATCTTTTATCGAAATTGGTCGATGTAACAATCTTAGGCCATGCGCTGATATAAGCACGCCCACCTCCACAGGGTTTAAGCGGCGTATGAACTTCCGTGCAGGGTGGACTCTTGCCATCGGAAGATTTCACCCATACATCTTGGTCAATCTTCTTCTCCACTAGGTAATCTTCTTCGAACCATCATCATCTTTGCAAGCATGTCGTCACCAAAGATCTTAGATTTCAAATGTGCTTTGATCACAGGAGGAGCAGGCGGATTGGGATATGCAATGGCAGAATACTTTATCAGTTTAGGTAAAAAAGTTATCATCGTCGGAAGAACGGAAGAAAAGTTAAAAGAAGCAAGTCCAAAACTCAAAAATGCTCCTTATTACCCCTTAGATACGGGAAAAGTATCTGAACTTAAACCGATCGTCGAAAAGATTACAAAAGAACATCCTGAATTGGATTGTTTGATCAATAATGCAGGCGTTCAAAGACCTTTGGACGTGGTCAATATGGACCTGGAAAAAGCCGATAATGAAATCGATATTAATATTCGTGGTCCCGTTCATCTTGCAACACTTTTGTTACCACATCTATCTAAACAAAAAGTGGGCGTGATCATCAACGTTTCTTCCGTCTTGGGTTTCATTCCTTACAGTGTCATCAATCCGGTTTATAACGGTACCAAATCTTTCATTCATTCCTGGTCGGTTGTTCAACGTAAACAAATCTCATTAGCATACCCAAACATGCGTGTTGTAGAGATTGTTCCTCCTTCTGTTGGAACGGATTTGCATCGTGAACGTGAAAATCCAGATGACAACAAGAAACATCTTGGTGCTTCATCTTCTTTAACGATTGAAGAATTCATGGATGACGTTAGTAAAGGATTTGAAAATGATCAAAATGAAATCGGTGCTGGACCAGCACATGCAGCTATCGCTGATTGGCACGAAAAGTTTGGCTCCAAGTTTGACAAAGCAACCGCTGAATTCAAGAGAAAGTGAGGCGCATATACTGTATAGAGCATATAAAGTCATGAAACAGACAGAAGTTCAATCTTATCCTTTCGCCGCTTTAGACTTGTATAGAATTAGATTCTTTTAAGAAAAAAAGAGCGATAAGAACACCATGAAACAAGGAAAAGGCAAAAAGAAAAAAGAAGATGAAACAATGTATAGGGAAAATTGCTGTACATTGAGAAGGGGCGGCGTAGAGAAATATGAGTGAAACAAGAGCAAGGATACGCTTTGAACAAAAGGAACGAAGAAAAAAAAGAGCATTGAAATGAAAGTTTGAAAGCAACACGATCCAACGGGTGAGGATATCGGCTCTTTTTTGGGAAAGTTAAAAGGCATCCCATTTGATCACATTGATTTGCAACCCTGCTGCAATGAGAGAATTGTGGATGTATGTCTGATGTTGGTGAGATAGCTGTTACGAAATAGTGCGAATGGATGGTGCGATGATATACTGCTCCTTCTTACGATGTGCAATTGAAAGAATCGAGCATTTTGGAGTATGCAAGATTGTGTTGAGGTGTGCTGTGCGGGTGATGTATTTGTCGAGAGGAAGCGAGATGTTTTCTGTACGTGTTCCAATTCCTCGTTGTATACGATCAAAATTGGTACATCACCCAGCACGCATCGTTCCTATCAACATATTGCCTGCATCGCCCTAGAGAATAGCACATTTCGACTTTTTCCGTACCACCGGTGGTTCCAAAGCCGCAACAATAGCCTGATGGAGTGAAAGGCATAGGTAAGTGTTAGCATTCATTCTTGCAAAACTTCGTTCCCACTGGAATTCCCCCCTTCACGTTCGCCTACTCACCTCATCAAATACATTCTTCAACCCTCTTTGTGTCAGAGCAGAACATTCGACATACTTTACTGCACCCAACTCCCTTGCCAGCCTTTCACCTTGATCAAAGGTGACCGGTCTTTGTTTCTGTCTTGCCAATTTATCAGTTACTGCAGGATCGTCCCGAAGATCGACTTGAGTTCCGACGATCAAACATGGAACACCTGGACAATGATGATGAACTTCTGGGAACCACTTTTCTTTGACGTTTTCGAATGAAGCAGGCGATGTAACACTGAAGCAAACCAAGAATACATCCGTTTGTGGATAAGATAGAGGACGTAGTCTGTCGTAATCCTCTTGACCGGCAGTATCGAATAAACCAAGGGTGTATGGATCATCACCGATCATCACAGTGACTGCATAGTTGTCGAACACCTGTAGGAGAAGAAGTAAATTGAGCTGCTGCTCTTCAAATGTGATATAAAGTTCATACTCACTGTTGGTACGTATTCGGATGGGAATTTGTTCGTTGTATACGAGATCAAAAGACAGGTCTGAATTGAAGATATTAGAGTTATCAATGTCAGCATTTCCCTTTCCCGCAGAGTTGCGAACAATCAGTCAACGCACCTTTCCCACAGCACCATCTCCCACGACAACACCTGATATCGAAAAAATGAAGAAAAGACGCAATTGTTAGACACAGATCGATAAGAGCAATAAATCGAAGCATTTGAGGAACGTACATTTGATCGTCTGCATATTTTTTGAATTGTTGAAAGTCGCTCCAATGTATTATTTCTGTTCGTTATCGATCAATCTTGCCAAACTTGATCAGATGAACAAACAATGGGGTTTTGGCAATAAACACAGCAACAAGTCAATTTTGATCAAAAAGTCGAAAAATGTCGAATTCAGAACGAGACGAAAACGTGCTCTGGTTTTGTCGAAATGAGCAATAGCAAGGCGATGTTAAGTCGAACTTGAATATGATGATGGCGTGAGTATGATCAGAGATCACTACTTTAAACGGCTTCCGTTCAAAAAACCCATTCCAACTTTCATTTCTACATACCTTGAATGGCAGGGCAAATAGTCAGGCAATCTACCCTAAAAAGAAAGCAGCTGGCTACGCACACACATACACACACTAACAACCTTAGGGCGCGCTTGCCTTTTGCGCGAATCCGTGTGACGAAACTTAAAAGCTGCACATGCACACCACCGGGGGGTAACACAAGATAAATACAAAAACACAGGCAAATTGTATTAAATTGTGTAATACAACAAGGCATATCCCCTAACACCGCATACAATACAAATTGTTTCGCGCGTTGTATATATGGCTGAAAAAGGTACCACCATATGAACTCAAAAGGGGGGGGGAGCAACATAATCAACGCCTGCTTTCTACGATCGGTACTTTCGGCCCACGCGTGACTATAAGACACAAGATCCCCCGTCGGAAGAGTGAAATGCCTGAGCGGGTTTGGATAAGCGTGTGTGTGTGTTAATGCGTAGGTGTGCATGTTCGGTCACAAAAAGTTGAGAGTCTGTCGGGCAAATTATATAGTACAGCACTGATGAATTGCCGCCTCTTTTGATCGACTGATTTTGTTATTTTTCATGCAAGCATCAATCGAAAAGTCATTGTTAAGTTCAAAGTGCGAAAATATCTGTGCTTCTCTCCACGTTTGAACTTTTGTGCTGATTCATTTCCATTCACACTGTCTTGTGACTACCGTCATCAATCGTTCAACAACGGCCAGCAAGATTGTTAAGGCTGCGCTGCAAAGAAGATTTGAATCAGGATTTATTGTCGGATTCGCTTTGAAAGCAACCTAATCACAACAAGTCAATGACAGCATTCACTGAATAATCATACTTGATCATCCCAAGATCGGTAAAACGTTTTGTACCATACTAGCTCACAATGGGTCAAGCAAATGGAAAGGAAAAGGCAGAGGGTAGTGGTGGAATGGTAGATGGAGGAGCATTGGTTCCACAAGGTGTATATAGTGGAGCACAGGATTACAATCACTCAGTCGTACAAAAGTTGATTCAAACACGCAAATTGGCACCTTTCTATACTGGATTGGACGATGAAGAGGCATATGCAAAAGCACCATATAATACAGAATGCCCAATTTGTTTTCTCTACTATCCATCACCATTGAATCATACCAGATGCTGTGGTCAGCCGATCTGCACAGAATGTTTCGTTCAAATCAAGAGAGCCGATCCTACTACACACAATCCACCTTCAAGTGAGCCAGCAATGTGTCCATTCTGTCAAGAAACAGATTTTGGTGTCGTATACAATGCACCACCTCCAGGCGTACTCAGCGGTGAGAACAGAAGCATTGCTGGCGTGGCAGAAAGTGCAAGTGCTGCACGAGAACAAGCCGAAGGAAGTGCAGAAGGAAGCCAACAACAAGCTGCTCAAAAGAAGAGAAAGAGCTTCACGCATAACGATCCAAGTGTGGTGACGATTGACGCAATCAGACCTGATTGGCAAGCGAAATTGATGGCAGCAGAAGCAGCAACTTTACGAAGGGCAAACAGAAGAATTATTATGAGACAAGTTGGTGATCGCTTGATTCCTGTTGGTGTATCTTCCTCGAGATTAGGCTCTGAACTTCCACCAGGATCAACCACTGGTCCCGGCGGAGCAATCATTATTGGCGAGAATACAAGATGGGGAGGTGATAGACGAGGTAGTCGTGGAAGACGTGGAGGAGAGATTGCCAATTTCTTGCAATCCTTAGGCGGTGGGCAAGATATGGAAGAAATGATGATGATGGAAGCGATGCGACTCAGTCTATTGGAGCATGAAGAAGAACAACGAAGACAAGCACAATCTCAGTCACAGCAAGGTCAACAAAGTAGTGATGGACAAGGAGCAGCTTCGCTTCCTGATACGGCAAACGATGGTGCACCACCCACTCCAAATGTCGATGCACGTTCTGCACCGGCTATGAGCGGAACTAGTTCTGTCTTTTCAAGTCAGCAACAAGCTGCCCCATTGCCACGTACATCAAGTCTTGCTGTCGATAATGCGACCACTGCAACTTCGTCTGTATCTGCACCAGCACAGTATACATTGAATCCTCAACAGCTTGGGATTTCAACCAACATGATGGCAGAATTGTCTGAATTGGTGGAAGGCGGATTGAATATTGATAGAACCAGTGGAGGCGATGCCCTCACCTCGGGAAGCCAAACAGTAACTTCTTCCGAAACAGCAGCACCATCGTCGCCGACGCAATCATCTTCCGTGCCTGTGCCGATCACGCCGTCAACTTCTACTGCCGCTGTACACTTTGCCGGTTCGCCAGCGTCTCGACGATTACAAGGATTAAATGATTCAAATCAATCACCATCAATGACTACACCAATCAGCGGTACACCACCTGTAGGCAGTCCAAGTCGAATTGGAACGAATCCCAACAATCCATTCCGCAGATAGAGTGCTGCCAATTCACCAACGCATAGCCGACAAGGTTCAAATGCCAATATGGGATCATCCTTCAGTGCAAATGGACCCAATTCACCTTTTGCGTCTTGATCATGAAATAAAACTGTTACCCTTTTAACAGCTCTAATGATAGAGTCTGTTTCAATCCTTTCTGTTAGAGACATTTCCGTCCATTTTCTTTTATCCTGTTGTACTTTTGATCATATACACATTTCTACTCAATCTTCAATGTCACCATCACTTACCAAAACCAAAGTACATAAAGCGAGCCTGATAAGATAAAGCTTAATCGCGCATGCATATATATAGCGCCAAATTTAAAGTGGGATTGATTGCTTCTTTAGGTCGTGTTATAACCACCAACTTCTTACAGTACTTCCACTTCGACACAGTATGATGGTAAAGTAGTGCAAAAGATCAAGGCACTACCTTTCGAGTGTCAAAATGCGATGTAAGGATTGCGGAGAAGATGTGAAATTTGTCGCAGAAACATTTGGTGCATTATGTTCTTCTTGTGGAGCAATACAAGAAGAAGAAGTATTTTTGGTTCCATCCGTCGGAAGAAGGCTTACAAGTGAAGCAACAAAGCAGCAATACAAGAACGCACAAAGTATCACTGGCTCACGAATCGCTTCTTTTCATCGATCTAGAGTGGATGAACAACAAAGTCCGTTTCAAAAACGTCTAAAGAGTCAGGATACCCAAAGGCTCATCAATGGTATTCTCAATGCTCTTGATCGACCTTCGTTGGGCATAGAGGCGAGGAATGTGCTCTCTCAAGCTCAGATAGCTCAATCCTTGAGTGAGAGCGAGCAAGGGGCTACCAAGGATTTGCTGGAGCCTAAACGATTGCATACATCTGTCTGTGCAGCATGCTTTATCGTTGTGCACAAACGGTCACCAAATGTGACTCTGTCGGATGTGTGCAAGATCGCTGATCAAGGTTTAGGTCAGACAAAGACAGCTCTGAATGAAATCGAACGGCTTCTTGCAAAAGTTGTAGACCAAGATTTGAACGATTCGGAGGCTTCCCGCGATACAGCGTCTACCTATTTCGAAGCGCAAATCCAATTTATCCTTGACCAAATGAAGTCATCCTCAGACAAAGGAGCACTGATGAACAAAAGCGATGAAGCACTCTGTCGGCGAGCAGGCGTAGGATCCAAACCTTTTCGAAAATTAGCAGATCAATTGTCTGAATTGTGCGCCCACAATGGTCTCTTCAATCGTTCGGGCAAAAAAGGCGCATTGTTGGACCTTGGGATCTGCTCATGGGCTATCCTAATGCTCACTATTGAGGCAAAATCTGGTGAACCTTGTTCGGAGAAGCGCTTTGCCGAGCTGGCAATTTGGGCGCCAGGATGGCAGGTAGGCAAAAAGATGAATGGTTACACAAAAGCACAACTTGGATTTGAAGACTATGAGGTAGTAGAAGAGGACGTTAAAGAAGACAGGGGCAAACGGGAAGAAGCTCGACGCAGTGCTATCAAGACGGTATCTACACTGGTTCATTTCAAGTACAGTGATATCTGTAGGCTTGTTTCAGCTTATATCCGTTGTCTTCCGTGGTATGACGAAATTATCCATACGAAGAAGCCTAAGGGAAATCGGAAAGCCTCTATGAAATCAATCGAAGACAAGAATTTTCCCGACCCGCTGCCTAGAAAGATCATCATTGCTCATCTTCATGAAGTCATCAAGCTGCGTAACATGCTGGAAAAAAGCATGCAGGATACTCTCCGGGAACAGGACGATGATACCGAAGAGGAACCTGGATCATATGGCTTCTTATACGATGCTCTTCTAGCACTATCTCCTACTACATCTCAGTCGGATCAACGCTCGGTTTTGGCAAGATCCATCGGCTCTACATTGCTCACTATTGAAGCGCTGCAAGAGATGGATGATCAGATTGCAGATCAAATACTTTTTCGAGAAGGAGAATTGAGCTCTTACATTTCTTCTGCAGAGGAAGTTGCAGCGAAACGAGTTGCGTTTGCAGTTTGATTTTCACAACGATAAGTCGGGGCATTGAGAGTGCTGTACAATCAACGCCAAAATAGCAAAAGACATGTATATTTAGGTCAAGAGTTTCGTCATTTCCCCATCACGACAAATGTGTCAAAATGAGAATCTATCATTGCCTATCATTGACATTGTATCCTATCCTTCTATTGCGAGAAACGGTGTATGCCGTCAGTAGTGGCAACCTCGGACCAAATCTATGGGATCTGAATGAAAGTGCGTCATCAGACGGCAATTCACATCCGGCAAAACACCGAAGTCCTCGACGTGCTTCTCCATCTCGACAAAGGTCCATGTCTCCGTCATCATCTTCGCATAGTGTGAACAACAAAGACATTGTGTTGAAAGATAGTACACCAAGTGGCGGTGAAACAAGAGGAGGACCATCAGTGACAAGGTACAGCATGCGTGATAACCGTGCAAGGGTAAACTATGCAGATCTACAAGGCTCTTCTTCTTCTGAAGGATCTTATGCACCACCGCGGACTCAAGCAACGAAACGTAAATCGACGGATTGCAAAATCCACAGACCGGATTGTGAACATTGGGAGCTACTTGATCTCAAAATGCGAAAGCAAGAAAGTAAGAGATATGAAAGATCGTTATTATCAACAGAAGAGAAACAAGCGATTCGAAGGGAACAAACTATAAGGCACAAAGGAAGTGAAAAACGTGCAGAAACGAGGCGAATATGGGAAAGAAATCGTGTTGCAAGGATGAAACCTGCGGAGAAAAAACAATATTTAAATCGAAAAGCAGAGATAATGAGACAAGTTCGAGCGCGAAAACGTAAGATTGTAAAAGGAAAGACACAACAGTTGAGGATTGATAAACCTGAACGAGATTCTGCATTAGAGCAAGGAAATAAAAAACCTCCCAAAAAGATGAAGAGTTTATCAAACCTTTCAAAGAGTGAGGAAGAAAGATCGACAAATGCTGTGGACAAGCCAAAGTCTTCGAAGTAATAAATGTATAATATCGTAATATTTGACCTCTTATGAATTAATTGTACTCTATCATCATGTGAAGATGACTAATCGTGACAGATAAATCGCGTCATTAGGCCTGAAAACGGATACGGAGTATCAAGTCAAGCTAAAGCAAGATTACCTACAACTGCAAACCTAAATATGAAACTTCCTTCAACGACGATCTGATCTTGAACCCTTGCTGACAAGAAAATAGTCAAGCTAATGTGATTAGATAAAACATCAGCAATTGTGTAGAGTGGAAATGATGAAAGGATCTCGAATGCAAAAAGGTATAAAGATGACAGAATCTGGGGATCGAAAAGGTGGAGGGAACCCCTTTTTATACGATTGATCATCACGCTCACAGTAATACTAACAAAGATGCCTCCTAAAGATAAATATTCCGATCCAAAGGTGAGTAAAACATCAGGAGTAAGGAAGGTGTATTTGTACTGAACTTATCTACTCCAATCTTATCTCTAGCTCCGCGATCAAATCAAGGAGGAGGTAATGCAATCGGATAAAGGAGGAGCTCCGGGTCAATGGAGTGCACGTAAAGCACAATTCATGGCAGCCGAATATAAGAAGAGAGGTGGAGGATATAATCAAGATGAAGGAAAAAAGGATGAATCTCAAAAGAATTTGGTGAGTTGAGATGTCGGAGAAGAAAGGTCAGGAACCAAACAACTGATATGCTTTCATTCCCTATTCAGAGTAAATGGGGAGAAGAAGAATGGCAAACGAAGGAAGGTAGCGGAAATGCAAAAAAGGAAGATGGAACACAAAAGAGATATCTTCCTAAAAAGGCATGGGAACAAATGGATGAGAAAGAAAAGAAGGAAACAGATTCTAAAAAGCAAGAGGAGAGCAAGAAAGGAAAACAATTTGTAGGCAATACCGAAAAAGCAAAGAATACACGAAAGAAGGTTAGCGAAGAGCAAGAGGAGGATGAAGAAGAGGAAGGAAAACAGAACTCTCGAGGTCAAAAACGTAAATCTACCTCTGAGGCAAAAGAAGAGGATGAAAATGAGGAGGAAAAATCTTCAAACAAAAACAACAAAAGCGCCAAAGGAACACATGGATCAAAGCATGATTCAAATGAAGCTCCCGGCAAACAAGCATCCAAAGATCGATTACCTGAAGTAGGTAAAACAGTAACTTGGAAAGCAATGCCTGGCTGGGTTGAAGGTGAAGTCAAGGAAATTCTACGTAAAGCAAAAACTGTCAACGGAAAGAGTGTCAAAGCTTCAGATGATGACCCAAGAATCGTTTTGAAAAGTCATGGTCCTTCGGGAAAACTTGCTGTTCATAAACCGGAAGCAGTGTATTTCTGAATGGTGAATTTATCTCCCGAGTAGCACACTACCTCGTACTACCATGTGCCTTTTTCGGCGTTTCATACTTCAATTTCTAGAAATGGTAGCTTTTGAGATCGCTATTCAGACAGGGGTAAGGAGATATGCTTAGATTGTGTCTTGTAGAGTCTTTAAGAAAGGGGATAAAATCATCCTCATCTAGAATCGTGAACCGGAGCAGGGGGCGTGTCACGATAGGAGCATGTGTATCAATATTCCAATTCCATCAAGTCCAACCACAAGAATGATAATATGATACTTTTCTTTTCTGATTGATTTGATACCCATCTTCGACGTTACTACATCATTATCACATTTGCCATCATCACTTTCAATCGCGTTGAACGACATGTTGGCATTCTCAAATGGTTTCAACAGTATTCGAAGGCGTAGTTGTGATTTAGAGGTATTGCAGCGTGATAATGCAATGCAAGTTGAACGAATTCGGTCAAAGAATGAACCAAGTGATCAACAACCAAAACGCTTCTCAACCTTGAAACTTGCTAGGAAGTTGTCTAATCGATTGAGTGTTTTGGCTGTGAATGAAACGAAGTCAAGTTTGGAAGATGGTGAGAATATTGAACGAGAACAATTGATACCTAAAGAATCAATTTATAATATCAACGTCCAATTAAAACCGAATAGGGACCAATACATCTACAGACCCGGTCAATGCGTCCAAGGTACATTCACGGTGAACGGACAAGCTAATAAGTTGGCTTCGTTTAAACGCATCACCATTCGTGTTCATGGAATGATGATCTTGTAAGTCTACAGAGATATCTGGTGGTGGGCCTTTCTCTCACAGCTCATTTTTCCTATCTCACAGCTCCCGATATGAGAAAGACGAGACAAAAGGCTCAGGTCGCTCGATCGGACGTAAAAAGTGGTTATTTTACGATTCAAAAGCGATGTCATATACAAAAGAAGAATTGAAAAATCTTGGAGTGAGTTCGACTCCAATTATGGGAGATCCGACACAAAAGCACGCTTTAGAGATGCCTTTTGCATTTGAATTGCCAATCAGATGTATTTCTTATCAGCATGCATTCAAATTCGTACGTGAACCTGCACCTTTACCGCCAACTATGCACTTTGAAGTTCAAGAAGATGAAAAACATGTTCCAGATGATGGAGCGGGGTTGAACTCGAACCATAAGCCCGAACGCAAAAGTTCAATCAAGCGCACTTGGAACACATTGAAAAGCAAAATTTCTGGCAACCGTACGCTGGAAGCAACGGTGCGATACGTACTTACTGTTGCTGTGGAATGGCAAGAAAATTTCTTACGGTATCATATTACCAAGTGAGTTACAACTACATATCTGATGACAGACCCTTACTGACCATTCTACCCAATAGATGCAATTTACCGTTCATCGTTCAGCCCGCACCGCCGACATCAACAACATTCATTCACACTATCACAAATAGTCAGTCACGACAATTCTTACACTTGCCTGCAGAACGTACAAGTACCGAATTTTCAGGAAATGTCTTTCATGAAAGAGGTGAAGATGGGCTCAATGATGATATTCGCGATTTGATACACATGTCAGGCAATCGTAGACCATCAATTACCGTGAATCGTCAAATGCCCTCCCGTGATCCTAGCACCGAAAGTGTTTCTACTTGGGTAGATTTGATGTTGAAAGATACAGATCGTGGACCTCAAGCTTGGGTATTTTATCATTTGTACAAACGAGTTGCGACTGATCAATTGGTCGAGATAGTGGTGAGTACGAGCACGTTATTGGAAATGATTCGCATAAATGCTGACTTTCTTTCTTCGTTCTAGTTCTCCCACCCCGCAACAGCTGCTATGATCATGGACACGCAGATTCCATTCAACGTCAGCGTATCAGATCCAAATTACGCAATTCAACCTAGCTCGATTTCCTTCAACCTTTTGCGTACGATAAGAAGTATCTCTCCGGGTGGCGAGCTAAAGTTGGAAAAGAGAAACGCCTTGAAAAGGGGTGAGGGAGACAAATCGGTCGTTCGACTCGTCCAAATTAAACCAGTGGTCCGGACTGGAGCAACCCCACCGCCAGCAGATGAGTATTCCGGACAAGATTATCTCGCCAATCTTGCCCGTCGAAACACCTTTGAAGGCAAGCTGATCATCGATAGCGGTTGTGAAGCAAACGATGAGTTATTGGTTGAATCAAAATCTGTTTCCATAACTGCGGACAAAGAACAAGATCCGCAAGAAGGTAAAGTTCACCCATGCTTCATGAAAACCAACAAAGAGCAAATTTTAATACCCTCATTCAATTTCCGTGGCTTGTGTATTGAGGTAAGTCAATCTAGCTTCAATGTAGTGCTAAATTCGATTGCTGACACTGCCTTCATTGCAGTACAATCTGGAATTAAATTTGAACCTCGTCAAACGTTCTGGGAATCAAGATGGAAGCTTGACGCACATCTCTTTCCAAACGCCAATGGTGAAAGTAGCATCACGCGATCATCGTACTCCTAATCCCCCTACATCTGGTCCGCAAAGACGTGCTAGAAGCGCACTAGGCTTCTCAACAGTTCCGACTGCTGATGCGATCACTGCTGTCGATGAGCAAACACGAGTTCCGACGAGACATTCATCTTTGATTCTGGAAAGCCTGATCACAAGACAATCACAGCCGCAAATACAGAGACCACCAGAGTGGAACTTGAATAGAGTTTTGCCACCAACACCTTCCTCTCAGACTACTGAGCCGTCTCCTCGGCAATTTCCACAAAGACCGCCGTTACGTCGAACAAATCAAGATGATGAGATAACGCTAGAACTGGTCCGATCAAGTAACGAATCTGCTTCGACAAGACGAACGTCAAATGGTGAACAAAGTGCAGAATATGTCGAAATTTTAAGTGTTCCAGGTCAAACTGCTGCTGGTGCTCCTGCTGCCTCTTCGTCATCGTCTGATACCAATTCTATTTGCTTGGAAAGTGGTCCAGAGACAAGTCTAAATGATTTTGCATCTTGTCTTGAACCCGACTCGTTCTCTTCAATAAATCAAGAAGCAAGACAGCCGATGTTACAGGTACCGTCGGTTGATGCAAGTAGGTCAAACACACCATTATCAAGGGAAGACTTGAGTGATGTGATTGATAATATCGAGCAAGTTACATCTGTTGAACAAACATCTTACCAACATCCCGCATATCTGGAAGGCATGACCACTCAAATCAATCCCAGAATGAGCCTAATCAGTATGCGTACTATCGATGGTCCTGCTCCACCTTATATAGGTACACTTCAAGATTCGTAATTATTTCTGTATTGTTGTGATGGTTGTTTGAAATGTATTTTGATTCTTTGGATTTGTTTTATTTATGAAATTTGGCTGCAAGGTCCGTGCCTATATTATTGTTGCACGCGTAAATGCAGCATACACACCATTCAACCCCTTCTCTTCCTTGGACCATATTCTCTTCATCAGATGGAGTGGCTTCTGTTGAGGATCTGAATGATGAAGCAACGATACAATAATGACGATCATCAGAGCTGGAAGAAAAGGAGGCGGACAAATTCAAATTTATGGCTACTGTGCCTGGCTGTCGTGATCCTATCGTTTATCGATCGAACAAACGCTTTATTCGGCCTTCCGACCAAACGATTTCGATATGAAGGTCTAATTGATGCTGGAAGCTTAGGTTTAGAAGGTCTTAATGGGCAAGTGACCGCTTTTGGAGATTGGAATGCCGATTCTGCTATTGATGTATTCACAATCAGTCAAGATGGCAAATCGATCAACGTTTACATTTGGGATCATACCGCTTTCAAGTTCGTTCAATCACCTTTGGCACGCATTACTGCTCCTCGTGGAAATACTTTTGTCAACATTGTTCCGGCCGATTTCAACTATGATGGAAAGCTTGACGTCTTGGCGATGATGAAAGGGGACAATGCAGACCAATTAGAGATGGCAGTCTGGCTTGGTACGCAAGAAGGAAGTGTAGCGCCATCACCAGTTCTTTTGAATGCGTCTACAAGTGCACAGCCGATCACACTCGATGTGACGGGAAATATGCGAGGCGATCTACTTGGTCACCTTCCTACGAGCTCTGATAAGTTGAGTATCTGGCGTAACGCTTTGAAGCCAGATAATAGCACAGAAGGGTTCGTAGTAGAAGATGCACCTTTGTACAATGCTGATGGTGCAAGCAAAAGCACAACAACATGTCACCTTGCCAACCCACACAGCTCTGCATTCATTGACTTGAATGGAGACTGTCTAGCAGATCTGTTCTTAGTGTGCAGCGAATCCAATTGGGGTTGGGGATCCTCATCGAGCTACCAAATCTGGACTGCTAACAAGGATAGCAAAAAGCCAGGTTATACGTTGGCCCGTCAAGGAAAGCTTCCAGATGGTGCTGGAGCCCTATCATTTGCCGATATGGATCGAGACGGAACAATTGACGTCGTCTTCCCATCCTGCGACGGCAAAAGTGGTCCTTGTTACATCAATATCGCCTACAACAGACAGATGCCATTGTGCAGCGAGAAACGGGATGATTGGTTTGGTGTAGGACCAGGAGGTGCAACACTGACAAACAGTACACAAACATGTCGTGATACAGAGTACAACCTTTGCACAGCCGATGACAGCTTTTCGTTCGACTTCAGCACCGATCCGTCAAATGACAAGATGGCACGTATACCCCTGGCAGACGTAGTCCCAGAAAACAAGCTGCTCTTGTCTGATGACCTGCTTTCGTCTCCAATACCCGTACCTTTGGCGCTTGGAGATTTCAACAGAGATGGTTATCCTGATTTGGCAATTATCACCATACCTACGCGAGCAAGAGGCGATGAAACACATCTGCGACTGCTAGAGAGTGTACCATGCAATGCCAAAGGTGCTCAACAACCCGGTTGTCCATCTGACCCAAAGAACCGACACCGGAAGCGAACATTCAAAATGTTAGACGAAGATGTACAAGCAATTGATGCAATGACAGATGCACGCAGTGCTGTGTTCTTTGATCTGGATGAAGATGGATCATTGGATCTACTCGTACAGCGATTGCCTACTAAGGGACAAAAGAAAGATCAACGATCGATCACATTCGTACAGAATAACTTCTTCTACGATGCATTCTTCCTCAAGGCTATGACCTCGAATGGAGCATGTTCGAGTTATTGCGATCCTTCTGGCCCTGGCAAAGATCGATATAGACCTTGGGGTGTGAATTATGGAGGGGCTTCTTACAAGTTTACAGTGTTGGATACGAATGGGATTCGAAGGCCGCAACAGGTTGGACAGTTGGCTCAGACGGCATACAGAAGCTTGCTGTTACCTTATGCCTATTTCGGTTTAGGAAGAACGAACAATTATGTGGAAAGCTTGTTCGTTGGTGTGACCCGAAGAAGAGAGGTAAACTATGTCGAGCTGGAAGGAGTGATTCCCAATTCTCAAGTTGTAATTCTTCCTTGGGAACCTGTAGCGGAAGGAGAACAAGAAATGGGCGATTCATCAACATGGAAAAGGGAGTTGTACGTCAGTCCGGGCGAATGGATTCCTTGGGTGACTGTTGTTTTGGTTACGATCATTGTTATGCTTTTAGGTGTAGTGTTTGTCTTACACCTCAACGAAAAACGAGAAGATGAAAGAGAACGAAAGAGAGCCGTTCATGCGATCAATTTTGACGCACTCTGATCGGGAACATGTATTTATATCCTTATGCAAAACACGATTTCAATTTCCACACTTTTTGATTGAGATGCAATAGTATTTTGGGAAACATCGTTGTTCTTCGTTTGTATTCGTGAAGTTCGTGACAGATGGGAGACGAGTGCGAGCTGATATTTGCACATGTCGATATTGAGTGGAAATGTGAAAGGATGACACTGATATACACGAGGCGTAAAGATGTTGAAAAAGAGACCTCCAATCGAAATGAAACGATAGGGAGCAACAGAAAGCGCAGCTAGGAAAACGAGTCAAAGAGCACCCATTCACCAGAAAAAATTGCGAAAGTAGAAGAAGCTGCCAGATGATCAGCATTGCGGGTATATAAATAATTGCGATTGCGAATAGAATTGAGCAAGGACGGGAAAAAAATGAGAAGGAAATGTTCTTGATTGTCTTTGAATTACATCACTACACACTTTTTCTTATTTCTATCCGATCCTCTCCCTCCATTTGCTGCTTTATTCCTTGCTTCGTGTACTCTGCATTGTCGTACGATATCGGCAAATATTTCATCGACATTGATTCGCTTTCGCGCTGATGCTTCGTAGTATGGAACATTTCCCCATGCACGAGAAAGATTTGTTCCAATCTCTCTTGGTACCTGTCTTTCCGATTTGAGATCCGATTTATTCCCAACCAATACAATCGGTACTTGTTTATCCTTTATCCGTACAATCTGTTCTCGCAACGGTCCCAATTCGTTCACACTTCCTAGCTGCGTTAGGGAAAATACCAACACAAACCCTTGTCCGCTTCGCATATAAAGCTCTTTCAACGCCATAAATTGTTCCGTTCCTGCTGTATCCAATATTTCCACCAAACAATGCTGTCCATCAATCACAATCGGTTTCCGATATGTATCTTCGATCGTTGGATCGTACGTGCTCACAAAAACGTTTCGCACAAATTGCACTGTAAGTGCACTCTTTCCTACTCCTCCTCCTCCTAACACCACAACCCGAGTCTCTTGTGGTGGCATGGTTGATGAAAGGTAGTGATCAAGATGGTCTTGTCAAAATGCCTTTCAATCGCTTGTTCTGATTTGGGCTATATTCTCATACCACAGAGCTGAAGTTGCTTAATGGATGTTGTACTGTGGCCAAAACAAGAGTTGGGTATGGGTATGGTAGTTGAATCAGAAGAGACGATCTGCTGCTGTTGTTGTTGTTTTTCGTGAGGATGTCGTAAAGTAGTCGTTATGCTTTGTGTTGATCAAAAAGAGCAATAGGATGCGGGAGTGATTAACAGTGTAAAACGCAAACTGTCAGAATACCCCAAAGTACACGATTGTTTGGTAAGCGGATCCGCACTTTTGGCTATTTGTTTCGATCGAAAGAGAAGGCAAGACTTTTTCTCTTAAGATCAATTTTCAGGCACTGAGTAAGAGCAGGAAACGGAAGCAAGCAGCAGCGGCCAAGTCAAACACCAAGTCCTTCTGCCGGAATGATACAATACTTGCTTGCAGGATCAATTATTATGCAAATAAATAATGCAATCCGAGGTTGAGGAAGCCCGTGCCTTTATGCGATTGCAAAAGTCGTAAAACGGATGAAAGAGAGCAATTGATCCGATGATTGAGCCGAACCGATGGCAAGGTGAATGAGATATCGTGATGGTCGCGACGAGTGATGGATGTGTGCATACAGTGTACACACTCATACACGGAGCGAAGGATCGGAGTGCAAATACGCTAAAAAGTGTATGCATGTAAATCGTCATTCATTTTTGTCTTAGATCGACCAAATAAAAATAAGACTTTGTTGATGAATAGTATATTAATTAATATGAGTTAATAATATCTCTGCCCTGCTTTGAGGAACAATGGAATGGATGAGCTACTTAGACAGTCTTTTTCTGGTAAAGAAGATTCTAGTGCTTGCTCAAACAACGCCCTCTAAACTGTGAATAAAGTCAATTGATTGATTATTATTACGCCCACAAAGTAGGCTAAAGAAGCGTGATCGCTGCTTCACAACATTACAAGTCATTGGCCGACGATCTTCTTTCTTGTTTCTAGCCTTATTCAATAAACACTAATCATTGAAAATAAACATGATCTGCATTTCAGCATAATCGGCTTTTGTTTCGGCCCGTACTCTTGCTTAGGACGATGAGTAGGATACCGATGCATGAAGTCATAGAATGGGATCTTATTATATAATGACTGTGAATAGTACTTTTGACTGCGATCGCTTCTAGCATAAGACTTCCGAGTAATGTCTCTTCTCAACTTTACTGCTTTTGCATTGATGATGGTCATGTGTCACAATTTCCACCATAAGGTGATCTTTACTCATCAAAAGTGCGGCTGTATGCGTTGTGTGTCGTGTGCAGGTGGTGTAATAGAGGTCCAAGCATAAAGCGCGATTTTAGACTGTCATAGCGCCCACTCCACCTTTTAAGCAGTGTTGTTCTTCCTATAAACGGGAAGATGTTCCTCCTATTCTTCCAACCACCAACTCGACAAATTTGAAAAAATTTGGGCTCATGAAACGCAGCAGAGAAGGTTCAACCTCCGATCATACTTTACCCCGAAATCAAGATTCAGTAATGACTTCTGCTTGTCCACATTTAACCGCCGCATTTGCTTCATTAAATGCACCACGATTGTCCCAACAAGTTCACAAAGAAGAATGCACGCTTTGCTTTGACAATCAAGATGGGGCCAACGGTATCGATGTTTGTTTGATCTGTTTCAATGGTGGCTGTACCGGTAATCAGGATCGGGAACATTCTACATTACATCATGCAAAGACAGGACACAATATCGTTCTCAATATCAAGAGAAGGCCAAAGCCAAAATCTGAAGTCGAGCCGCCACAGCCAAAGAAGCTGGCAATTGCAGCTGAGACTGAGGCGGACAAATTTGACTTTATCACGACACCCAAGTGCTTGGCATGTCAGGGTGGTAGGGAGCTCCCGTTAACCAGCAAATTGGAAGAAGTGGTTGAGGGAGTGATGAAAGCGTTATCGTCTGCTCAGCAATCTGAAGTGAAAGCATGGGAAGAGGAAATCGTTGTTTGTGATCATACTGTGGACTTGAAGCAAATTGGTGAACCTTTCAAGCTTGAAGCAGATGGACTGGCAAAATGTGGAAAGTGTGAGTTGGACTCCAATTTGTGGCTCTGTTTGACTTGCGGTAACCTTGGTTGCGGAAGAGCACAGTTTGGAGGCGTTGGTGGAAATTCACATGGCCTTGCTCATTTTGAAGAGACCGGACATCCCGTCAGTGTGAAGCAAGGAACAATTACAGCAGAGGGAACGGCAGATATTTACTGTTATGCATGCAATGATGCACGCTTAGACCCTAAATTGGCCAAACATTTGTCATTCTTTGGCATCAATGTGGTTGACTTGTCCAAGACTGAAAAGAGTATGACAGAACTACAACTCGAGCAAAATCTCAAATTTGACTTCAACATGACCGGAGAAGATGGAAAAGAACTAGAGCCGGTGTTCGGACCTGGCCTGACAGGCTTGAAGAATTTGGGAAATAGCTGTTACATGGCTTCTGTATTACAGACTTTGTTTGCACTGCCCGTCTTTCGTACTCGGTATTTGGACGCATATCGACCACATGCAACGCAATGTTCAAACAATTTGCCAGCTACGTGTCTCGAATGCCAAACCACAAAAGTAGCAGATGGTCTACTTTCGGGTAGGTACTCGGTACCGCGCAGCAAAGATGCCTCTTCTCATTCCAACGAATCCGATCAAGGGCCAATTTTCCAAGATGGTATCCGACCAAGCATGTTCAAAGCTCTTGTAGGGAAAGGACATGAAGAATTCTCCACAATGCGACAACAGGATGCAGACGAATTCCTAAAGCATTTGATCACAGCTTTGCAGAACGAGTCTAAACGATTGGCAGCAGACCCGCAATCGTCTAGCTCTGGCGCTCCCATCTCTGATCCGACAAAGATATTCTCATTCGGACTACAACAACGACTGCAGTGCTTGGAGTGCAAGAAGGTACGATACACCATCGAAGCGCAAGATGCAGGATTAAGTCTGCCCGTACCAATCCGAGTGAAAGACAAGAGCAGCAAAGGCAAAGCACCAATAGAAGGACAAGATGCGAGTGATGACAAAGCAAAAGTTGAGCAGGAAGATGGAAAGGTGGAATATGAGCCTGTCGATTTGAAGGAGTGCTTGGACATCTTTACCGCTCCTGAAACGCTTGATTATCGTTGTCCTTCTTGCGATAAAAATGTTCAAGCTACAAAGCAGACGCTGTTCACATCATTTCCGGATGTGTTGGCTATTCAAGTGCGTCGCTTCCAGCTTATCAACTGGGTTCCACAAAAAGTGGACGTGCCTATCATCATGCCTGTTGATGGTTCACTGTCACTCGATGCATACTTAGGGACCGGAAAGCAAGAAGGCGAGATTGAATTACCAGAAGATACTTCAGCGCAAGCCAGCAACGTTCCTACATTCGATGCAGGTGCAATGTCACAATTGACAGCAATGGGTTTCCCGGAAGTACGTTGTCAGCGTGCACTACTAGCAACCGGTAATACGGGAGATGCAGAAGCAGCAATGAATTGGCTCTTTTCACATATGGAAGACCCTGATATCGATGATCCTATTGATTTCTCAAAGTATCAATCAGGAGCAGCAAGTTCTGCTGCCGCTGGTGGGGGTGCACCAGATACATCTATGCTAGAAGATATGGGCTTCACAAAAGCACAAGCAAAGAAGGCTTTACGGTTGAATGGTAACAATCCCGAGATTGCCGTTGCTTGGTTGTTCGAGAATCCAGGCGACGCAGGAGATTCGGAAGATAGCAAACCTGCAACGACAAGTGAAGGAGCTGGAGAATCAAGTGCAGCAGGTGTGATTGGTGGAAGATCTGAACTTCCAGCAAATTATCGATTGAAAGCATTCATTTCGCATAAAGGTCCTTCAGTGCATAGTGGACATTACGTTGCTCACATTTCTGAACCCAGCAGTTTGATTCAATCTGGTCAAAAAGTGCAAAGTACAAAAGAGGATTCTTCTTGGGTTTTCTTCAACGATGAAAAAGTCGTTCTTGCTCCTTTAACTTCAATTAGCGCAAAAGACCCTTCAACCGATGTTGGCGTTCAAGGTTTATCAAAATTAGCATACGAGTATATCTGGGTACGTGAAGAGTGATAACCAACAGTGTAATAATAATAATCAAAAAATGAGATGTGTTAATATTATTATCTTGTTCTCTCCGAGATTGACTGCGATTCAATGTAAGATACAATGGTTTTGAGCTTTGAGAAGGGAATGTAGATGTATAGAATGTCGAGTCGTGCTTAGAAGAAGCTGCCACCGCCACCGCCTTGAGCTCCTCCAGCTGCTCCGCCCATTGCTTGCATTCTTTCACCGACCTGTTAGAGAGAGTGAGTATGTTAGTAAGGATTCAATATAAGTGGAGTGTTTAGCATTATGCTACTTACAAGTTTATTCACCACGAAGAACTTTGAGACGCATCTGTTAGAAAAAAGAACAAGAATTGACCTGGTCAGCACATACAGCTGAAATGAACCCCTTTTTCTCCATATACACACCTGTCAATGCAAACACTCTCGCCTTTGTTCAAATCGGATTCCATATATCTTGAAGAGATGCATTTGTTATGACAAGAAGCGACTAATTTGTTGAATGTATCTGTTACCATCTCGAGCTGTTGGAGAGTGAGGGAATGGTAAAGTTTAGTGGGCAGCCCAGGAAGAAAAGGATAGGAGCATGTCCCTCTGAAGGAGACCAGTTTCAATCTACTTACCTCTGCTTCGGCTGCTTCTAGTTGTGCGGTAGCTTGTGCTGGTCCAGCATTTGAGCTGCCACCTCCTAATCCGAAAACCATGATGTATATGTGAGTTGTGAAGTTGTTGTAATACTCGCAATTAGCGGATAATCTTCCTTCGATATGGAATCAAAAGTTGATGGTAGTGAAATAACCATTTGCGCTTAGACCTTTTTTTCTTCGTTTAAGTGTCCGCAAAAAAAGTCACAATCAAGATTATCTAAGCAAGAACGATGTGCCCTTTCATTCATTATTAATCTCCGAATTCTTACGCGTCAGAGAAGTCAACATCAACACTTCCGTCTTTGTCTTTCCTTCCTTCTTCGATCGGACATTGAAATTGAAGATGGCTACGCTGGATGTGCCATCATCACCATCGGATACCATACGACCACAAAGAAGGAGAGATACCGACAGTTCAGGTATAAGTGAAGATGATGTGGCAGCATTACGTTCAGCCGATATAGATATAGATGGCAGCAATCATGACACGACAAAGACATCACTACCTTCTTTCTCGATAGACCCTTCTGAATCTTCATCGAAACCGCAGTCCTCTGCACCATCCAACTCTGCTGCTCCAAAGGGAAGAGGCATCACTATGTCATCGCTAAGGAGCCTACTTGGAGTCCCCGCCACCCCGGCCACTGCTGCAACTTCCTCATCAGCAGCATCCTCATCTTCTAACGGTTCCCTTGCTACTCCTTTAAGGCCAGCAGTAAAATCAAATGGAGCAGGTTTACTAGGAGTACCACCAAGCACCACCGCAAGAACTGCACCTCCTGGCATTGGAGGTGCATCAGGTGCATCTCTCACACCAGGCAGGATAAATGTTACAGATGGAGAAGATGGAAGGACTCTCTTGACGAGTGAGATTGCTCCTAAGCGTAAAAAGGTTGTCCTCGAGCCTGGTTGTAGTGCACTGGACTGGGCAAGAACGAAACAGGAGATTCTCGCTAAACGAATGCAAGCCGGACCGCAAAGTATGGCAATGAAGAGGATCACAAAGGAAGAACTGAAAAAGCATAATACACGAGAGGATGCTTGGTCGGCATTCCAAGGAAAGGTGTATGATCTAACGCCTTATCTCAAATTTCATCCTGGAGGTAAACAAGAATTGATGAGAGTAGCAGGACGTGATGGTACGCGATTATTCAGTGAGTGTGTAGTGACAGAAGATATACAAAAAATTCTCTCTGACAGTTATCTCCTCATTCAGTGCTTACACATTCTTGGGTTAATATTGACGCAATGATTGATGTATGTTGTGTTGGAGTTCTCGTTTCGGAATAAAATGATCGGATTGTATTTGTATTCTACTGCAATTGTATACTATTCATTCATATCGTGATTATTCGGTGTCGAATCGGTGATAAGCTCCTATTCATCGGCCAATTGTGAAGCCGTGAATTCTCACACGCTCCTTTGCCGTGTATTTTGGCTTGTGCCTTGCAAAGTGCGTCATTTGATTTGTTTGTTAAATGATATGCACTAAGGCTATTACACATTACGGCGCCGTTGGCATGTCGTTGTTATTTGCTGTTTAAAGTTTTATTCCAACGAAAATCCTTTAGCGTTGACTTTTGATTCTAGCGGTCAGAAACCCGTTCTTCCATTTGAACTCATAAATTTAGCGTGATTCAGCCTAAATGAAGGAAAAGGTGCGAATCAAGAGTGTACGTATGAAACTGACACAAGCAATGCAGATTATAAGCATATTGCATACAAAAAGTGTGGGCCGCTTTCCAGCGCGAAAGAGTAAGATGAGCAGTGGAAAAGTGCTTCTTGGAGTAAAATTGAAATGGGAAAGAGAGCGTGTGTGCACGAACAAAGATGCATATTCAATATATAATTCCATTCACCTTTCATATAACCTTCAACTTTAACTCTCCATATATTTTCAGAAGAAAATTATGATGATGAACTACCGACAATGTCTTATTCACCTTCATTGAATGCAGGTTGGACTTTAACAGGAAAAGATATTGATGGAATAAAAACATCAAGTCATAATCATCATCAACAACAAAGTGAACAGGCTTCACCATCAGAAGATACCTTTTCAACACCTGATCTAGGAAGCGGAAGTGGAAGTAGTAACGGTACCCCTTCTCCTTTCACTCCGACAAGAAATCCGTACACTAGCTTAAGAGCATACAATTCGGGTAAATCACCAAAGATTGAAGGGGTCATGGCTGCTCGTGATCGTCCAGTGTTCAAACAGGAACAACATGGTCGTTCAATCTCGACAAGTTCAAGTGAAAGTGGTTCAAGCGGCTCTTTGACTTCAAAAGCTGCTAGAAGTGCAAGAAATAATGGTCCACCGCCTTCTGCTGCCAGGCGACAACTCATGCCAACTATACCAACAAGAAAGACTTCTTCCAATACATTAGGCAGCAATAGTGGAAAAGACTCTGCTTCTACTACACCACAGCAATCTCCCAATCTTGGTAATCAAACAAACATTCAAAGCCTTGCTCAAGCAATCGCAGCTCGTGCACAACATGTAGCAGCCGCAAAAGCTGCTCTACGTCAGCAAGAACATCAAAAGGCAAAGGAAGAGCCTTTGCAAGATTCTAGCAACGTATATGCTACCAATGAGACTGCATCCGGATTACAGCCACCGTTAGGTCCGCACGATCGTGGTTCGATTGTGTCCGTTGCAACAGCCGCAAGTGATTATGGAGATGCTGAGAGTGATGCGGAAAATACTGAAGACGTTCCTCTGAAAAGAACCCGAACAGATCGCGCAGATGTCGTTCAAAGCTTTCGATGGAGTCAAGGTGATTGGGCGGACTATGCTGCAGCTCTTTCCGATCAGATTGATGTTGGGGCAACACCGACCGATCAAGATCATCAACCACACGAAGGAACTTTGGTCGCTGCTCCTACGCTAGATACTATTGCATCGTCACGATCAATCACACAAACAGCTCCTCTATCCGGATTGGGTATCGGAGGTGCAGAGCTGCCTGCAACGGCATCTGTTGTAGCAACACCACAAAGCGTATCCGGTGGAAGCGGTGATGCCCTTACACCCAAAGGTGTCCCATCACCTGCTAATAGCGAAGGCATCCTTAACAATCCATTATTTGCTCAATTTCAAAGCAAATCACCAAATGCCTTTACCACTTCACAGTCTCTTGGCGTTCTTCCTTCAGCGACTGGCTTTCCTACAACTCCTTCTATGGATAGCATTCCAAGTGCGGCCACAACGCCTGATGGGAAACCAGTTTCGAAGCGTAAAGCCCGACCGATCCCACTCTCTCTGCATAACATTTCTACCTCTACTTCTTCTCCTGCAATGCGTTCGCCGTCTGCCTCACGTTCTTTAGCTAGTCCATCGATGGGTGGCAGAACTCCTCCTCCAACAATGCCCCCGACAGAGCCTCTGCCGCCTTTGCCTGAACAATCGACAATCTTGCAAAAGATATGGTCTGCGGAAAGCAATCCTTCGATATCGAATGCAAATAATAAGCTACAAAATATCGTTGTTGATGATATCGAAGCTCTTTCTTCTCCGAGAAGATTTATTGGCGATGATGATAATCGTTCTCCCAAGAGATCTTCCGATCCAAGCGATCAAATGTCGCAATTTATGCGTCTCAAAGAAGAAGGACAAGGAATGGCAAACGGTGAGCATATACCGAGGAACAACAGCATGCGAGTCGTTTCAAATTCGTCCAGTCTTACTGATGATGTACAACCAGATCCCAAGACGTCATTTGCATCATCGATTTCTATGCCAGCAATCACTCCAGCACGTTTGTCGGCCACTTCAGTTGCTCTTGTACGTGCTAATCAAGAATCAACCAGAGCAGGAACAGATTATGCTCAGGCTATATTGGATCAAGTGCAAAGAGAGCCCACGTATGATGAATTACAAAAGCGTGGAACTGAAGTAAAGACAAGCACAGCAGACAAAGCTCACGTTGCCAACAGTGAAACGGAAGAAGAGGAAGATTTGAAAGAAGGTAGCGAGGATGAAGAGGAAGAAGAAGCAGAAGAAGCGGTAGTGACACGTGTTACCACAACGGTAAAAGGAGCCCGAGCTTCACTTTCGCGGGCGCCGTCAATGGTCCGAAGAGATTCGGCAAATTCCATTACGAATTCTTTGAGAACGACTGGTTCCGCAGCCGCTGCATCTGCAGCACTTACGCAAAGAAGAGGTTCTTCTGAACCAGAACAAATTACACCACCTATTCAACCACAAGGTCAACAATCCAATTCAACGTCACCTGGTGCAAATAATATTGTGACTAGAATGCGAGCGATGATCGAAGCAAGAAATGGTGTCACACCTTCATCTTCTCAAATCTCGACGCCTAAATTGATCGCGACTTCTCCTTCGACCGAAACTTTGACGATGAATGACGGCGAAGAGAAGAAAGATGATGAGCGACCAAAAACACTTGCAGAACGCAGACGACCGTCTGCAGGTGGACCACCAAGTGCATGGACCGGCACTGTGTCTACTGCTGCAAATGGAACATCTTCACGTCCTTCTGTTAATATGGCAACGCAACCACAAACGGTTTCGATCACAAATCCACCTTCGATGAAGATTGATATCAAAGATGTTCCGGCAAATTCAGCATCAGCTTCTGTTGTCAATACACCTTCAGTCGCTTCTGTACGATCACCATCAGCGACGAGCGTTCAAGGACAAACGGGTACATGGACACCAACAGCACTAGATACACCAATTTCGATCGGGGGAGGAGCAGGGATTTTGGGTGGATATGAAAATCCAAATGCTCCTCTTACCAACAGTAATGGCTATCAAGCCCAACGGACGCACTCGGGCTTGCAAAGCAGAAGAAGTGAAATGGGAGAAGGTTCTGACAGTCCGATTGAGCGGATCAAGAGGACGGAGGACAGATTTGTTGGTGCGTTCGGTGAAATTGCTTTGGCTTTCAAACAATTGCAAGCCGAAAAGCGAACATTGGAAAAGATTATTCGTGCTACCACGCCATTGGATGGATTGGGCAACAATGGTGAATCATTGGCAGAATACTTGACAGTAATGAGTGCCAAGCTGGACGTATCAACGAATGAGATCAAGAAATTGTTGGATCTTTTGGATCAACAGAGAAGTGTGATGGACTATATGGTCGATACCCATAAGCTTGAAATGGAATCTCATCAGGCGGAAATGGAAGATTTGAAGGATGACTTTGATGCAGTTTGCGAAGAAGCGGATACGCACCGCGATAATGCTATCCAATTGACGGAAGAATTGGACAAAGCACATCATAATGCAATCCTGGCCAGAGCAGAAACGTTACGGTACAAGACACAACACGATGAAGCAGTCTCTCGCAAGGACAAGAGTATTCGTCTATTACAAAAAGCAAGAGAAGACATCTCAAGGTTGAAGGGTGAAAAAGGTAAAGAACTTGAAGGATCTTCAAGTAATGATCAAAGTGTAGGAGAATTTTCGACGGATATTGGATCGGTGGATGATATTTCTGACGCAACTCGACCTGAATCTAGAATTGCTGCATTGGAGAAAGAGCTTGCTGAAGTAAAGGCTCTCAACGCTCAGTTGCAAAGCGGTGAACGTAAAGATTCTTCCGAGCGTGAAAGTCCACCAAGTAGATCGATCATCTCACCTGCACAGATGAGTGAAATGGAAGATATCGAACGTGAACGTGATGCATTGCGTGAAAAGTCATTCCAGCAAGAGAAAGACATTTCTGAATTGAGAGCACAAATTGCGCTTTCTGGCGGTCATTCAACCGATGACAAGCTCATCAACTCATTGCCTGCAGCTCGTGAAGATCAAGTACGATTGTTAATGCAACAAATGTCCGAACAACGGTCGAGAGAGGCACAAATCAGAAAGGCTTACAGACAATTACGTGATGATTTACGAAAAATGCAAAATGTTCAACAACATGACCGAAAGAGAACGCAAGCGGGTTACAGTTTGTTGTCCACAAACCCAACCTACGTCAGCGCTACGCAAACAATCAATCCGGCTGTGTCTTCCATCGATAGCTCCAATTTGAGATCAGACGGGACATTGGACACATCACTAGAAAGCGGGCCTACGCCACGACATTTGAAACGATTAAGTTTGCCGATTGCAAACAAAATGGTACCACCACCGCTTTCATCGCCAGGATTGAAAGATGGTGCACAATCAACACTTGGACATGGCATGAATGACGAAGCTTCAAATTTCAAGCAAGCACGTCCGATGAGTACGGTGACAGGAGGAGGAATGGCACCTATATTCTCATCAAATCGAAGAAGTTCAAGGACGTTTTCTGTTGACTTCTCTTCAGGCGTTTTGCCAGTTTCATCGGCCAGACGGGGCAATGCAGGTGGCGGTGGAATTCTGCGGAATGCTGAAACGGCAAGCAACGCCGGATCTGAACAATCGACTGATGAAAGTCCGCGAATGAAAGCGCATCGAAAATTGTTTGGTGAAAATTCACAAAGGGAAAGTCTCGAGAATACACACACGGTTGGCGATAGTGGATCCCATCAATCTACCCAGCAAACAGTACAGGATGAGGAGGAAAAATTGGAAATCCTACAAACACCCCGACAAAATAGTGTGAGAGTTGCGGGATCGTAGACGATAATTTTGTAGATGTATACATGTGGCTTTCTTTAATTGAAATATGCAGTTTGCATGCAATCCGGTGCTTGGCTGAGGTTTGTGGTGGATGAGCCCCGAGTTGAAAGCTCATAATGTCACCTCAGAATAGAAAACTGAAAAATGCACAGCGGTACTGATGGGGCGGAAGTTGGCATAGTTTGTATTCATTTCTTAGATGTGTGTTCGTATAGAATGAAGAACGTTTGTGATTTTCTTGTATGTTTTTCTCCCACCGTCACCAATCCAAGTCATCAAGATGAGAACCACAAAGTTCGAAAATCTTTTGTCGTTATGTTTCCTTATCTCTTTGATAGCGCTTTGTCCAGTCGTAGCACCTACGCCTGGCAATTCAAAGGCAGGACAAAGTTCAAGTGATCATGATAATTTACGATTATTAGCCCGTGTTGCAGCTCCTTCGACCCATGAAACGGGCGGAACGGGAACAGGATCACCATCACGTTCACGTTCGCAAATGTCCTCGAGTGTTTCACAGGGTAGCCATCACTCACCTTCTTCACCGAGGATTGTTGCTAAGAGTAAATCGACTTCTCCTCGTGCTTCTGCTCAACAACACCAACATGAAGCACAATCTTCAAGGATGCCATCAAGTCCGGACAAGAAAGGTAAAAGGCCAAGAACACCTTCTCCAGAACGTGTTCTTTCTCCTGCCCGTTCTTCGCCACATAATCAACAGCCAAAGAGTACGGTAAAGTTGTTCGGAAAAGTAATTCAAGAAGGAACACCTTCCAGATCACCTTCACCAAAACGTCAACAAACTTCCGGCAATTCTCCAACGCTTAGATTGTTTGGAAAAGATATTTCGCCTCCTGCTTCCGGCACATCTCAACATCATAAGTCAAGCGGCGGTGCTTCTTTGTTTGGAGTTGATTTACACAAAGAAGCCGCAAAAGGAAAGCAAAATTTGCAACTCGGTATGTCAACAAGTACAAGTCCTACTAAAGGTCATAATGGCGGTTCACCAAGTCGAGTTCACGGTACTTCATCCATTAAGAGTCCGGTGATTCATTTGGATTCTGACTCTGAAGGTGGAAAAAGTGGCAGTGCTGGCGGTTCACGTCCTGTACGAAGAAGTGAATCACCATTCCCAGCACGACAAAGAGGTGATACACCTGAAAGTCAAAAGACCGATGCAAGTTTTTCCTATAGTGAAGATAGTGGGTTTGGTGCAAAGTCTGCCCTTTCACGTAGAATGCCGACGCAAATGAAAGGTCAATTTACTACAAAGCCACAAAGGCATGCAAAATCTGCTCGAGGGTGAGTGGAGTGGCAGTAACACGATTAACGATTGGCGAACGCTGACTAATTCTTTCATGCCCTGCTAACAGTTCAAACAACCCACCACGACTTGAATATCCTCCATCGCCTCCAGCTGAAGACCATCCAGAGCCCCAACCTGGCCAAGAAGGAGGCAATGGCAATCATTAGATGGTATTTCGTGCTCATATCTTTAGATAAGCTTTTCATTTCGTGATCTTCTCTTTCCGTTGAATTCGTTCTCTTCGCCATACTGCGAAAGCAACATAATGTCATGATATTCTTTATCTTTACAATATAGTCCGAGACATTACTTCGGGATGGGAAGTGCGAAGCTGAATGATTCAGTGCCTAGAGCCAATTCAATATCGCTAAAGTCATCTTGTGTCCTTAAGAAATTGAATGCGCGAGCGAAATCTGCAAATCCGTTTTCGGTTGGCACTGGCAAAAATTCGAGGGTGCTGTGAAGAAAAAAAAATGTGAGCGATATGGAATAGTTTACCTCATCAATCTTGTCTGCCACTCACCTCAAAACACCAACGGCGTTACCGTCTCGGTCAATTGCACCACTGCCAGAGTCACCGGGGATATCAAATTGACCGATAACTTCATGTGACCATCCATCACCTGATTGGGCACGTTGGATACCGTATTTAGGTTGCAAGAGGGGAATTCCTTGTCTCAAGATCGAATTTGTGAATGCATAAATTGGTTCACCGGTAGCAACGTCTGTTGTACGAATTCCGGAAGGGCCTCCAAATTTAGGAATACTTGGATTAACTTTTGCATGATCATCAGGATGAATTTTGACTAAAGCGAAATCATTGAAAGCACAAGTACTTTCATCATATGTATTTCTGCCACCGGCAGCTTGCATTCTGATCCATGAATTGTATGCCAATATACCTGGTTGAGAAGCACCGGTGATTGTGACGGGCGTACCTTCTGGCATACTACCTGAATCACATCCGTCTGTGGATGTTGCTTCTCCAGTTCCACTGCAATGTGCTGCTTGTCCGATAAAGACTTCGTTGTTACTATTGTAGAATACAAAGTTTGCCGTACATGATCCGGCAGTGTTTGTGTTTACACCTGGGTGGATTGTTGCACTGTCTGTGTCAGCCCACTGGGGTACACGCTTTTGAAGGGGTGCAGCCAAAATGACTGAAGAGGCAAATGTGATGGCGAGCAAGACACGTTGGAAGGAGAGCATTTTGAAGGGGATAAAGTGAGGGTATAAGAGGGTTAATGAGTTTTATAGTGATATAAAGAAGTGTTAACCGGGCTTATATACTTTTTCCGTTTGGAAGAAAACCCCACACTCGATTTATAAATTGATACACTCTTTCATGACTTTTCTTCAGCTCCTCAAGTTCTGTAGAGGTTCAAAAATGTTCTCGTTCCGAGACTAATTTCAGTATAAAAAGAAACTAAATGCAAGCCAAGCACAGACGTTCCTATTTTGTGTATGATAAAGGACGCTATCAGACATTTAAAAAGTTGCTGTTGATGGATGTCAAGGGTACATTGAGAGACAATCTTCCATATGATGCTTGTTTGTAGGGATCAAATGTCGTTAGCAGTATTCATTCGGGTGGTTGGATTTGTTTGACAGATTGATGCTCGCTTAGCGTCTAATCAAGGGAACACAAAAGTCCCACTCTCATTCACGCGTGGGGGTTGTGCCTCCTTTGACGGTGTCTCATGGTGATGCCAAGAACTTCTTAGCTTATTTTTAAAAACACAAATACAAACAAAACATTACTCTCAACCTCTCACTTGCAGCTTGCATGGGAAAATAGAAACAGTAATCATTCGATGTTCTCAAGCGGATCTACCCAACGGAATTTGCAATTGAGATCGTAAATTGGTCATTAAAATTGAAGTTAAAAATTAAATGTACAATGTATATGAAAGGCAAGCAGCACTCTTATTCTTCCTCTCCTTCAAGCGCTTCAGGCAATCTAATTCTGCCATCACGCCTGTACCATGTCCAAAGCCCATATCCAACACCGGAAAGGGCCAAGAGAACAGCAAATGTCGTAGCAACGATCCATCCCCATCTGTAAAACCAACCGGGCACATAAGGTTGCAAAACTGTATCGATCGTCAAAACGCCTCCGATACTACGCGAATTCCATTCACCTTCCGGTTGTTTACGTTTATTGCTTTTTCGTAGCATGCTTGATACATCTTCCGTTCGATCGATCGAAAGGGATTCTCGTCCGAACGATAATATCTTCGCTGCATATTTACGACCATCGGTTCCACGTGTGTCTGCAATGCCTACCATCCATCCCAAATCTGCATCATCATCACGGAAAGAAGTGAAAAGGGATCTGCGTTTGCTCGACTCTTTTAGCTTTCTGAATGCAATCTTTCCATACCCACTCAATCCCCCCAAAGATGTATCAAGTAAAGTAGAGAACGAAGATGCATCTTTCAAGCTTAGAGGTAATTGATCATCCGTTCCTCCTGGCAATACTTCATCTGCCGGTGAAGGAATGATGTGCAGTTGAACAAGTTGTTTCAATGCATCTCTGTCCTCATAGTATCGTGTCAAGTTGATACGGGTGAAAGCAGAATCTGTCGGAGTCAAGACCACATACGACTGCATTTCATCGGCAAACAAGCGATGTCGTTTCTTGTGACGTTTCTCTTGCTTCTTCTTTTTCTTCTTGTGATGTTCTGGGAATTTGCCTTTCAGCATTGTGTCGAACTCCTCAGCTTGTTCTTCTGATGGTCTCGTACCGTTTAACAGCCACCCGTAGCCTGCCTTGTCGATCAAATCTCTCATTGTGTCTGCTTTGGCACCTTTCATAAGCTTGCCGATCGTAAGATCCAGCGTTGGCGGTAATTCGACTTGATCGATCTCATGCAAAACACCTGTACTGGTGAGCAGGTCTCCCTTGAGGACTAATGCATTTCTCCCCTCAGTACCACGTCGAACTTCCACTGTACCGTTCGCATCTTTACCAGCCCAGATCGGCGACCCTTCCAAAGTGGGATAACGTTGACTACCCGAAGAAAAGTCTTTCATATAAACGATTCGATCAATCGCATGATATTCCACCATCGATCGAAGTTCTTTACGTGGCTGTTTTTGATCTAAAAGCAAATAAGGCATGGTTAAACCCAATGCGGAGAATGCATCATTGTGTGGGACAAGGTAAGTGATCGCCGGTGCACGTTTGATAGGCTTGTCCAGTTCAGCACTAAACACAGTAGCAACAAATGTTGAAAGCGATAGCGAAGAAACGGCAGTCTGAATAGGATTCGAAGGTGGCTCCAAAATCTGAGAGATTAGGTAGATGATCGAAGGTCCAACTGTGACCGGTTCTGCGATCACATTTGCATCTCCGAATCCTACATCACCGTTGCCTTGACGTTCTCCACCAGGTGCAGTTTCATCATCCACACCTACCACCACTCTCTGACGTGCGTCCTTTAATCTCCAATTGCGCAGTTCTGTACCGACCAACATTCCGTCGGTAAGGTTTTGTGGGGTGAGCATCTTTGGAGCGACGTGATATTTGAGCACATCCACCAATTTGCTTCCGTTTGCCGGTGCACCTGCCTCGTACATGGGTGCATAGCCCCATTTGGCGCGGAAGTAGTCGTCTTGATCAGTACCCATTCTATCCTTCCACCATGTGGAGATGGCGTCATCTCTTGGTACCATAAACGTCCATGGTTGAGCTTCGTTTTCAGGGTCGTCCACATCGTGAGGATTAGCATCGATGTAGTGTTGAAGATTTGCCGAATGCATCAAAGATACGAATCGGCTTGCGTTTAATGTCAGAAGCGTCTTTTCTACCGACATGCCAAGATCGCCGTATGGTAAGAGCAATTCGTCGATGATATGCACCACACCATTCTCGATCAAGATGTCTTCTTCAATCACTTTGGCTTTTTCGACAGTCATCTTGCCATCTTTGGCACAATTGATCTTCACTTGACCTCCAAAGATGGTGGTCAGAGAAGCAGTCTCCCCGCTGCATAGACGATCAGCGTATGCCACCGTTCCAGCTCCCACGCCAATTCCACTCATATGTTGACCCAGAAGCTTCACTCTGTCCTGTTGGGCAAGTTCCCAATCACCGGTGATGTACGCCTTTTCAAGTGAGGTGAGCACTTCAAACGATTCCGCAATGGGCAAAAAGAATGTTGAATGTGCTGTCTCCGTTAAACTTCGCAAGCTTGCCGAAGTGGTAAGGTTTAGTAGGTGTTGTAATTTCGGGTGTGACTTTAGCACTGTAGAAAGTGCAGGAGGCACGTCAAGAATACCATCAATCACCACAACTCTGCCCTTGTCACTCTTGTCAAGCATTTCCAACACTTTCACACCACCCTCACATCTTGAGTTCGTGCCTAGATAGATCTCTTCTTCCTTTCCGCGTGTGCACATGCGTACTTTTTGACCTTCTCCTCCCAATAAAGCACCCCTGTCTTCTGAGCCAGGGAGTGGCGGATTGCTGGGTGGATGAGGGATCGGTCCTGGGCGTGTTGGTTCGTGCAGGAATCGTCTTGAGGGAAGATGAAGGGTGGTTAGCATGAGCGGTTTGCTGGATAGCTTCAGGGGTGCGTCGTTGGGAGATGCTTGATCACTGCCGCCGACTGTGTATGAGAGTGTATAGTTGAGCATGTGGTACAATAATTGCTGCCTCAATACGGCATTCACGTTGCCAATTTGAGTACCCTCTTGAGTCCAAATAGGCACCATTGCATCCTCTTGCTCTGGTGTCGGTTCTGACTGCTCAGCAAGCTTGACAGCCCATTCCCATTGTGATAATACTTGAGTATCATACTCGATATATTCAGCGCCTGCCTCAATTGATGAGAAAGTGGATGCATCTTTGCGTAATTGATGTTCATCTGCCTTTTTTCGCAAGATTGCCTCATCAGTTGGAGCAAAGATTGTCAAACCTCTTCCATCACCGAATTCCATCAAATTGATCAAAGTTGGAATAAGTCTCGTTCTTTGTAAAAGTCGAACAAAGATTGTATGATTTGGCGATTGAACCAAGATATCAATCAAATTTGGAATTGGTATATCTGGTGGCGATGTTTCAGCATTGATTGCGGACGAGAATAGTGTTACCCATAGCACCAAGGCTAGGGATGATAATAATCCTATCCTCATTTTGGTGTATTCCAATCACAGTGCCTGCTCTGTGATCATTAAGGATGGTTGTAATTGTTGCTGAGCATGATTTTTTGATAATGCATTCTTTGTGTGGAGCGATAACGCGTGGAGAGCACTTTGGCTGTCAGTTCAGGGGTTGCAGGCTGTTAGAGCATGTCAACCTTACCCTGAGCGCGGCGCTAACGAATCACAACACTGCCGCATAAACCAGTCTGAGAGGGTTGCAAAAGGGAATGGGATGTGAGTGAATGATGGTGATAAAAAATGAGCATATTTCGTTATTTCCTCATATAAAGTAGGGTGCTCATATTTTACGATGCCCTGATGAGATTCACCTCATCTACCTGGATGTAAGGAATACGTTTAATGTCTTGACTTTCACGGCTTACTGTGTTGCTTTGATTTTGACTGATAAGTAATGTTTATTACACCTACTTTTCTCTGAGCCGACAAGCCGACAAAGCGAAAGAAGAGATGCAAGTGATCATTTATAAAAGAGTGTAAAACCTTTATGGTCATCCTTATTTAGTGTGCCTGCATCTTTATGTGTGAATTGTCTCCGCGATCTCTACGAGGCGAGCTAAAAATGATGCAAGATTGCGAATTCATCTCAATCCATTCAGGAGAAGTGTCTCCCGTTTTCCTATTTCGCACATCACTATTGCTAAAACGGAGTCAGCCATTTTAACCGAATTACAAATACACAACACGGACTGATCCGCTTTACCTTTATCGGACATTGAATCTATGGCAATGCCCCTTGTTCTGCAAAGAATACTATCCGATAATCCGAACACGGGCTACTCACACCGGCCAAAAGGGGGGGATCACGTAGTCTTGCTTACTTTTTGTGCAAAATTAAAACGGGCCTTTCCAAGCAGCGTTACGCGCAGCGAATGCGTTGATCCGGAAATATTTACTCGCTTGCTCTCATTCTTACATCTTCTAAAAATCAAAAAGAGACATCTTTCTATTTTCGTTACAACGACTTCAGCATGAGGTGATATAATGAGCGGGAATACAATATTGTTCTAATATAATGCGATTCCCTTCTTTTCGCAGCTTTTAAGATTAGCAATCAGGGTCACGGATTAGTGCTAGAATGGGATCATGATCTTTGATCTGGCATTTTCTATTTATCATCGGCTCTCGATCCACATCTCCGAATCCACATTTCCGAGAATAAGCGGCTGTGCAGCAGCAGCAGCAGCACACAAACAGAAAAAGGACCGAGCTCGATTGCATTTGCAGGCACCCACACTAACGCACAACCGGCGCCCGGTACGGATTGATTGCCATTTTTATTGTTCTTTGGCGTCAAGGACTGATTAAATGCACGATTAACAAAAGGGATTAAGCTTGCATAATCCGTACGTAAATTATACCTGGCGTTTGTGTCTTTTTTTATTCTTGGTCATTTCAGCATGTCAAACATATTTGAACAAAAGGCTAAGTAAGTTTATCCACACAATCAACAACAATTAAGCGGGAAAGCATGCAAGATCATATATACACATCATTCGGCCAAACAGGATAAAAATCCGTTGCCCTCCTTTGATTCATCACCTCCATCATTTTATGGTCTGGGAAGCAAAGAGGTTCAGTTCGAACGATGGATTTTGCTTCGATGACGTCTCAAACTTCCTTCTCACCCCAAGAGAAAGGTAAACATGTCATTCGTGACAATACAAGGACGAGTCTGGACTCTCTTCCGTCAGAGATTCTGGATATAATTGGATTCTACTGTGCCATATCCACACCAAAAAGGAAGGAATGGATTCAGCATATGGACAGCGTCGGACAATCTTCGGTTCCTTCTTCCTCTTCACAGACAGAATATGCACATGAACAACCGCCTGCCTTTGCCACTCCACCTGTTAATCTACGAAACTTGGTGGTGACAAGTCGGAGAAATCATGCAATTCTCAATGCAGATTCCAATCCTAGATTGTATGCACGCGTATTCAAAACAAAGTTTGATGTGGATGCGATTTCAAGACGGTTTGGTCCGATGGCAATAAGCAGTGCGAGCCTGGCAAAAGAACTGCAACGGAGATGCATCTGTCTAAAACGGATACGAAGAGCGGTTGCATTTGGAAGGATCAAAGAACAGGAAACAGGTGAAAAAGGTGAAGCAGAAATCTTGGAAAATTTATGGATAGCATTTATGATGTTAACAGAAAATGACGGACAAAATATTCAACAGTTACGTTGGGCTAGGATAGAGGAATACCTGAAAATGTTTCGAACGCAAGATTTGCTGGAAGAAGCGATTCGATCTGGCTATCCACCCAATACAACAACCAGGGCTTTGGCATTGCATTTGGATTACATGTTGAGCAGTCCGGCTAGATTGGCGTCAGAGACTCGTGATGAAAGTGACGAAAAGCTGTTTGTTTTACGGCCTTTCGTATTTGCTGCACATCGCTATGACGCCTTTCTTGCTCCATGGACAGTGCGGCAGTTACCGATCCAGTCTTCATCAACCTCGCCAATCTCGCCTTCGCAGGCAGCAGCGTCCGACAATCCTTTCATCGCAGATCTTACACCGAAAGATGCTCTTCATCGACTAGCATATTGCGGCAAAGAAATTAGCATTCGACCGCCGAACATCACACATGCAGCCTGCTGTTCCTTTTTCATGAAAGTTGAACATGATCCTGGGGTGAGCGGTATAAATGCAGCAACGGATCCGTATGAAGGAGTGGAAGAAAGCATTAGCGATGTTTCTTCCGATGAACCGTCTCCCTCGCCAGAATCAACGACTGGAGGCGAGAAGGCAAGATCAGAGATACGAAAATTGACAACCCGTGATCCACTCAAGTTACTATCTTTTGATTATGACAAGGATATTGCTCGTTTGGTTGCGTGTACATCACCGTATCATTCACCCGGCTTAAATGCGGCTTCTCATTTAGGAGACTTTGAAGGATCATGGGAAGGCAGATTTACATTCTTTGACTTTGACAGTTATCGTGACATGTTGGGCGGAAAAGTGAGAAGTCTTTATGAAGGTCCGTTTGGAGAACAACCTCAAGTATGGAAATTAAAGGAACATGTCGTCAAGGTGAATTATTCAGAACGAATTGGAGGGAAAGGAAGTTTGATGAATGCAGGCTACTATGATGATGATCCGGAACCATCTCAAGTGCAGACGATCAGTGCGGAGGATCTAGAGAAACTGCGAACGGCCAATTCAAGCAAAGCAGCTAAACTAGGAAAACGAAGAGCAAGTTGGGAGAGTGAAGCACGAGAGCGGGCATTGAAAGGCCTTCGCCAGGATACAAACGAGATCCCACAGCACATCATGGCTGATTGGCACAACTACCCATCTTTTGGTCATGATGAACCTGCATCTTCAAGCGATGAAAGTATGGAAGATAAGCAGAATGACAAGTATGAGATCCTAATTTCCGGAACGGGTCATTCGGCTTGGGGAAGATTTATTTTACGCGGAAGGGTCAGAAGTTGGGATGGAATGGTTTCCATTACAAAAGAGTACAGGCCTGACGGTAGAGGAAGATGGCTGTACCGGGGATATGTGGTAGCAGGCAATAAGCTTGTCGGCCGTTGGCGTGATACTTTCACTCCCGAAGATATGAGTGGATATGAAGGGTGAGTTTGCCAAGTCGTGCAATCATTTTTACTGAATACTGACAGGGTACTCTTTTTTTTGCCCATTCAGATGCTTCTTACTTCATCGCCGCGGGGCATAGAGCAAGAACATCTTGTTTCTAGCATGTATTTTTACACTCAGATCCAATCAAACAAAGCTAAACAAATATTATTGTCATCTTCTGTGAAACCTGAATACAAGTAGTATAGCTTTACACTTTCTCATGATCAATGCGGAAGAACGCTTGGGCCCTCACGGGACGATTCGACCTAGTGGATATGGAAATATGATTCCATCTTTGCAATCCGGTTGAGCCGACGGGGACATTTCCTTCGAGAACAAAAGGATGCCATGGCCTTCGGGATCAACTTGGTAGCCCGCCATACCTAGACTTACGCAGAAGAGCGAGTTCAAGATAGACTTTAGCTCGACCAATAAGCGTCCCGATCATCTCATGATGTACTTACCTGGGGGGAAAGAGACTAACATAGTCGAGATGGAAAAAAGAATAAATTCAAGAAACTTTGAATAAAAAGCTATACAGATGTCGTACTGTTTTTATGTTGAGCTCAATAAGCGAGCTTTTTTGCTTCACGATTCACATCGGAATTGGAAGGTGAATATGGCTTTGGCCTGTTGTACGGGAAGACCAAATCGATGAACCAAGAAAGACCTTGCAAAGAACGAACAGCAGATCGTCTGATAATATAACGTACGATCCACAATGGCGCCAAGAGTAAGCTAACGAGGATGTTGTATCGCTTCTGGGAAACGTCAGGTGTCGCACCTAAACGCAATAAACTTCCAAGTCTTTGCACAATTGGCCAAGCACCCCAAGCAGCACTTGATGAAATACCACGATACTCATAATCGGGGAAGTAAGGGAACTTGCTACGGAAAGCAATCGTTGTTTGGAAAGATGGATTGACAGCTGTTACCTTGCCGGTATATTGATCAACGTACCAAGATCCACATCCGGTGGTGTAAATCATTGATTGCATTTGTGCTTGAATGAACACTTGCTCGAAATCTTCTGCAGAACGACGAACTCGGATAGTTTTACCATGACTACGTTGAATTGGCGTTAAGTTTTTATTGCCTGTCAAGAACAACGGACGAACCAATTTCATTGCCATTTCAACTGCACGTTCTTGACCCCAAATAGCGGAAAAGTGTCCAGTAACAGCATTTGGACCCCAAATGATAAACATGTTTGGGAAAGGTGCACACATGAATGTACGATAAGCTTGTGGAACGCCAGTTTCTTTTTTCCAATAATCTTCCAACGTTTTTCCTTGACCGTTTTTGATTTCCATTTGTAGTGCAAATTGATCGGTTTGGAAGCCATTTGCTAAGATGATCACATCTGCTTCGATCTTTCTGCCGGATTTGAGAATCACACCATCTTTGACAATCTCTGCTGCTTGATCACCTGTCAATTCAACATTTTCACGTCCCAAAGATGGAATGTAGGTTGAATCAAAGATTCTGCGTTTGCATGCCACTTCCAGTTCACCTGGTTTAGGGATCAACAAATCATGATATTCCGCAGGTGCACATCGTTTGATGTATGCTGTTGAGCGAGCTGCCACACGTTCACGAGCTGCTTTACCATCTTTCCTGAATGCTTGTAGCAAGTGTGATTCACACAAGACAACCACACAAAAACGTTCAAATGCACACCAAGCCTGTGAATGACGTTGAACGAATTTCCAAAATGGATTTTCGAATGGTGTTCCGAAATGAGGAACGTACCAATGCTTTGCTCGTACGATTTGTGTTAATTGTTTGACTTTTGGTGCGATTGCAGGAACGATTTGTGAAGCTGTACAGCCATTACCCAAAATTACCACTTTACGATCTTGCAAGTCAACGTCTTTTTCCCAACGAGCGCTATGGAACAAGCGACCTTGGAAAGATTCTGATCCCGGAACATCGCATTTTCTTGGAACGCTCAAAGCTCCTACACAAGAAAAAAGCAAACGTGCAGTATGAGTCTTTTCTTCTTTCGTTTGCAAATCACGTACACGAACGATCCAATGTGCATTTGCGTCATCAAACGTTGCCGAGATGACTTCATGTTGAAAGTGTGCTTTACGTGGTAAATGAAATTCTTCTGCAACGTCTTGTAAGTATTCATGAATTTCATCTTGTAAGCTAAAGAATTGTTTCCAATTTGCACGTTGAGCGAAACTTAAAGAGTATAATCTGGTTGGAACATCACAGCCACAACCTGGATATTGATTTTGTAACCACGTACCACCCCATGTTGTATCACGATCAAAAATCTTGAAATTTTTCAAGCCAAGATCTAGTTGTAATCGACAACCTGTCGCAATACCACTTATACCTGCACCAACGATGATCGCTTCCAGTTCAGTCTTTGAGGTAGACATGTTGTGGGATTGTGATGGATGAGAAGAAAGTAGAAGGTGTGTTGCTGAGCACTTTTTTGTGACAGCAGAGCAAGCTTAATTTCCTCTTTGGCGTATAAAACGGCACCGCTAGTCACCTTTTGATGTTGTCACAAAAGACCGGTCTCTTAGAAACGATGAAGGTTTTGATTGCGTTTGTGTGTGTCCGAAGACCGAGCTTGATTGTGGGGAAATACATTATCATCACCGGTTCTGCTTTCTTACCGACCAAATCTTACAATGCTATACAACGCTAACGCTACTTTTATCTCGCCTCGGGCTTTAAGCACACACTTGCCTCATTCCCGAGCATTAAAAGTCTTGCAACGCACACAAGCAAATCTGCAGGTACTTCTATCAATCAGAGTAAAAGTAGTGCCTTAATGCATAGTGAGGTTCGTGAGGACACAAATGGATCCGCACACGTAATCTGGTTATCAGCTTTATCTGTGAGCGGGCGCAAACATACATTCAAGGGCTTGGATCAACATAGCAGGGCGGGCGCGGCACGGCGTGTAACAGAGGAGCGACCCTATAAAGTGACACAGCAGCTTATCATACATCGTATTCATTCAACTTCAACCATCATCCCGTTCAATCGGGCGCCTTTGTGCGTCTCTGACAAATCAGCAAAAATGGTTCACAAAAATGCTGTTCCAATCTTGGTAGCGGGAATGCTAACAACGGGAATCTCCAACTCTCTTTTCAACAAATATCAAGATATGCAATGCGTTGCTCATTGTGACGATCCAAATCCGGCAAAACGGATAGATTTCAGTCAACCGGTTTGGCAAACGGCAACGATGTTCTTGGGAGAGACGTTGTGTTTGGTACCGGTGTTTATCATGTTTTTGTATCATCGATTCATCAAAAGGGCCAGATGGACAAAGATGCTGAAACAAGGAGTGGAAGGTAGTGGAACGGAATATACACCCGTACGTACTTCTTCACCTGATGGCACACCTAGAAACTCGCTTGAACAGAACGCATCTGGTAACGGGGATGAACAAACACAAGCACTCCTGCCAACCAGATTGAGAAGGACAAGAAGTGAGGATGTGGTACCAACTGCTGATGAAGAAGGAGGAGAGGAAATGACAACAGCAGCCGCCTCACTCTTTTTCATGCCTGCTCTATGCGATATTTGTGGTACAACATTGATGAACGTTGGATTATTGTTTACTCCGGTCAGCATTTATCAAATGACACGTGGCGCTTTGGTATTGTGGGTGGGAATTTTCAGTGTCATCTTTCTTCACCGACAGTTGCACCTCTTTCAATGGCTTTGTCTCATGCTAGTCATGTTAGGTGTTTCGATCGTCGGCTTGAGTGGATCTGTGCTCAATCAAGACAGTGCTTCAATTGTTTCAACAACACCAGCCATCGCACACGAATCAGTCGCAGCCTCACCTTCATCACTCATCACTTCAGGAAAAGGAGATGAAGAGCTTCCACAAACCGTTGGCGCTTTGTTGGGTGTCTTGTTGATCTTGTTCGCTCAACTATTCACTGCGTCTCAATTCGTGTTGGAGGAAAAGATTATGGGACGATACTCTGTTGAACCGTTGCTTGCTGTTGGTATGGAAGGTATTTTCGGATTGGTCACAACACTCGCAGCCCAAGTAGCACTTCATTTCCTATATGGACGAACACCTGATGGTAGAGGGGGATATTTCGACATGTCCGCTGGATGGCATCAAATCATCAACACGCCAATCGTATTCTACACAAGCTTTGCAATCGCTCTATCGATTGCACTCTTCAACTTTTTCGGGCTCAGTGTCACTCGTAATGTTAGTGCAACTGCAAGATCTACAATTGATACGTGCAGAACGTTGGGTATCTGGGTAGTAAGTTTATCACTCGGTTGGGAAGTTTTTAGGCCTCTTTCGGGTGGATTGCAAGTGATCGGATTCATCTTGCTTTGCTACGGAACGTTGGTATTCAATTCAGTCATCAAGCCACCCAAATTCCTACGACCACGAAGACCACGTTATTCAAGCCGAAGTCGCAGTAGAAGTCGTGGTCGTAGTCGCAGTACGACACGGATTCCTAGAAGCAATACTGCTCCTTCAGCAGAAGCTTGAAAGCATGGCATTCTCTCTCTTTCTTTGGGTCTTTTATCATCATTGCGCATTTGTAGATTACATTACATACATTGAACAATTTTTCAAGTGTTTTCTTTATCAATCAGCGAGAGAAGTAAGTTCATTCTTTGACAAATGCAACAGCAGCATAAATTGTTACAGCTCCCCATAAATCTTCATTCATTGGGATTTCTTGATTGATTCGGATTCCAAACCTATCGGCTAAATTTCGAAAAGGTCCACCTTGCAAACCGAATTCTTGCCAAAAGTTTGCAAAATTTCCATGATAAGTACATCGTAAGCCTTTTTTGCGAGCCATTTCTTCCAATTCTCTCCAATCAACCACAAACTCTGCCACTTCATCAATCGCATCTGTAAGTGCAAATGTATATCGTTGACCAAATGGCTCAAAGTGGATGGGATTGTCTTCCGTTCGATTCACTTCATCGAAGGATACGTTGTAAAAGGTATTTCCGAACGATTTTGCAGACGGATCTCTTGCCACAGCTTCCGTTAAACGTGAATGAAGTTCATAACAGTCCGGGAACGTAGCAATGAATGTCCCACCAGCCTTGAGATATTTAGCGATATTATCGAGCATCAAATCGGCATGAGCATAATTATCCCAACCATAATGAAGACAAAATTGAAGTGAAACGGTATCGAAAAGAGGCGAAAGGAGATTTGCCGGCACATGATCTTCTACAGGTTCACCGAAACAATCCATTGCAAAAAATTCCGCCTTGAAACGATGTCTTTGATCCATAAATCGATCTCTGGCCTGAGAAACAGAAACTTCTGCAATATCCGCCAAGACTAACTCTCTGATTCCACATTTGTCCCATTTCTTCAAATCTCCGCCTTTTCCCCCTCCAATATCGAACACACGACCACCTTTCTGACCATATTGCTGTATCAAGACGCTTTTCACCCAATTGTTAAATGTTTTAAGATCAATGATCGGGCTTTGTTTCCTTGCATCTCTTCCTGCATCTTGGCGTGCATTGTAGTGTGCTGCAACGAGAGAAGATGCTTTTCCGTTGCCGGTAGAGTGAATGTCCTTCTCTGCTTCGGCTGCTGTCGAGCCTTCTGCTGTATTTCGCTTTCGTTTCTTAGCTTGATCTTTGTTCGTGTCAACAATCTTGCTCTTGCTTGCTTCGATCTCAGCAATCATTGCTTCCCATCCATCCGATTTCCCTACATTCTCTGCTTGCCACTTCTCTCGCAAAGAATTCTTACATTGTGACCGCAATCGTTCCAACTCCGTCAAATTGATCGGCACTTTCACTGTTCCAGGCAGGCCTACTCTCTTCAAAGGTTTATAAGCAGGCTTTCTGATTTCTACGACTTCAGGCTCCTTCATGTCTTCCTTGATGATCGGAGCAGGTACAGACTTTTTGCTTGCAAATTCGGAAGGCTTTTTGAGGTCCGGCGGTAGTTGTTGGACGGAGTTCTTTCTCGTCTTCTTTTCTGTCGAGGAACCATTCGTACTTGTGGCGTCTTTGGTCGGCTCAGCTTTGCGTAAGCCTTCCGCTGACTCTTTCTCTGCACGCGGTTCAGGCAAGGGTAGCCCCTCCTTTGCAGTGTTCTCCGAAGCTGATTGCTTTTTCTCATTCTTAGAGGCAGCGCTCTTTCGCTTCTTAGGCGGTGGAGATGCCTGTCTTGATTCAGCTGGAGATTCTGCTTTGGATTGCTCTTGTTCCAATCGTGTCTGCTCGAGTGCTTTTGCTTGCTCCTCTTGTGCAACCAATCTCTGATGTGCTTCGTAGTCCTCTCGTTCCCTTATCTCTTGCATCCGTCTGGCATGCATCTGCTCTTCTTCCATCACCTTTGCGCGTTCGTAAGCAGCTCTCTCTTGTTCATATCGTGCACGTTCTTCCATCATTTGATCCCTCGAGGCACGTCTTTCATGTTGTTCATACATTTGCCTTTGTCGGTATTGATCAAGTTCTTCCGCTTCCATTGCTTGTTGAGCTCCAGCGCTGGAAGAATGACTATGCATATGTACATGATGCTTGTCCCTTCCAAAGAATGGAGTGCCCATATATTTACCCGGAGTTTGCGCAAATCCGCCTGGTGTCATTGGTGGTCGTCCGGGTGATTGCGCTGTGATGCTAGAGTATGGAGTTTGAGGTACTCCAATGGGCGGCGTTTGTGGAGTATGATATATTCCATGCTCGGTATTGATATGCAATTGTTGTGGAGGATGAGCTCGATCGTATTGCTGATATGCAACATGTCCTCGTGCATCAGGTAGGGAAGGAGGTGTTGCCGGTCTTGCACCTGCATATCGATCATCGAGAAAATCTGCTGGGATAGGTCGTCCATACCCTTCCTGCTCCGGATACCTGGTAGGCACACCCATTGGAGATGCTCTTATCGGATGGCCGTACGGTGATGATCCATGAATTGGAGGTCCTCCAGCAGGTGGAAGAGGTACTCTACCCCGCATAGATTCAGGCGACCTGTAAGGCACATCAGGAACTGCGAATTCTCCTCCTGAACCTGAAGAGGAAGAAGCGCGAATGGATGACGGATGACCAGTATAATGACCGCCATGAGGATGATGATGAGAATGCATCTCCATACTATCGGCACGCAGATGTGATGGACCTGGAATTCCATGCTCTCCTGATAATCGTGAATGCCGTCCCATCACTGGACTTACGGAGGGTTGGTTGCTAGCATATGGCGGTCCTAAACCTGTATTCGAGCTGCTCGATGAAGTCGGCCTTCTGATCTCATCCATTGAAGAGCTTGGGCCAAGAATATGATGAAGAGAGGGTGATCGTTCTGTACGTAAAGTTGGTACAGGCGAAGGCTGATGATGGTACGGGTTCATACCAGTTGGTGAAGATTGTCTGATGTACGTGCTCGGAGGAGGATCGGGCATTCTTCCATACGATGGTATCCGTTCGCGAGAAGGCAAGTCCATCAGAGCACCTCTGGGAGAAGTTCGTTGAGGAAGTGCAGTCGGTCCATCCGGATAACGAGATATACTTGCTCTGGGTGATGACATATTGCGATAAGCATGACCAGGTGGTGCAGCGTGATGCATAGGACTGGGAGCATGTTGTCCGCCTGAGTTGCTATAGCCATGTGAAAGAGGATGATCGCCAAATCCATTTCCACTGTTTGACCTCGGAATTGCACTCTCTTGTCCACCTTCGTTCAATATTTCTGCAATGGATGCCGATCTGGTAGCTTGACGACGATGCATGGCCGTTTCCTCAGGTATGGAAGCTGAACGTCGGTCATCGCTGGAAGGTGAACGAGTGACAGAGTCACGTACGGGATCAAATCGTCCTCCCATGATGAATGCGTTGTGATGATGGCGTTCCGATGGTCTTCCAGTTACCACATGTATATAGGAGGGACGCAAGGACAGCAAGCGATTTATTGTATTCTTTGAGGATGCTGAATCATTCTTACAATCTTTGCTTTGTATGGCCAATTGGTTGAATGATGATGATGATAAGTTTGATGAATGATGAGATGAACATTTTTTAAGCGTGTTTAAATTTTCCCGTGTTCCTCTCTTTAATGCGTGCGTGCGTGTGTACGTGTAGTGTGTGCATTAGTCTACCGCTATAAATAATACCTTTACACTTTTGACGTCGGCGCCGAACAGGGCTATGACCGCTATTGGTTTTTATCATTTTGCTCAAATCATAAATATATAACTCAGCTTCCGTTTATAAATGCATCTTCTTTCAACATCAATAATGACTCTGCGATAAACTCTAAGTGAAATTGATTGATCTACTGATACCAACTGTTTCTTGGAGTAAGCACGAACCTCTTTATTTTTAAGCGCGTAGAGCTGCTGCTTAAGCGGCATCCGGATATGCATATGAGAAAAAAAAGATAATCACATGTGTAATATTATCAAAATGCTCAGCCAACTTTAAAACTGGGGTACCTTGAAATTACGCCACCATCTTCACCTTCCAAATCGTTGGGATACATAACGATATGGCAGATGATGCGGAAGACCTTTTCGCTCATTTAGGTGGTGCATCATCAATTCATAATGCAGGTACAAGTGGAAGAACGGAAAATGGTGAATCACATGTGAAATCATTCGAGGCAAAGAAAGCCAACGGAAATCATACAAAGTCCGGCAAATCGAATCCATCTTCACAAGAACGATTGGATCCTCAAAAAATGAAACAATTACATGTCGGTAACGTGCTTGATAATGATCGTTTGGACCTTGACCTGGACTTGGATTTGACAGATTTGAACGGTTTAAAGTTGGAGGACTCAGATGGCGCAAACGGTGTCTCGACGAACGCTTTAGCCACCAAAAGACGTGCAAAAGACCATATTCCACCCAGTAATGCCGATTCAGCATCTCCGGCAAGCAGACATAAGGAAGATATACCCGGCCTTCTGGATGATGCGGAGGATATTGAGCCAGAGCCAATCGAGAATCTTCCACCACATGCTTGTGCTTATTGTGGCATTCATAGCACGAGCTGTGTGGTTGAATGCTTAATCTGCAACAAATGGTTCTGCAATGCTCGCGGGACGACTTCGTCATCGCATATCGTTACCCATCTCGTTCGGGCCAAGCACCGGGAAGTACGACTACACAACGATTCCATGCTCGGTGAGATGATGCCAGAGTGTTACAATTGCGGAGTGAAGAACGTTTTTCTCCTCGGTTTCATTCCAGCCAAGAGCGAAACTGTGGTTGTCCTTCTGTGTCGCCAGCCTTGTGCAGCCATGCCAACGTCAAAGGATATTGTTTGGGATACGTCGCAATGGGCACCTTTGATCCACGACCGATGCTTTTTGAATTGGCTTGTGAAAACGCCGACTGATGCAGAACAGGCTCGTGCCAGACCGATCACATTACGCCAAATGAATCGATTGGAAGAATTATGGAAAGACAATGAGAAAGCGACATTGGATGATGTGGATAAACCCGGTGTAGATGAAGAGCCTCCAGCGATCTTGTTACGCTATGACGATGCATATCAATATCAAAACATCTTTGGACCGCTCGTCAAAGTTGAGGCAGATTACGACAGAAAATTGAAAGAATCACAAACGCAGACTGATTTAGCGGTCAGATGGGATCAGGGATTAAATATGAAGAAGATTGCTTGGATGTCTCTACCAAAGCTAGAGAGTGGAGAAGTTCGTTTAGCTGTTGGCGATGAGCTCAAGCTAAAATATACCGGTGAATTGGCTGCTCCATGGGAAGGTGTCGGTCATGTAATCAAGGTACCAAACAATATTTCCGATGAGGTAGCTGTCGAACTGCGAAGAAACGAAGGTGTTCCCGATCATTGCACGCATAACTTTAGTGCAGACTTTGTTTGGAAAAGCACCAGCTTCGATCGTGCTCAAGCAGCAATGAAAACATTTGCTGTGGACGAACAGAGTGTAAGTGCATACATCTACCATAAATTGCTCGGTCATGAAGTAGAACCGGTCACACTGCGCACATCAATGCCAAAGAGATTCAGCGCACCTGGTCTGCCGGAGCTCAATCACAGTCAAGTAGGTGCAGTCAAACAAGTTCTGCAAAGACCTTTGAGTCTCATTCAAGGTCCACCAGGAACGGGAAAGACGGTAACGAGTGCTACGATTGTTTATCAATTGAGCAAGATGAATCCGGGGCCTGTCCTGGTTTGTGCTCCTTCAAACGTTGCTGTTGATCAATTAACTGAAAAGATTCATGCAACGGGATTAAAAGTTGTTCGTATGACCGCCAAAAGTCGTGAAGCTTTAGAGAGTTCAATCAGCTTCTTGACATTACACGAACAAGTGGCAAACAATGATACGCATATCGAATTGCAAAAGTTGATTCAACTCAAGAATGAACAGGGCGAATTGTCGAGTAGTGATGAGCGCAAGTACAAGGCATTGACTAGAGCTTGCGAAAGGGAGATCTTGAATGCTGCTGATGTGATTTGCTGTACTTGTGTAGGATCAGGCGACCCAAGGTTGAGCAAGATTACCTTCCGAACGGTGTTGGTGGATGAAGCAACACAAGCAGCAGAGCCAGAATGCATGATCCCTCTTGTACTAGGATGCAAGCAAGTCGTATTTGTTGGAGATCACTTGCAATTGGGACCTGTGATTATGAACAAAAAGGCAGCTCGTGCTGGTTTGACGCAAAGCTTGTTTGAACGTTTGATTATCCTGGGTAATAGACCAATTCGATTGGAGGTGCAATATCGTATGCATCCTTGCTTGGCTGATTTCCCCTCCAATATGTTCTACGAAGGCACTTTGCAAAATGGTGTTACCGCTCCTGAGCGATTGCGTAAGAATGTCGATTTCCCTTGGCCAGTTCCGACGCTTCCCATGTTCTTCTATCAAAATTTGGGACAAGAAGAAATTTCCAGCAGTGGTACATCTTTCTTGAATCGAACAGAAGCATCCAATGTCGAGAAGATCATTACAGCATTCTTCAAAGCCGGTATTACACCTGATCAGATTGGTGTCGTTACGCCATACGAAGGTCAAAGAAGCTTCATCGTCAACTATATGCAGTTCCACGGCAAATTGCGCAAAGAGTTCTACAAAGAAGTGGAAGTAGCAAGTGTGGACGCTTTCCAAGGTCGTGAAAAAGACTACATCATTCTCTCTTGCGTGCGATCTAATGAACATCAAGGTATTGGATTCTTATCGGATCCTCGTCGATTGAATGTTGCTTTGACACGTGCAAAGTATGGATTGGTCATCTTGGGAAATCCAAAGGTGTTGAGCAAGCATCCCTTGTGGCATTACTTACTGGTTCACTACAAAGAGAAAGGATGCTTGGTGGAAGGAGCGCTCGCCAATTTGCAACCATCTATGATTCAATTCAGCAAACCTCGTAGACCGTTGCAACGACCGGGTGATCTCATGGCTCGTCATCGTCATGATGCACAAGGTGTTGTGGGAGGTGCAGATGCATCACGCAATCCCGCTGGACCTCTGCGTACGGGTGCAAGTGAACATGTGAATCCACCTTTGAATCATCCTGCATTCTATCGTTCTCACGATCCGATTGGCTATATTCCAAGTGATGCACAAAGTGTTACCTCTCTTGGAACACAGGCTCCTTATCCCTCCAATCGTTTGCCTCCCTTCTCCAGTGCCGCTAGTTCAATCAGCGCTGCTTCTTCGCGAATGATGCCAAATGGTTTGGGCCATGGGGGCTATGGCTATGGAGGCGGAAATTATGCAGGCAGCATTGCTAGTCAAGATTTGGATAACGAGAGTAATGCTGGTGGACCGACGTCCAGTATCGCACCAAGTATCACTTACAGCCAAAGTGACCGTTTGAAACGTGTGAACGGAATGGAAATCGGACAAGATCAACGACAAAATCTTCCTGGCTCACGTATTGATGCTAATTCATTGATGGGCTTTAGTGGCTTAGGCTTGGATACATACAAAGGTCATGCCAGAGGCATGGAAGATGACGATATGCAAAGCACATATTCGGCAGCGATGAGTCAAGATTCGTTCACAACGTTTTGAAGAATTAAATAGTTCGTGACTGATGTCATACCAACAACTTACACAAAGGTGACTGTTCTTATATGGCGAAGAGAGAAGCGTTATTCCTTGATAATTTTCTTCTGTCTGTCTTTGATGCTCTGGTGGAGCTGTCAGCAATCCCCAATGCGACAAGCGCTTGAGAGATTTCCTTTCTCGCTCCTAATGTCTGGCCCGCTCAATGTCAAGAATGGTTCTTCGACAACCTGAGACCATCTTCTGCAGTGAATGCTCGCTGAGAAGATCGTCTAAACAGACAATGATTGCCACGGCGACTGAGTATCGGTATCTCGCCATACATACATCTGGATATTCCATGTATTGATTAACCTCTACAACGTGACCTAATCCGATAGTGTATACTTCAACCCTAGATTACATGATGCATGCTATAAATTCCATTCTAGGCAAACGTAAAGAAGCCATTTCGTCCTCTCTGTGAAATCGTCCATATTATCTTGCTCTTCTTCATCGCCGTCATCTTGCGCGAATGGCTGTCTTCCAGACCACGGTCGAGCTTTATTTGTAACGACATTGAATTCGAAAACAATAGACCTTCCATGGCTATCTTTGCTTGTTCTTAAATACTGAGATTGTAGACCACTTTTAGAGCATGCCATCGCAAAGAATTTCGAAAGTGCTCGTCTGCCTGTATGAAAGCCGCTAACAACTATACATTTGGCGGTAGATGTTCTTGCAAGCATTGATAGGATTGTATTGAGAAGTGGTTGATGGGAAGAAGAAAGCCAAAGGACGTCTGCACATAAAATTCTTTCGAATTTATCGGGGTATTCTTGCAGCACCTTTGTTGTTGTGACCTTATCGGCCCAATCTAAACCAAGTGCTTTCGCATTTTTTTGTACTGAGGAAAATTGGATGTTCTCATTTAGAGCGGTCAGGATGCCTTCATCGGGATAGTCAGTAATCAAGACCGAAGAAGCTCCATGTTTTGCACTGATTAAGCCAGGAATACCAGTTCCCGCTCCTAATTCCAACACTGTCGTTTGGCGAATATCAGCTTCGGGTCGAAGAATAGCCGAGACGCAAGAGTTCTCGCTGCTCTTCTCTATATCCCTTGCCTCTTGACTGTTCTTGTGTATCAAACGACCCAAGAATAGACCTGCATCCCATTGATAATGGGCGAATAATTTATTGGTATTACTGGCAGGAATACGATATTTGATCGCTTCATCATCCAATTGTAAGGTACACAATTGACCTGCTTCACCTGTTGCTGATTGATGATGACCAAATAAGGATTCAATTGAAGATTCGAAAAAGTTTATTGTATCATCCCTTTCCGCATCCCCCATCAGTAAAGGATGAGCAAGATGAGTCGATGGAGTAAAATGTCCGTATTTCAAGAAACTGTCCTTCTTTCTTGCTTTCGGGGGAAGGTGCGGGCGGGTAAGCGTGTTTTTGTCCAATTAACACACGTGATTCACTAGTTCTGAATTTTTTTGTTTTTTTGGAGGAGTTGTTTTAGGAAAGTGCATTCATTCCCTCTTTCAATTATCATACATCCTCTAGCAAGATGGATGGTGAAAATGATGTTACAATGACCGATACGGTCGCAGGTCCTTCAAAATCGGCACCAAGTGTGCCTTTGCATCGAGTTCGATTTGTGGACTGGGCACCTTCATCTGTATCAGCATTGGCATTCTTGCCTTTGACAAAACAGGTTCAATCGGCATCATCGACTGCAAGAAGCATTTTAGCCGTTGGAAGGGAAAATGGGAATATTGATCTATGTGTTTGGGTTGAAGATGATGGTATTGATGCTTCAAAATTGGACGACAGTCAATCCAATTCTTCTTCCTCGGCAAGTGTTGCAAAAGGTTGGGTAGTAGACACTACACTGGTTGGCTCAAATCCTTCCAAAGTGGATTCACTCGTCTTTGTTTTATCGCCTACTGTACCATACAATACCCCTCGCTTATTCTCAAGTTCTGGTGGGGCAATCGTCACAGAGCATTATTTACCGCCTCATTTGATCATGTCAAGTCGGGCACCCAGTTCATCAGCTCAATTTCAACAACTACCAGCTTCTATTAGAAAAGATAGCACTCTCAGCAATGTCTCTCGATCAATTCCATCTCAAGGTGGATCAGTTTGGTCAATGGCAGCTTCTCCGCTAGGGAAGCACCTCGCACTCGGATGTGAAGATGGGATCGTTCGCATGATCGACATTGCAGATGGTCGCTTCGAACTTGCTTCATACAGCAGAAGCTCGCTACGAGGATCAGATGGTGTTGTGAGAGGTAATGTTTCACAACTTGATAGAGCAAAAGCCCGAATTGTTTCACTGGCTTGGGGACCACCTCAAAGAAAGGAGAAGGCTAAAAAGGCTCCATTTGTACCTATCGGCGGTAAGAAGAGACAGGATGATTCCGATTCAGACAGCAGCGACAGCGACAGTGATGATGATGACGATGACGAATGGGATGATTCCTTTGTTCTAGGAGGAACAGCACAAAGTCTTGCTTACGTTTGGTCTGCAAACACAGGTCGTGTGATCACTAAATTAGTGGTAGACAGATCCCGAAACCAACAAACAATCGTTTGGTCCTGTGCAACTTTGTTAGATGGAACGTGCGTATTGGGAGATTCTATGGGACAAGTTTCTTTTTACGATGGAAAGATGTTCACTCTTCTTCCCGGAGCAAGGTTCACGAGTCACGGAAAAGGTGCAGATGTTCTATCGTTGTGCGTTGGATCAGATGGACAATGTGTGTATAGCGCATCGGTAGATCAAAAAGTGGTGGAGTATACAAGAGTTGGTGTCGCCAAACAAACGAAGTGGATGATTTCTGGAAAAAGGCGTTTGCATGCACATGATATTCGAGCATTGGCAATCGATCCACCTTTTAATCCCAAATCATTGCTCTCATCTTCAGATGGTGATATCAACCGACTACCGATCTTGGTCAGCGCTGGAGTTGACTTTCACCTGACATTAACGCCTGCTGCATCACCATCACGCGCCACCCTTATAGATACCACTCACCCCAAGCAGCAATCTGAATCGAAGGAGCAGGAAGATATTCAAAAGACATCTCGCATCCCGAAACAATCACGGTTCGATCATATCAATCCAGTATCGACTACTCCCATCACCACATTTGCTGACACGATTCACCGTCGTCTACCGTTTGTACCTACAACAGGCAAAGGTAGCGCTTTGGGCGGTGGAAGCGTTATACGTATTTGTGCTGTAAAGAGATGGGTCATTTTGCGACGAGAAAAGTCGATTGCGATATGGAAATTGCCTTTGCAAGCGAACGCAGAGGAGGAAGAGAACTCTAAGAAAGTAGACTGGAAGATAGTATTGGAGATGCAGATTCGAGTACAAAGCAATCTCGTTTGTGCAGAGATCTCGCAAGATGGCCGATTCTTATTCGTTTCGGATTTGTACGAATCAAAGTTGTTTGAGTTACAAGAAAATGGTAAAGACATCGTTCCGAAGCGGATAAAGTCCTTCTCCACAAAGACATTTGCATCACAGGGAGTACAACAAGGTCCAGCAAGCAGTGCAGCCACCTTTACGCCCGATCATGCAAGGCTGGTGTTGGCAAGCTATCCTGGTGCATTCGTTCATGTGGTTGACCTTCCAAGATCTTCAGATTCCCAAAAGTGCACTTTGTTGAAGAGCTTTGCAGAACATAGGCAAGCCGCTTTTGGTCGATCTGTAGCAGGAAAGGCCGTTCGCATGACAAATGGAAAAGCTCAGGTAAATGGCGGTCATCATTCAGATGAAGATTCCAGTCAGTCAGATGGCGAATCAGAGGAGACTTCAGAGGACAAGAACCAAAGTGCGAATGAACCTCGCACCACATTCGCACGTATCGACACGATCCAAGTCTCGTCTGATGGGCAATATCTGATTTCAATTGATGCAGCTAAACGTATACATTGTTACTCGTTGGATACCCTCCATCATAGAGGTGCTTTACCTTCTCCTGCCCATCAACCGAATGCAGTAACATTTGATCCATGGAAGCCGCACATGATGTGTTGTATCTTGCCAACAAACCAAACAGTCGTATACGACTTGGAACGTAGACAAGCAAACTTTACTGGAAATACCTCAAAGCCAGCCACTTCAACAACATCCAAAGAAATGGGCAAGAAAGCCTTGAAAGCAGTGCACAGGATGAGACATAGAGGTGAAGAAGGTTTTATTGCTGCACTAAATGAAGAATTGATGGGCGTACGTGATAATGCGATCGGATTGTTTTGGTTATCGCCTACCGTTTTGGCTGTTTGGGGAGCAACTTTTCTCTGTACTGCTAAGCGTATTCAAATTACTGCTGAGGGACAAAATACCAATGTACCACGCAACGGTAAACGTGCACATCCCGATGAATCATCCGTCGATCTCACCAACGCCGGTCAACACGACCAACAATCTGATCATTACTGGCGAGCAAGATTGGTGACGAAATATCAACCTCTTTTGTACGCAGGCATTGTACCTGGCTCCGCATCATCTGAAACAGAATTGGTCGTAGTAGAAAGGCCTTATTACGATGTCGCAAGTTCTTTGCCTCCCACATACTTCAGCGGGGCATCTTACGGTACTTGATGTTGGCTCAGTATGCTTTTGCTTGTGCTGGTTCTATCTATTGTAATCTATGAAGTGGAGATAATGTACAAAATGTACATTAGATCTATTCAATGCAATGCAAGTGTCTCTTAATATCCTAATGTTTCACGACGAAGTAGCCTTCCTGCATTTCGTCTTTCTGTTCGCCATGGAGAAGTAGCAAAACGTGCTTCAGGTCCTTTAGGGAAGCCATGCCCCTTCCCGTCACTCGAATAATCTGACTTCCATGGAACTTCTTTGCCTGCTTCTTTATCCACGAGCTGCAACATGGAAATCAACCTGTCCAAATAAACCTGATCGGAAGGTTTACCGAACGTGTGAGGAGTAGTATTCAGGATGACTTCTTGATCATCAGAGTGACCGTTCACGTTTGCGTCTTTTCGTTCTGAGCGCCACCTTTGCTCATCCGTAGGCGGAATGCTTCTGTCTAGAAATGGTAACTTTGGCGCTTTATCCAACCAACGATGAATCAAATACATAGCCTGTATTTCTGTAAATGGGAAAGGCACAACGGTGATCGGCAATCCTAGCATAGCGAGCGTTTCATCCTTTGAATGACATAAGAACCAATCGTCTAGGTTATATACTGAAGCAGACGGGAATCCTATGCGGGACGGGTGACTTGAAGGAGGCAAAAGAGGGTACTTATTCAACATACCGGCCGTTTGATCCAAGAAGGCATTATCGAACAAGAATCCAGTAGCAAAGATTATAAGTGGGATATCGCTTAGGATTGAACCATCTGCCAAGTGAATGCGATCTCCTTGTATAGATTCAATGCTTTCCACAACTTTGATCCTCTTGCACCATGCTGGCGATTCCGGATCTAATGGATTATAATCCATCGGAGGCGGCTTTTCTGGAGAATGCCAAGATGAAAGAACTTCGAATGGATCTTTTTGACATTGGTCTAACCATTGCTTCGGATTGAATCCGCAGGGTAGATTGCGAGTGATGAATCCAGACAACTCTCTCGCTATATCCATTCCACTTGATGCATTTCCCACAATCAATATCCGCTTTGGCTCACCTTCTTTGAGGAGCAACGTGGGATCTCTATACCACGCCGAATGCAATATCCGCCCAGAGAATGTTGTGATCCCTTCTATATTGGGTATATTGGGCACACTACATCGACCATGGGCTAAGACGAGGTGTGTGAATTGTTCAGTAGTGCTTTGTTGATTACCGCCGTTCGAATTGTATGTTACTGACCATCCATTTGAACGTTCATCTTTGATTATACGTTCGATTGTTGTTGAAAATTTGACATTTCTCCTTAGCTCATGCTGATCCGCATACTTCTCTAGATATTCTTGTACAGTCTCGCGTGATGGGTATAAATCTGTTCCATCTCTAAACAAACTATCACGATAGCTCATCAGATCACATGGAATGTTTGTACGTAATCCTTCAAACATTGCTCCTGGCGGCCATGCTTCTTGCCATTTAAGTCTAAGCCTTCTTTTTTGTCGAGCACTTTTGGAGCAAGGAAGTAGTGAAGTGTCATCTTGTTCCCAGCATAGTATTGGATCTTTAATATCCTTCTCATGCTGCCATATTCCTCCTACTTCGTCACGTCTTTCGAAAAGAATGAATTCGATCCCTTGCTTAAATTGTTTCCTAGCATCCAGTATTTGTTTTGCCATTGTCATGCCGGCTGAGCCTGCTCCTACTATGCATATTCGCATCTTGAAAACAGTGTCAGTCTATAGAGAAGATGAAGTCAGAAGAAGAGTAAGTTGTTTTTAGTATTTGGTAATTGTCTAATCTCCGTTTAGCGTTAAACGTTAAAACCGTTGGCTGTCTTTCCAGATCGTAGCGTGGCGCTCTTGGCCTGTTTCAGAGATTTGCGGTAAAAGCATCATTGTGTGTCTGCATGCATTTACCCCACTTCCAAGAATCTTCTTCGCAAATCTCCTAAAGCTTCTTTCTTGGCTAAATGTTCTGCTTCTATAGAAATGCGGGGGAATGACATTCCCGATCAACTGTCAGATCGAAAAAGAAAAAGATTGCCGATTTGTGATGCTTCATGCTAGTGTTGATGAAAGGTATATAAAGAATAAAAAAAGTGTTTCACAAACGAAAGAATTCATCATCATTCCCTCAATCCTATTCACCATGCAATTATCTTTCCTCGCTGGCCTTACACTAGCTCTTGCAGCAACGGCAACCTATTCTGCTCCCACTCCTGCAGACAAAAGGGCATCATCATTTGTAGGCTATTTCGTTCAACATTTCAAGACAATCAACGGACAAGACAGTGAAAAAATTTATCAACAAGTTTCAAACGGCAATAATGCTTATTCTTTTACAGCTTTGAATGGTGGAAATCCAGTTTTAACTTCAACTGTTGGAACAAAAGGTGTTCGTGATTCTTATTTGGTTGCTTCTCCTGATCGATCTGAATTTTGGGCAATTGGAACAGATTTGAACACGCATACACAATCTTGGTCTGATGCCGTTACACATGGTAGCAAATCGATCGTGATCTGGCATACAACCGATCTTGTGAATTGGGATACAAATTATCTCGCTCAAGTTGATGATGATACTGCAGGAATGGTTTGGGCACCTTCTGCTGTTTATGATCCAAATACAAAACAATACTTTGTATTCTGGGGATCTCAATTATTCGCTGAAGATGATCCAAATCATACAAATGGACCGGTAACAAAGACACTTATTCGTTATGCCACAACGACTGACTTTAAAACCTTTTCAAGTCCACAAACATACATTAATGGAGGCGATCAAGATCGATTAGATCAAGAATTCCAAAGTCTTGGCGGTAATTCTTATGCACGTTTTACCACTGCAGGTGGTGCGGGTGTGATTGAAGAGATTTCACAAGACGGATTACTTGGTACTTGGAATCGTGTTGGAGGATCGAGTAATTATATCAACACCCAATCACCAAGAGAAGGACCAACATCGTTCCAAGATAATCAAGATTCGTCAGAGTATCATTTATGGCTTGATGCTCCTCCGACTGATGGATATGAAACCTATTCCACGAATGGTATTCAAGGCGGTAGTTATCCTGAAGAGAACGTTTCTGGGTTCCCATCTGGAATGCGTCAAGGTTCTGTTCTACCCATCACACAATCTGAATATGAGTAAGTGGATGTTTTCTAGATAAAGAGTGAATGTATGCTGACTCCCGCTTCCCTTTCGCAGTACAATTCGTTCAAAGCTTTAAAGAGCAGCAAGCTTTAACAATCCCCGCACTTTTAGTCCCTATTTTAAAGTCGGACTATTAGCGGGTTAACTCTGTGTACCCATGCGTAATGATACAGAATTGCAGTAACAGCGGCAAACACACGCGTAATTAAGCAGAGAGAATCGGATATTTTTTTTCCCTCATTACCCTTTTTGCATAACCGACCCTTTTAAGATTTTTGATTTGACAAGCTCGTGGTTGAGTATCCCTTGCACATCTTCATCATCACCCCTTTTTCGACATGTGTGAATATTGGCAAATCATACACCTATAAGTCATCTTGCAACATTCAATCTTACTTGCAAGCGTGCGCACACCTCCACAAAAAGGTAGAAAGTGGTCATGACAACACTTTCTCCGGGGCTGATGCCCGTTGCATCGCCCGAACCGATCCCAACAGATGCTCATGGCCAGCATGACAGTACACAAAGTCCCAATACGAAAAACAACAGCAAAAGAGTAAGCATCGAAAATGTAACAATGGTCAAAGCCCCACAATCAGAAAATCTCAATGATACAGTTTCGGACATTGAAGATTTGGAACCTTTGCCGCCATCCGGCATTGCCATACCAATTGGCCCCTCTAGCACACGTGGACAATTACTGGAGCCGAAAGGATCATCTTCGTTAGAAGGCACAAGCTTAGGCTCTTTGCCATCCCTGCATCTTGAATCTCCCATGAATCAATCATCATCTTCACCACCGCATACATACTTTGACAACAGTAACGGAAGAAGACCGTCAAAGAGTAGCTCACACAAACGGACAAGTTTGACAAACACAACCGCAGATTCATCTATGCCTCTATTTCAATCTTCCTATGGACCTTATTCGGCTCGATACGTTACAGTTTCTTCCATCTTGAGTAGATCAGGAGCTGCAATTCCTCTTTCTCCGCCGGAAGAGGATCTTTCGCATTATCGTTCAAGACGTCAAAGTGATTCTTCCGAATCTCAGTATTCCAGAAAAATGCCAAATAGGAGAAAGTCTTCTAGAGGGGCAAATACTCCATTTAGAGCAGGACCTCGATCGAGTACAGGAAGTGCAAAGAGTTCCACAGCAGGTGCTTATGAGGGAAAGAGGGCCAGTAATGGTAGTGCACTTGAAGCTCTCGGAGCACTGTTCCTACAGCGGGATTCGATCGGAAAGGTATCCAATTTGAGTTTTATGAAGTATAGTGATGCACTGTCTTCGACAAAACAGGGTGAAAAGAAGAGTCTTTCGAATAGGATCACATTTGGTCTTTCATCAGTCTCACGTGCTTGGATGGAAAGAATGTCAGGGTCATCAAAGATAGGGATACGAATGCCGCACGAAAGGGATGCCGGTCAAACAATTGCACAGAGGAGAGCACGAAAAAGTATGGCGACAGATTTGACAAACGGTGCAAGAATAGAGGGTACGAGGGGCGATCAACCATCTTTTGAAGTGTTAATCTCAAGTCCTGCCTATCCAGTAGACCTCATTGATGAGCTCGACAAAGGCTTTGTTGCAAAATCACCTCCGCCAGCTCCCCGCCTTCTAGGTATGAAAGGCGATGAATTGACACCTCCGCCGATTGGAGAAGAAGAGGAAGAAGATTCTTTTGATCAAGCTCGAACATTTTTGCGGAACGACGGACCTATGACCGAGCCAATCAAAGGGGTGTATGGACCTGGTTCTGCGTTTAGCTGGACTGAGCCTCCAGAATTACCACCTTCGCCAATTGGTATGCCAGGTGCATGGGCGATGGGAAGTTATGGCTGGAACAAGGAGGAGGGTGCTCTACTTCTACCACCACCTTTGCTAGACGATCAAGGCAGCGATGCAAAGAGCTTTGAAGGATTACTCGGCGTTCGAAGGATGCGCGAACAGGAAAGGGCTAGAAAGCAATTTGAAAAGCTCAAAGCGAGAAATAGACCTGCCCATAAGGTTGGTATGTTGACAGCATTTAGCAATTTTGTCAAAGCTGCACATGCTGCTGATAAAGCTACTCGATCTGCCGGTAATGCTCGAGCTCGAGCTCCAATACTGCAAAGACGTCATACAGAACCAGCCGAGGCACAACCTGTGGATGAAGAAGATGTCATCCGCAGCCCCGTCCGAGCTACGACCTCAAACAAACCTCAGTCTACTCTTGACGCCTTTGGACGAGGGACCTCGATGGGTCGGACTGCTTCTCAATCCCGCAGCTCTCTAGACTCTTCTGGACGCCAGCTCAACACTGTCTTTGAAGCACGATCGCCTGATGTGGTTGAAGATGAGGACGATATTGAATCAAGCGACGATGAGGATGATATTGCATACAATGAAGGACTCGATTCTACACCAAGCTTGCGTAGAAGAGCAACGACGACGTATTTGGACCGCAATCAACAAGTTCCTATTCGTATGTCAGAAAGTGAAGATGATCAGGCAGTAAGAGCACACAGTATTGACGAGGGGACTTTGTCCAACTATTTGGACGCAGAACATCGAGGTATGAATGGCATCCCAAACGGGTCAGCGGGACCTGCAACGCCCAGAATCGGTCCAACAATGTTAAGCTTACCGCCTTCACCTTGGACCCCGTACGGTGGAGCAACACGTAGTGGACATCAAACTCCTTTCCATGTCCATCTCGGTATGACACCCGTTCTTGGTCCACCAGGAACACCAAGACTTATTCCGGCCATGTTGGAAGTTGCTCCCTCGCCTTTCCCAACGTTGAGTGGTATGACACCATTTTTGCGTTCTCCTGTCCGTGGGCCAAGTAATGGTGGGTATATAAACTCTCGATCAATCGGATCAGCGGTTTCCAAAGCAAGTGCACCAAGTACAACAGCACCTTCTCCTCTAGCCTTATCGCCTAATGAGTCTCCCGTTCTAGCGCCTTTTTCCAGCTTCCGCAAAAGATTGACAACTGAGAATATGAAAGAACATGACGGTGAGCTTACACCATCAGCAACAAAGACCTCAGAAGATAAAGCGAGTGTAAAGAAGTCTGTTCGAGTTGAAGAAGAAGAAGAACATTCACACGGCCGCCTCAAAACCGAACAAAATAGCAAGAGATCCTTCTTGCTTTGGTTTTTGTTTGGTGATCTGGGATTGGGATCACGATCTTCTATTGCGGCAAAAGCAGCTGGCTCACCTGCGCCTTTTGTAGGCAAGAGGTACTCTCAGCCTTATGTTGTGGTTTTATCAATCGCAGCACATCTGTACGGGTTCTCTGTGTTTCTTCTGGCACATTTGGTCGATCTTGGCTATCGTACAGCCGAATTCCTTTCGATGACGTTCTGGTTCTTACGATGGATGGCACTCAATTTGACTGGCCAGACCGTTTTAGCCAGATGTGCAATTGATGCCTATGCATTGGTATCCCGTGAATGGGAAAGTGTTGCAAGAGAAGATCATGAGAGAAAGGGTAAAAAGGGCAAAAGCAAAGAAGGCATAGAGGATGACAAGGCAATCGTCAAGTATCGCGGATTGACAAAATGGCAAGTACTGAAAGGTTTGATAGAATTGGTCTGTTTACAAGATGTGACTAGAGAAAGATATCTAGAGGAAGGTGCAGGATTAGAAGAATTGAAAGGTTGGAAAAAGAAGCACATCAAGAGTCATTCGTGTGATGATGCCCTCCTCCCTGCCACACCTTCACGCATCGATTTGGGTATTCGAAGGGCAGCTGATCGAAAAGCAAAGGACGATAAAGAAGCTCGACAAGCTTTTGAGGAGGAGATCCGCGCTGCAAAGAGTCAGGAAAGCGACGACGATGAAGACAGCGATTCAGAGAGCAGTGATGACGATATGGTGGTCACCAATCGAGGAGCAGAGATTCTAGAATTCACAAAAACGCCCAAAGTGGAGAGACATACTTACTTTCCATCTTCAGAAGATGGAATGGATGATCTCCCACCAAGACGTCCAAGCAGATATTCAAAGAGGTCACTCTCCGGTACATCGCGTGGCTCAGCGAATGCTGTTCATGTAGAGCCCACGAATCGTCCTTTAGTCAGGATGATCAAATGGGCTTCTCGGTTGGCTATTTCAGCCTATGGATTACACGTCACATTGGTTGACTTGCCTGCAACATTCACGCCATCTGGCAATCGATTCTCACGTCAAACGTTTGCTCATCTGAGTAGACTTCATCATGAAGATGTTTTGCATGCTGACATTCAAACATTGGATTCAGATGATTATTCGCCAACTTTTTATCTTGTTCGGGATTTGACAAGAAAGGTCGTCGTGGTTTCGGTACGCGGGACGCAAAGCTTGCAAGATATTATTGTGGATCTTGAAATGGTGGTTGATCAATTTGAGCTAGGTGATGAGAACGTGGGCAAAGATGACCAAGGAGAACCATTGTATTGTCATGCAGGCATTCTGAGAGCAGCACGAGCACTTCTATCCCACAACTCTACGCTCTACAAGACACTTGATCAAGCTTTGCGAGAACATCCAGACTTTGGCATCGTTTTCACTGGTCATTCTCTGGGTGGTGCGATTGCTAGTACAGTCGTTTTGCTCTTGAGTCGATATGAAGAAAAGAGGAGTGGAAGCGGATCGGAAATATTTGATGGAATTCCGGATTGGAGTGGTAACGAAGATGATCAGGAGGGTAATGTGCACGGGCATGGAAGATGGGTGACTCACGATCGCAGTGGCTTGCCTGCCGGAAGACCGATCAGAGCCATTACTTTTGCACATCCTGCAACCGTGAATGCAACGTTAGCCGAAAGGGCCTCTCGTGGCAGAACACCATTGGTACTTTCTGTTGTTTTGGGACATGATATCATCCCACGATGTGGTCATGGACAAGCACGTGAACTTCGTCGTGTTTTGGGTGCTCTGAGTAGAGTCAGAAGACGAAAAGAGCACGGAAACGAAAGCAGACGTGGAAGTGTAGCAAGCTTGGATTTGCATGGCGAGAAAGAGGACGCAAATGACATTGACAATTCAGATGCACGCGTTCACATCGTCACAAGTTGGTGGGAATGGCGAAAATTGAAACGAAGACAGCCTTCCACTTTGAGCAAAAGTGAACGGATGAGGATGTTCAAGATTGAAGAAGATCTTTGGCGATTGAGATGCGATGTAGAGAGTGACTTATATTCTGCAGTGAAAAGACGATCTGAAGAAGCAAGATTCGAAGATTCTGATCAAAAGTCTAACATTCCCCCATCACCATGGATCGGACCTTCTCACAAAGCGCCTTTGCATCAATTAGCAGAACGACGACAAGCATTAGATGCCGTCACATTAGCAAATGAAGAATCAATCTCCAAAACAGCTGGTGTTTTGGTGCCTGCAGGACGTTCGATTTGGATTTATGAAGGTAGATTGTACAAAATCACAAGCCCACTCAGCTTTTTCAGTTTGCCTGATTTTCATGCACGAATGTTCAGTGAACATTTCCCATCGGCATACGAAGATTGGCTGGAGAGATTGTAGGCGGGCAGTATTGTATAACACAGCTAAAGAATGTACTATAGAAATCTTTGCGAATACACAAACGCAAAGTAGCCAATGTACTTCAGTATTCTAGCAATAGCAAATTCCCAATGAAGAAAATAATATAACATTACAACAACAGAAAAAAATCCTTGAGGAGATATTACACAGCGGATCCTCTACCTCCAATATTTATACTACTCGTTCTCGCATGTGCTGAGCCTGTCCTGCCATGGGCTTTGCTCGTGCTGTTGGTGCTGGCTATTGGATTTGATGAAAGTCCGTCAACGGGAATTGTAGAAGCAGAAAGGCCTGGTTCACCTTTGCCCAAAGTACCACGAGCGAATTCGTTTAACTTATTCGTCAAAGCTTTAAATTCGATACCACTAGAAGTGCCCAAAGAATCTCTCGAACCACTTGCGCTCATTCCATTGCCAATCGTATCTGCCGTTCTTACAGCCGCTGTTTCAACCCACACTTTTGCCTTTTCAACAGCACGCATAACAGGTGGACCGACGGCCCTAGTCACATTCTCAACTGCAGCTTCGGTTTTGTGGGGAATTTCCAGGTAAGCCGCCGTTCTTGGATCAACGTCGCCTATCCAGAAGCCCGTTGAGGTACACTCTCTTGCATCTTCAATCAACCATGTGTACCACATTCGTGCAATTGGCACGGTAGCAGCATGCCATAAAGCATGAGCGTCCAAAGCTCTCCAGATTGGCGGGAAATCGAGAACTTCTAGCAAAGTCGCTAGCCAAAGAAGTGCCAAGATCAGCTGCAATTGTCTTCTTCCTTTGCGCGAAGAAGATGGCGGAAGCGGATTTGGCGTTGAAACTGGAACGGGAGGAGAACCTCCATTATGATGAATGTGCGTGATGGATCCGGAAGAGACGTGTGGTGAGGAACGTAATCGCTCGAATCGTCCATTCGGGTGAGTTGAAGAAGAGAAGATTTCAGGTTTGAAAGAGTATGTCAGCCACAAAAGACTGTTTGAGATACCGACCAAGATATTGGCTTTCATGTTGTACGAATAGTCAAATCTGCCAAAGCTGAGGTATAAAATGTGTAATGATAATGCACCACCGAATGTCCTAACCAGGATCTTGAACGCTACACTTCCAGGTGCGATTCGCCAAAGCCTACATATGGCGTAGAACAACCCTCCCAAGACCACAGCTCCTGCGGAGAAATAATCCATTCGTTCTGTCATTGGCTTGTCGCGGGTGTGGAAGACTGCTGACCACAACCATGCAAAGCAGCTGACCAGAGCATGTAAAATGTAGACCAGCTTCAATGGGAAAGCATCGGGAACCTGTTTTCGTAGTCTGTCCAAAGCGGAGAGATGAACGTAGAAATTGGCAATGCTGAACAAGACACTTAAAGGCTCCTGTGCGCCAAATAAGCGAATAAAGACCCATTTGCCATGATATTGAACCATCTCCTTTTGAACAGGCCTAAGGGCTGCCAATTTACCCTGTACAAGATCTCCCACCAATCGTCTTTGCTCTGATCTAGACCAGCCATTCTTTGCGGAAGCTGCTTCGATCGTTTTCAAGGCATCTTGTCGAATATGCGTAACCCTTTCATGGGCTTCATTGGTGACTCTGTGTGTGCAATGATACTTGCAATCATCAAAGCAAGTCCAAAATGTCATTCGCAAAACCATTGGCAAAATTGTCGCTTTTGCCGTACCATCGTCCCAATTAAGCCCGACCAAACAAGAATCTCGATCGCAAGAATCTACGCACTTTTGATATTCAGGAGAGCGATCTCCTTGTGAAGCAGAGACTGGTTGAAGTGATGTGAGCAGGAGGAGTAAAAGGGGGGCAATATACGCCAAAAATAGAGGAAGTCGTAATCTTGTCCGAGCTCGATTACGTTGTGATCTGTGTTGTGGCATTGATAGGTTGTCAGATTTTTGAGGGAATGCGAATGGATCTGGACAAGCTTGACTGTTTTCATCTGTTGTTGCAGAAGTTAGCAGCTTTTTGCTGTTCTCATGTCGCCTTGACAATTGGCCGTCACTTTTGTTGCGGGATCGCAGTGGCTTTCGTGATTGTGTTGAATGTTTTGTTCTTTGATCATCTGATGATGTAGACGGTGTGCTGAGTAGACAATTACGACTACACTCTCCTACTGTCTGATGCATGTTCGTCTGAATCATGGTGAAGAAGAAGAAGATAGCCTTCTTTGGCGATAAAATCAGCCTAAGAGTGTGATTTTTGGAGATGATTGTATCAAAAATGAAAGATGTACCGGATCCCGACAGATTTTAATCGCACGCTTTGCCAGTCTGAAGTCAGCCAAGTAGCTAGCTAGCTTGCAACCTGTCAAGGGGTGTACAGTACAGTAGTATACACTCTGGAAGAAAGCCTTGCCTGCGTGCAGTCAAGTCCTACGCGTGCGTTTAAAGCTGGGGGGCGAGAGATGTGTGCAGTCTTTTTGCGTGAAAAGGGTGTACGATTTCGGCTTTGGAATTTTTTTGACATTTCCACTAAGAAACAATGACTTTCTTTTTTTTTGGCGAAAATTGCACCGCCTAGCGGCATTCTCTGAGCCCTGTACTCTTAACGAGCATACACTAATAGCCGTGCTATTTTCGGAGGGTTAGAAACCAGCAAACAGCTTATGCATCTTAAATTGGCGTTTGTTGCATAAATTGCTTTTTCGCTGGCTTGGCTTTTTGTAAAAACAATAATAATCATTACGGGTCATCAATCAATCATACATGCAGATACATATTACTAGATCAAGAGGTTGCTGTCTCGTTTAATTCATTTGGGTCTTTTTTGCTCAACACCTTGCGAAGATTGAGGGATTTCATCTTGGCTGATAGACCTTCTTTGTCATCATCTGTTTCACCCTTTTTATCAACCGATTCTTTGGAAAACATTTTTTCCTTCAAACTCGTTCCTTTGATCTTCTTTGTGAATTTGCCGTACGACTCTAAACCTTGTAACATCATCAAACTTCTACTCAATGTGACATGTTCCAAATTCACTCCAGAATCTTGCAGTGAAGCAACAAAGAATCGGAAATGGGCCGTGCCTGCTCGATAATGTCCACTTAAAGGGGAAAGACTGGTAAGATAACCGTCTTTGGCTTTCAGTAAACCTGCTGATAAAACACGTCCTCCATACAAGAATGAACTATGTTGGAATGTACCCGTTTTCTTGATTCCAACAAACAGTTCATGTCGACTATTGTATACGTAAATCCAGGTATTATCCGCAACTGTTTTGCGCAACAGCTTTTCCCAAAAGCCAGCAGGTGTGAAAGACTTCAATCCCTTTTTGGGTTGTGATTCATTACCACCATAATGTCGCGCTCTTTGCTTTGCGTCCTCTTCCTCTTCTGAGTCAAGGCCATCGTCATCGCTGCTACTGCTGCTACTACTAGTATCGTCATCGCGTAACTTGTGTCCTCTCCTAGCAGCTCTTTCTTCGCGTTGACGTCTCAATTCGGCTTTTTCTTCTTCCCCGAGTTCGACAATACCATTTCCATTGCCCAAATCTCTCCAACGGTTCTTTGTTGTGTCAACGTATTTTCCATTTCTACGGAAAACCAAACGACCATCTTTGACGTCAACGATATAATTTGCACGTTTCTCGCTGCTCAGGTATGTCACTTGTTCTTTCTCTAATTGCTCGCGTGGACATTCGGGAAGACTGACATCTTTACCGTCACCCTCATCGAGCCATTTAAAAAAGTTATCTTTGGTATTGCGATCTTCTTCCCAAGCGGCGTGATAGTGCTTCAAATTGCTTCCGTAACGATGCTTCTTGTCCACCATCTCAAGCCAATATTGGGCTTCCATCACTTTACTCAATTCTTGTGCAGGTGCGCCACGGGTCCATTTCTCCACCATTTTGAGACCGTATTGGTTTTTGTGGGCGATACTACGGATATTGTCCACCTTTCCGTTCTCGTTGGCGCCAGGAACATCTCCCACCATTCCTTCGCTCTCTTCCCGCTTCGGTGCGCCTCCTTCACTTCCTCGTCGATCACGCAATGCAGAAGAAAGAGTTGGATCAGGTTCCAAACTTGGACCACCTTCGACAGGACCGGAGTCTTTCTCATCCAACTGTGTTCCTGGACTACCCGCCAATTGTCCGACAAGCACTCCGCCTCTCTTCCACCGGCTTGAAGCATCATTCTTTGATCCATCCTTAGCTTCTTTGTGAGCCCCTTCCAACCGCACACGGCCCATCGCATCTCCCCAACGGGCATCGGGAGAAAGACGCTTACCATCAGCTTCACGTTCGCCGACATATTTGCGATAACCACGTTGGATGACTTTTGCAGCAGCTGCTTCAGAATCATTCTCGGTCTTACTCTCGTCACCTTTACCAGACTTGGAAGCGGTAGCAGCTGCTCCCGCTAATGCTCCGGTACCTGCAGCGGCGCTTCCCGCTTCGACGGCAGTCTTCTTTTGTTGATTCCCTACAGTTGAGCTAGGCCTCCCGTTGGCGGCTTTGTATGTGAGTGTTTGTGTGGCAGTCCACTCTTTACCTTTCTCGAGCCAAGCAAATGATGCAACATGTCCTGGTTCAGCACAAACAAACTCACGCCATCCTCCTTGATGCAAATCTCCCATATCCGAATCAGCTGCTTGACCTGGATTCCAAAGCGTTGTGTCCGGGATCGTCTTGCTGCGTTCCAAGGTGATTTGTGCTTCGCTTTCGTCACCGGCGGATATCGTGACCGTTGGGGCGCTACCTTGATATACACGATCGATCTCTTCATTCCATCCTTGTTCTTCGGCATCATTGGTAGAAATTACTCTACCCGCAATTTTGTCATTATACCCAATACCCTTTAGTCCGCTTGCTTTGGCAGTTGCGGACGGTAATCCGAGGTAAGTGTGGAACAAGGCATGGAAGGGCATAGAATCGTATTTCGAAGTGGACAAATGCTCTACCGTTAACGTTGTTTCTAGGGTATCTTTCGTAAGAGTGACGGTGTGATGGATCTTGAATGGACATGGGAACTTTTCGAGCAGGGCAGGCTCGTCGTCGCTAGACAAGGACATTGTGACGCTTGCCTTGTCTGTGCTCTCCAGCTTCCAATTCCTGTCTCGGCAGAACCCATGGCGGGAACAGTTTTTTATTTGTTCGGGAACATCGCCATGATCTTTAACTTCCCCGAAAACGGGAAATACAAGGGGAATTCCACCTCTGAAAGCTTTACCGGGTTTCGTATCTTTTGATAAAAAGATGGCAGAGTAATCTTTTGAAGTTGAGGAGGCTGGATGCCAACCGATTACGGTTGAACCGAACAAGGCAACGTCTGCCCATGCATCTTCTACTTGAATGCGGAACACTCTGCCATCGTCTTTTTCGTTGATGGATGACATCTTTGCCAGAGTAAGAGTGGATGGAAATGATGATGTTGTGGGTAAAAAGGGATTAAAATTGATTTCTTGGGTGTTTGTGCTTGACAGCGGGGCTTTGTGGATATATCAATCGGCGCTTGTTAGTGTACAAGACAACCGGCGGCTGCCACCTTTTTTTTGGGTTCACCTGTCTACAGTCTTGATGCTGAAAATGCACCCAGAGGATCAGATAGAGTTGCTTTTTTTTTTCTTGTTGTGGTCAGACTGTGGTAAAGTACATTATCTATTGTGGAGACATGTTTAAGTGGTTCAGGAACAGTAAGTTGTGCCTTTGTGCGTACACAAGCTAATATAAGTGGATGGGCGGTGGCAGTGCATATTAGTGTAATACGCGTGCATGTCTTGACAAAAAAAAGTCTGTTCAAGTGGCGCCTGCCTATCAATCGGATAAATATAATGACGTCGTATACATTGCCGAGTAAAGTAGACATGCATTGACACGATCAAAATGTCAAGACTGAAGATAAGAAGATCGGGTGTCCTAACTTAGATTGCCGCATAGCTGTATCCAATCTCTCCGTCTAAGAGGAGCGCGGGAAGGAGAGAAGTTCCCCGTCACAATCTGTAGTCTGGCTTACGCGGGTCAAAGAGCGATACGCGTATGTCTACGCATGAATCGCGTCTTTGCTGCTTATTTTCTCATGCAATGCACCAAATTAGCCGACGCGAGAAGAAAGGTTGGATGATTCCATACATCACAGGTACATGCTCCATTTTGATCTTGACCATCATCAACAACGACGAAAATGTCATCTCGTGGTGGAAGAAAGAGTACAACGACAAGAGCTTCACCGGCTCGTAAGACTGCGACTTCAAAAGCATCAAGTTCAAAGCAAAGTACTGCTTTGGGGTGGAAGTCGATCTCATTGTTGGTGATCGTTGGTTTTGTCGCAATCATTGCGGCTTTAGACAGAATCAGATCGAATTTCTACATCTTCAGTCCAGCAAAACTACACGCAATCAGCCAAAAAGCAGTTGCTAAACATGGAAATGATACCCAAGCCATCTTTGACGATATCCTCGTCGAATTACACGCTGATCCAGCTTTGAAACCTTATTTGAACAAGAACGAAGTCAGAACTCCGTTTGAGTGGATGTTCAACAATGCAGGTGGTGCAATGGGATCAATGTACCTAATTCATGCTTCCATTACAGAATATCTCATCTTCTTTGGCAGCCCAGTCGGAACAGAAGGTCATACAGGTCGTCATACAGCCGATGATTATTTCCACATCTTGACGGGTGAAGAACGTGCTTATGCTGCAGGCGCATTGGTCCCTGAAATTTATGGGCCAGGCACACAACATCATTTACGCAGAGGAACGGTGAAGCAATACATGATGCCTGAAAGTGGTTGTTTTGCCTTGGAATTGGCTCAAGGTTGGATTCCACCTATGCTACCATTTGGATTGGCAGATGTCATCTTTTCTACTTTGGACTTCCCTTCTTTTGCTCAAACTGTTTGGATCACTGCTCGGGAAATGGTTGGAAACTTGTTTATCGGGAAATTTTAGGGGTTCTTCAAAAGGATGGTAGTGCAATTCTGTAGTTTACATAGACCTGCTTAAAAATACAAATTAATCTCATGCTTCATTCTTTGTTTTTTCGGTAGAAGTGCCAGTATCCACAGGTAGTCGGACAAGCGTATCTGGAACTTGTTTTTGCTCGATCGTTACATCATCTTGTGTCATTTGTTTGCTCAGCATCGATTGTCGTGCGATTTGCATTGCTCTGAATACGCCTGACCAAGAAGACATGACCGATGCGACAGCTGTGGGGGAAAGAGATGGTGAGCAGTTGTCTGAGTTATACGTTAATGGGATACCCACCTTCACCTCCTTCAACAAGTGCATCGACATTATCGCCCAACTTCTCAATATCTCTTGCCAATCGAGCAGATTTTTCTTTCAGCATAAGCAATCCTTCCAATTCTTGTCGTTTTGCTTGTAGCCTTGCAGATGCAGATCCTCCACCCTGTCCTGGAACGAACGATTGTCGTTGCTGTGAGTCGGCAATGAAGATTGAAGGTCTTGAATTCAGTTCATTTTGAGGATAATAAGATTGTCTAGACATGACCGTGTTGGTTGTGTTGATTGTGGATTGCCATCAGTAGAATATACGCGTCTCACTGTAATCGTGTATACTTACTTACTCTGCCGCACTAACGAAAGAAGAAAAATCAAATCTCATGCTCGAGCCACTTGGTGCTTTTTTCCCTTCTTCCAACCTTCATCACCTTTGCTCAACTGGTGGACAAGATGGGTACTACAAAAGGACCTGAAGGATTATCGCTTCGATGGGTAATCGTAATCGGAGTCGCTGTTCGTTTGGCATTCTTTTTCTTGCCTTCGTTGGATTTTGTGCCTTCGATCCTTGAAAGAAGACCGGAATTGAGCACGCCAACGACCTCATATATGGCAGTCAAGGAAGCATTGTATCTGCAAAAAGTCTACAAATCTTCAACTGGTACGCTGCCACCACCATATCAATCGGGCAATCTGTATCTTCCACCAATAATATTGAGATATCTCGAACCAATCTTGAGCAGGACAGGTAACACTGCAAGTTCCTTTCATATCACAACGGCTCTCATCTGGAGCATAGCAGACGCCATCACTGCGATACTGCTCGCAAGTATTTACGTCAAAAAGCAAAAATACCTCAAACGAGTCCATGCTTCTCCGGATCAGGCTCAATTGGATACTTCCATGTTGGCAGGTTCAGCTCTTTCTTCCGCAGGCGGAATAGCAGCTTTCTTCTTATTCAACCCATTCAGCATTGCTACATGTTTGGCAAGATCAACAACGACATTTAACAATCTCGCATTGGCATTGGCCATCAGCTCAGCACTATCTGCTTCGCTCGTGATGCTTGGCTTAGGGATAGTGTCTGCCATACTCATTTCGGTATATCCAGTCCTTTTGGTTCCTGCGATAACGATTCTTTATGCAATGAGCGCTTCCTCAAACACCACTCACAACAGATCTGGCAAGCAAACATGGTCCAAAGGTCAAGCGATCATCTGTCTCTTCTTCATTGCTGCAACACTGGCGCTCTTCGTATACGTAAGCTATGAGGTGAGCGGCAAAGATTGGACTTTTATTGATCGTGCTTATGGCACAATCTTATTCCTTCCGGATCTGTCACCGAATATTGGATTATGGTGGTACTTCTTTATCGAAATTTTTGATCACTTCAGAGACTTTTTCCTGTTAGCCTTCAACGTGCATGTGGCAAGCTATGCAATCCCACTTACGATCAAATACAGACAAGATCCGCTATTTGCAATTACCGCATTGACAGGATTGATTGCTGTTTTGAAAAGTTATCCAACGCTAGGAGATTCATCGATGTTTTTATCATTATTGATTTTACACAGAGAGATTTCACCTTATTTACGACATTCCTTATTTACCACTTTGCTTTATACCCTTGCCACTTTGATGATGCCAGCTTTGCATCACCTTTGGCTTCAAGCAGGAAGTGGAAATGCAAACTTTTTCTATGCTTCTACACTTGTTTGGGCTTTGGCAGGAGGATCATCGGTTTTAGACGCAATGTGGGCATGGGGAAGGTGGAGATGGGAAACGGAAAGAAAGCGGGATGCGAGTGGGAATGCAGATCGAATTGCAACGCAGATTGGCAAAAAGAAAGAAGATGTTGTGCTTCATAGAAAAGTTATACAAGCTTGAATGATTGTTAGCAATGTACAATATTATCTTCATCAACCATTTGTACGAATAGGAAATCGGAGTACGGAAGTTTGACTTAAAATTAAATGTTGAACTAGGATATATACTATCTATAGTAATTAAGCTTGTGGCTACTCTGATTCTGAACCAGTAATGATAGGTTTCCTACTTCTCTTCTTCTTAGCCTGTAAGATGTTTCTAGGTGTAGGAATATGCTCTCCCGCTCTAGTGGGGATAGTAGGGTTAGAAAGCTAGGCAGTCCTAATATTGATAAATACACTCACCTGATTCTGGCTTTCCGCTCACGTTCCCTTTCCGCTTTCTTGTCGTACCATTCACTTCTCTCCTCTGGCTTCATGTTTTTCAAAAATTTCTTCCGCGTTGCGTATTGTCTACTGTTTCTTGCTATTTTTTCGCTTGGGGTAAGATTGTGATAATGATTCCTTTGTGCTTCTCTAGCCTTTTCTCTCTCAGCAGGGTCCTTGAAAAAAGGAATGATGGTTAGTCGAGATTATTTCATTTTCCTTCCTATCACTCACTGCAGCATAGTATCTCATCTTTCTTCTTTCTCTCCTTTGTTGTACGTTATCTAAATCATCCCAGTGTTTACAGGAAGGCGTGTGAGGATTACAAAGTTTATTGCCTCTATCTCTGAAAATCTTTGCCTTTCCTCTCCTTTGTTTGACATATACCATTTTTAACAATACATCTTGTTCATCATGTTTATCGATTTGTCTAGGTTTAGTGATTAACGTTCTTAGCTTTTTTGGACTGTTTGTTGGTGTTTCGATTTGCTGGAGATCATGATGTTCTTGAATCGGCTTTGTCTCTACAGTTCTTTTACGCTTGTTTCCCCATGCGGATAAACTTGGTCCATGATAAACAGATGTATGCTCTTCTCCATTCTCTGCTTCTTTTGAAGAAATGCTGTTTTGCTTATAGCTCTTATTGAGATCCCAAGAGAAAGCTTGTTTTGGTGTAGAGGAACTTTGATCACTGTTTTCTGCCGAAGTAGAGGTAGAAATTACCGTGATGACAACAGATAACAGAACCCACAATGAGATCAACATTTCTTCAAGGTGGTTGGTGTGTCAAAAATGAAGACGAAGTTAAACGTAATTCAGTATTTTAAACTCCGAATTGGAAAGTTTGAATTTGCGTACGTTTTGCATCTCATGGCAAATGTATCGCTTTCCTCCGACTGTATCATTACCTGTTCATATCACAACGGTAGCCCCGCATGTGTACGTCCCGAAGAATAACTTTTCATGATGCAATAATGAACAGATAGATCTTTTCGATGAATTAGTACAAATACAAGCAAAAATACAGGGTATGAATTTTAAGCATAAGGATCCCGCTTAATTTCCGCACTGGTGTTCGCTGCATCTTTTGCAGCGATTGAATCTTCATTTGCCTCTTCTTCCACCCAAGCTCCGTTCAAATCGGGAGGCAGTTCATGCATTTGAACACTAGGTGCACCATGCAGATATCTCAACTGCTCCAAGCATTCCCTCCGTATCTTTTCCAAACTTGCCCGTGAATTGGTATTCTCTACCCGTGTTTGCAACGGTTCATGCAGTCTATAGGTCGGAGCAAAGTACTCCAGATATGGTGTCGTTGGCAATTGATCCGGAACATCGCATCCAGTCAAGACTGCAGTCTCATATGTCCAACATCTCGCAACGTTACGGATCGTGTACCCGCCTCCTCCCAAAACCAACGTAGGTAAATTGAATGATTTCACGAATCGGACACATTCTCCATGCGCTGCAATGCTCAAATTGAAGCAACCCAGCCTGTCAAGACCTAGTGAATCAGCCCCGCATTGCAGTACAATTGATTCTGGTCGAAAAGTTGTGATACTCGGCTCAATGATTGATTTAAACAGGGCAACGTATGCACTATCATCAATGCCATCTTGTAGCGGCACGTTGAGACAAAAGTGTTTCCCTATTGCCGTTCCGATCTCACTCAATGCACCCGTGCATGGGAAAAAATCGTTGCCGTATTTGTGAAAAGAAACTGTCAAAACTCGGTTGGAATTGTAGAATGCTTCTTGAACTCCATCACCATGATGGATGTCAATGTCAATGTACAGTACCCGCGGATGGTACCGCAACAGTTCTTGAATTGCTAGCACGATATCATTCACGTAACAGAACCCACTTGCTTCTTGCTTTTTCGCATGATGCAATCCACCACTCCAATTGATTGCAATATCCGTTTGACCGGATACGAGTTTACGTGCGGCTGCTAAACTGGCACCTGTGTATGTTTTGCAAAAGTCATACATCCCATCGAACACTGGGCAGTCATCTGCAAAGTTGAATCTAGTGAATGCGGCTGAAGGTGGAGTGGATGGTGTGACTGTGCTTAGGAATTCGATATAATCGCTATCATGAAACCATTCCAGCTCTTCCCGAGTTGCTTGCCTTGGGGTATAGCATTTCATCTGATCGTGCAAGCCGTAACCGAGTACCAGCCTATTGGTTAGCGTTAGCCGTGCTGGTTTCATCGGATGTCTTTCGCCATAATGATATTCTCCTACACCTTTTGGGAAATAATAGCAAACACGCGGATTGGAATGTGGTTGAATATGTGGTGCATCTTCTTGAACTGCTTTTCCCGCTCCTGATGCCAGATTTCCGTCAAAGAAGAAAGGTGAATCGGAATATGTGTCGTATTGAAGTACGACCATTCTGATTCACCACAGATTGTTCAGGGAAGCGGATGGAGATTGTTAATGAAAAGTCAATCTGTAAGGTTAGGAACGATTAAGCTTTTACGCCTAACGCCAAATGTGGATAAATGCGTACGCCGTATTCCGTCGATCAAGCGTTAGCGCTTACACATTTTTTTTTCTTCTAAACCTTCTTAATTTTTGCTTTCATTTCCGATCGAGAACTCTGATGGGGGAAGGATGTCGATATGATAATACAACGATTACGGATACTGAAGCATAGTCCTTCTTTGAGAGGCATCGAAAGGCTTCAACTGACGTCATGCCGAACGTATGCAACGGTCTCCAACGAAAAGCCAAAAAAGGATGATCGATGGTCCTCAACGTTACACCTTCCAAAGACTAAATTTCAAATCCGTCATGACATTCCCACAAGTGAAGCATATTATCAACAGAGAACAACAACGGAGCTCTACAAATGGCAAGCTGCCCAAAGTGATCGACCTGCATTTGTACTGCATGATGGTCCTCCATATGCCAATGGCTCCTTGCACGTTGGTCATGCGCTCAATAAAGTTTTGAAGGACGTCATTAATCGATATCAAGTCTCGATAGGAAAGAGAGTACATTATGTACCCGGTTGGGACTGTCATGGTCTTCCAATCGAAAACAAAGTGTTTGGAGGGGAGGAATTCCATGGTCTTTCACCCAGAACGGCACCTCCAGACAAGGTTCGTGGGAAAGCAAGGGAATTAGCAAGTGATGCAATGCAGGAACAATTGAACTCTTTCAAAATGTATGGTATTATGGCTGATTGGAGTTCAGAGACGACATATAGAACATTCGATAAACAATACGTGCGTAGGCAGATGAGAATCATGCGGGAAATGGTTCGAAGGGGACTCATCTATCGTGCTCATAGACCGGTATATTGGTCACCTTCTTCTCGATCAGCTTTGGCTGAAGCAGAGATAGAATATGATGAAAACTATGTGAGTTCATCCGCATACGTCAAATTTCCTCTCATTGCAGGCCCGACACTGTTGAAAAAGGCCAATGATTCCAAGAAAGCTTTGGCGGGAATACAAGAAGGAACGAACATCATCATTTGGACAACAACACCATGGACACTTCCTTCCAATATGTCCGTTAACGTGAACCCATCTCTCACTTATTGCATCGTTCGAGCAAAAGCAGGTCCTTGTGATGGCGACTATCTGCTCATTGCAAAGGATCGCATACCAAACTTCGAAAAGCTAAAGATCGGACTGAACTCAACAGGTGCAAGTGGACGGCCTGTTCTAGGCGATTTGGAGATTTTGTTGGAATTTCAAGGCACGGATCTGATCGACTCAACATACCGTCATCCTTTCTTGCCGAGCAACGAAAGCGCCCGGCCAATCATTGCAGCGAGCTATGTCACCGCAGATTCCGGTACCGGTTTGGTGCACAGTGCTCCTGGACATGGTAAAGACGATTACAATGTTTGGCAAGAGTACTGTCAGACCAACCCGAAAGCAGCGCAGGAAGCTATCATCTCACCTGTTGATGATTCCAGCTGCTTCACAAAAGATGTGCGAAAGTTGATTGGAAAGTCACGAGATAACGAACTGATGGGCTTGCCTGTGCAATCAGAGGGCACAAGACAAATTATTAAACAGCTGTACAACAGCTTCGATCTTTTCACCGAAATTCGATACCAGCACAGATACCCTATCGATTGGCGTACATCTCAGCCGGTCATTGTGAGATGTACTTCTCAATGGTTCGCAAATTTGGAGGCGATCAAGGAGAAAGCATTGGCAGCGTTGGATAATGTCACCTTTTCACCAGCCTCAGGGAGGGGACGATTAGAGGCGTTGATACGGAAACGGAATGAATGGTGCATAAGCCGACAACGTGTTTGGGGTGTGCCCATTCCGGTGGTCTACAATATGGAGAATGATGAACCTTTGTTGTCGATTGAGAATATGGAGCACATCGAAAACGTGCTCATGGAAAGAGGAATAGACTACTGGTGGCAAGGAGATGCAGAGGAGTTTGTCATTCCTTCTGAGCGTAAAGGTGGTATCAAATGGCGCAAGGGCCAGGATATTGTCGATGTATGGTTTGATAGCGGCTCATCCTGGAGCCTTTTGCCGGAAGCGCAAGATTCATTTGATAAAGATGGAAATCTCACGATCCCCAATGCACCGATTGCAGACCTCTACCTTGAAGGAACTGATCAGCATCGAGGCTGGTTCCAGTCATCCTTGCTAACGTACATTGCCATGGCCGATTCCGATTCTCCTTCTGCGCCTTACAAGAATGTGGTCACACATGGATTCATTATTGACAGGAAAGGCGACAAGATGTCAAAGTCTCGAGGAAACGTATTGTCACCGCAAGTCATAATTGAAGGAGAAGGAACTAGATACGGTGAACCACCCTACGGAGCAGATGTACTTCGATTTTGGGCAACTCGTGGTGACCCGCAAACCGATGTCAGAATTTCGCCTTTGATCATCAAAAAGGCAGCTGAGGGGATGAGAAAGTTGCGCAATACTTGTCGATTCATCTTGGGATCGATTCCCCCTGCTGGACAAGGACCTAAGTTGCAAAAAGAGCAAATGGATATCCTAGATCGATACATCCTTAATAGATTGTTGGATTTGGACGAATCTTGTAGAAAAGCATATGACTCTTTCGACTTCGCCCAAGTTGTTCGAAGGGCTAATGATTTTTGCACTACAGATCTTTCTAGTCTATACATGGATATTGTCAAAGACAGACTGTACTCTGACACGCTGGACAGCACCAGAAGACAGACCACCGTTGCCATTTTGGATCAAGTTTTGCGTACGATCGTCTCCATTCTGGCACCCATCGTGCCACACATGGCTGAAGAGATTCACCAATTCTACATCGGTGAAGAGAACACAGACCAGAATGAGTCTGTATTTAAAGTCGGTTGGCAAAGCGTTCCCGAAGAGTATCGGGATATTGAAGCAGAGAAAGAATGTGGAGAATTGTTGGCGTTCCGATCAGATCTCTACTCAGTACTTGAAAAAGGTCGTCAATCCAAGGTATTGACCACATCTTTCGGAGTGGATGTAGACATTTGTACAGAAGAGGACAGCTCTTTCAAAGCAACATTGGAAAAATACGCGGACACACTTCCGGATTTGTTGATGGTATCTCATGTCAATGTGCACGATGCAATATCATCAGACACTCAAACAGAGGGAGACTTGAACCTACAAGGGGAACATCGAGGTGTTCGCTATTCGCTTCGATCGTCAAGGGGGACAAGATGCCCACGTTGTTGGACATATCGCAAAGAAGCCGAAGAGGCTACGCTTTGTGGCCGTTGTGAGAAAGCGGTTAGCGGTCTGCATTAGTTGTATTTTATTTATAGAAACAATAAAGAGTATGAGAATGATCGAGGTATGTCTAACGAAAGTAGGAAACCGCTCGAAAAAAATACCGTGAGAGATTTTACAGGAAAATAAGGTGTAGGAGAATATCATTATGGCGAAAGACATCCGATGAAACCAGCACGGCTAACGCTAACCAATAGGCTGGTACTCGGTTACGGCTTGCACGATCAGATGAAATGCTATACCCCAAGGCAAGCAACTCGGGAAGAGCTGGAATGGTTTCATGATAGCGATTATATCGAATTCCTAAGCACAGTCACACCATCCACTCCACCTTCAGCCGCATTCACTAGATTCAACTTTGCAGATGACTGCCCAGTGTTCGATGGGATGTATGACTTTTGCAAAACATACACAGGTGCCAGTTTAGCAGCCGCACGTAAACTCGTATCCGGTCAAACGGATATTGCAATCAATTGGAGTGGTGGATTGCATCATGCGAAAAAGCAAGAAGCAAGTGGGTTCTGTTACGTGAATGATATCGTGCTAGCAATTCAAGAACTGTTGCGGTACCATCCGCGGGTACTGTACATTGACATTGACATCCATCATGGTGATGGAGTTCAAGAAGCATTCTACAATTCCAACCGAGTTTTGACAGTTTCTTTTCACAAATACGGCAACGATTTTTTCCCATGCACGGGTGCATTGAGTGAGATCGGAACGGCAATAGGGAAACACTTTTGTCTCAACGTGCCGCTACAAGATGGCATTGATGATAGTGCATACGTTGCCCTGTTTAAATCAATCATTGAGCCGAGTATCACAACTTTTCGACCAGAATCAATTGTACTGCAATGCGGGGCTGATTCACTAGGTCTTGACAGGCTGGGTTGCTTCAATTTGAGCATTGCAGCGCATGGAGAATGTGTCCGATTCGTGAAATCATTCAATTTACCTACGTTGGTTTTGGGAGGAGGCGGGTACACGATCCGTAACGTTGCGAGATGTTGGACATATGAGACTGCAGTCTTGACTGGATGCGATGTTCCGGATCAATTGCCAACGACACCATATCTGGAGTACTTTGCTCCGACCTATAGACTGCATGAACCGTTGCAAACACGGGTAGAGAATACCAATTCACGGGCAAGTTTGGAAAAGATACGGAGGGAATGCTTGGAGCAGTTGAGATATCTGCATGGTGCACCTAGTGTTCAAATGCATGAACTGCCTCCCGATTTGAACGGAGCTTGGGTGGAAGAAGAGGCAAATGAAGATTCAATCGCTGCAAAAGATGCAGCGAACACCAGTGCGGAAATTAAGCGGGATCCTTATGCTTAAAATTCATACCCTGTATTTTTGCTTGTATTTGTACTAATTCATCGAAAAGATCTATCTGTTCATTATTGCATCATGAAAAGTTATTCTTCGGGACGTACACATGCGGGGCTACCGTTGTGATATGAACAGGTAATGATACAGTCGGAGGAAAGCGAGTCAACTTATATTATCTCTTTCGCTGATCTCAGCGACTACATACAAGTCTCTCAAGGATCAGTTCCGCGAGGGAAGAGAATCCCGCCTAAAATTATCCGGCCGAATATTACGCGCTTGTTTATATTCTTTAAATTTTTTAAAAACTAAGAAGCGTGCAACCGTTCTTATGTTTTTTAATTACTAAAAAATGATAAAAACAAAAAAGAAAAAGATTGGTTGCAATGGGATTCGAACCCATGAGTCTTTCGACACCAGGACAGGTTTCACTGCTATCAGCGAAAGTTGGCGGAACTTGAATCTGGCCCATTAACCAACTTTGGTATGCAACCTGCTGCTTGGAAGGGGGCCACATTTTACACAATATATCCCGCACGTATTTACGCGCGCGGAAAGCCACTAGAGCAGTGCCTTACATAACCTCCGAAGCGGAATAAACAAACTGAAAGAAAACAAACAAACAAAAATCGAATAGACCATGAGATAAAATTCTATCAATATTTGTACAGTTAATAGATCCGTTCTATGACGAAAAGGCAGAGGTGCTTAAAAAAGATTCCTCTTCCTTTTTGACTGCCGGCTCTTCCTCTTTTTTTACCGATCTTTTTCCTCTGCCAAAAAAGCCTGCTTGCGCAAGAGGGCATTTTACAGATTCATACTTATTCTTCTGATCAGTATTTGCTTTGACGTCATTTCCCCAATCTTCCTTTTTGATGCCCGAAATAACACTCATTCCCTCTTTTTCCCATTCCGGTGAAGCATAACGATCCGTTGCGAATCCTCTTGCAGAACAAGCTGCACATGCCTTTCCATGTTTAATCAATAGAACATGTAAAGCATACTTTAATTCATCGGGAATCCGAGCTGCCAAGTGGTAGTATGTTTGATCTCTTGTAGCTTTGTCGGGAACCCAACCTAACTTCCGACAAAGTCTATGAACGTGTGTATCAACGGCCATCTCGGATAAACCTAATGCAAACATTGCAACACAAGAAGCCACTTTAGGTCCTACTCCATTAAATGATACTAATTCTTCCATAACCGTTCTAGCATCTGCTCCGTGTAAGTGGTTAAGGGAGAGTTTTCCATGTGTTTCTAATGTCTGCTTTAAGACACCCTGTATAGTTTTTGCTTTGTTGTCCTGTAAGCCACCACATTTAATTGAAGCGGCTACATCAGCATGTTTTGCATCTAGAATCGCTTGCCAATTACACTTTCCAAAAGTATCACATAAGCTCTTATGAGCCGCTCTTGAATTTGCACCTGATGTATTGCAGCTTAAAATCGTTCGAACGGTTGCGTCTAAAACGTCTGAAACATCTCCACATCCTCCATAACGATCATCACCTTTTGGAGATTGCTTTTTAGGTATTGTTTTATATCCATGTGCTTCGGTTAAAATTTCTGCAACTTGTCTTGCTTCTTCTTTACTCGGTTTATTCCATTGCGGGAATGGTTCCGTTGCTAAACTTTGTCGTAGCGAGGCTAATTTTCGTTCAGATGTTGTCATTGGTTCTTTTTTTGCTCGTTTAGGCGTTCGTGGAGATTGTTCTTCTTTCTTGACTTTTCCGTTAGGTGTCGCAGGTGGTGTTATTGGCATATTCCGATCATCATCTTCCGCTTTGACTCTTTTGCGTGGTGAACTGGACTGCTTTGAGGGTTGACTCAATCGTGATGACCTCCTCGTCGCTGTCATGGCTGGGTATAGAGCTTGGCGCAATGAGACTATACGTGGGAATAGGAACGAGTGACAGGGCCTTAACACAGGTCGCAATAGACCGCTTAGATAGGATGGAATGATGGCAATTTTCAATGTGAGTGTATGGATAGAAGGATGAATGCACACGACAATTATACTTACTCCACACATTAATGTATGCTGACATGAGCAAAAAAGTTGACATCTTCTAGCGCGGAGCCGCGCTTGCGCCCGTTGTCAATTCATAACCTAAATTCTTCATGATGGGAGGCCTTTGCTTCCTTTGATTGATCACATTTATGATATACATGCAATCAGACCATAACAATACCAGTTCCGCTTCCCATCTCCGCTTTCGGCAGAGACTCTTGTAATTTTCTCACCCGGTCACCTTCGCTAAGTGAAGCACCGGAAGCCTTTGCTTCTTTTTCCGCCATCAATTTGGCATACTGCACAACTGGATCCAATTCCGCTTCTCCGGGTCTAGCACCCATTCCTCCCGCAATTGGTCGAATACGCCAATTAAACAAATAATGTCGCAAGAATCCATCTCCCGGTCCAAACAATTGATCAGTCAGGAACAAAGGATTATCCATCACGGTTAAACAATTCAAAACATCAAAGCCGTTGTTCCTTGCCAAGATAAGCATGTCGTGTACCAATTCGTTCAGCCTTTGCTTTAACTTGGTTTTTGATTCTTTGCTTTCGTGTAACCAATTCGTAATGTTCTGTTCATCTTCTTGTTCCGCACTGTTAAGATGGGTCTTGTGAAGATTCGATGAGGAAGTGGATGAAGATGCATTGGCTGCGACGGTAGGTGCTTCTTCAAAAGCGGCATCTGTAGCGTAGTAGAAAAGATACGCAGCTTCCAAGATTTGATGTTTGTCGCTGTCCAAGATTGAGGATGGCAAGCTATAAAATGAAATCATATCGGTAATCTTGCCGTTGTTCTCAACAACATACGTCCAGGTAACCTGCTTCCGACCTTCCCCAGCTTTTCCACTCAAGAGGAGATGCGCAACTTCATCATCGGAGAAACGCGCTGCCATATCAAATCTTTTCATGTATCGTCTCATAAGTTTACCCACTGCGGGAATATCTTTTGCTTCTATTTCCCGCAATCCAGGCACTTTCGTCGTGTCGGGAAGCGAGTATTGTCTGATGTATGCTTCCCGACTTTGGCCAGGTCTGAGCCCGCTGAAACCGATGTCCAACAATTTTTGTGCATTTATCGTGCGATGGTAATATCGAGCGCAAGCGATCGGAGTTGGGATCACGATTCCACCAGTGTAGATTGCTTGGAAGATGCCAAGGAGATGGCATTGACGAGTAACTTCCTTGATCAGAACTGGGGTCAGTCTCTTACTCCTTAGCTTCTTGTGAACGCAAAGGAAGTTCACCTCTGCAGAAGGATAAGCTTGTTCACGCACTCTCAACTCGTGTGGGATTGCGGAAATGAAGGCGACCAACTTTCTGGTATTTTTGACTCGAACCCCGACATGCCATGACTTGTGATAACCTGGATGCTTCAAAACCCAGTTCAAGAATTCGGGAGAATAGTTGAACCTCAAGCTAGAATCAATATCCTCAACGTAATTTGCGGACAACAGATCGTAAACTTCCCGCAATTCGGTAGAGTCATCGATATCGATAGGTGACCATTCGAACTCGCTAGGAAGCGGGTAAGGTTCTTGTCGAACTTGATCACGAGTGACATTGGGCTCAATTGGTCCTTCGGAATCATCTGTTAGGAGTGGTGCATCTGTTGGTTTTGTGACTGGTTGCGTTTTCCAGAATTTATGCTCTGCCAATGTTTTGTATTGTTTCTGTTTTGCATCATGATCTTTCAGCATTGCCGTTCGTTCCAAATTCATCATTTTCATCAATTTTTCCAATGTTGCTCTATCTGCTTTCGCAGCTGCTTGTGGACCTTGCTCTTTTGCGATTGCATCTTGCAAGTTCTTGACATCGTCATCCGTTAGCATCTTTTCGGGAGCAGATGACGAACCTGCGCCTCCTGCATCACCTGCGCCCAGACCTAGCTTCTTTCTCAATTTAGCAGCAGCTTTACTCTTCTTTTTCTTCTTTTGTTTCGAGGTCAGCTTCTTCTCTTCTGTGCCCTGTTCTGGCTCATTGCCATCTTCTTCCTCTCCATCATCCTCTTCGTCCTCTTCATCTTCTCCGGCAATTGCGGCTTGATTTACCGGTTCTTTGCTTGCTTCAACAGCATTTACTGCGCTTGGAATCTCTTTTCCCTCTTTTGCCGACTCAGCAGGCTTAGAGGTAGGAGCCGATGACATTCTTGTAGGAATACGAGCGAGATGGTAGGATAAGAGGAGGAAGATAGCACTCTATCGGCCCGTGCATGAGGAGGACATTCAGTGTTGTAGTATCACGTGTGTTGATCTCTTTGCTTTTAAGCCAACTACACGTGTGTTGAGAAGGAGAAAAAAAGAGTTCGGCTAAAATGTCAAAAGTGGAAAATTATACCACACACGCGCGTTACTCAATCAATCCTCTTCTCACTCCCATCTTTCGATCACCCTATGTCATGAACACTATGTGAGTATCACTCTTCAACTTCTTGCTTTCTGTGATGATTTTCTCCTCCTTTCCCCGGCCTATACGACCATGCCGAGACGACAAGGACAGCTCGATTCGCTATCGTGCAACTTTTTCATTCTTTTGTGCATGCCAGCACATCTTCGTCTGATTTCACGTTGTTCTTTTGAATCTTTGTGCTGACAGTAATGCTTTTCATCTACAGATAACCACAACCATTCCGGTACGTATCCTCTCAAAGTCATCTCTTCTCTGCATACTCCGACGATGAAAAATCTGGTATCCAGCCAATTCGCAGTTTCCACTCTAGGGCCCATTTGGCATTGCATTTTGCGGTGGGGCATAAAGTGGCTCCTGACGGACAAGAGACTTAAATGAGAGCAGTCCAACGTCTTTTGACGTGGTCATCGGTACGAACCCTCTTGTGCAAGCAAGAGCGCCGCTTGGCCAGTGGCTGTGATCGCCTAGTCGTTTGTATTGACTGTTGGTCGTAGCCTGCCTTGGCCTGATGAGGGTTTGTCGACCTTCCTTGGAAGTCTGAGGGGTATAATTGCGAGAAACTTTTTGAAGAGATTGTGAGCAATCTTTGCTGACCTCTTTTTCATCTGAACAATTCTAATAGAGGAATAGTCTAACAAACAACACAATCCGTAAGTGTCTTTTTCCGTCATCCCTTCTACCCGCACGATTGGCTGTCAACCAATGATGAGCGTCCCACGGGACAACGTACCATTAGCCCAGGAAGAGCCGTCGTGAGCGTGTCGGTCTGCGTGCTTTTTCGTTCGTCTGTGCTATGCATGGGTCTGTTTCTGTCGAAAGTACGCCTCCGAATTCCCCACAAATGCATCTGTTGAGCCCTTTGCGCTCCGAATGCATGGGTTGAGTTTAGGGATGTACGATTAGGAGAAGTAGATAGGACGAAACGGTGCCGCGATGTGCTAGGTCGAAAACAGGTCAAGCTGATGACAGCCTTGGGATGCATAGAATGAACAAGTGTATTAATCTTTTTCATATGTTCCTTCCCTTTCAGAATATGTCTTTTCTACTGAAAAGAGTGCCATTCGGCCAAAGAATGCTGTCACAGGTACAAGGACTTCGATGGAATTCAACACTTGCATCAGAGACCAATGCCACAGTATCCACTGGAAACACAACGCATTACCGTATCACGTTGAGAAGATCTGCTATTGGTATGCCCTCTCATACCAGAAAGGTTCTCGAATCGATGGGATTGCGTAAACGTTTACAGAGCATCTACAGGCCCAAGAGAGCTGATATTGCGGGTATGGTATTGGCAGTGAAGGAATTGGTTCATGTAGAGAATGTGCGTAGACTCGATGGAGGAGGATGGCAACCACTATCCAACAACCAGTTTCATCCAGTGAAGGCTGACGAGGATGCGATTTGGGTCAATGAAAAGAATGAATTTGTTAGTTGGGGAGGCAAAGAATCGTATAAAGCGCCTCGAGGATATTCAGTTGTTGGTAATCTTATCAACGAGAAACGTCACCGTGAAATCCTTGCATCACGTTTAGAGTGACTTGTGTTTTTTTTTGTATTCTACTACTATGTAATGTATTTTATCATACCCCTTCCTGCCAAGATGGTAAAGGCATTAATTGTTAGCAAGTGCGTATCGGCAATAAGCAAAAGGAAGACAATCGGCGTGGCTATATTTAACTTGAAATTTTCCGCATAGAAGTATTCCATGCATATTTGATGCCTAAAACAGAGGGCGCAGTTCAACGCAGCTCATTCTTCATTGGCACACGCGCAGCCCACGCGTAACGACGGCACCGGAATTGCAGAAATTAATACGCCTGCTAAATAAAAAGGGGTGAATTGGGTGAAATCATGCCTAAGCCGCTTACGTCTTTGACTAGAAGGGCTGAATGGAAAAGGCACACACACACGCACAAGCACAGTTGGACGCGTATGTATGAAGATTGGTATTTATAAATCGAAAAAGAAAAAAAGCATCTTGACAGGATATCAAAAGACTGATATCGTGCTTAAATGAAAATTATGCCTTTTGCCCTTGTTTTCTGGGCGTCTCAAAGTACTTTCTATGGAAAACCTTTTTTGCGTGTGGGTTGCCGAACCACCCCCATCACTTCCTGCTCCTTTCCCCAGCTTCTCGATTATTATTCACCGATAGAGAATAATCACACAAAAGATTACGGTTGATATCGTTGAGAGAGAGAAAGGCGATACACACACACACACACACACACATTTTATACTTCCTCTTTTGCATCGCATCCGGCTCTCAATTGGCACCCTTTCCAACCACATTCGCTACTTTCATTCCAACACGCTCGTCTCGATCTCATTACAGCAACAATGTCCGCAATCTACTCCGTCTTCACTTCTCCAAACCATCCGCCAGTACCAAATCATTTACCAACTTTGATCGTCACACCGGTGAACAATCCTCACCATGTTTTATACTCGTATATCCACACATCATTCAACCAAGAGACCTATTTGCTCACACCATCTCCACAAGGTGATTTGTGTGTTGCAAAGATGGTCCCTCCTCAAGGTTCTCGTGGCCCAGGCGGTCCAGGAAATATGTCAGATTCAAGTCATTCCTCCGATCCAAGTAGAGACAAAACTGTTCGTTGTGAAGCTTCTAGAAATTTGAAATGGTCCATCACAAACACTGGTATTCATGCACCCGTGTACAAATTGACATTGCCCAATCCAGACGCCCCAGGAAATGAACAACCTCTTTTCCAAATCTCCAAGCCAAATCCCAATGCAACTTTCTGGACAATGTTCTACTTTACCTATGCCGGACATCTTATTCCACCTAAGCGAATTGAATTTGGAAAGATTCAAAAGAATTCTGCTACCGGTGGTGGAGGTGGAACAAGAGTTTCTATAACGGGTAAAAGTGAAGAAGAGAAAGCTGTTTGGCAAACATTGGGAGAAGGGAATGAGGATATGGTGGAATGGATCGTTTTGTGTGCAGCTTTGAATTTATTGGATGAGGAGATCATTAAAGCTGCTGAGAAAGCATCTGGTGGTGGATCAGTGAATGGAGTCAATAAACGCTCTGTTCCCTCTAGCAGACCGCAAGGAAATGGTGTTCCAGGTATGCAAATTCGTCAAACGAAGGGTAACGCTCCTGCTCCTTTCCGACAAGGACAACAAGCGGCGCAACAACAACGAATGCCTATGCCTCAACAACCACAACAAAGGCAACTTCCTCCTCATTTGAACACGCAACAAGGACAGCCTCGTTCTATGTATCCACCCGGCATGAACGGTCAAGGACCACAAAGACAACCAAGTCCTTACGAAAGAGGGCCCAATTCGCCTGCATCACCAATGGGAGGTTCTGGCTTTCGATCACCAATGGGAGGACCAGGTGCTAGATCACCGATGCCCGGTCAAATGCCAGGACAGATGCCGCCACAAATGCATCAGCAACAGCAAATGCAAAGACCAATGCCACCACAGATGCAACAACAAATGCCCATGCCAAATGGTCAAAATGGATATTATAACGGCGGATCGAGGCCATTTTAAAAAGTTTTTCCCCATTTTTTTTTCTCTTTATCGTCCTCTGTAAATGTAGTTCATCTTTGTACGTTTATAATAATTCATCGCGATCTGTACGGGCTAATGGACATTATTTCACTACATTTGATCGTCACCTCTTATCATCATAAAGAAACGCGGAAAAAGGCTCAAGCGCGGATTGGGGGATTAAATTACCGCGTAGAGGTGCATAATTGGCGTTTTTATACTGTTGTCGTGCACAAAAGTACAACAATGTTATGCAACCGGTTGGGTGTGATAAAGATTACAAAACATTTCCATGTTACTTTCACCATCATCATCATCAACCAAGCACTTCTACTATATTCAACATGACCGGTCATGACTCCGGTCCACCGAAAGAGATTGAAGATTCCGTTTCTGAAATCACAGCACCAACGGCTATGCGTAAATTGGTACTGAATTATTTGATTCATCATTGTTACGTTGATACAGCACAAGCATTTGCAGATGATGGTATCTCATCTTCAACTCAAATAGCCAATGGAGATGAAGCTGGACCTTCAAAAAGTAGGGTGCAGTCATCAAACGGAAAGAGTGGCCACTCACGATCATCTTCTCGTCAAAACGGCAATTCATCTGCTCATCCTCTATCCGCACCTCCATTATCACATGATGATTCATCAATGGAAGTAGAGGTTGACGGGCTTTTATCTTTGGCAGGAGATACTAGCACAGAAAAGGCTCCAAGCGAACTGTTGAAGGAAGGCACAAACGGAAACGAGGAGCTGTCAGCTGAAGATATTCGTAGCATCAAAGCACGAAAGGCGATCAAAGATTGCATCGTTAATGGTCGTGTCAAACAAGCAGTAGAGCTTTGCAATAAGTACTTTCCAACAGTTTTGAATGGATCTGCACAGGATCCGAGTATAATTGGCAAATCAACACAAGAGAAAGAAAGCAACGGAAAGAAGAATAGCTCAGATGTGGAGAGGATCTTACCTGCAAATCCCACATCATTGGATCCAGCACATTTGTCACTCAATCTTCAGATTCAATCATTCATCGAATGCGTTCGAGCTGCATCAGTGAACTCTACCACGTCATTGACCCAAACTATACCCACGATCAACTCCCATCAAGGCACTTCTGCTATGCCAAATATGCATTCAGTCGTATCGAATACACCTGGAATCGCAGCTGCTGCCATCTCTCGTTCAGCTTCGCCAGCACCTTCTTCGGTTTCATCGGCAGGTTCGATCACATCAGGAAATGGAATGAGTGCAAGTATGAACAGTAATGGAGGCTCTTCAGCTGCAAATGATCCTAATCTGATGGGGGCTTTGCAAGGCGCACAAGTTTTATGGGCAGATGTGCAAAAGTTACCGGCATATTGGCGTGCGATGTATTTGAAAGAATTGGAAAGTGTTACGAGCATGTTGGCTTATAGAGATTTACTCAAAAGTCCAGTTGCGAAATATTTGGATCAAAGTAGACGGGTTGCACTTGCAGAACAAATTAATAGTGCAATCATGCTGCGAACAGGAAAACCTTCGCAACCTTTGATCGAATCGGCCGTTCGACAAACAACGTTTTGTTGGCAAACGTTGGCGAACGAGAAAGTGATCTTACCGGCTAATCATTGGATTTTCTCAAGTGGCTCTGTTGTTGGATCGGATGGATTCGAGGGAGGCGTTTCAACGGCCGTCTCTACAGGCGTGAATCCCTCCAACATTGAACGAGCAAAAAAGGCTGGAAAGACACTACCACCTTGGGATCTTCACGGATTTTTACAGGAGCGTTAATTGGTAGGATGTAATACAACAATTCAGGATCGTCACTCATATGTATTTCCCCTTTTCTTCAATATGTTAATGCATAAAGTACTACATGTTCATGATAAAACAGGGAAATCAGCGAAATCTACTTGATCTTGAACCGTTTGACCGGAAGCGGTTGTGAATCCGATTCGTAATCGTAAACGAACTTGTGCTCCTTTAGGTGTCATGACACGCATTTGTTGTGTTTCTTGTGATGATGGGGAAACATTTGCGTTGGAGATTGCTAGCATTTGTAGCTTTTGACTCTTTGGAACGGCTGCTTGGAAATTTACGCCTTGAACCTGCTGTCCCGCTGTTGCTTCGAATTTGGCAGTAATGTTGACGATTTCCGTCCTTCCTGGATTGACGGAAGGAGTGAGTGTGATTTTGAGCCCATTCTTGTCGTATGCTGTGTATGCCTTGGCTGTAGATGATGGAGGTGCTGCTGCAGCTGGGGGTGGCGAAGCGGCTGCCGGTCTTGATGGTGCAGCAGATGAAGGTGATCCCAGTCCCAGCATGTCCAAACCATCCAAACCAGATTGATTGGAGGAAGATTGTGGAGGAGGGGAGGATAATCCAGCAAATGCATTGCCTGATGCAGCCGGTGCAGAGGCAGGCGCAGAATCATTTCCAAACAAGCCCATGATATCCTGCACAGAGGATTTGGAAGATTGTTGAGCAGATCCATTTGCCGGCGTGGGTGAAGTGACGGTCTCATCGCCCATTCCGCCAAAGATATCCGCTAGCAGATCTTGTGTTGTTTGTGCATTACCTGCTCCTCTTCCATTCACGGAAGTAGATCCATTGGCTGCAGATGAGCCTGGATCGTCGCCCATCAGGTCCAAAAGTGCATCTTTGTCCCGTCTTGTACTTCCGACTGCTCGTTTCTCGCTCACTGTTCCAATTACGGTTGCCTTGATTTCTGGTGGCGGCATTGGTTCTAAAACGCCATCACGCAAATCACTTCTGCCCAGCAATGCTGAAAACTCAACAGATCTCTGTTGCAATTCAACGTCCACAGTTGTTTCATATCGATGTAGCAATTGCGTGATGAGGTTCTGTGAAGCACTGTCACCCGCTAGACGTACGTGCAATTTGGCCATGGAAGTGAGTACCCACTGACGAATGTGTGAGTTCGCGTATGGGGAATCCAATACGTTTGACAACAGATCCACAATCTCCTTCGGTTGCACTTGTCTCACTAGATCCTCATCTTCAAAGCTTCCACCTCCCACCAAGACCTCTCCAAACTCTCCAATTACCCAGACGCTTGCCAACGTTAGACTTTCTTGACTGAAATCGCGATGTAGGGCGGCAAAGAGACGTTGAGTTGTGTATAGCTGTAGTTCGGGTGTATGACAAACCAATCGGATAAAGGCACTCAACACCTCTTCTCTTACGTAATTGCCTGCCACTTTGAGTACACGAAGAACGGTGTCAATGTGCCATCTTCTGTTCGGGGCGAATTTTTCGGCTGCCAAGCAAATTTGTGTCGTGAGACCGAGCTTGAATTCGTTGTCGCTCACTTCCAAAAATGCCAACAGCTCTCTGATTAGAATGCGAACGTTGCTTTCATTGATGAGTGCATAGCTGAGTTCTAGTGCACGTCTTCGGATTGAGATATCTCCATCGCGGAGACAATCAATGATGATGTTACGATGTCTTTGGACGGCATTTGTGTCCATGGTGACGACTTTGTTTAGTGTGTTCAATGCAACATATCTGATATTGTTGTCCCGATTTCCCAAGAATTTACCCAAGATGTTGATAGCCATGACCCGCAATCCATTCTCCGCCTCAATCTCCAAGATTGTCAAAACAGTCTCGTATAGAATACTATTTCCAACGTTCTTGCTTGCTTCTGTATTTGTTGCAACTTGAGCCAACACATCATTCATTGCCTCACTTGCAGCTGGATCATTTCTTCCCAACAAGCGGAGCAAACGTAGAATTTTAACTTGCAAGAAAGGATCGGTTATGCCGGATACGTCATGCTCAGGCGAGTACCCCGTTGCAACAAGCGCTTTGAGATGGCGGACTAGAAGAGGAACATCCTGTCTGAATTGATCCAAAGCTTCATCGTCTTGCTGACAGATTTCGATGGCCAATGTTACACCGCAGAGCAAAACACCATGGTTTTTGTCGGTCAACAAAATCTTTGTCCTTTCAATAAAGCGTTCAAGAAGATCAGGGACTTTTCGAACGATTCGCATAGCACAGAGTGCTGCTTTTCTGCGTACGTAGCTATTTGAGCTTCCCATCAATCGTTCTACTTCATTGCACAAGTCTCTTGACATTTCTTCCGATGCAATATTGGCAAAGGTACACAAAGCCAAACCGACGACGTACATGTTGCTATGTTCCATATCGTTCTTGAGACCATTCGTGACAAGGGTCAATACTTCGGTATTTTCATCGAGTAGCAACATGATTCCTGTATATCCCAATCGTTTATCGATGAAACGAGGAGTTGCAACCAATTTCAAACATTCGATTTGACCAAAATGGGCAGGATAACCCAACATGTGTATATAGAGCAATTTTGAGATATTGTTGTATAAGCTGAATGGATCTGCTTGTTTGAATGATGTACGAATTGCAGCAGATTCTTTTTGAATCAAACTTCTTTCTTCTGCTAATGTTTTGCATGATCGAATGGCTTTTATCAGCGATTTGAGATTATACAAACCTGCGCTGGCCAAAAGACCACCCAAACGGGGATCCAAAGCGGCCACCTGCTGTTGTTTCTGGAAGAAGGAGGCCATTTTGGGTTCCGGTGAGGGGTGAAGTAGCTGCTACTTTTGCTGTCAGAATGCCAAGGTGATAGGTGTGATGGTGTTGTTTGCAAGCCGACGGCCTCAAACATGGATTCCAGCAATACGCATACACTCTTCTACAGTGAGTGAGAATATATAAGATAGTGAGTGTGCCTGTCTGCCTGTGCGCCGTGCGCCAATTGTGCACGGCTAGCAACACGTGAAGGGGTAAAATTGTTTTTTCTTCATTTTCGTTTGAGGGAATTCCTTCTTCTTGTTGTCATCAGGCAAAACGATGATCAACATTTCATAATGACTGTTAATGATCCGTTCGTTGCCATTGGCTCGGCGGATAAGCTACGACAAAAGTCTGCTCGTCATCATATCACACTACGAAATCGAACAAACACAAATCGGTATCATTCTTTATTGTTATTCTCCTTTCCCAAAGTACAAAAGGAGGCGCAATCAGGTGTGGATTTGGGGATAAATGCATCACAATTTTATTGCATGGAAGCCGTTTGTCCTCACTTAGGAGCACCATTGGAAAACGCAAGCATCTATGACGTTGAAGGGGAAGAAGAGGAGGATATTGAAGATGCAGTGATCGTTTGTCCTTGGCATGAATACGATTTTTCCTTGAGTACTGGCGAATCATCTACCGGTCTCAAAGCATGTGTATTTGCGGTCGAAGTACGATCAGATGGCCAGGTGTGGGTGCAACAACCTTCCAACGAAGGAGGCTGGGATGTGATCGAGGTTCGCCCAGTCAGTGAAGCTCAAACCCAAGGACGCGAAGTTCATGCAAAGGAACTGCATACAGCAATGCAGAACGTGTCTCTAGACCATTCTGCAGATGCCCCCGATGCACCCTTACCCGACCCAGAACCTCTTCCAAAAACGCTCGTCGAATGGGCTGTTCTGGTGTTAAACACCCCAGAACCAAGAGAAAAAGTCCATTATACCCGCTTAGCTGCACGAGCTTTCCGTTCAGGTCAATGCAGGATCATAGGAGGTGGGAGACGGGATTCTAGTGAAAACTCGACGAGATGGCTGAGAAAGGAGAGTGAAACGCCACCCGCTGTTCCTCCTCGTTTATCCGATGCAAAAGTAGTCCGACCTGGACAAGAAGGCAGACGAGGAAAAGGAGGAAGTGAAAGAAGTCGAATCGCTATGCTTCATTCTTTGGCCAATATTGAACAATGGGCTATTGATTTGGCATGGGACATCATTGCAAGAGCACCCGAATTGTACGCTAAAGCAAAAGAAGGCAATTCCCCTTTACCTGTTCAGTTCTTCTCTGATTTCGTCAAAGTGGCAGAAGATGAAGCAAAGCACTTTTCGCTTTTGCAAAACCGACTGCATCAAATGGGTGCTCGATTTGGTGATTTACCGGTTCATCATGGTCTTTGGGATAGTGCAACGGAAACGATGCATAGTTTGGATGCACGATTGAGCATCATCCATCTTGTTCATGAAGCACGCGGTTTGGATGCCAATCCTTTGACGATCAAAAAGTTCGATAATGCCGGTGATAAGGATTCTGTAGAGGTGAGTACGATTGCAATTCCCTAAAAATGATGAGCCAAAAGCATTCATAGAGTCAAGCACGGATTGTAGCATCTTGTCCCCGCGTGGAGGGATGCTATGTGTCGAGTAATGAAATCATGTCTGATTGCCAATGCATAAATGAAGTTGAGCAATATTGCTGACACATATATACACATCCTTACAGGTCTTGACAATTATTCATTTAGATGAAGTCACTCACGTCTCTGCGGGCCATCGTTGGTTAACGTATTTATGTGACGAAACGGAGCAATCGCCGATCGAAGTCTTTCGTAAAAACGTTGGCCGTCATTTTGCGGGAAAGTTGAAAGGGCCATTCAACGCCAACGATCGATCAAAAGCAGGCCTAACGCGAGAGTGGTATGAGGATTTGGTGGGTGAAAAGGCAGGAGGCCCTATTGGAGTTGCGCGATCCGAAATTCCAGGGGGTTAGAATCATGTATCTATAGTTCGATCAATGTAGCATAATATCACTTTCTTGATGAGAAAGGGTGTGTGGGTAAGAAAAAAGACGGCTTTCCTTGCTTAATTTGCGGAACCTTTCGGTCCGTGAAATGAATCCCTATTTTGATTTTATTTTCTTCAACAGAGAGAAAAAAAAAGGCGGAAAGGTTCGATCGCCTACCCGACACGGGGCAAAAAGAAAAAAGGGGAAAGTGGATCCTTGTCGTTCCATCACACATTACCTTCTCGTCATTTGATCTTATGATCACACCTCTTATCTTTCAACACTGCCACAAATCATTGCATTGATTGCACTTTGCGCGCGCAAATGGTTGATGAACAAGGACACGCTCGCATTTCGAGTGAAAACGGTCATTGTTCGGTCAAAGATGATGATCAAATGACGAAACTTGATCAAATCACCGAAAGTGAACGGAAAAAAAGACGATTGAATGAAGAGTTCCAGCCAGAAAGAGATGAAATCGGAAGTTCTTGTAAACCTCCGTTCGGTGAAGCTTTGATTACGCCTTTTGAAGTTTCTTCGATGGGGAAAAGACAATCACAAAAAGAAAAAGAGCAACAACAATCACAACAACAAGAGCAACACCGCACCGCACGCACAAACGCCGAGGCGTATAATTTTATTCCGTCGCCTCCGTCTTCTTGGCATGAGAGGAGGAAAGAAGAAAAACAAAGTCCGAAAGGGGAGAGAAGAGCAGCAATACTGCTGAGTACAAACGATCAAGGGCGGGACAAAAGGAATTTCTTGTATTCTTCCAACAACTTTGAACAAAAAGCAACTTTCTTTCCTTACTCTTTACCAACAACAACTCATTCCCGCTTACCAACACCACCTCCATTACCACCTATCTACTCGGATTTACGTAAACAATCAATGCCTCCAACAACCAAGAAGCCACCACTTCAACAAGCCGCGCAAAGAGGTGGAAGAGGTAGAATTGCCGTTGCATGCGATCCTTGTCGTGCATTTAAACGAAAATGTTCGGGCGAACAACCATGCGAGTTATGCAAAAGGCGTGGGAGAAGTCATGAGTGCAAATATGAACCTGGTCCTTGCTCTTTGCCACGCACACAACAACAACAACAATCAAGTGATCCAGGTCCATCAACGCCAAAAATATCAAAGCCAATCCATCACCACCACCACAATTCTCATCATCATCATCATCATCGTAATCCATCATCCAGCTCAACAAAAGCTGAAACTCAACAAGAAGAATCCGAAACATCAGAATCAGATTTCGAATTCGAAGATGCACAAACAACAGAGAATAAATCAGATCAATTCTCAAATTCTATGGTACATTGGAATAGTACATTTCAAGCGCAATTTCAACCACAAACATTTGCGCCACCTCCTTTACCGCCAATCGAAAACAATTATGAATCTCGATATCGTTCTAGAAGTTTCAGTCATCCATACGCTTATTCCCGCAACGTGCTTCCTTTGCCTCGGTTGACGGTTGTTGAACCTGTTCAAACTCGTCATCGCCGTTCTTACTCATTGCATACCCCAGCCACCAGAGGGGAAGCCTCCGACAGTAGGCGCGAATGATCCTAAACCGGGAATACTCTCAACAAAGTCATCGCCGCGAACGGCTTTATTCCATCTTTGCATTTTATTCGCTTGTTGCATTTCTGAATCGTGTCCTGCGGCCACTAATCGACCATCTTCCGGTCGAGCTCTCTCCCAGAATCTCGTTGAATGGTCGTTGGAACCGGAGGCAAGGATATGGCCGAGTGGATGCCATTTGAGGGACCAAATATTCGATTCGTGAGCCGTTGGCATGGAATGGACGGGAAGGTTCGGATCGGAAGCATTCAAAGACCAGAATAGCATAGATCCGTCCGATCCGCCCGATACGAGCAGATCGCGATGCTCAGGATGCCAATCTACCGAACAAACATCACTTGGATGGCCTTTCAATGAGTGTAATTCAGCCATCGATCGTATATCGTACAGCTTAATGATCTGATCCCGAGAAGCCGTCGCAACGAGATTCCCATCTAAACTCCACTTTACCGCTTGCACGGTCCCTTTATGTCCATGATATGTCGCCAACGTAGATCCTGATCGTGGATCCCAAAATTTCACCAAATTATCCTTGCTTCCCGAAACGATTAACCCTTTGTAGGGATGCCAATCCACCGCTTTTACATCCCAACCATGTCCTTTTATCGTTGATTCTTCACGTGCTTCTTCAAAAGCCCAAATTTTCATTGTACTATCATCACTTCCTGTAACGAATCGGCTATCATCGGGAGAAAAACTCAATCCTCTCACGCCTTCCCGATGAGCATTAATGACCTGTAAATTATTCATATTTGATTGAAAATACTTCACTTGTCCACCTTGATCTGCAGAAAGAATCCATGCTCCTGATTTGGTATATTCTATAGCACGAATTGCATGATCGTGCGCTTGTAAGATTGTTTCGAAATTGAAAGTGAGTGAGTTCCAGAGGGTAAACTCACCACTTGAAGACCCTGTCAACAGCCGTCTTCCTTCGGGAGTCCAACGGATGACGTTGACCGGATTACGAATCTTATTTGTGGATGAATGCACTAAATTGGTTGTAACGGCTTGTGCTGATGAACGATATGCAGCAGCCGGTAATAATTCCACGATATGATTCACACCCGGCCAAACCAATCTATCATCACGAACGCATGTGATGGTATTTCGATGAAGCTTCCATCTATAAAAGCTATCATTGTAATCCACAGTTCTCCGTTGCAAAAACTTTCGTACTCGCCTTCCTTCGTATCCTGCTTCTTGAGCGGCTTGATGTGCTGCTGCTTCTTCGTCCTGTCTATGATCGATGACTGGCGGATGAGGAGCTTCAGTCAAGTGCTTTGTAGGAGCCCATCGCTGTTTCTTCAAAGGCGGTTGAACGGAGCTCGGCCCCGCTTCTGTCATCTTCCTGATTATGAGGAATGATCAGATTAGGAGGCAAGAGAAGGATGGCGGATTGTTTAGCAACTACCTGCACTTTTATGTTAGGCGTGATTAAATGCGCCGCGTAGGCCGTATTCCGTCAAATCGGGCGTCAGCGCTAAAAATCTATCAAGAAGAGGTTCGGCAGGACCTAACGTGATTCTGGAGATCGAAACTTATGGTATAATACTCAAAATGGCACTCGAATACATCTTATTAGCTGGAATGCAGACGTTTAAGTCTCTTCGAATTTTCACCATGACATTGGCATTTGTGGCCGTTGCATAAAAGCGGTGAAAGGATTGTATTCATTGAGGCATTGCGTCTCTACGGGGCATTGTCACGCAATTTTGTGAGCGTGATTGATTTGATCGTAAGCAACTTGGCTGGGCACGGATCATTTACCATACTTCATGTTGAAAACAGACATGGTGGCTGTATGATGAGGGGCTGTTGAGAGAGTTTGCGTTCTGTACGCAAATTCTCAACGCAAGTTGATGTGAGATGCTAGATACGACATCCAATTTCTCTCAATTGCGTGCTTCGTCCTTCCCATTCATCGTTCAAAATGAATTTCAAAATTCTTACTTGTCTCTTTGTCTACCTCTTAGCTTGCTTCTTACAGCATGGAAGTTGCACCAAAAGTACAGGAAGTGGAAGTCCTTCTCACGAATCAGGTTCAAAAAAACCAAGATCACCCAGAAATCCTATGCCGGATTTGAATTTCTCACCACCTCGAGAGGAAAAAGAACATCAGCCAGGATCACCGACGAGAAGCTTGAATAAAGCCTCAGCCTCGGCTCATAGTGGTGGATCACATGCAGCGATCAAAGGCAAAGAAGCTTCAGCCTCGGCTCATAGTAGTGGATCACAGGCAATGGTCAAAGGCAAAGAAAAGCGCAAGTACTCTTTAACGCCATCCTTGTCTTCATCCTATTCTGATTCCCTCAAATATTATCCTACATCTGGAAAGATTGGAATTGGTGAATATGGCAGTCAAAAAAGAACTCCATCACCACGCAATTCGAGGCAGCGAAGTCCAACGCCAGACTCTGCTAGAAAACGCAAAGATCGTAGCCCAACACCAGATTCTGCAAGACAGCAAAAAGCTGGTGGAAGCCCAAAAGGCGAACCTCCTCAAAGCCCAAAGCGAAAACGGTATGGTACTCCTCCTATTGATCCAGGCATTTCCGGGACGAAAAAAGTGGTTATAAATTCTCCCTTGGTACTTTCTTCTTCTACTCAATATACTCGAGGCCATTCTGGTTCAACCATCACCCCAACGACCGCAATGCTTCTCGAAGATGAATACGTGTATATGCAAAAGTTTGGTCATCCTCCTCCTTCTTATCAATCTCATAGCGATACTCGAAGTTACGATTATCGTGGATATGCAAGCTCGCCTGGATCGATTCAACAGCAACTGTTGCATGATACCGCAAGTAGTCGAAGCCCAAGTCCTACAGGTCGTCAAAAAAGTCAAGCGTCTGTTGAACAAATCGCTGGCTCTTCTTCTCGTGGCGGTCATGCTGCCGGTCCTACTTCTAGCGCGCAAAGCATTCATTATAGCGGTTCACATCCTACTCAAAGTCTTACTGTGGATCGCTCTTCTCTTCGTCGGGAAGGAACGACTACGCCTCCAAGACCAAGTTCTAGCAGTTCTTCACATGCTGCCAGTTCCCCTCACGTTGGTGCTGTTGCTGCATCTCCTGCCCATAGCGGCCATAGCGTCGGATCTGTCAAATCCAGCAAGAGAAGTGGCAGTCATTGAAAGTGTCCATCATGATTTCTCTTCTTTTTCTTTCAGCTGATCATCGAATCCCAATGCATGAAGATCCTTCCAAGTTTCATCCGCTTCGCCTCCCGATTGAAGATGATACATCTCTAGAAAACCTGTCAAGGTTAAATTTCCATCTTTATCCACATCGAAATATTCTCGTACTTCATCCTTTTCTTCTTTTGACATCGTTTTCCCTTCATTTACCGCTTTTGTAAACGTATCCAATTCATCCTCCGTAATGATTAATTTTGATAAACTTTCATCCTTTTCCCTTGCTTTCATGAATTGATCAACGTCTTTGAACTTTCCCTCTGTGTAGACTGATTTGCCTTGAGTTGAGAAACGGATAAAGGTACTCGTCAACGCCAGTGCAAAAGCTGGCGATAACTCCCCTTCATCATCGATCAGTTCCACCCGTTCAGTCGGCATTATGTACTTCCAATCGTGGTAGTGAACAAGAGGGAAAAATTTTCAGACACCAACACTTTTAGCGCGTTAGTATTGCACGCATACATTTGAGATGGAACGAATCTTATTTGTGCTACTAGTATAATGTATGAATGAATGATGATGATGATATATGGTACAAATGAAGTCTATGAATTTTCGCTCACGTAGACATGAAGAGAGCTCACGAGCTTTCCTGTTTACGTAGAAATTGTTTGATTGATTCCGGACTCAAGCTCATGCTGAGTTCTCTCATGGTTCCTTCCGATCTGAATGAGTGATCTGGACTATGTCTTTCCGGAGTTGTTGTCCTGGATTGCGACGGGCTATCGGGCGGCGAAGTGGCGAGATAACCAAAATGCCTATTGAGGTACGTGGATAAATGATCCCAGCCTCCTCCGACTCGAACCATGACATTATTGTTAAAAATGCGGCAAAAGCATAACTTTGGTTGATTGGAGTCGGGTGGTCCTACCAAATATTTGCCCGATAGACTTGGGGTTGATTGCTTTTTCGGAGTCAAAGGAGATGCACGTTTAAAATGCAATTTTGTGCTAACTTGTTTCACAACCTTGGCAACTTCTGCGTCCAAAGTGGCTTGGGATCCTTTTGAACTAATGGTGCCATTGGAGGTTTGTTTGACAGTTGAGTACCCTTCGCTATCGGAGCTGTTTGGAGCTTTGGAGGTTCGTTTGACGATTGAGATCCCTTCGCTATCGGAGCTATTTGGGGCAATGGATACCTCTGGGTGCTCGGATACAGTGGGGATTGGTGTCTCACTTGGACGAATGCGACGTTTGGATGACTTTATCCGGTTCCGCTTCTTCTCGGCATGCTCCAAAGCTAGAATCTTGTCTTGCTGAGCTATGATAGTGTCATAAAGCGTGATATAAGCAACATTTGCATCGCCTGCAAGAACGTAGAGATCCAAATCATCAATCGGTTTACCAAATGTGGGACGAACACGTTTATTGATATCTGATACTACCGGCTCCAACGATTTGAATTCGATGTTGAGTCGGGCGATATCCCAGTGTGATTGGGCAGATTCAGCCAATTTGATCTGATCTTTGATGCGTTTTACGATGTCAGTCATGATGTTTTTGTACTTGCAAGTGCTGATAATGATGTTGGTGGAATTGAGTAAAGAGACTTCATCTTTTTGCATTCGATAAGGATACGATTTGATTCCGATTCAATGCGAAACCAAGGTTGATCAGGTCACTGATTGTATGCGATCCCTTGGAATGATCCTGGTCGTTTGCTACCAAAGTGAACATGCTCCAAATATCACAGCCCAGTGCTTTATGCATGTGTTTCTTCAAAAGAAGAGGCGCCGGCGCTAAAATTTAATACAGGGTGTATGTACACGCGTGAGACTTAAGCAGCAGAGGTAAAACGCCTGCTATTCGACTACATACGGTGGAGGCGTGCATACCTGGTCATGAGCAGCAGCAGCAGCAACCACGGTGACCATGATGCATATGATTATCGTCTGATAGTGTACTCTTAATCATCCGCTCTTCCTTTCTGAGAGAGAAGTAGGGATCTGAATGCATCAAAGTACCCTTGTGTATCATTCATTGTCACATGTCTACCAGTGAAAGCATATTGTACGCGCCGCTCTCCTCATTTGTTTGTTTTTTTCCTTCCTTCCAAATCCCGTTTCGGATCTTTGGAGTATACATAATACGCCTTTTACGCAAGACATGAATTGTGGCGTATCATCACACACACACAAATGATGTGACAAAAGATGTGACTTTATCCAATCAATAACATCAATGGCACAATTCACGTTAATTTTTATTTTTTGCATTAATCCTAACAATTGTTGCAATGGATGAGTGAATTTTACACATTTCATGCGTCAAAATAACGGGACACGTCCACTGAAATTGAGTCTTTGATTAAAGGCCTGCTTGCTTTGATGGCAGTACACCTCCCCTTCCTACGCGGAAGTGACTGAGATGAAAATTAACGAACCGACGCAAGATAATCTATTCTTTCTTTCCTTCTCCAAACTTTTATTCATCTCCTCCATCTTCGCACGCACACAAAAACATTCACACACACATTCATATCCCCTTTCTTGATCAAACTCTATTCCCAATCATTGTTCTTTGCTGTGTTGTTGATTCAACGCAACAACATTTCAGTGGATTCTTCGTATTCTTTTCATTTTCACTATTTACCGCATTCATCCTCCGCTCAGTCAGCGAAAGCCAGCTGATATCCTCCGCAATCCCACTGCTATACTCCTCATTTGAGAGAAGACTAGATAGACTACCTGCAGCGCTTTCTATACGCAACCTCTTCATTGCATTGTGATCGGAACGCAAACGGCTAACTCTGCTGAAAGCCACTTCAACTCTTTTTGCTGATCAACCTGCGCAAATCGAAAATCAAAACATCGCACTTGCTCTTGTCGACAAGATGAACTCATTGTACGACTCTGCTCGTTCTCCTCGCTCCAGATGGATCACCGTGTCAAACTTACCACGCGAGGCCAACGAAAATTGGTTAAAGATGCTCTTTGCACCCGCAGGTGTTGTCGAATCAGTCCATTTCTCCATGGAAGATTGCGGTGGCGTTGCAAGCCTTCTCTTTGGTGAAGTTGAACAAGCCAAGAAAGCATTGGAGTTCAACGGCTTTAATGCTTTGGGTATCCGTATTGACGTTCGTGTTCGTGCAGATCCACCGGAATCATATCAATCCAATGGCCAAAAGCACAACACCTTGGCTCTAGCTCGCCCAAACAATCTTCCAACACTTTCAAACCATTTCTCTGGACCGTTTGATCGCAATAACAGCCAGGGTAAAGTTGTGGCCAACAATCATTATCCAATGGACTCAGCTCCGACTCACAAGAATCTCTATGTACTGAACTTGCCCTTGGATGCAACACCTGATCAGTTGACTGCCCTATTCGCCTCATACGGCAATGTTGTCCATTGCGTAATCCTAGCAATGCTCGATGCACAAGCTCGTCGAAGAGGATTTATCGATATGTCATCACCCAAAGAAGCCAAAGAAGCGATCGAAGGACTCAACGGCTTCGTGTGGCATGGCTATCCGATCGAAGTGTCGTACGCAATCGTGCAGCGCAGTGGTGGCCCTTTTGATCAAAATGCAGGTCGTCCTGTAATCAAGCGCAATGTGCCTCGCAATCGCTTCAATACTGGACCAAGACGCATTCCAAGCGACTCAGCTATTGATCCTAGCGTGATGGCAAACTTGACCCATCATTTTTCCCAACAGATGAACTTTGGTCAAGGTCATAATGTCGCAGCACCGCATGCATTGCACAATAACGCAACGGATCAACACGGTGGCGGTGCAGTTGTTGATCCATACACAATTTTTATCGCTGGCATGGATCCGGCTGCGATTATTGACGATGACGATTTTCGTACTGCTTTGGAACATTACGGTGCCATTACTGCAGCCACCTTGTGCCGTGATGAAAATGGTACTTCCCGCGGTTTTGGTATTGTGACTTTTGCGACTCAACAGGCCGCAACAAATGTTTGTGAGGCGATCAATGGCAAGGTAATCGAAGGTCGTCGATTGACTGCACACAAGTATGTCTATCAGCCTCCCAGCGCTCAAGGTGCTTTGAATCCCTTTTTGCAAGCAAGTAGTCCATTGTCACGTCGAGATGGTCCAAATGGCAATAGCGCAGGACCATTGATGCCTTTGCGTTTCAACAATCGCAGCTCGCTTCCCACTCCTTCATGGTCAGCTAGCAATCGAATTAGTCAAGGCCCAGTCGGTTCAATTGGTATGCAACCATCTCAAATGCCAAATTGGCCAATCCGTGAGAATCCTCCAGACTTTTTCAAACTCAATACGGGCAGTCGTCCTATCGAGATCAAGCCAGATCCGGACAACGCAAAAAAGCTCGCAGATGCGTTTGTGCCAACGGCAAAAGCCAGTTCAACCCATCAACACCAAAGGGACCCTTCCGCTGGTGTTGGCGAACATCCAGTTATCTCTCGTACGCCCATCACTTCAAATAGTCCATGGAGTTCGTCAACGGTTGCTTCTACTAACAGCTTGGGATTAGATGGTTTGAGTCCGCAGAGCACAATTTCCATGAGCAGTACTGCTTTGCAAACGCCTGAATCGGTTCGTGATCGTGATTCTGCCGGCATTTGGTCAAACACTCACGGAAGCTCTGTTGGTAATCGTAATGCATGGGGCAATAAGCATACGAACCTTGCTGGCTCCGCTATTCTTTCTTTGCAAAGTGACGTTGTGGAAAAGAACAACAGTCGTCCTTCAATGGCAATGATGGCACCAGTTGGCCATGAGAAAACCTCTAGCCCAATGCGCATCATGCACGCAACCAATAATGCTCAATAAGCATTCTTCAACTTTTTCGACACCATCTATCGTGCACCTCTTCCTCTTACCACCTGCTGTATCAGTTGCTCGGTCAAGTTTTTCGTTTTCTTCTTTTGTTCAGTCCACTTATTGCACAAGCATATATGAAGCATCTTCCTTTTTTACCAACGGAACTTTCAATCTTTTTTTCGTTGCTGATTGCTCAACAATCGCTGTGCCGGTTATGTTTCTATTTCGTACGATCCATTCTTAATCACTTATCTTCGCTTTCATCACCACCATCTTTACTTGTTTTGTAAGCCTCTTCCGTATTCTTCCCAATGCGAGACCTGTTTTCCCCTCCTGATAGGTGTGTTCACATGCATGTGTGTTGATATGCAATCCGCTAGTGTATATCTGGCCAATCAATCAAGCCAGATGCCGCAGCTCATCTATTCATGCCAAGTTAACTTACACACTTGGCAATTCGGTGGGAATTGAGCCGTTCATCCGACGGGTTGATCAACAAGAAGAGAGCGTGGCGGAAGGGCGTAAAACTTAAAGCGGGTACCTTATCTCATCCCGTAACTGATCTTACGATTAATTGGCCGTGCGTTCAACCAAGACTTGGGCTGTGTATGTCCGTGGAAAATAAGAATATCTCACGCATGCTTGAGTGAAGAATAATGGCGTTTGTTTAAATTTGACTTGCATACTCTGTTGCAGTGCATAAAGTTCTTATCATCGGGAACGCGAACAATACGAGTCTAAGAAGAGCGTAAAACTGTCAAACATAAGCCAATCCTATCTAAGCGAAAATACCCCACTTCATCAGCAACACGGCGAGTACGCCGAATAACAGCTTTAGTGAGTGAGCAAGAAATGGCAAGGCAGTAGATAGACCATATGAGGACTGATAACACAAATAAAATATTGCATTTACGCTCGGATTGTGGCAGATAAAGTGCTTTAAGATTCAGGCTAAATGTGTACGATTTTAGTCTTTTTCTAGACGATAATACACTATTTTCTACTATTCAGCGGCGACCACTAATCTGCTCCTTCAAGATGTCTTGTGCCTGCATGAAATTTCTTGTTGACAATCAGCACCTCTGCATTACAGGAGAGGAAATTGCATGCCATGCGGCTATCTCTTACGTTTTGCATGACGTTCAATATTGACAGATGCAGTCCCCTTATCAGCCCACCTAAAAGGGAAGAAGAGCAAAATATGAAAATGTATAAATTACCACCCCCTTTCTTCGATCTGCTCCCTCCTCATTACTCTTAACCCCCAAAGGAGTGCATCCTTGCTCCCAATTTTGTCTTCATCTCTTCCACTTTAAACACCATCGGTGCACTGAATATTCATCACCATGGGTTTCGTTAAAAAGTTCTTTACCGACTTTTTGCCGGCTGAGGATATGGATAGGGACACGGCTGGTCAAAGTACACAACACAATGAAACAAACGCTGTTGAGAAAGATGAGAAATCTTCCGGCGAGGATGATTATGAAACGAATGCTTATGCAACCGAACAAGTTGGCAGACAAACTACTCCTGGTTCAAAGACTGCTCTGAAACGTCGCTTAGGCTCTCGTCACATGCAAATGATCGCATTTGGTGGAAGTATCGGAACAGGTTTATTCATCGGATCTGGAGGAGTTCTATCATCGGGTGGCCCAGGATTCCTGATGATTGATTTCATCTTGGTCGGTATCATGCTGTATTGTGTTGTTATGTCTTTGGGTGAAATGGCTGCCGTCTTACCCGTTTCTGGTTCTTTCGCTTCATACTCTTCTCGTTTCATTGACCCTGCTTGGGGTTTTGCAATGGGATACAACTACTGGATGCAATGGTTTGTTGTTTTGCCCTTGGAACTGGTCGCCGCTTCAATTGTTCTAGATTTCTGGCCAGGATCACATGATGTGACGAAAGGAGTATACATTCTCATATTCATACTGGCGATTACTTTTATCAACCTTTTTGGTGTTCGCGGTTATGGTGAATGGGAATTCTTTGCATCAATGATCAAGATTATCACCGTAATTGGATTCATCATTCTTGCAATCGTTATCGACTGTGGCTGTGCACCAAATGGCAAATATTTGGGCGCAACCACATGGCATAACCCTGGAGCATTCAACAATGGTTTCAAAGGATTTAGCTCAGTTTTTGTGACAGCCAGTTTTGCATTTGCTGGCACCGAACTTATCGGTCTTGCCGCAGCCGAGACTGCAAATCCACGCAAAGAGATCCCCAAGGCCGCTAAACAAATCATCTGGCGTATCTTGATCTTCTATATCCTTTCCTTATTCTTGATCACTTTAATCGTTCCTTACACCGATCCTCGTCTTGAAGGTACAAGTTCTTATGATGCACGAGCGTCGCCATTCGTCATTGCCATCGAGATAGGCAAAATAAAGGTCTTACCGAGCATCATGAACGCCGTAATCTTGATCAGTGTCCTTTCGGTCGGCAACAGTTCAGTTTTCGGGGCTAGTCGCACGTTGTGTTCCCTCGCTCAAGCAGGTCAAGCTCCCAGAATCTTCGCATATATTGATCGTCAAGGTCGTCCTCTGCCAGCCGTGATCTTGTCCTTGTGCATGGGATGTTTGGCTTTCGTTATTTATGCTGCTGAATCTTCAGTTGTCTTCAACTGGCTGTTGGCCTTGTCTGGTTTATCAACAATCTTCTCTTGGGGTTCAATTTGTGCTTGTCACATTCAATTTAGACGAGCATGGAAGTATAATGGACATTCAGTGGATGAGTTACCGTGGAAATCGCCCGTTGGAGTAGTAGGTGCTATCTTTGGTGTTGCTTTCAATATTCTGGTCATTATTCTCCAATTCTACATTGCTGCTTTCCCTATCGGTGCAGGATCTGTAGAAGAACAATTGGCAACTCCGAGTCAACGTGTAAACGCTTTCTTCTTGGCCTTCTTGGCTGCACCTGTTGTCTTGGTCTTTTTCATCTTTTGGAAGGTTTTCAAGAGAACATCTTTTGTCCGTTTGGATGAGATCGATATCACCACCGGACGCATGCAGGCAGTACCACTGGAAGTTCTCCGTCGTGAACGTGAAGAAGCACGTCAACAACCAATCTTCAAGAAAATTTTCAATGCAATAATCTAAGGGCGCAATGTTTGTCCAGAACCGCTTAAGCCGGGCCCTGCTGTAGGTCGCCAAAAGACTTTCGCTGATGCTTGAAGTGATCGAACTTTTGTTTGAAAACCAAACGAAACAGTATACTGTAAAATGATAAAAATGAGATTGATTGTTGTAAAAAAGAGAAGTGAATACGTGTGTGCTGACATATTTGTGCGTTGTTTGTTTATGAGATGACGGATGTGATCACGGCGCCGAACATTTGGTCGTGAACGAATGAGAAATGAGTGAGTGAAACTTGCGCGTATGAACAGGTGATGCGGGAAGACTTAGTTTGGGTTGAATCAACTTGTTGGATTCACAATTGCTTAATAATCAAACACGCAATTTAAGTTAAGAATATAACCTCTCGCACCTCCTTTTGTATATTCTTTTGCAAAATCATCTTTTGACTAACATCATGTATCGTGCCTTAAATGTAGATCAATTGCATCTTTTAAGAGTTTGCGAAACAGTAGTGATATGTGTTTTATTGAGACTGAAGGAATTGGCTTACACGAATCAGTGTATAAAGCGTACAATACAAGCGAGATGACGATCAAGAAATGAAGCGGAGCGAATTGGATATGAAAAGTGTGCTTATTTGCCAAGAAGGATCAGATTGAGGACGAGATGGCAACCAGGATATGATGTCATATCGCGCACGAACTCCGTATGGCGAGCTTATCTCGTAGGCACAAGATTAGTTACCTCCCAATTGTTCCACCATTGCATCGATTTCATCTTGATCTTCCAATCCGAGCTGAAGGAGAGGGGGAGATTAGGGTCAAATTCCAGTCTCACAAACAAGAACGCAACAATCACACTCACCGTATCAGCTGTATCATCATCACCAATTCTAGTACCATCAGCAGTAATGAAACGAACAGCATTTTCAGGTTTGCCCATTCGTTCTGCGTATGCACGTTTCAATTTGGATAAACGAGTATGTTTCTTGACTTTGAAAAAGACTTCATTTCCATCTGCATCTTTAACTTTGATGTTCAATTGTTCAGTGCTGTTGCGATTTGGGTAAGGGTGGGAATGCGTTAGTGATTGTGTAAAAATAAAAGGTGGCGAATAATCTATGCAATCGATCATTCAAGCAATCATACCACGATCGCTTGATTGGGCTTAATTTGTTCTTTCGTTCTATACTCACCCTTCTGGCTTTGGAACAGGTTCTTGATCAGACATTTTGTTGATTGAGCGGGGTTGTAGTAGAGGTTTTGTGATGATCG